ATGGCCTAGCCGATTCTCCTGTTCGGTTCTGGGAACAACAGCGCTCCTAGGGCTAGCTTGTACGTGCCTAGAGCTAGGGGGGTATCTAAGATCGTCTACAGTCGGGATTCGAAATACCGCAGCTTGGCGTTGAGAGTGCACCTCACCATTTTTGATAGATTTGATGGTTAGTAGGGCCCTCTCTCTCGCCCTGGTGATTTTTGACGCTTTACACTGCGTTTTGGTGGCATAGTGGGTGGTTAAAAATGGTAAGTGGTGGTAGGACGCGTAAAAATGCGTGGGGTGGACGGGCCGCTTGGGAATTACGTTACAGTATAATGGTGACTAAATTAAGTGCTGGATCGAGTTGAGCGATCCTGCCAGTCCGCGGTGGCTAGTTGTATAGCCCATACGGACACTTACGTCCGCTTTACATACAACAACAGTACTAATGGATCTAAGCCCGCGCTGAATCATTCAGGATAGGTAAGGTGTTAGCCGTGCACGCCCCTCTAGGCGGTATCCTAGAGGGCCGTGCACGGCTACTACATTCCCGACGCTAGTGCATCTATCCACTTCAAGGTTGCTTCTTTTGGCTTGCTTTGCGAGAAGTTATTCTAGGCCCGCCCCCACTCTTTTCCCTCTGATAAAAGCCAGTAAATGCTTTGCACTCTTGGTAATTTCTGTTTGACATCTCAACCCTGACCTTCTTATGCAAGACGCAACACTGGTCGGTGACATGGCGCGGTCATTGGCAGATGACGATTCAATACCCAACGGCTGGCGGACTCGAAAACCAGGGTGCGCCATCTGGATCATCATAGCTGTCCTTCGAGGGATTTTGGAGGCTTTTTTCTACAGTATATACTACATCCCGAGCTATTTGCGCCAGAGTCCAGCGTGGACCTACCGTCAGGCGTGCATGACACGGCTTTTTGAGAGAGGCTTTCATATTATCACTGAGATCGGTTTCACGCAATCTTTGAGCTTAGAACCAGGCAAACTTGGTGATCGCTGGGTGACCATCGGCCCCGCACCAGCCTCCGCGTATGGCGATGACTTCACGAGTGATACTATCAAGCCAGAGACGGTCGGCGGTACTTGGTATCCGAAGCTACCATCGAAGCAGTCGCTACTGGAAGAGCAAGGTCTAGTGGTTTTGTCCTTTCATTCTGGCTCGCTCCTGTGGTTGACTGGACGACCAGAGGACTCGGAGCCTACAGCAACCTTGTTGAACAACAAGCTGGGTGACAATACTCGCTCTTTTTGGCTGCAGTACCGTCTCGCCGGTGGCAGTAACCCAACATCGTATCCCGGGGCCATGCAAGATGCGGTAACAGCATACATCTACCTCACCAAAGAAATGGAAATCTCCCCATCGCGCATCGTCCTCGCTGGCGACTCCACAGGCTCGACTATTGCAGTAGCACTTCTGCGCTATCTTACCTCTATCAAAGAGGTACAGGACCATGAACTCGCTGAACTTCCACCACCAAAGGCATGTCTTCTATTTTCGCCATCGGTCGAGTATTGCTTTGAAGGTGATCCTGAGGCCGTCGGCACAAATAGGAATATCAATACCGACTACGTCGGGGCGCGTATGATGGCATGGGGTGCAAGGGCTATTGCCCCCCCTGAGACCGTGCGCCTGGATGATCCGTATATCTCTCCGGCACTGTGTCCATTTGCAACCCCGGTTCCAATTTTCATTCAGGCGGGAGGCGCAGAGGTCCTGTGTGATAGTGTTCGTGGGTTTGCCAACGCAATGAGCGCTGTCCCGGGAAATCTGGTTGAACATTTCGAAGTCCCAGATGTACCCCATGATGTTTATGTTGTAGGGACTGTGCTTGGGTGGCCGAAGGAGCAGGAAGAGATCCATGAGGCTGCGGCGAGATTTGTTCTGCAATAATCTATTGATGTTTCAATCCACCTCTGACGCTGGGGGTGGATTTAACTAGTGCTAGATAGACATCAGCTGATTAATAGTGATCGAAGAAAGTTGCGATTGAAATGCTTCCCGCTTCCTTCCTTACAGCTAAATTCAAAATTGTATTCCATGATATTGAGATTCTGGAGGTGGAAGGTGTGTCTTGCTAAGTAAGTGTACGAAAGGATAGAAATATGCCTTAAGGACGGTGCCGTATGGCAGAAAAAGTAGGGTAACGTGACCGTTCGTATCCCCATAAAAGGCGGTGTTATCACATAGGTAAGCACCTCCAATAGTGGAGGAGACTACTTAGGTATATAGGCTTCATATCATCCTATATTATCCCTATTCAGTGTGACAATAAGCGAGCAATTAGTCTGCTCCAAGGACACGACGTGGTGTTTTACATTCAGCTCCGATATATAGATATACACCACCACTAGCTACGCTAAGAGGTCAGAGCAGATCGGATTACTATGAAACAGACACCTACCGCAAGTATAGTGGCCGATAGACTCACTAAGGCGCTACCGCGACAAAAATATGACAATTTCTTCAGGTTGCCGAACATTCGAAAAACGGAAATGATTTGAGTGATCGGACAATATGCCAGTTGATAATGGCCATGCATGAAAAATTTGGTTCTGGCAGTGACCGTCAGTAGTGAATCCGATGCTCCAGCATTTTAGACTATAACCACGCTTACCTATCAGCACCTTCCAGCCGACCTTTCAGGTCACGAACTCTATGACCGCACAGAGAACGTCACGTTTGCTCTGGGGGTCGCGAAGGTAGAAGAGTTCGATGTCGCGATAGCAGACCGAGTCTGGAAGGTCTGTCAAAGGGATGTGCTTCGGAAGATCACTCTAAAAAGTGGGATTTTGTTTGCGCTTGCTCAAAGAGGAGTCGTCAGGTAGAGAGGTGTTCTGTGGAAGCAAGACGCCGGGTCGGGTCCCGGTAATTGCGGACCAAAGTTGGATGGTAACAAGGACGATCATACATCCGTGACGAAAAACCGCGAATGGACCCAGTGATGCCGATAGATCACACAAAAGACATCCACATCTAGAGTATTCTTATTCTTCCTTCGCCTGGAGATTTTGCGCTCAGCAGGAATACGCCATTGAGAAACTGTGTTCCAGTGTCAACTCAAACAGAGAGCCGACTATTATCTAGTGAGACCAGTAAGCTCGTCATTCCGAACGGACGCAGGACTATATGCATACCGAAGTCCGGTTCCAAGAGATAGGAGGAGATTGACAAATGATTATAGCACCTGAGGTCGCCCCCACGTTGCATTGGCCTCGTTCGAATTAAGCGAAAACTTCGGAGATTAAACATGAGCTTGAGAGCAATTGACTATCAGGGTTTGTCCTGGTTTTGTCATCAAATAGACCCAGTCGCGAAGGCAGAATCAATGGCAGAAATAACCCTCGGCTTGGGCTGGAAACATTGGGTCATTTTGTCCCACTACTACCTAAGTCCCCTTCGCAAACTGACTACATAAAATCTCGGGCATGCCGATATCGATAAAGTAGTGGAATGGTAATGACGACCGACGAAATAGGCCCATATTAAAGGCAAAAAAGAGAATAACCTAGGAACAGTCTATTTGTTATTATGATGGAATAGAGTTATTCACTATAGAGACTGGAGATCATCAAGAAGCAGAATTAGGAGCCATGCAGATCTGGTTCGCTTAGCGGCGCTCGGAAAAATAATGTTTTCGGGTGCCTAGATATGAGACAATCGGGCTCGAGCCTCATCTACCTAAGAAGGGGAATACAGTAACTATGTAAATGGATATTGAAATGGGGATGGCTCGATGGCTGCCTAGCAACGCAGACTGGACAACAACAACCAATAGATAACACACCAACAACCAACATGCAGTGTAGGTCGTCCTAGTGGAGATCACAAGTGTCCTTGGTGAGGCCGTGAGGTCGTACGGGTTGGGTCGTGGAACCGTACGAGCAATCCTGAACGCAGCAATCCTAAATAAGACCATACGGTTTTCCGACTGAGGCCATATGGAATGTACTTAATACGGTATCATGAATCAAAGAATGTGGTGACAACTGGAATGAATTGGGTAGATGCTGCTGTTCTCCTCTCTCTCCCCCTGTAGAAGCCATTGCTTACACCCAAGATATTCGTGACACCTCAGGCCGCAACTGTACTCATTATGTCATGCGTTCCACCACTACAATATGTAGTCGCGATTCGCTACTGATTCTGATGACTCCAAACGCCCCATAAGATCCACCCTAGTAGTTGAGTGGTTTTTGTTGTTTGTACTGTTGTGTGTTTATTAAAGTAGCTAGTCTCAAACTGTTGACCGGACTCCACTGCCTTCGGTGTAATAGTATATATTCGCCGTTACCGACCGAATACTCGAAGCTAAAGGGCGCGTGGGTTGCGCTGGCTTCAGCCCTGCTAAACCCTTCCAGGTTAAATTTACCCGAAGCCCATGGTCCCTGAAGTTACTAATTCTAGAGCCCACTGACTAAGTTTGTGCCGTTGGGGGCTGGGTACTTCATAATAATGTTATCGCTTATAATTTATCCCTCCTATCTACAATAATACTCTTATAATTGAGGTTTACGGATTTCAGAATCATTCAAAATAACAGGATCTACATCATGCTTGTTGCGTCAAGATTGGTTGCAAACTAGTCCATATGATTATACGACGGCCAACAAAGCCATTAACCGTATTGATGCCTGCAACGTAGAACAATATCAATGTACTTGCAATCATCGTCTTATCATCGAGATGCGACTCCTTAGGTGAATTAATTCGCGCTAGACTGGATACTAGTATCATTTGATCGCATTTCGAGTCCGCCACCAATGTTACCTGACGATTTGCAATGTCTTTTCTATCTACCTATGGCAGCGTCGGAATGCCAGCCAGGCTGGGACTCTTTATGGAAAATACAGATTTTAAAGCTGAAAACTGGATTGGCCACAGCCGAAACGCACTCGGCTGATGGGAGGTGAAAAGAAAATTAAAGCAACTGTCTCGCAATTGTCCGTTTCGATAGTTCCCCCTCGCTCACATTTCTGACAATGAATTGACTATCCTAAGTGCATCACTTAGCCCGAAGCTCCATATTGACTGGAACCTGCTGAGCACGGCGCTTTATCCGCTTACGACACAAAAGCCACCCCCCACATGTGATGAAAGCGAGAAAAATAAGAGGTACTCCAATAGCAGCAAAGTATAGCACAGAACGCCACCCACGCACCCCGCTATTGTCGCCGTTGTGGTGGTCATATGCCCCATCCGTGATGATTTGTCCCGGCTCCCAGGTAGCCAGGTATTTCCCTGAGGTCAGCGGTGGGAGAGATGGGGACATACTCGCTAAATCGGATTCGGCCCACGAGACGTGCCATGCACGATGCACTATCATCCCCTCGGTGAAGGTGCCCATTGTATTTGTGTGAGACGCCAGCGGCGCGGTGATGGTGGTGTCGCCGGATGTGATTGTACGCGCACATGCCGGGCTCAGCACAGGCGTAGGCAGAGCATACCCCGGTGCTCGAAATTCAAAACCACTGAGGCTCATCAGTGGGGGAATCGAACAGACAAGGTGATTATTGAAACAGCATGAAATGAAGAGGCTTATGGACATACCTAGCACAGCAGTACGCAGCTGAGTACTGCTTGGTCGATGACATTTCGTAATACGTCCAGTCCTGGGGGCAGACGGCTGGACTGAAGGTAAAAAGATCCGTCGTGCTCCCACTATCCCATAATGACGGCTGACAGACCGAGAAGTCTGGGGCTGCGGCATCAGATGCGAGGACAGTGATTGTTGTGAGCGTGCTTTCGAAGCTAGTCGTGATGGTAGTGAGCTCGAAGGCCGAAATACACCCGCTGGGCTGCACATATGGGGTTATCAGTGCCGTGGCCATGACGCTCGTTGCGACGGTCGTCATCAAATAGAGCAGGAAGAGAAGCGCCATCTTCCCTGGGCTGCTTGACAGGGCGTCTTCAGTTCTTCGGCTCTTCGGCTCTTCTGCTCTTCGGCGCAGACTTGGTCTCCGTACAGCTGTCAATGTTTCACTGGGGCGAAATGAAAAAAAAAGATGCAGCGAAATCCGAGATAGGCATGGTCCGTAATGTTGTTATTTTCACCTGTTCCAGCGTCCATGCCCTGGAACCTGAATTTCCCCCGCATTTGCTCTCTCCATCAAACGCAACCCCCTGTGGCCCCGACAGGGACCAGAGGCAACGCCAAGCACCTAGCTTCTCGGATCTCTCACCAGCCACGGAAAATAGACTAAGCGACCCCTTCACGCTAGACCTCGGGGTCCGCCGCCTACAGCGACCCTGCCAACTCAACGCGCAGGCCAGGTCAAGTTGCTCAACCCGTAGGTAAAACAGCTTAACGCGCAGCTTTCAACATTCCTGCCCTTTGCTCCAGTGCATTATTCTCCACTACCACAATGACTATTATTTATTGTGGGATAGAGGCGCGAATTGATAATTTGATAAAGCCTTGCAGGTTAGCTGCTGGCTTTGGGCGCTTCCTGGCCGTTATGAAGTTACATGGCCTGGTTATAGTCCAGGCCAGGGCAACGGACCAGATGTCACGGCATCAACCCCAGCCAACAGGAGGATCCAATTCAACCGCCAAGGCCGGGTATTCGTGACTCTTGGCATTGGATGGGGGGCCAAATGAGCATTGTGATAATTGAGGCTTGGCAGGACCCCTCGGTTATGTCTGACCTCAAGACATATTATTGGTGAGCTTCATCGGCGTTTGTAGCATCGTACTTCGTGTTAACAGAGATTTCTCCTAATTTAGCTAAAGAAACATATGACACAAAAAGACTTATATTTTAGTATGGTTTCAAAGGGGGCTGAACATGGGGTTTGTTCAGGGAAGAATACATAAATGAGACTTGATGTCTGGTCGAGAGAAAAAGAACCATTCTCTTATGCAACTCCAGTAGAGATCTTTTCTCTTCAGTCACTCGTTCCACCTTTCTTACGTTGAACTCGTTCCTTTCCTACGTTGAACAAATTCTGACGCTTTCTTGTCTGTCTTTCCTTAATCAGTCGTTCATTCTATAATATCTCCTTCGGGGTGAAAAGAATTCGCCATTCTACATGGCTCGCCACTCTGGCTGGGATCTCAACACTCATGCTATTATTACATCAAGCTATGGCCAGTATTCTGACAAGTGTCCGATCCAATGCGCTGGTGTCATGGCCAATCCGTTAAACTGGACCCGTTTGTATCGACTGGAAGACCTCCCCAGATGCGACGACGGTATCCTGTTCAGCTTCAACATACAGAACCTCCTGACAGACCCGAATACGCAAGTTTCTGTGCAAGCATGCTCGTACACCGGCGATACCAGTGATCATTCTGGATCGTCGCCTCCACAGCGCAGGGATGATCCTGTTGATCAAGCGGACGTTGAGCATACGCTCTCTATCAAAACCAATTGTGGCGCCTCCATTACGCAACGACCCTCTTCTCCCCGAGTAGACTCTGCTGCTAGCGGCGCCATCGATATCTCTGACTACATTCACCACGCAGCAGAAATGCTGGTCACATATCTGCAGAATGTGGCAGAATGCGGCATCACAATCATGTTCGCCCAGAGCGGAAATGCACATTGGGGTTGAGACCTTTGGCATGTTCGCGGGCCAGATGTCCGACCTCGACGACATCGAGGAGGCCGTGCGGACGAGGACAAACGCGGGATGCCTGGGTGACAAGGATCTGATGTCTCCGGATGACGTCACTGTTGGCTTCCTGGTCTCGTCTGTCTCATCTGACAGCTCTGCCAAGGCCAGATCTCTAGATCTTGACCACAGTCCTCCGCCGGATGCTAATGGAAACTGCTATACTTACACCGTCCAGCCCTACGATGGCTGCTAGGCGATTGGGAACTCGTTCCGCATTACTGAGTCGGATGTTGAGAAGTACAACAAGAAAAATTGGGGCTGGGCCGGGTGTAGCCACATGCAGTTCGGACAAGCCATCTGTCTTAGTGATGGTGACCCCCCGTTTCCCCCAGAGATCGAAGGAGCCACCTGTGGACCCCAATTTCTCGACATAGTCAAACCCACCAGTAGCACTGACTGGGCCAGCTTGAATTCGTGTCCCCTGAACGCCTGTTGTGACGTATGGGGCTTCTGTGGCATCACCGAAGAGTTCTGTACGGCGACCCCAGCGGACACTGGGGCGCCTGGGACAGCACAACCCTATACAAATGGGTGTATATCCAACTGCGGAATTGAAATTGTCAACAATGAGATTCTGGGTCACCCATCTCAATGACGAGCTGGCTGAAGTGATAGTTGGCAACACTGGCAAATGGCTAGAAGATGTGCTCACAGAAATGAACCGATTCACGAAGGAGAACCCTGGTGAGATTATCTTTTTCCGAATGAATTATCTGATTGACCTTCGCAAAGTCCCCAGCTTAGGCCCAATCTACTGGACGCAAGACATTGTCGACGACTTTTTCACACACCTCAAGACCCTCAACAACTGGTGTGGAGATCTGGAAAAGGGCTTCCACAACCAGAAGGCGTCCTATTTCATGGACCGGAATGACGGTGCCGGCTGTGTGATCTTTGTTCTGGATGTACATCTCAATGACGTGAAGACATCCACTGCCCCCACTGATGGCATATACCCTGCCTCGCAAATGAACTTCTAGGACAACTGGTCCGAGAAAGAAGTTACAGAAGACTTGGCAGTGGACCAGGTAGCAGACTGGAACACGAATGACCGGAGCCCAACTTCCAACAACGAGTTGTTTTACATCTCCCAGTGGCAGGTGACGCCGCAATTCACGATTTCCGATCTGTATGGACTGGAGGCCCTTGCTGTGATCCCCACCAATGCGACCATTCATTGGAAGGGCGTCAACAACATGCACCCTGAGAACTGGCCGAATGTTCTGATGGTCGATTATATTGGCGTTCTCGTTCCGAATGGGCATGAGTGGAACATCTTGGCGCTGATTTGGCCACCTTAGCTATTGGTCTGAATCTGTAAATGGTCAGTGAGAACTGCGATATTAGCAAAGGCAGATCACCACTTTTGCCGTCGGCGTCCTCGAGAATGGCTCCGCTGTCCGCGTCGGTCCCGTGGAAAGGTATCATCTTTGCCAATGGCACCAAGATCGATTACCCACCGACGGGTTTGTACGTTGGACGGGTTGAGCTATTAAAGAACGGGACGGTCTTTGGTAATGGTACGGTGTTGACGAGTGACGTGCCTAATCCGGATTTTAATTCGACTTCCTGAGCGGATACATATGGAAGGGACTCGATGGATGTTTGTATTCCACCCACTCCCTAAGGGTAGAATAGCTTAAATCAGACGCGCAACCCAACTTCAAACCTACTTTTTTGTATTAGAATCAGAACAGTAGACTAGAGTGGTCAAAGGAGTGCTCGAGAGAGTGGTCGAAAGAGTGGTGAAAAGAATAGAAGAATTGCTGGTAGAAAGAGAATATTGCTTCAGCACCTTATTCTATTAGTAAGATAACTCAAATTCAAGCTTCCTTAATTGCCAAGGAAAAGCGGGGGGACAGCAGCGAGGTGATAATATGATGTGGAGGTGACTTGACAATTCTCTATTCCTATTGGCTCGGATTTTTGTATACCTGTGAGAACATAGACCAACCGAGACCGGATTCATATTCATACCGTGTATATGATTCAACTTGTATCCATTCACGAACATTCACAAAGCATCAGTCATTCCATAAAACCAGACCAGTCATAAATCCTTAGATTTCCCACGCCACCAGTCCAAACACAACACCAATGATGGCCATGAGACTCGGTTCTCGATCATAAAAGCCTGTACTTTTACTGACGCCACAACTTTCACAATAATATCCAGTATCACTGTAGTAATAGGCCTCAGTCTGTGGCAGACGATCCATCTTCTGCAAATTGATGAAAGTCGTACAATCGAGATGTGATCTATTCGTAGGTCTGAGGCTGAAATAACTCAAAGTAGAAGGAGTATGTATAGCATTCATCGAGCCATTCTGTTGGGCTACAAATTTGTCACTGTGCACAAGTAAGTAATAGTCTCATTTTTATTCCCAAGCGGATGTCCAATGTGAAACACAGCGTGGACCGAACGTACAAAATGAATTGGCAACGATGGCGCCGTTGATGCCGATTGACGAGACAATGGTAGGCCAGTACCAAGTCTGAATCCGAATTCCTTACTCTTCAAGCCCGTACATGGAAGAAATATTGAGCACTGGAGTATCGTAGACAGTGAGTGCAAAGCAGCCCGTCCAATTGACAGTCTTGAGAGGAAGGCGAAGCGTCACAAGATCTGAGTACGATACTTCTTGGCCCACCAGCTCTTCGAGATTATCGAATAGAAGGTATATCTGCGAAATTCCATCTCTAGGCTCATAGGTAACACTCTTCGCCATGAGCTTTTCCAAACATGAGCTGCGCTGCAGTCCTGTCAAGCCGGATAACTCGACAGATCTTAGTGACATCTCCGTGGTGGACGTGCCACCCAGAATCACAGTCATGTTTCAGTACACGTCCAGATGATCTGCTGATTGTAGTCCAATGGTCCCGTTCTTCATGTTAGGCAGCGAATCCATAGCTGCTCCACCTGATAGGTTCAGAGAATTGTTAAACACACTGTCAACCGAGTCAAGGAGATTGACATAAATCCATAGCGTGGCGGCATTACTCAGTCTTGTAAGGCGCAAGGTGGTAAGGCTTTTACCGGCGATATTGAGGGCTTGAACATACTCCAACTGGTGATGTCCAGATAAGTCAAATTGGTAGCGAAAATCCCCATGGAAAAATCACTATACAAGAAGTTCATTTATATTATTTCATACCAAAATACCAAAAATACCAGGATTATATTTTAATTAGTTAATAAAATTATGAACACTAAGACCTTGATTTTATACAAAGTTAGGTTTTCTTCTGGGTCGAGAACTTCGACCCAAGTTAGGTTACACGGAAGTCTAGCCATAGCTCAGAAGTCCGGCTATCAAAGCAAGTGAGAGCCGACGACCAATTGCAATATTTTGTCGTAGAATCACGAAGGTCTGCAATCTTAGCCGGCCCGACAGTACTGTCTATGTAGGAATAACTTCTTGATCTCGCTGATTCCGCCCTCATTTGTCGAAATGTTCTATGCTTGTAACTTCATGCGCTCTTCGAAAGAAACAAAAGAAACCCAAGAAATACAAGTAATTTGTTAGAACCAGAGGACACTATAGTGAAAACATGGTTGTATCGGTTATAGATTACGCAATGGAATAGCAGGCAAGGCGTTACTTTTCCTTGCCCGCCACCACCGTCGTCTCATCCCTCAACGACGTCGCGACCCACCGAAACTCCGTCAGACCATCGTCCCCATGCAGCCCTTAAACTCGCTACGAAGGCATCTAGCCGAGGGGCTCTTGTGCTCTGAGATACGCAGGTTTGTCAATGCGAACCGAAGAGACCATGTCATTTCACGCCCGTCCCTAGCCCCGAGTTCCAGTGATTGAGGCGTCGGCACTAGTTTACAAACGGTGAACGGGGTAAGCCGAGACCGTGCGCATTTCCACCAACCACAGCGCGAGCAGGAGAGGGGCTGGTTGCTTCCTTTGTTGCGAGTTGGATCATTTCTAGCAATTTCTTTAGATACTAGATCTTCTGCAGGTTTGGTGTATGTAGAAGTCGATCTAATTATTTGACACTCGCGATCTTGCCGTAAGACACTACACCGGTTTTTCATGTCACTGAACCAATCACTTTAGCCCTAGACCTTTAGTTCCACGCGACTTTCAACAAGTACTACTGTCAAAGCGCTAAGCACGCCGGTGAAACTCAAACGCAAGGCACGGTAGCCAACTAAGCACTAACTAAACTCATCCGTGGCCCCCGCAACCCCAGAAATGGAGATTTCCCTGTGGAGGAAAACCCATCCGAAATCGTGGCCAGCCCATAGGTGTGCTGCTTTGAACGCTTCGAACGCCACCAATCAGTTTTTTCTGGTAAGTCACCAGATTGCCAACTCATTCGCGCGCCAGGAGCTAGCCTTGTCTAGCCCAAGCCCAGCTCGCAGTCCAATAGGGTACTTTGTGAAGGAACCCCAGGTTTAAATAAGTGTTGGCAGGGGCCTTGGTTGGCCTCAATTAATTAGGTCACATTCCCGAGATCGCGGGCTCATGGCTCTTTTAAATGCGAATTGGACGCTGGTTACTGCGTTCCAATTAACCCGCGTATCACGAGTACACCATTCGAGAATATAGATCTAGGAAGAGTCTTGGCATCAGTTCGTTTGTCGTGTATGCCATGCATTAGGGGAGTGTCCATCGCGACATAAGTACGAAAACTCAGTAATCAAGGATCAGCAATTATTGCAAATGGCTCGGTGTCATCTAATCCGCTGGGTGTGTGGCGCTCGGCCAGTTCTACCCCGGACGTTTCATGCCCTATACTGCGCATGACCCCAGGCGGATATATCTCCTCCAATGGAAAAGTGGGACAGTACGAAAGGTATTAAAGGCGACAGCCTTCCCCATCACTTGTCGTTTTAGTTTCTGTTTCCTTGTCATCTTCTTCCACCTACAAGTTATTCATCTAGACAAGCAACGTCCAACATGAGTGACCCTGTCGATGCGGAACCACATGGTGACGACACACAGGTTGAGGTTGAGGCCAAGGCGGCCGTGTCCCAAGTGGACCATGCCTACGACCTGGACGTAAAAGCGGAAGTCGCCGATTATAAGGCGGATGCAATCGCGGCAGAGGACGCGGAGCACAACATGACGGTGCTGGAGGCCGTTCGCGCGTACCCGATGGCTTCATTTTGGGCGTTTGTCATATCCTTCACCATTGTAAGCTGCATTCCCCCCCTTTCCCCTTGACCTGTTCTCCGACAAGAAGTCGCTGCTAACACCATTTCCAGATTATGGAATCCTACGATGTCTTCCTCATCAACAGTTTCGTCGCCCTTAAATCATTCAAGGCCCAGTACGGTGTATTATCCAACGTACTAGTGAATGGCAAAATGACGCAGGAATATGTCATCGTGACCAAGTGGCAGTCTGCGCTTCAAGTGTCTGGGCAGCTCGGTGCGCTTATCGGAGTCTTCCTCGCTGGCCCCCTCACCAGCCGTATCGGATACCGTTACGCGTTTATAACCGGCCTCATGCTCCTGAATGTCTTCATCTTTTCGTTTTACTTTGCCGAGTCGATGCCAGTTATTTTCGTGGCTCAGCTTCTCGAGGGCATACCATGGGGCATCTTTATTGCCAATGCTCCCGCCTACTGCTCCGAGATCGTACCGATAAAGCTGCGAGCCCCTGCTACCCAGATGCTGCAGATGTTCTGGGCAATTGGCAGTATCATCGTTGGTGCCGTCTGCTACGTTTACGAAAATGTCGACGGTCCACACGGCTATAAGTACGTACTCGTCCACATTATATCAAGTTCCGCTGACTAAAATGAACTAGGATTCCCATTGCGCTTCAATGGATATTCCCCACCCCGCTCGCTATCCTCATATTTTGTGCACCCGAGTCGCCCTGGTGGCTGGTACGAAAGGGACGTCTCGAAGCCGCAGCAAAATCGGTCGAGCGCCTTGGGCGTAGGTCAAGGCTGAATTCTAGTGAGACCGTCGCCATGATGCGCCGTGTCGTTGAGATGGAGAAGACCGAAAAGGAGCCCAGCATCGTGGAACTCTTCAAAGGCACTGACCTCTACCGCACCCTCATTGTGTGCGGTGTGTATGCGGCACAGAATCTTACGGGTAACCTTATCGCTAATCAGGCTGTCTACTTCTTCCAGCGTGAGTTGTCATTTCTGCTATTTTAGGTGGAACGTATTTGCTGATCTAAACGCAGAGGCCGGCGTATCGGACAAACTTGCGTTCGCCCTAGGTCTCATCACCTCGGCTCTGCAGATGATTTTCGTCATGCTTTCTTGGATCCTCACCACGTACTTTGGCCGACGTGATATCTACCTCTGGGGCTCGTTAGTCAACACCGTCCTGCTGGTCGCGCTCGGCGTTGCCGGCTCTGTTGGCACTTCAGCCGCATCTAATTATGCGACTGCGTCCTTGGGCCTCATTATCTCCGTGCTGTTCACCTTGGGACCTGCGCCTGCCTCGTGGGTCATTATTGGAGAAACATCGGCCATCCGCCTCAGGCCTCTAACTACTGGAATGGGACGCGCTTCGTACTACATAGTTGAGATTCCTTGCATCTTCCTGGGAAGCTATATGCTCAACCCGACGGTAGGATTCTTCTCCCTCCGCGTCTTGCGGTGATAATTGCTGACATGGGTGCAGGGCGGACATCTTGCCGGCAAGTGCGGCTACGTCTGGGGTGCCACCGGCTTAGTTTGCTTGGTCACTGCATATTTCTTCTTGCCTGAGATGAAGGGTCGATCTTACCGCGAGATTGACATCTTGTTCAACCGTCATGTCCCGGCTCGCAAGTGGAAGGAAACGGAAGTCGATGTACAAGACGACGAGTAAATGGAGATTTGCTTAAGTTGGCAGTGACAGGATAGAACCAGGAGCGGCACATCGGCGGGCGACTATTCATATCTTTACGTAGGAGTGACTACATTACGGAGGCAACAGGAGTAAGAAGAACAAACATTGTCCCATGCAAAAGATAATGACGGATCATTTTTCAATTGTCTTGTAGTGGCAGTCTTAATCAAGAGCAAATGCTCTCCACGGCATAGTAGAGATGCTATAAATTAAATGGGGTTCGTGTAGAAGGTACCGGTGAGCACATAGGGGCTAGACGAGATATTGAAGCCAAGTACTACTAGACCTCGGCTAGGACCGGACTATGCGGTCTTTGGTCTTTTTTCAAAGTAGTCATGACCGCACCACGGTCCCCCGTGCGTACGCCTCGCCATAGCACCGCGCGGAACCGGAACCGCACCGCACCGCATTTTCGCGGTTCGGACCAGCAGTTCTACAAACAAGACAAACAGAAAATGTATATACAAATATTTAGGTAATATAGGTAGTCTATTTAAATTCTAAAGTAGTAGGAGGGTTTATAATAGTATAATCCTTATATATCCCTTTAAAAACATGTAAAATAGCCACTTTATAATGATACCTAATCATAATTTTTTTAAATCCATTTAAGAAGGGGAATCCTTGGCATATAGTGCGGTGCGGTGCGACAGTTTTGGACCCGCGAAAATATGCGGTGCGATGCGCGGTTCTGGATATTGGAACAGGAACTGCACCATGCCGAGGCCTACTGCAGAGTCAACCCATATCATAAGACTTAAACCACAGATATCCTGTAAGCTATTCCATATGATTATTGGGCTTCTGGTATGACGCTTATCTCCAATCCAGCCCTGGATGTACATGACCCCAGCAAAGAAGAAGGGCGGTGTGCTCATCACTTGCGACAAGCCAACGTCAAACCCCATCTTACTATTCAAAATGATTGACAGCAACAATGTGATCAAGTAAGACATAACAATATTGGCTCTGCAAATAAGTTAATTGTGTCTTTAAATTGCCCTAGACGTTCGGCTTACAAGAAGATAAGGCCAAACCCCCAAATCTTTAGGTCCAGGGCAGATGTCCAGAACGCGCTCAAAGTGAGTAGCTCTTCTTCTGTATTTTTTCGATCCTGATCCAACATATCCATGACATGCGTGAGCTCTTAGAAGCTATTAGACGCTGAGGAAACTTCGGGATTGATGCGCGTTCTGGGGGAAATCGGCAATCAAAGTTGCTCCAACGAGCCCAACCAGACGAGTCGGTACTCCTTCCCAGATGAAAATATACCTCCACCCTGATAGTCCACCAACACCACCCATCTGCATGAAGCCGTAGGCGAGGACACCGGAAACCGGGGACCTTTAATGCTGATAGAATAAAATGCAGCGTATCGCTTATGTACATCGTCTAAATCCGTTAGCCCGTGAAGTTGAACAAAAGAGTATATGGCATACAACGACAATACCAGACATGCAGCAGAAAAATTCCCCATGGAAGTAGCCCTGCCTCAAAATTTCCAACAATGACACGAATGCCAACGAGTTGGAGCCAGGTGTGCGCGATTCCGAAGCATAACATAAGAATTCCCCAAGCAACAGCGGTTGTGGGAAGAAAAAGCCAGGGTCCCATCTTCCGTACAACTATCGCGCTCGGCCATTGGAAAAACACATATGGCACAAAAAATATAATAATACTCTGTGACTACACTTCGTCAGTTTTATTGCCCTCATCTCAATTGGCAAGTGTCCACATACATAGCAAAATCCCGATTCTAATTCCAGTTCCTCGGCCATCCCTGCAATGTTAGCGGAGCCAAGATTGGTCCAATCAATTACAGACACTGCAAACATGAGTCCAAGAGCAGTGATTAAACGCCTGTCAATCTTGTGGAGGATTGTTTCTCTCAGACGACAGTAAATCGTCTGCAGTTGGCCCTTGCGGATGCTTATCCTTTGTTTCGAGATGTTTCATCATAATCTTCTCGGAGTTTTGAAAATCTGAAATCATTTTCGACACAAGGTAGTTTTAAATGAACTAAGAAGTGTTTCATTATAATTAAAAGAGCAGGGAGCCTTCAACTCTTCAAACCCATTTAGATATGAATCTCGGCAAGCTCGGTAGATCAATTTCGTCTCATCTGTTTAGTGTATGGAGTCGCCGAGATCACGACCCATGCCGAGAGTATAATTTGCTATTCGGCACCACAGCTTTAGTGCTGGAAATAAATACCGGAGGTAAGATACCCCGCAACAATAACAACAACTAAGGTCAATATGATGAACTGAGTACGCCTAGCAGCATTGAACGACAAAGACGCCCTATAAGATAGCAAATAAAGACCGAATTAGCGACACTTCACCTCTTGGCAATACTACAGACTTTGCGAGTGCGGACCGCGGATTCCGGGTGTCACGAAAGCAATGTCCGATTAAAAAATGACTCGGGAAAGATAGTCTGGGGCAATAACGAGTACAAATTTGTCAACGAGCAGCCGTGCCCAGTAAATGTTAACCCCGAGCTATGGCGCCAGGCTCAACTGCTATCAAAAGATAGACTTTAACTATTGACGATATTCGAATTATTTTTTAAATGGTACTGGATACTGAGACACTAGCTAAAGTGAATATGTATTTCCCCGATAAGAATGCTCTTCTAATCCCAGAATGTGCAGTTCACTATACACACAATATTACTACTCTTCAAGGTGCTTTAGTTGGAGATACGAGGGCATAGAGTAAGTACATAGATGAAACTCTGATCTTATACAATAGGAATAACAGAACGTATGTTTTGTTCGGGAGTTATAGTTAGTCAATATAGGGAGAAGAGGAGGTAGAGGCCATGCTAGAAGATCAAAGGGACCTGTAAGCATATCTCTATAACCAAACAGCGAGGCGGATAAATAATGGCTAGAATGGCACCGAGATTGTAGAGGCAATAATTTTACCTACCCATCTAAGGCGGGTATAGTATACGTAAGGATTCCACGGGAGTATAAGCCATAACCTAAAAGGCATATATTAACGTTATATAATATGGTTTGATAGATATACAGAAAACATCTGGAAGTGGCCACCACATAAACCGAGTTGCAGGTAAATTAAATGTATTGGAGGTATAAATAAAGTTTTGGTTAAGGCTAAGTTCTTTATCGACGAAAATGATCTACGATTCGCCGCTACTTTACTAGGTCACCTTATCGCAGCAGGAGATCAAGCCAGGGGTACGCCGGCCTCGCGAGGTGAAGGAAACACAATGCTAGCGGATGTTTTTAAGCGTCTTGGATTTAGGAGTGAAAATGCAACATAGAGAAACTTTTATTTAGGTCGAGCATTGGATCTAAGGAGACCGACCTCAAATAGATATCCGTCAAGACTGGCGAAGTTTCCAGTGACTTTGTCAATAGAACAATGGTTTAGTGGGTTGGCCCTTAGAATTGATAGAGAGGAAGCTGGAAAAGATAAAAAGCGCATATGTATTGACATTAGCGTAACGGATATACAGGAAACGTGGAGGTTGATCCTCAGCAACGGCGCCTTGACTTACAGACAACAATATAACAGTACAATAGGTGTGGAATCCTAGCCAGATCTATCTCTATCTCTAAATAAGCATAAACTACAACAGATCCTGACTGGCAGGGACACACAAGAAGCCTCAGTGCTAGGGAGCGATGTTTATCCTTTATTCAAGAGATAAAAGCAACGCTGATGTTCTTGCACTTGCTTGCCACGCATTCGCCCTCCTCTCCCTGAGCTGCAATATCCGCCATGGCTACCTCTTTCGTCCTCGGATTTGCCGCCGCGGCATTCGTGCTGCATATTATCCGTTTTCTTTACGTCTCGTGGCAGCAGTTGCACAAGGCCAAGAGCTTGGGTTGTGGGGCCGTGCCGCTGTACCCATGTAAGGACCCGCTGGGAATCGGCAACCTCAGGGAGTCGCTCGCCGCAGACTGCGAGAACACCCTCCCCGAGCTGGCTATGGACCGTGTGACGGTCATTAGCGAAAATCAGAGCCGTTACGTCACAACCTTCATCCTACGCAATCTTGGCCGCAACAATGATTTCACTATCGATCCGCAGAATTTTCAGGCACTGCTGGCGAAATAGTTCAAAGATTTCGAGCTTGGGGCAGCTCGACGCATTAGCCTACACCCGCTGCTGGGCACAGGAATAGTGGGTTCTTGCTACCCTAAAGCTGAATCGACATGTATTTGACAAGGCAAATAGTTCACGGCCGACGGAGAGGAATGGTCGCGGTCCCGCTCGTTGCTGCGCCCCCAATTTACCCGCCAGCAGATCAGCCAGCTAGATCTAGAGCAAGACCATGTTCAGAAGGCGATGAAGGCAATGCCTGTCGCGGCGAATGGGTGGACCGCCAGCACAGATATCTAGACGATCTTCTTCCGACTAACCATCGACTCCGCTACTGAGTTTCTGTTTGGCGAAAGTCTGGAAAGCCAGATGGGTGCATTGCACGGCCTCAGCCGGCCCGAGGATAGGTTCGCTTCGTGTTTTGACTACTCTCATTGGGTTGCGGCCCAGCGGACCCGATTCTAGAAGCTCTCCTGTATTGTCGACAATAAGAAAACCCGCCATTCGGAGAAGCAGGTGCATGAGTTTCTGGACAAATTTGTTAATAATACGCTGGCTGCCGTAACAACTGGCAAGAAGTCCTCCGTGGACTAGGAGAAGCCCGCGGGCTATGTCTTCCTAGATGCACTTGTCTCCATGACATATGACCCGATCGAGATTCGCTCGCAACTTCTGAGCATTCTCCTGGCTGGCCGTGATACAACCGCTTCCCTACTCAGCTGGACCATCCTGCTGTTGGCGCGCTACCCTGACGTCTTCCGCAAACTACGCGAAACGATCGTCTCCGAGTTTGGCACCTACTCTGCGCCCCAGAATATCACCTTCGCCACCCTCAGATTCTGCCAGTACCTGCAGTATTGTATGAACGAAACCTTGCGTATCTATCGGGTTGTCCCCTTTAACTGGCGCTCTGCCACCCGCGACACCTCTATCTCGCGCGGCAGTGGTTCCGACGGTCTTTCCCCTATCGTCATCCGAAAGGGAGAACACATCATGTACGGCACGCACGTCATGCACCGCTGTAAGGAGCTCTGGGGCCCCGATGCCGATGAGTTCAAGCCCGGGCGCTGGGCCAACCGCAATATCGGCTGGGAGTATATCCCCTTCAACGGCGGGTCTCGCATCTGTATTGGTCAGCAGTTCGCACCTGCGGAGACTGGCTACGTCCTTGTGCGTCTGTTGCAGCGCTTCGATCAGATCGAGGATGTCAATCTAGACTGGGAGATACGCTGCGGGTTGACGCGAATCAGCTCCCTGGCGGAGGTAGTGACGGTACGTCTGCATGAGGCAACGGATGCTTCGGTAGGGAAATAAAATGAAGACAAAGACTAGCCTTGTTTTTTGCTCTGTTTCAATGAGATTGTATTGGAAGTTGAGATTTCCGCTCTTGAGTTAACAGTATAGCGGTGGAGACGAGACGAGACTTACAATATACATCTATGGAAATAGGAATGGCTCGATGGCCGTCTGACAATGCAGACTAGGCAACACCACCCAAGAGAACACACACAACCACTCCCAGCCTGCGGTAAAGGTCATGCTCAGTGAGGCCGTGTGGACTGTACCTAATTCTACATCATAAATCAAAGCAATATAGTGACAACTGGAATGAATTGGGTAGATGACTGATCTATCTCTATCCCCATGTAGAAGCTATTCCTTACGCCCAACGTATTCGTGACAACTCAGGCCACAACTACGTTCTTTATGTCACGCGTTCCACCACTACAATATATAATTTAAGTAAGTCTTAATAATGTACTTAAAAAAGATAAAAGTAAAACTAAAGAATAAGATGGTAGAACTAGAGTAGAACGAGGAACTCTAACGGTGGGCCAGAAAAGAGTAATCAGGGCTGTATTGGTCAAGGTGATTTTGAGCACGGCTGTATAGAGGAACTGACAAGTACATGTCATTGAGCTATCGTAGCATGAGTATGACAGTATTGCCATTTTTGATGACAGGTGTAGATTATGCTGTAGAAAAGATTGGTCTCGTCGTCTTTTTTGGGGTGAAATTGAAAGATGGGCTAGGTTTACGCCATGCCTTCTATCGCGTTTGATTGAGGTTACATAGACCGCTTGTGGTGACTAGGCTTCAAATCTTGCTAAATCGGTGACATCAAACTCGCCAGCGAGTCCACTTTTTGGACTCGGTCGGCAGAATCTTTCTGTCGTAACCTAGCAAGCCAAAGAAATACTTTGGCCTGGGATGCACGGCTGTCCTGTAATGTCCCACCTGTGTTGTTTACAGATGAAAACTCGCTGCCAGAAAAGTGTTCCCTGCCACAATGAAGAAGTAAGAATAATTTGGCAAGCCGCCAGAAGGGCAGTGGATCAAGCGAGAAGGAAATATTCTCAGACTCTATGTCGTGCCAGGTCCGTTGCTCCCAGATGGTGAGCCATTTGTCAAGCACATCATTGATGCTAGTAAAAGTGCTAGATCCTCTGCGTCGGACGGCCTGCGCCGTCAATTTAATGATATTAGCCCCTGAAAAGTCGCTTGCAAGTTGTTGATCCAGATTAATCAAAACCGGAGGTGAGCTGAAATTGCAGTGACCGATATCCAATTGCCGGTCCAGGTCATGGTGGTTTGCCTGCCACACCAGGCAATGCAGAGCCTTTAACAGTGTGAACATCCCAAAAGCGGACACTTCAAGAGGTGATTGTTCCTGAGACGAAAGAGAAAGTATCCGTAGTTGAGAAAGAGTGGACGAGAGCTTGCGCTGCGGAGGCATAGATTGCAAATGCTGCAGGCATGCCTGAGGAGATCTAGCGTTCCAGCAGATCTCGTAACTTGGAAGCTCGATGTGTAAATCAAGAGGTGCGAAGGCCGGTGCTTTGCCCATGAAAATGCAGCTGGCCATATCTTGGCAAAACAAGGTATTAGCAATTCTGTCAGGTGACAATGTTAGCATATATATTCCATCCGCGATCTGTCTTGAGCGAACCTCGTCCGAGTCTCGCGTTCGACCCACAAATGCCAGTCGAATGTCTGCTCGGTCAGCGTTCTGTGATCTACGGTGGGACTCATATCGAGAATTCCGGCTCTTCTGGCCATCTGCCAGTTTTTAAAATTAGTTAGGAGGCATGTGAGTGAGAGATCGAGTGACATGGACAATGTACTTACTGAGACGATTCGCGCGCAGTATAATGGTATAACTCTGTGGGCAGTCTCGTCTTGGGAGCTTCCAAGGACCGCAAAAGCGGCAATACCTGCTTGGATTGATGAGAGAGTAGGCTCGGTCATATCAATTTCGTGCTGAATACCGTAAGTCATTTTGCACAGCATTAACTTGAGTGAAAAAAAGCTGTTGCATCTCCAACTTACCTGCTGCCTCTCAATATGAACCAATACTTGTATGGCCATTGAGAATATGTGATTGGCGGGGCGAATGATGTCAGTATAGCAGACACCAACGATGAACATCGCCAACACGAGAAGCGGGGATGCTGTCGCCAAGTCAAAAGTGGGGACATGGAGAAACGGGATATGCCGTTGAAAGTTCTGGCTGAAAAGTTGTAGAGCAAGTAGTAAATTGTTTCGATTGATTGAACTCGTCAAGACCCCCTCGGGTACCACCGGCCCTGGTTCTTGTAGTAAGGCCTTGATTGCTGCGCATTTTGCGAACAGCGGGTCCAGCTGTTCTAAGGACAGAGAAGTAAGGGTTGGCTGACTGAGTCGTTGGGCGGCGGCTTCAATGCCCGGGGAATTGACTAGAATACAGATCAATGAATGTACTCATACAGCTAGGCTAATATGCGCCTTACAATTCTCCAACATGAAGTCCGGTGCACCCTCAAGACCAAAGGGAGGCAAAAGTGGTAAAGTGGACATGTTGAAGCTCCACGGATAGTCAGTGACTGAATCAAGCTCCTGATCAAAATGCACATGATTCATATTGAGTTCAGAAGCACCCTCAACACAATTAACCCAGTCTACTGGCGAGTTGCCGTGCGCCCTCGCTGCTGGTATATCGCTGCACCCGGTGGCCTGCTGTGCCGCAGGATAGGAGGTATTCGGAGGGTGTGGAGAAAAGTTACTTTCATCACAATCAGAGACTTGTGATACGTTCAAATCGGCCAGGTGCGGGGACCCACGCCGGTGATTCAAGCCGCGATTGTAAGAGCAGGTCATGCTTTGCGAGACGCAGCGGCGGCAAGGGACGCCAGAGTCGCACTTGGACTTCAAACGTGCACATCGATCACATGCCCATCTCGGCCGCAGATCCGAGACGGGCCTCTCTGTCGTTGAATTATTAGATTTCCTCTCACCGAATCTACAACCCCGTAGGTGACGCGAGAAAGCATCACTAAGACACCCATGTTAGCTTTTTCATCGTCACCGCCTGTGGCAGTTGTGGAGACAAACATCCTCGCGAATGATCTTCCGCACAAGCATCGATGGGGTCGTGTTCCAGTATCTGTACTCTTATCAATATGAGCGCAACGAGGCAAAACAAGGGGATGTTCTCACGTGACACGGCGTGCCGCTCCAAATGCTCTGCACGGGTGAAGGTGCGGTGACATTCGGTACATTGAAAAGGCTTCATCGGTAACAATGTGAAAAGAGGGAAAATTAGAGAGGAAATTTTGGAGCATTTGTCGCCGAGCTCGGGTCCCAAGGCTGCAACCCCGCAACCCCACAACCCCGCAACCACGTAATCCCGGGACCGGCGCCACTAACAGATACGCAAAACGTTAGACCAGTCTTGACATACTAAGCCTTGCGGTTGAGGCATTATTAGTCGATGAAGCTACTGGACTACTGAAAAGGGCAATTATTAAAAGTTCTATCTACCGATCTGTTCTACTAAATAGGGAGAGAGAACGAAAAGTTTGGCCCCGTCGATAGTAAAATTCCATAAAGAATGCGAATTCTACGTTTAGTGATATAATTCGCTGTACTTACATGATAACAAGTGATGGTTATAAGGAAACAGCATCGAAATCATTAAGGTGGCTGTGACTAGTATAATAGTTCTAATGAGCTGTCTACGCGTAAGATTCATCAGTTCCGTGGGCCCCCACGGGCTTCCCGGAGCTATCTCCACTTTCGGTTCTTCCCGCAAGCCGATAGCTGAATATGATCTCGGCTGAAAAAGCTAATCTCCAGGATGGGAGTTATTATATCGATAACCAAGTTCAAACGGATAGAGGTTCTCTTCAGTGGTATGCAGATCTGTCCTTGAGCGTATGGAGACCGTTACCTCGGAGCTTACCGAAGAGGCGTTGTTTCCCAAGTATTACCATACGCTCCTCGGGGATATTGTGGGAAGCACTTCTAATGGAAAGCGCATCGCGGGATTCGTTTATTCAAGAATGAGTGCACCAAATAGCTTTCTAAATGATGTGGCTACAAATGAATACTGGAAATAGATATCATCCCGAAATACCCACTAAGCAGTAGCGAAATTTTGTATTCAAATTACAGTGCTTCTGTCATTCGGCATCCAGAGTGGGCTAATTATTGGTGCCGATATAGAAGGACAAGAACGGCAAATTAATTTCACTTTAAATTGCACCAAGTCTTCCCAAAGCCAATATTTCGGCTCAAGCAATAGAGGCTTGCTTAGTGGAGCAATATTTCTAAGTATAAAAAGCACTGGTGCTATGCAAGTATTAAAAATGTGTATGCGCCCAATCAGTGTACTTTCTTCTACGACTTTGTATCAGAACGTTATGTTCTTCAAGAAACATCAGCTATAGTGGTACCCTTGAATAAACAATGACGTTGTCGACTTGCAAAGCTCAAGCTTGAGATAGACTACAGTTCTCTAATACCTCGTCGATGAATTCAAGAGCCCTCTCATACGCCTCGAGTGAGCCTTTCCAAGGTTTTGGAGGACCTGCAGAGCCAGACTCGAGGAGTCCGTGAGGCCCGTCCTTCACAAGTAGTAGCTCTGTCTGAACCCCAAGTCCTTTTAGTTGATTGAAGTGATTCATACTTTCCTGTGGGAGAACAACATCGTCGGCAGTACCGTGAACAAAAACAGAAGGAGGGTAATCTTCGGTCACGAAGATCTGTAAAAATGCCGGCTTTGTATCCTCCGAAAGTGCCATAGCTCGTTTGGAGTCCTCAGACCCGTTGAGCAGAGCACTCAGGCCAGGTCGGCCCAGGCAGCCTTCAAGAAACTCCCCATCTAGCTCCCATTTAACAGCAAGCGCAAAACGGCTAGTAAACCAATTTCCCTGTGCAGTGTCATCGCTAATAACCCTCTTGTCCGCCAGAATTTCGGAGACTTGAGTGAGATCCACCGATGTGGCAATAGACGTCGGCGGCCGACGTGTCGTCAAGTACTTGAGAAGCCAGTCACCACAAGTACCAAAAACCGTCAAGAGAGCGGCTGGCTTAGGTTCAGCATAGACACATGCTGCGCGAGCAGAGAAAGCGCCTGCCGAAAACCCCGCCACGGCAATACGAGCCGTGTCGATTGAGATTGATTGAGGCGTTCCCTTTGCAAAGTCATCACTGGCAATGAACGTGAACAAAGCCTTTGTGTCTTCAATCTGGTCGAAAGCAGTGCTTGGATGGCAAAGCCTATAATCCGCCGCGATGAATATGTAGCCCTTCCTCTGGCAGTGGTCTACAAGTCTTTGAGTTAAAATTGACTTCTCGAGAGGAACGATTGACAACTAACCATACAACCAGCGCGGGAATTGAAAGTCTCGTCGGGATCCAGCAGTCATTCCACCGCCATGATAGTATATCACAGCGGGTAGGGTACCCTTTGCACTGGGAGGCAAGTAGTAATCAAGCTGAATATTATGGCCGTCGACGACGCTGTAGACTAGCGTCTGGCCGCCCTCTGGAATAAATGAAGGCATGTTGAAATTGTAGAGTGAACACGTTATACGTTCTCAATCGTTCAGGTGGCTCACGGATGTAAGGGAGAACCGTTTTGCTAGCACTGCGGTGAAAAGACCAAGGGCGCCTTTATCATCCATCGGTGCTACTCTCACCCTCCTGCTCCTCTCGCCCTCCAGAGTCGGTCGTGGCGTTTCTATTCCGGAACCTATGGCCCGGACCTGTCCAGTTTGTTACGTGGTGTGGATACTGAATTGGTCTTTATTTGAACAGCGGCCGTGGGGGCCGCGACTTTGCATCTAGACCCAAATCCCCGCCGGACATACTATGCCGTGGGGCACCACGGAGTGCTCGTGCACCGAACTGCAAGACAGCGTGCGGTCAATAAATATCAATACGATATGATAACGGAATGAGGTAGTTGGTACGACAGCTGGGATCTCTTACCCGCCGCGCCTTATGGTCTCTCTGCGCAACATGGCTGAAATCCCAGTAAGACAGAAAGCAGTAATGATCCAGGACCCTGGTCCAAATGGACACATCATTTTCAAGAATTGCGTCCCGGTGGAACGACCTGGCGAAAATGAAGTTCTCGTAAAATTGGAGTGCTCCGGAATCTGGTATGATTGCACCTTCCTTTTAAGCGGTATCATAGTAACAGCCAGAAGCCATTCCGACCTCCGTGGCCTCATGGGCTGGGGCACAACTTCGCCCATCCCGGGTCATGAAGGTGTAGGTTGGGTTATCGCGCTTGGTCCGTCCGCACCTTCAACCCTTCTGGGTCAACGTGTCGGAATCAGGTGGCTACATAGCGCATGTGGCGTCTGCTCCGTGTGTTCCTCAATACCAGCGTTCCCAAACAACTGCCCGCAACAGCGTAATACGGGCCGAAATGTTCCTGGAACTCTGGAGCAGTATATGGTTGCACACGCGTTCTATTTGTCGCACATCCCTGACGGCCTGCCCAGCGAGGTCGCAGCTCCACTGTTGTGCGCAGGGCTCAGTATGGCTGGGGCCATCTCGCGGCTCGAGCCAGAACTTGAAAGGGGCAACTGGGTTATCATACCTGGAGCCGGAGGCGGGCTTGGCCACTTGGGTTTGCAGATCGCTGCTCGGACTAAGGGTTACAGGGTCGTGGCGGTCGATACTGGGGAGGCGAAGCGGGAGTTATGCCTGAGCCTTGGCGCAGAGGCATTTGTGGACTTTTTGACAGAAGATATAGAGATGAAAGTGAAGGAGCTGACCGATGGAGAATTCGCACATGGAATTGTGGTGGTGCCTGGAGGGCAAAAGGCTTATACGTTGGCGCCAAAGCTTATCCGCAATCGCGGAGTGATGGTATGCGTGGGTCTGCCTCGTGAAGATTTTCACATCCCCATCTCGCCTATTGAGTGTTGTGATCGAGGTTTGTGCAGCTGCAAAAATATTTTCGGATTAATACTAATTAGTGGCATAGGTCTAGTGATTAAAGGGTCGGCTACTGGAAACGAGGAGCAAATGCAGGAGTTATTCCAACTGGCGCTGTCCAATACGGTGCTGCCACAGGTCGAGCTCATCGACTTTAGTCGAACTGGTGAGATATTAGAGAAGTTGAGGAATGATGAGATTTCAGGGCGAGTGGTCACCTTGATTCCTCCCTGAATGATCAATAAATTTCAAGAACAAATATATTCTTATCCTGTTCATTATAAATAACAAAGTATCCTTTTTTAACTACAGAAATGAGGATGGCTCGATGGCTGTCTGGCAACGCAGACTGGACAACAACAACCAATAGATAACACACCAACAACCAACATGCAGTGTAGGTCGTCCTAGTGGAGATCACAAGTGTCCTTGGTGAGGCCGTGAGGTCGTACGGGTTGGGTCGTGGAACCGTACGAGCAATCCTGAACGCAGCAATCCTAAATAAGACCATACGGTTTTCCGACTGAGGCCATATGGAATGTACTTAATACGGTATCATGAATCAAAGAATGTGGTGACAACTGGAATGAATTGGGTAGATGCTGCTGTTCTCCTCTCTCTCCCCCTGTAGAAGCCATTGCTTACACCCAAGATATTCGTGACACCTCAGGCCGCAACTGTACTCATTATGTCATGCGTTCCACCACTACAATATTTAAATCTGGGTATAAAAGCTGAACGGGACCCGAAATTAGCTATCATTTTCTAGCCAACTAAAACCTAAACACAGTTTCCACGTCTCGCATTTATCTGTTGGGGGATGGGAGTAATCAGAATACATCTACTCAACACTGAGGTAAAGTTAATTCAAAATCGCCCATTCCGGTGCTATACGATTATGTGACCCTATATCGTGGGGAGATAGATAGTTCGGCCTTAAAAAACCTTAAAGTGGAAATTCACGGCTTCCCCACGGGCAAGAAACTAGAGCGCCGGCAGTCCAATCAATCCCCGGCCCACTTAATCCAGCTCCAAAATTGTCTCACTTAGTGAGATTGGACATAAAGGGGCCCGTAGAGCATCTTTGTACCGCTGGCAACTTAAGGCACAGCCATTTGGGACTTATCATAGCCAGTATCTGGGGCACCGCAAACAGGTTTCTAGCTCTATCTCGATCTAGAGTTGACCCAATCTGCTCTGGAATTTCTTGTGCCGAGATCCCTTTAGTATCCGCCTTTCCTCAAGTGAAATTTGAAACCTCGACAGCAAGAATCAACGACAATGAACAAGATGTCTGGGGAATTTCAGCAGGTTGAAAGGCTTGTTGATAGACCAGTGCAGTCAGGTATTGTGACTAAAGACCCATTGGTATGTGTCGGCAAATGAACTTTTTCCCTCCGCACGCTGTTGTCACTTCCATGTCGTGAATGCACCGTCAACTGACTGCCCTGAAGACTTGGACGAGGTGGATGAAACTTGGGATCACACTGAATATCTGTGCTAATGCCTTCTTGAACAATGCTTGTGCGGCCGGCCTCGTCCCCACGTTGGATCCAGTGGCTGCAGAGCTCGGCGTCACCATAACCACCGCCTCGTACCTCATGTCCTACAATGTGCTCGCCCAAGGCCTCAGCAACCTGATTTGGGTGCCCACAACGCTTTGTTACGGCAAACGGTGGGTGGTCCTGATTTCGATGGCTCTGCTGTTGCCGTGCCTAGTTTGGGCGGCTGTTGCGACAAGCTTCGAGTCGCTGCTCGGCGCGCGCGTCCTTGGCGGGTTCGCTTCCGGCGCGTCAGAGGCATTTGCACCTATGATTATCGGCGATATATGGTATGAGCACGACCTGACCACAGCTCTGGGCTTTTTTGCCCTGTGCACCTTCGCCGGGGCTACCCTGGGCCAGACTGCGCTCGGATTTGTAACTGAGGGTCTGGGATGGAGATGGGCATACTGGATCATCTTGATCGCTTGCAGCATTACTATGCTAAGCATGCTCTTTTGGCTCCCTGAGACGACCTTCCAACGCGGCTTAAATGTGGGTATCACTGCTGGTGATGTGCAGCGGAATGAGGAAATGCATGAGAAGCAAAACATTACGAGTCCAGTGACCGCCACGCCGAGCGCCGACACAGAGCCACATGCCCAAGCGGACCGAGCCGAGCCCCTGGTATCTATGCACTCCAACATATGGTTCGTCCACCATCCCGAAATTGACTACAGCGCCAGCTGGATATCCTGCTTCGTAGGCCCATTCTACTTTGTGCTGCTGCCGACGGTGCTCTGGTCCTCATTGGCGTACGCTGTGACATCGGCTGCGTTTACTTCGGTGGGCGTTTGCATCGTACAACTCCTGGGGGCACCGCCATACAACTTCAGCCCTGGAGACCAGGGCCTCTTCAGCTTGTCTTCTTTTATTGGCATCGTTCTGGGGGGGAACGCTTGGTTCCAAGAGTGTTGATATTGTCAGCGCAAGAATCAACAGGCGGCGCTCTGACCAAGGCAAGATCCATAAACCCGAAGAACGCCTGATCATGCTCGCCCTCCCCTTCTTTACTGCCACTGTTGGCCTGGTTTTATACGGAGTGGCCGTGGAGCGTCGGCTCCCTTGGATCGGCCCCGCCTTCGGGTACGGAATCCACTCATTTGGCTTCGTGGTGCTCGCAGGAATCACGTTCAGCTACGCCATCGACTCATACCTGGTGAAGAGTGGTGAAGTTATGGTGTTCAACAATACCCTCCGTGCCTTGATTTCATTCGGAGTGTCGCACATCGTACCCACTTGGTTGAACAACGCAGGTCCTGCTATTGTATACTCTGTGCTGGGATCTATTATTTGGGGTTTCTTGTTGCTTGGCATTCCCGTTATCATTTTCGGCCCAAAAATAAGGAACATCACAAATCGTTTTGTTTGAGCTTAATTGAAGAGTGTATCAAGGTAGAGCACGGCATGGGTCAAAACACTCTGTCTCGGTTTTTCAAATGACCTTTCTGTTCTTGATTAAGGATTTAAGTACCTAACATCAGTAATAAGAGGAAGTTCTTTGTAAGCCCCGTTCCTCCCTCTGTTAGCTAGGATAGCGTTGGCGCCTGGATACACTGCTGTTATTATCTAACACCCCCGCTATTGCCATCCCTGTGTCGCCGTGATTGTATGCACCAATCAAGGGATCTGGAGACTTTGATACTATTTAATCAGTCTAGACACATTTCGACTATCACATCCCATAGAATATGGAAACAAAATATCGGTATAAGTGACCGGAGATAGATTGTTCCACTCTGGAGCATGTCCAGTCTTAGTATTATTAGTCGCTATGCCCAATGGATTGTGTACGAAGGGCTCATAAACAATTCAGACCTTTTGCCATTTTTTATCCATTGGATGACCTACGATTATGGCGACCACTGAATCCGGCACAATACTGTACAAATTATAACGGAACAACAACTTTCTGACCACCAATGAAGGCTTCACGGCGACAGGCCGCAACATTTCAGGGTAATTCTCCACCCGTTACCGAATTTACGCTGACTCCTCATTTTTGGGAAATTTTTCAGAGGTCTAGCCGGGGATTGGCCGACTAGTCCCCGGAAATCCGAGGGAACCAGGCCGTGGGGCCCCACGGTCCTGGATCGCCGGACCGGGAGCATGTTTGAGCTTTAGAGATAACGAAGCACTTGTGTTGGGTGAGTTGTAGCCCCACAGCAGCGCTGGATATAAGACTGGAAACGCACAATGGTCGATTTCTTTTTCCAAAGCTAACAGCTTATCAGATACACCCTTTGGAACAGTGGAATTATTCAGCTGCGACTATGACTTTCTCGAATGACTCGGGCGCAAATGGCCACAATGAGGATATTCAGGCTGGCAAAAGTCCCCGCTACGGACAAAGCAACGAGAGATTAGTGGGTACAGCGTTCCCACGCAGGAAGCTGAAAATTGTGATGTTGGGAGCTGGGTAAGCCATCTCCTGTCAGTCACCGTGGACAACAATGTCAAATCTTAATGATCAAAAAACATAGAATCTCTGGGATCCAATTTGCACATGACGTGAGCACACGCATGCTCGATGTCGAACTGGAGATCTTCGAGAAGAACTCGGAGCTAGGCGGCACCTGGTACGAAAACCGATACCCGGGGTAAGTCGAATTTATGTACCCTGACCTTATACGCCTTCGACCTTTCCACTTGCAATTAGAACTGAGCTGACTCAGACGGACAGTTGCGCATGTGACGTTCCTGCTCATACCTACCAATTCTCGTGGGAGCCTAACACGCGGTGGTCCAAGTTCTATGCCCCCGCGCCAGAAATCCGACAGTATCTTAATGATGTTGTCGACAAGCACGGGCTGCGTAAGTATATGCGTTTTAACCACCGAGCAATCTCTGCGATGTGGCAAGAAGAGCCATCCACTTGGCGTATCGAGCTGGAGACAACGGATGGCTCGGGGAATCTCATTGTTGTCACGCAGGAGTGTGATGTGCTTGTAAAGGGCCTTGGCACTCTGAACAACTGGAAATACCCCGATATCGAAGGATTGTCGACCTTTGGTGGAAATCTCATGCATACTGCAAATTGGGACGAAACAGTTGACCTGACTGGAAAGCGTATTGCGGTGATCGGAAACGGAGCGAGCGCAGTCCAGTGCGTTGCGGCAGTCCAGCCAAGTAAGTTTGTTAAGGTGTTCGCAAAAACTGCTTGATCGCCGCGCCCTAACATAAAATTTAGTTGCAAAGAAACTTGTGAATTATCTACGCACTGCGTCTTGGATGATACCTCATCTCTTCTCCGATGGCGCTGTCCAGAAAGACTGTAAGTCACGTAGAGCACTTAAGTCAGCTTATGCTTCTCAGTGCTAACCCCTCGAAAGACTCAGCCAAGGATTGGGAAAAGTTCGAGAATGACCCGAAGTACTACCTTGAATATCGTTTGCAGTTGGAAAATACCCTTGCTAGCGGGTTCGAGGCTATCTGGTCAGGAAGCCCGGCTCAGACCAAGCTTGAGCGAGAGACAATTCAACACATGAAAGAGATAATCCACGATCCTCGCCTTCTAGAAACACTGTTGCCCAAATTTGAGCTTGGCTGCCGACGCTTCACGCCCGGGGACCACTATCTGCACGCCTTACAACAGAAAAATGCATCTGTTATCTCGGACAGCATTGTTCACATAACAGAAAAAGGTGTTGTCGACGCAACGGGAGCGGTCACCGAAGTCGACATAATTATATGTGCTACTGGCTTCGACGCATCATTCGAGCCAAGAATGCCTACCATAGGAAGAGATGGTTACTCTCTGTCAGATAATTGGGGCAAGGACAAGCCTACTGAGTCATACATGGGTGCTGTTGTTGCTCGTTTTCCCAACATGTTTGGTATGCTGACCTTTCTCTCTGTCCTACTAGCATTGTTCGCTTTTGAAATGCTGTGGCTATTGTGAACATGCTTTGCTTTGACCTCTTGAGATACTAACACCGATTTTTAGTGTTCAACCCACCTATTACTCCCGTGCTCGGGTCTGCCTTTCCTGGCATCCAGGCCACCAGCGATTATATACTCAGGTTACTCCACCGATTACAGACTGATGACCTGAGGTCTATCGTGGCCAAGGAAACTTCTCAGAGGAGCTTCAATGAATGGGCCCAGCAGCAACTGCGGAAGATGGCTTTTAGTGGAGATTGCAAGTCTTGGTGTGAGTGCAATTTGGGCAAATCGATATATTGGTCTCAATTTGCAAGAAACTTGGCTAACAGGAAATATGAAATCAACAGATAAAAGCTCAAAAGGAAAAGTGTTCATTCCTTGGCCTGGCACAGTTGCTCATTATATACGGACCACGTCGTTGATTCGCTGGGAGGACTTTGACTTGATCTGGGCTGATCCCGAGGCCAAGTACAAGTCCCTAGGTAACGGCGTTACAGAAGAAGGTGTTGCAGTTGAATCTCCGCCCTGGTTATGCCAGGTTGGCTCGAAAGTGGTTTGACTACAGATCTGAGTAGACATTGACATGGCCCATGGGCCTATCCTATGGACTGTGGACTACCCAGCCAAGGGACTACCCAACCAAGGACAGCTTGATCGAATAAAGAAAAATCAACAAGATAGAGTGCAAAGGGCTTATGCAAACTAAATGAACACAAACCACAATCTTCAAACAAAGGACTAGAAGAAAGTGAAAGGTCTGTCATTTCTACTTGATGTCTCGTGCGTATTTATAGACAAAAAGTGCTGAGAGTCACAAGTTTTGAGTCAAGGGAATAGAACTGAATTCATGATAAAAGGAACAGACTAGACTTTTATGTCGCATTAAGTAAATACAGCATGGCCTCATTCAGGAACTATTTATATACCCATATGTAACCTGTAGGTAACCCACGGGTCTAATATCCAAACATATACCCAAGCGCAGGTCTGAGCCTTCGACCCGAAACCCGCCAATAAATGAGTAATGCCCGACCTATAAATATATACTGAAATGGGGATGGCTCAATGGCCGTCTGGTAATGCACACTGGGCAACAACAACCAATGAACCACACACACACAACCAGCACGTAGCAGAGGTTGTCCTGTGAGAGGTCGCAAGTGTCCTTGATGAAGCCGTACGGTTTTCCCGACTGAGACCGTACGGAATTTACTTAATGGGGCATCATGAATCAAAGAATGTAGTGACAACTGGAATGAATTGGGTAGATGACTGATCTATCTCTATCCTCATGTAGAAGCTATTGCTTACGCCTAAGATATTCGTGACACCTCAGGCCACAACTGCATTCATTATATCATGCGTTCCACCACTCCAATACCTATGAGTAAGGACGAGGCCTAAATCTATTACTACTATTATTATAGGAACTTCATATACTTATAGTCCGGACTTCGCTACTAGCTTTCGCCACCCTATCTTATAGGGTAATACGCTTTTGACTTTATATTGTTGGGGATAAACTATGTATACTTTCTATATTTCTATATTGTAGTGGTGGAGCGCATGATGTAATTGTATACTACGTTAACGTGGTCGGTAAGCGAGTGACCCATGTAAGCGAGTGACGCACCCCAAAACACCGTAGTAAATGCAACAATGTATCTCAACAACCATAACATTATTCTTCTCACTATATATAATCCTAATTAATTAGAACATAAAAATTTTGGTTAAAAAGTCTAGGTTAATTTAATCCTAATTTGGCAACTTTTACCAAAAATACCCTGTGATGTTAGTTGTTGAGCTTCAAGAATATGTTCATCTGACCACCACTTCCTAAATCCCTTTGAGACTTTCGAAAAACAATAGACTTAACATAAATATCATGCCTTTAGAAGGAAGTCCTACAGGAAGCTATGGTTGTTGAGATATAAGGTTGTAATTTATGGCATTTACTATGGTGTTTTGGGGTGCGTCACTCGCTTACATGGGTCACTCGCTTACCGACGACGTTACGGTCTAGGTCGGATTACGTATGGAGAGTGGAGAAAATGGGGTTATATCGGCCTAGCCATAGATTTAACTTAGGATCATTACCAATTTTCCGTTCCTTTTACAAGACCTTACGGTTCAGTTTCTTTACATATACCCGTCATACAAATTCCTTTGAAGTAGTACCGATTTGTACGCTTCGCGTTACCGACCAAGTAACGGGTCCCACAGAATGGATTACTCAGCGAGGCAAGCTCCACTGCCTGAATCCTACGGCCACCCCTGAATGGCTTGGCAGTCAAATATTTTCTACGACAAGATCTGCGTTTTGTAGGGTTCCAGTATCAGAGCTGCCTCAGGAAAGCGCCACAGTGTTTTGATAACAGCCTATTTGATGCCAGGAAGATTGCTATCAACACATGTTAAAGTGATTTGAATAAGTTGGCAATAAATCTCAGCCATCGCAGCAGCCATATTGGAGTTCCAGTAACCAAAATTCAACGGCAGCCAATTGCGGCCTGTACCATCATGGTGGTTCCAAGCTAACAATATAACCTTCCATAAACCTTGGGTAAACCATCTACAAGCGGCCTGTTTACTGGGGTCGCGTGCTTATGCGGCGAGCGCGGAGGCCTCCGATAAACCCTAATTCGCCTCTCTGAGGTTTATCTGCCCGCCTCCCTTCAGGTCTCCGATGGATGGTTTTTCTTCTCCTCCCCTATGATAAGTAACTGATACGAGTTTTGGTTTATGAACGCTCAGTTGATGAGCCAAATATTCAGATGTTCGCGGTCCTACGCGCTTGTGTCGGCCGACCAATCTTGTGATCTACCATGTCTCTTTCAACGAGAGATTCGACTGATGATGCCGGCCCGCGTTTACTCAGAGATGTTTGGGGTTTTACAGCAGTCGCTATTATGGTTGTGATCCTAAGGATTGTTGCGAAACTGAGGATTGAGAAGTTCGGTACGGATGATCTGCTCATGGCTCTCGCATTGGTTAGCAAGCCTCTTATCATCTTCTACTAAAGTTTGGGTGTTGTGAAACATTGCCAGACGTTTATGTTTATTGGGAATTGACCCCGTCTCCAGTGTACGACTACTGTCGGCTCGATTATTATCACCCTCGCTGTTCAACTTGGATTTGGTCAGAAGGTGTCGGCTCTTGGTAATGTAGCCGTGTCGGAAGTCATCATGCATGACTATTTGGCCCAGGCACTTGGTCTTGCTGGCGGTGCTATAGGTCGGGTGTCCTTCATTGTCTTCATCATTGGACTACTTGTGCAAATGCCATCCCAGAGAATCGTATTGTGGGTCCTAATCGGTCTGCAGGTGGCTGTCAATTCGTTGTTTATCATTATAATTTTCGTCCAATGTCCAGGTCACGGATCAGCGATATGGGATGATTCTGGTAAGAAGAAATGCTGGGGCTTGCATGTGCAAGCCTATTATGGATACTTTCAAGGAGGTAAGAACCCGACTACGCTTTTGTCCGCTTGACTCTCACAATATGGATATACATAGCTTTCAACGCGGCCACCGATTTAGGGCTTGCCATTTTCTCGACATATATCTTTTGGAACTTGCACTTGAAGCTCCGGGTGAAGATTGGGTTGGTGACCTTACTTGGATTGGGCATATTGTAAGCACAACCTTCGAAGTACCGTCTGGGTGCGGGGAATGTACTAATTTAAGCTTAATCAAGTGCGATGGCCGCTGCAATCGTGAAGACCGTAGAAACGCGCGTCCTCGCAAGCTCAGATAGAGAGCCAACCATAGCGACTGTCACATATGACCGTTGGTTATTCATCGAAACGTGCCTGGTCATCGTTACTACATCCATCCCTTCTATCCGATCCCTCTTCCGCTCTATGGACGGCCGCAAAATTCGCACCAGAAAACCCTACGAGTCCAATTCCCGTTTCGTGGCCGACTCATTGCATACATTCCGGATGAGACGACGGGAGTTATCGATCTTCGGGAAAGGGACCATGAATGCCTCTGTAGGTAATCACAATAACGAGGTTTTCGTGCGAATGGAAAGTCATGATGAGACACTCAATTCTAGAATGTCACGAGAGTCGGTATTATGTGTTTAATATACTGGTGTATAGCGTCGTGAAAAATAACGAATGAAAATGACGAAAGAAACAAGAGTGTTGAGAAGCATGAAAGATACCCATATTAGCCTATCAGGTTCATTTTCTGCTGCAGTATTACAGCTTTCGTCATAAAAAAATGTGGATGAAGATGAATAATCTCGGGAAACGAAGCAAGGGAGCGGAAGCGGATCAAGTCCGATCGTCCGATCTCCACGTCTTCTAGATTCCTTCCTGAAACTTTCCATAGGAAGATACGACAACTGACAATGATTCATTTGAAATTACAATCCAGTATTTTATATACACACTACGATACAGCTGGATAGAGATATTTCCCATGGAACCTCATATGGCTTAGCGTGGTTTCCGGTACGGGGCCGAGAACCAAAGCGTGAGTGTCTGGGAAAAGAATTGGGGAGAACTATTTCTGACTGCTGCTGTAACGACATAGTTATTGCTCGAGCAAGGGAAAATCAATTACACAATGCAAACGCAGTACAAAAGCCAAAGTGCGCTCTTAGGTCCATTTGTGCATTAAAAGCCTCCCACGCCCCGTACCCGCTTAACAGCACCAACAACACCCTTTGCCCAGCTCAGCCGTCCTGGGTCTGTACCAATAGACCCTGAAGGTATTTCATTGGTTTCCGGATCATGCCAACAGCCATCCTTGCTACTCGCAGCACCATATCTTCCTGTGTTCTGGTTTCTATCGATTGCGCTGAGCCATTGCTTACAGATCAGCTGTGAGTCCAGCAGGACGTTGATTTCTTGACTGTGGAAAAAGGACTGGGTATCAAGATTTCCATTGCCTATAGACAAATTTTTAGTGTGACTGGCTAAGTATTCAAAGAAATATTTAGTCTTACCCTGGATCGCAATTTGCTCATCAACAATTATCAACTTGATATGACAGCTTCGCATCTTGAATGAGTTGTGGATTGGTCGAGTTTGGTCTTTGCCAACGTAGTAATGTATCCGGAGCCGAGCCTTTTCTTCGTTGGACTTAAGCGCATTGTACAGCCTGTTCGCTATCATTTCGTTTGTTCCATTCTGAAATGGCAGTAACTCGCCAGCGTCATTATAGCCCAGACATAGATAGGCTGTGATAATCACACCACGACGAATGGCTTCAATCATTGGCTCTAGCAGTGGCTCCGCATTCAAATTGGGTGTTTGTATGAAGATTGAGTGTTTTGCATGCTTGATTGAAGCAAGCCATGCGGCATCCTGAGGAGTGTGGACGCTACTGTGGTTTGGAGCTACAGCGTCAGAAATTCAGCTAGCGATTCCGCGTGACAACATCTAATTCGATGACAGAACAATTCACTTACCTCCATAAGGCTCCCGATTGACCAATGCCATAGGCACAGGACTGTGGCGAGGTAGCACGATGTATGGGGTCATTCGGGGTTCTTGATCAGAGTTTGGCGAATCACCAAGCGTATCCGGCTGGATTGTTGTATCTGTCGGAAACCTTAGTAAATCGAATATGCAAGCCGTATTCCAAAACATACTCAAGTGACGTGTCACAGCGTGGGTTGGAGTTTCCTCTCCGCGAGGGATTATACTACTGTTCACTCGCTCAGCTTCATTCTCGTAGCTGATGTCATAATGTTCTTGACTTGTAGTGTGCTGAGGCAGATCCGAGAGGCCTTGAGATGCACCCTTGCAGAGGCTCTCTCTGTTTTCCAGCTCGTAACAAGACATTTGCTGAGACTCTGCGGGAGTGTCCAATAATGGCAATGGTGGATTTAGAGGCTTTCCCCATGAGAGCAGAGCTGCATCATAGAAACCATCAACAATCGGACCTTCAATGTGAGACATCATCTCAAGGTTGTCGTTATCTTGTATGTTGCTACTTTGTAACAGGGCTATCTTTCGATCGACCACTGTAAATTTTGCATGGAACGTTCCAAAGACTGGGCGGTGGAAATTGATCACCTGAAGATCGACATTAGGAATTTCACTAGCAGGTGGAAGCTTGACTTTTTCGCTGGTGTATTGGTCCTCGGAAACACTCAGACGATTCTCTAAGACCTGGAGCAAACATCAGTCTCGCTGATATAGAATTCTATAACTTGACAAAATACCAACCTGACGGGGATCGCCGCGATCGTAAACCATCTTCATAATCACCTTTCTTCCTTCTTGTCCAGCTCTTTTCGACAATTCTCGAATTGCATTTGTGACCAGCGTGGCTGCATCTGAGTGGACCCAAAAGTTGGTTCCCAAAAAGATTTCGTGTTCTGCTCGCACAATGCAGTTGGCTAGGTGGCGGCAAAGATCAGGCAAGGGTGCAACAATCGTCAGAGGAACGACGCCCGTGCCGCCCATTACAGGAGGAGAAACAACTCCAGCCATAGGATTCTTTTCTAAGGAACAGAGCGCATCATGGTAAACCTATTTCTGATGTGAGTTATTTAATTAGAGGATTCGAGGGGCATGTCTTACCTGAAGAAATAGCTCGCTGGGTTCTGATGAACCCCAATTCCCGCAGGCATGCGCTCTCTGCAATTCGTTCTTCTCGAGGAACTCTTCCGCTGAGAGTCCGGTTAAACCATCTTTTGATTTTGAAACATGATACTGCTTTTCGTAAAGCTTCTTGAAGACCGTTGCTGGACACTGGGATGGCTGCCGGGCCAGTTCAGATGTCACGGTCTGCGATTGTTTGCAGAGAGCGTATATCTCCCAAGGAAGCATGGCGTAGTGGCTGCGATAAGGGCTTAGACGAAGGCAAGTGAACCAAATGACAATAATGGTAAGTAAAATGAAGTAAATTTCGCCTAAAAATTGGACGGTGTGAGAATCCATCGAGCTAAAAAGAGGGGTCGGCTGGACCACCAGGTGGCTTATTATGTGGACCGTGGTTGAGGGGTATGGATGACGTTGGACAGCTAGTTCGGCAATATTGGAAATAAAAAGCTAAGACGCCTAGGAAATAGTCATCGTAAGGCTAGTAGAGCGACCGACCAGTTGCATTAATCGTGGATGCCTAGAGGCGTTGCAAGACCGTTCCTTGTTCAGCCCTACCGAGGTGACGTCATCGGCACGTGCATTGTTTCAAGTTTCGATTTAGATAAATATAGCCGATTATGACGTAAAGGCACAGGTCGACAAAGCTTAGCAAGGCTTGTTTAGTGCATTTTTCCTTGGCACAAGGGGCCTACGAAGCAATCAATATTCATAGGTAAAGTACTCGTCGATGGCTTCTAGAATGACGTCTAGTAATTAATGGCTTCAACCATGTTGGAGAGGATTACGACTATATACTCTATATAGCCATAATGTACGTACCTATTTTAACAAGACTATCATCTCAATAGCGTATTACCTGGAGTTTGGTGTTTTTCTATTCCGAGGTTTGCCAAAATCTGTCGTTGGGATTCATTGAGCCTACTGGAAATGACGCAGACGCAATAGGCTGGGTGGGATGTCGAGGTACCGCTGGTATTTCCGCAATTTACCAGACAATATGTATTGCTTCTCTTTATGTCACCTTCACACCCTATTCATCAGCTAATCCATTTTCTTGTTTATGAGAAAGGAAGAAGGAGAGAGATATGTTGATTCTAGAGATTGAAGCTATGGTTCTAGGCTGTTATAGAGGGGTTGGAGGCACAGGATGCGGTGAAGAAGCCCGCATTCACTACGAACACTGTTGTAAAATGCAAACCCATGGAATATTTTATCTCTCAGTTGAATCTCTCCCTAACTCACATTTCTTGTGTAGTGGTGTTTACTCCTGAAACTAGAGGTCTATCGAAGTGTGCTTGCCGCCCTTTCGCTGTCCCTTTCTGTAGTTTCTATCCTTCCTGTCGGTCGCATCTGTACAATATTTATTTTGGCTAATTAACAGTATCTTGTACTTTCACTAGAGAGTCCTAAGTGTATCCAGAGAAGTCAAGCTTTCTATTTGGTTTTTGAAATAATTCTCCCTGATTAAGCTCCTTACGCCTCTTCTACCCATCCGCTCCCGCACCCTAGCCGTAAGAGACCATTTAACCCTTGATTTCTTGGACTGAAGGATTTGTTGGCCTTGGAAGACTTACAAGTGTCAATCAAATTGCCTTTATTCTCAAATCTACCAAGCAAAGTCCAAAAACTACAGTAGCTACTGTAGGGAGTGACTAAAATCATCGTAGGATTCTTGAAAGAGAAACCCTTGTCCGTAGCATCTACAAGTAGGCCTGACGGGCGGGACGAATGGCACAAAACCCCCAATTACCGAAAGATCATGGGCTTCAAATTCCAGTTAAGATATCTCATACTGGTCGCTTCGACTGGTTGCAAATGATCTACCAGCGCAAGCTGAATGTATTGAACACACTTCATACTGCGTGAAGACTTCTTGGAATTGCTCCAAATCAAATAAATGGACACATATCCTGGACTCGAGGAAAATTAATTCTCCGTTCATTGTATTGTATGTATACAAACGATATTGCCCAAGCCACAATTTATGACTAGATTTGGCTATGGCTATGGCGAGGCGGTCACAAGTATCTTCTTCCCATGCAGGCACTGCAATGTGTCACAAAGCAAAATAACTGGCGGGCTGTATCTAGGAGCAGCTCGCAACACTGGGAACATTCTCACAGTCACTGTACGTCTTGCCGCCCGTGACATCAACATCGCTCCAAGTCCAGTCGGAGCAACCAGAGCTGCCGCAAACAATGACAACGTTGTATCCATCAGAGGAAACAGCATCTGCCCCAGAGATATTTTCAATAATTAAGTCTGTGATAGGAATACCGCTCGTTGGGGTACCACCGTCAAGGTCTCCACCGTCATAGTTCTGTTCAATAAGAATGCCATAACTAGACTTTCGGTCAGCTTTAGCTCTTAGAAGATTATATTATAGTTCTCAGAGCGTACTCGGAAATATCTGAAAGTGTAATCTCAGAATAAGTGACACCTTTGATCTCGCCGGTATCACCCTCTGTGGCCTTAATACGGATACCTTATTGCCAAAGTCAGACTCATGATAGATACATGGATAGGGAGTTAGTCTTTACCATTGGTGGAACTCTTGACTTCGTTGTTGTAAAAGGTGACAGTGTCAACTGTATTGTCGCTACGACCGCCCACGCTCCCGATAGAGAGTCCGTGGCCACCGGAGCAAATTCCGCCGCTGAAAGTAATGTCCTGGAAGAAATGTCAGCATTTGAATTATTCCGGAAGCTGGCAAATATTGTACTGTTCCAGAATTGATAGCAACACAATCATCTTGATTGTACACTTCGGCGCCAGTGATAACGACGTTAGTACTATCGCCGATATCAAACCCATCGGTGTTGTGACCACCAGCGTCATCACCTGCTTCATTGTTGATGGTCATATCGGTAATAGTCAAGCCATCGCAGCCGTTGATACTTACGGCTTGGACCGGAGTATTCTCGATGTATAGATCGGTGATTGTAGAATCGGTAAGGGCATGAGCATAGAAGAACTTGGGCTTCGTTTTTCCGCCGTTGCTCCCCTCCCCATCCCACCAGCGTGCGCCGTTTGGATTCAAATACGCACCACTAGCGCCCTTCACAGTGATGCCGGTGCCTGAGATCTCAAGCATAGGGCCATCCCATTCCTCGTAGCCCCAGCTGGTTTCGCCCTCAAAAATGACCTTTTTCAGCGGTATTAAGATCATTTTCGATGGATTATAATAACAGGATGAAGAATGTTTGCTTACCGTAGTATCGTCTTCAAGATCACTAAGGTCAAGAGTCGTACCAGAAGGAACAGCCACATCCGATAGAATAATTGTTGAACAAGATTTCTGGGACTTGCTAGCACTCGACGCACCAGAAGAACCAGAGAATGTGCAGCTTGTGGCTCTCTTGGCAAGATTGGGTGCTTCGGTGATGGCAGGCTCAGCAACCGGCGTGCCTACAACGCACCCTGCAATAATCGCAAAAACGAAGGGAATAAACAGCTTTGTCATTGTTCTTCGAATGTTCTCATCCGCTGAGAAGGTGATTTGGGAGTCTTTTCATCGACGGGAAAAGCCAATTTATGTTGTTTTGCTCGGTCATACACTCGTGATCAGTAGCGCCGAGTGATAGTTTAATTCGGGGGCTTCAGTTGAGAGGGCATAGAATTCAGTAATATCCATTTATCCGCCAATGGTTTCCCACGTTCCTTTCCGGCTTTAATTTTCATTGGTTGTGGCCGTAGGAGGTTGTGGATACGGCGGGGGAACGCCGGTGGCGTTGGTGAGATGCTTCTACAGAGACAATTCTGATCAAAGGTGCTCCGCTCCGTTCGGTTTCCGTAAATAACAGCGAAGAAGATTACCAAGACATGCACAGGTAAGACGTGTTCAAGATTGTCGAGATTTTTTCGGTCTTTGGAAAACGGGGCATTTTCTTCTTTCGGCCATGGTCGTGGGCTTTTCACCGAGACCTTATGGTCTGCAGGTTTCAGGTATGCGCATGGCTGGCCCCGGTGTCATTTTCATCCGTAGCATGCCCCAGGCCTACTTGTGGAAATTAAATTTATTCTAGTAGCTAGGAGCCTGCGGTCTTCAAGCCGCCGGTTTTGGCTACACCTTTTAGGCTTTCTCAAAGGACTAGAGTCCTCGAACTCTTCTTATGGAACGTATGTCAGAAAAATGTTAAAGCTGTGGCGGGAAAGAACGCACCATTAAGAAAAATCGAAAGAATGACTTAAACAAAAGGGCATAGTAATTTATTACAATAATTGCGTGTCGTTTCGGTGTTAAACTTGCTAGGTCAGTATCAGGCCAGTGAACACGAGGCAGTGCGCGCTAAGGACAACAAAAATATGGTAGGGTGAAACTAAGAGTTAGTGAATTGATGTAAAATAAGAAGAATCAGAGATAAATGCAACCGTACAAAAGATGAATCCCTTGTCAAGTTAAAGAAATCTTGAAAAAGCCATCAACCATCATCTAACACCCTGGCCTAGGAACGTGTTTTCGGCAAAAACCATTGTTTCTCCGAGGCCCCCGCCCCCTAGCCAGTCTAGGTTAGGCTGACCTGTCTAGGACCTGCCTCACACTACCGAACCCACCGCCTTGCTAAGCATTTAGCAAACAATTGACCCTCGGTCTTCCTGGAAAATGGCGCCTCAAGAGCGACATGTCAATACACCAGTCGTTCTATGCAAATGAGCTGTCTACACAGGCTATATTCGTATAGCCTAGTATGCTGCGACGGCCAATGAGGTCAAGCGAAATCAATATGATGTGGATTGAAATGATTGATTGATTGAAGAAACTCAGGAGACTGCTGTTAAGAGTAGTCCCCTTGCCCTTACGGGTGGGCTTGGCGGTCCGTACGACCGATACTCGGCGGTTACCACGCTCGAGTCCATGAGTAAGTAGAATTACATACAAAGACATAGGAAATGTGATCTTCAATGTGACCACTTGTTAGCGGTAAGTTATCCCTCCATGGGCTGACATGAGCTTTGAGAAATAATCATTTGATCTCTTGTATTGTATCACAATAGCTCAGCCCCTCATTTGAAGACGTGGCAGCCAAATCGTTGAATTTTTGCGCCAAGGAGGGATTTCTAGCTCGTGCTTTCTATGGTGGCGCTACAGAATCCCGGCCGGCGTCATTAACTCTGTTCACGTTCTGTTTTTGTGGTGTCGGCCTAAAACTCACCCACCAATCATAACATTGGAATCGACACACAGCTACTGCGACGGAGACCTCGCTGATACGCAAATTTTATTTGCTAAAATCAAATAAAATCAAAGGGACTTTTCACCTTCATAGTTTTAATTTGGTCGGTTTACGGTATCTCGGGCGAGACGAATGATGGGTCTTTAACAGGCGATGCGTCTGATCTATTTCACAGCTTACTTGCTAGGTTCTGAGCCAAACCTTCCGAAAACGCGATAAATCATAAATTTACATTTCACTTTGTAAAAGTAACATATCAAGACCTCTAAAATCTTCGTACATATAATTATCTACTTAGCAATTTTTTTAGACGCACCTATCTCAGGCTGCTTGACGGTTCAAATTATCAATCATGGTTTGACAATATTTACAAAAAATACACTGCAATCTAATGCTTTGAGCTTCAAGAATATGTCATCTAATCACCACTTCCTAAAAATGACCGAGACTTTCAAAATGCGTCAGACTCAACATGAAAAACACATATAGACAGGAAGACTTTACGATAAGCTATGGTTGTGGAGATATTAAGTTGTAATCTATCGCATTTACTATGGTGTTTTGGGGTGGCTCACTCGCCTTCCGACCAGGTTATCTAAGATAACATGCACACGAGGCCCCACCAGGTGAAGGGAACAAATGTTACGAGGTATTTATGTATAGCTACTATGTTCTAGGAGTACTATTACCATAACATGGGAAATTCATGATCCTAAAGAAGAGTAACGCCTTGATATACCCACCGTAAACTCCGCGGAAAAGCTGCTAGAGAAACACCCAGTGTTATGATGACTATCCACCCATTACAGTCCAGCCCATCAATGCTACCCACGCTGCGATAAAAATGGCAGTGAGAATACCAGCACCAGCTCTATCTCCAGTAGTAATGGTTGTTGTTGACGTCGTATCAGAGCTGGTGTCATTCTCGCCCGCCGTCGGATTGCTTGTGCTGTTCCCGCCAGTGCTCGAAGTAACGGGCGACTTGCTCACATAGGGGATCATGTTTGCAAGAAAAATGTTTGAGGCGCTGATCTCCTCTTCCATTCCGATCCAGCCATCGTATTCGGACTTATACCAACGAATACCACATGTGTTGTTGTTGTGTCCCGTGCAGGATAATGCAGCCGCTGTAGCAGATGTTTGTAATTTGGCCAAAATCGTGTCGTAGGTGGATGGAACCAAGAGAGCCGTGAATGCTAGCCAGGAAGACACAAGACCTTTGAAAAGTATCTCGTTATCATTGCATACCTCTGACGGCTCACATACGACCTCCTCGAAGATTCCACCGTTGCTTTCTGGGAAGAAATGGTCGAATGTTTGATTCATCAAGCCGTTTACGGCAGTAAGCCAGACGGGGCTACCGTTTGTCTATATTTCGGACATATATGGTCAGTCTACCGTCCGGAGAATAAGACACTGCCAGTAACTCGAGGATCTCCTGGCAAATCCCTGCAGGCATTTTGACAAACTCACATAGTTGTACATGTACGCGGCACCCATCAAGAAAGTACCGTAGTTATATGACCATTGTGTATTTCCCTGAGTGGCACAATCGTTATCGGTGTTTGTAGAGTCGGCAACATTCCAGGTCGAGTTGCTCATCAAAGGCGTAGTCAAAGTCCAGTCCCAGATCTTCTCTGCCCATTTAGAATAAGTATCCGAGCCAGTGTAACGGGCAAGACGGGCAGATAGCTGGAAAAGACCACCGTTTGAGATTGAATTCTTCATCGTGTAGCCGGACTCGTAGGGCCAGATTTGCCACCGCATTCCTCCGTCGCAAGAATTCATGTCCCATCGGTTGACCTGGGTGTTGAAGACACCCTGGGCAAGTGAAAGCCAGGAAAATCCAGTGGAAGAGTCTGCAAATTGTAGTTCGGCCGCCATCATCGCTGCAAGTCCCCAGAACATTTGGTCGTCATTGCCCTTTCAAAGTATGTTAGCCTATCCCATATCTTGATTCTGTCAAATGATTGCTTACGAGGTAGCTACTGTAGTTAGCCGGCATGTAGTCGCCATCGTCACCAGACTGCCACTCTAATGCAACACGTAGCTCGTCATTATATGTGGTGTCGCCAGTGAAGTGCCAGTACTGAAGCAAGGCCATGAGGAGGGCCGATCCTTCCCACCATTTACTTGCAAAAGCTCCAGGGATATGCCCGGTCTCATTTCCTTTGTAGTATGTCATCATCGCGTAGATAGTTGTGCTGGCGGCATTTTTGATAGACTCTGCCATGCGAGAGCCGTTAGTGCAATTCTTCCACAAGGAGAACATTCAAGACGGTAGAACGTACGCTCATCGCTGAGATCTAGATCAATGGCATTCACGGGGCTGGATATTATGAATGATAATAGAAGTCCCTTCAACAATATCCAGGGGCCAAGAAAACGCATCGCGACTGGTCTAGTCCGCTTGAAAGGGTGTAGAGTGAGCCGGCCTATTAGAAGAGGAGGCAGATCATCGACCGACTAGACGAAAGAACTTTGATACACAAGTTAACGGTGGCACCTAGAAAGACCCTGACAAGACCCTCAGTCATGAGCACCTCTAAAGAGGAGAATTTTTGCAAACCGGCAAATCTTAGGCGGGCGCCCCATTTCGCATTCGTTGAATCAAATATAGCGTCAGAAGCATGCGTAATCCTCGGCGCTAGCGTCCTCAACTTTTATTGTGGAGTATGGTAAGGGATTGGACGCCTCCCGGCAGTGCGGCATTGAGCTTAGAGGTGGGGCCTGCCAAGTCCAGTCAAGCTTTCCTCCTGTGATGATCAGTAACTGTGCGAGATCATAAGGATCAAGGGGCGCCATTTTAATCGTTTCCGATCGTGACACTAGATGTTGATCCGTTGGCACAAAAAGCACGGAGAAACAGGGGGTTGTGCCTGGCTCCCTCCCCAACTGTCAGGGGTGGTCCCGCAACTCGAGAATTGAGGGGCTCGATTAATTTCCGCGCAACTCGTGCCTTGATGTTGCCAAACCTATGTGTGAGTATGTTTTGGCCCTTCCACTCAGAGCGACTGTGTGTATTCTGTGTTATCTGTGGGTCGGATGGGCGCTTCTGAAGGTAGATCAGAATCGGATTCGAAACGAGTGACGAACGGGGATGACGCGTATTCGTATTTCACATTCGCTTGGAGATCATGGCTTCATTGTATCCTAAATTAGCAGCTAAACTAAATTAGATTATGAATCCCTCAGTTCCTTTATTGGGCCCACGAAGATATGATACGACTATAGGATTGGCTAAAATGCCTTGAGCGAGCTGGAACCCGAAAATATTTATTTCGGCCTGAATAGGCATGGCGCGGAAACAAACCACTCCCTATCTTGAGAATTATAGTGGTGAAACGCACGACATAATAGATGCAGTTGCGGCTTGAGGTGTCATGAATACCTCGGAAGCATACAAAATTTTCTTCATGAAGATAGAGATAGAACAGGCATCTACCCAATTCATTACAGTTTTCACCACATTCCTTGATTCATGATACAGTATTAGGGGTAATACGCAGTGCCTCAGTCAAGACAACCTCCGCCCGCCTCCTGCGGAGTCTGGGAGTGGTTGTGCGGAAATTTATATCAACTGATTAAGAGATAGCTACCTACACCCAGGCATGTGAATCTTCCAAGGTCCTAAAGCCAGCAATGGTATCATTTGGGATTGTACACCTCCGAGATAACATTGGGAATAGCAAGACTCACTTCGCACGTCATATTTGTGATATTTGATTTAATACCTAGAATCTGAAAACCGGGGGCCGGGGGGTAGGTAAGAAACAATTATAATTCCATTGTCCCGCTTCTCCGGCCAATTTATTACCGGGATCGGCCTCGTGCGACCCACAATCTCGGAGTTTACAAGGAAAGCTCCTTGGTGTAACTTGGTGTATCTTCGTAGTTGTTCAATGGAGCCCTATCGGCTCGGTTTCAGGCACGTTGCTCCGAGGTATGTTTCTCGGAAGGGTATAATTGCCCCTTGACTGTCCCACACGCAGAAAAAAAAGGAGATATACACAATAGAGGTATGCTGTGTTGAAAATAGAAAATTTTGATATTAAACTCGTATAGCCTGTAAAGCCTCGAAAGGACCGTAATAAATGCTGCTTGGGCATTCATTTAAAACAATACATTCCAACCCCCAGACTGTAAGCCCCTCCGAGAATTTCATCCAAGTTGTAATCAGATACTTTCAGGGTCTCCACCGGAAAGCTGGATTACGCCAGTCCAAATCTTGAATCTGTTTCTGCGAGAGACCTGAGAGAGCATCGTTGATGTCGATGTGACTACGTCTCCGATTGTCCCACGCCATCCAAATCCATAGCCCAGCGCCAAGAACCAGAGTTGTGGTCGCTGTTGCGAGGTTCAATCCGTTACCGATATGATAGTTAGGCCCGTCGAAGGGCAGAAACGACCATGTTGAAATCAGCCCGCCAACATTGCCGAACATGACGGTCGTTCCAATGGCAGATGATCTTGCAGTGTCCGACACGACATTGGCGGAGGAATTGGCGTTGCAAAGAGCACCAAAGGCAAAAGCACCACTTGCGATAATAAATGTAGCTCCATAGCGAACCATATTGTCTTCACTAGCTAGGAACATGATATAACCGGTAATCATCAGCGGGGGGCTGATGATGAAGAAGATTAATCGATGATCAAACCGCCAGCTTAAGTATGGAAACAGGACAGTGAAGAAAGCGCCGACAATGTACGGTGGAACCGTGTGAAGTTGCTGTGAGACAACGGTGGCATCCGGGTAAATCGTTTGAACGATCGTGGGCGCAAAAAATGCGAGTCCCTGAACGGTAATGTTGTTGAGCAAGAATATGAACGCAGTAAGGAGCGTCACCGGACTGAAAATGCCACGTAGGGTCTTGGGAACATCCAACTTGTCAAGAACTTCGGTAGTGCCCACTCGTTCAGATTTGACTCGAGCAATAGCCAAATCCTTTTCCTCCTGCGTGAGCCAGCGTGCGGTCTCAGGGCGATCGGTCAGGGTAAAGAATGCGACGAGAGCTACTCCGATGGTGATTATTCCTTCGATTGCGAAGAGCATACGCCAACTGCGAAGACCTCCAAAATTATCAAGGGTGAGAATGCCAGAAGCTAAAAGACCACCAAATGCCCCGGCAAGCGGTGCCATGACGATGTACAAGGACAGGCGAAAGGCGAGCTGGAAAGTTTATTAGGGAGCGACTTTTCGGGCTGGAGACAAGTGTGTGTACTTCACTGCGACGATACCAACGACTGAGATAGTAAGCGATACCCGGCATGAGGCCAGCTTCGAACATCCCTAGAAGAAATCGCACACCAGACGCACTGTGAATATTCTTCACAAATGCCGTAGCCACAGAACAAATGCCGAACCCAAGAGTAACTGCCGGCAAGAACCACCCAGGTCCAATCCACTTGCATGCAATCTAGAAAACATCAGCAATGCCTCCACCGTATTTAGCAGCAAGACCGTAAATCACATTACTGGGGATTTCGAAAATAATGTAAGCAACGAAGAATATGGATAGCACTGCGTTATAGTCGTAGTCGATCAATCCTAGGTCTTTATTGAAACCGGCCAATTTTGCGTTTCCTATGGCACCTAGTAAGCAAGACATGGACCGATAGGAAATGGAAGAAAGCCTTCAAGCGACACACCAATGTTGGCTCGATCAATGAAGCAAAAGAGATACATGAGAGCGACGGTTGGTACAATATACAGGTCGATCTTCAAGCGAAGCCGAGATTCAGCGGCCCGGTCAAATTCTACCAAGGCATGACCATACTGATCGGTTGCCAGATGACCACGCTCGGCAGCATCATGTGCAATATCAGTCATGAAAACTTCCTTATGCTGTGTGTCACATTTCTCATCCGCGGCGGACTCGGTGTTAGCTGATAGAGCAGCCATATGCTTTGGAGCCTGACAACAAGTGAGGAATAAGGACTGGAAAATCAGTGGGCTGATCGAATCGGGAGGTTGTGTCACTCGAAAGAGGGTCCCCTAAGTGCCTTTATAGTCAAAGTCATCTCATAACAGCCAAAATTTGCTCGGAAACCCCGAGAAGAAAAGAAATCCGGGGTTGCGGGGAAATTGACGAGAGACAGGGGGTCAATTCTCGGCTCCTAGTGCGCCTTTTCCGGGGATCAATTTGCCGTTGCCAAGAAAGGCGGAAGTCTCGCCCCTTCGAAAGTGAAATGGGGAATCGCTTGGCACCCATGGGCCGTTGCTGGCAGAGGCATCTTTTCCATAGACAGCGGTCCAGGATGGCAAAGAAGTTCACGAATGGATCCCCATGAACATCGACTTTGCACATGATGTTGAATGTGCTTCCAAATCCCAGTGGATGGACCAAATGGTAATTCATTCAAGTCATTGCCAAGTCCGGACCTATACAGTGGAGAAGTTGCTCACGTCGAAAGAAACGCGTATCCATGATTCATCGCGGAAATTGCTTTTCCTCTTGCTTCAAAGCCCAGGCGGTTACAATATCCTCGGCTTTACCTCGCCCAAGCGAGGGCGCGGTAGTCGCGATCGCATTCGTTGCAGGCCAAAAGTGCCGACAACTCCAGCCGATAAAGTCTGGGCAAAGCCACGAGCCATTTCAGTCAGCCAGTCCTCAGGTTATCACCGAGTCGCTTTGAGCGCAGGACGACTGCCAAGCTGTGTCTTGGCGTTACGCGAGGGTCCGAGGGTTGTTGAGGAGCATCGGAAGCCGTTCGGATCGAGGCATTAGATTCCGTCACTGATTGGCCAAGACACGGGTCAGCTTGTTGTGCGACGGAAGGTAGCTGTGAGATGGTGTGGAGAAAGAGACAAATCTTGAACAATACACACTAACCTGTATTCTGGCCGCCAGAGAGAGGTCATTCGAAGCGAAAATTCGAGCTCATATGGAAGCGAAAGCATTCATAGATCTCTTCAACCATGGATAGATCGTAACAAATACTATGAACAAGCAGAGATCTCCTTGCTCATCTTGTGTACGCGCAGGAACTGTGGATAATGGAGACGCGGTCACGTTCACGTGACCCTCGGATATACGGTACCGGATGTAAACGGATATCCCGGATCAATGATCTCAGTACAGAAAGAAACCAGGATCACGATCAATCCCGAGATTACCCTTTACAGTGGAAGTTCTCGGATATGGGTGAATCCTCAAGTTCCCCCAAAGCGGGCTGGCGTATTCCCAAGGCCTGCCAGGAGTGCCGCAAGCGCAAGATCCGCTGCAACGGCCTAAACCCGTGAGATCACTCTAGCCGCTCCCTAGGCAGCGTCACTAACGCCCCCCAAGTTGCCAAACCTGCGAAAAACGGAATACATCGTGCATTTACAGAGATGTTACCAGGCATCGCAGGAAGAAACATGAGTACCAAGAGTCTCGTCGCGTGAGTGAACCCCCTGGGGTTTCTCCTGGCTCGGTCCAGCATTCTACTCAGCAAAGTTCTGTCATGCGTAATATTCCCAATAGTGTGAGCGCGACGCACATGGCGTCGCCCTCGTGTCAAATGCAGCTCTATTATGGACCCACATCGCATTTTGCTCTCATGCAACATGTTTATCGGGATCTCATCTCCAATCCTATTGCCCAGTCGGAACCCTCAGGCGGAGTTGATGAAGCTGGAGCCGGCCTGGATCTCTTCAGTTTTCGCCGCATCTTTTTCGGATCACCGGATACTCATGAAGGCTCGAAGGCATCGACATTGGGGGATGTCCCAGTGATGTTTCTACCATATGAGTTGGCCACATTGTTTCTTTCGCGATTCCTGACGACTCTTTATCATATGATGCCACATCGACCCAAGTCATGGTGGGAGCTGGGCCTGGAAGAGCTCTACAATCCAGCGCCCTCAGTCCATCCTGATACTTTAACTCAAGCCCTCTTACTACTTGCCTTGGGGACAGGTTCCCTTGGGACCGAGTATTTTGCTTGGGGCGATGTGCTACTAGACCGTGTCAAGGCATCGCTCACATATTTTGATGACGTTGTGAACCTCCAAATGATTCAGATATCTCTACTCATGATAAGTCGTCCCTCTTGCCTAACCCGTGTTCGAATATTGTGCTGAGCAACCCGCACGCAAATTTCCAGAACGAACAGGGTCGACCGAACCAGGCTTTCTTGTGTCTTGGCACTGCTTCTCGGAAGGCTCTTTCTGCTGGTTTACACAAGGATGTTCCTTATGACAATGCGCAAACGCCTGAGAATATCGAAGAACGCAGAGTTACATTCTGGTCTATGTATGTCTATGAAACGTAAGTATTCACACTAAAAACCTCAAAATATCTTGGCTCACCTGGCTCTCAAGGTGGTTTTGTTTTCACGCGGGCCGTCCCAGCTCGTTGTCCCTTAAAGACTTTGCCATTGAATGCCCAAAGGACTCTTTCCTCCGACTCTTGGTTCAACTCTGTAAGGCGATATCTCGGTCTACCAATGAAATTTACGGTGAGCACCACGAGTCTTTACTCCATATGTGGCGGGTAGCGCGCTCCATCTCGGATGACCTTCGTGAGCTTCAACCACCCATGCAGCATGCCTTTGGTTTCGGCCTGGATGCCGAAGTTCATGGGGGGAGTACCGGTGTAAAACAAATCATTTTCACGACTTGTGAGTGAACATTTCTTTTTCTTTTTAACATCTTCATACTAACATGTGGAAGTGTACTACCATACTCTTCTGTTAACGTTTCGTCCTTTTTTAATCTTCCGCGGTCATTGGAAACGCGATATGAAGGCATCATTCCACCACCCTGGTGGTGTCACATCTAATCGCCCGACGGAGATACCATCTTGGCTCAACGAAGCCTGTAAACATGCCCTTACAGCAGCGCGACAGACAATCCACCATCTTTGTGACGCATCTCGTACTAATGATTATGTCAAGGTAATGGCATTCTGTCCAATTATAAACCATTTGGTCACATTCTAACTTGTGTCAGCAACTGCGATACCATGGTTACTTCATCGCCAGTTCATCTTTCAGTTTGATATTTGATTTCCTGCACGATCCTAGTGCAGCATCGAGTCACCTTCCTTGGGTATATGCCTCGTTGCAGAATCTGTCGTCTATGCGAGATGGGGATCCAATAACAAGCACTATTTCCGCCATCCAAACAGTGTTACGGAATATCAGCCCAACTTACGAGTGGATACCATACCCTAGGCCTGCCAACAAATTTTCGAGTGAAACCGGCGAAGAAACGGCCGGATCTCTGGCAATTGGCATTTCAGGTAGCCAACATGAGACGCTTAATGAACATGCCTTTTCCCCTAACGCCTTGTTCGGCTCAACGTCGAATTTACCTCCATCTCAATGGACTCTTCCGCAACTTGAAGGGCCAGAGACTGGTAGATCTGGTGAGTCCAGTGAGGATCTTCTTGATCTCACTCAATCTGACATGGGGTGGAACTTTGACTTCTCTACAATGGATCTGGAGGCCTTTTTCTCCGTGTACCAGTCGGCCGATGCCTCGTTTCCTTGAGGAGATGAGTCTGGTAGACTGAATCCGTTCTTTTCATGCTTTTCACTTCTGGCAAAATTTCTCCTTGAATAAATACGTGTTTTCGTGGCCACTTTTGCTCAGGAGAGCTATAATCAATCTTGGTAGGTGGCTTCTCCTTTTTCTTTCTAATTGTGCGGTCAGGAGGACACGTTCCTCATTGAATGTTCTGCATGCTCAAAGCCTTTCACCTACATGGCAAAACCGTTTCAGCGATCCCTCAAGGCAAATTAGCCCCAGATAAATAGAAGATGGAAATTCATCTAGTGGTCTCTAGAGTTTCATTCACATCAGTGGTCGAATGGAAAGTTTTGAGGAAAGACACCTGGGAACTTGAAATAAAATACGAGAAGCAAGATAGGTGTAGGGGGGTAAGGGAAAATGAATGCCCCTGTGCTAAATTTTGAACGATAGCCGGGTAGTTCGAACTCTCAAATTCTATTTTTTGGAAGGCTCTAGTGTAGGCAATCTTCTAGAACGATCTCGTCAGCTCGGACCGAAAGCTCAGCATTACTAATTAAGACCTACAGGATTGCCTGTCAATTGGCCTATACGGAAATATCTTTTGCCTCTCACCCGACGACTTGCAGAATTTTAAGCCATATTCGAGACGGGCCGACGAATCTCAAGTGAAAGCATTTGATTGGTCAACAATAGGATTGGACGTTGCAAAGCCGAAGGGCTGGAGAAGATAGTGCCGTGTTATCTCTCAAGTTTACCCACCTAGGAGGATAACCCCTGTAATAAAATCCACCGCAGCGAATCATCGTATGGAGCTAAGAAATTACTATCACTCTTAACAGGTATGATCATACGGATATACGTGAATATGAGCTCCACCCGGCCACATTTCGGCAATCCGGATATAGCATTCCGCTGGTTGCTCTCCCTAGCTATGAAACGAAGGAATCGCTCATATATTAGTACATGGGCCTCCCGAGTGGATGATTCGTACCAAAAAAAAACCTTTTAAAGGCTGTCGTTCATTGAATCATATCAGTCAAACTGGTTTGATACCGCCTAAAATTGTGTGATCGCGATGGAGACTCCATCATCCGGCACGGTCACTCCAGACGATGTGGAAAATGGGGTTGGGAATATTCAAAAGCGTCTAACAGTGACTTTCCGTGACCTCAATGTTAGAGTAACGGCACCCGATGCCGCACTCGGAAGCACACTGTGGTCAGATATCGATCCTCGTCAGCTTGGCGGCTTGTTCCATCGAACCAAAATGGCGAAAAGGGTAAGATTCAGGAGGAACAAGAATGGCAAAAAGATCAAGATAATAATAATGGTGACTATAGACAATTCTGAAAGATGTGTCTGGTCAAGTGAAACCAGGAGAGATGGTAAGCTCCGAGTTGATTTTCCCACTGACATCTTCATGGCTAATAAATGAAGCTCCTCGTCCTCGGGCGGCCCGGATCAGGCTGCACTTCGCTTCTGCGGGTTTTGTCTAATGATCGAGATACTTTTGATGAAGTTATCGGTGACACTCGTTACGGAAGCATGGATCACATAGCTGCAAAAAGGTTCCGCCAGCAAATCATGTTCAACAACGAAGGTGTGTCATACTGAAGTAGTTCTGGAAGCTCATTGCTCACCAATACCAGATGATCTCCACTTTCCTACCCTTACTGTGAACCGAACTATGAAGTTTGCCCTCCGAAACAAAATTCCCAATGAGCGGCCAGAGGAGGTAGCAGATCCCAATCATTACGTGCTGGAGAAGCGAAACGAAATTCTCGACTCCTTGGGAATCGGACACACAAAGAAGACCAAGGTTGGAAATGAATTTATTCGCGGTGTTTCTGGAGGTGAACGGAAGCGTGTTTCTTTGGCCGAGGTCCTGGCTGGACAGGTAAGTTTGGACCTTTTCATCGATTGTCGAGACTGGAACTCATCTGTGGAACATAGAGCCCGGTTCAAATGTGGGACAATCCCACACGTGGATTGGATTCGAAAGCCGCGTTGGAGTTTGCTCGCATGCTTCGACGTGAGGCAGATCAAAACGAAAAGACCATCGTTACGACAACTTACCAAGCAGGCAATGGCATCTACGACCAATTCGACAAGGTTCTTGTTCTGGCTGAGGGCAAGGTGACGTACTACGGCCCTCGTAGTATGGCAAAGGGTTATTTTGAGTCGCTGGGTTTCATCTGTCCCAAAGGTGCCAACGTTGCGGACTATCTCACTTCGGTCACTGTCCTCACCGAGAGGATCGTTCGCCCAGGATGGGAAGAAAAAGTCCCCAACACCCCTGAGGAGTTCGAAGCTCTCTATCATGGAAGCCCTGTCTATACCACTCAAATGGATGCCATGGAATTACCGGAGAAGTTATCTCACGAAACGGATGATCTGAAGATCGCCGTGGCAGCCGAAAAGAGAAAGCAACATCTTCCTCGTGCGCAAAGTGTTTACACAGCTGGACTCTGGAAACAGGTTGCCTCCTGCACTGTTCGCCAGTTCCAAATCATGTGGGGTGACAAGTTTTCACTGATTGTCAAGGTAGCTTCCGCGATTATCCAGGCTCTGGTATGTGGATCGCTCTTTTACAACCTCCCGGATGACAGCTCCTCGATTTTCTTGCGCCCGGGAGTTCTTTTCTTCCCCGTCCTCTACTTCCTGCTCGAGTCAATGTCCGAAACCACTGCATCGTTCATGGGGCGGCCCATTCTGTCTCGTCAGAAGCGATTTGGGTTTTACCGACCGACAGCATTCTGCATTGCCAACGCGATTACAGATGTTCCTGTTGTAATGATTCAAGTGACCAGCTTTTCTCTAATACTGTACTTCATGGCGACTTTGCAGATGGACGCCGGTCGGTTTTTCACATTCTGGATCATCATCATTATTCAAACGCTTTGCTTCATTCAGCTTTTCCGGACCGTTGGGGCCGTTTGCAAAACGTTTGGAAATGCCTCCAAAATATCCGGCCTTCTTTCTACTATATTCTTTGTCTACGGAGGTAGAACCTATCAAGTCCTTCGCTTACCTGAGAAACCTGCTGATCAAGACTTCGATAGGTTACCTGATCCCCTTCCACAAAATGCACGTGTGGTTCCGTTGGATTTTCTACCTGAATCCCGGAGCATACGCTTTCGAAGCTCTTATGGCAAATGAATTTGTTGGACGTGAATTCAAATGCATCGAGCCCGACTACATTCCTTACGGTGAAGGCTATCCAAGCTCTGCATCTCCATACCGAGGGTGTTCTGTTCTTGGGAGCAACGAAGATGGAATTATTGATGGCGCGGCTTACATACGGGAACAGTACAGTTACTCTTACCATCACATCTGGCGCAGCTTCGGTATTATTGCTGGATTGTGGATATTCTTTATCGGCTTGACTTCACTCGGCTTTGAGCTACGAAACAGCCAGGCCGGCTCTTCTGTCCTACTTTACAAGCGCGGCGGGAAGGCCAAGCGTCAAAATGATAAAGAAAAGGCAGTGAGCCAAAGCACTACGGAGTTGGGTCTGCTTTCGGGCTCAGTCAAGCATTCAACGTTTACCTGGAACAATCTTGATTATGTTGTACCGTTCAATGGAGAAAAAAAGCAGCTTCTCGATAAAGTCTTTGGCTTTGTAAAGCCGGGATGTCTGGTTGCTCTGATGGGAGCTTCGGGCGCGGGGAAAACGACGTGAGCAGGATCAGGTCTCCGCATTCTTTAACTGGTACTAACTATGACAATTGCAGACTGCTGGATGTTCTGGCCCAGCGAAAGGATGCTGGCGAAATAATCGGATCCATCCTCATCGATGGACGGCCGCAAGGTATAAGCTTCCAGCGTACAACTGGTTATTGTGAGCAGGTCGACGTGCACGAGTCGACCGCAACCGTCAGAGAAGCACTCGTTTTCTCCGCCCTGCTCCGTCAACCTTCGCATGTCTCGGAAGAACAGAAGATTGACTACGTTGACCATATCATCAATCTACTGGAGCTTGGTGATATCAGTGACGCCCTCATTGGAGGTGAGTTTACAGAATTGAAATCCAAGTTCCTTTACTGACAATCACAAGTCCCTGGAGCAGGCCTCAGTATTGAGCAACGGAAGCGTGTGACCCTGGGTGTTGAGCTTGTGGCGAAGCCTACTCTGCTTTTTCTGGATGAGCCAACCTCAGGCCTCGACGGACAGAGTGCATACAATATTGTTAGATTTTTGAGAAAGCTTGTGGATGGTGGACAAGCCATTCTGGTAGGTTCAGGCCATGGCGTAAGCAACCTATAATACTGACTAAGCGCAGTGTACGATTCATCAACCTTCTGCTGTTTTGTTCGATTCATTTGATGGTCTTCTCTTGCTCGCCAAGGGCGGCAAGATGACATACTTTGGAGAAAGTGAGTCACAATTAAGATGAGCTGTTCGTTTGACCGCTAACACAATATCACAGCCGGAAAAGATTCAAGCAAAATTCTGGGATACTTCGAACGAAATGGTGCTCCCTGCCCAGCGGACGCGAACCCAGCTGAACATATTATCGATGTGGTTCAAGGTGCTGCGATTGAAAAGGTCGACTGGGTTGATGTTTGGCAGAATTCTGATGAGCGCAGAATTGCGCTTCAGGAGCTGGAAGCTCTCAATGAGTCTGGTCGAGCCGATCCTAATTACGTGGAGGACACTGCGGATTACGCCACCTCGCACTGGTTTCAGTTCACGATGGTCACCAAACGCCTCACTGTTCAAATTTGGAGATCACCGGTAGGTCATATGAAGATAGTCTTTTTTTAGTTAGATCATCGAGCTAACATCTGGCAGGATTACATGTGGAATAAGATCATTCTTCACATCTTCGCGGCATTGTTCAGCGGATTCACATTCTGGAAGATTGGCGATGGCACTTTTTCTCTCCAGTTACGACTCTTTGCTATCTTCAATTTCATTTTCGTTGCTCCGGGCTGTATCAATCAGATGCAGCCTTTCTTCTTGCATAATCGAGATATCTTCGAGACTCGCGAAAAGAAGGTTAGTCTATTCTCTTTTTGAGGGTAGCAAACATGCAACTAACAATTTGGTTTCCAAAAGTCCAAAACCTATCATTGGATTGCTTTTATCGGAGCTCAAACAGTCAGCGAGATCCCATACCTGATCATCTGCGCCACCCTTTACTTCTTGTGCTTCTACTTCACAGCGGGCTTCCAAAGCCTCCCCAGCATTTCCGGTCATTTCTATCTCCAAATGATATGTAAGTCAGGCGATAATTCTAATATTCTTTCTAGTGATGGTTACAAATATTAATTTGTGTTGCAGTCTATGAGTTTTTGTACACGTCCATTGGTCAGGCCATTGCAGCATATGCACCAAACGAGTATTTCGCTGCTGTCATGAATCCTGTCTTGATCGGAGCTGGCTTGATCAGTTTCTGTGGTGTGGTTGTTCCATACAGTCAAATGCAAGCATTCTGGCGCTACTGGATTTATTATCTCGACCCTTTTACCTATCTCGTTGGGGGCTTGCTTGGAGAAGTCCTTTGGGATGTCAAAGTCCAATGCGAGCCATCCGAATACGTCCAATTCAGTGCACCCTCTGGACAGACCTGCGGGGCATACATGGCAGATTTCCTCGCATCTCAGGCTGGTTATCTGCTAGATTCAGATGCCACAGGAACATGCTCTTTCTGCCAGTACTCCCAGGGTGCTGACTACGCCAAGTCCTTTAACTTACGTGAAAAGTATTACTCATGGAGAGATGTAAGATTCCACAGTCATTTCAACCCTGAGAGAATTTCGAACAGACAGACTAACCTGGTACTCTAGACTGGTATTACGGCACTCTTTTGCATCTCGTCATACGCCTTGGTTTTCCTAATGATGAAACTTCGCAGCAAGAAGACCAAGAGCGCTCGGTCTGAATAAGCAAGCCTCTATCTAAGATTAGCTGCCTTGTCCTGGTCTTTCGTGGAAACTAATCTTGTTCTTTTTCATTGGTTGTGCCGGCAGTCTACAATACTGTCAAGCATTTGGCTGTCGATATTTCTTTCCGGCTGTTCGTGCGCTTTTTTGCCTACTTCGCTCTCATGGAGGTGATTGTTCCTGTTTTTTTTTTAAGAAGGTTGCATTATCTCGGATTATCTTTCCTTCCATTTAAATAGATATAAGAATTCCCACAATTAATATCCTTTCTTAGGCTTCCTTCATTGACGCTTTCGAGTAATTTGGCATGGGTTATGAAGTCATCGCAAGAAAGACAAGTATAGGTGAATCGCTTGACGCTCAGGATACGTGCACGCTCTTGAGATAGAACCAACTTCAAACATACGTCTTACGATCACTCTTGTATCTTCAGAAGGTAGCATCTGCCAGATTTGTGTCAAAGTGAGCATCAATGAATGGGACAATAGCAGATCCGAAATCGGTGGTGTCCAACGCGTCCTGGGCGACCGTCGGGAGGGACTCCCAGGCGATTAATGGCTGCGTACCCCCAACAGTGCTTGTCAAGCCGCACTGGTGATCAACTGGCCAGACACTATAGTATCTGATCAATGCAGCCGTACCATCCAGGGTATATCCGTTTGTGCTGCAATCCCAGCCACCATGGGCAGACGGGCATACAGCAACGACGTTGTCAGCCGTCGTGCTCGTCGAGTCCGAAAGCCAGACAATCACACCTTCCCAGTCATGGCGGTGACCAAGCCCATCTGATGGCTCATCCTTCGGCATGTACCAGGCATACATCAACGCGTAGTAATCGCCAGAGCTGGTACCCCGGACGTAAATTTGGCCAGTGCTGCTACTGCAGTCGCCATCGGAAGCACCAGTAGTGGCCAGACCGGCGCTAATATTGTTAGCGCCGGAGTCATTGTTGTCTTAACAGATACCTACTTGGTATTTCCCTCTGCGTCTACCGCTGGGAATGGAACACAGCCATTGACAACGTATAGGTAGGGCTGATAGGCAAGATAAGCATCGCCGACGGTCCCGGAAGGAACAGTCTGGTCGAATCCCACGATCTCATCAGAGCCAATAGTTCCTCGGCGCGACAAAGTGGGTTGAGCGATTGCCAAAGGCAGGGTCGAAAGGGCCAAGAGGCACGCAAAGACTTGAGCAACTATGATCATCGTGGGTTCTGTACAATTCTTGATTCGCCTGTAAGATCAGGTTTCACGTCTTGATTCATTAACCGACCCCTACGCATTTACGCTAGATGCTTATAGACTCGACACATTTTCCCAGATTCAACCGTTTACTATGTGTAAGCCAGTGAGAGGAACTGTTTTGCACATGCTCTTCTTAGCCATCAGGGCCCGCTGTCGAGGTTGTATGCCGAGGACTTTTCATTCATTTGATCATCTGGCCATATATTTAAATAGGCACATATATGGATGACACCAATTTCCACCAATCAAGGAAGACAGGTAAGCAAGTCACTCAATTTATTGAGAACCACCGCTTGCACTGTGGCATTAGCGTCACCCTTGGTGTCAGCCATTCCTACAGACACGCTAGCGTAGCAGCCAGACTTCAACGAAACCTCAAGCTCACTGGGGAGACGCGAGCTACCACATGTTGTTACGTCGTCCGGTGTGATAAGAGGCAACGCAACATGAATGCGCGAGAAGATGAAGGAAAAGCCATCTGCCACGATGCAATCAGAGGAAACAGATTTGTAATTGACATTGAGCCAGACCTATCATATAAACTTCATTAGCAGACAGGAACCGTCCATGGTAGTGAATACGTACATCGTCTGGTAGATACGGCGTTCCCGAAGCAACCAAAGCATCAGCCAGGTTAAGCGAAAGGTCAGCATATACCTGACTGTAGGCTGGGAAAGTCGATGATGCGTTCCAGGCTGTTTGGGAGCCCGTTGCTCCGGAGAAGGCGATCGCTGGGATTCCTGCATTGTGCGCTGCATAAGTAGCAGCCCCCACAGTCCCGGAGAGCAAAACCTCCAAGCCGATGTTGTTGCCAACCTAGAATACTAAGCAAAAAATCCCACTGCCCTATTACTTCAGACTCACATTGGGGCCAGTAACAGCAAGATCTGGAGCGCCGTCAAATAATTTAGGGCCGATGGAGTTGATTCCATATTTCATCGATGTTGCCGGATAAGAGTTGACATAGTTAAGATGAGGCTCCGACGCATTGTATCCGATAGCCGGACTGCCAGATGGACAGCTATTGAATTCGCACGGTTCAGTGAGGGCAGTCGGGGTCTTTTGAGATGAGCCTGCAGCGATCACGCGTACGATCAGTAGGGTGTAGTAAATGAGGAGCAGGTGAGGCATGTAACTGACCAGTTCCACTCTCGTCTTCGGCAGGCGCCGAGACGACAACTGAATGGCCTCCATCTGTCAGTGTCTGGAAAAGGGTGCGAATGTTAACCTCGGCCCAGCCGTCGTCATTGGATGAGATAATGTTGATCGCGCTGGCAGGCCCGAAGGCAAGGGATGCCACAAGGGCGGTGGCTGGGTTGACGCGCATGGTGGAATGAAGTGCAAGGTGTGTCGTCTTAATAACTGCGACTCGTTACTTAGATATCCTCATGTCATAGATGTTTATATACCCGTGGGACGGGTCTGACGGCTTCCAATGTTCCACGGTTCTACGATTTCCCGTGATGGCGATCATCTCCCGATCTTAGGGAGACATCACGACAGGGCGCGTTATAAGCGACCCCGCAAAAGGAATAGCTCGGATGGTCACGGCTCCGTTCCTGCACACGATTCTTGACTTATGCAGCTGCCATCCAACAGAAATGTCAGGGGTTGCCATGTGGTCGATCATTCCGACTGTTGGGCTCCACCTCGCAATATTCCGTCTTTTAGCCGACACTATTTAGATTGCCCCAAGACGGCATGGTTGCTTCGCCTCGGTGTGCACCGGTCCAAGCTTTGCGATTGTGGGCTAGACCTCGGGCAATCCGAACATTCTAATTTTACTCAAGTGCTGAAATTATTAGGTATCCCTAAATTGTCACCACACATGGATTGTGAAAGGAATTTTCAGTCCCTAGGGTGGCGCACAAGCGCACCGGAGGTCCGATTTTAATATTTATCTTGGATGAAAGGCGCAAGATATTACATTTCGCATTATCTGGGTACCCAGCTTAGGCAGCTTTGGAGATGCTTGGATTGAGGGAATACGTTAACACTGGATTGGAAATACGTGACCAGTGAAAATTGTTGAAAACGTGAAAATGAGCGCGAAGAGAAGATCTTTGCTCTTGATAGGAGCAAATCTTCCAAGGTTGACTCTATCAATTTGTAAGGTCTATTTTCAGGTCTTCGCGCATCGCAACTGAAGAACCTCGCAACCTCGGACATCCGATAAAATTTGAACTACCTTGGTACTTGCCTAACACAAGTGGGAATTCCACGACTAAGTGGCCACCTACAGTGTCTACCCCGTTTGAAACTATCACCCAGGTCAAGCTCGCTTCGCTAGTTACTTCACTAGTAAAGCTTGTTCCACATGATCCCGTTGACATCCCAAGTCCTCCCGTAGGCTCACGCTAGCGAGGCCACACTGTGAGGGTTGACACCAGGTCAACAAGTGCCACAAATTTCTGCAAGCGCGCACTTTGCCTGGGACACGGGAGCCGTGGAGCTGTTGATGCCATTGCCCAAACATCTCCAGCGATTAGCATCTATCGACGGCCAAGGATCTCACCGATGATTGAACATATGTGGAGCCTAGAATGCAGCCGATCTAACTCGGCCAGTACAGACTAAATGGAAGCAAACACCGGACACTTGGTGAAGTGACGCCGTGAAGAGCTACGGTGTCGCCTTTAAAGTCAGCACCGGGATGATTGAGTCCTTTTCAAAATAATTATATGCCCCGCTGAGGCCGGACATCACACCCTGGTCATAATCCAGAAGTAGGAAAGCCTGACAAGAGCAGGCCGTCACTCCAAAACTTAAAGCGCGGCCTCGAAAATTGGGGTTTCACATCGTTGTCATTTCCTCATTTGGATCATAAAGACTGCAACCAGAGTAAAGAAATAGCAAGCTAGAGCTAGCGAGAAGGGCACAGGTATTTCCACATCGCTGACATGGTTGTGCACCCTGAATACCAGAGAAAAGGACTTGGAGATGTGATCTTGAAGTCTATGCTCCGGAAAATCAACCAGGAAGCTCCTTCCGATGGCAAACCGTACATTTCACTGTTCTCGGATGAGGCTGGACGACGGTTGTATCAAAAGAATGGATTCAAGAACTCGGCGCCCGGTGAATTGGGCATGGTTCTCAAATCATAGCAAGGTAAGAACAATGCAAAGCATGACGAGAGTATACGGTCCTGTTTCTCTTACATAGTCTGACATTCATCACCATTCTCTATTTTGCACCTCTACTTCATCACTGTGCAAGTTGACTCGGGCTCGATTTCTGGAGGCCCCATGTCATCCTGATCGAGTGTGGAGAGATCCGTCCGTTGCCATCGAACGGAGCGGGATTCCGAGTCAGCAACCTGGGGCACTGGGATTGATGCCGGCTCTCCTCAAACATTAAAGGCAACGGTGAGGTATATCGGCACTTCGATGGGCAGAGGCCCTGCATTACGACCCCTCTGACTCTAAAAAGTTCGCTTCGTTCGAATTCCCCAACACCGAAGAGAATCCCATCGCGTCGGGAAAACAACCTGCGGCGGAAACCCCCTGTACAGGGGTTGTATCCAATCGGAACGCGACAAACACGACTAAAGCAGGATCTATGTCCTCCTCCTTCTTATTATGGAGAATATACAATCTATATTATAAACAATTGTTTCGTAAGTATATTTGCCGTTGGGGCGCCTGTATGACTCGAAATCAGGCTAACGCTAACAATTCAAGAAAAGGTCAATAAATTCCTTGTGCTAGACAGCAGTTACAACACATTGGTAGTAATACGGATTCACCGAGGAGCAGGTCGCCTGTGTGGTGCAGGCAGTGGTGCCAGTCCAATTAATTCCTCCGCATTGCCCGTAGAGTGACTGCGCTGAGGAGTCGGAAGGTACGGCAGTGGTGACCAGAGGAGTGCTGGTAATACTTGCGGTATTGACAGTAGGGGCGATGGTGCTAGTGGTACTGACGACTTTCACGGTAGTAGCCATAGTCGTTTCCTGAATGGCGATGGCAGCTGAGCTTGAGGTGGATACTACACTTGCTAAAGTGCTTGCTTCAGCAGACGACTCAGTGCTAGCACTTGTGCCATCCATTCCTGTCGTAGGCGTTCCAGTCGCAGTAACACTCGAGCTCGACTGGGTGACAGAGACAGCACCGCTGTAGAGGGTTGGCCCAGGTACAACGTATGTTGAGAGTGAAGTGTAGATGTTCACCAGGATGCCCGCCTCTTTTTCTGTATATAGCTTTGTACCCAACACACCGGCTGGGGAGGCCGTTCCGGAACCAGTCACTTGAAGGTTGAAGCACTGGGGATAGTTCTGAGCGCCATCGGCAGATTCAGCACTGTGAAGAGCGATAATTTCGTGCCGCAAAACATAATATCCTGGTGCAAGAGTGGGAGGAATCTCAACCAGCCAACTGTTATTGTTGACAATCAGCTGATCATCAGCCCAAGTCCCAGGCACAGCTGAGTTAGATACAAGGCCTACACCATCAATCTTGAAGAACTCAAGTGTCGTCTTGTCAACAGTTTCGCAGGAATCACCGCAGTTGGCAAGATAGGTTATCACTGGTCCATGGTGAGAATCAGGCCATGCCGTCCACTGGAGGTTGACTTTATCTCCCGCGGTCACTGCCGCATATCCCTTGGCATTGGTTGCGTTCTCATGGCAGATAATATTCGGGTTCCCATAGTCATCTGAGAAATGGTTAATAATTGGAGGAAAGAGTCGTGGAAAGGGATCGGGATCAAGATCGTACCCGGTGAAATGAAACCATTTCCAGTGTTTGGTGTTCCCCATGCCACTACAGTAGGAGGGTCGGCCTCGTACGGATACACACCGATGTCCCATCCATTATAAGAAACGCCGTTGATGACGATGTTAGTGACATGGCCGTGGCCTGCCACCAGGGTGGATAGAAAGAGAGGACTGATGACCGAGAGCATCTTGGCTAGGTTACAATTGAACATGTTGGCGAGAGCGGAATATATGGGTTTGAAACGATCATCCTCGGCAGCTGGGCGATCCATCTTAAATATGTTCGTAGATTGCTCGGTGACTCTCGCTGTCGACTACAAAACCTGTCTATTCTCAAACACCGGTATCAATCCAAGAGGGATTAATACATTTCTCAAATCATTTAACCGATGGCGTGGCACAAGTCCGAACGCCTCGATGGATTCCACGAAACAATGCTTCAATCAAAGAGAGCGCCACTGACAGGTGATCCACATAGCCCGCATCCAGATTGGACTGGGCGGATGGAGACAAAGAAACGAAACACCACGATGGAATAAGTCATTGGAGACACCAATTGCAGTCCAATAATTTGAGAAGTCATCCTCCCCTTGTTTAATCCTCAGACAACGGAGAAATCGGAATTCGGCTTAGCGCCCGTGGTAAAACATGGCGCCGACTTCTGCTGCACTAGCCCAGGATAATCTCCCAAGGTCAGCAGAGGCGTTCATCCCATGCTTGAACATTTTTATCGTTCCTAATATAAACCCTTGTCGTTTCAGGGTGCTCTCTCCGCATACAAACTAAAAAGTGACCCCATTTGAGCATGCCACCTCCTAAGTGCCCGCGCTAAGAAGATAACCAAAATTGTTTTTGTGTCATTTAGAGAGAAGTTCTTGTTAGTTGTAAGATCTTACTCAATAAAATTAGTTATTCCTCACGTGAAATAAATTGAAGCCCAATTTAAGTGGGAAAAAAAGATACTAAACGTACGGACACTGATGGGAGACTAATACGAGGCTTTTCCATGAGTGACGTTCGTTCACCCTTTGACAATCTTGTCGATTGATATAATTTCAAGACGGATTCTATTCGTTTCAAATCAGGCTTTCTCCTCGTGACCATTCAACCGTATCTTTTCTCCTACACTTGCCTCACGGCCGATTGAACGGCGGCTCTGAAGTCTGCTTGAACTCCTGATTCACTCGTCCCAGATTCGCGAAGCGAAGACTTAGGCAGGACCATTCCGCTGGAGTTACTGGGACGGGAATCACCGCTCAGTCTTGTGACGCCTTTCCGGAGGGACCCCACACAGAGTTGGAATAAGGGTTTCATTAGTAGCAGACAGCCACAAATGATTGCCATGTCTAATTCCAAAATAGTCCAGATCAAATTCAACGAGCTGCTCACTACACATGACATCAGCACACTGCTTTTTGGATGGATTAAGGGCACTCACTACTCAAGTTATCCGTCTGATAATGTTTGAGTTCCACTATTCGCAGGATGCTGAATATGCAGACTCTGCGCGAAGCGTACAGATTAGCCCCAGCATCAACAAAGAAAAATTTGAAACATCTCACAAGCAGCCGACTGAAAAAAGAAGAGTCATCTCTATCTTTTCCCGTTTGGGCATGTGCAGCCCCCATACAATTGGCAAGGGGAGGCAGAGAATGACCACATCCTCCACCACTGACAACGATCCAATAACGAGATAGAAAGTGTTTTGTCCACTCATACAGTGTCCCTGGATATGTTTTATCCAGAAATACTGAACTGGCCAACATTGCAACGTATTTCCAATAATAGCAGTCAGTCCCCAGGCAACGGTAAACACCATGACAGTAGTGGTCGCATGTCGAAAACGCCGGTTACAGCCAAGTAATCGGCGGAGAAACAATACAATTGAAAGTTTCACGAAGACTTGCGCTGAGGGCCAGAACTTAACCAGAATCCAGTTGGCCTGAGTCATCGAGGTCAGAAATTGCTTCGTGCGGTGCGAGAGACTTGCTTACTAGGGTAATTTGCTGTCTTGCCTCGCGAGGCAATACCAATATTGATTTGCCGATCCCGATACCGTGTATGGCCGCTATTGATCGGGTTAAATCACCGCCCGTGTGGAAAATCGACTCGAAATACTCACAGTATATCTCACAAATGGCAACGCCGTATGTGCAGAGCAGGCCCATTCCCATCAGAAGGTCCTCAACACGGAGCTTATGTGCTACAAAGTAGCGACAGTAAAGACGAAGGATGAAAAATATTGTTGCCATGATTGTTCCGACGATGGGAATGATAATCAAAACATTCTTCCAGTAATGTGATTGCAGCGTCATTTCTTCCGACGGATAACGCGACCCTGTGGAATCGCAGGCCTGCACGCAAATTTAATCGGGGTCTTAAGGAGGCAATCCTCATGACTGTGTGATACCATGGCGATGCGCCTTGGGAAGGAGTTGTTCTTTGAAGAAGAGCAGGTATTGATTCTGTCCGATCAACCTAACCGGTCGAACGCATTAATTCTTAAAAGAGATCGTGAGACGACCGAAATAATTGGCGCAAAAAGGGTGGCAAGTAACGAAAGCCCGTAGCATTATAAAGAAATTACTCGAAGGATGTATTTTCCATTCGTAGACGTCACCTCCTTGTCCGCCACAACTTAATCGCGTCGTGGCGAGGATCGGCCGAGCCCGCGATTTTGCCCGAAAGCGGACAAAATAGCCCCCAAAAGAAGCCGTTCAGCTCAAAACAAAGATCTTGACAGCTCACCTCTCACCTTTTCACCAACATGGCACCCCCGGAGCGACTAGATAGATACCCGCCTGATCTGAGTGATGAGCAACTATACTCTCTTGTCACCGAAATAAAGGTTTCCATGTTGTTGCGAAAGATCTCTAGGATTGAGAGCTAATCGGCGAGCAGGATTGGCAGATCAACCATGGGTCGTTGTTGAAAGTCATTGACACAGAGATAGAACACACTGTTCTCAGTCATCCCGTTGGAGTTGCCGTCAGTAAAATCGAAAAATCCAATGCTTCAAGGTCACTAACACGGCGTCGAAATGCACTAGTGCTTTCCCACCCTGTTTCCTCGCGCACGCTTCTCACAGGCCCTGGACGTCCAAGAAATCTACAACCGACTTTATTGCTCCGTTGGAGAAGATGAAGCCTGGATTTTCAATGCCATTCGAGATCTCATACCGGCTGAACCCCTCGCAGATGTCCTCTGGAAGATCCATCAAGCCGCGAAGAAATCAGGATCTGTTCAAGATATATCTATGGGTATATTCCGATCGGATTACATGCTTCACCTGAGCGATGAGGACCTGGACTCAGTGCCCTCCTCGAAAGCTTTACCTGAAACGACTTTGAAACAGGTCGAGTTCAACAGTTTCTCCTGCTCGGGTGGATCACATGCAAACAAAGTAGCAAACATGCATCACTATCTGACACAGATGGGTGCTTACAACGTGGATGATAGCTCGTTTGACGTCGAGTCTCTTCCTGCGAATAAGAATATCGAGTCTATCGCGTCTGGCCTTGCATTGGCCCATAGAACTTACGGCGAACCTAGAAGCAAACTGGCAAAACAAACAGCGGTGCTTTTCATTGTACAGCCGTATAATGTGGGTCACTGCCAGCTTAAAGTCAACATCTCCTCTAACAACTTTTCCAGTTTAATATTGCCGATGAACGGCCAATCGAATATGCCCTGTGGAACCGAGAAGAGCCAGTGCCAACCTATCGGCTCGACTGGGGCCCGAAACTGCTTCAATATACACGTTTGACCGAAAATAGAGAACTCCTATTTCAACCACCGTGGTTACTATCGAAAGATCCCATAGAGATTTCGGTCGTTTACCTACGGGCCGGCTATGAAGCGAAGGAGTACAATCCGACCGGCTATGAGGCACGTCTTCAACTGGAGAAGTCAGCTGCCATCAAATGTCCCTCCATCCTGGGCCACATATCCACTTTCAAAAAAATCCAGCAGGCTCTCACTCTGCCAGGCGCTCTAGAGCATTTTCTCTCCAAGTCAGACGCTGCTGCTCTTCGTGAGACATTTGTCCCCATTTATCCATTAGACAAAACAGACGCTGGTCTGTATGCTCGCGAGCTAGTCCGCGATAAGGAACATTCTGTTGGCTACATTCTCAAGCCGTCCCTAGAAGGAGGAGGCAACAACGTCTATGGAGAAGAGATTCCTGGCTTCTTGGCTTCGGTCCCTGAATCTCAGTGGTCGAAGTACATTCTAATGAAGCAGATCGATCCTCCGATGTCGTCCAATATCTTGATGAGCTCCGCAGGGATCGATAGTGGAGACGTAGTCTCGGAGCTTGGTGTCCTCGGATGCTGTCTTTGGAAAGCGAATCCGAGCGACGGCGGCTGTGACATGCTGCATAATTCGGTTGCAGGCTGGACATTCAAAACCAAGCACGCCGATATTGACGAGATGAGTGTAGTGAAGGGGTATGGCTGCTTTGGCACACCACGCTTGGTTGATATTTGACCACTTGATTAGAAATCTCCGTCGCGCTGCTGATGCTCGGGAATATCCCCAAGTAGCGGTATTTTGTATCTACTTATTATAGCTTTCGCTCTACCATCGTTACTAAAATCGAAGAAAAAACCCCAAATGTGACTGAGTGAAAATTTCGATGTACTCGAGAAACTGGATATATTATCCAGCCAGCGAGGAAATTATCTGGGCAAATTGCGAGATCATGCGGTACATCGACAAGATCAACGATCCTAGCCTCACCTATGCAGCTTTAAAAGAGAGAAGCTTTAGGTTGCTAATCCAATTATGTACGCACTGTCTATGACCACAACGACTTTCCGAAAGAGAAATGTGGAATCGGACATAATTTCTAGATATAGGTATTACCTTGGTGGTACCTTAGTAGAACTTCGACGGTTTTATCCGAGTTAAATCTACAGGTATGTTCCCAAGACCATACAGAAGCCAAAGGGCATGAAATGATTCATCTGGATTTGAATAAGGTCTGGAGGTCGGACAGATACGTGCTTCTACGTGAATGCTTTGACTCGGTAAAATAAAAATCCAAGAAAAGTTAGCCGATAGGTAGAAACGAAGCCCGCGGTCAACCAAAAGGGTTGTCCAATCCCCTGCGTGCCCACCATGTCCTGTATCCTGTACAATGCATGGGCTTGTACAATGCATGAGCTATTGCCATTAAATTCACTCGTTCTCTTCGAAAGTTACGAGGCCGTTAATTCTTGAACTTTCCTTAGGGTGCCCGAGGTGCATTCGGCTCGGCGTTTATAAATAAGTAGTCGGGCCAACAGCGACTCCGAGGGCGAGCATCTGGGCAATCAAATTCCGGTTTACGGAAATTGAAAGCAGCGCAGAGAGCTGGAATCCCGCTACCGGCAGAAAAAAGGGATTAACTAGCGAGAAACGCCAGTATAGGTAAGGCATATATGTCTCGGTGGCCCCCAGTGCCAAGGTCGACATCCGCAACTCTGTTCAAACCTTTGGCCCCCGCGCAGCATAGATCTCGGGGCGATGGGCCTTACGCCAAAGCTTCTCCGCACCCCACGCTAAGCACGCCAAGCACATGGCTTATTCTCTCTGTCCAATCCATGTAAAGGACATGGAGTGGGAAGCCAATGGTCGTTTCAATATCTGTAATGGCCGGGTTTCCCCAGTTTCGCCCCCGCAGAGACCAACTCTTGGCAAAGCGGCTCGCATGCGCCTCGCAGCGGACATTCTCCGAACCCTAGGTTGCTTTGGATGGATTATCTTCCTGGCTTAACATCCGGGATGAGTCGGGAGCATCATAATCTCACATCGTTACCTCACCAACAGATCACTTGAATGTCAGTCACTTGAGGCGAGGGCCGGAGTGCAGCCACCGAACTCATATGTGGCCAAGACATCGGCCATGTGGTCGACTTGGTTGACATCCCTGTCAGAAACAAAGCCTGGCGGCGGGATCGTCGAATAATAAGCCGAGTTCTAATTAGCCCGGGATCCAAGCTCCCTTGGCACTGCTCTCCAGGCCTTGGCCGATCCCGTCCTTTGTCCCACCGATAGTCGGCTCACGACACCGTGGGAGGCCGGAGACTTAATTCCCTGGGTTGCATTGTACGTATAGAGCATCATGTAGGATGCGAATTACCGGCACCGAGGCTTCTGCCCCGGCCCGTAGTATTGTTGTGCAACTCTTTGTTCACCCTCCCCCCTGTATTCACTTGAACTTTCCCCGCAGCACGCGGAGACTTTTCCAGCATCGTACAGTTATTAAAAGGTGTCTAACAGCGTCACTTTCATCCCACTTCCATTCCTCGCCTCTTTCTTCATTGTCTCCGTTCTCACTCCGTGCTCTTTTGATATCTTCCGGGATACATATTCTAGAAGTTGCCATCATGGCAGGTGGAGCCAAAAAGCCAGTCAACATCTTCCGGTTGAAGAACTTGGGAGAGCCCAAGGAGATATTCAACTGGAGATTGTGGTTCGCTGTCACCTCCTTTGGTTTGATGGGAGCTGCGCGAGGTATTGACGAGGGTCTGATTTCCGGTGCTTTCAACTCCAAGGACTTCCAACGATACATCGACTACAGTTCATACAGCAAGGTCGAGCAGACCAACATCAAAGCGAATGTTTCTGCGATGGTGCAGATCGGATCCGTTGGAGGGGCTCTTTTGTAAGTGAAAGCCTCTCGTGTGCTCTCAAATTTTTGATTTATCCTCATGCTTCTCGTCATAGTGCATTCATTGTTTGTGACCGCATCGGCCGTATCTGGGCAACTCGACAACTCTGTCTGCTATGGATTCTTGGAATCGCCATCTTCATGGGAAATAACGGCAGCCTCGGGGCCGTGTACGCAGGACGCTTCATCGCTGGTCTCGGTGTTGGACAGACCGTGGTTGTTGCTCCTGTCTATCTTGCAGAGATTGTGAGTCCCCCAGGTTTTATTAGCGACTCAACTCGAGTCCAATTCGCAATGCTAACAGCTTCAGTCTCCTGCCTCTATTCGAGGTCTCTGTACCTGCGTCTTCACGGGTTTTGTTTACCTCGGTGTGTATTTCTGCCAACCGGTTCCATTTCTTGGAAATTTTGCTTGCTAACCTATTCTCTCCTAGGTATCGTCTTGGCCTACTTCGCAAATTATGGCTGCCAAGTCAATATGGGCGACCATACACACAAGAGATGGGCAAGTGAGACCTTTCCAGATAATATGCTAAGCATGATACTAACAACATGCAGGAGGTTCCCACCAGCCTCCATATCATTTTTGCCGGCCTGATCTTCATTCTGTCATTCCTGCAATATGAGTCCCCACGATACCTCGTCAAACGTGGCCAGCAAGAGAAGGCGCTTGTTAATCTGGCTCGTGTGCGTGGTCTCCCCGTCGATCATGAATACGTCGTGCATGAGCTCAACGCCATTCAAACAGCGCACCAGACTGAGATGGAAGCAACAATGGGATCTGGTCCTTTGGGTGTCATCAAGGAGACGTTCTTGATTCCCTCCAACCTCTATCGTCTCTATCTTGCCCTGACGGCCCAGATTCTGTCGCAGTGGTCCGGTGCTGGTTCCATCACCGTGTACGCCACAGATCTATTCAAACTGTTGGGCATCACGGGAAGCAACGAGAACCTGCTGGTGACTGCTATCTTTGGTATTGTCAAACTGACTGCTGCTATCCTCTGTGCCCTCTTCCTGGTCGATGTCATCGGTCGTAAACGCGCGCTGCTCCTGGGAATTACCTTGCAGGCCATTTCAATGATCTACATTGCAGGTTTCTTGACGGCGGTGCCTGAAATAGGCACCGTGGACGGCTACAAGGTACCCGCCAACAAGAAAGGCGCGAGCGAGGGCGCGATCGCCATGATCTACGTCTCTGGCTTTGGGTGGGCACTTGGCTGGAATTCGATGCAGTACCTCTTGACTGCTGAGCTCTTTCCCCTCCGTATCCGTGCGCTTGCAACCTCCCTAGCCATGACCCTGCATTTTGCCAACCAGTACGGTAACTCTCGCGCGGTGCCCAACATGCTTCTTCCCGCCGCAGATGGCGGTATCAGTCCTAAGGGAACCTTCTGGTTCTTCGGTGTGGTGACCCTCATCGGTGGACTCTGGGTCTGGTTCAGTGTGCCAGAGACCGCAGGCCGGAGTCTTGAGAGCATGGATCAGCTGTTTGCCCTGCCGTGGTATAGGATCGGCTTGCATGGTAACAAAGATGCCGATGAGCGTGATTTGGTTATTAACGAAAAGATGGAGGCAATGGAGGCCCAGGGAACTACTCAGCACGTCGAGAGACAAGATGTAGCCAGTCGAGTTTAAGAGCCATGCTTTATGAATTCATCTGGAACCCCATGCCTTTCTTCTACGTATTATGCAACATGCAGTCATGAGAAATGCAAAAGATTGAGCTATGTAAAAGACCCACCATCCATTACCAATCACTCGCCACCCATCTAACGCCATATTTTTCAGCCCATCATGACCATGAATGATCTTTGAAGTCATGGTGGACATGTAACCTTGGAGCCCCGATCATGCGTACGATTCTCGTCTCGAAGTGCTCCCAGATGCCCCAGGGGACCCGTCCAAGGGGATAATCACAATCCGTGCCTTCAGGGCTGCTTTCTGGTGTGCCTCTTGATCGGATCGAGGCTTTTTGGTATTTTTATGAAGATCCATACTCTTCATATCGTCGAGATATTCATTTGGCAGGTCGACACGGATCAAAACCCCTCGAGGTCGGAAGAAAGTCTCATTCCAATGCAAGATATGACGTGTAAGATGCTCTCCACGTGCACCGGCCATACTGGCAATCAAGTTCCGTCGTTCTTGGTTTTTCTGGGATGTACGAGCGACAAGCAGAGCTGGGAAGGCGCTAAGGAAGCCGATCATGAGGCCGCCGACGGCAAGCGTCCCGAAACCTCGGCCGATCACCGTGGTCCATTGTTGCCGAGAGAGCTTGGCTTCGTCTTTGATTGCTTGTGTAAATTGGCGCCAATGTTCTTGTGATATCCCGTATCGAGTGAGTTCTTCAGGGAAGTCAAATCCCGAGCTGCAGGCCGAAGTCCGTGAAGGCACCTGGAGTCCCCTTGACAAAGTGGACGAAACTGCGAACCCAGGCTCATCCGACTCTCGTGGAAGGACAAATTCGGCATCCGACTTCTCGTCCACGGGGTATTCGGATGCGGAATAATAAGGCGGTGGCGCCTCGGAGCGGCCTTTGGAGTCTTCGTGGGCCATTGCGAATGTCAAGGTGGATGGATGTAGTGATGCGGCCGGCATGGTGCAATATAAATAAGAACACAAACTTGGCGATTGCCTGTTTCTCTGAAGGATCTATGCTATCGGAAGTCTTGCCCCTCTGCAAATGAAAAACGTCCTTGCCTGACGAGTAGATATAGTAAGTCCAGGCATCCATCACACGTCTGCACCGTCGACTCCTCGGGTGGAGGCAGTGCTGCCTGAGTCACCCATTGTCATCCTGACGTGAGTTTGTCGAGTCGCTCGTATCTCCCATCTAGACTCGGGTCGGACGTTTGAGGAAATTAAGAGACCAATCGTGCCAACGCGCTCGACGGTCTCACCGTCAGTTTAGGCACCTACTTTGCCGGAATCGCACAGAGGAAAGAGTCCCGATCGAGTCTAGCCGGTCTCAATCAACCACCAAGGCGCCCAAGTGAAGACCTGGTCCGTGGCTGACGTGACGGTCAAAAAGGTGAGGCGACGTGACTCACGAGAGGGGAACGTGCGGGGATCCGGAGACGGAGATTGTGTTGTCAACCATCTTGGGCGGATTTGCTGATTCCTTGTTTTGCCCACACCATGACCACCCGTTATCGCGTTGAATGTAAGCTATCCCGTCTCGGATCTGCGTGTGCCTTTGCTGACTCGTCTAGATGCCCTCAAGGTACGCGATCTCGCTCTTCCTGACGATCACCCCTCACTAACTGCGCGCAGACCCATCGCCGGGATCAACTGGTAAGCACGCTCCAAATCCTGCGCAATGTAAACTAGCGTTCTGACGGGAGCTAGATTGAATGGATCAAGGTAGGCCGAGGTCTCGTGTCGTGTGTATCTGTGAGCCGCTGCTAAGCAATTTCAGGGTTTGTTGGCGGTTCCCTTTGTGCTGCATTCCCAGCCGACGGTGATCTACCAGGAACATAGCGAGGGCCTCAAGCGTGTCGCGGCAGACACGCACCAGCGCTATGCTGAAATCATGCGAGATGTCGAGAATCTGATCAACGATCACAGTAAGTCGCACGTCGCACGTCGCAGGCAGCATCCTCTTCGTCTCCCGCTCATCACCCCGCAGTTCTACATCACCAACGAGATGACCCGGGTAAATCCAAGCTCAAATTGTTGGTGCCTACGGTCGGGTACTTTTTCACTCAGTTGTATTTAGAGGATGCCTTCAATTACCAGGATGAGCAGCGATTCATCAGCCGACGAAGATTCGTGGCCCCGTCCTTTAACGATATCCGCCTTATCTTGAATTCGGCCCAACTCCTGGGCCTAGTCCGCTCCAGCGAGGTCGACCTTGTGACCTTCGATGGAGATGTCACTCTTTACGATGACGGGGCCTGTTTGACTCCGGCAAACCCCGTGATCCCGCGGATCCTCCGTCTTCTAGAGCAGGGGCGCAAGGTCGGCATCGTCACCGCCGCCGGGTACGAAGAGGCTCCCAAGTACTATGGCCGTCTATACGGCCTCCTCGACGCCGTGCATGACTCCAAGAAATTGACGCCGTCTCAGAAGGAAGGGATAATCGTGATGGGCGGTGAAAGCAATTTCCTTTTCCGTTTCGATCAAGAGTCAGAGTCTCGACTGGCCTACGTGTCCCGGAAGGAATGGTTGCTGGAGGAGATGCGCGCATGGCATGATGACGACATCAAGCAGTTGCTGGATATTGCCGAGGATTCTCTACGGGCTTGCGCCTCCAACCTTGGCCTGCCGGCTGCGGTGCTCCGTAAGGACCGGGCAGTCGGCGTTTATCCCGTCAACGGGGTTCGCATCGACCGCGAGCTTTTGGAGGAGACCGTGCTGGTTGTTCAGAATACAGTTGAACGGTCGGCTGTGGGCTCGCGCCTTCCATTCTGTGCATTCAACGGTATGCGTTATATCACTGCAGGAAATAGTGGTAGTAAGTCTGACTTTCTATAGGCGGCAATGACGTTTTCGTGGACATTGGCGATAAGTCGTGGGGTGTTCGGGTTTGTCAAGAATATTTCGGTGGCATTGACCCTTCAAAGACCCTTCATATCGGCGATCAATTCCTGTCCGCTGGTGCGAACGACTTCAAGGTAAGTAAGCAATCGACATTGCAAGACTTGCAAACTGACTTTGGGCTTTCAACAGGCTCGCCTGGCATCCACAACTGCTTGGATCGCCAGCCCCGCGGAGACTGTCGAGCTCTTGGATGAACTGGAGGCAGCCATCAACAAGTGACAGTGGAACCTAACCCTTGATTTGGGGGGGTCACATGAAGTGTGTTTTGCATCACAAGGTGCTTTTCGGGCGATTGGTGAGGGGGCATTTATCGTTTTGGGAAAGCGGCATTCTCATTCTATAATCAATTCATAACAACCACCCTTGGTTAGCCAAGTTACGCATAGATCATCTACCGAGTAGAATCTGGGGAATCAAGATGCCCAGATATCAGAAAGCGTAAATCATACAATTCATTGGCTAAGAGTGATGCGATTCAGTCTACCTGTGACACTGTGGAGGCGTCTATAGGCAAAATCCAGATAAATAGAATGAAGATATGGAAGAGAAATTCAAGCCCCAACGTCAATGCCTAGAGTTCACTGAAATCTAGCATCAATCTAGGTGCTGTGTTGCGTAGCATCGTACAAGCGTGAGGGGGCGTCCAGCGGTCACTCATTGGGCATATGATGTCGGCCATCACGGGCGATAATCTGGTGAGCAGCATCAGTCTTCATGGAAAGACATCAATGTGGTGGCAATTGACTCGCGGCGGCAATGCTAGTGTCGAAAATGAAATGCTGTATGAAGCCATGACAAGGTTCTTCAAGGCGAATTTGGAACCGACGGGATGGATTGGACCGAAGAGGGATCTGAATGGGGGAAAAGAAAACTCGTCAATATCCAGGTACTTAGGGAAACGAAAGAAACACCAGGGTCGCACGCAGAAACAAGTCGATCAGTCGGAAGGGGCTAATGCGTGGCTTCAACGTGATGATGATGCAAATTCCAGGGATTGTCGTGATTACGTACTCTCATAGCAAAACCAGCCCTCCTGGGTGCGGGAGGCCGAACGACCGGAAAGAGTGTTGACGACGTCCTGCAGCTCCAGCCAGAATTCGGACTTGGGTCGACGGCGCTTCCAGTCGGTCTCGGTCTCTTCCAAGCCAGTCTCGCCGCCCATGGGCGAGAACAGAACCTGTGATCCCTTGACACCGATCACGGCACTCGATAGAGGATCGTTGGCGATGGCGTCGCGACTTTGACCAGCGTAGGATTCGATGTGGCGCATGCACTTGATGGCCATGCGCAGAGCACGGACACGATCCATCGGTGATGGCTTACCACCCTGCTGGAAGTGACCGGGCACCGCGGAACGAGACTCGAAACGGCCATTGGCCTCCTCCTTGATCATATCAGCGACAAACTGAGTGGTGTAAGTGCTGGAAGCACATTCATTGCGCAGGATGATTTTTCCAGCGCGGTTAGCACCCTTGTCGCGGATAAAGTTGTCGCGCAGGAAGTCAATATCGCGAGACAGCATCTTAATGTTAATGCCCTCCTCGGGAATGTACACTGCGACGGCACCAACGGCCAAGCCAGCTGTGGTTGCGATATAACCAGACTTGCCACCCTGGGTCTCGATGACAAAGACGCGGCGACGAGAAGAGGAGGCAGACTGGCGGATGGCATCACAGAAATCGATCAAGGTGTTCAAGCAGGTGTCACTACCAAGGGAGTACTCGGTACCGGGCACGTTGTTGGAAATGGTGGCCGGCAGAACAACGAGAGGAATCTTGAAGGCGTTGTACTTCTCACGAGCCTGGCGCAGTTGGCTGACAGCAGTGAAGGCCTCGAAGCCACCGACCACGAAAAGGGCATCGAACTTGTAGAGGTCGAAGCATTTGGCCACGCCATCCATATCTTCAGCGGGCAGGCTGCGGTTGGTTCCGATATCAGAACCACCCTCGTTGACCCAGCTGTCGGACTCCAGCCACTGCACCTCCCGAACGGAGCTAATTGGCTTGTCATTGTGGTGCCTAACAAGACCGGGGAAACCATTGTGAATAGCAAGGGGGGTGTGGCCACGGGTCAAGCAGTAGGCCACGGCAGCTCGAGTAGCCGGATTCATACCACCGGCGGGAGCACCGACGTGAATGATAGCAATACGCATTCTCTTGCCTTCGGGGAGGTGCAGTCTGGGGTGGTCAGGGGTGGCAGTGTTCAGATAGGCGTCGTAGTATTCCTTGAACTCGGCGTCGCGCATGTCCATTGCGGCGTCGAACTGCTTGCTCTGGATCTTCTCGGTAACATCCTTGGTGAGTTTCACCGCTTCCATCAGAGGAGTGCGCAGGATCTTGTTCTCACGGATGGTGATGACGGGGACTGGGGACTGAGGTGTCTGCTCTAGCACGGCCTTGACAGCCTCAACACCCTGCAGGGTGGAGAGCCAACGATCATAGGCACATGCTGCGCCACCTCGCTGGGTGTGTCCGAGCACGGTCGTCCGAGTGTCGAGTCCCAGGCGGTCTGTGAGAATATCCTTGATCTTTGAGCTTGAAATTTTGTTGAGCTGGCGGTCCTGCGCTCCCTCGGCGACAATCACGATGGTACGGCGCTTGCCTCGATCTTTGCGGTTCTACAATCGGGGCTCGTTAGCTTGGAGACCGATAGCCTCTCGGGGTGTCATCCACGTACCTTGGTGATCATGGCGCACATCTCATCCTCCCAGCCTTCTTTCGGGGGCATCTCTGGGATGAACAGCCAGTCGGCACCAGTACTAATGGCCGACATCAAGGCCAGCCAACCACAGTGGCGACCCATGACTTCGATAACGAAGCCACGCTGGTGTGAAAATGCAGTATCGAAAACGTCATCAACTGCATCGCAAATACGGGTCAGGGATGAGTAGCAACCGATGGTGGCATCGGTGCCGGACAGATCGTTGTCGATGGAGCCGACAAGGCCCACGATGTTCAACACCGTGTAGGGCTCAACCTGCTCCTTGGTCAATTCACCAGCCGCAACGAGGTCTGACAGCAGCGAAGGCCATTCCGCGCGGAAGACATCGGCACCGGTCAAACTTCCATCACCACCGCAAACGACCAGGGCATCGATACCGCGCAGGATCATGTTCTTTGCAGCCTTCATACGACCAGCACGCTCGCGGAAGGTCATGCATCGAGCAGAGCCGATCAAGGTACCTCCGCGCGACAGCCAGCCGCGAACATCCTCCCAGTGCAGTTGACGGATCATGTTTCCGCCATTAACCAGTCCCTCGTATCCTTCGTAGACGGCGTAGGCCTCGCAGTCGCTGTGAATGGCCATACGGACCACGGCGCGGACGGCGCCGTTCATACCGGGGGCATCACCACCAGAGGTCAGCACGCCGATGCGACGCTTCTTGGCTGGTTCGACGGGAATGTTGACGGGCTCCATGTTGGAATCGATTAGGACCGTGTCAGAGGTCGCGGTCGCAGAGCCAACGGAAAGGGTATCGAAGTGGTCGAATTGGATTGAGAAATTTACTATGCAGCGCGGGGAGTTAAGAAGCCAGTGGAGGGGTCGAACCCAATTCCGGTGAGATAAAACAGAAGTGGGGTGGTGAGGTCACAGGCGACTCCGTCTGAAGGTTTGGGTGGAGGACGCCCGGTAATGCGGAGCTGAGAAACCGGATGATAGATGAGAAGCTTGAGAGAAGTGACGAAAGGTCCAAGCCGAAGTACGAATTTTCAACCAAACCGCCGGCGCAGACGTAAAGCCAGTTGACTTGGATTTGGATTTGGACTTGACCCCCGTTGAGAGAAGCCGTGATCTGATGTCACCGATGAGCTCCCAGATCAAGACTAGCGCGGAACCACTCTGCGTGGGTGGTCTCGTCCCAATCGGGAGTTAGGGCTTAGGGCTATCCTCTATCTGATGCCAGCCTTCCAGCCTTCCAGCCTTCTAGCATTCTGTTAGTCTATATCGCACCGAACTGGGAGAGGCCAATCATATTATCAGTCATGGCAACGTGAGCGCGCCTCTCAAAATGGTGTTCCAGGAAACAGAATCGTCCAGAAAATATATCACGTTCCCAGTCTCAACGAAGAATGAAACCTAGCCCATTTTGAAACTGCATCATGTCACATATGGCTGCCTGTAATAGTCAATCAATGTTGCAATAAATGTAAAGTCCATCAGACAGCAGCGACAAAATGAGGGAACGACATCTCTCTGCTCTCTTGGGTCACAGATATCATCTTCGGTATGCGGTTTTCGAAGACAGGGCTTCGGGGTGGGTCAGCCGGTGCTAGTATAAAGCCACAAAGGGGAGTGGAGCATGTCAACCTGAAGCGGTGGCTGGTTTCAAGCCTTAGTTTCTCCGAGTATCAAATATATCCACCCGGACTTAGACAACCAGACCTTTGACCCTTGAGCGCCCGGGGGTATTTCCACCTCGTTTCATGGACTAGCCGGTCGAGCTGTCTAGAACTTCGCCGATCTCTCGGACGTTTCCCGCCTTTGGAAAGATGGTGATTTGACATAACCCCTAAGCTCGGTTCTACAGCAAGCCCGCGGCCCATCTACAGCCTATATTGATTAGTTATGCTCCTTGGCCAATCTATTTGGGAAAGGACTGATACAGGGGTGATCCAATTATCCGGGAATAGTCCACTATTTTGGCAGAACTCACTCACGGGCCGCAACGTGATGAAAGTGACGAGCTGGCTATAAAGTGACTATTGCCATCCGTCAATGCATCTTAAAATTCCCGGACAACTCACATCATGGTCTCCTTCACTTCGTTGATTGCGCTCCTCTCTGCGACCACTGGAGCTTTTGCCTCCACTGGAGACATTGAAAAGCGCTACTCCTCTAGCTCCACGGGAACCAACAACGGCTATTACTATTCCTACTGGACGGACGGAACTGCCGAAGCAACCTATTCCAACGGTGATAGCGGTGAATATAGCGTCACCTGGTCTGGTGATGTTGGAAACTTTGTTGCAGGAAAGGGTTGGAACCCAGGTAGCCAACGGTAGATCTATCTCCATCCCACATGATACTAGCTATGCATTGTTAACACTTCACCAGCACTGTTACCTACTCGGGTAGCTTCAATCCTGATGGTGAGACTTTTTGGATGACCCTTTAGCAAGGCACATTCTAATCCATGTGCAGGAAACGCCTATCTCTCCGTCTATGGATGGATGACCGACCCCCTCGTTGAGTACTATATTGTTGAGTCCTACGGTGACTACAACCCGTCTTCCGGGGGCACATACAAGGGCACCGTCACCAGTGATGGCGGTACCTACGATGTCTACCTGAACCAGCGGGATAACGCAGCATCGATCCAAGGAACAGCTACCTTCAACCAATACTGGTCGGTCCGCCAATCTAAGCGCGTCGGGGGTACTGTTACTACAAGCAACCACTTCAGCGCCTGGGAGAGCCTTGGCTTGGAACTTGGATCCTTCACCGATGGTGCCTACATGATCCTTGCCACGGAAGGCTATGAAAGCAGCGGCTCCTCGGCTATTACAGTCGAGTAATTGAAACAATTACCTTCTTGAGGTGGTTCATTTGTCGAATCAGGGCAAGAAACCCTTCCAAGGTTGAACCTGTACGGGTTGCAAGGAGCCCTAGAGGGAGACCTCGGAACTTCATGGTTTTCCAGCATCTGTTTCAAGTACATTTCCTCCGCCCATACCTGCCTAGCTCGTTGTGAAGATGGTTGTCCAACCTTACTTATGTAAGAACCACATGTGCACCTGGGCACCCCTACCCAGTAGGATTCTTGCGTTATCTTCAATCTAGAAATCATTTCCCCATAATTTCCGATCTTACCGTAGATGCGGTGGTGCAGTACGAACAACACACCAATCCCTCGAAACGAGGTTGGTGACACTGGCTCGAACATTTAGCCCCTTCGAAAAGCTCCGAGCTAACTGCAAAGAATTCCAGAACGTCAACAAAGAAACCGAGCAAAGTATAGATAAAGTACCTTCCACCAAATGGAGCTCACAATTGGCAAGGCGCGGTACGACGTACTCTATGACGCAAGCCACAACCCCGTGGTTTGCTGATCTGCGCGGTGGGCCCCGAACATCCCCGGGAGACTACCCATTGGCAGCTCTGACCATGATTCATCTGGGAGCGGCTCAAATCTACAGTACCGTACAAAGTTGGACCCTCGTTTCTGGGATGGCACCCAAACTCCACTTTTAGCTGGCTCAGCCAACCACACTGTTCTCGATTTTGCGAATGATGCAACCTGCATGGATTTCAGCTCCGATGGAGAGCCCTGCAGTTCTCCTCAGTAAATTATGGTCTACCCCGGTATAAAAGAACTCTCAATCCCCGAGTAGGCTATCACTGAACTGCCCTTGATCCTCAGCTTTCCACAGCAGTCTTCACGACGAACCTACCAGCATAATGGTGTTGAACGGCAAGGTCGCACTAATCGCAGGAGGAGTGAAGAACCTCGGAGCCGAATCAGCTCGGGAGCTTGCTGAGGCGGGTGCCGACCTGGCTCTTCACTACAACTCCGCAAGCAGCAAAAGCAATGCCGCTGAGCTAGAGACACAACTGAAGCAGAAGTACCCGAATTTGAAGGTCGCATTCTATCAAGGTGACCTGACCACGGCAGGCGCTGTGGAGAAATTGTTTCAATCGGTGCTTAAGGACTTTGGCAAAATCGACATCGTCATCAATACGGTGGGCAAGGTGCTGAAGAAGCCCATCACTGAGATCTCCGAAGAGGAATATGACTCTATGTTCGCGTAAGTGTCCATTTACTCAGGAACAGGCCTGAATGGCAGGACTGACATAGTGGCGCAGCATCAACTCCAAGGCTGCTTTTTTTCATACTCAAGTCGGCGGCCGCCCACATTGCCGATGATGGCAAAATCATCTCCATCGTCACAGCTCTTCTAGGAGCTTTCACCGGGTTCTACACCTCGTACGCCGGGTCAAAGGCGCCCGTCGAGCACTTCACCCGAGGCGTCTGCAAGGAGCTGCAGGCGCGACGTGTGAGCGTGAACAACGTGGCTCCCGGGCCGATGGATACGCGTAAGTTTAACCGGCATCTACCACAACTATTCATATTCTGAACGAACGCAGCCTTCTTCTACCCACAAGAGTCACCTGAGGCCGTCGAGTTCCACAAGAGCAACGGCATGGGCAACCGCTTAACAATGGTGCAGGACATTGCCCCTTTGATTCGCTTCCTCTGCACTGACGGCAAGTGGATTACTGGGCAGACTATTTTCGCCAACGGAGGATACACCACCCGTTAAACTGCGATACTCGGGCTGTTACAAAAGCAGGGGATCCTAGGAAACAATTTATGCTTTTGCTTTATAAATTAATCTAAGAACATACCAGTTGCAAATCAGAACAACTTCCACCGAGAAAGAGGTCTATCGTGGCAACCTTGAGAAATATTTTGTTCAGATTAGACCGGCCAAAGCGTAGCGATTGTTAAAAAAAATAGAGGGAAATGAAAGGGCAAAAAAGAGAAAGAAAAAAGGGGGCATTCGATTAGCTCGTGCCCTAGCAGATGGGTTTAAAATATGGTATTTTGGTGGTAAAAACCTAGTTCAAAATATAGTGGTCATCCGCTTGTGAATTGCGTTTTAACATGCGCGACCGAATGCGTCGCCTGAGGCAACAATTGTCCAAGATATCGTGGGGTGCATTGGGGGCCGAAGGAAATATTTTGGCGCCGAGGCCAAAGAGCCAAGTTCAGTGGACGAACGCAACCGTTTTCCGTTTCCCTTTCCCCTGTTTCGTGTTCTGCGCGAATCTCATTTTCGTTCGTTGACTTTGCATGATCTGCACGACCCACGGTTCCTCCCCGCGGTTTCTCCACAGATTTACTACTTGTCAGCTCATCTATCCTTTTCCCATTGACAAGTAGCACACTCAGGGGTATCAACCAAAATGATCCTAGAGATAAGTCTGAGCCATAAATTATTATGGGCCATCCCAAACAGAGTGCTCAACATCCTGATCAGTCCCTGGGGCCTGGAAAACCAGCCCGACCACCTGGTGCCACCGATGATCTTCCAAATTTGGAAGGGATAGACGTCCCACTATTCTTTGCTGTTTATTTTTCTGGTCTACCTCAGTCTCCCGGTCCTGGTATAGTTTCCAATCTCTTTTGATCCCTTCTTTTCTACTTGTTAACAGTAGTAACTAATTCCGAACCAGCTTCGCTACATACTCGGGCACGTCACGCCGACGCTGTTGATTCTCCAGGTATCTCAGGAGAATGAGGCCATACCGGAGAAATCAGAGAGAGTAATCAAAAAGCGAGCCAGTTTCAGAAACGTTGGAAACAGCTTTCGCCTCCTGTGTCGGGCTCAGGGTCTATACACTTTCATACGCGCACGAGTCATCGGCTCTATCTACCTGTGGACGACTAGTACTATCACCGGTACGCTACAATGGCTTCTGTTTCGACATGAATTGTTGAAGCCATTAGCTTACGCCTGTTCCTCTGCAATTTTATGTGAGCTCTATCTTGTTTTCACTTGTGCTACTGTCTCGGCCCAGCGCGTCCCATTTCTGTCTTTAGGCAGAAAATCTGGCCAGGACCGGTAGAAGCACCTGGTCATCCCAGCCTTGCTGTACGGTCTCTCCCAGGACTTAATGGAACAGCTCTACGACTTTGTGGCAATGGCTATCACTCTCCAGGAAGGCGAGACCTATACAAGCATTTGCGCCGCAGCAAAAGTTTTGGCCGTGATTATCATGCTTGCTTTCCGCTTTCTAGCACTTTTTCCGACATACATCACTCTTACTCTAGCGGAGGCAAAGTTTTTGCCCGCTGAAATAGAGACTGTGGTTCCGTCTTTGACCAAGGAGCGAGGTTTGAAGATCGGAGAACTGACTGGCGATGAGAAACCACCATTCGGTCTTGAGGCATTCACCAGTGTCCTTAAGCCCTTTGGAACGGCCAGGTATCTGCAGCTCATTGAACTTCATCGTAAGAAATGTTTTGCGCACATAGTCCTTGAGGTTGCCCTTATTGCTTTCATACTGGTGGCAAATCGTGTGTACCCATATGAAGGTGAAGGAATCGCTTAATTCTCCGGCGAGGGGTTTGGTACCTATCTTCCATTTACACTGCATTGATTCATAACGTAATCTCTCCGTACATAGATTGTTCTGATTTCGAATGTTACTGTAGTTGAGACTCTTCATCGATCGGAATAAACTCGTGGATTTGTGACTGATTTGAGCAAGTGTGCAAGACAATGATAGACTTAGAAAGGCTTTGATTAAGTGGTCCATACAGTGAAAGTGACTAGAGGTATTCTGACTGAAATGCTGTCAGTGGAAGATGAAAACAAAGATCGCCCATGTGAAGGATTGACTCACCATTTACACTCCATCACACTGGTGGCTTCCCTCCGTCGCAGAGTCTTTGCACCCGCTTGAGCAAAGCTTGGGGTGGCCAACGATGCCGGGGTTCTTGCAATGGAACAGAACATTCTTCAAATCCTCATTCTCGAGATCAGTTCCCTTGAGGACATCCGTCAGATCTGCTTCCGTGAAGCCTAAGTCATTAAATTAGTTGAAAATCATGCACCCAAAGAAACAACAACTCACCTTTGGACTTGATCAGAATATCGGAGCAATAATCAAAGCTTGGGGTGCAAGACTTGTCAGCCAGGCCGGTGGAGACCAAGGCAAAAATGGTGAGAATGACAGAGGAGAACTTCATCTTGGCTTTATTTTAGGGGATTGTGGAGATAGTGAGAGGTAGCTTGAAAGGCACAGGGGCAAAGAGAGTTTATATTTTCTGGTCAGAGAGAGATATTGCGGGAAAAACAAATGTCTTGCATTCCAATTTGCCCAAAAGGCTTGCCTCCGCATGTTCCTGTTGGAATGTTGTTTGGCATGTATCTACGCCATGCCGCATTCCAACAATGGCACCTGCGTATCTCCCTAAGCAATCCCCAAGTCCAACCAAAGAGTCACACGCAAAGAAAAGGTTGCGAAAGCTATTGAAACCATTGGTCGTTATTGAAAGAGCTCGACAAACCTTGAACGGCTAGATCGGTCTGTTTCTTTGACCGCGGGGAAACCTTGCCGACCATGTGAAGTCGTATGCAAGGAACGGTCGATCCCAGACAAACGTCATGCACTATTCTTATGCCATATCTTCCCTTGTAAAAATACCCGAAGGTAGGTCTTGCTAATTGGAGTTGGAATCCCCACCCTGAGATACCTTGCCCTGACCATCGACCCCAACCTTGGGCAGCCACTGACGGGCGGACTAGATATAATTTGAGTCAGGCCTAACACGCAATCAAAGCAAACTCAGCTCAATATGAATACACACCGAGGCTTGAAACCATGTCAAACCCAACTAATAGCAATGTTTTGCTCAAGTCGTCGCATTCAGTAGCTCCCGGGGATATTCCCAACGAGGCAGTTCTATCCGTAGCCGGAGCTTGTCATGATAAGATAGACCCCGCACATCCCAAGCCAGATTTTGCCGAATTATATATTGGCAAGCGCCGGACTCTTCACGTTCTGTAGACAGTTTAGCCAAGCACGAACTATAGGCTCGTGTTTGTATTTTGACTGCACTTGGAGCTTCATGATGGCGTCGCAAAAAGAGCTTGGTAGCTATTCCCCAATGACTGACCGACCCTCCATGGGTGGCCCATCAATCTACATAGCCATAAAAGCTAACAGCTTTACATTTATAGTCGCCAAGCTGGTCATGGTCGACCCTGGTCTACCGCGGCCCAATCCAACCCAATCATATTGGCAACACGTCCCCCATACCCTCGCCAATACGCAATCAGCCAGTTTGCCCACAGATAGAGACTTTGCCGTTATCGGATCAGGAATCACGGGTCTCTCTGTGGCCAAGACTCTATTAGAACGTCACCCGTCTGCGACTGTCACTATCTTGGAAGCTCGCACGCTCTGCTCTGGCGCGACGGGTCGCAATGGTGGCCAGATGGCCCCAAATGCGGGAGAAGAATATATGCATTTGGCCGAGACTCACGGGTCTGAGATGGCAGGCAATATTGCCAAATTTACATTTCGAAACTTGGAAAAAATGCAGGAGTTGATTAAGGAGTACGATGCCATAGAGACAAGCGAGATGCAGCTTCTCAAGAAGCTGCGAGTCTTCTTGACCGACGACGCGTTCAATGATTTTAAGAAAAGTATTGAGCGTCTGAAAGCAGAGCATCCTTCCTTGGGCGAGTTATACACAATTCTCGACAGGGAAAGCGTGTTGAAGGTCAGTACTTCACCCTTTCGAGAGATTGCGTATTCTAACGGAAAAAGGACCATGGAATTCATGGAGCATCTGGAGGTGCTCTTGTCCCGGCTGGCACGGTGTGGCCATACCGACTGGTCACCAAAGTGTTCGCAGCTCTCATGAAGAAGTACCCTGATCGACTGACCATTGAGACAAACACGCCGGTCGAGTCAGTCGAATATAGCGAAAGTTTTGCGACTCCGGTCACCTCTGTGTTTCCTTACGTTATCCAAACATCCCGCGGGCCGTTGCGAGCAGGAAATGTGGTTTACTGCACCAATGGACACACTGGACATCTTCTCCCTAAGTTGCGAGGATGCGTCCACCCTTTCAAGGGCACCATGACTGTGCAAGATCCTGATGCCACCGTGCCAAATCGAGGAGCATCTACATCCTGGGGCTTTCACTACCCGGAAAGATACGATCCCAAGACTGAGATCTGTGGCTACGGGCTGTATTACCTAGGCCAGAATGTCAAATCAGGATACTTTTACTTTGGAGGTGAAGAAGCCCGAATGGACGAGACTATATCTGCCGACGATAGTTTTGTAGGGGATTATTCGGTCACTCATCTACAGTCTGTGCTACCGCAGTTCTTTGGCAAGACTGCCGCAGCGCCATGGAAGTTGGTCAGCTCCTGGAGTGGAATCATGGGCTTCTCGTCCGACGGATTGCCTTTGGTCGGGCGTCTGCCATTGTCACTGACTGGTCGAAAAGGCACAGGAGAATGGATTGCTGCAGCTTTTAATGGCTACGGTATGGCCAATTGCCTGATGAGTGGCGAGGCGCTTGCCTTGACGATCTTGGGGGAAGATGTGAGCGACTGGCTTCCGGAGGCTTATGGACTTGGCGAGAAGAGATTGCGAGGGACTCTGACGCCTCCCGAGGCAGTCAAGGCATTAACCGCGAAACTCTGATTTTGATGTTGTCGGTTGTAAATGTATGTTGGTATGGTACATAAGAGGAAACATCAACAATCAACATGAAAGTAACTTTCATTAGACTGCGTTTATTCAGCCTTGGTAACATAGGGTATCTATCATTCTGACGCCTTTTCAATGCGCCAAAAATTTGGAGAAAATCTTTTTGGAGGGCCCCACTCGGGATGCCTCTCCGATGCGCTTTCGACCACGATAGCACACACCTCGATCTTGAGTAGGAAAAAGACAATGGCAAAAAGATGGACTCGCGGGGAATCGAACCCCGGACCACTCCCATGCTAAGGGAGTATTATACCACTAAACCACAAGCCCAATTGATGTGGGTCAATGAGCCGAAACTGGTTCAGGTCGGCAAAGGAGTGGAGTGTTCGGCCCGATCATGCTCGGCTCCTTTTACTCATCGTGAGACGCCTGAGCAACAATGAAGTTCATCATGGAAGACCCATTGTCGGGAGTGCTAGCCGAAATTGAGGGTGATTTCCATGTAGAAGGCTGGGAATGGAGAGACGGGCGTTCTTGGGCACCTCGTCCAACACCATCAATACTGCGTACAACATAACTCGAGAGACCCAACCCGGACCGAGTTAGGGAAACTTTCATCTTCTTGTGCTTTTCGGGGTTTTCTGAGCTCAGCAGAAGTTCTCCCAGGTGAGGATAAACTGCATCCCATTTGCACTTCCTAGAGCCTGTCGGTTCAGGGCTCTCTGCTTTCTTTGCTGGGAGTTCTTTGGATGCGATATTAGAAACGACATCGAGAAGGAGTAGATGAGTGATGGCGGACTCGACTTCATCTCTCATCCCAAGACGGCCAGGAGACTTGAGGTCGGAGACTGTTGGCAGATCGAACGAGACGTCAAAAAAGGTACCGAATGGCGGTCCTGATAAATTGGTCTGAATTGTAACAGCGAAAGAGCCATTTGGCGTGAGGAGCTGACCTCGGAAAACCGACTGGATTGGCCTCAGGAATTTCTCAACAAGAGCCTCAACCCTAGGCGCTACAGGAGACAGAGAGATCTGTTTCCAGGTCGAGAATGTGTCCGAAATATATTCCGCAGGTTCCAATCCAGACGATCGCAAAACACCAAATATATCACTGAAGTATGATTCCAACCATTTGACGCTCGATAAGTGCTGCAGATAAGCTAATGCGGGCCGAAGGAGATGGTATTCAGGAGTGTGTCGCTTCTTGGAAGTAAGCGGCGGCGGCATTTGGGTTCGTCGATGCATATTCTGGCGATGGGCAAATGCGAGAAGGAGGCGGATTGAGTGTGCCAGACCGTCCGCGAGAAGGCTGTCTCGCTGGGGGGAGTTTTGATCGGACTGGAGGCTGTCGTCGTTGCTGTCCACCAATTCCAACTGGATCTCCATTTCGTCAGAGGCGGGGATTCGAATGAGATTCTCACGTGTTGTGACGCCGGAGCTTGCCATAGACCGGGCCTCCCGAACTAGTTCGTGGAACAGCTCTTCCTCAAACACGGAGTCGCGCGCCTGGAGAATGCGTTGCTCGATCGTTTCAACATCAGGCGAGGTAGATTCAGTCGGATTCGAGCTTGTAAAGACATTAGACCCTTGCTTCACATGAACTCGGACGAAACGTGACCCAGAAGGTATCAAGCCCTTGTCCAGGATCAAGCTTCCATTCTCGGCCCGTCGAAGGGAAGCAAGTCCACGGTCGCGGAAAACTGGCGTGGCTTCCAGGAATCCGTACTGAACACCCAACGCTTGCCTTTCACGAGGCAATCTGCAGACCTTCCAGCCATTCTCTTTGATAGCCAGAACCTCATTCCAGTATCGTGTCTCTGACGTGATTTCACCTTCAAGTCTCGTGGAGGTAGTTAACAGCTTGTTGGCCGCCGAATTGAAGTTCTGTGTCCTCCATCCTCTCGATACAGTCGAAACATCTTTCGAAGCCGATTCGGGTTTCGGGGGAGGGTTGACGACTTCGGAATGGAGGGAACCGACAGGTGCGATTTGCTTCAAGTACGCGGACATGGAGGTTTCGGCCTGGCGTGGAGCATGCTTAGATAGCAACAAGGAGACGAAGTCGAGAGCAAACGTGGTCTCCATGTGAGATTGCCTGGTCATTCGGTCAGCGATCACGTCCTCAAGATATTCAATGGCGAAATGACAACGGACATGGCGAATTGAGTGATGTCGGCACGCCGCTTGTACAGCTGCTCGAGGCGCTCAGTCGTGTCGACATCAGAGGACTCCCCTTCGCCATCCTCAGATAGCGCACCGTCTCGAGCTTCCTCCTCGGCAATTTTCGCGCGAAGGACTTCCTCGTTCACATCGCGAAAGGAACCCCACTGGCTGTTGATCTGGGCGATCTCCACGGGGAGAGTGTCGGGGCGGTTTTGCTGCTCCACAACCGGGCGCAGGGGGAGGGTGAAGGAATCGGCCATGGTATTCGTAGGCAATATTCCCCCAGCTGCGCTCCAGAATGACAGTCGAAGAGATTCAAGGACGACCTGGCCCGCGGTGCTGGTCTGCACGTGACTCGGCGATAACAGCGACGATCGGCGTTTAATCGCACTTTCTTAGTTTCTTGGTTCTTTCACTTTTCAACTATGAGATCAAAAATACACTATCGTTCAAAATCCATTTGATATTCTAATGCTTTGTGCAGTAAGGTGACTGCCCTATAGCCTGAATTTATTTCACTAATGAGAGCGCTGGCGGGTCTTGACAAAGTCCACAAGATCGAAGAAACTCTTCTTGTAATACCTTTGCTGGGTAGTTCGATTCACCTGTGAAATTGTTAGCTTAGATACTGTTGATTGCGACTTGATAGTGAAACACACCTTCTGAATTCCGAACTGAGCGGAGTAATCGCCAAACTCCCAATTGTCCATAAAGCTCCAGGCCAATGCTCCCATAACGTGTACTCCGTCTTCATAGATAGATTTCAGGATTTCCTGCATAAAAGAGGCGTAGTAAACACTTCGAGGTGAGTCAAAGAGCTGATCTGATAGCTCTTTGTCCGCTTCTCCATAAACCGGGAATCCAAACTCGCTCACAAACACGGGGGTCTTGAAGGTATTCCACAGGTAGAATAGATATTCCCGGAAGTAGGTAGGCGTTATGTAGACATAACTGACTGACCTATAGCCTATGTTCCAGCCAAATGTGTTCTTGGTCTCCTGGTTGACGCAGAAGGGGAACAGAGAGTTGGAGGCCGAGTGGTTTCCGGCACAAGCTTCAATACCCTCGTCGGCCGGTGAAACGACTGTTGCAGTATATGGATCAATACCAAAGAAATCTGAGGTTCCATTGATATACTCCAGCTCCGTATGATTCAGCGGCCTGGCACCTGGCATGGTCTTCAAAACAGACTCTGGGTATTGTTTTCCGAGGAAGATAGGATTAGCGAAGAATCCTAGCTGCATTTCTTGGAATCTGTTGGCCGCTTCCACGTGTGAGGCGTTGTGGGGGTTTTTTGGCACGCCAAAGTTATCATTGAACTTAATACCCATTCGGCCAGTTCCTTTTAGAATATCGTGATAGAAGTGGTACATTTCAGCATGAGCATGAACAACATTATCAACACCTTGGAAATTGAAGGCGTAGAGCAAAGGTTCGTTGAAGGTTATCCAAATCGGCACCTTTTCGGCATAGTGAGCTAGGAGAATCTTTCCGTAGTTCACGAAGGCGTCTACGAAAGTCGAATTCTGATAGCCGGCATTGTTGTACCCGATATCTGGGTGTCTCGCTGCAGAGATTTAGAACCTTCGGTACCTTGCCGTGCACGTAAAGAAAGACTTACTCATGTTATCACTCGCGATGAACATCAGAGGACTGTCAAAGTGTAGCATGGTGACAATCGGCTGCATGCCAGCCTTGAGAACGGTGTCAATCAAATCATCGTAGTGGTCAATTGCCTGCTTGTTGACTGGTGTTCCGGGCAAGACAAATGGCAAAATACGGGTCCATGGGATCGTGAAGCTGTAGTACTCGACTCCCATGGCCGCCATGCGCTCAATGTCCTGCTTGTACAGGAAGTAATTTTCGTTGGTGATGTAGTCCTTGGGTTCGCTGTCAGGGACCAATTTTTCCAGTAAAGATGGAGAGCGACCCTCAAGGGCGACAGCTCCTTCGATCTGAGCAGCACTTCCGGCAACGCCAAACACAAAGCCGTCTGGGAAATCATAGCAGTCCTCCGGGACAAAATAATCGCTCGGAGGCAACACCAACTCGCTGCTTGGGACCGGAGTAGGGCTGATAGTGGTGGAATATAAGCCGGTCGTTGTCTGGAAGGTATGAGTATACGCTTATGCAGGTTCAGAGAGAATCACGAACGTAATTATGTAGATCCGCCTCGAGCCACATTGATGACCATGCTGCCTGTCCATATGGATCAGCAGTATCAGTGGCACTGATTTTTGAATGACCTGGAAGCCAACTTCCCCATGTCGATGTCGATAACGATGTCAAATGTTTTGCTGCATCTGTGTAACCTGGTCCATACGACCTAGTCGACGTTGGAGGAGGCATCGAAGTTGCATATCTAAGACATAAGCGGGGAAGTGTGAATTACGAGGGCCACTTACCGAACTGTCGCATTGAGGGTGTATGAAAATGGCTGGAAATAATAGCTTGGCGATGCAGCTGCTTTGGTGCACTGAGGACGCGCTGAGTTGCCGGTGGTTGTGAGGAAAGCCTCCTGTGCCCCAGCGGCCACAATCAGGCCAGTGAGACAGACAGTTGTGCCTAGCATCATTTTTATTTACGTTGTATAGTTTATTCTTTCGGTGCCTGGCGCCCTTTAATAATTTTTCGAAATCCTTGGTTCACTCCTAGTCCATGACGCCCCACCCCCGCAAGCATGATGTAGTAAATTTTCGGTTAAATGTCGGTTTACTAGAGCCTTGGAATTGCGAGGCGGGCAGAGCCGTTCAAGTTCTGAATTGGCTTCCGAGAGTATAGATCGGCAGCTCAAAGCAGCCTCGTTACGTAGCACTTCGGGAAAATAGCTACATTACCCCACATCGGGGAAAAATGCAGAGCTGCATCGGGGAAACAAATTTCCCCGCATTTGTGAATGGTGCGCATTAATGCGGATTTCCCAAGATGATGATCCCCACACGCGGAACTTTGCAATTTCTTAAACTCTTGGCATTCATGAGGTCGGGAATTCCGAGTATCGCTGCCTCAAGGTGGATTCTTCCGTTCATTTGACTGAATTTCAGTCCCGGAACTTCCCCGAAAAACAACGAACTTTTGTCGAGTATAGATTAAAGAGCACTTCAAATCTTCGAATCTGTCAGGGAGGCCATATTCTTGCCTTACTGGAGCAAAGGCAGGCTCGTTCGAGGTCTCTAATATTCTACGCTCCCTGCAGCTCTTCACACTATTGCTGATACAAGAAGTTCCTAAATGCGATGAATCATCGCTGGCCTTTTGGGCTGGGATGAGTCCATTTAATGTAGGCTTTAGTACTTTTCATATCCTCAGCAATTGGGTAGGATGACACAAGAAATACATTAAAGCTGCATGATTTCTTCTTTTGAGTCACTAGAATAATACGAAGATTATTTATTTCCTATGGTTGAATCATCTGGTCAATAGCCAGCTGTCGAGAGTGAAATTAATAAAAAAACGTCCCAACGCGCCCTTTCACCTACGCAGCCAGCCAGCTATCCATGATCATCACAGACACGCCCGTGCTAAGCAAGATTGCAGCCGATTCATGCTGTCCACAAAACAACATAGCAGCATGTTGACACCAGATCCAGTTTTTCGAGCAGCATAAGCTCGTACCAGGGGAGTAACTTCAGAGGCGGAAGAGAAGATAGGAACACCAAAAGCAGCAGAGATCGAGCTAAAATTAATCTGCTAAAGTTCTTAATGGGGAAGCTGTTCAATTGGTATCCATCCAGGAAGTTGTAAGTACTTGAAAGGTAATTCAGATCGGGCAGGATGATTGATGGCCGCCATTAGCATCTCATTTACCAAGGAACTTCGCCTCCAGGATACTGATTGTTTCCTTCTGCCTCCTCCCATCCGGGAACATGGATGTTTACAAACTTTCCATTCTGCTCAGGGGTTGCCTTCTGCACAATATCGATTACTTTCTCCGCGCCAGTCTCAACGGGGAGATCTGCGTAAGAGCTTCCGAGGTCGGTGCGCAGCCACTGAATAAGTTAGCAAACACAACCAGAGGACTACAGAGGCTCTTTATACTCACACCTGGACTAACAGCGAGAAAAGTGAAGCCTTCCTCCGCATAATCTTGGGCATATTGTACATTAAGCATGTTCAATGCAGCTTTGGAGATCTTATAGGCGGGACAACGTCCCTGTGCGTAAACTTTGGCCGTGGCAATGGAGCCTAAAGTAGTCGATCTGCAAGCCTATTAGCTGGCATCATGATAGCCATATGGTAACTGGCACTCACATGTTGATAACAACCTTCTTTTGTCCCTTCCGAAGAAGAGGCAGGAAGGCTTGCGAGACCAGGTGAACTGCAGTGACATTCGTGTTGAATATTTCATTCAGATTATCCCTAGGTTAACCGTATTAGAAGAAGATTTAGACAGATTTCTCGATTCGCTTACATCCCCTCCAGCCCATTCTTGGACGAATCCATCACGCCTGCATTGTTAATGAGGTAGTCAAGCCCCTTGCCTTGCAATTTTTGCTCTACCGACTTGATAGCCTCCTCAACGCTGGCCTTGTCGGTGACATCCAGTTTGACGAATTCAACGCGTCCCGATGAGGCGCTCACGATCTCCTTCAGCTGAGACGAGTTGTCTTGGCGCGCGGTTGCGATGATGCGCGCGACTTCGGATTTTGGCAGTGAGGCCAATCGGGAAACGAGCGCCAGACCGAGGCCGCGGGATGAGCCGGTAACCAGATATGAAGCCATAGCCTTTTGTTTGAACCAAGTTTGTTTCAATGTTGGATGTTTGAAGATCGTGTTGCGAGGGTGGCGAGAGCTGCTTACTCTTATAAATAGTGGGTTCGTCTGCCGTGGAACGACGTAATCTCCGCGTTATGTCTTAAGTCCGTTCTCAGCCACCTGAGGCCTTCTAGATGCAATTTGTAATCTAACACCTCGCATCGGAGAAGTTCCCGAAGCTTCGAAATAGTGCAATTGTAGTTTATACTAACGAGTTATACACGAGAAAGTGCTGCAGTGCTTGGGAGAATAAGAAACCGGTTTATTTGCAAGAAGTGACGTTCAGAGTCGAACAGAGACAGGTGGATATATTGACATGAAATAAGACATCTTTTGCAAAGTGATGTTGCCATCCGCTGATGACAATTATTATATGGTCGATTAATGTATTTGTGCTGAGAGTTCCGTGGAAGGGCTAGTGAGCTCGAGATCAAAAGCTGTCATCCGTAGGACCTCGCTCCGCTCGGTCCCGCATCGGAACATTTTCAACATCCGTTTCGAGGCGGAAGCCGTTGCGCACCTCGTCAGTCTTCCGTGTATACGTCCAACTATCGACGCCTAGTGAACTAGGGAACCCAATGCCGCGAAGGAAAGCCCTTCGAGGGCCCCGAGGTCCCCAAGCCCAGCCCGCTCCGCGTTGGATCGGGAGATGGTACATGCGGAAGCCAATATAAGCAAAGAATATACCAAGGGCAGAACCGAAAAGGATATCGAACCCGTGGTGCCTGTAGTCCATCCACCGAGAGGCGGCAATAAAGCAGGCCGTGGCTGTGGGCACAAAAGCCAAGATCATCAACAGGACTGGAGGAGCCGCGCCACGCATACGGACGGAAGAACGATCATCGCTGAAGTCACGACCTTCGATCGGGTATTGCGGTAAGTAAGGGAAGGTGACGGAGAACTTCGAGGCCAGCCAGAGGGTCAGGTAGCCCAAACCGGCGAAAGAGACTGCAAAAGGAGTCGGTCAGTGAGCCATAGCCAACCAGGTGTAGTTTAGGACATACAGGAAGAGTGGCCGCTAGGGAAACTTGAAAATGCATCGACGCGCACCAGATCAGACTGAACCCGGCAGATTGTCCAATCGACAAGCACTGCGGCGCCTTTCAAACTCTCACCGAGTCCACCGACCACATGAGAAGCAATGTCGCTCACATCGGGGTTGCAACGCGCCAGCAGATCAGGGCGAGGTTTTCCGACGAGACTCTTGAGTCCTTCTGTGGACGTCCAGGCGGCTGCTAGCGCCAAAGCAAGACCCAGCCAGCCAGCATTCCACTCCCATATTTTGCGACGAATCAATTGCGACTTGGAGGACTTAGCTCCATTATCGACGGCAGTCCCGGGGACGAGCGCGAATGCTCCGAGAAGGACAATCACAGCCGGTGCAAAGAGTCCAACCAGGACCAAAGTTTCGGTCGTCACGGTCTCGTTCTCCATATAAGGAAAGGAGATGCTTGGGTCGGCGAGGGAAAAGGGGTGGTGATTTGGTGTGACCTTGGAAAAGCCATATCCGATCAATGCGAGGCCGCTGGGTTCAAGATTCCAAAGTTAGTTGATGGGGGGAAACAAGTCGCGGGTGGACGTACACAATGAACACCCAGTCGACAACGTAGGACAACACCAGCAGCTTCGAGATATGCGCAATCGCGTCCTTGGGCGACATCCCGGTGGGCGCGCAGAGTGTTATGGAATGTACCTGGTCGGGACAACGGCCTTGTATGGGATTATTTCACCAGCTGCGAACTGACGACGGACAGCCAACACCGCGTGCTTGATCGGCGCTAGGCAATGATCCCTTGAAGCTTGAAACGGTGGGTTTTGCGCCCCTTTCAATACAAACGAGGAAATTGGTCAACGCAGACATAGAAGCGAAAGGAGGAACATGGGATCACAGGACTAAGACTAAATTCAGGGACAGAACGTCACTGCCAAACGCTTAGTGGCTGTGCGCATGTTCAGAGTTTAATCCCAACTTGGCAACTGGACAGGCGCTCGATCATTCAACGGGGTATCTGGCTGCCTGTGCACCTGTATCTGCATCTATTTGAATTTACGATAGAATCACTTGATTCTGATCCAGCACGATGAGTCCCAGGCCAGTTCTCTACGTCCTCATAGGAACGATCATTTATACGATCGGGGTGTACCTGGTCTGGGCACTCGTCACGATCGCAACTAGTGAAACTAGTGAACGCCCCGCACCTAGATTGCCTTGTATAAGCTCCCCTGATTGTAAATAACAATAATATCCTTACAAGTATTTAAGACACAGCTCGTAAAATCCAGAGGTCTTCTTAAGATTACTCCATATTTGCCTTCCTATACAGTCATTCCACCATCCACTTCCAACTTGCCCAGGTGGTCCTAGTGATGAATTTTGGTCTCGTCGGGCGCAAGGAACAGGCACCCGTGAGAACCACCCGAGGCTTCACAAAGACGCTGGAGAGGTACAGTACAGTCAAAATGAACTATGCTAATGTTTCCGGTGTATTTGGAAAGCCAGAAAATAACTCGAACTTATCCTCAGGCGGATTTCTGATTCATACAACTGCAAGAGTAGTGCTTAAGGCGATATATATACGTATAGTTCTCACTCGCTCATTAAATATTAAATGGGAACAAAATACCTACCATGTGGCCCTCTTTGGCAGCGGAGAGAGTAGAAGACGTAGAACTATTCATTTGAAGGCCCTAGTGCCCATTTGTTGGGCTATTGATTGGCCATGCACTTGGAAGATTGAAAGAGCGCCATTACCTCTGGGAACCCGATGAGGAACGGCAGTACATGGAAAAAAGGGAAAACATTCTTTTCATTATTAATACATGAGTTTAAATTATTTCTTATCTATTGGGCTTGTGGTTTAGTGGTATAATACTCCCTTAGCATGGGAGTGGTCCGGGGTTCGATTCCCCGCGAGTCCATTTTTTTGCCCCTCCCAATTTCAAGGGCTTGGATTTTGAATCTTATTTATCTTTCTCTGCTCTTGCATACATCATCGTGTGTGATTCGCTCGCTAGGAAAAAGGAAGAAAAGGACGCATTCCGGGAAATTTACTCTTCCCAGTTGAAATTGATCACAATGCGACCGGCAACTTGTCCTCGGCGCAATTTTTCCACGGCTTCGGGCAATCGGTTTATGGGGTAGACTTCGCTGATTTGGCGAAGCATGCCTTTCTAGTCATTAGCAAACGGTGTCCGGACTTTCTAAGATCTGTTAATGGGCTTACCTCTTCTGGCAAAATCTAGAGCAGCTGCCGTGTCACGGCGGCTGCCCACCAAGGTCCCCTTGATGCTGAGGTTCTTGAATATGTACTCACAAGGGTCGGTCCCAAGGATCATCGACCCCTTTGGCGGTAATCCAATACACATCACTATGGACCCGACTCGATCTCCGACGTAGGAGGTAGCAGTTTTGTATGCGGCCGGAGCAGTGACGAATACGCCATGGACTCCAACACCATCTGCAATATCAATTACAGACTGGGAAGGGTCCTCTGACTCCTGAAAATCAACAAAGGCTTCAGCTCCCATCTCGATCGCCAACTTGCGTTTATCGGCCCCAGTATCAACCACGATAGGGCGCATCCCAAAGGCCTTGGCTAGCTGCACGCCCTGTATTCCAACACCACCTCCACCACCCGGGAAACATACCCAAGAGCCAGCCTTGAGATTGGATTCAACGATCGATCGGTAGATTGTGCTTGCGCTGCACATTATAGGGGCGGCAATCTCATCGGGCACTCCATCGGGAATTGGAGACGCGTACCGGGCAGGGGAGACAAGATACTGCTGGTAGGTTCCTAACAGAAGTGAGACCCCGATCCTAGGAAATGTTTAACAATAATAACTAACCAGCAGTCATGAGTCCGGTGTGAATAGCCTTTTTGCAGTAACACTCCTTGTCGTCCCAGCACAGATGGCAGGCATGACATGTGTCTGTGAGAGGTTTGATACCAGCTCTGTCACCCAGCTTGAAGGTCTTCACATTGGCACCAACTTTGACAACGACTCCCGCACCTTCATGACCCGGTGATCGAACCCCAAAAGTTGACATAGGTGGCGTACCTAGATCACCTTGCATCATGTGGATGTCGGACGAGCAAAGGCCCGTGAAGTTCAATCGCAACAAGATGTCATCAGGTCCTATATGAAGGTCTCAGTGACTGTTTCGGGAAATAAACCTGATCTGCAAATTTACCTGGCTCAGGGACTGGCACCATTTGCACCTCGACATGGAAATCTGGTCCTTCATTGACGACCACGCCAGCCTTACAGTGAGTAGGAATCTCATAATCCGGCATCTCTGTCACTGAACCCATTGTGTTCTGTTTGTTGTTTATGCTCTTGCTAAATATTGACCAGCGAGGTTGGAGTGATGGTATCACTTCCTAAGACAAGAGGGGGTATATGAATCTCGGGGCATAACCGATCCAGCACCGAGGTTGGCGGCGGAATATGTCCGCTGCAGCTGCAACCCCTCTTTTTAGACGTGGGATGCTATCATGAATCCGTTGGCATATTTAGGTAGCCCCTCTTCTTCGGCGCAATGAAAACGGGGCTCCCCTTCATCGAAAAAGTGGGGAAGTACATTCTCCATATAGCCGGCGGAGAGCTGTAAGATTATCTATGACCCAACGGCTACTCTGTTGGTTACTCGTGAAGTTTCAGGATTGAGACGTGTCAACAATAGAACGGAATTATGTATTCAATCGCTATTCACAGAAACTCCAATCCACGCCCAGCAATGAAACGAAGCACCCTCAGCACTGAGCACATCACGATAAAAAGAAAATAAATCAATCCCAGACCATCCAGCCACACGATCCACCAATCAGGACCATCGTCATTGCTGTCAAGATACCAGCACCTGCCCTGTCCGCGGTCGTGATTGAGAATGACAAGGCTTTTGGCTTTGGCTGTTGGGGCTTCCCACCGGCATTAGGATTTCCCTTGCTAGTACCGCCGTTATCATCGGTAACTGGCGGAGCCACCTTGTTGATGAGGTTAGACTGAATCACATCAAGGGAAGCCATCTGTTGACCGAAGTCTTTGGTGTTGTCCCATTTCTGCTCTGTCCATTTCAGGCCGCAGGTTGTCCCATCACTGCCACCAGTGCAGCTCTTGGCTACTGCCTTAGCGGTAGCCTTTAGCTTGGGCATAATTTGATCGTAGGTAAATGGTGCCATCTGAGTGGTGGCAGCCATCCATCGTGCGAGATAGCCCTTGAACGAGCGCTGATCCACCATGCATGTATTTACCGTCTCACAGGCACGCTCGTACATGACGTTTTCAGGGTTCGTTGCGAAGAAGATGTCAGAAGCATCGAGGACCTTCTGCACCCGTTCCTTCCACTTGGGATCTTCTGTCTGGTGGAGAGTTAGCTCATGATCTAAGGAAAGTCAAAATAGGCTGTGCAATACTTACTGCGTTGTACATGTTGGCTGCGCCGAGCAAGTAGACGCCATTGTTGTATGTCCACTCGATTTTGTTCATCTCTTGGCAATCAGTCAGATCGCTTGCGCCATCCCAGAAATGATACTCGTCGGTCATGAAACCGACTTGTCTGGTCCAGTCCCAGGCTTTCTCTGCCCAATCAGCGTACGTTTGGTTGCCGGTATACTTGTGCAGGCGCGCAGCGATGTTGAAAAAGCCACCCGTCGAGATGGTGTTCTTGTAGCTGTAGCCGTTGTTCCAGGTGAAGATCTGCCAACGCAGTCCACCGCCACATGTACCGGGGTCCCATCGTGATGCCTGAGTATTGAAAACAGCCTGAGCCATTTCGAGCCATTGAGGCTGGCCGCTGGGAGGGTTGGGGAAATTGCGCTCGGCAGCAGACATCGCAGCGAATCCCCAAAATGCTTGATCATCATTTCCTTCTGTCTTACTCTGGTTGCTAGGCATAAAGGCATAATTATCACCTGCCTGCCACAGCATACCCTGAGTGGTGATATCGACCCATTTCGTGTCGCCGGTGTAGTACCAGTAGTCGATCAATGCGTTGAACATAGCACCGGCCTCCCACCAGTAATATGGATCGGGCAGGTTACCCGGGTTATCGCCGGGATTCATACCGGTGTAATAAGTCATCATGTTGTTCGCGACTTGTTTCGCAGCCTTCTTGATGGAGACTGTGATCGTGATATCCATTAGCTACCGATCACAAAGTGTGTAATACCGCATCGCACATACGCTCATCATCGAGATCCAACTCAACAGCCCCAACTACCTGTAAGCCCATAAAGGTGGCCGTCAGGAGACCCGCCCATGAGGAGCGGGATGCCCGTCCAGTCAGGCGCATGATGGGCGATTTAGTCGTAAATCAACAAGGAAAGGTCAATTCCATGCGCCCCGCGAGTGCCGATTATGTTGATGCTTGGTGAGACTTCAAGATAAGAGGGAGTTCTTCTTGCGCAAAGATTGATGCTTGGTAACCTGTTTGATGCTGCTAGTTGTGACGACCAGGCATTTCCAGGCAGAAGAAGAGACAAAGAGGAAGAAGAGTTCCAAGGCGTAACGTCAGCGCCATGAGGAATAGTGAGAGGGGCTACGTGGATCAATTCAGCGCATTCCTCAACACCAGGAGTGCTGGCATGGTAACAAGGCGTGTATCCCTCGAATCACCTTGCCCTAGACAGGAGGAAATGGGGCAAAAGGGACAATACTCGGCCGCAAGAAGCATTTTAATTGCCGTATCCTATCATTGCCGCCGGAAGAAGGCTGTGGTAAGCTGAAAGTGCAACCTTGGACCTGATACCGATGGTTCGATCCATGGTTCTGAAGCCTTTCGGTCCACGATAGGGATCGGCGAGGAATGCGGGCGAGGAGCTGTCAAACAGAGGTGGACGATCTGTTCAGGGCCGCAAGAAGAGAAGTGTGAGTATGTGAGCCAATAGATCAATCTTGCTAAGGCTAAACTGGAGTCGATGCGGGAGCGGTTTGTCGCCGAAAACAAACGGGATGCAACTATCGACGCATGCCGATGTTGTAACCTCTATCCCTTTCCGGCAGGGAGAGGTCAAAATCCTAGGCCTCGTCCTTTCTCCGCTCCTGACTGACGAGTTAAAGGCCTTGTAAGGGGGTATAATGGAATTGTCGTCTGCTTCAGGTGTACCTTAGTTGATGATAAAACGTGTCCATGGCAAACATGGGTCCCTGCATGGAAGGCGCCGTGTCGACCTTGGAACAACGTTGAGACTCCGTACCAAGGGAAAGGATATAAATTGAACTATGGAAATAAAAAGACCACTTGAGAATTCCACAGGACTTGAAACCAATTCTTCGTCAAGTCTTTTGTAGTTATAAAATTTAAAGTTACTAACTTATTTTCGACACCTGGTTATTCGGGCAACAACACATTTTTCAGGTCATTTTCATATTTTCTTTAAACCAGTTCTGTTGTCGCAAAGAAATACATAAACCTATAAGCCTCTTCATTCAATTCTGTAACAGTGAATCTCATATCTAGGCAGGTTCTGTGGTGCTTAGGTACTTGGGCGCAGCTGCTCTATTTCGCGACATAAGCCACCTAACATGAGCAAGTACATATTGTTTTCCCTGGGTCAACGTTATTCTGCGTAGTATCTTTTATACGGAAAGCTGATTGACTGGTAGGCGTGAATAATTGCCGATTTCCTTAAGCTCGACCAAACTTGATTTATTGATCGGCGCCACGTTGGGGTCCGACTAGAGACCGGGGCCCCTGTCAAGGGCTTTGCGGCACCGATCCAGTCGCCCAAACAGGAAATTCCTGGCTTATCCTACGGCTAACCGGGGAAAATCCTACGGTTTACCGGGATCACCGACTTTACTAGTCCTGACTGAGAAGGTTTCTACATTTTAAACCTTCAATCTACTACGGTCGTAGAACCCCCTCTTCTGATCGCTGCTCTTCATTGCAACTTCACTTCATCTGACACGCAGAGATCAACAATAATACTTATATGATAAACCTGTGCTGTTAACAGCCAAACTAACCAAACCGATTAACTCTCAGTAATAAACTATCCCCATGCGTGCATTTATACACCGACTCTGTGCCCTGTCAGTGGTGCTGGCCGGGGTGCACACAGCAAACGGCAAGCCAGAAGCCCTTGTCTCATCGCCAGGTGATACAGCAGTCATTCCAGGATGGAGTCTCCAGTCCGCCACCCGTGTAGATGGCGACTTGTCCGCCTTATCGAAGCCGGGGGCTCAAACCGGTACATGGTACTCGGTGAGCTCCCGCGGAACCGTTATGGCTGGATTGATCCAGAACGAAGTGTACAAGGAAGACGACATTTTCTATTCCAACCATATGGAGAAACTCGCAGGGCAAGCAATCTTCAAAGCACCCTGGATATATCGCCAAGAGATTACACTTCATCCGAAATCCGAGAATTACTTCGCACTGAAGACGCATGGGATAACGTCGAAAGCGGACATTTACTTCAATGGTGCCCTTATTGCGTCTAGTGAAGAGCAACAGGGCTCGTATGGAGGTCATACTTATGATTTGACAGACCATGTGAAAGATGGTATCAACTGTGTTCTGATCCGGGCTTATCCCACGAACTATCTTCGTGACTTCGCTATGGGCTTTGTGGACTGGAATCCGTACCCAGCTGACAATGGTACCGGCTTGTGGCGCAATGTGGAGGTTTCACAGACGGGCGCTGTTTCGATGTCTCCATTCCGAGTGATCACTGATTTTACCAAGCCTGGCATGGGTGACACGGTGAGTGTAACTCTGAGGACCAAGCTTGTCAATCACGCCGCAACGTCCGTGCAAGTCACGATGAAAGCAAGGATTCATTGTCCGGGTGGTACTGAGGCAGGCTCGATAACATATGGAGTCAAACTCGAGGCTGGTGAGCAAAATATCGCCTCAGTGAGGGTTCCGATTCAGAATCCCCAAATTTGGTGGCCCGTTAGTTGGGGACTCCAGCCACTCTATACCGTCCAAGCTGGCATATTCACAGGGAATGGAGAGGGCGAGCTATCGGATATATCCCCCCTCCAGGAGTTCGGTATCAGGCACGTCTCGTCGACGGTAAATCAATACAACGACACCGCATTTAGCGTTAATGGCCACCCATTCCAGGTTCTGGGTGCAGGGTATAGCTCAGACATGTTCATGCGCTTTGATGAGAAGAGAGTTGAGAAAATTTTTCGATATGTGATTCATATGGGACTCAATACCGTTCGCCTTGAGGGAAAGCAGGAGCACCCGGAGCTATACACGCTCGCTGACCGTATGGGCATTATGGTGCTAGCAGGCTGGGAATGCTGTGATAAGTGGGAAGGTTGGGATTATAATTCCGATGCTGATGGTGTCAAATGGGGAGAGACCGACTATCCCATCGCTCGAGCTTCCATGCTTCATGAGGCGGAGATGATGCAGGCTCATCCGTCAATGCTCGGATTCCTGGTGGGATCAGACTATTGGCCTAACGACCATGCGACCACGACCTACATGGATGCTCTGAAGAAAATGGACTGGCGTAATCCTGTTATTGCATCAGCGAGCATGCGTGGGTTTCCAGAAGCCCTTGGACCATCCGGAATGAAGATGGACGGTCCTTACGACTGGGTGCCGCCCAATTACTGGTACGGCGAGGACGAGGGAGCTGCATTTGGGTTCGGGTCCGAACTGGGCGCTGGTGTTGGAACGCCTGAAATGGGAAGCTTGAAGAAATTCCTTTCCCAGAACGATATGGATCAGCTCTGGAAGGAGCCGAACATAGGTCTCTACCACATGTCCAGCAACGTCTCGTCATTCTACAATCGGGAAATATACAACGAGGGTCTGTTCTCTCGATACGGGAAGCCCACCAGCGTTGATGACTACATTGCGAAGTGTCAGATGGCAGACTATGAGGCCACTCGTGCGCAGTTCGAAGCGTACTCAGCTCGCCAGAACGCATCGCGACCAGCGACCGGCTCGATCTACTGGATGTTGAATAGCGCCTGGCCTAATATGCATTGGCAACTCTTCGACCACTATCTCAGTCCCATGGGAGCTTACTTCGGCACTCAAGTCGGCACGCGCGAGGAGCACGTAGCTTATGACTATGAGAACGAGTCAGTCTGGCTGATCAACCATTCTTTGGAGACGGAAGGAGATCGAGAGATCACAATTGATCTCATCGATACCAACGGAAAGAAGATCTATGGGGATAAGGTCAAAACTCGTACCAGCCCACTTTCATCAAAAGAAGTCCGAGACGTGAGTGGTATAGACAAGATCACGGATGTCGCGTTTTTGCGCCTAACGCTGTATGATGCGAAGGGAAAGGAACCCCTGCTGAGCCGAAACGTGTACTGGCTCTCGCCCAAGCCCGATGTTTTGGACCGGTCTAAGTCTAACTGGTATTATACCCCAGTCACCACCTATGCCAACTTCTCCAGGCTGGAGCAAATGGCACCAGCCACCGTGAACCCCTCTATTGGCGAAGTCAAAGCCGTGAATGGCTGGAAATCATTTGAAATTTTGCTTGAGAACCAGTCCAAAGTGCCCGCTGTCTTCATACGACTGAATGCTCTCAAGTCAGACGGTACGGAAATCACGCCGATTCTCTGGTCAGAGAACTACGTGACACTTTGGCCGAAGGAGAAGTTGTATTTGAAGGCTAGATTCGAGGGTGAACTGCACAATATTACAGTTGAGCTTTCTGGAAGGAACTTGAATAAACAGGTGGTGAAGGGCCCTAAGTAAGCGAAACAAAGGTAGGAGTGTTGCTTATCGTGAAGAAGCGATGTGATTAAACCGTTGCTATGATGGTTCGATAAATGATTCGTATGCTTCTTAATGAAATGATAACTTCAATGATACTATGTGCTACATGTAGTTTCAATTTGAACGTGTAGCCTACCAGGCACTGGCGAGGAGCTAACACCTTCACGCGATGCCAGCCTCACCCTCGCCCTCCGGAGCCGATCGCTTCTATACCACCCAATAGACTTAAGATAAATGTGACAGGAGAATCATTACAGATCGTTCAGAACCGCAATGCTGTTCACTTATATATGGCTGCAGTCTGTAACAAACTCAAGACTTGGGGCACCTTTGACCCTGAGTACTCTACACCGAGTACTGCGGGATTCTTGATCGGTTTTTCGGCATAAAGCATATGAAGACGTTGACCTGAGGACTCATAGATCATAGGCACCTTCTGAATATCCGGAAATGAGAGCACTTCCTTGCTGGATGCATTGGTCCATAGATAGTATAGGGAGATACTCGTTAGAGCTACAAAGTCTCGACCGAGCTCCTGGAGCACAGAGGTCCAATTGTCATCTTGTGCTAATGAGACGTGGTAGAATGTCAAGGTTGAGAGGTTCTCGCGCAGACGTCCCAGTATTTTGATAAGATCTGGAGCCCTCACCAAAGTTCGGAATAAGGCCAGTTCTTTTAGTTGAGAAAATATCGCTGTTTCAGCTAGCTCATGCATGAACTCGCAAGCCAAATCGTGAGACCCAAGATTGAGGAGAAGTGTTCTCAGGTTAGGCGCACTCAGGATCAGTTCAAGTAGAAAGCCGAAATTGTCGAGCGTCAGGTATTGCTCGAGAGATAACTTCTGTAGATTTGACCAGACCACTTTGAACTCGGGCTGTCGGTATAGTAATTTAGGCAAACGGCGCATGTCCATAATCAACGTTCGGGAAAATTTATTTGCGTAGATCAGATGGAATGAGGAGACTGGTAGTTGCGCATCAACGATGAGGGCAAAGAATACAGCGACCGCATCGGTTATAGTGACGCGATTCATATCTGGGTGTCCTTCGGGATATCGACAGAAAATGAAGAACGAGCGACATTTGGTTAATTTATTGGTGAGGTTATCGCGCAGGCGACGGATCGCCTCAACCTCCATTGGCGCTGACAAAGAACCCCATGGGTGACGGTCCAAGACCAGACCACGACCGACCCCATTCTGAAGCATAAAAGCTAAGCCTTGTACATAGGGTCGGAGGGCCTCGTGTTGTGAGAGAGCGTCGACCCGCTGGAGGCTATCGTCGGAGAGGTCGGTCTTGATGGAAGTAAAGAACCGTCGCGCGAAACAATGGAACGTCTTCTTTTGCAGCTCGCGACAGGCCAAGCGGAGGTCGAGTAGACCTTCCCCTTCGACGTCATTCGCGATGAGTTCGATAAGCTCGACAGCTAACGTAGGAAAGAGAGCCGTGGTTGGTTTCATGTTGCAGGTATAGAGTGTTTAGGATGAAAAATGTCACATCGCGACCGTGACAGATGCACTCATGATGAATCACCAGGTGGAGCAGTGGAGCTTCCCCGGATTTCAAGAAATAAACCGATTATCTGGGGCTACCCCTCACTTTGTCTGGGCTACGGAGAACGGGATGAGCCGGAATGGGAAAACTGACGTGGCCGAGGGAACCGTGGTACAAGGAAATACGGATTGACCAGAGGAAAACGGAATTTTAATGTATGGTATTAAGTAGCTAAACTCAATAGAGGCGCTGAAGACATACTCAAATCCCTAATATGATGTCCAAAGTATCCAAGATGATCAAGGCATCACCGATAACATCCAAATGCCGCCTGTGCAACTCTTTACACGTAAATAATTAATGCTCCATGGCCGGGGCGAGCTTCATCCACATTTCACATCGCTCCGTTTGTTGCTTAGGAACTATTTCCATGTTTGTTGAGTTAGTTTCTAGCTTCAAGCGTTGTCCCTGGCCATCTCCCCAAGGATTCCACATGGGCGCATCCTCATTCCGATACTCGTTTGGATTAAGCGCTTTGATAAAGCTAAGATAGTAGTCCATGGTGATGGGGATAATCGCAGAGTTGATGTTGGCATAAGAGTAAGTGGGCTCATTGGTTTCTCCTACCCCGAAGATGGCAGGCAGGTCGAAGACGTGGGGTACTCCCTTCCCGTTTGCGATCTCAGTTGGGTCTTGTACATTGAAGCGGTAGTTCCAGACCTTGTCGGATGAAAAATATCGAGACATGCTGGCAGCCATGTGATTCCCTGGGCAGGTGAATGTTGCCTCTCCGTAGGCTGCAGCTGCGGATGGGAAGTATGCGGCATGTTTTGGAAGAGGGTCCATACGTGGATAAGCCTTGCTGATGGTATCGAGCTGGACATGACTCAATCCTGGGTAGTTGTTCTTCATGAACTGTGCCACCTCGGACTGACTCGTCGCGTTATATGCAAAATCGGTCCCTTCGTTGTCGTCGTCGGTGACAATGAGAGGTACATGAATGAGTTTGCCCTGTTCAAACGAACTGTACAAGCGATCGTGGACTAGATCGTCATCCACAATTGGAAGAAAATACCACAACGGAGCAGGGTCGTCACTGCCACCAGGGAAAGGCTCATCAACATTGTATGTCTGAATGGTGTCGATATGAGCCGAGCGTAGACAGGAAAGGGACTCTTCGTCTTCATCGCAACCGACATCCTTTACGAATCGTTGGTACTGAAACTCCATTTCTGCAACAGTCCGCTGGGTTGGCCAAAATGTTGACTCGGCTACTGCTCCGATGAAAAGATTGTCATTGCGACCACCGTATGCAGTAAGATGATGCGCGACAGAGCCAGATCCCGACGAGTCGCCATGGATCACGATGTGATCTGGGTTCCCGCCGAAATGTCGAATATACTTTTTAACCCAGTGGAGCGCCTTACGCTGGTCGAGCAGCCCTGCATTGAGACTGCCATTCTGACGCACAGCCTCACTTGCAAGGAAGCCCAGAGCACCAACTCGATAGTTGAAGTTGACGAAGACAATGTCGTGTCCCGATTGCTCAACAACTTCACTCCCGTTGTAGTTCGCATTGGCGTTATTTGCATATCCGCCGCCCTGGATGAACAACCACACGGGGAGACTCGAATCGCTGGAAGCGTTTGCAGGCTTCCAGACGTTGATGAACAAGCAGTCCTCTGATAAAGAATCGCTGGGAGTCTGTCCGACGCCGATACAGATGGGGCCGAACTAAATCAGTCAGTCTGTGCTCAAATAATCATACAGGCGACTAACCGATGACGCGTCAAACAGCTTACTGTTAGCGTCAGGATCCTCTGGTGATCGGAATCTCAAGTCATGAACCGGAGCTTTCGCATATCTCATCCCCAGATACTGGTCCACTTCATTGTGCAGCGACACCCCTTGATAGAGGTTATAACCCAGATCTATGACCGCAGCTTTAGGTAGTGACGTGGCTGAAAGGAGGCCCCCAAGGAGGCCCACAATATGTAAGACGTGCATATATATGAACATTCGACTGTGTATACTTTCGGTATACGAAGCTATACGTAGCTATACGACGATCTGGTTCACGCCTAGTCCCGCGTCTTGGCTGACGCAATTGCGAGGACCCTAGCTATCACGTGATCCGTAGTCAATCACGATAAACATAGATCCATGTTGAGTTATTGATTCACAAAGACCCACATCGCACTAGAGAGATGAAAGATTCAACAGATCAAAAATAAAACATTTCAGTGCTACGAGGGTATTTGTAAATCGGAAGTCTTAGATAATGGTACAATTAAGTCAATATATAATACATGGCCTATTGACCGGGTAAAATCTCGTAACTCATAAACGCGTCATCATCATTCTAGTACACTCGATGAGCATGGCTCCCGCGACCATCAGTGCCGTGCATGCGACGAGTTCCAGCAGCCTAAAATCAATAATTAGTACCAATTCCAAGCCGGGAAGATGAAAGACGTACCTTGAGAGCGGGACGATGAGTCAAGCTTCCCTTCAATTTCAACATAGCTCCAGAGACCTTATCGCCCATGGTAACCTTGCGGTGGTGATGTTGAGGGGTAGTGCTTCCCCAGTGTCGTTTGGTGGTGCGGTGAGTGGAGGGTGCGTGACGGGTAGTGGTGGCCGGTGTGTGACGGGTAGTGGTGGACTTGGTCTTGATAGTCTGCTTTCGAGCACCGGGGCCACGAAGACGAGTCATCAGCGTGGGCTTAGACTCGCGCGTAGTGGTGGTAGCTGGGCGACGACGGTGGAACATTTTGATTGTTTGTGATTGTTTGTGAATGTTTGATGGTTGGATGTAGAGATAGTATCTGAGATATAGTGATTGGAAATAAAGGAAAGACGGTAGATGCGACCGTGTTAAATAAACAAAGAGCTTCACCAGATATCGAAAAACCTGATACTCTATGACAGCAGAACTAACGTATGCCAAGTGCCACATCACGGTGTGAAACGAAGTTGACAGGGATTGTATGGAGTGGCGTCGAGTCGGGACGTCATTCGTGGAAGATCAGCGCTGCCGATCACCACCCTCCTCTGCAAGGTGGAGAGCTACTGGCCAGCTCCGAATAAAAATGTGGCTTGTTCGTAGGGTGTGGCGAGGATCGTCATCAAATGCATGGGGCTTTTAATATAAATTATGGCTGAAGCTGTGTTTGATAGGGCTGTTACCATAGTGAGGTGACATCATGGCAGCTGAACCCTTGAATACGTTACATGCCACTGCAGAGCCAAGCTATTTTTGTATATTCTTTGAAATAAAGCCACGATTGTACCCCGTGCAGATAAGTAGTTCGCAGCTCAAGCCATCGTCATCGTAGACATAATATCATGAAATGTCGTCACCCTTAATGGCCCATGCATCGCAGCACTCGACATCAACGTAATTTCACGACTCACACGACCCAATTGTTACAGATCATCCACATACGCAATCATCTTCTGACCTAAGGCGTCATATCCCAGATCTTTGCTCCTTGGGAAGTCCTACCTCCAAGCCCAGATCTGTTCGCTGCCACCCTTGCGTGTTCCCGAGACGTATTTCTTCCCCTTGAATTGTTTGTAGCTGTGCTCGGCCCCGATTTTGAATATGCATCGCGCCAACCATAGATGTACCCAGGCGCTAGCTACAAATATGTAGCAGCAGAACCCTCGTCTAATAGCGTTTGGGTCGGTCCCCCTTCCGAATTTCAAAATACCCGTAGACATCCACGGTAGAGCCAGGAACATGACAAATGTTAAAGCAACACAACCTTGGAATGGTTATCTACAGCATATTTTATTGACGAAAAAAGTTCATTCATATTGCCAACCTACAAGTAAATTTATGAAGAGCTGCCTCCCACGGTCTAGAAGCTCTTTTTCAACCACTGTGTCTGCGAGTTGCAATAAGCCAAGAGACCAGTCAGGCCCCACTCAACACCCATACCACTTTGCTTGTGACCACCAAATGGCGCCTTAGGAGAGACATCAAAGTGCGAGTTGACCCAAACAACACCTGCCTGGAGCTGATTAGCCATACGAGTAGCCCGCTCAAAATCTTTACTCCAAACTGATGCGCCGAGGCCAGTGTCCAGGGCGTTCGCTTTCTCAAGAACATCGTCCTCATCCGACCATTTCATAATGGGAAGAATGGGCGCAAACGGCTCCTCCTGCACGACACGAGATGACTCGGGCGGATTGTCAATAATGGTCGGGTGGATGAAGTATCCGTGCGACTCTTCGATCGAACCGCCCAGTGCAGCCTTGAGATTCTCGGTGGTGATGGAGCTGAAAAGCTCTTTGGCTTTCTCGAATTGCATTTTGTTCTGGACAGGGCCGAAGAAAACATCGGCCTCGTTACCGTCTCCAACCTTAAGCGTCTTTACAAATGCGATCAGCTTCTCTAGGAAGGCGTCGTAGATCTTCTCGTGGACATAGAGACGCTTGATCATCATGCAGATCTGAGAGCTGCAAAGATAGGACAAGATACCGATCTTAGGAATGATAGCGTCAATGTCGACATCGTCGCAGATAATGGCAGGGTCATTTCCACCAAGCTCCAGAGTTACTCGCTTAAGAGTCTTAGCGCAGCTTGCCATCACCCGCTTACCCGTTGCAATAGAGCCGGTGAAGCTGATCTTATCGATACCAGGGTGATCCGTAAACATCGGGCCAAGGGTATCATCACCACTCAGACACTGAATCACACCGGGAGGGAAAAATCGAGTCGCCAACTCAACCAACTTCAAGTCACAGTAAGGAGTGAAAGGCGATGGTTTAACGATAACAGCATTACCAGTGTAAACAGCAGCGACGATCTTGCCCATAGCAAGGAGCACGGGGAAGTTCCACGGCACGATCGCACCTGCAACACCCATAGGCGTATAGCGCTGAACAATCTTCAGATCATCTTTCTCCTCGATAACGTTGTCTTTGATTTCGATTTCAATCATGGCCCGAATCCACGTAGAGGCCATTCCGACCTCGGTAGCGGCTTGGTTCAGTGGCTTTCCCTGCTCCATGGTGAGGGTCTCAGCGAATGCATCAGCGTTAGCGTCGACAGCGTCAGCGTAAGCTGACAGAGCGGCCCGACGCTCGGCGAAAGATGTCTTAGACCACTCCTTGAAGGCGTTGCGGGCATGCTTCACGGCACGGTCGACATCTTCTTGGGTCGCGACAGGGACTTCAGGGTTGGGCTTGGAATTCGCAGGGTTAATGCTGTGTCGAGTTGTAGAGGTTGGGGACAATTCGTTATTAATAATATTATGGAAGGTCTACCGAATTGTCAGTAATCTTTTCAAATCTCATTCTGACATGTTAGACTCACGGTGAAGTCCAAAGGACCGTTCTTAGCAGTGTCGGCCATTGTCGAGAGAAAAAGTCAAAATCCCCAGTACTTAACTGCAAAATATAGTAATTCAGCTGGACAATCTGAAGAGAATTACTTTTTCATACAAACGGCAAATCTTCGAGAGGAGGGGTATTTTCACAACTTATGTAGCGGCGAGAGGCTTATCAGCGCTAGGCCGTATTCATTGGTGAAGCCAAGCATCGTTACGACTTCCGCCAGGGCCGTGAAATGGTCCCGACCATAAGCCAAGCTACCCAACATCACATGGCCAGAAGATACCAAGAAGAGCAGATTGGGTCCCCCACAGTTTTCCCATATTTGTGGCTGCATGTAGGCCTATTATTGGATAGTGTGGGTACCTATTTGGCTGGAGAGCTGATCCGCTGTGCGGGGGAGTTGCTGGGTCCCCGAACCTTAGGAAAGCCAAGGCTATACTACAACCCCGAAACCTAAGAAAGGAGAGTTTATTCTGGGGTCGCGGAAGCTTCGGCCCTTAAATTCGGCAGACAATGTTCGGCGGCTTCTATCTGCGGCAGTTAGTCGGCGTAGTTTGATGTGTCAGGCCGTCAAAGCCTCGCAGGGCGCCTACAAGATAGCGGGGGCGAGGGTGGCCTGTCTTGGCATAAGACAGATGCACTCATTGGATGGGATTCGAAACGCGTTGACAATACTTTCAGGCTGAGTAGAGAGAATTACCAGATTTCAACAACTTCGGAGTCCATAGAGGCATTGAAAGATTGAGTATTGAACGTTAAATCTCTCAAGTGGACTAGAAGTCATGCAATCGAAGATTGATTTCTGTATATTAACCTGTGGACTTTTCAGACGTAGGCTGAAGTGGTCCTACTTCTACTTGAACTGTCCTAGTGCCTACTCCACAGGCCAACGGCCCTGCACCTTGCTGGACAGACCGGCTCTTTCCACAACCTCCCGGCTTCGCTTCTTTGCCTCCTCAACAATTTCCTGCTCGTTCATCGTCAGTAGCTCACCACCTTGCACCAGCACCTTTCCATCCACAACTACGAGCTCAACATCGCGTCCCGTGGCAGTATAAACCACTGCACTGGCGGGGTTGAACCAGGGCTGACTGTGGATCCCACGGACATCGATAGCGACGAAGTCAGCTTTCTTGCCGACTTCGAGACTACCGATACGATCATCCAGTCCAAGAGCTTTGGCACCATTGATGGTTGCCATCTCCAGAACCGACTCAGCCGGAACGGCGGTTGGTTCATACGAGATACTCTTATGGATGATCGCAGCAAGTTTCATCTCCTGCAGCATATCGCAGGTATTGTTGCACGGGGCACCATCAGTCCCCAAACCAACGTTAACACCCGCCTGCTGCAGATCAGGCACCCTGCAGATACCCGATGCCAGCTTAGCGTTGGACGTGGGGCAATGGGCGACATGGGTACCCGAAGTCGAGAGTAGCTTGATATCCGAATCATCTAGATGAACCATATGCACCAGCACGGTCGACGGACTCAACAGTCCCACCGAGTCACAGTAAGACATCGGTGTATGATCCACAGAAGCAAAGAAGTCGCGATCAGCCTTGACCTCAGCACAATGCATAGTGACGGGGATCCCCTTCTCCTTCGACAGCGCAGTCATCTCCTTGTACAGCGCATCGGATACACTAGAAAATGTTAATGGTTTTAGGATCTATAAAAAGTAGGTGCCTACCCTCCAGGAGTACGAGCTCCAAACCACACACGGATACGGTCATTGGCAGCGCCGTTCCACTTCTCCCACATCTTCAGTGTTCCCAGCAGAGATGTTTCGCGATTCTCAACGAGGCCCGGGTGCATAGCCCAGGCGTCGTCTTTGGCGTACTTGGCGATGTCCATGACGATTTTGCCAAGGCAACCTCGGATACCGGATTCTTCGACAGCGCGGGCGAGGCCATCAAAGCCATAGCGATCGGCAAACTGCATCCAATTAGTAAGAAGTTGAGAATACCTTGGTCATTCAGGAAACAGGAGAAGCGTACCATGCTCTCGAGGAAGCAGGTGGTGCCCGACTTGAGCATTTCGCCGATACTCAGGCGAGCCGCTGCATACCCGTCCGCCTCGGTGAAGTTACCCTGTAGCACCCAGATGCGCTCACAGAGCCAAGACACAAGCTCCAGATCGTCCGCAGTGCCTCGGAGAAGCGTCTGCGCGGTATGCATGTGGGTGGAGATCAGCCCAGGGATGATGATGCGACCGGTTAAATCCAGCTCTTCATCCTCAGGGTATCTCTCTTTCAGCAGAGCAGTCTTGCCAATGTCGGCGATGGTCTCGCCGGTGACGCGAATGGCACCGTCTTCGATGATGCGACGAGTGCGATCGACGGTGATGATGGTGGCGTGGGTGTATAGCATGATGGCGGTGAGTGAATGGGTGCAAAATTTCGCTGTTAGCTCACAGTAGACTGGGAAGATGGAAAAAAGAGTTGTGCGTTCTACTTATGATGGGCGACTGGGCGCCCCTCACCTGGGCATCTTTGCGCATCTCGGAGACCGCCGACGAGGGGCAACCGATAAGCGATAACATTACATCAGGCAATTGCATGCGTGGAGTTCGCCGAAGTTCTTTGAATATTTCAATTTGTACAGGATGAACTGATCCTCGTGATAAATTTATGTCATTGATCTATTTCATTCAAACGTTGCCTCTATATTATTGGAACATGGAACATGGAACGGAGAAAAAGCTAAATATAGGTCCACAAATATTCTCCTAGCGCCATGATGGCCATCGCCTGTCCATATGGCATGGAGGTTAGGGGAATGTCCTTGTAGAATTGAAGACAATCACCCATTCCTGTTCCAAAACTGGTGTTCTGCAGCTCACCATTGTGATCGACGTCCTTCATCACCGACGCAATGGCCTTTTCAGCGACTGCCTTGTACTGCGCGCCAATGTACCTCTTCCGAACCGCCTTGAGAATACCGTAGGCAAAGCCGGCAGTCGCGGAGGCCTCGAGGTATGAATCGGGGTGATCCAGCAGTGTGTGCCAGCCACCAGACTCCGATTGTACGCGCTGGAGAGCCTCGCACTGCGCCTCCAGGGTTTCGATTAGATGCAAACGGATAGGATCGGTAGGCTCGAGCTCGAGCAGCTCGATAATTTCCGGAATCACAATAGTCACCCAGCTGTTCCCGCGAGCCCAGCGCGCATCCGCAAAGTTGTGGCCACCGTCCTCAAAAGTCCAGCCGTGGAAAAACAAGCCAGTCTTGGTATCGAACAGGTACTTGATGTGGGTAAGGAACTGCTTCTTGGCCTCGGCGATATACTCGGGCCTATTTAGCAGCTTTCCAATCTTCGCCAGCGGCATGACAGTCATCATCAGAGTATCGTCCCAGAGCTGCTGGTAGTTCTCCGTAATATAAGTCATGTGTTGCATGCCGCCGTAGCGGGTGCGTGGCAATTCATGCATCGCCCACTCAGCCCAAGCATCTAGCCAGGGGAGGTAGGTGACGTTGCCGGTCTTTTCATAGACGTATGCAAGGGTGAGGAAGACAGCCATGGTGTTGATGTTTTTGGTGGTGCCCCCCTCAGCGAATCGCGCGGCAAACCAGTCCTCGATGACCTTCAACAGCTTCTCGTCGCCCGTGATCTCGTAGTACTTCCACACGCCGTACAGGCCGATGCCGTGCGTCCATTCCCAGCCAGCCCAGGATTTTGTATCGATAACCCGACCGTCGGGGAGGTAGAGGAGAAACTTTCCAGTTTCATCTTTAATGTTGACGAGGTTGTCAATGAGGAGATTTACCGCCGTATGAATTTCGGGCGCGGGGGGACGCGTCGCAGCCATGATGAGATGAGATGAGATGAGATCTTGGCGGTAATGCTTGAGCGTGATTATTTGCTGTAAAAGCTCAGACCAAAGCTGTTTTTCTCACGGCCAGACTCTCCGAGACTAATGAGGCTAATAAGTAGTTGTGGATGATTTGCGGAAGAACTTAACGCATCCCCGCACAGGCCAAGACGAGCTCGGGATAGTGCAAGCCGAATGCGAGCGGGCGCAGGTGCCAACATTGGGCGGAAAAAAGGTAAACCACGGCGCTAACGAGGACTTCAGGCGTAGCCGAGGACTGGTGGATTCGCTCGGGATGATACTTCCCCGGATTTCCCCCCGTGAAAAGCGTGGGGGCCGTCAGTTGGAGGGGACTTCGCCCGCCAAGAACCCGGGGAAAGAAAGTGGCGGGGTCTCCATTGGTCTGACGATTAACAGATGTCTGTGAACCTGGCTTAGGAAGACTATCGTGGCGTCTGATAGTCCTTGGTGGTTCTTGGCTCTCGCTTCAGCTCAAGAGTAGCGGATGGTGGCTTGGGCCCAAAGGATTCCATGGAGTGTTCTTTATCATTAAAAGCCGGACGAGCTGGTCCTGGTCCTGGGCTTCATATGCTGTCAGACCCATACCATCAGAGCTACTGCTGATACAAGTGATGGCCAACAACAATATCTCGGAATCCCGCTTGGGAATCGAGACGGAGACGGTGCAGAGTCACCAACAATCGATCGAAATGACAGACCCCAAGGTCCAGCAGGATATCTCGCACGTCGAGCGGGTCCTGTCGCCCGATGACGACCTGAAAAAGGAAGACATGGATTTCTCGCGAGTCGATAAGGAGTAAGTGCTGTCTGCCCGATTAGGATTCAACAGGTTCCTGGTTTAACAAAAGCAGAATTCAGATGTACGCATCCCGTGGCCGCGTGGAAGTCGACGAAGCAACCAACAAGCGACTTAAGAAGATGATTGACAAACGTGTGCTTGTGGTCATGATATGCACATACTTCCTGCAGGCCTTGGATAAAGGAACCATGTCATTCGCCTCCATCATGGGTATCAAGGTCGACGCGGGCTTGGAAGATGGACAAAAGTACTCCTGGTTGACTACCTGTATTTACATCGCCGTTTTGACTGTGGAGTGGCCGACCAACTGGATCATCCAGAGAGTTCCGATCGCAAAGTACCTCGGCATTAATATTTGTATTTGGGGGGCAATCCTGGCGATGCATGCTGCATGCCACAACTTCGCCGGCCTTGTCACTGTCCGTACTTTGTTGGGTATCTTCGAGGCCTGTTGTCAGCCCACGTTTGTCTTGCTCTCATCCATGTGGTACAAGAGAGAAGAACAGGCCGCTACTGTGACCTACTGGTACATGATGAACGGGGCTCAGCAGATCGTCGGCGGCCTTTTAGCCTACTGCTTCACTCTGATCGGAGGAGACAGAGCACTCAAGTCTTGGCAGGCATTGTTCCTCTCCTACGGTTGCCTCTCAGTCCTCTGGGGTCTCTTCGTCATCTGGTGGATGCCCGACTCCCCGATGCGTGCCAAGTGCTTCAGCGAAGAGGATAAGCACCTGATGATCGAGCGACTGCGAACAAACCAGACTGGTATCCAGAACAAGCAGTTCCGATCTTACCAGGTGTGGGAGGCCCTCCGTGATCCTCAAACCTGGTGCTACTGCAGCATCCAGCTATTCACGACTCTGCCTACCAGTGGTCTTGGTTCGTTTGCTGGTATCATTATGAAGACCTTTGGCTTCACCACTCTGCAAAGCCAACTTCTCGCCATGGTATTGGGCTCATACATCATCATTATCCTGCTAACGTCGGCATGGCTGGTAAAGAAATATAACCAGAATCTGTTGGTGATGCTTGGATTTGTGATTCCGTAAGTTCTCTCCCTGGACCGATGACGATTGGGGGCTAACAGACATAGTTCATATATTGGCACCATTGTCTTAATGACCGTCGAAGTTGGCTCATTGGCAAACAAAGTTGGCCTGCTGATCAGCTACTATATCGCACTATCCTTCTGGTCCGCTCAAACGTTGGCTCTGTCAATGGTCTCCCGTAATATCGCCGGCCAGACTAAGAAGGCGACCGTTGTGGCTGCAACCTTCATCTCCTGGGCTGCTGGCAACGCTATTGGTAAGTTGACTCTCTGCGCCATGCATATTCCCAGATCTGACTTCAATGCTAGGTCCCCAAGTTTTCCTAGACTGGGATGCGCCCCGTTATCATATCGCGTGGAGTGTGCATCTTGCATGCTACGCGTGTATGACTGTAGCTGTGATCTTCCTGCGCTTCTACCTGATCCGACAGAACAAGAAGAAGGATGCGATGCTGGCTGCAGCAGGTATCAGTGCGGCTGATCCAAATCTTATCCATGCTTTTGAGGATAAGACTGATCAGGAGAACTTGAACTTCCGGTACATTTACTAAGTAGACATGGAATGAAGAAAGACTTTAGGTCAAGAGCTTGGGTTATGATACGCTAGACAAAGTTCAGCTCAAGGCCATATTGTTAATGACATGGAACCAGAATGGGATTTTGGATTATTTTGCGGTACATTTTTGTCGCTTCGTAAAGTAAGAGTGGAGATTGGGTATTATATTTGTCCATAATTGGAGAAAGGTGAAATGGGAGAAATGGCCAGAGGGGAGTCATGAGCGTAAATTACCGGTCAGATCACCATCGAGGATCCACTGGCATGAACAGGTCGCCCGCATTGATATGTTCAACAGGCATGTCCACGATGCTGATTCCGCGCTTTTGTGCAATGTCGCAGAGATGACGACATGCCTCGCGTGCCTGTTCCAAAGCATCACTAGGTGGCACAATGTTCTTGCGTCTGCTCGATGACGCGAGCACGTCTCCATAGTGTAGATCTAGAATAAATGCCATTTTTTGAAGTTTTGGGAGGAAAGTGTCCGACTCGAATGACTTCAACCAGTCTGACCACTGCTCTGACTGGCATAAGGACGTAGGGCCACGGATGTACAAGGTTGTCAGATTGGGCGGCAAGAACTTGTGTAATGTGGGCAGATAAGTGGGATCATCAAAGACCTCGCCTACGGTGAAGTTGAAAGTCTCCAGATTTTCCAGAGTGGGCAAGGTGTAGCGAAATGCCTCTTCTGTGAGATAGTGGAAGTCCAGCCCACTGGTCGATCGGATCCTCAGGGTCCGGAGGTTTGACACAATATGCGGAAGAGCCATCGCCATACGAGAGAATGCGTCCATGGCATCGTTCTCAAAAATCTCCAATGTCTCCATATTGATGAGACAAGAGGACGGTTTATTTTCGCGGTCTTTCTTGGAATCAGCACCACAGAAATGGTCGTTCATCCAGTCGCAAACCAAAGTTGGGAGGAAGGTTACTTGAATCTTGCGTTCCTCAGGCGTTCCTTCACCAACCGTGAAGAATTCCTCTTCATTGTCTCCCCGCTTAACAGCCTCTTCATGCTGCATCTGCAGCTCATCACTTGTTGGTCCCTCAAATCGGAGACCACAGGTCAGAAGCAGGCTGAGATGCGGGACTCGGCCTTCTCGGATAAAAGGAGTCGTGATCACTTCCGCTATCGCAGATCTCAATTCAAGTCGCTGTAGGGGCCAGTGTAAAGGGATTTGATCTCTCAGGTCTTCATTGAACCCACTTTCGAGTTCCAGGTTCTCAACGCCGGTAAAGTGTGAACCGAGGAGCGCCCAGTCATCAGCGGAGGGGGCGTCTTCATCGATACGCAGGTAGCGAGTGTCTCGCGGAATATTTTGTAGCTGAGATTGAAGATCTTCAATATGAATGGGTTCACCTTCAACGCCATCCCATGGGATCTTGACGATAGTTGGCGAATTAGACATGATGGCATCGGGACTGGCGCTCGTCGAGGTGTATACAGATGCGTGGACTAGGCTTTTGATCACGACACTTCTAATATCGGAGCTCGAAGGCTTGATTGATTGAGAGCGTGGAGTATTTGTCCAAGAGAAAGGCAATGAGAAAGGTGAGAAGAAAGGTGAAGGAAGATGAAGAGAGACGCGTGAAAAGAGAGGGCCGCGTGCTTTTACAGATCGCCCAAGACATAGGCGCATTATGTATTAACTTTTGGTCATATCAGGCGCTGAACTGGACCTGAAATATGGCGCAACTGGAGCGCATGTCAGAATGTTGTTTCTGTGACTCACTTGAGAAGCAGAAGCTTCTCATCCAGTCTCTAAGCTGGTCTCATTCTCAACGAACTGTTTACGCCGGAAAAACAACCACCCGGAATTGCTGGAATTTTGATAAACAGGGGTCTAAACATGAAAACTACCATTTCAAGTTAAAATCATAGAGACAAGGACAAGGAAACTACAGGCTTCGTCGGGGTCTAAACCATGGTGATCGTTACTCTTAGGACAGAGAGACCGACGAGACCCTTTTACAGGAAATGTGTAATACGATCAAGCAAGGGGCGAGGATGTGGCACGAATACCCATAGGCGTGGTGGAAATACCGCCAGAATCATCCTCACATTAGCCGACACTATTCACAGCGCTAGTCTTTTCTCTAGAAGAGCCGGGTTAGATCTTACTAGCTGCAGCACCTCCTTTCCCCAATTGTCTATCCCATTCCTGGTCAATTTCCTTCTCAGCATTATATCTGGGGTAAAATTTAGCAGCCAACTCTCAAGGACTGGGAATCAGAAACATACGCATAGCACCACATCTGCGTCGCGGGATCACTCCACTGATTCGGACTGTGAGAAAAAGGTCGGCCCTCAACTTCAGGGCTCATAGCTGCATCGCGAGCCTTTTGAACAGGCCCGTCGGCAAAGTGCCATAGCTTTCCTTGTAGAAGACTGGCTTCTTGCATTTGATTGGCTCTTTTAACGCGAACTCCCTCAAAGATCGATAGAGCACGTGGGATTTGAGCTTTGGATGTGATTCTGTCAAGTGACTGAGCTAGGGCAACTCCGTCTTCTACCGCTATTGCGGCGCCTGTATTGTTCGTGAAGGTGGTTAGATTGTTTCTTATCGATTGCCGATGGCTTGTTTTCGTACCCTGAGACATGTATGGGAGCATTGCGTGAGCAGCATCGCCTAGAACGACGAGCTTGCCTGAAATCCAGCGATTCATAATAGTCCCACTAAATAGGGGCCACTTAAGTGTCTTGTCGATCATTTTTATAATCTTGGTCAGTCTAGAGAGATTAGTAAGAGGTTGGAGAGGGCGATGGTAGACATACACTGGATCCCAGCCTTCGAACTCTTTTCGCATGTTGGCGATCGTTTCTTCTTCAGTTGTATCCCAACCAGAGCCATCATCTGGATGTGATAGAACCATGTTAAATGTCTTTCCGGCCCCGATCACATAGGTCATAACATGTCGCTTGTCACCGAGCCTTTGGAGATCAGTGTGAATCTGGAATAACCCGACAATCATACATACCATAGGTTGAACGAGGGCTTTTCCAGTAACCATGCTATTTCAGGATCGCCTAGCATGCGACCAATATCCACCACAGCCCGATAGGCTGCGAAGCCCGTCTTCTGGGGTGGGTGGTCAACTCCTTCTTGGACAATTCTCCGTGCAGTGGAATTTACTCCTGTGACCCGGTTAGCCATAGAGGTTTAAAGTAGATATCCACAACAAAAATACCATCTGCAGCTACAATTAAATCCGCGAAGATGGTCGAGCCATTCTCTAGCGAGACAGTTGGACCGTCAACGTCGTACGAGACAACCTTTGAAGCCAAGTTGACGACGACACCCAAGTCCACGGCCAGCGCATGCATTGCTTCATGGAAGTGCGCCCGGTGAATAACCCAATATGGTGCATCAAACTCCCGCTTAAAGTCAGGATCCAATCGTGTCCGGCCAATGACTTTGCCATTCTGCCAACGACGCATAAGAACGCTCTCTGGTTCTGTGACGTATTTTTCCAAATAAGGACCCAGACCCAATTTGAGCAAAAGACGTGTGGAGTTGGGGGGAATCTGAATCCCGGCACCAACCTGTAGAGTGTCAGCCCGGTCCATGTGAATAGCTCGCCTAGGTTTCACACATACTTCTGCCAGTTGATGTGCTTGTTCGTAGATGGTTACATGGTGGGTCTTCTGAGCCAGGGCAATGGCTGTAGCAAGACCTCCAAGACCAGCTCCAACAATAACGACATTTAACTGCTCCCCATTCCTCGCACTCTCCGGAACACTATCCTCGATGGATCTCAGAAAATAAAGGCAGTTACTTGGATAGCTCGGCAACTGGGCCAGTTCATTAGCAACGCAGGTCCACCTAGTGGCCAATGAAATAGTGGAGAACCAAGCTACCACATTCGACACAAGTCAGTTTCTAACCTTCAAGCTTTCGTTTTGACTCTTTCCAGAACCGGCTTCCATTGCTCCGATGCGATCAGGGGTTCCTGGATGAATATTGTTTCGGGCCAGAACAAAGTCCTAACAGAGTAGTCACACGTGGTTGTTTCGGGGCTGTCAGCAAAAATAGGAAAAGGAACTGAGCATTCCAGAGCAGTGCGTGGCGCGGGATTCGGGGTCCGAAGAATGTGGGGATTAAGACGCCACGGCATTAACCCAGGACTGCGCTAGAGGGTTAGTACCCGTCCACTATTACTCGCCAGATCGAGGTGACGCGGCTCACAGGGATCAGAAATAATAGACGTGACAAATGAAACCTAGCATTCACCTTCTAGCGGGCCCCGGTACATAAGGCCCTGACGCGGGGGATGGTTGAATTCCCCACGCGACCGATCGCATTCCAGTTCGTGGCCCAACCATACCTTGAGAGTCATGGTAAGCTTTGCTAAGGATGATTGTAACCCTAGATATAGTCCAATCACAATCGCGAGAGGCTATGCAGTGCTACGGTACTTCGTTGCGAGACGAAGATCATTCCCTTCGGAGCCAGCAAGGCGAACGACGCATCGCAGGGCGCACAGTCCTCGGGCCGCAACTTCGGCGAATGGAGACAAATCAAGGGAACAGAGGAAATAAAGGAAAGGCGGGGGATTAGGATGGATCTTGGGTCAGTCGTCCAGATTCGAGTTCATAACCAAGTAAACGATGTGAACTCTACGGCACACATAGCCTCCCATGGTCTCACATCGTATTCATGGGATTTCACTCCGCAATAAGAATTGGCCCCATTTCCCTGCATGACTGCATCCCTTCCTTTCCCTTTCCCGCTCTTTCATTCCTTTATGATTTTATGAGGCTGTGACGCTATAAAGATGGCCCACGCAGCGCCAGCTGGCTATGGCACCACACTGCTGGTCGTGATTTGGGTTGAGGCCTCCATGGCCTTTCTGCTGTTGCTCGCTCGCGTTTACACGACATGGCGGATTACTCGACACATTCGCAGTGATCTGTTCTTGAGTCTGCTGACATTTGTACGGAGCACTACCCCGAACAAAAGCATCGAGACTAACGTATATCCGAACTATAGGTCATCGCCGTCGCAAGTGTAGTGTTTCTCACAATCAGCATCGACTACGGACTCGGTATGCATGTAGATGAACTCCTGCCTGAACAGATTACTCCGGCCATTAAATGGAGTTGGGCCAACCAGGCATTGGGGATCTTTGCAATCGCCCTAGGCAAATTGGCCATCGTCGCCTTTCTACAACAAATACACGGTCCTGAGCACCGCGGACGAGTCATCATGCTATGGGGCGTGGCGATCAGCAATCTACTGATAAACTCGATAACAATCGGTATGATCTACACTCAATGCTCTCCTCGAGAGAAACTATGGGAATACGAGCTCCCAGGAACTTGCGATGGGCGCCTCCGAAACCAAACCGTGGCGTATTTCCAAGGAAGCTGGTCAGCAATGTGTGATCTCGCGCTCGCCTTATATCCCGTGGTCTTCTTCTGGAATGTGCGACTCACCACGCGCATCAAAGTTGGTCTCTGCCTGTTGATGGGACTAGGCGTCATCTGCTGTGCTTGCTCGATCGTCAAGACCACATATTTACGAGTGCTGTCTCAAACCGAAGACGTAACATATTACATTGCACAGCTGGTGACTTGGAACGAGTAAGCCAACATTTCCACAAAACAAAAGGAGATACTAAAACATCCACAGAACAGAAAAATGGCTTGTGTTAATAGTCGGCTGTATCCCACCAATTCGCCCATTGCTAATGATCATATTCCAAAAAATGGTCATCACCGCGCGCTCCCACTCTGGACCGTCAGACAAATACAAGGAGACGGAGCTAACTTCCTACTCTGCATCCTCCAGAGTAGCCGTTCGCTCACGATCCGACACGGTACGACTTCCGCTGTCCACAAAAGACAGCGAAGATAACATGCTCGAAGATGGAGCAATTATGAGAACCACCGATATCAGTTTGAGTTACGAGGCCGCAGAAGCACCCCAGGCGCAACATGCACCAAGTGACACTCGGCTGGTGATTCCCCACGAAAGAATATAGAGAAGAAGAAAAAACCCAAGGGCTTGACCGGGGTGGCGTATCCAGTAGACGCGCCACCTGCTGAGGTTCCTTGCGGATGCTGGTTCAAAAGCCGGAAGGGCCCGCGGGATCTCGTATTTACATATTAATATATATACATATGCTGTACATGATATGATACCACTATTTTACCTAGAAAGGTATGGTTTCCAGCTTGTACCCTTCAGATTTCTGAAACTCAGGCCAAACCCGAACATGATACATTACGTCCCACTTGGTATTATCCCAAAAGCAACGACAAGAGCGATGAAGTCCATAGATCGACAGAGATGAAGGGTTCGTGTGGTTGTATCGTGACAAATTATAAGTTACCACTAGCTTAGATGAAGAATAATTTACCTGCCAGTTATTCGTGTCGACGACCCACCGAGATTCGGCTGTCACGGTTTAAGCGAAGCTTTGGTGCCTCTGCGGGTCCAATATGACGGGAGTGGAGCGGTATAGTCCGTGCCACGAATTTTGACGTGTCTTGGTCTTGGAGGGTCTGACATCCAAAGTCTGATCCAATAATTCTCCTGTGGGCCTTGCATGGTTCATGCTAATCACAGTCATACCAAACCTTGAAAAGATACCTAACGCCCGCGGGATAGGGAAAGCTATGTGAGCGTAGATTTCATCCCTGGAATGTGTATCTTTGCTACTCGAGTGCTTATTGCTTTCTATTCATACTTCATGCCCATGATCTTGTACATAGACTTCTAGGGAAGGTATAGTCAGGAGCATTGAAGGCTCCAGTACTGCTTGAGTGGATGCAGATAGCAATTCAATCAGGGACAATGAAGTGTCCCTGAAGTGTGGGAGATGCTGGAAACTCTCTAAATCGAGTCTTGATGAGCCATTACAGAAGTTTTACTGTTGTGACAGAATGTTATAACTTTTACGTGGCACTAGGTCTGGGGAACTTCCAAAGTGGCGGTTGTCCAAAATATGTTTCCGCACCAATCTCACTTGGTACCCGCCATTCACTTTACTCTTGGATCAGTTAGTAGATGGTATAGACTGATGATGCTAATAGTCTTCTTGCCCCTCTTTTCAAGAACCTCGTCTCATCTCACTTCTGACATGCACTTCTGAGTTGGTAAGATCTGAGGCCTCTGATTGGCGACAGCAAGGACAGCCCCACATGACAACAACCTTCCTGCAATCTTTGTTTGCAGCTTTATTTTCTTCCTACTTTCTATTTTATTTTTCTTCCACCCCATAAGTAAATCTTGTCGTTATGGACGGAGAGATGGATGAGACAGAAGACCAGCCAGCCTCCGTTACCCCGGAGCTGGTGGGCAGCAATGGCGCGTCTTATCGACCCCGCAGCTATCAGCTGGAGATGCTTGAAACAAGCCTACAACAAAATATAATCGTCGCAGTGAGTTGACTAATTACTCTGATGACATATTGTGCTATTTTTTAACACTGAAGTCTCAGATGGATACAGGGAGTGGGAAAACTCACATGTGAGTTGATGTTTCCTCGCGATTTGTGCTTCAACGGATGCTAACGTGGGCACTAGAGCGGTTCTGCGCATTATTGCAGAGTTGGAACAATGCGATCCTAAAAAGGTAAGATTGAGATCTCGCGATGAAACTAAGTTTGACGGAGTTTCAACACAGATTGTGTGGTTTCTGGCTCCCACCGTGGCACTGTGCCAGCAACAGCACGAGGTCATCGCTTCGCAGATCCTATCAGTCAAGACTCGGGTTCTTACAGGCCTTGATAATGTAGATCGCTGGACTGATCAGGCAGTCTGGAATACGGCTCTGAAAGAAATCCGTGTTGTGGTCTCTACTCATGCAGTTCTCGCAGATGCTCTCGGCCATGGATTTGTGCGCATGTCACAGTTGGCTCTCATTATTTTCGACGAAGCCCATCATTGTGTGCGTAAGCACGCGGCTAACAGAATTATGCAAGATCACTACCACCCCAGACGGAAGGCATTTGGCCCGCATGCAGTTCCACGAATCCTTGGATTGACGGCGAGTCCGATTGTCCGATCTAGTCATCAAGAGTTACAGTATGATACCCTAAAGTCGTGGTCTTGTGCATGCCTAACATATATCCAGAACAATTGAATCAAATTTGGACGCCGTATGCAAAACCCCCCGTACCCACCGGGCCGAGCTTCTTGAGCATGTCCATAGGCCTTATTTGGAGGGAATCAACTACGTGCCTCTAAAAGAAGAACACCGAGGCTTTGGAAGCCGACTTCTCATGCCATTGAAGCTTTGCGTTCAGTCTTTCGACCTGAGGTATGATCCATACATCGAGGAGCTTCGCGAGAAACCGGACACACAGGAGCAAGCAGATAAGGTGTTGAAAACCGGGAAAACATTTTGCAGCGAGTCACTCAAGAAATTTCTCGATCGAAGCATTTATATCTATGATGAACTCGGTGGGTGGGCAACGGACTACTTTATCATGGCCTCGATTGAAGTGCTGCAGCAGTCCATTGAACATGATACCTCATTGACGAGACTTGATCGTGTGGAGCGAGTATTTCTCCTTGAGCTTCTCCATGGAATCGGAATTTTCAAGGATTTCACTGAGAGCTTTCACCTATCTCCAAAGCTTGAGACCTTGATCACCTTTTTGGAAAGGATGGACCGACCTGCATTCTCTGGCTTGATATTTGCTAAAAGGAGAGACACTGTCACTGTATTGACTCGTATCCTTTCACTGCACCCATCCACCAAAGACCGTTTCCGATCTGCATCCTTTGTTGGGTGGTCAAGTACCACTCACCACAAGTGGACCCTCGGTGACCTTCTCCGTCAGGATATGCAGAAGAATACCCTCTCCGAATTTAGGGCTGGTCGGAAGAACCTAATAGTCTCGACTGATGTTTTGGAAGAAGGATTAGATGTCAGCGCATGCAGCTTGGTAGTATGCTACGACGAGCCAGCGAATCTGAAGTCTTTCGTCCAGCGCCGTGGACGTGCTCGACACCCAGACTCGACATACGCCGTCATGATACCCAAGGGTGAGAACTCGCTAGACCTGATGCGCAAATGGCAAGAACTGGAAAAAGCTATGGTTGAAGCATATCTTGATGATCAGAGGCGATGTCGCGAAGCCTGGGAACTCGAGAAAGCCGACGAGGTGGTCACAGGTTATCTTTTCGTGCAGTCAACACATGCTCGTCTCTCCGCGGAGGATGCAATGCAACACTTGCACCACTTCTGCAACGTGCTACCCATCAGTGAACATGTTGACAACCGTCCAATGTTCTCGTTTGAAGAGGATGCCAGTGGTCTCGTTCGAGGTACCGTCACTCTTCCCAACTGCGTTCACCCAGCAGTACGTCGGGCACAAGGCAAGGCATGGTGGCGAACAGAACGGGCAGCGGGAAAAGAGGCTGCCTTCCGTGCATACGAAGCCCTCCATAAATATGGACTGGTGAACGACAATCTACTACCCCTCCGACGGAAGACCGAGCTTCGATTTGCTGAAGAAGAGAAGATACCGGCCATCGTGAAAGCCTCAGCACAATATGATCCCTACGTGGAGTTGGCCCACATCTGGCAAACCACTCACCCTCAGCTTTACAAGTCCACGATAGTGGTGAAGAATCGCGACACCGGAGTGATAAATGAAGATCTGTCAATGTCGATCATTCTACCCAAGTCAACACCCATGCCAGACCCTATCAATATCTACTGGGAAAGCGATCTTACCCTGGTGGCCACATTCACTACACCGAAGCTCTTCGATGGAGCCTCGATAGAGACCATCAAAGCTATCCAAGATATCACTGCCATCTATCTCCAAGCTCCTAGCTCCCGCGTGCAGCCAGCCACCCGAGACTATGTGGCGCTTTTTGCTCCAAATATTCCCCATGAGCAATTCAAGGATTGGATTGATAGATACGATGGATCGGAGCAGGCTGTTGACGTACATGCTCGAGATGCTTTGACGCCACCAATTGGTATTATCCGCGACAGGGCCAAGTTCAGTGAACCTCGACTATTCAGAAAATGGCTAGAACCAGACGACACCAAACGTGGATTGGAAATTGAATGCCGTTCCATTCCAAAACGACGCAACTTCTTGCAAATTGGAAGTATTCCGGTCCCTGGTGAAGACGGGGAGCCTGTTCTCAAGGTCGCAGCTCCAATGCCAGCAGGCGGCTGTACTATTGACAAACTCCCCGCTTCAAAGGCCATGTTTGGGCTTTTGGTCTCGGCTCTCCTGGACAGATTTGAAGCAACTTCCGTGGCGCTTAGGCTGAATGAGACGATTCTCAAGAGCGTTGGGATACAAAATCTGCGCCATGTTCTTACAGCAATAACGACGCCGATCGCACAAGCGGATACTCATTATCAGCTGTACGAATTCTTCGGAGACTCCGTTCTGAAGTTCACGGTTGGCTGCCATCTCTTCTTTGAAAAGCCCAAGTGGGACGAAGGATTATTATCCGAATACAGGGACAAGCTGATCAAGAATCAACACCTCGCGCGGGCCGCTCTAGAGACAGGGTTGGACAGCTTCATTCTGGTCAACCGCTTCACGCCTCGCAAATGGAATGCTCCCAGAGTTGGCGAAAAGACAACATACGAACCGAAGAAACGCAATCTCGCGATGAAGGTACTGGCAGATGTGGTTGAAGCCTTGATCGGAGCAGCATACATCGACGGCGGTATGCACAGAGCACAAGCTTGTCTCCATCGATTCCTCCCAGATATCACTCATTTCACCAGCGACATTTCATCTGCCCTTGAGCCCTCCGATCGAGGAACCAGCAACCTGGTTGATTCTCATCGTCTGGCCCCTCTGCTTGGATACACCTTTAAGGACGCTTCTCTCTTGACGGAAGCTTTGACACACCCATCCTGTCAATACGACGCAACCACGCAATCCTACCAACGCCTTGAATTCCTTGGCGATGCCGTCCTAGACATGGTGGTTGTCTCGGTGCTTGCTCACCACCCCGACAACCTCTCCCAGGGCGCAATGACTCTCATTAAGCACGCAGTAGTCAACGCAAACCTGCTCGCCTTCCTCTGCATGGACCTAGCAGCACCAGAAGAAAGCACGGATCTAGCCCAAACCCCCAATGGAAGCGCCAAATTCACCCCCCGACACGACAAGATCTATCTCTGGCGCTTCCTCCGCACCCACGGAGGTGTCATCGAACCCCTGCTCGACGGCTCCATCAAACGCTACCAAGCTCTCAGCGACCAAATTCGATATGCCCTCGCACACGACACCCATTACCCCTGGGAACTATTCGCCAGCCTCCGAGCCGACAAGTTCATCTCAGACATCGTCGAAAGCACGCTCGGCGCAATGTTCATTGATTCCCAGGGCAACCTGGACCAATGCTACGCATTTGCCGAGCGGATCGGACTCCTGACGTTCTTGAGACGAGTGATATCCGATAACGTCAACGTGCAGCATCCGCGCAACGCGGCGCAGAATATGGTCCAAGCGTCAGGAACTTTGGTGTTCAAGACTAAGCGAGTTGAAAAGAAGGTCTCAGGGGTTGTTACTGCGACATATCAGAGCACGGCGGTTCACAATAAGAAGGAGATTGCTTTGGTAGAGGGGTGTGGGTCAGCTGAGGAGGCTGAGGTGAAGGTTTCGCACCTTGTTATTGCGAGGCTGAAAGAGCAGAATGGGGATGCTATGGAGTGATTGTATCATGCATTTCTTGGGACATACATCGGGGCTTGATGGTTTGCACATGGGCATTTGATGATTATGATAAGATAACGATACCATGGCAGATACGATGGGATGCTTTGCAACTAGAAATGTACAGAAGAGAATTTTCTTTTAATAATGAGCCGTAAACGCCGAAAGTCCGAAGCCTAGATAGTCTCCGATAATGATACTAATGATACTGATGATAGTCCTAGGAGCTAACTTACTTCTTCGCTCCCTTCCGTTTCGAACGTCGAACAGGCTCAGCCTTGGAATCTTCCTCCGGGGTGTTCTGAGTCTCCTCCAAATCATCCGAGTCCTGTGATGGAGTATTTTGGTCTTCACGAGAAACAATGACCTCGTCGTCGTCGTCTGCGAATTCCTCTTGGGTGGGCACCTCCGTGCTCGTCTGGTCGAGAGTTCCCTCCGGAGCCACAGTCTCTCTCAGGGTTGACAAGATCTTAGTCGTCTCGCTCTCAACGCCATTCCAGTTCCCACAGCTACCACAGCGCCAGCGACCGAGTTCCTCGGGAGTCTTGATACCGGGTGGAGCTTGGCCGTTGACGAGTCGGCATGAGGTGCAAATCATGGCCATACGGTTCCGGGGTTGCATCTCGTCTTCGCCGAGCAGAACATCCAGGAGGCGGTCATACCAGTGTGGTTGTTCGATGTATGGACCCTGCTGGCCGGGGAAGGCGTTGGGTGCGAAGTCAGGCTGGTCTTGTGGCTGTGGCTGTGGCTGCTGGTATTGAGGGGAAGGAGGAGCATTGGGATAGGGTTGTTTCTGGTTTGGATTCTGATATGTTTCCTCTCCGGTCTGGGGTTGCTGGGGTAGCCGGGGCTGCTGGGAAGAAGGACGGCGGATGTTGGCGGTTGGCGGAGGAGGTAGCCCCGTGCGGGCTACGTGAGGTTGCTTGGGAGTAACAGGCTTGGGCTTCTCGGAGTTACCCTTGGGAGCAGGAGATTGCGTTGGTGACCCGCCCCCGTATTTCTCCAGGAGCTGCTGGGTGGAATTATATTTGGTGGCGGTCTTGAGCTTCTCGATGGTCTTGTCGCGCTGTTTCTGCAGCTCATCAACACCGCGCTGGGTTCTGGAAATGCGGTATTCAAATAAACGGGATCCGATAGTTCGGACGGCGTAGATCCTGTCAGTGAGAGAGGTTAGATGTTTGAGCGGAGTCCACAGGGTTGAAGTCGTACAGAACCGGGCCGCCAGCGATGGCGGCGTATTCCTTGACACCCCATGTCTCCCATCCTAGCACAAGTGCAAGTACGATAGAATAGAATAGGTATGCAAAGGTAGAGTATAGAGTCCACAGAGCTTTGAAGCGACGAGAAGTCTGGCGCTGCTGGTCGAGTCGAGTGGTAGCCTGGGCGATCTTCGTGGACAGCGTGGAGAGGGTCTTTTCGAAGGAGGCTGGAGAATCGTCCTGGCCCTGGATAATAGTTAGAATGCGACGGGAATACTAGGATAGAGTCAATAACACCATACCTTCCAAGGCCAAAAGGACACCATGACCGCGAATGGTTGACTGCTTTGCGCGCGACGGAAAGTTGAAGGTGCAAAGCACGGACCATCAGCTCATTACTATGCTTCTACGTCACAACCAGAACCACATACATCTACATCTACATCTACATCTACTACTGGAACCGGCGCGCCTTGTTGACCCTGAAATTGAGATTCTTAATTCCAAATAACCTCTAGATCTGTCAAGTCCACCTGTATTCTTAACATACGAAGGATGGAGCATCCACCGAAGCTCCCTGTCACCAGCAACAATCTCATTGGCACAGCTCCACGATATCAACGCGCCGGTGTTTTCACTCGGTTTTTGCGCAGGAAAGCCTGCCTGGGGTCTGGGCCTGCACCGAGAACGTCACCGACGAATGCATATGGACAGGTGCACGAACTGCTTCGGTAAATTCTTTGTTTCGAACGCCAAGCGCTGTAAAACCCTGTCTAGTGGCTCGATAGCTTCCCTTTCCACTTTTCCGGACACTCAATTCGCTAGCCATGTCCAGTAATTTCGCTCAGGTGTTGGTCGCTAAAGTTTCTCCGAGTCATGACATCTTTCACTGAGCCGAGGAGATATTCGGTCGAGCAGACCTCAAAAGCAACCTCAACGCGGGCATCGCGCCTCCTGGCGATCACAGGGGCTAGCACCATCGATTAAACCTGCCTAGCGGGGCATCCGCTCCCTATTGAAGCCCGGACACATCAGTCAGCCCGTCAGCTCGAAAGATTGACCTAGACATGACTCGAAATGCCGCAAGCGCACGAGCAAAAACGTTAACCCCGTTCGACTCTATAGACCCTTGATCAAAGAAAGCCGCAAACTTAGACGGCAATCCGGATGACTTGACGGGCTTTCGTTGCTCCTCCCACAGGCCGTGCACTAATAGGAGACCCAAGTCTTTAGCCCATTCTCTTTTAACTCTGGCATTTCACTTTGACGGCTCTCTCTTCTGAGGGACCCTTACATACCATCATGGATACGGCAATGAGCAGCCTCCCCAAGGACAACGGGGAATTTCTCATGAAGAATATTTCGATCATTCAGATTATTTCTATGTTCGCAATTGGCTCATACAATGCACTCGAAGTCGGACTCATGACCTTTGACTGCTTCAAATACTACCGAGGGGTATATTTTTGGAGCATGCAAGTCGCAGCATGGGGAATCCTGGTCCATGGGATTCCCGGCATGATCCGCTTTTTGGCAATATCACCCAACCGGCCCATGGCTATTCCATTCATCATCGGCTGGAATGCCATGGTGACTGGGCAGCCAATCGTTCTCTATTCACGATTACACCTCGTCGCTACTGACTCTAATCATTTACGCTGGGTACTATGGATGATTTTTGGCACTTTCTTCACGCTGAACATTCCAATGACAATCATCTTTCTCGAAGTTAACGTCGGCCATGGACGCTTCACCCAATCTGCTGCAATCTTCGATCGTATCCAACTAGTTGGATTTTGCCTACAGGACTATATAATCTGCGGCATCTATATTCGGGAAGCAATACGAGCCTTGCGACCTGTCTTCGAAATGCGCGGCCGCGATGGCTGTAAATTGATCATCCAACTGATCGCGATGAACATGATTGTGGTGCTGATGAACACTATCCTTATCGTGACCGAGTTCAAAGTACACTTCATCCAAATAAGCTTGAAAACGGTGGTATACAGCGTGAAACTCAAGCTAGAATTTAGCATTCTCACGCATCTCCGCTGTCTCACCCGAGCATACCCCTGTATCTGCCAAAACCAGCCCGGCAGTCCTCGTCGATCGAGCGACATCAATATCTTCCAAATGATAACGGCACAAAGGCGTACAGCGCCGGACATCAAAACACCCCCCATCTCTACGGAAACGATTGGACCAACACGACCGTCTTCCATATATAATGGTACGCGCGACTTTCATGACGCGCTGCGAGAAACAGCGTCCACCGAAAACATGTCTTCCAAACGCCATTCACCTACTGCCTCCATTCTCTTTCCAATGCCTGTTTCCTTTTCCTCAGATGGCTCTTCAACAAATCATTGCGTTGGCTCACATTCAACAAAGACAACGGAGATATGCCTAATCGAGAATCCAAAGTAAGAGCTAACGTCGGTGACTAATTGTATTTTCTTATGTTTCGGCAGTCTTGTCTTTCGTTCTGGGCGGCCATGTTTCCCTTCGTGCTCTATACCATGGGCGGATTTTACTTTTACTTTCGTTATATCTTGCAATGTTATATTCATCCCAAACTATATTATATCCATCCTGCAATATCAACCCTTAAGGGCAAGTAAATAGCCACGTACAGACCACTGCATTTCATTTACTTGAGTAGATTTTCGAAAAATGCCTGCCAGCCCAATATAATACAAAGTTTGGGGGTATATCCTATGATATAACAAGATGGCGCAAGGACGCAAAAATGAAGCTACCACTTGTCCATAGACAAATAACGAAGAAAACCCCAAAGGAAAGAAAAAACGTATCGAATTGGGTATATGTATTTTGGCCCAGACAGAAAGAGGAAACGCCGAAGAAAAGCCACCAGACACATTCGTATACAGGCCCGGGTATGCAAAGCGGAAATGCGAAAGAAAATCGTGAAATCCGTGAAAATCATGGATGGGTGATGTACTTGGTGTACCTCCTCGTGTGATAACCAAGAAACGGCGAAGAAAATGGTGAAAGACGTGAGGTATATAGACCAGGGGAGCTTGCTCGCACCTCTGTTACTGTCGATGAGAGATAAAATTGTTGGTGGTGAGGGTTGAGGGTGGGAGAAAGCACATTGAGGTCAAAGAATGGGATATGAACAAGCCTGGGTCAGAGGGCACGCCAACCGGAAGACTTTCAAGAAAGATTCATGTTGAGTATACACCTCACACTTATTGGTGATCAAACCAGCCGCCATTTTCCCACTGTCCAGGCTCATATGTAGCAGCCTTCCTAGCCTCGGGGTCAATAAGCCCACTCAGAAGCACATTCAATCGAGCGAAATTGATAGGCTTCATGACCCAGCCGTCGAATCCAGTTTGAATGTATGTCTCCTTCTCCGATTCAAGCAGTGATGCAGAAACAGCAAAGATTGGAACTCGCGAATTACCCTTAGCTTTTTCTGAAAGAACATCGGTCGGTGTCTTTCTTTCGTACTCTCGAATCATTTGAGTGGAAGTCATTCCGTCGACTATAGGCATCTAAAAAGGGTAAGTGAACTGGCAGACAAACAGGGCCACCCATACTTACTTGAATATCCATAAGGACAATATCAAACGCCTTGCTAGCGATGACAAATGCCGATGCACACGCCTCACCATTGCCGGTCAGCATGACTGTATGCCCGAGCTTCGTGAGACGCTTCTCTATGATTTTGCTGTTGACCGGGTCATCTTCTGCCACAAGCACCTGCAGTAACTGAGGGTTTGCCGGAGGTATCGAAGTTGGGGTGGTAGACGCCGCAGCCTCTGTTGATGCAGGTTCTGAAGGTTCATTCGTTGATATAGACGTGAGTGGGAAGTAAGATTGTTCGATCAATTCCCCGCTGTGCTTCGAGGGGTGCTTGACAGCATGCTTGGGAATGTGGAGAGCGCCCATTGGAACTCCAGAATCAGTAATGTTCTGAGTACCCGGCGCGGGTGTCGTCATCAGAGCTTGCAGCTGGACTGGTGGTGTATTGGTGACAGTGGAGAGAGTGGCAAGGTGGTCTTGGGTGGGCGAAGATCGCTTAAGGCTAGTTGCAGGAGGCGACCCTAGCGATTGCGAAAGGGAATTGTCCTCTGCACTCGGCGACCCAGTGAGAAATTTCGGACTCTTTAGATCAAGGCTCTCACCCCGGGACTTTCGAGATAGTGCAGGTTCTTGCATAGCACTAATCAACCGATCTGCATGGCTCTTTCCGCTGCGAGAACTGCCTCCACTGCGAAGGCTTTCGGTGCTTTTGCGTCGTGTCTCGCTAGTATCCGTGGTTCCACGAACCAGTCTGAATTCTCGGTCAGAGATCATGGGCGTGGGCGGGATAGTGACATGACCAGGGGTAGTAACAGTAGTCGGCTTGGTTGAAGACCCTTCAGGAAGTGGGAACTGTAGAAGAACCTTGAAACGACTTCCTTTGCCCTCTTCAGACTTGACTCCAAGCTGGCCCTGCATGCTGTAGACAATTCTTGCTACTAGTGCAAGCCCAAGACCCAGTACGCGTTTGCCCGCCACCTTTTGTTGATTGGAAGGGTCTTGCTGATCTTCCTCCTCCGGGTAATAGTTTTCGTCTGTTGAAACTTGCTCAAGTTCGTGGAACAGCGCCTCCAACTTTGACTTCGACATGCCAGCACCCGTGTCAACAACCATGATCTCCACGGCAATATGGCCCTCCACACATTGGGTTGGGGAGCGCCACATCTCAACAGTAACGGCTCCTGACTTCGTCTGTTGGATGGCGTTGGCGATGATGTTCGAGAAAACCTGTCGCACACGTCGCTGGTCACCAAGAACCAAGGGGGGTATTCCAGGTTGGACCGTCACAGTGTAGGAAATGTTCTTGCGCTTGGCTTCACCGGCCAGCATGTCAGTTGCTTCCTGGAATGTGGACTGAAGGTCGAATGACTCGTCTTTGATCAGCTCTTGACCCTTCTCAGTGTTTGTAAGATCGAGAAGATCATTGATGACATATATCAAGGATTTGGAAGCGGAATGCGACTTGGTCAAGCTTTCGCGTGTTTCCGTATCAAGAGCACCCTCCAAGGCGATCTCGAGGTAGTTGATAATTGCATTGAGTGGAGTGCGAACCTCGTGCGCTGAGTTGGCGAGGAGTAGGCGAGTAAGTTGAGAGTTCTGCATAGCAGCCTCCTTCTGTCGCCAAACTTTGATAAATTTACCGTACACAAGGCACAAAACGGCGGCTGTCTCAACATCCGACTCGGACCACTCGCGAGATTGACTCAGAACAGTTTCCCGCCAGGCAGTAAAGCTGTTTCGCGGTTCCAAGTAGCCCGCAGTCTCTTTGCGTTTCGCGATCTCGTAGGGGTTGCCAGCCCATTTGATCTCCGAGAGTTGACCTTTGCGGAAGAAGACGATAAAATCACTGCCACCTGTTGAGAGGGGCACATAAAGCAATCCCGAAATAGCTTTCAACCCCGGAGGATATTGTAAATCGGGGAAGTCTTTGATGATATCGTGGGATGAGACAACTGAATTAATCTGACGCATTCGCAGGAATTCCAACAGAGCAAGAACTTCCTGCGAATGTGCATTGTCACCAAGAACCTTCGTCTCGTCACGAATCGATAGCGCGCCGTAGTCTGCATCGAAAAGTTGCAAGAGATCGTCGGAAGAGGCAATGATGTAGCCGGATGGATTCGCCTCGGTGGGGACAGTATTGATCAGCTTCCGAGCTTGGAGACGAGATGAGTATGAGAGGCGCTCGATATTTCGTGATACAGTGTCACCTAATAGGCGGCACATCTTGCGTATCGGGAAGGCGACCCGCATACCAGTGTCTCCATAGGAATGGCATGAAATGAGACCCCACAAGTCGTTGAACGCATTGACGCTGATGGACATTGATGACCGAACATGCATATGAGCAAGATACTTGATGTGGATGGGTGACATTGCCCGTAGATAAGCATGAGTCATATCCAAAGGCGTTTCAAGATCCTCTAGTGTTCGGCATACTAAGCGTGAAGTCTGATGGTCTCGATCGTAAAGGAGCCGAACTTTGTTGATTTTGTACAATTCGCGAGCCTGCGCAGGGATGTCAGATGCCGGGAAATGAAGGCCCTTGAACAGATCGATGGAAGCCTTCGGATCAGCCAGCTCAGCAACAACGAGGCCATTCCAGCTGCTGTCGAATTGATAAACCAGAACTCGATGGAAGCCAGTCAACTCTTTGACAAGACCGGTTGCGATATTGAGCAGAGAGTCCAGGTCATTGGCCCTGCTTAACTGCTCTTGGATCTGGGCCAGGATGCTGAATACCTCCATTGCGGCTGCCTCGCCCCTTCGCCGTCTGGCATTTCGAAGAACTCGAAGCGGCTGGCTGACGTTTATCGTGCTGGCTGCGAACTGTTCAGCGCTCGGGAAAACACCCAACGTGTCGATCGGAGTGGCCGGCGTCACTTGACCCCCAGCGTCCAACGGGTTGATATCATCATCTTCCAATTCCAATTCGCAAATTATCAGGTCTTTCTGGGCTTGGCTGATATGCACTGCGCACCAAAAGCGCTGCGCGTCTCCAGAAGGCAGCTTGATAGATAAGAGAAACACCTCGGGGCCATCCAAGCTGGGGTCATAGGCATCGTCCCGAACAAAATCAATGTGATCTAAAAACGCGTCGGCTTGATCATCGCTTAAAACATCACAGAAGTTCTCCAACTCAAACAGTTGTTTTGGTGACCAGCCCGTGAATTGCTCGGAGTTTTCACTGACCACCCGAACGACAAGCTGGTTGGGCGACTCTTCGCGCATGGCGATCATAACACCAAAGCTCTGGATCGCACCAGGGATTCGAATCGGCTCATCCTCACAGTACTGAAACTTCTTTCCACCGCGCCCAGTGATCACTGCATGACCCCCATCGGTCACCACGTGCTTGAAACGTGAGGTGACTAGGTCGTAGGGCTCGCTGATGGATGTCTGGGGTTGCTGTGGCGCTGGCTTGGTCGTTGAGTCTGTTCCAGACCGGCTATCGCTCTTGGTTTTAGCGTACAGCTCCGGGTGTTGCACGACTTCATTGGCCTGAGAGTGTGCACCTAGCTCCGTCTCGTCTTTGGTGGCATGGGTCTCATGGCGGACGGTATCGGTTGGGACGATAGGTTCGGGTTCAGGTTCAGGTTCAGGTTCAGGTTCAGGTTCGGGTTCAGTTTCAGGTTCGGGTTCAGGGGGAGGGTTCTGTTGAGCGTGAGGCTGGAGTTCACCCCAAGTCTTGGAGTCAATGATGTTATATGATCTCGGGGCGCCGTCAGCGATGGGGGAGGTGGCGCGTCTTGAAAACGATGCGCCGTTCTGAGGACCAACGCTGACTACCGATCGGATGGGGAACACTCTGTCGGTCGAGGTGTCGACTCCCTCTGGGGGTCTGAAAGACTGCGATCGGTCTCTAGTCTCTATTTCATCTCCAGCAGTCGCATCCCCCGAAGCTGGTCGCGGAGTGTGCGCATCACTCTCCGACCGCTTCCGCGGGGTCCCCGGCCGACTGTTTCGTGGGCTCGAGGACTCCATTCGGCTCGAAATTGGCCGACGAGGACCGGGACTTGGCTAAAATCCAGGAGATGACAAGGGTGGTAAGTTTGCTCCGCGATCGATCGAGGGTTCCAAGGTCGCGCGTGATTATAAGTCGGGGTCGTACGAGGGGGATATGAATAACATGGATAATCGCCCCGCTGGATCGGATTCGGATTTTTTTTTTTTTAAACCGGGCGACGACGACAATTCCACACCGATTTTGGAATATCCAGGAGGTGAAACACGGCGGGAATTTGAACGTGGACCTCTAACGGTGATCTCATATCACGAACTCATATGAATCATTTGAATCCCACTGCCGATCGCCGCGTGTGTGAAGGAGGTCCCGACGAGGTGGATGGGGGGCGGATCTGGATCTGGATCTGGAGGAGTGTCAGGGAAAGGCGGAGTGGAGAGAAGTCCTGCGTGGAGGGGCAGGCAAAGAGAGGCATGTGCGGTTCTCAACAAGAAATGGCAACGATTGACAAGGTCTCCTGTCACTGGTTTTCTGGGATATAGCGGAGCTGCCGAATCCACTGCGTGGCCAAGGCGCGATACATAGGGGCCCGAGTGATTGGGTTGGCGTTCGGTTGGCGCCCGCAGAGCCGGGGAACTGTGTACATGGGAGCTGTGGCTGACCAGGGAGGTACTCGGTACCGCGGAATTGGCGTCGAAACAGGGTTCTGGCCATGTACCGGTACTTTCGGCGCTTAGTGGAGTTCCGCGATGAGTGGAATGCTCCATGACATCACCCTCCTTGGACTACCAAGAGCCACTGGAGATAGGTACCATGTAGCATGACATAGCGATCTCAAGGGCCCTGGGCGACTGAGATCTGCAGGCGACGGAGAGCGAACGGTCGGCCGAAATTGCGGCGATGTCATTCGTCCTACCAAATTAGCAATTTGCCACCACATCGTCAGTTGTGAGAAGCCCTGGATAGTGGGACCTGACGAGGAAACGGATCGAAGGGAGCAGATCTGCTAGAGTGTTGCAGGGAGTGGTAAGGAGATGAGGTGAGGAATGCAGTCACTCCGATGCCATAGTGGTCGGTGCTGAAAGGTGCAGCTATGAGTTACCCTATGTAGGACATTTCAATGGGCGATTCAACTTGATATGGTGAAACCCTTTGAAGGCACCTAGGTTGGTCTTGGTGCTTTGTCTCTTTGTGTGACTACAAGTGTTTTAAAAGTGTACTTCCAGGCCTGGTAAATGAGCCACCTATCGGGTTCGAGGGCTACCAGAGAAAGCCTTCTCCATGTCTAGTGCGCAATCGAACAAAAGGGGTGAGTGATGGAAAAAGGAATGTCTAAAGGTAAGCGCCCGTTGCAATACTTTGAAATTTAAATCCAAGAGATCTATCTCTGATTAATTGCCAGTGTGATGAGACTCACCCAAAATGTCAACGTTGCGTCAGCGTCGGGGTCGACTGTCCTGGCTATAACCGGAAGCGAAAATGTTGATTTTGACGAGGCAGAAAAGCCAACAAGATAGAGGAACTGATGAGAGAACAGGCAGAAAGGGACCAACTTATTTGATACGCCACTGGTCGAATGTGGAGCTCAGCGAGTGGCTTTTACAATAGTTGTCAGGAATGTATACAAGAAGTTATAACTAGACCTCGTCCAGAAAATGGATGTCATCGTGACAATTAGTGATTGGATACCTTCGAGGCCCGGCCAAAACAATGTAGAAGAGGAAAATCAAAGTAAGAAATGTCGAATGTCGAATAAATCAGAATATCAATGACAGACTCAATCTCGAATATACGATCGCAAAGAATGATCTCACCCGGGGGGTTACACGGAGAGCTACAATGGCTACTGCATACTCAGTACATCCAGTACAGTTCCTGGGCAGAAACGGAAGGCGGAGTGTCTATCGCCCTTCCTGATCGAGCTGGAAGTAATGAGCGATGGGCCCATTGATAGCGGGCGCGTTCCAATGCTATTGGATCAAAGACTCTGGCGCTTATGTAATCAACCGGGCGACCGCTTCAGAATTCACCACATGCCCGCCTCTAATTCGAGTCCTGCAACCAACTGAGCCTTGCGACTCTGGAGATTAGAACGAACGCACTACACCCCCCCATTTAATGGCATCGTCAGAGCAAGCGCGAGCCAGCCTACCAAAGTTCAGATTAGCACATGAGAGAGAACTATACAAGTGTGTGGACAATATTCTACTTTCCCCGACTACCTGAATACAAACTGAAGCCTCATGGATTGAATTAAAGATACCTTAAACTCGACCTCGAAGGGTTGCGGCCGGGCCCAGGTGCCTCCGCATCCCCTGAGAGTTCTACAGATCAACATGCTGCCTACGTCCCCCGATCGTCGCCCGATACCGCATTGACGGCCTTCGCCCAGTTGGGAGTTTTGAAGTTAAAGGCACAACGGGCCTTCATTACGCTCTTCGGTCGAGATCAGCATTACGTCCTCGCAGAGGCCACCCAAAGCCTCAGTATTTATGACAATACAATAGAGGATGATCGAGACGCCTTGTGGTTGGGTTGCTGCGTTGTCCCCAAGGAGGAGGGGATATGTCGACACGTCGCTTTATTACCCCAAATGACACCAGCGGAAGACATCTACATTGTGGATGGGTCTGCGTACGTGGTACCTGACCTGCGCGAGGATAGTCGGTTTCAGGAGTTGAACATGGTCACCAACGCTCCCAAAGCGAGATTCTATGCAGGCGCCCCCATCATCAGCCCCAAGGGCATAACGATTGGATCCTACTGCATTATCGATGACGAGCCACGGCCAGGATTGGACGCCCCGTCATTAAAATTCCTGCAACATATGGCATCTACCGTCATGGCTCACTTGGACATGGCCCGATGCAAAGCGGATCAGCATCGCGCAGATAGGATGATTGTGGGTCTCGGAAGTTTTTTAGAAGGCAAGGCGACGCTCCGCAATGAGTGGGTACAGGACACCGAACTACACCTGAATGAACATCAACCCGACGAAGGACGCGTGAATATACTGCAGCAAGATGCACAAAGAAAATCCGGTCTGCTTAAAACCGTTCATACCCGCAGGTCACCGGAGCCGCTGCAATCACAAGCAATCGCACAAAATGGATCTGAGCAATCCATATCATCCACTTTTCTCAGTGTACCATCGCCGACCCTCTCCCCAAGCCCATCCGCCTCCCGGTCGACGACCAAGTCCGGCCAGAGTTCCGACGCCAGTGTCGGTCAGATTTCCAGCCTTAACAACAAGGCCGACACGCAAACCTCCATATCCGTTCGAAGCACGGCATCGACCGAAAATCTACAGGAAGACATGCTGTCTATCGGAGTTCGACAAGTCTTCTCGCGAGCGGCTAATATCATCCGGGAGTCGATAGAAGTCCAAGGCGTGGCGTTCTTTGATGCGAGCATTGGGTCTTATGGTGGTCTCGTTAGCGACACGAAACGAGGGGGTTTAGGAACAGATAGCGGCAGTTTCGAAAGCTCCGTGGGCGGCAGTGACGACAGCACCGCATCTGACTCCCAGGGAAGCTTTACCGCATCAGCTGGAAAGGATGCCACCCCAGAGAATACGACCGTGTGTGGAATCCTAGGGTTCTCGACTTCGGCTACATCCAGTATCAACGACGAATCAAGAGGAGGACTTGCCGTCCGGGAAGTATTGTTGAAGACGCTTCTGCGAGGTTACCCGCGCGGCAAGATTTTTAATTTCAGCGAAGAGGGGGCAATCTCCTCGGATGAAAGCAGTGATGGACCCCACAAGCCCTCGTTGGAAAATAAGGGCTCAGACCCGATCACCATAGACGGTGGAAAAGAAAGAAAGACCCAGAAAAAGACGCGCGCTTCCATGCTTAAAGAGGATGCAGGCGCCCTGATTCGACTCTTCCCCGGCGCTCGCAGCATCGCTCTCTTGCCAATGTGGGATTCACACCGAGCTCGATGGTTCTCGGGCGCTCTGGTATGGACGAACACGCCGCAGCGCGTCTTCACGTCCGAAACCGAGCTTACGTATCTGTCTGCCTTTGGGAATAGCATCATGGCGGAGGTACATCGTCTGGATATCGAAATGTCGGAGAAAGCGAAAACAAACCTGGTCAGCAGCATTTCGCACGAGTTACGAAGCCCTCTCCATGGCATTCTTGGCACGTCAGAAATACTTCGAGACACGGCGATGAACGCACTTCAGCACGGACTAGTGCACACTATCGAATCATGTGGGCGCACATTGTTAGATACCATCAACCACTTGCTGGATTTCTCGAAAATTAACAATTTTCGGAAAGGAGGAGGCAACCAAGCTACCCACAGACGCAAACGCCCACTAAGACGACACAACAACACCGACCCATCACCTAATAGTATGAAGCCTTCACAACGGTCACGGCATGGCGGGATGATTAGTCTGAAGTCTAATATCCAGCTAGATGCTGTTCTGGAAGAGGTAATGGAAAGTGTTTTTGCGGGCTACAGTTTTTACCACACTTCACAAACATCCCGTGAGAGAGACCGTCCGAACCCAATAGCTCTCGACGTCTTGGGAGCCTTCCAGCAAGGGGGTCCGATCAGTGTCATCCTGGAAATCGACAAAGCCGCCGAATGGCAATTCTTCACCCAGATAGGCGCCTGGCGCCGCATCATGATGAATATTTTCGGCAACGCCCTGAAATACACCCAGACCGGCTTTGTCTTGGTGAAACTAACGGCATCGCCTATCGCTCCCGCGGAAGATTCCGTTCCAGGAGGTCCTACTGAATTTCAGGTGACTATGGCGGTCAAGGACACAGGTCAGGGGATTAGCATGGAGTATCTGCAGAACGGTTTATTCACTCCGTTCACACAAGAAGACCCACTGGCCCCCGGAAACGGACTCGGGCTAAGTATTGTTCACCAGGCAGTTCTTTCCATGGGTGGCTATATTGAAGTCAGCTCGCTCCGGGGTCGTGGTACTGAAGTAACGATCGGAGTCACGTTAACTCACGTGCCCGCTCCAAACGCCAAATTTAATCCCTCCGAACCTGAGCCCATTGTGAATGTGAAACATATCACAAATGGAGCCACCGTGGGCCTCCTGGAGCTGGGATCACCTGACATCTCCGAGCGCGATACAATTCTCCGCATTGCTCTGGAGAATCTATGCAAGAACTGGTTCGAGATGAATGTCCATATCGTGTCTCTATCGCAAGATTCACAGCCTTCGTGCGATTTTTACGTTGCAGTACAGACCGATACCGATTCAGTGAACACATGGGAATCGTGGTTTTCAAAAACACAGAATTACCATACCGATGACCAGAAACACAAAATTCCGATTGTGGTCATATGCCGATCGCCGGAAGCAGCACATCTCATGTTTGTTGCGGCAAGTCAATCCAATCACCAGGCTACTGTCGAGTTTATTAGCCAGCCATGTGGCCCGCGCAAGTTGGCCAAGGCATTCAGCAAGTGCATCAAGCAACAACAATCTCGGGGATCTTTGACTGGAACTAGTTCTAACGTGGAAGAATTCCAGGGGAAGAAAGCATTGCACTTAACGGAGATACCTTCAGCTTCCCGAGAAGGCACTGAAGCACAACGTGGAGAGAGTCAGATGAAACTTAATATGGCGATAGATGATGAAAATTCTGAGTTGGACAGAGCCGAAGTCTCACGGCAAACCGAAGACACTGGTCTTTTCCAAAGCGAGAGTAACCTAACAACTTTGCCAATCCGAGAAGAGGGTCTGGCCAAGATAGAGGAGGAGTCGACCACATTGGCAGTGCTGCTGGTTGAAGACAATGATATCAACTTGCAAATATTGATTGCGTATATGAAAAAAGAAGGATACCAATATTCGACTGCCTGCAATGGGTTGGAAGCGTTGAACATTTTCAAAGCCCAACCTGGAAAATACGGAGTGGTATTGACGGGTAAGTTTTTTTTTCTTTGGTATATGCGGCACTTTCCTAATAAAAAATAGATATCTCGATGCCCGTAATGAATGGATTCGAATGTGCTCGGCATATTCGCAATTTCGAGCGGGAATATCAAAAGATGCTCGATGCTCCCGCAAAAAAATTATTCAAACCTGCGACAATTGTAGCTTTGACAGGCATTGCAAGTGCCAGTGCTCAACACGAAGCTTATGGATCAGGGATGGACCTCTTTTTGGCGAAACCCATCCGACGACAAGAGTTACTTACCGTTTTAAAAGAGAGAAGTGCAGACGAGACTAACGAAGCCTCGCACTGATTTGATGTCGCAATAACGCCAAATATTTTGTATATAATTTTCAGGTCAAGTATATATACGATGTTACTTTTCCGAGTCTACATTTGCATCCAGACAAAGTCAACTCAGCTTTGGTTATATACGATTGGAATGGAATGGAAATGCATAGGATATGGATATTGGGAACAATTATAGACTTGCCTGGTTTATGGTTGATATCCTAGTCTGACGTACGTACCTGTCTCTGTGACATCCCTCAGATTGAGGCAAGGGTCAATCGAAAAGGACCCTAGTCGGCAGCCAAGAAAACAGAACTTATCCGCATCACCAGGAAGACAAGGAACCCAGTACGGAACCTAGGACTAACAAATCTTCAGCTAAGGCGAAGCTGCTTGGCGTAGTGTTTGACCATGAGCTGAGATGGGAGGAACAGCTGTAACAGGTAATTGAGCCCGCTACAAAGATGAATATTCCTACTGGGGGCCTAAGGCATATAAAAGAAAAATTTCTGATAAAAGGGTAATTCACGGCAGATATCCAGTGAGATGTTTTAGTCACTTCAAGGGAGAATTGTGGGCCATAGATACAGTTGATATAGTATACTGAATTCTTGAATGACTATCAGAAATTCCTCAATTTAAAGAATATATCGGAAACTTTCAATCTCTCGGTCGGTCTTGTTAGACAGCTCATCCTGCAGCTCCGCGCCCACAGTGATTGTTTCCGCCGCCCCATATAGACGGTCGCGTCGGCGGTTCTCATATGCATAGTAACAATACAGGCAAATCAAAAAGCCAATACTCAATACTAAACCTGACATGGCTGCTTTCATTCCAGTCTGAAATGGCTCGTTAGCTCCCATCTGGGGGGAAGAGGAAAGGGAAAAAGACACTTACCGGGTACGATGGCTCTTCCGAGGCAAGGAAGAATTGTGGCCCGATCATGTTTCCAACACAGTATGAAATAAACACCAAGGCGCTGACAACGCTCTTCTTAGAAAAGCCAGCGACATTTGAAGTGATCACGCTCAAGGAGATGGGCAGGTTAATGGCGTAAACAACAGCCAGAGTGAGGCCAACCATTCGACCAGCTTGGTTATTAGGGTCCAATTTCCAGATGAGAACCAGGCCAACAACGGAGACCATTGTGTTGAGAATCATCGCGATAATGCGTGACTTTGGGATAAATGTGGTGGCCAAACAGGTTATACTCAGGAAGACGATTTCTGCACCGCCTTGTGGCATCTGCAGAAGAAGGGACTTGAAGTCACTGAAACCAAATCCTGCCGTGATGATAGCCGAGAACTGGGAATATGGTTAAAGAAATTTTATTTACCCAGAGACATAGTACTTACGGTGGTAATTCCGCCATTGCACAAATTTGACGAAAGTGAGTTCAAGACGAGGAACCACGTTTGCGGATCAGTCAAAGCATCCTGGGCCTGTGACCACTTGAACTTGCCGTTATCCAGAACTCCAGTCTTATTTTTGAGCGTCCTTTGAACAGCAATGGCACGCTCATTTTCTTTCAAGAAGACCGCCTTGACAGGCGAGTCGGGCAAGAAAAAGAACAGAACCAGCCCATAGGACGAGGTAATAGCACCCAGGATCAAAAATAACAGCTTCCAGCTCTCCAAGGCCGTTGAGTGGATATGACCGATGGCGTACGCAATTAACCCACCGAATAGTACGGCAATACAGTTACCAAAGAACCACGCCGATTGTCTGCCTGTTTTAGCAAATACCCCAAGAGCTGCTCGGGCGATGGTGCATACCGAACAGGTTGCTCCTCTCGTTTGTAGAACATTCCGGTAATCAAAGTAAATCCAGGCGCAATAGCGGCCTCACCGACTCCGAGGAAAAACCGAGCTATCATGAGTCCAGTAAAACTGGAACAGGCCGCATGACACATTAAAATACCGCCCCAAATAAATCTATTCACTTAGTAGGGATTCATCTTGCGGTGAGGGACAACATACACCGAGACGGAAAGATACTTTCCAATAGGAAGGCGGACGATCACATAGGAACTTGGGAAACTCCAGAATAGATACCCAAAGTAAAATATCGCCGAGGTCCAAGAGTATTGATTGCCATGCATGTTCTGCCTCAATCAGTTGGGGAATCACTGTCTCATCCAGGGGCGGTATGCTACCAGGTCCTCGCGTAAATTGAAAAGAGTCGCTTGGCTAAGAGCCAATTTGTCGAGGAATTGGAGGAAGTACGCAACTCCCATCATGGGAATCAACCTGCAATAAAATCAGAATCACCTCAAGGAATTGATGTTGGAAAGCTGTAATTGAGAACTCACACAAAGTCAAGCTTCCGCAACACTTTTCGCTCTTCTTCAGGTGTCGACTGCACCGCGAGCATCTGCCCGAGGTCAAAGTCATGACCCGAAAGCTCGATATCGTGCTTGAGATCATTCTCGTTGCCCATGATGAGTGTATATGCACCTCCTGAGTCACAAGGGTACAAGGTCGAGAAAACCCAATTGACGAAGCGGACAAGCTCGTTTTATCATTTCCATCACTGAGGCAAGCGGCGAATTGCGATCGGATCCCAGCCCTAGAGGAACTCGTCGCTGTTAGTTTCCTCCGAATTTCACACTCCCGCGAGTCAAGTCGCTTGAACCTACCAATATGGAGGTTCCGGTGTTGTTCCGCGGTGGGGGCGCATTGGCCCGAGAGGAAGCTTAACGAATCAGGCCAATTGGGGGGCTCACAGATACTTTTTCTTTAGTAATAGTTTTGATTCCCCGCGAAGCAGATAATGTCATCTCCGTGGAGAACGTGTAATGTCGAATCTGGGGTTGACAGGCCTGGGTCATGCAGCTCCGAATGGACTAGAGATCAACGCCACGCCACATACCCCCTCACGGCTGGTAGATTCGGCAGATTTTCATGATCGGAATGGCTAGTCCGAAGATGACTCGCTATTGAACCCTACTGGCTGAGTCGGCAAGGCAAACTCAATTATAGCGATGCCACGAATCCACATTGCTTGTTGGCGTTGGGGCTGGGAGGCGGGCTCCTAGTTTGTTCTTTGTTTATTCCTAGGTTGTTAATAGGGGTTTACAACGAGGCGGTCCAGATACACTTGATGGGGACTGTTATCCTTGATTGAAAATGATGTTGGTTGAATATAATATTTCATTCTATTCTAACTATTTTTCTTTCTCGAAATCTGACTTGACTCCGGCAGCAAAGGTTTCATCCGCTAGTACTTGACAAGCGACCACTGCCATTCCGGCCGCACTATACAAAGACCGCTTGAACGATTCTTCGGAGCCTGCGCCGGCAGTAAATTGTGGAGTGTGGTTGACTCCGTCGGTATGAATGTAAAATCCACCGTGGAAGCCGGGAACTTCATAGGAAACATTGCCCATGTCTGTAGATCCTCCACTAAGCCCGCCCTGCTGACCGGCAGCATCAACGATTGTACTGTGGCCCATTGCGTTCATTACAGCAGAATAGCTGTTGCAGATGGAATGGTTATCCTTCATATCCTTGTATGAAGGCTCCCTGGATAATTATTAGAAGTGATTGAAAGACTGTCGCGTGAGGAACTACGTACCATTCATACTCGACCGTGCAGCCAGTTGCAGTCGCGGCAGCCTCGAAACATCTGAGGACCCGATCTGTCAATGGCTTCAATGTGCTAACGGTCTTTGATCGAATGTAATACTCCACCGTTGTGGACGCTGGGATAACGTTCGGTCGCTCGCCTCCTCTTAACACAACACCGTGAATCTTCTGCGTGGGCAGAATCTGCTGTCGAAGCATAGAGATGTTGACGTAGGCGGCGACAACTGCATCCAGAGCATTGACTCCTTCCCAAGGCGCAGCTGATGCATGTGCGGGCTTTCCGGTGAAGGTGACCGAGACTTTATCGTTTGCCAGATACTGCCCGGTGCAGGAACTCGAGCTGAGAAGGTTGGGAGCCCCAGAGAGAACAGGGAATGGATGCACCATGAAGCAAGCGTCGACATCCTTATAGGCTCCTGCATCAATAAGATGGAGCTTTCCGCCTCCGCCTTCTTCGGCGGGAGTACCCAAGAGACGTGCAGTGAATCCAATGTCATCAGAGTATAGAGCCGACATTGCTTCACAAGTAGCCAGAAAAGCGGCAATGGAACTCGTCGCAATTAAATTGTGGCCACATGCATGCCCCATACCAGGCAATGCGTCATATTCGGCATTGAATGCGACGACTCGGCCTCCCTTGCCCCGCGTATAGCTCACCTCAAGCGCGGTTGTAACACCGTATGCCTGACGCTTGACCTGGTATCCATCCGCGGAGAGGTTATCGAAAAGCTCGCAGATATTGTCATGGGCGCTGTGCTCCTTGAATGCCAACTCAGGCTTCGACCAGATCTACACTCTGGTTAATGCAATTGCTCACAAATGAAATTGTAAGTACCGACCTTCTGATTGATGTCCCCAAGCTGAGCCTCATGCCTCTCCAACGCCTCGCGCACCCTCTGAACAAACAATTGCTGACTATGACCAAGCTGCATGGTTGCAATGAAATCAAATTACACTTCCGGATACTAGCAACGCCACGGGCAGCATTGGCTTTAAGAAGGCATCGGAAGTAGATAGGCGTCCGTTGCCGATCGGCAAAGAACCCTCCCCCGCAAAGCAGATAAGCAATTCCAATACCATTAACAAAGCCCCCCCCCTTCCCCCATTCCGCAATTCCGCTGTGGATATTCAGTTGTCTTGGCGTATGACTGTCAGGTACGAGTCTATTCGGGCTCAGCCTCCGTCGCAGATTCACCGAAAGCGGATTGCGTATGTAGTGCCGCAGCACGGGCCTGTACAGGTCTGGAATCTGTAAAAATGCGCATTTCAACGACCTGTAGATCCTCGTCGTCTTTGCCTTGAAGATCAATGACACTAAACTCCCGGACTTTGACCATAAACTGATCGGGATCATCGGCGAAAATGGTCTCGGAAGTAGCTTCGTACAAGACAGTACGCTTCATGCGGATATTGCCCGGAAGTGGGGCGTAGAGATTGACTCTGGTAGCGCTGACAAATTCTTCGCTTTCGCTTGATATCTTGTTCGAAGGGTCATTTGGTCCGACAAGGTCGATATCCCAGGCGACATGGACGTCGTGGTGGAAATGGGAGAAGTGGTCGCTACGGACTTGCATTAGGGGTGTTGTCCGGTAGGCAAAGGTGGGTGGGTTGCTGCCGATAATAATTGGAGCATTAGGGGTGAATAAAGGAGCAATTTGGTCATCTGAATCCCTGGCAGAGTCCATTGCTGGGAGGAAGCGTTTGAGGAATTTGAGGCCCGGGGAGGCGGTATCCGGGATGGAATCGTAGGGGCCATGATGTATTGTGACGGAGCTGTCCATATTTAAAGAATATTTGGGATCAATGGAAAGAGATTGTGAATGATTGGAAAGGTTGAATTCGGAATTATATCATGTACCCATTTAAAGATGTGAGATATAGGTAGAAGCATCGTCATAACCACGTAGCCATGCATGGGCCACGCAGATACCACCGATCCCCCCTTCGCTAAGGCAGCTACACATTAATCAGACGGCACATCGACGAAGGAGCTGATGTCCATACCAAGCACCTGTTTCGCGGGGCGATTGGACGAAATGGATGCGCCAACGATTCTTCGATAGATGTCACCGTGTTCCACATCGGGAGCTATTGTTGGAATACCAATGGTCTTCAGGCGCTACTTGATCGCGCTCACAGCAGCGACAATGATCATGGAAATACACCCCTACATTACATGGTTACAAATCCATGGCACCTTGAAGCAGTGAAGTTTCTACTGACCCGAGGCGCTGACCTCCATGCTACAAATTTGAAGGGAAGTTACCGTCTTCCACGAATTGATGATTTTTTGGCGATGCTCACGGTAGACAGAAAGAAAGTAGGGGATGTGAAAGGCCTACGGCTACGGATGAGATGAAAGCGCAGGATGAAATGGTGAATGCTCTTCTGGATGCAGCAGGGGATGAAAGTATGATGGATACGCCAAACGAGACTGGTAGAACGCCGCGACAGTTGCGGTCTGAAAAAAGAGATAAGTGGCTGGAAATAGATCTGCGTTTCAAGAATGAGCGACGCCGGGGTCGTGCATTAGTGACTCGGGTTTCAAAGGGTTTAATGCCCATTAACTTATGGATATCTCATTCGAATGATAATTGTATGATTGTACACATATTAGCACAGCCGAAGCTGGCAATGGAGTATAGTGCAGTATTGACAGTAAAAGCGTAAAGCGTAAGGCGTAAGACGTAAACTTAGGACGTAGCTATACAGAAAGTGGCAACCTCAGCAGTATGAGATTCATATGGACAACTTGTTGACATGCCCTATGTCGACCATTTGTTTTTGTCCTATATCGACCGTGGAGTCAACCTGGTGTTGTATACAGTGACACATGCCGCCGGATGGGGCGACAAGGTATTTTGCCTTGGCACTTCAAGTCGGCAGATGCACGTGGCGTGTCCCCGGACAACCACGACAAGATACTGAGCGTAGATTCCGAATGACAGGACCGGTCGTGCACAGAGCGACATGCCCGAGGACCCTGAGCAGGGATTTGCCAGCGGCAGGTGCACAGCGTGAATCGCAACTTATGTACGAAATGAGAAGAGAGATTGGCTGTGGAACCTCCCAATCAAGGTGGTTGTGAATTATCGGTCGAATTCGTCGAAGGGCGCATTCGTCGTTCGGACATGGGCAAGCTCTCCAGGGAGATGTTGTTCCAAGCACTCATACCACGAGGCACGCGCGATTCAGCCGGCATGGCGTGAGTGACGTCCGACGTAAGCTGCGACGGGTCCACAAAGCCTGGGTACTCTTCATGCTCGGTGGATGTGGGCTGGGAGCGATTGGTCTGCACGAGGGAGACAAGCTTTCCAAGGACACCAAACTCGAGCTTCAGTTTAATGCTGTAGACCATCGGTTTCAACGTCGTCTGCAGCGAGTAGTATCCAATATATTCGACCACGAGCAGGGCGACATCCATCAGAATAATGACAAAGTTGATAGCCAACAGCTCGTACATAATCCTCGATCGCCGCTGATCTTTGTTTGGCATCAATTTGAGTAATTTGACTGTTTCGTGGATGTAGATGCCTGATATCACAAACTCCTGGAGACAGAACCAAGCTAGCTGCAGGCGCTCTACGACATTGTAGCCTCGGATGAAAGGAAGGGTTTGGACATAGGCGGTGGAGAAAGTGAGGATGGTGGTGGGGATCAGAAGAATAAAGGCGTCAACGATGATGAGCCAGAGCACGAATCGCAGGATCCGACTGTTCTGGACCACCAAATGGAGACGTGAGTATAGAACTACTGACTGACCCGGCACCATGACATAGAAGCCAATGGTGGATATCGTGAGTGACAGCCATGTTGGCGCGAGGTTGAAAAATACCAGAATATAGCCAATCGTATGGGGGATGACACCCAGCACGACGGATAGTAACAAGGACCAAAAGTAGAGGCCACGATAATGCTGAAAAGTCAGAAACAAGAGGATGAACAGTTCAATGGCATTATACAATGCGATGGACGAGAAGACGATCATGAGAATGCGAATCGTCAAGCTGTGACCATGATAGCCATCGATGATGCCATCCGGAGGCGAGTTGAGTTCGTCCGGCATGGTCTAGGCTCCACGCTATGGAATGCGCGAGCTGCAAGGCGTTGTAGATCGTCAAGCCCCGCTTGGTAAAAACCCCCGGTCGTATGCCTTCTTTGAGTGAACCGATTTCACCGCCATTATCATACTAGAGGTGGAACATCTAGGCGAGTGTCGAATCCGACGATCTCTAGGCGGAGTTGGAAGGGTTCGCACAGGCCGGCGAATTTCGCAAAGGGCGAATGCGGAACGCGCGAATGCGAGAGCAATTGTCACCGGAGTTCAGGTCGCGCAAGGTCGCTTCCCGCCAAGTTGATTGTTCGGATGCAACTTCAACGAGAAAGTCACTGGGAGTGCCGCAAAAAGTGAGTCGAGTCGAGTCGCGTGGGAGACAAAAGCAGGAAAAGCGGAGGAGAGGAGCCCGCAGTGGGTTCGAGACCCAGTTTCTCCAGTAGGTCCGCTACGACGAACGGCGAACGGCGAACGGCGAACAGTGAACAGTGAACAGTGAACAGTGAACGGTGAACTTGAGAGAGCGTTGCAAGTAGAGAAAAGAGAGGACAGCCCGAAGCAGAGACAGAAAAGGACGGAAAAGGTAAAAGGAGGAGAGTGTCAAACTCTTTTTTTTTTCCTTTTCCTGGGGCAACCGAGCAGCCGAGAAAATCCTCGCGGGGGCAACTCGCCTTTTTTCCCTGAGCTTTGGGTCCTCGCCACTGTCCCTTGCCGACCTCGGATCGCGTTTACTGACTATTTGACCCTGCGCTTACACCTTCCCTACGTCGACCTCAGGCCATGCTGCCATGCTGCCATGCTGCCATGCTCAGTCTTCCGGCATTTCCGACATCCCCGACATGCCGTCATGCCTGTCGTCACCTCAAGAGGGTGGTCACCCCGAGGTACGCGTTCGGGCTCATGATGATCGTCGCGGGCCCAAGCATTACGGCACAATGGAGTTGGAGAGCTGATCAGAGTTGCCGGTACCTGGATAGTTGAGTGGTGGACCTGCCAAATCGCGCGGCATTGGCCAATAATTAGTTCGTCGGAGTTGCAGTGAGTTCAGCAAGAACGAGTCCCGGCTGTTTTGGAACTCGGTATCAAGGCCGTCAGCCTGTAGGAAAGGCTGGAGTCTCGCACCGTCAATCAACACGGGAGTTCCTAGGCCATGATCTTTGGCAGAGACCCGGGACCGAATCCTCAGATGAGGCGACCTAGGTATCCCGTAGATTTGCCGACTCGGCCGGCGGTTCCGATGTCGTTCTACGGTTCATGATTTCCGGGTTCACCCCCGCGCTGAGTTCTCTATCAAAGGTCCCCTCGTATGAAAAGACTTACTTTTGGGACCGTCGCCGAGTCCGCCGAGCCTCGTATTCAACACGGGCCCAAAGGAGCGGCTGACTCTGCCCCACAAACCCGACCCCGCTTCCACTGACCTGTCCCAGTCCATTCGGAGAGTGGCGTGGATCTATTTTCCTTACTTTGGGGGGGTTGATAATCTGATGAGATGAGATGGAGATGGAGATTTCACTGGGCTTGTACAGGTCGACTTGTCGACTTTAGAATCTACGAGCATAATAAAGTAAACGCATCCCGCTGATCATGCTGCACCTGCCACTGCACTTGCCGATCTTCTCCTGCCCAGGTGTGTCCCGCCTACATAATCGAGGAAATAAAGAGAAATCGACCATGACAAAAGAGGTGAGCATGGCGAAGGTATAGAGGAAAGCTCGGTTAACTCTGCTAGGGATATTGCTGACCACCTTGCCCCTCACCGAAATATGCACGATGCTTCCAAGGCGCCTATCTTATCCTAGCCAGTCAAGTCTATATCTAGCGCGCGTCCACTTAGTTACATTCCCCAGTTTCACACCGTAAATAGACCCGTAGATAGACCCACCACCAAGCGGGACGGTACGTTACCACCAATGGGTTACATTCTTGATCTCGAGCACCGGCCGACTAACTCAGTCCGGTCTATCGTCAAGCCAAATTGGGCGTTTGAGGTGACGAAGCTGCAGAAGAGGGGGGCGAGTCCCAAGTACTGGCAATCTGCTGGGACCAGATGATAAGCGAGGAAGTCCCCAGAATCCCAGACTGTGTGGCATTCCAAGCATCCACACCCTGCAAGTAGAAAGCTTCAACATGGCATCTGAGCAGAGCTACGACTTTATCGTTGTCGGAAGTCGGTCATTCCGCATCTCCCGTTGAAATGTGTCTAACTCAGTAACAGGTGGCCCAGCTGGGTGCGCGGTGGCCTCGCAATTGGCGCAATCAGCCAAGAAACCGAGCGTGCTCCTGCTGGAAGCCGGTGGTCCTAATGACGACAATTCACTACGCGTTGATGGCAAGCGCTGGCAAACATTCACGCAAGAAGGCATGAATTGGGGGTACAAGACAGTGGCCCAAAAGCACTTGAACGGGCGAGAATTGGACTACTCTCGTGGAAAGGGTCTCGGAGGTAGCTCTGCCATCAACTTCGGAGTGTACGCAGTCGGAGCCCGCGACGACTATGATGAATGGGCATCGGTCGTCGGCGATGACACTTTTTCTTGGAAGAACATCCAAACCCGGTTCAAGAAACTCGAGACCTTCAATGGGACCTTTGATGTCGCCGAGAACCAGAAATATGCCAGTCCCAAGGCCAGTGATCACGGCACCGAGGGAGTCCTCGGTGTTGGATATGCGAAGGAATGGGACCAGGATCTGCCTTTGGTGCTGGATGCCTTTGAACAGGCTGGCTTCCCTAAAAATGAGGACCACAACTCGGGCAATCCGATTGGAATGGGTCTTTGCATCAACTCTTGTCGCAATGGTGTGAGAAGCACTGCCGCCGATCTGCTTCTCGGCCACACGAACCTAGTCATCGTCACCAACAGCCCAGTGTCGCGCGTTATCATGAAAGGCAAGAGAGCTGTTGGCGTTGAGGCCAACGGTCAGCAATGTAAGTCTAATACCATAAACTCACACATCCAAATGTCTAAACAGGACCAGACCACGCAAGCAAGGAAATAATCATCTCCGCCGGATCCCTCGACACACCCAAGATCCTGATGCACTCAGGAATCGGCCCAGCAGACCAGCTGTCGAAATTCAACATCCCCGTAATCCACGACTCCCCAGCCGTCGGCCAAGGCCTCCGTGACCACATCTTCGCCCCAGTAATCGTAACACGGAACCCAGCAACCAACGACCGCAATGCCTTCTTCAAAGACACCGGCGCCATGTCCGCAGCGACAACCCAATGGCAAAAAGACAATACAGGCCCCTGGGCACGCTACAACTGCCAAATCTGCATCGGTTGGCTCAAATCCGACAATCTAACATCCCTTCCAGAGTTCAAAGCTCTCCCGCCATCAGTCCAGGAGTTCATGAACCGCGAGACAATTCCACATTACGAGATGATCAATTTCCCAATCCACAACGCCTACCCAGACATGTTCCAAGACTACAGCTACCTCTGTCTAGCAGTGATGATGATGAACGAACAATCCATCGGCGAAGTCCGTCTCCAATCATCCAACCCGTCAGAGCCGCTCCTCTTCGACCCGAAGTTCCTGGAACATCCCTTCGACCGAAAAGCTAGTATAGTGATCTACAAACACCTAATGGAAGTAGTGAATCACCCCTCGTTCGCAAAAGATACCGTTTCGACAATGCTAGGCGCTGCGTCGGATTCGGATGAGGACATCCTCGAGTTCTGGCGGAATAATATCTCTTCGACGTGGCACATGACTGGAACTGCGAAGATGGGCAAGGTCGGGGATGCTGATGCGGTCGTCGATCATCGGTTTAGGGTTATTGGGGTTGACGGGTTGAGAGTGGCGGATATGAGCTGTGTGCCTGTTTTGACAAATAATCATACGCAGGCTACGGCTTATGTGACTGGGGCCACGGCTGCGGATGTGTTGTTGGAGGAGTATGGCCTTGCTGAGATTACCAAGTAGGCGATGATCTAATTTAAACAGGTTCATAACTATAGCTTGGATAGAACGATGAATCTCATTAACTCCCCATTCTACTTGTAGTTGGTTGTGAGCTTGAAGTTCGAGTAGCTTATCTAAACATGTCAAAACTGGAGTGGTGCATTGGATATAATGTATGATCCGAGCCCTTAAATCGATGTGATACTCCAGAGACAGCATAGCGCAGAAAAAGAAGCACAAAACACCACCGAGCCGCGCAAGCTAGAATAGAAAGTCACACACGCCACACACCGCTACTGAATAACGAAAAGCAGCCAGGATTAGGAAGAAGAGATGAGGGGACATGGAGACGAGACAAGTGGGCATAAAGACACTGGATATCGACATAGGGGAATTAAACATATACTAGTTAAGCCATTGGAAGGTGGCCTTCTTGCTTAGCGACAGCGTCGGAGCCATCCTGGCCCTCGTCGCCGCGGACACGCTTGCTAGGCTGGAAGTTATTGCCCATGAAGCTTCCGTCGTCGGGGTGCTTGCGCATACCGAGACCGGCAACAGCGATGCGGTTGAGAGAGTTCATATCGTCGTTTGCTGAGCCGGGGTGTTGGGGCTGTTGGCTGGCAGCGGATGGTCCGCTTAGACCGGCAGCGAGAGTGAGTTCATGGCGAGGGGGTTGGCTCAGATCGATGTTTGGGGGAAGGTCAGGAACCTCGGCCTGCGCATCCATGAGGCGAGATTGGAGATTAATGACATACTCCCGCAACGAGTAATTCTCGCCGATCAGGTGCTTGAGCTGGTCGCGAATATTTTCTGTTTGCTTGTTCTCTTCTTCAAGCTTGCGGATATATGTTTCTTTTCGTTGGCGGAAAGCGCGCTGGTAGAGAGTGAGTGCAAATCCCTATGACAAGGATACTGGAGTAATGTATTACCTGAGCGGCGCGGTTCTGAGCAGCTCGCTTGGACGTTGACAGCTCGCGCTTGCCATATGCCTTGGAACTGCCATCGTCGGGCGACCCTGGATGGGGCTGAGTGGGTGTTTGGGGAGCCGCATTCATCATGGCAGCTCCCGAGATAGCAGGGTCAATGTTGGCCTGGTCGCGGGGACTGGCCGTGTTAGGCTGGAGATGCTGTTGCGGGGGGCCACCCTGAGGGCGACCCTGTTGCAACTGGTGCTGAGCGGCGAGAAGCTGATCATGGAGCACTGTATCAACAGTAAGTTAGCTCATATCGACGCGTTTAGTCAATTCCTCAACGCGACCAGTTCGCCACAAGCGGCGAAGGCTGAAGTCCGGTGCATCTTCACGGACCTACTTCGCCTTCACCGGCTAACAATTGAACATTCAAAGCGATCGCATTGACATAGTCACTTACCCTGATCCGCATGGTCCTATACTCAGCACGTTAGTATATATCAAAGCACGCAATGGCATAAAACCGGAGGACGCGGGAAGGCGCTCGGTCGCCGGCGACGCGTCCTCAAGCCAGTGGCAGATCGACTTGCACCCAACGCGAACGTCATGTACACGGCGCCATCGCATCGAAGTACTCGGCGCGGGAAGACGATCTGATGACAAACGCGTCGAGGATAGGCTGCTTACCTGAGCAGAAGACTGCATACTGGGATGCGGCGCTGGAGCCAGCGCAGGCTGCATCGATGAAGGGGAGATCGGATAGACTGATGAAGAATTGGGCACTGATTAAACAGCGCACTTCCAATTCTCAGAAAATGACTGGTGAAGAGAGCTTTTTGGTTGTAGAGCTGAATGAGGTAAGCAGTTCGAGATGCTGTAAGCGGAGGTGGGAAAGAGAGATTACTAACTATCCTGACTCAGGAGGGCGGAGGGGCGTCTTTGAGGCCGGATTACGCGTTACGTAAGGTGTGATGGCGTAAGCGAGGGCCGGATCAGGTGGGCGGTAGCGGTCGCGGTGGGACGTCTCCGGTCTTCTGTCGGCAGTATTGTAAACTTGCGGGGGGATCGGGTTTAGGTATAGAGCAAGCTAGTCTAGCAGGACCTACTTCAGTAGTTTAGGTCTATGGGTAGCCTCATGGGCCTTTATCTGCCATGAGCACTATCTCATAGTGTTCTCTATCTTGTTACGCCGCATGCAGCTAGGCTTCTTTTTTACTAGCCTCCTGACGTCACTAGTCCGCCTTCAATAGCAACCATTCTAACGCCTGAGGCTCTCAACTACAGCTGATGCGGCCAAGTCCATGCAATTTTGTTTTAGTCATAAGTATATCCAAATTCAACCCCCGAGTATACACAAAACATGCTGTGCTACAATAAAACTCTCATGAAACGCGTTTACTGAGCCTCCCCTGTAATGTTCACCCAAACAACAACCGAGAGTCTGACAGTGACACTACAGTCTATTGCTGCTTCTTTGCACTTCCACTGCTGGGTTGGGCTCGGATGATTCCAGCACCGATCTCTGCTGACTCCGTCCATCCGTGCTGACGCTGCCAAAACCGCTCGGCGGGGTCTGTATCATGCATAGATGACCGCCGGGCATCATCCTCGAGAGCGGAGCGTGAGATCTCCGGTGTTTCAGGCAGTGTGTCATCTTTGTCCGACTGCAGGTCTTTCTCCGTATCGGTAGTAACAGTCGAGTCCAAGTACCGCTTGCGCATGAGGTAACGCTCGGCACGTTCCTTGCGGGCGTGTGGTGGCTCGAGCCTGGTCATGGCCGTCTGCACCGCATACCTTATGATCAGATAGAGGTGCTCAGAAAAGAATATAACCAGCAAAAGTGCCCAGCCCCTAATATCTGTCACGTCACCATTGGGGCCGTGATGCGGGTTTCCACTAAACAGATATACGAGAGCAGCACTAGTGATGCTGCCAACCCAAGACAGGAAGCCGAGGGTATCAAGCCAGGGGCCAATGGTGTCAGCCCGTAGAGGTGTGGGTCGCTGGAACTCCATACAGATCTTAAAGAAGTCGGATCGAAGCTCGATCCAGTTGTTGATGAAGAACGAGACAGGGACCAATGGCCATACGGGCGAGAACAGTGCCAGATATCCGAATTGGATGCACATCTCACGCAGGTCATCAGTAACCTCGTATTCAGACAGCTCGACTTCATTGCGCACACGCTTCAAAAATTCCTTCTCCTCGGCAGGATCATCGTAGGTCATTATTGGTGACCGCTCAGGGGAACCCTTGTCACCGTTCTGTCCAGCCTTGCCATTGCCATTGCCATTGCCATTGCGCTTTTTGTACTCTTTGTACTTGCGGAATGCATGCTGCTTCAGATATGGCACTATAGTCTCCATGGCCAATCCGACAATTTGAGCAGTGACGGTGAAATAGATGACCTGATTACGCAGTCGAGCTGGGTCGATCTGGAAGTGCGACTTTTTCGATTCGCAGTGCTCTTTGGACACGAACGGACGAACAGTCAATCGGAACACATCCAAGTAAGGAACAATCCGGCTGGCGAAAGGTACGTAAACAAAGGCTGTAAGCAGGACCGGAAGATACGAGGTGATAAAGTTGATAACGAAAACCTTCTGGGTCAGTGCAACATCATATCCGTCATTGGTTTCGTGGTTCTCAAAGTCGTTCAATTTAGTGGCAATCGACATGAGAACGGCACTGATGGTCGGGACACCTGCGGAGACGAGAATGGTGGGAATGAAGACCTGAATCGTTAGACATGATCAAACACGGGCGCAACGAACAGCCATACCAAATAAGTCTTGAAAGGACCGTTGTACAGTTCCGAGATGAAGATCTCAATTGCAAAGCAAGTCGCAATGATGACTCCCAATGCAATCGCAGCAAGAATTGCAAATGGGATCTGTAGCAACTGCCGCTGCATTCGCTTGGTCGCAGGGAAGATCCCTCGCATCTCACCGGTGCCTTCATCACGAACATGCTTCTCAGGCTTGAACTCGCGTCGGGGAGTCTGAACGACCGAGAGACCCTTGGTTTGCCACCGACAGCTCAGGTCTACTTCTTGGCGCTTCCAGTATTCAACAAAGATGATGCACCAAAGGGAGTTTACGGCAGTGTAAATAACTGAATAGCCGCCAAGGAAAAACCAGCAGGAAAATCCGAATACAGCGGGGAAAATCAAGAAGCGGAAGTAGGACTGTAAGAATGAGAAGTAGAACCCAACCTGCGAAGAATATCAGCGACCTGCTAACAGCACGTTTAAGACAATGTGTGCATACACTCTCTCCGAACTTATCCCGAATCTGATCCAGGTCCTCGTCTGAGAGGAAGGTCTTCTTGCTCCAGTCGCGCATCCATTTCTTATTGGTTTCCTCGTCGTGGAGAGGGAAGACATTCGTAACATTCTTCCACTCGCCGTGGTTAGGGGTGATTCCGGCACCGCCCTCCTCCGCGGGGAGGGTGATCATCTGGTTGATAACCCGCAGACGCTCTGCCTCGGTGGCCGGCTCGATAGATCCAGCGGAATCGGGCTCAGCATTAAGGATACCATAGAGCCAGTCGCGTACCCTAGGAGGCAGCAGATTAGCGCTGTCGCTCACCTTGGAGCAGCTCAACCGGAAGCTCAACTCACCGCGACCGATACACCGCCCTCTTCAGCCGCTTGCTGGTGGCACGCACGAAGATGAGAAGAGATGTCTCATCACCCTGTCGCACCTCAGTCTGCAGCCCAACGCTCGTGAGCGTCCGGAGCAGCTTCTCCAGCTCTTGGATCGCTTGTGATTGATCTGCACGGCCAGTTAGCCCCGATCGGACGGCAACCACGGGAGTTTACTCACCGACATTGCCGAAGCTGTAGCGAACGACGTAATCCACGTCGAGATTGTATCGGAGGGCGTTTGCCTCGCTCGTGGTCGCCATTGTAAATGTTGTGGAGGGGAAAGAAAAAGGCGGAGTGAAGCTCAAGTCCGATTGCGCGGTTCAACGACGTCACTCGGAAAGCTTGGCCCAGCAGAGATCACAGCCACAGCGTGACCTTGTCTTGTCCAATGATTTGGTCCCTTTTTGCTTTTCCAGATATTTTCCGAATAACTGGTTATTGCGCAAGTCATCTATTTTACTTGGCATACGCTATGATACAGAATGTGGGATCCGTGGCTTGAAATATATCATGATCGTCATATTGCGCAAACAGGTTTATTCTTAGCATCCACCGCTTCTATGAAATTGCCTCGCCGGTATACATTTTCCACTGCAAACACACAATGCTAGAATGACCAGACCAGTCGCTGTTCAGTAATCTACTGATCTCAGGTTCATGATACAAAGAGGGCGGGATGACTACCTGTTCAATAATTGCATGGAAGAATCCCTTCTCCCGCAATAGAGCCCATGTAGATACCACAAGTAGAAGACTACCATGAGCAGAAACATCAAAGACGCATCAAACACATAGAGAGGCCACTCTGTGATGACGAGATAGCCATCTTGATTCACGGACTGCATCACAAATTCGACAATACGGTAGATGTTGCGCACGAGGACGGCAGTGGATGTCATGTACAACATGTTGAGACAGGACTGCCAGGGCAGGTGTATGACAGGGCAAGACTCTGCGGCATATGCTCGCATCCTCTTATTGAAAATCCCGCAACAAACAATGAAGAAAATGAACACGATGATCTGCAGAATAAGGCCAGCGATAATGATATAATCGGCAATTAAAGTGAGGTTCTCATTCCCCAACAAACCGGCAGCATTTCCTTGAATCATGAAACATGTGAAATCACCAGTAATGAAAATCCAGGTGGCCCATCGCATGGGAATGGGCGAGAGATCTTCGGCATGAACAGCACAGACTATGCGAGAATAGACCATATAGAGCGTCGCGGCGAAGCCGAGGGGAGGGATAACCAGGAAGATAGACGGTAGAAGGTATAGGATCAAGCTACCGGTGTTGGAAGAAGCAGCTGCTCGAGTGACATAACCAAATATTTCACCTACCAGGACAGCAGAGTCAGTAAAAGTTCATGAAGGTTTTCGTCAGCCAATTCTGCAGAAAAAGCGCGGCGGAACTCACAGACGCCGCCAACTATAAATGGAATGGTAAACAATGCCTTGGTCTTGTATAATCTCCAGCAGTGGAATGAGGTCACAATAGTAAATAGGCCGAAGAATATCACAGAGAGCGGTAGGCTAGGAACATATCTCCACAAATACACTCCCTGATAGGTCTGAAGTGTTGGCATAGTTGGCCGCAAGGGAGAATAGTCTGGCGCAGCCAATTTTCCATATCTAGAATCAATCGTCTCTCTCTTGTCCTTCTTCCATTCTTCATACTGACATTGTCTGCCATTAGTATACAAAAACTTCACTTAGCTCGTTTCACCTAGAATACTAAATGATATCTGGCACGCTACTTCCTATATTAAGTACTATCTTCCCAGAGAGAACTATCTTTCCAGACAGAGCGACCCTGTGACTAGATAAATGTAAAGTATTGGGTAGGCAGTAGAAAAGTATGAACGGGCAGTACATATAGACATAAAACTGCTGTAAGCGGGTGAGCAGCATGCCTGCTTATATTTGAAGAAGAATGTGCAGGCTTCCGACAGAAAGCAGATGTCTCGGTATGTACGAGCATGGACTGTTCCATAGAAAGAGATCAAATATGATTCACTGCATACACACAAAGATGCAGCTTTTCTGACAGATTGATTGCTACTTGGAGATATGGATACCTCTTTCAGGCAGTTGAATGGTGCAATAGACAGCCGTGCCAATTGTGTCATCTGCTGCCTTGTAGAGCTCGGAATACGCCCTCATTTATTTGGTGGTCTGCCCGCCGGGCAACACACACTCCACCAACGATACTTGACTTCGACAATCATATATCCGGTTCATCACCAGCCCTGAGCGCTCGATGATATCCTGGAACTCAGCTGGCGTTCTCTCAATGCCATTAATGATGCTCATCATGGTAATATCTCGTTGATGGCTGTATCGGGTGAAGTAACCGTAGTTTGCTGGAAGAGGCTCCGGCGCCGAAGGAATACTTCCTGTAAATCCAGCCGTGGTGTTCATGACCTGGTCACAGATGAGAATTCGGGAATTAGGCTTCATAGCCTCTTTGATGGCTGACAGAATCCGAATACAGTAGTCATCTGACCAATCGTGCCTAGACGCGTCTCGTTGCTCAGTACAATTATAAGGCACACAGGCTATAGGTATCTGCATATCCCCGAAACTTACAAGATATACCGAAGCCAGTAGATATCGGCACCGACAACGGGATTGGAGTTGAAGAAGTCGTGTTCAAGAAACTTGACGCGGCCTGTTTTGAGGGCTTCAGGATTTTCAACCGGCCAAATCGTGCTTTGGGCCTGGGCAAGCGCAGGCGCGCGGTCCTGCACAATAAAGTTGAGGTCTGGGTAAATCTTGGACAGCTGAAGGCAGAATCCCCCTATGTCACACGTATTAAATCTTTTGCCTTAGAAAATCGGGGGAAAAGGAGATTGAAGACGAACCAACTCCGCCGCCGACATCAACAACCTGTGCTCTACCCAGTGATGCCCATGGAAAGTCTGTTCTCACAGTTAATAAGTGCCTTGGTGGCGAGCATCAAGGAGGTTTTGGGTGTGTATTTTGAGCATACCAAACAGATGGGCCACTCCAAACACGCGGCCACCACCAAGCATGGCAAGACCGAAAATATCGAGCTCGGGTCGACGGATGGTCTCCCCTTGAGACTCATCTTGGATGGCAGCAGTCACGTTAGGCCCAAAAGGTCCAGGGTACGCCCCAAATCCGCCATTCTTGAGCTGTGTGCCTGTCGTGCCTTCTTCGAGCCAATTCCACCGTTCCTTGGTTGTTCCGATGGCTTTCTGCCAGGCTGATTCATTGACCGCGTATGAAGAACCAATCTCAGGATCCAAAAGAGCCCGCGGAAGGGCATCAGAGGCAGTATAAAGATCCCAACCGCTGTCAAGACACATTAGCACAAAGCATTGAACCTCAGTCATAGGAAAGAACATACAACATAGAAATGTAAGCCCGTACTGGTTCGTTGTGGACCAGCCCGGCCGATATAGCATTGTTGGCGAAGAGCCCATCTCCCACCTCCTGGAAGATATGGATCGAGCAAAGACACCGCATAATGCGACCTGAAATCCAACAAACGCCCACCATTAGCAACAAGAATCCATACTCCAGGTTAGTTCTCAGCTGGTTACAACATACCAAGCTTTCTTGTCTCGATTCCAACTTTCTCGGCAATATGCTTCATCGAGACTCCCTTGTCGCCGCTCTCAGCCAAGATGTCCGGGATTCGGAGAACTGCTGCAATGTGCAAGCATCTCGCCTCATTATACTGCGATGAGACTTCCAAAAGTCGGCTCGCAGGGGATGAGACTAGCTCGACTAGTTTTCCGGTCGCGCCGATGAGAGTGCGTTGTGCTTCAAATAGCTCACGACTTGGAAGGCTTGCTTCACTTTCATCTACGCTCGTCTGGCTGTTGCCCGAAGACTCAGGAAGCTTCGCCCATTCTGCAATGATGCGGTGGATGCTATCTCGGGTGACATCAGCGAGTTGCAAGAGATGGTGGGCATCACTGAGGGATGGCATGGTGCGTTCCTGGATGTCTGGCCGATAAGGTTTGTTTATGTAGAATGATTCCTGGTCAACATGCATAAGCCCTGGATAGGTATAGATTTCAATTTTGGGTGCGTACAGGGACTTAATCGCTATATATAGCTCAACGGCCCCGGGGGTCTTTGGGGGATGTCCGAGTCCATGTCTGACATAGGGACCGGCGTACACTGCTCAGGCGTGGGCATTTTGGACTTTACTCCGGTTCCTCGACTCAACAGCAGTCAATTCATCGATGTTTCCCCGCTGTAGGCCCATAGGTACATAGCTCATTTCTACTCGAGCAAAAAAGTAGCGAAGTAAGATCCCAATTTCTCCGTGTCGCCCGGAGCCGAACTGATTCCAACCCATAAATCTGGTCGAATGACTACAACTGCACCAGTACGGTGATTGACTCCCCAGGTACTGTGCGCATCATCGTCAGGCGCCCGGTCATCCGACAAGACAATTGCTTTGTCCCTCAAAGCTGCCAGGTCTTCATCACAAGATAACCTCTCGTCAATCTCCCATGGCATGCCCTTGGTTACGAGGACGATGTTGAACATATCCGATCCACCGAACCGCGCGTAGAATTCACTGGACGCCTTGGCCGAGATTTCCTCCGAAAAGACCTTCAGCTGCTGCCGAACGGGACCGAGAAGATTCGATCCAAACACGACCAAGTGAAACCGGCCATCACCAGGGAGTTTGTCATACAAATATCCCGTGTGACTGGCATCAATGCACACGCGGGGGTTTGGTGCCCGCACCCCATCCTTCACCTTCACTGGCGGGGCCTGAGCCCCTTCTCGGCCATTGGCGAGTTTGGGAGAAGGATTCAAACAACTCGTGCCATACGCTGCATCAACTCCGAGAAGGAACTGCCCATACTTGGTGAAGAAATCAAATAGGAATGCTTTTGCCTCTTCACGCGTAAAGGCTGCATTCCCATTCTGCCGATCCTTGGAATGAGATTCGATTAGGAAATCCTCCTTGGATGAGATGAAGGGTTGACGTGTGGCGCCATGTACCCCATTTATCCCATTTATTCCATTTATCCCATTTGTCTTGTGGGTTTCATCAGTATCGAGCCCCCAGTTTGCGCCGAGGTGGTGCAGACTGGCCGTTGGGAGTTGCGAGCTGCAGACAAAGCGAAGATATTTGCCAGAGATTTCAATGATGTTGGCAGCATGCAGACGGCGCTCACGGCTGTAAGTAGGAAGGAGTTTCATGGGGTCGGCCTTGCCTTTAACGCAGAGGCCAAGTTTCCAACCGATATTAGCCGCATCTAAGATGGAGGCGTTCAGACCGAAGGCGCCCATGACGCTATGAACGTGTCTGTTTTTCATAACGACCATGGTTAGTCGGCACTTATAATATTGTAGAAATAGAAAACATACGCTGCATCTCCGACTGAATGAACCCGCTGGTCGGGTGAGGAGAATGATCGAGCAACGCGCTCGCTGACTAGTGGGAATTGAGATTAGTGTTGTCTACTTTTCAAAGAAGCAGAAAGCTAGAACTTACTTTTCCATACGGCAAACCAACTCAAAGGTGCCCCAAATGACAGTTTATATGGAGCGAAGATGCGATTTGCCTCTTCTAGGACTTCCTCGGGAGTGACCGAGTGGACGTCCACCTGGCCGCCAGACTCCGCAAACTTGGGATCCTTTGCTTGTCGGGATGCCGCTAAGGGTCCTGTCTGAGAAATATTCAACTGTGTATAAAGTCTGCTCGGAAGAGTAGTCAGATTTCGAACAGTATATATGTGGAAACGTGCAATAGAAGAAGAGATGAACCACTGACCGAATATACCCATTTCTCTCGGAATGATGACGCAGCCACCATGCTCAGTGCTGATGACCGAGCCAAAAATCCAGGCATGCGGATAGTCTGTCTCGAATTTACAGTCCATGATTCCCCAATAGATATCTGTACTGATTCCATCGAAGGGGATCTCGAGCGAATGCCGAATCGCACTTGACGCCCCGTCGCTCCCGATCAAAAACTTCGCCTGTACCGCTGTTTCTTTCCCCTCTTGATCTTCCAGCACGCACTGGACCGGATAGGCAGCGGGGTCACTTGAGGTTCTTAGTGCAGGGTCTACACTGTACGTCTTGAGCGTGGTGGCACGCTCGACGAGAACCTTGTGCCGTAAGAGATCGCGCACAAACACCCGCTCTATCTGGCCCTGAGTGATGATGTGGAGGCCACGGTAGCGAGAGTCAGACTGATGCGAGTGGCCGTGGTGAAGAAGAGTGCCATTGTGATAGATGGCGGTACGTTCGATCAGCGGGCCTTCCTCGTGAACCTCAGTGGCTAGCCCCCATGTTGATAGAGTCTCGAGATAGCGCGGTTGAACACCATCAGCTCGGCCCGCTACCAAAGGGCCGGTATTTTTGTCTTGGAATTGGTCAATTTGCGTGAAAGCTGAAAGAAAGAGAGATGATATGTATCAATAACATACCAATTATTCGAAATGTAAGGCCCTGTCGAAGGCAACTCAAAGCAACCTCCAACCCACTGGGCCCAGCTATGTCAATCAGATTAAATAATCATACACGATGGGAGTTCGCATCAAACATACCACCACAGATCAGAACGTCGACCTTGTCCGGCGGGTTCCACCAAGCAGGTATCCCGTGCGGTGACGCAACCCCATGATGCAGCGTTGGCCACACGCGCAGGACATTGAAGCCCAGATGATTGTGGCGAGTGGACGTGATGATTTCGTCTGAAGGCACGACCTCGTACCCCAATGCGGCAACATCGCTGCTCTCATTTGTGGGTTCCTGTGGACCAATTTTCTACTCTTAGTCTTGACCGATGTTGAGCATGGAGAGTTGAAAATTTTTATATACCTCTCGGGGGATCCAGTGAGGCTCCTTGGCGGGTTGACGGAAGCCATTTTCGTGGGTGTGAGGACGAATAGAGTGAGCCATTGTGTAGATATGCGAAATGCCTCAAAAAATTTGGGATTTCAGCTTACGATTCGCATGATAGGAAAGTTTCGGGCTAGAATGGTGTTTATAAACCCTGGAATACCTAGGCAGTGATTATCTGTGCTCAAGGTGCGAGTTGCTAGGTAATGCCCAGGTGTACGCCGGTCCTCGGGGTGGATTCGGCTGAGCTCGCTACCAGATGATATCGCCTATCATAACATTGAAGGGAACACCAATGGCGCCTCATCAATAGATATGCGTTTATATATGGTGAAATTGGGATTTGTAAACCTCGTTGTGCCATATATTATATGAATAGATCCCATTTACACATATGGTAGCAGGCATTGATTGAGATAGCGTTTCTCTGGAGTGGGTAGACACTAATATGTACATGGATCCAAGCCTCTGGTATTCGATTCTCAAACTAGTCTGCCTCCACCACCTGGTCATAGGCATTCTTCAACTTCTCGGAGACAATCTCGACCTATTATATGGATTAATCATTCAAATTGTACCTTTAGACGTGAATATTCACCTACATTCTCGCTGTTGAATGGCTCGAAATGATTTCCTGGAATGTCGTATACTATCAGAGGGCGATTGAGTAGGCTCTCCCATTGGCGAAGCTCCAGAGCGCGATACTGTGACTTTCAAGCCATGGGTATGAAACGCCACAAAGACGAGTGGTATGGAGCACCTCTTTGCTGTGCAGCATCACATACTTTCTCGCCAATGGAATTGGCTTTTGTATGCTATAATCTGCGAGAAACTGAGCGTGGCTGTGAAACTGCGAAGAAATATTGTTAAACATCGTTTGCGGCCATTTTTTGGGACCCAGAATATAATCGACCACCTGAGAAGGCAGAGACTGGTGATTCAATGGACACGGAGAGTCGATGAGAATAACGGCGACAGTTGTATGCCCCTTTTTATCTAGCTGCTGTGCAACTTCATGGGCGAGTATACCACCAAAGGACCACCCTATCCACGTTAGTAATTGTTCACCGCGCTTACATTCATGAAAAGGGGGGGATTCACCGCCGAGGACCACTTCTTTTGCCTCAATGACAGAGGAAATCAACCCTGCATATCGACTAGCCATATCTTTCAGACTCACTGCCCAATGCGGCTGCACAGCGAGATCTGCGTTACGAATGCCAAACATGTTGCATCCTAGCTTGGAAAGAGATTTGTATTTTTCGATCAGTCCACTACCGTCGTGCAACAGAATCAGCGGAGGACGATCATGGTGTCCCTGTTGCAGATGCACGACAAAATCACCCATGTCCCGCTGCGCTGAAGCGGTATCGTTTATTGATTTCTCCATCAGAGGTGCGGAGTCTTCGCTGCTGGGCAGACTGATGTCCGCAACGAGCATTTTGGCAAGTTTGCCAATTGTCATTGTTGGAGAAAACATTTCTTGCGGCAGCTCGTTGCAAAATTCTTTCTTCATCCCTTCCTGAAACTCAATGGACATTAAAGAGTCCATTCCAAGCGAATGAAGCGCTGTGCTTTCGCTGAGGTCCGAAGGGGCACATCCACAAGTCTCTGCTACTAACTGCATGAGACAATCGGTCACATCCTTTGGATTGGCGTTCAACTCCGTTGCGGGAGTGAGCCTTCCAGATGCAGTGGTTGAGGAAATATTGTCGCTGTGGTCAGAATCATCATTGCTGAGTTCATCGTGGATGAAGGACACTCCGAATTGGCCACCAGACACGTTAACAATATATTTCTGGATATCGCGAACAGTTTCCAATCCCATGATGTCATCAGGATTCAACTGTGGGAACTGGGCGAAGAGAGAGTGGGAAAACTCGATTTGCATGAGCGAGTCAATCCCTAAATCCTCTAACCTCTTCTCAGGAGTGATCATTTCCCTCGGTTGCTCACATAACTTGGAAATGAGGTCAACCACTATACTCGTTGGATCCGATATTGTAGGCCCAGAAGGGCGTGTAGCCGGCGTCGACGGTTTGCTGCGAGGCAAGACTGACCGCTCCTGGATATCGTTAGTGGGCTTCTGCCCAGCCTGACGAGACAAGTGACTAGCGAATGATCGGAGATTGAGGCGTTTGAAGACCATTCCTTCAATACTAGCGACAACTTCGCCGTCGAGCGTCATTGCAAAAGCCTCGCCAATGCGTTCTCCCTCACTATACTCCAGCAAGCTACAGTATACAAGGAAAGTGTCCTGCGGGTTGATGTCGGCATATAGCACCACCGTTGAATCGACCTTGCTGCAAATGAATGCTTCGGTGGGCTTGGCCTGGCTGTTGACGACAAATCCGGCTGCATGCAACAGGGTGTCGATAAAGACCGGAGATACAATACCTCCACTGAGAGCGCTCGTTGGAACCTCAAATTTCCCGTAGCCTTCAAGGTCGCCCTCGGCAACGTGCAGTTCCGTGATTGATTGATATGGCTCAGAGTACGCGACGACTCGAGGGAATATGATGTTGTAGATCACATTGCGATGCAAGGTGTTTGTCTGGCTCCGGTTTCTTTTCAGTAGCCTCATCTGTCTGTTGGCGTAGGCTTGCTTCCGCGCAAGATATGCTTTCGCATCCACAGAGGACTGCCATGCCGTTTGACCGGTACAAAGAATCTTCTCCGAGTTAGAGTCTATTGCTGGGGGTGAGACAAATTTGAAACTTCCAAGGTTACTTCCAGAGACAGCGATTGGAGGTTCCTCCGTCGTTAAGATCACAGTGGAAGATTTCTTTTCTGGCGAGTAGACAAGCGGATGACCAAATTCGATATTACTGACCACAGCCAGTCGATGCTGAGCGGGTGCATTTTTTGAATGCATAGCTTCAAGGACCATTTCATGATATACGGATGCCGGACATAGCGGAGAGCCATTAACCGAATGGCCCTCTATGTATTTTGACAAGGCACCTAGGCTCGTACTGAATGTCGATAATCCTTTTTCTGGGACAGAACCAATTGCTTCTTCGAGTAAATGAAATACTGGCGGTCTTGGACTTCGGGAAACCGAAGATACGGTTTCCTTGAGGGCGGATTCTTTGAATGGGACATGCAGCGAATGTGTTTGGAATGGATAGTCGGGAAGATCCACGACATGGGCATCCGTGCCATCAAAAACAGCCCGCCACTGAATTGAGTTGTACCGCAGACTCAATTGCTGCAGAGCTTGACTCATGGTTATCCAAGGGTCTTGGCCCTTTGCGATGGAGGGTAAGAAGATAGCATCCTGCCCAGAGAGCTTGGCTCGGATCATCGGCAATGTAATCGGACTGGGACCAATTTCGATGAAAGAGGCTTTGTGCATTTCCTTTCGTTCTAACAGGGATTCAATGAGCTCGGTAAACCGCACCGATCCTCTTGTTTGTTGAACTGGATAGCTGGAGTTCAGATCGCCTTCTTCGACGAGGCGCCCGTGCAAACAAGATCCCAAAGGAATGCTGGGGCTAGAGAAAGAGAGACCCTCGCATTTGGCCTGTAATTTAGGAAGCATTGCATCTAATGCAGATGAATGAAATCCGAGGGGTACATCGAGCCTTTTACAGCGGATTCCTTTCTCTTTGACCAGCCGGGCCAATTGGTCCACCTGGTCGATTCGTCCCGACACAACAGAATCAGTGACACTATTGTCGCAAGCGACTGTCAATTGAGAGAGACCTGAATCTCGAATAATCCCCTTGATAGATGGAGCTGAGGTATTGCATGCAAGCATAGTAGACTCTCCAATCTGACACGACGACGCCATCAATCGTGCGCGTTCCACAATGAGCAACAAAGCATCTTGTAGTGACAGAGTCCCACTAATGACCATAGCAGAATATTCTCCAAGGCTAGCAGATGGGTCAGGCATGTAAAAAATGACACATGAATACTAGAGCGTCAGCTTACCTATGACCAATGACCGCATCAGGTTTGATATTCCACGCCATCCACAGGCATGCGAGGGCGTACTCCAGGACAAAGCATGCGACCTGTGACCACAAAACACAATCTGCAGCAGATTCAGGACTAAAGGAACCATCAAGAACTTTGCTCGGGGTGATATCAAAGCCATTCTGCTCAAGCACGTGGTCGCAGTCTTTAACTCTGCTCTTGAAGACTGGCACCGTAAGCATAAGTTGTTGGCCCATTCCGGAATAGAAGCTGCCTTGTCCCGAGAAGACGAAGACAATGGGATGATTTTCTCCGTAGTTTGCTAATGGATTTTCGAGGTCACGGTGAAGTTGAAGCTTCTCGACAAGCTCCGATATGGTTCCTCCATAAAGTGAGAGAATGTGCTGATGCTTTTGCCGCCGAGCAGTTGCAGTGTAGCAAAAGTCTTGAATCACAATCTTCTTGCTACGAAGATGCCCAGAATAGCAATCAATAAGCGCTCGAAGCGCATGGGCATTCCTTGCGGACAAAGTGAGAGGGTATACAGCTCTTGGGGGCAATTTAGGGTCATTGCGGCGTGAAATTGAGCGGTATTCCTCCACTATCAGGGCAGCATTTGAGCCAGCTGCACCAAAGTTATTCAGCAGGGCACGTCGTGGTAGATTAGGTGCAACGCGTTTCCACTCGCAAGCGGTGGTAGGGATTTGGATATTGCGAGCAGCCAGATTCTGCAACTTTGGGTTTATTGCATTGAACCCGACCTGCGGTGGAATTTTAGAGAACTTTAGCATCATAAGCAGCTTTGCTAAACCTGCGGCACCCGAAGCTGCCTCAGCATGGCCAATATTTCCCTTCACTGAGGTCAGATAGACTGGTTGTGGAGAACCCCCAAAAGTTGAACTGATGCTGGAGGCCTCCGTGGCATCCCCGGCCTTCTCAAAAGGTTAGTACTGTCATTTTGCTTTTTCCGAACGAGCTGGTCACTGAATGAACTTGCCTGCGTTCCCGTTCCATGAGCTTCGATCACATTAATTGAGCTTGGATCTGTGTTTCTCCGTGACAAGAGCTTTTGGAAGAGTTGCTTCTGAGCATGACCGTCAGGATGGGTGATGGATGAGGCGTTACCGCACTGATTGATATCAGCTTCTTTTATAACACCGTAAATTCGATCGCCTTTATGAATTGCGTCTGAAAGACGCTTGATCACGAATAAGCCACACCCTTCAGCGCGGCAGTATCCATCGGCTGAGACATCAAAGGGCTTGCACTGCCCAGTGGGACTCAGGAAGTGGGCCCGTGAAAGACCAAGATACATCTACATGATTAGCAACTCATATCGCTTGTACAGAAAACCACCGATACTTACATCTGGACTGGTAATTGCGTTAACGCCACCGGCTAATGCGGTAGTGCAATCATCATGGGCGAGAGCCCGACAGGCCGCGACTACCGACACAAGTGACGAAGAGCATGCCGTATCGATCGTAACGGAGGGTCCGCCCCAGCTATATGCGTATGATATCTTTCCGCTCAGAAAGGCACGCAGGGTTCCTAGTTCTATTAGCGGCTTCATTGCGACTTCTGAGAAATAGAGCGATTACCTGTCGAATAATACACATCGACCTCGCTCGCTAGATTTTGGACGTAGTCATTGGTGGCGACTCCAATGTAGCACCCCATGGTCTCGGGATTGAATGAAGGTGCTCCATTAGGTACATATCCTGCATCTTCCATGGCGTGGACTGCCCCTTGGAGTAGGAGCTTCTGTTGTGGGTCCATTGACTTAGCCTCTCGAGGCGAGATGCCGAAATACTCATGATCAAACTGGAATGGGTCGGTGAGAAAGTTCCCATGGCTTGTTTTCATTTCCCGTGATGGCGGACCCTTACGGGTCTCGGGCTTGTAGTCGTTTACGTGAAATCTGGTTCCCGGGACCTGGAGATATAGTATTTAGCCGCCTGGCCGCAGGTTGTCATTGGAACATGAAGAAACTCACTTCTTGTGCTGCGTTCAAACCGGTCTCTATCATTTCCCAAAAGGCGTCTTTTCCAGCACCCAGGGGGAAATCAACGGACATCCCAACAATCGCAAACCCGTCAACTTGCGGTAGATTCCCCCCGGCGGTAGCTCCCGGGATGTCCGTCCAGATTGTCTCAGTGCGCTGAGGTATGTCTCTGCACACTGATGCCAACAAGGCACTCGACCCAGGTCCCACAGTGACCACGTGCAGATCGACATCTGAAGGAGAGATGCTATTGACAATTGATAGCCAAGTCTTGAATAGATCCGCGGTATCCAGCAGGATGAGGCGAAGGATATATTCCACAAGTGAGACGCCTTTGTCTGCAAGAGTTTTCGCGTCAACCTTGGATGCTTCATGACATGACCAGATTGATCGGGTCATCTCTGTCAAAGATGGAAATAAGATTTTGTTGCGCTTAACATCATCCAGCACCGTAGCTAGTGTTTTCAATGCCCTGTCTCCTCCATGGTATAGTGCGTGAACGTGCACCGGCTCCGCAGTGGATGACGGGAAGGAATGCTGGGATTGAAATGCCACTAATGCATGGCCTGGGCCGACGAGACTGAAAGAGGTTTCGCCGAATCTCGAAGCGACCCTAACATGAGATGACTCATAAACACTCTCATTGAAAGCATCTACATCTTTCTTTATCGTTTCCTCGTCCTTTCCAGAGATTGATAAAGCCCAGGGGTGACTTTGTCGTTCATCGCCCGAAATTTGCATGCTCAGTTCTGCAGCTCTGTACCCGATCCAAAATGATAGACGGATAGCTTCTCCACTGAGCCGAATATACTCTTCAGTTGTGTTGCTAATTGCAAGAATGACTGCGGGAAGCATGCCAGAGCAGAACCCAATCGGCATCGCCTCTTTCATCCTTTCAAGCGTGGGGTCGTATCGAAGGTATCCAACCAGCTGGTTCACGCATAGACATACTCCTTGGAGAATTGGGTTGTTGGATTGAGCGAGAGGTACGGTCAATAGGAGCTCTGGGCTTCCTGGAGCATCGAAGTTTGCCCATGTGGGTATAGATCCTTGCGATTGGGCTCGTATGAGTTCGCCTAGGAACGAAGTGTGACAAGTTGATAACAGAAGGGAAACTGCTGGGGGGTCAACAGGCAAATCTACCTCCGTTGGTCTCGATCGATACAGAGACCGACTACCCTGTCCCCCAAAAAATATGAGTCGTTGATGATCCATTGAGAAGGATGCGTTCACAGGTATCTAATCGAGACTCAATGCCTCTTACCCAGGAATAATAAGGGTACGACTTTTTCGAAAAGACAACAAGGGATACTTGAATACACATATGCTGGTACTTTCGCAACAGCTTTAAAGGACGCTACCTCGGAACCGTCTGTGCCTGTTGCGGCCGGGGCTGTTGACGCATTCCTTGCGGGACCGGCGTACGTAGTATGCTCCTCCACGACTAAGACTACATAGAGGATGAAAGCTAAGACAGTTATTGCAGGCTGATGTAAAGAAATTGACTCCGATTCCCGTACGCGGTGTCGAGGTATGTTTTTCATGTCTAGTGCTTGGGGGCCATTGGTCGAACGTGATCGCTAACGCCACAATACATAACTCGGGCAGTCCCCAATCGCATTAATCAACCGCATATTACCGTACACACGGAGCGACACAAAAATCTATACGTCATGACAGTCCAAGGTTCAGAGCCAGAATTTCTGCGTCCTTCTCTCAAGGTGTCCAGAGACTTGGTGACAGATCCATCTGCGGTCCAAAGTCTAACAGATCTCATCAGTTTTGATGCAGAGCACAATGCGGATCATGTATTTGCTCTGCAAGAGGTGCGAAAGGGAGGAAAGCATGTCGAACTTACCCCTGTCACCTTTGGTGAACTCAGAAATGCTGCAGCAGCTTGCGCACAACTTCTCCGGAAGCGTCTACCAGTAGAGCCTCTCGAAGTTAAGAAAAGCGAGAAGCTTGAAACGCCACGCCCAGTCGCTCTGTTCCTTGAAAGCGACATAAATCTCTTTGTTCATCTCGCGGCTCTATTGTTCTTGAACATTCCCGTGAGAGCCCCTTCACCGACTCGAGCTTTATTGGCGCTGACATTATAGGTTCTCGTGCTCTCTATTCGGCTCAGTCCAGCAGCAATCTTGCACCTCCTTGAATCAACATCGGCCCGCGCCATCATAGTTTCTCAGAGAACACAGGAAACAATGGAAAAAGCTCTCCAAGTCCTTTCATTGGAGCAGAAACAAAGCTTGGAGTTGGTACAATTGCTCCCATTCAAACAGCTTATACACCTGGCACCTGTGTTCAACCCGGAGGGCTTGGAGCGTCGCGTTACTTCGGATCAAGAAACAGCAATTATACTTCACTCCTCTGGCACAACGGGGCTACCGAAGCCTATTGTTCTCGCGAACCGGTACTTGCTGGGATACGCAGCGTGCCATCGCCTGGAACCAAGTCAGTGTCTAGGTAAGCGGAACGTGTCAACCCTTCCGATGTATCATGTGAGTATTCCCCTCCTGTGTCCTCTGTATTCTTTTAGACTATGCTGACATTCAGTCTCGCAAGGGCTTCGGATTACTTGGCCCATGTATCAGCTTAGCGACTGGGAAAACATGCTGTTTCCCGTCCGCGTCCGTCATTCCAAGCGCCAGTTCAGTGGCTGAATTAATCGAAAAAAGTGCGAGCTCCTCTTTGATGACAGTTCCAAGTGTACTTGACGAATTCAAGGACAATTCAGGTTTGATGAAGGCATTAATAGGATTGGACTTTGTGGCGGTGGGAGGTGGCGCTATTAAGCCCGCTCTTGGCGAGCTTCTCGTCTCTAGCGGAGTCAAGCTGCTTAACCACTATGGTGCCACAGAAATTGGAGCTATAGCCCCGATTTTTGTGCCAGGAGAGGACTATGACTGGAACTACCTGCGCATCCGAACCGACATGGGACTTGAGATCAATGAAGTCGAGAAGGTGGACGAAAATGGTGATCCGCTCTACCAGTTGGTCGGCTACCCCTTCGGTTGGGGTAGCCCTTTTGTCGTCCAAGACCTTTTACGTCGGCGACCTGGATCTGCTCATACAGAAGTGGCTATCCTGGGTCGTAATGATGATCTTTTAGTCTTGTCAACGGGAGAAAAGATTCTTCCGAATCAGCTCGAGACCAGACTTTGCAGGCGGGAAGGGGTCAAGACAGTGCTTGTGTTCGGCCAAGACAGAGAAGAAGTTGGGGTTCTCATAGAACCAGAAGAACATCTTCGGAATACTGAAGTGGAGCATTTCGTGGAGCGAATGTGGTCGGTATTGCTGGAGGAGAACAACTCACTGGATCGCCATGCCCGTATCGCTTCAAAAGGCATGATCCTGATTAAAGATGCGGACAGGGCCTGGCCAAGAACGGATAAAGGATCTATTATGCGTCGTGAGACGTATAATCTCTTCTGCGAAGAGATTGCAGAGGCCTATGCCGCCTCTGGCCCCTCAGACTCCTTTTCTTTCAGTCTGGGAAGTAATCTTGACGAGATTATCAGCAACCTACGTGCAATGGTGCAGAGTTGCGTTCAAGACCGGGATATTTCTGTTGCTGACTGGGCAGATTCTGATGACTGGTTCGAGCTGGGCATGGACTCCCTGGAAGCAACTCGTTTGGCTCGCATGTTGAACCACGTTTCAGACAAAGACTCATTTCCGGCACTGACCCGCCAGAAATTGCAACCTGCCTTCATCTACCAACATCCGAACTTCAAGGTCTTATCTGAGTACTTGCTAGCAGATACTAGTGGCGAGGAAACCAACGGTCATTCATCTCACTCGGCGATAGACCAGATGATTGATCTAGTGTCCAAGTACACCCCCGCCCGTTCTTCAGGCTGGGTGATATTACTCACTGGTGCGACGGGTCACCTTGGTGCACATCTATTGGAACAATTGTCATGCAATTCGAACGTATCGCAGGTTATCTGTCTCAGTCGGCTTCGTCAGCAACAAGATCCCCAGTATCGGCAACAGCAAGCTAACAACAGGCACCGAATCACCCTTTCAGAAGCCGCGTGGGCGAAAGTTAGATTTTTAACTTCAAGTCAATTACACCAGCCTGATTTGGGCTTACCACATAAAGAATATCGCCGCCTGGTACAAACGGTGACCCATATTGTGCACAATGCCTGGCCAATGGATTTTCAGAGGGGTCTTTCTTCGTTTGAAGCGCAGATCCAAGCTGTGCGGAGGTTGGTTATTCTTTGCGAAGATTGTCAGAAAAAGCCAAGATGCTTGCCTTCTCCCCGGCTGCTTTTCACATCTTCCATTGCCGTTGGCGCACGCAATTCAAGTGGAAGACTGCCGGAAGAGCCAATCTCTGACCCTTCGACTACCGCAAATCTTGGATATGCTCAAGCCAAGTGGGTCTGTGAACAAATTATTATTGACGCAGCCAAGACCCGGAGCGATCTCCTGCATCCAAGTATTTTACGCCTTGGTCAGTTGACAGGTGGCATGATCTCGGGGATCTGGAACTCCAACGAGCACTTCCCAGCACTTCTCAAGGCATCTCAGATCATCGGATGCTTACCCGAGCTAAACGGAGTGAGTAACATTTGTGTAAATTTTGAGTAACGCAAATTTGCAAAACTGACGGCCAGGCAGTCATTCTCATGGATTCCGATTGACATTGCGGCAAAGTCGATTGTAGAGATTCTTTTCTCACGTCCGGAGGACCCGGTCGGAAACATTGTATATCACATTGAAAACCCGATCCGACAAGCGTGGAACCCACTGCTTCCTGTGCTTGCCAGCAAGTTGGGGTTGAAAGTATTACAGCCTGTCCCATTCGAAACTTGGCTCGAGCGTGCATCGTCCTTGGCCGATACTGAGAAAGACTCAGACTTCATCGATCATCTTCTCCCATTCCTCCGAGAGGACTTTCAATCTCTATCTAGTGGGGGTGTAATATTGGAGACTACGCGAGCTCGGCGTGTTTCGCGATCCTTGCGTGGCTGCAATGGAGTAAGCCTCGAACTATTGAACTTATACTTAGAGTCATGGAGAAAAGAAAACTTCCTCCAATAGGACTTTTTGGGTTCACTTTCTTCACAAGGTCTTGTTTCCATTGCTTTGTATTTCATTTGCACTGATGCGCTTCGGCCCCGCCCCCTTTTCCTTTCTTCCCTCCACTTCTCCCTTTCTAGGTGTTGAGTCATTATCTATCAACCATTCATCCATACTCTTTCCTACCTTCGTACTTCGTTCAAAATCCAATCTTTAACTCCGATACTCTAACGTGCCCACGTAACCTGTATTATCCTATTTAGTTGGATGATCAACACGAAGAGCAAACACTACTCTGTTCGATCCGACACCTGGGAATGTGGAGCATGCTGAATTGATGAATGCAAGTCATATTTTCCACGCTCATTTCTCATATTACGGCTTTAGAATTGTGCCTTGGTGTCTGGACGTAGGTATGGCCTTCAAGGGAGCTGACCGTAGTCAGGACGACTGGTACACTCCGAAGATGAATCAATTGATTTTTCTGTACGCCGGTCCATTGTGGGGTTACAAGAAGTAAAGCTTTGAGCCAATCGTATCAAGAGGGACCATGAAGCCGATACTCCAAATTCCTTAGATTGGCCTTATTAAGAGAATTCTTTTGCTATCGCATCGTATCACTTAATGACAAAAGATGTGACATTTGCACCTTTCCCACTTGGCTGTTTCACCTCTTACCAAACGTACAGACTCTACCAGGCAAAAGCTGCCATATGCATACCTAGTGGAAACTGATAACAACCCTGGAAGTTATTAAAATCGAAGTTCAAAATATCCAGACTACTCCCTGTGTCAGCGGAACTAGCGGCGGTTGTACGCGGGGTTAGTGACTCTATAACTACCACTCAAACTTAGTATAAGAGACGGGTCACTTTAGTATCACTGCCTCAAGAGAAGTCAACCAACCATACGGCAAACATGTACATCTCTGAGGAATGGTTGGCGCTAGAGAAAGAGGTGCTTGGCCGTCGCCCTCTCATTAGCGGTTCGGTGGATGAAGTGCGCGCGGCATACCAGGAGACATCCGAGATGCTGGCCCAGCTCTATCCCGCTATAGATTCATATCAAGTTGTTGATCGTAAGTGTCTTTTGGTATCGAATCGGACTTTACTTGCGCTAAAATCATGATCCATAGGCAAAGAAGTCACAGACTCGGGCATCGCAATACGCGTCTATAACCCATCCAAGATTGAATCGGGGGCCAAACTACCTGTGGGAGTTTTGTCAGTCCATCCATCCTCGTAAATCAAGGCTTTCCACTTACAAAATGCTGGTAGTGCGCATGGAGGTGGACATGTCTCGGGAGGCGCGTGGCGCTCTTCGTTTGAAGACCGTACGTTATGCGATTTCCGATAAGAGCAATCATTTTCTAACAATCGACAGGAATGTGCCGATATATTTCTCAACATGCGAATGTCATCATCGCCCAGGTAGACTTCCGGGTCGCACCAGAGTATCCTATTCCGGCGCAAGTCAACGACTGCTTCGACGCCTACAAATGGGTCCGTCCTGTTCCAAAATGTCTTCATCGGGACATTGATTAATCTCATCCACAGTGCTACCATAACGCCTCCAAGCTTGGGGGCGACACCGCCCGCTATTTTTCCATTGGGTCTTCGCTGGGAGGGGGCGCTGCCGTGGGAGTAGCCTTGAAGCTCATTGATGAGAACCTAGGTCAAATGTGCTCGGGAATTGTGGTCCTCTGCCCTGCTCTTCTTCATCCAGAGTTTGTCCCCGATGAATACAAGACTCTCTTCAAGGCTTATGAAGAGAATTGGACCGGTTCTCCATTGCAGGACGGCGAGAGCATGATGATCTTTTACGGTATGTTCCGCGCTCCATTGTTTCGCGGTTTCCTTCTCACCAAGTTGAATACTATTAGGCCACAATGGCGGCACCAACCAGCGTGCCAATCCATACGCCTTTCCATGCATTCATCCTGGAATCTTCCGTCTTCCCCCAGTATACCAGGCTATCTGCGAGGCAGATCCAGTTCGAGATGATTCGACTGTTCTCAAGTATCAGCTGGATAAATTCGGGTAAGTTGAGTATTGGTAATATATCAGGCTCTTGTTGACACTATTTAGGGTTCGAAACTGGTTTCATACTTACCCAGGCATGCCCCATTACTTCTGGCTGTTCCCGCAACTGAAAAGCTCAGAGACTTTTCATCAGAATGTCGTAGAAGGAGTGAAGTGGGTGCTCAGCCAGACTAACTGAAGAATTCAGTCTCCGTAAGTAGCAGTCATGGGCATCAAAATACCACCTACTGTTTGAGCAATACGAAGCATACACAACAAATCTGAAAGTCCAGAGCCATATAGGGGGACGACCTAACCTGCACATAGTTGAGCATTTTCAGATGTTTCGTAGATATTTCTTGTCATCAAGAAGAATTACATCATTTCTTAATTCTGTACGCAGGTCTGCCCCAGGTGGGTCCCCGGTCGGTGCCCCGGTGTCTTAGCTGTCCCGCCCTCCAGGAGCCTTGGTAGGGCTCCTGGGATGCCTCCCGGGGAGGGGTTTTTGTCAAATGTATTGTTAGGTAACCACGTGCTGCGTGAAATGGTTATGAATCAGTCCTCCTTCCTTCCTCTCTTCCTCTCTTTCCTCCTCTACATTGGAGCCAAACACACATATCTTCCCAGTTTTCGACCTAGCCATGAGCTCTCCTCGAATCGCCCTCGTCACTGGCGCCGTAAGTCCCCTCCTCTTGATCTTGTAGCAGGCCGCTCCTAACAATGACTACAGAACCGTGGGATCGGGCGTGCTATCTGCGCTGCTCTGATTCAGCAATGCACGGGTCCCTTAATCCTATACACGGCCTCCCGTGCAGGGGCTTCTGTTGACCTGAACGGACTATCTATCCCACCGGCCGTGCAAGTTCGACCTGCTCAGCTATCTCTCACCGATCAGGCTAGTATTACTGCCCTCAGCACGATGATTGGCAGTGAGCACCAGGGTTGCGACATTCTCATCAACAATGCCGGCCTCTACTATTTTCAGGAGAACATCACTACCGCACAGCGTCAGGAAACTCTCGACGTGAACTATCGCGGGACCCTCAATGTAGATCACCGGACATCCCTTCCCATTCCCTTTATCTTCGCTACCTTACTGACTACTTTTAGGTCTGTCAAGCATTCTTACCGATTATGCGCAAAGGTGGCCGTATTGTCAACGTCTCCTCACAATCCGGGCAGCTCAAATACTTCCATCCTCGCTTGCGAGCGCAATTCCTTAAGCCCGATCTCACCCTTGACGAGCTAGACGCTCTAGTTAGCGAGTATACCGTACGTTACTTCGGCTCTCCCCTAATTGTCTTTCTATTCCACCACTAACCGCTCACTAAAACAGCGCTTAGCGAACCAGAAAGCTGCGACCGCGTCGGGCTGGCCTCCCTTGACCTACTTCGCAAGCAAGGCGGCTGTGAACGCCGCAACACGGATTCTAGCCCGCGAAAATCCTCATCTGCTTATTAATTGCTGCTGCCCCGGGTGGGTGGGCACGACGCTAGGTGCCCAGGCAGGTCCACCGCCTAAGTCTGTCGGTATGTGCGGGGTTCTTTGCTCCCGCGGACGTGTTACTAACTTTCTCGATAGAGGCAGGGGCGAAGATCCCGGTGCGACTAGCGATTGGTAATATCGGACGGGTCAGTGGGCGGTACTGGGCAAATGACTCGGTGGCGAGCGCGGCTGATGGAAAGGTCCAGGAGTGGTAATTAATATAGCTGTTTCAAACGATGCTAGTTATACTTGATAAAGTTTATACAAGGGGTTGAGCTTCAGATCATCGAGAATGAGTTCAAAAAGTGGTGAATTGTACCAAATGATCCTTTTTTCTCAAGATCTCCAAGTCATTATCTACCTCATTCTAATATTACCCCCGGAACAGAAGGACCATTCTGATTACCATCCAAAAAGTACTAATTCACTCAATCACCCTCGTAGAGTACATGATAAAAAGGAAGCCCTGCATCTTCACCTAACAAATTCCTACTCAAGAAGATCGCGAAGGAAGTTTAATTCTCTCACGCACCACCGGCAGCGGCCGAGACGTTGCACCGTTTATGCTATAAGTGACAGTCAGTAAAATGATTTCCACCTCGGGAGCCATTGCCACTTACCGACATGAAGACTGAGCATATCAAGCTTGCGGCAGCGGCCGCATACACACAAACGAAACTATCCCCGGAAATCAGTATCTCATTCACCAGAAATTGAAACCGAAAGAACTTACATGTTCTGCCATGCGGACACGATAATTGCAAGTGCTTGCTCGCGCATATTCTCGGAAAGCGACTGGAGCAGCTGGCCGCTGGTCCCAGAGACGATCTGCCTGACATCGGATTTTGGGTACTCTGGGAGCAGGGCGAACAGGTTATTCGAGGCGATTTTAACGAATATGGCACCGCTAACGGACAGGCCCAGGGTCATGCCGCTTAGTTGAGCTGCGCAGTCTGTGTTAGCGCGAAATGTGGCAGGAAGAAAAGAGACTAACCCAGTAACATAAGAGTCAGCCCGTTAGGCGCATCAGCTGGGGTCACAACAGCCTGGATGACTGCGAACGCGGCTTGGGTGTAGGCGCCAGCGCCGAGTCCGAGGATGACTTCAAGACCATATATCACGCCAGCTGAGGTGTCCACATGGACAATCGTGGCTATTGGATTTCGATGTTTAGTATATGATTCTTCGGCGAAAAGCTCGCTTCACGCGACAACTTACACATCAAAACAGCCGGGATGAAGGCAATAATGCTACCGGCCAGATACCAGGGCTTGTAGTAGCCAAGACGAGACATCACGGCCCCACTTGTCGGAATGGCGGTGATTAGCAAGAAGATGAATGGGAGCAGGCGGACTGCAGATCTGATCGCGTTGTCTCCCTGGGTGAACTGAAAGTAGATGGGGATATAATAGACACTGGTGTAGGACACCGCGCCAACCGCCGCACAGGAGATAAAGAGCAAGACTGGCTCCTTCTGTGCAAACAGATGGATAGGTAAGATACGTCTCTCGATCGAAGTGGCGGTTTTAAACCCTTGTTGAAGGCCGAAAATGATCCATAGAACTCCGGACACCACAAACAGAGCAATTGTCTGCCCACTGTTCCATGCGTAAAGGGTTCCCCCAAAGTTGATGCCCATGACCAGGGTGGTGAACGCGCCGATACTGATCACGGAGCCCACCCAGTCGAAGCTGGCCAGTTTCTGACGTCGTGACGTCCCTGGTAGCGGGTCATTCGATGGAAGGACGAACAGATAGGTTGGCAGTAAGAAGGCACCAAACAGCAGGTTGATGTAGAATGCCCAGCGCCAGGTATACAGCTCAAAGCCCCCGCCAACAACAGGACCCAAGACTGTCCCCAAACCCCAGACCAAGCCGCTATGATTCAAAGGTTAGTATACCTTCAGCCAAGATTCAATGAAGATCTAGGCTCACCTCAAACTTAGCCATTTCGGCCGTTCCTGGCTGGTGGTGTTCATGGAAATCAGAGCAAGCAGGCCGAAGTACATCCCATTACCGCCAGCACCTGCAAAGACTCGTCCGACAATCTCGGCGTCCATGTTGGGCGCCGCGCCACAGAGTGCAGAGGCTGCCATGAACACGACGGTGGATACAATGAACACCCACTTGGCATCGAACAGCGCATACAACTGACCGAATGGCAGGATCATGGCCATTCCTCCAATCATGAACCTATATGGTGCGGAGCTTGTCAGCCGCCGATTATCGCGCTAAGTTCCCTCACTATCATCAAGCACATACCCGACCGACAGCCATGGCAAATCTTCGACCGCGTTAAACTTATTGACAATTTCCTAATAAATTCAAGAAGCCTCATCAGTATGCGATTTTCTCTTCTGGGCTGGGGCAGGGCGACGGGGATAATGACAGGGGGAGGTAGAAAGGGGTGTGCGTACCGGAGCGATGTTGGCAACAATTGTGTTGTCCAGAGAGTAGACGAAAATGGCCGTCAAGGTGCTAATCAAAAATAACGCCCACTAACACAGTCAGCAATTTCGATGTTCCTTTCGGACCCTAAGGAATCAAAACAAACTGACCTTGAAACCGGTGATGTGTCGCTTCTCCTCAGGCTGCGAATCCAGCGAAGAATTACTCGCAGCGAGCTTTTCGGTATCGTGAAGGAGCTCGGGACTATCGGACGACGAAGGAGCATTAGACATAGCGACAAATAAAAGCGATCGAATCTAAAGCATTCAAACTAATACAAAGGAACGCGACAAAGACATGAAATAATGGTACTCAAGTATATAGTTTCCTATATTCTAGTTAAAAGGGGGTCAATTAGTCAAGTCGGGTCAATTTCTTCCCGCGACGAAGGGATCTCTAGCCCTGACATACCAGTACTGGGGAATGGCCAATTTCGTTGCTGCACAAAAGTTGCCGACTGTACGCCGGTCCCCTTCATGGTTCGTCAATGACAGCCAGGTGGATCTCAGGGACAGTGTTTACAGGTAGATCGGCGGTAGACCCACACGCGGACCTCGGGGAGATCCGCCGATCTGTAAAGATGTCTCCGACTTAGTTACTAAGAGCTCTAATTTCCTGGAGATGTTTCCGACTGAGTTACGAAGAGCTCTAATCATCCCTTGAAATGTTTCCGATTTGATCTCCTAGATTTCATAATAGGTTGCCAAGCCGTGTGTTTACTTCATCACTACCACAATGGAATTGAAATGTTGGCCGAAGCAAGAAAATTCAATCACTAAAGCTACTCGTCTAAGCCTGAACTATAAGACGACTTCTAAGCTATATTCAAAGCTCATGAAACTTCTCCGTCTCCGCTGGTGTCCCTAACCACTCTGCCTTGCGCTTGCAAAAGTATTCCAGATTCGGCTTCCACTTCTGTCCCTCTTCAAGCTCCATGGTGCCATACGTGACAATCACGGCGCCGGGAAATTTGATCTTGTTCTCTGCGATCAACGGCGATCCGCATCCGGGGCAAAATGACCGCTCCACTGTCGCTCCAGAGTCAACAGCATGATCTTCGTAGGTGCGCAGCAAATCGGCACCTTTCGTGATGCTCAAAGACTATATGAAGCGTGTGAGCCTCACTTTTCTCCACAACGTTGGACATACACACTCACCTCTTTGCTGTACCAGCTGTTGGCCATTCCAACAGACCCGGTAGACTTGCGGCAGTTGTTGCAGAAACACATGGCAGTGTTGATTGGGTCTCCGCGGAGCTCATACTGGATATTTCCGCACAGGCAGGATCCGGTTATCATCGTGGTGAGTGTTGAGTATTCGTATCGTCGATGATCAAAAATTGACGGCAGAGAACCTTGTGGACAGCGTTGTGATGAGCTAAAGTATTCGAGATGATTCGATATATCATTCATACTCTACCCGTGGACCGGATTACAGCAACTATGGGTTGGACTTAGGATAATCATTTCTGGCACCACACGTGCGCGTACCCTCTCTATTCATGGTCCGGAGTACACTCGTCCCAACATGTGAGGGCTACTAGTCGAAGAAAGCCATGACTATATATATCCTAACATGACAATGCCACCTTGAAATTAGCGTGACTCAGCTCATACCAGTGCCTAAAAATTGAATCCTATCTCAAGTTTACACCTCCATACCGGTTCGAATCAGTTTATCTCAGGCCCACCATGCCTTACCCAGACCGAAAGTACATCTACGATGTTTTCCGCAACTTTTACAACCCGCCCGAGGGAACTGAAAAGTTCTTCGACTATGTCGACGACAACGTGCACTGGCAGGTGACCGGCCAGCACCGCTTCTCGGGCACCTGGTCAACCAAGGAGGACTACTACAACGCTACCTGGGCGAATATCAACCTTCTGCTTGACGAGCCGGGCTACAAACTCGAAGTCCCCGGCGGCGAGGCCGGCGTGATTGTCGGCCAGGATGGCTGGTCCGTTATCGAAATGAAGACTGTCAACACAAAGACCAAGAGCGGCGTCCCCTACAACCAGCACTACTCGTGGCACTGTCGCTGGAACGAAGAGGGCAAGATTGTCGAGGCCAAGGCGTTCCTAGATGCCGATCATCTGGAGAAAGTGTTTGGCGGCGAGCAACGGAAGTTGGGGCTGGCATCTGCTTAGAAAAGCGGGGACGACTCTATATGAGAATTGAACGGGATAATCCTATCTTTTGCCTAAGTACGTTTGAGTGGAACAATAAACAAGAAAAAAATCTAAAGAACAGAGTATGTAACTAGTTACATCCCATCTAGTATTTGCTTGCTATCTGTAGATCATGTTCATATCCTGGGGCTATGTTCAAATCCCCTATGTCTGGATCTCCCTCTGCTAACTAGTATGTCGACATCTTCACGTGTAAACCCTCCTCTCCACCCCCCTTGTAAACCTCCATTCTCAAATCCCTTGACACTTTTTGACTGGGAAACCTATGCAAGATAGGTTTGCAAAATTCACCGAGAGACCTTATTATTCCTGATGTAGACAAGGCTTCTCGTAGTTCCCGCCGGGTTTAAACCTAAGACCGAGACAAAAGCCTCGGGCTACGTATAAAAGCAGCCTTAGCCTTAGGACTAGACCCTTACTATCGATTTTTGTCCGTAACCTCGGTCATAGGAGAAGTAAGGGCATCGCCTAAGGGATTATTATCCCCTAACGATTCATAGGTGGTAAGAGCCTTTAGTTCCTAAGAATCCTTTAGACTCTAGGGTTCGATAGGGGCGTCTTTGGGCGTAGTAGGGGTGTCGCTGTTGGGAGTAGCGGCTCTGGACGATTCCCTAGCCATATAAGTAAGTATCTGATCTTAGTTATCGGGGTAAATATTACCCTTATAGTCGGCAAAGGGATTGGGCCGAAGATCCTAATAAATAATACCCTCGGGGGTATTTTCCACTCCAGAGTCGCTAGTGAAAGGCTTAATATCCCTAGAAGCATTGTCCTTAGGAGTGTTATTTCCCTAAGAGTCGCTAATGGCAATAGGCCTAATATCCTAAGGAACAAAACCCAGGGGTGCATTATCCCCCTAAAGTTCAGCCAACGTTATTCCCGAGACAAAACGAGTGCAATCCTTTTGCTCGTTTTACTTTCTATGTCTCTTATAATCCGTGACCTTCTCATTCATAGGTAAAGTCTTTAGGTAAAAGGCGGCTAAATCCTAGGTAGCCAGGTAATCCTTAAGACAATCATGACTTTGCCCCTACTAGATACCACGCTTTAGGTAAATAAATATTAAGTTTATAAGATTAGGGGTTTTCGAGGAATTACCCACGCTACTTATCCGAGTTTCCAGTTCTTTGGCATCGGCGATAAGAGAATGGCGCCAGCGAAGGGCTAGCAAGTTATACTTTCCATCGTGAGCAATAATAACGGTTTATGTGCCGACAAACTACATTAGACGCTTCCGTGCCTTATCCCGACCCTAGATATGGGTTTTAGTATTATTAGCCTTATATATTATAGGCTAGGTGACGCCTAAGTGGCGGCTTAATAGATATCTCATCTTAACATCGGGCCAGACTAAGGAATCCACGAGGATCTCTCCGGTGAAGAAGTTAATTATAGCTATTTGAATAAGCTCACTCTCGCCTATAGAGGACATACCTATCTCGTAATCCAGAGCGACGGCACGTCGTTCGTCGACGGCCACACCGCGCTTAGTCCTATATATAAAGTAGTCCTTCTTGAGCTCCTCGAAATTGAAGGGCTTCCCGTAAGCGTCTTTCTTAACATAACCAGAATTAGACTGACTAACCTTTATTCCGTAGCACTAGAATTTCTTTAAATAATCAATATTCGGTTGACCCAAATTGTGTCAAGGGAAAAGGAGACTTACGTTGTTATGAGGCCCCATAGGGTGGCTTCGACAGACAGCTTTCGCGGGTTAAGGCGGGACTACCCCATTAAAAACAGCCCAATAGGGCAACCCTTTGGATTGCTGGGCCCTGGATCTGAGACGGACTGTAAATCTTCATTAGCCATTCTGTGTAAGGAGAAAGTCGAATCAAACTTACGCAAGCAGTCGCTATAGCGAAGCATCCCGTTATTTGATGTCTGGTCCTCCATAGATGGAACCCTCTCCCCTGTCCGATCGGGCTTCCGCGGCTAATCTAGAGGCACTATTAGTACGACGAGCGCCGCCCAGAATGTATACTCTGTACCATGTCAAATCGGAATTGCAGTTACGCGGTATCAAATAGAGATACAAGTCAATCACCACCTGAACTTAGTTCCTCGGAATCTTCCAGACTTCATCAACCCAACAAGTCAAATGAAGATATCTTGCTCAGACGACGTTATGAAATCGAAGTTCAGTCTCCCTGTGGAGAACCATCTGGTACCAAATCGAATTATACGTTGGATCAGCAGCAATCTATACCGACTTGGCATCCCCAAGATCAGATAAACTCTGCGCAGGAATCATCGGCCAATGTCAACATCGATCACATGGAATTGCTTATCCACTTGACACTTGATAATAATGTAATCTGCCTCAGCCTTGGCGACGACGCATTCGCCAACCCTGTGTCTCTTTCTCTTGCGCTAAACGCGGGGCTGAAGTCACCATACCTCTTGTACGAACTACTCGCAATCTCTGCACTTCATTTGGCCTTCCTGAATCCAACACGGTCAGATGTACACTGGCATCAAGCCATTACTTTACAAAGCCACGCACTAGCTATATTCAACTCAGATTATAAGGTTATCAACGAAACAAATTGCGTTGGTATCCTTTTGTTCTCCTCCATCCTTGGCCACCACCTTCTTGCCGACACACTAGCGAAGCGAGACCCCGGTGGCCTCGAAACCTTCATGACAAACTATATCCATTGTATTGAGATTCATCGAGGAATTCACACCATTGCTATGACTGCCTGGCCGCAGCTGATGAAGTCAGAGCTTGAGCCTGTTCTCTCAGCAAGTTCGCGCTTTACATCACGCTCGCCAAGAGGCTGTGATTGCCAACGTATCATTGAGCTGGTAGATACTTGCGAAGAATTGGATGTTGACGACAAAGGGGCTTGTCAGATCATGATTCGACATCTCCAAGTAGGTCTTGATGCCGCCGCAACAGAGCAACAGCAGGGATACCGACACTACATGATCTACACATGGTTAATGCTCGCTCCACCAAGTTTCATTGATTTGCTGGACAAGAAGAGACCAGAGGCATTGATATTGTTAGCGTACTATGCGATTTTGCTACATTATGGCAGAACCATGTGGCAAGTCGGCGATGCAGGAGTACATGTCTTTAAGATGATTCGTGATTATCTTCACCCACAGTGGAAGGCATGGTTGCAGCATCCACAGGAGCTGATATTGTCCGGATGATACGATGATATTATTGCCTAAATTTTAAAAGTGAAGTTGGCAGAAGCCTTACTGTATTTTACCACTTCGCCGCCATTACCCCTTCCTCGCTACCCCGGCCACTTATTCTATCGTTCATGAGGCTTTTGAAAAACCAGAAGGCCTTTCTATTCAATTTGAATCCTATCTGAGCATCTATTAGACCTATGGCCAAGCTTTCTATATACGCTGTATGTACATTGACGTCTGGTGGACTGATCACCGGTCGCTGAAGCCCTCTGGGTAGGCGTTGTGGAGGACTCCCCATCACCTTCTATACCACCTAGTGGTTACTAAGCCCATTGTGAAGCCAGTCTCATCGAAGTTGTAGATGTCGTCCGGTGTAATACTATAGCGTACAGTGGTGTTCCATAAGTTTGAATCCCTCTTTTTACCGCCTATATTCTGCCACACATTCTACCGTATATTCTGCCGTCCTAAAACCTCTTGATTCTTCTATCTAGGCTGTCCGACCATTTAATATTTCGTATACCATCTATCAGCCTCAATAATAGCCTGTACGCGGTGAGGCATTGTCTCAGAGAGTCTTTGCATGATATCTAGATCTAGGGCCTGCCAGGCTTGCTGCGCAGCATCCACTAAATAGGTATGCGTAGCATTATTATTCGGCATATCTTTAAGCTCAGGGAACATCTTATAGATCTTATCCTTTAGAAGCGCCCAAAGGTTTTTAATAGGGTTTAGATCAGGGGATTTAGCTAGCCATCTCATACACTCGAAACTCATCGATGATAGGAGGTCCCGTACGATATAGGCAGTATGCGTTGACGCATTATCCTGTTGAAAGATTCCATCGCGGTGTTCAATCAATGTAGGTAGAACGCGGGCATATAGGTCTCGAATAACGGTTGAATCGACGCCTCCACGAGCTGATGTAGGGTTTCCGTATAAAGGAATAAGGCCAGTGCGTCGCGTTGATCCGGAAAAGGCACCCCAAAACATCTGTTTAACCTGGTTTCCTTTAATTAACGAAGGCCTTATATCTCGCGCGAGAATCTGCTTACTTCGTGGAGTAAATATATACTCACGACGTTCGCCAATTCCACGCTCAATAGAGCATTCGTCCGACCAGAAGACCCGTGCCCATTCTTCAGGTGTGAAGTGTTCGTATGTCTGTGCCCATTCAAGTCGTGCGGCGGCGTGACCAGGGGTTAAGCCAGGTCGATCAAGGACAAGCCACTTTCGACGGCCTTCCTCGTGTAAAAGCCGCCAAATAGAGGTTCGTTTAACCTTATTATCAACGGTAGCGAGAAGGTCATTATAGGTAACCCGTGGATTCGTATCAATAGTATTTAGAAGCTTTGATTTATCGTCCTCGTCTAGCTTCCGGGGACGCCCAGACCGAGGTGATGTCTCATTCTTAATCCTTTGGTTTGCGCGGTTAACCGTTGTCTTGATTGTACCAATTGGAATAGACGGATATTCCTGGTGTATTTGCTTGTAGGTCCAGCCAGCGACAGTCTTTAACTCAATGAGCTTTGTGCGCATATATGCGTCTAGCTGGCAGTTCGGGCGGCGCGGAGGCGCTATTGGTGCCCTTGCTGATCGAATAGGAGGCATGAATGCGTTCAAAAGGTAAGCATATTGGTCTGGTGCGCGTTGGAAGGCGAGGTGGGTGGCAAGGACGGTGAGGTGGGTGATAAGGGCGGTGAGATCTAGGCGGTAAAAATAGGGATTCAAACTTATGAAACACCACTGTATAATAGTATCATTAACCAGCTGAAAATACCCACCAAGGCTACGTAGGTCTTCTTCCTACGCCCATCGATAGTTATATCGACTTGAAAAGCGTAATTGAACAACTGGTGTTCGCTTAATATACTTCCTAATCCAGTGTATACTGACCTTACGGGTACCGGCGGCAAGCAATAAATTGGCTATATTGCGTACTATAGCCGACCTAGGCGCTGAACCACAATCATCCACAAATATAATCGATTTGAGTCATTTTGAAGCCTTAGTGCGCATGGTTGAGCGAAAAGGGTGGCCATTGATACGGTCGCGTAGTGTTGAACGCGGCACGTCATATGCTCGCGCTGCAGCGGTAATAGAAGGTCTTTTTTTTTTTTTGAATCGCTCGAATTGCAAGGTCGACCCTACCCTCTTGGTGGATAGAATGTTGCTTGGATTTAGAATTGTTATGGTGGTATAGTGGGTGATACAACTAGAATGCGAAAGATGAGATGCGAAAATATAATGGGGTGGCGAGGAAGGGGTAAAATACGTTAAGTAGACAAAGAGCATGAATCGAAAGATAAAGGAGGAAGAAGAGTGGATGAAAGTGAGAATATTACAGCGAAGCAAGAGAAGGACGAGTGACGCAGTAGTCCGGACCCAAAGTTTTCACCGGCAATAACTCTTAAATCCGACTAATTCCTCTGTATGCTTAATGCAAATTGAGAAGAAGTATAAATATGTCATCACCAACTATTTTACGGTACGTAAACAGAATTGTGACTTTCACTTTGACCTCGACTGAAGCTTAATAGAATGTCTGGAAAAACCATTCTGGTCATCGGCGCCAACAAAGGTTGGGCTCCAACGCCGTGGGCTACTTTCATTATACTAAGACAGCTCACTTTAGGTATTGGCCTCGCCATAGTGCAGAGATTGGCCGTCATTTCTTCGAAAGACACCATAATACTCGGATGTCGCGACAAAGAAAAGGGACTCGACGCTATTCAACTCCTCCGAGCAATTTGTAATACCAAGGCACATTTGGATGTCGTATGCATCGACATCGAGTCCGAGGCAAGTGTTCAAGCGGCAGCCAAGGAGGTTCGTGAGAAACACAAAAGGCTCGATGGTAAAACTCTACCCGATATCACAGCCTTGAAATCTACTAAAACATCTAGTCTTGGTCAACAATGCCGCCATTGCTCTACTCGAAAAAGACGCTGATATTCGCGACGTCTACGGAAAAGTATTTGCCTCAAATGTCGGCGGCGTGATCAGTACATGCGAAGCATTCCTGCCTCTCATGAGAGATACCTCGGCAGATGCACGGATCATTCAAGTTTCGTCAGCACGGGGATCTTTGACACGCATCGCCGAGGGTAAGATGCCGCCGGCTAGGGTGGTGTCATATGGCGCGTCCAAGGCGGCCCTCAACTGTGCAACTCTTGAACTTGTGCGACGAGAAGAGAACCGAAATGTGCTATTTCAAATGGTATCCCCCGGACACTGTCGGACGGACTTTAACAATAATACCGGTAAGAAAGACCCGCTAGACGGCGCGCTGGTGGTGGAGAAGCTTCTTCTCGAGGAGCGCGATAACGGCAGACCCTGTGGAATGTGGGAGATCGAGGGAGATAATACCGAGCCGCAGCTCGTGCCGTGGTGAAGACCAAAGGGGAAACTGGTGTCAAATGTGTGGAGGAGTGGAGCTCGTCGGGGCCGAGTGTTATCTCCGAGATCTTGTGGAGTTGGAAGTTCTCATTCTAAACATATAAACACCAATCAGGAAGCGATTAATATTCTAGTACTTGGTCGTCAGAATCAACAGTTATTCATTGCTAGCAGCTTCTATAGAGAATGATTGCACGGCCGTCACGGGAGAACAATGCATGTCGGGTCATTCACTGAACAAGAGCACCAAATATGGAAAAAAAGACAGGCGAGCCTCCAGAAATCCATGGGATAGCATAAGAAAAAACATGCAATAGGTTCGACATTTGATTACATGAATAAAGGTGTCCAAAAAAACAATTGCAGTGACACGTAGAATCCACAACGAACATCATTTTACATGACAACGCAGCAGGAGTTCTGCTTCTTGGCCTGGAAAGGGTTAGGAATAGATACGAAGAGAGATCTAACAAGGAGCATACCTGGGTATAGAACATCTTACTCTGGGCAGACAGCCCATCACTCTTCTGAACCAGAGAGTCAATCTTCTCACCACGCTCGAGAACGCTCTCAATCTGTTTACATGTTAGCATTGCCCTCCCATAAGGTCTTCGAACCCGTCACGTACGGTCTTGTGCAGCACAATCTTGGTCTCGTCCAGCTCCTGCTGGATCTTCATAATGCTATCGGCTTGGCTGGGGTCCTGGTACTTGACAATATAATCCTTGAGCGCCGGCAGAGGGCAAGCGTTCTCGCGGAGAGAGGGATCGGAGAAGGCAGTGCGAGGGTGCTTGGCGAGGAACTCGTCGACTATCTTGCTAAGGAGCTGGTGGGCAACCAGGGCAGGGTACTCGCCATCGGTGACAATCACACCGGCGACACCCTCTGTGCGGCCGTAGGCGTGGAATGTGTATGACTTCTCTTCAATGTCCTGGCGCTGGCCGGGCTTCGTGCGCTCGGCGACCGTGCGGCAGAAGAGCACGAGGAACTCCTCATAGCTGTTGGTGGCGTAGGATTAGTACCGGATACGATGAGGCTATTCGGTCGAAAATGAGAGGTAGACATACTTTTGACGGGTGAAGCGAGAGAAACTAGATCATGTTAGCTTGACTCCTTCCAAGGTATCGGCGAGCTGGCGGTGAAGACACACCTGGTGAGGTCCTTCTCAGCGCATAGCTGCAGAGCGGGCTGAGAGTCGTTCCGAAAAACCTACGGATAAAGCCAAAGTTAGGTCATGCAATCAAGGGGGGCAGAAAGAGCTCAAGTCTGTAGCAGGACGTACGCCCATATAGAAGATCTTCATGGTGGCGGGGGAGACTGAGTCGTTGACACGAGAAGGAGAGGGTGTCGGGCGCAACGACGGGGCGGGCTGACTATTAAATGATAGTTGTAGCGTAAGTTATTAGGCAAAATGTTTCCTGGTAAGTCAGGTGAGAAGTCAAGGTAAGAAAGCTACGCCTCCTGATAACCGCGATGATGGCACAGGGTCTCCGTAATGCCTAAGGCAGAACACACACCGCCCAGGCGACCCGTCGAGCCCTCCGCCGCTGCCCTATTTCCTCTTCTGTGAAAGCGTTGACTTTGTTAACTTTCTATTTATTTCTATTCAATCTTCAGACAGAATGAATTCTTCTTCCGAGTCGCAGTGGCTGTCCCAGCTGGCAGCCATGCGTCAGGCTATAGCTGATCTCAAGCTCCCCAAAGATCTACCCCACGATACCGTCAACTATGGCAGTGACGTCGAACTCGATATCGACGACGACTACGCTTCCTCCGGGACGGCCGGTACGATTGACGATATATGGGATATTATCAGCTCTGATGATGAAACCATCGACGACCTAGACGATTTCGACCGTGTTTCCCTCCCGCAAACCTCCTCCGTCTACGATCAGGTCTGGCTGGAAGGGAAATGTCAGGAACTGGCGAGCCGAGGCTCGAGTATGAATGCTGCGGACCTAGCCCAGCAGATTACCGCCACCCTGGCTGCGGATAGCGACGATGCTGAGCTCCAAATGTCCCTTGCTGAAATTGTGGGGTTTGACGATTTGGACTTGGTGATCGAGCTCATTGCCCACCGCGCGGACATTTTGTCGGATAAACCACACCGGACCGAAGACCAGACCGATGGTTTAGCAACAGGAAAGCTGCTTACTCGAGCGGAGAGGGAAGACGCTTTGCGTCAACGAGACTATGAGCACAAGCATGCTCCTTTGATGGCGGCGCAATCACGATCAGAGCCCATGTACCCACATGTCTTCAAAGCACACAGCGCTGGAAACACGCTCGCCCCCAATGGCAAGAAATATGGTCTTCCCGTGGGCACCAAGACTTTCGAAGAGCCCAACTACACCGAGCATGAGATCCCAGCATCAAAGGTTGGGTATCTGGCAAAGAACCAGAAATTGGTGGAAATTGCTGGACTGGATGGTCTCTGCCGTGGTACATTCAAGGGTTATAAAGCCCTCAACCGTATGCAGAGTTTACTGTACGATGTTGCCTACAAGACCAGTGAGAACATGCTTATCTGTGCCCCCACCGGTGCTGGTAAAACGGATGCTGCTATGCTTACCATCCTGAATGTGATTGGGAAGAACACCGTGCCTCACCCGCTGGAGGAGCCCGATGCCACCGAATTCACAGTGCAGGTCGATGACTTCAAGATTGTCTACGTTGCCCCGATGAAGGCCCTGGCGGCTGAAGTCACGGAGAAGCTCGGAAAGCGCCTTGCGTGGCTGGGTGTCCAAGTCCGTGAATTGACTGGTGATATGCAATTGACCAAGCGGGAAATTGTGGATACCCAGATCATTGTCACGACCCCTGAGAAATGGGATGTCGTGACGCGCAAGAGCACGGGTGACACCGAGCTGGTTCAGAAGGTCCGACTGCTTATCATTGATGAGGTCCACATGCTTCACGATGAGCGTGGTGCTGTAATTGAATCTCTGGTCGCCCGAACGCAGCGACAAGTCGAAAGCACCCAGTCTTTGATTCGTATCGTCGGTCTTTCAGCCACACTGCCCAACTACATCGATGTGGCCGACTTCTTGAAAGTCAACAAAATGGCTGGCATGTTCTTCTTCGACCAGTCCTTCCGACCGGTGCCCTTGGAACAGCATTTCATCGGTGTCAAAGGAAAGCCGGGATCCAAACAATCTCGTGAAAACATTGATCAAGTTGCATTTGAAAAGGTTCGTGCCATGCTGGAGTGTGGTCATCAAATCATGGTCTTCGTGCATTCTCGCAAAGATACTGTGATGACTGCCCGTATGCTCAAGCAGATGGCAGCGGAAGAAGGTTGTGAGGATCTATTTAGCTGCGTTGACCACGAAGGTTACTCCAATGCCCTTCGAGATATGAAGCATGTCCGTGCCAAAGAGCTCAAAGATCTTTTCCCCGGTGGTCTTGGAACGCACCATGCCGGTATGAGCCGAAGCGATCGCAATCTCATGGAGCGTATGTTCGGTGAGGGCCTGATCAAGGTCCTCTGCTGTACGGCCACTCTTGCTTGGGGTGTCAACCTTCCCGCTGCTGCAGTTGTTATCAAGGGTACTCAGCTATACAACCCCCAGGAAGGTAAATTTGTGGACCTAAGCATTCTCGACGTGATGCAGATCTTCGGTCGTGCTGGTCGCCCTCAGTTCCAGGACACTGGTATTGGATTTATCTGTACGACTCACGACAAGCTTTCACATTACGTGTCTGCCGTGACGGCTCAACAACCAATTGAGTCTCGCTTCTCCAGCAAGCTGGTTGACAACTTGAACGCTGAAATTTCACTTGGCACAGTTACGTCCGTTCCAGAAGCGGTTCAATGGTTGGGCTACTCGTACCTCTTTGTGCGCATGAAGCGCGAGCCTCGGAACTATGGCATCGAATATGCGGAACTTAGGGATGATCCCATGCTTGTCCAGAGACGTCGCCAATTGATCATTCAAGCCGCCCATACTCTCCAGAAGAGTCAGATGATTATTTTCAATGAGAAGACTGAAGATCTCAGAGCCAAGGATGTTGGTCGAATTGCCAGTCAATACTATGTCTTACAGACTAGCATCGAGATCTTCAACTCCATGATGCGCGAGCGGGCCGGAGAGGCAGATGTCCTCAAGATGATCAGTATGAGTGGTGAATTTGACAATATTCAGGCTCGAGAGAGCGAGTCAAAGGAGCTTGATCGCTTGAAGGATGAAGTCGTGCAGTGTGAGGTTGAAGGTGGAAACGACTCTCCTCATGCGAAGACGAACATTTTGCTACAATCATACATCTCCAAGGCAAGGCTCGAGGACTTTGCTCTCGTCTCGGACAGCGGTTACGTTGCTCAGAATGCTGCTCGTATCTGTCGCGCGCTGTTCATGATTGCATTAAATCGCAGATGGGGTTACCAATGCCAGGTGCTCTTGTCGCTATGCAAGTCCATTGAAAAGCAGATTTGGCCTTTCGATCATCCTTTTCACCAATTCGACCTTCCGCAGCCGGTGATGCGTAATCTGGATGAGAAGCTGCCGTCTTCATCCATCGAATCGATGAAAGAGATGGAGCCTGCGGAGATTGGGTCCCTCGTTCACAATCAGAAGATGGGCAAGGTGCTGTCTAAGCTGCTCGATAACTTCCCTACCATTAGTGTCGAGACTGAGATTGCTCCTCTCAACCGAGATGTCCTCCGTATCCGCCTTTCCATCTACCCTGAGTTCTTTTGGAATGATCGCCACCACGGAGCTTCCGAGTCTTTCTGGGTGTGGGTCGAAAATTCGGAAACCTCCGAGATCTACCATCACGAGTACTTCATTCTCAGTCGCAGGAAGCTGTACGATGACCACGAGCTCAATTTCACCATTCCGTTGTCGGATCCTCTCCCAAGCCAGGTCTACGTGCGAGTAATCTCCGATCGCTGGCTTGGAGCAGAAACAGTTAGCCCTGTCTCGTTCCAGCACTTGATTCGACCGGATACGGAGAGTGTCTACACGGACTTGCTCAATCTTCAGCCGCTTCCCATCAGTGCTCTGCAGAACCCGAACCTAGAAGAACTATACCGCCAACGCTTCCCATTCTTCAACCCCATGCAGACACAGATCTTCCATCTCCTGTATCACACCCCGGCAAACGTCCTTCTCGGATCTCCAACCGGTAGTGGTAAGACTGTCGCAGCCGAACTGGCAATGTGGTGGGCTTTCCGTGAGAAGCCTGGATCGAAGGTTGTCTACATCGCTCCCATGAAGGCACTCGTCCGTGAGCGCGTCCAGGACTGGCGCAAACGTCTCATTGGACCTATGGGTCTGAAGCTTGTTGAGTTGACTGGTGACAACACCCCAGACACTCGAACAATCCGTGATGCCGATATCATAATTACCACCCCTGAGAAGTGGGATGGTATCTCGCGTAGCTGGCAGACCCGTGACTACGTTCGCAAGGTCAGTCTAGTGATCATTGACGAAATCCACCTCCTGGGCGGCGACCGAGGACCTATTTTGGAGATCATTGTTTCTCGAATGAACTACATCGCGTCGCAATCTAAAGGGTCCGTTCGCCTGATGGGTATGTCAACTGCTTGTGCAAATGCAACCGATCTTGCCAATTGGCTTGGTGTCAAGGAGGGACTGTACAACTTCCGACACTCTGTTCGACCTGTGCCTCTCGAGATCTTTATAGATGGTTTCCCCGAGCAACGCGGTTTCTGTCCGCTGATGCAGTCCATGAACCGGCCTACTTTCCTCGCAATCAAGAATCACTCGCCAGAGAAACCAGTCATCGTCTTTGTTGCCTCGCGTCGACAGACTCGTCTGACCGCCAAGGACCTGATCAACTACTGCGGCATGGAAGATAATCCTCGTCGCTTTGTGCGCATGTCCGAAGACGACTTGGAGGTCAACCTTGCCCGTGTCAAGGATGAAGCTTTGAGGGAGGCTCTCAGCTTCGGTATCGGTCTGCATCATGCAGGTCTGGTCGAGTCTGACCGACAACTGTCGGAGGAGTTGTTTGCGAACAATAAGATTCAGATTCTCGTAGCTACCAGTACTTTGGCCTGGGGCGTCAACTTACCAGCCCATCTGGTTGTTGTCAAGGGCACACAGTTCTTCGACGCTAAGATTGAGGGATACCGGGATATGGATTTGACTGATGTTCTGCAAATGCTTGGTCGTGCTGGACGTCCGCAGTTCGATACCTCTGGTATTGCGCGTATCTTCACGCAAGATTCCAAAAAGGCCTTCTACAAGCATTTCCTCCACACTGGTTTTCCCGTGGAATCCACCCTGCACAAAGTTCTGGACAATCACTTGGGCGCCGAAGTGTCTGCCGGTACTATCGGAACGAAACAAGACGCTCTTGATTACCTTACCTGGACTTTCTTCTTCCGTCGCCTTCACAAGAACCCATCTTACTACGGCCTCGAGATCTCAGCCGAGGAACAAAACTCAATCGCAGCCCAGACCATCGCCCAAGACTTCATGATTGAATTGGTTGACAAGTCTCTTGACGATCTGGCAGAGTCATCCTGTGTTCTTGTGGATTCTGCTACTGGCGAAGTTGACTCTACGCCGTTCGGCAAAATTATGAGTTACTACTACCTGTCGCATAAGACAATCCGGTACTTGATGTCCCATGCCAAGCGCGACCCAACCTTCCAAGACGTGCTCAGTTGGATGTGTTCTGCTACTGAATTTGACGAGCTGCCCGTCCGACACAATGAAGACCTCATCAACGCCGAGATGGCTCAGCACCTGCCGCTGGGTATCGACTGCATGGGTGATGTTCCAATGTGGGATCCCCACGTCAAGGCCTTCCTACTGCTGCAAGCATACATGTCGCGTATTGATCTTCCCATCACTGATTACGTTGGTGATCAGACATCTGTTCTGGACCAGGGAATTCGTATTATCCAAGCATCTATTGATGTGATGGCCGAGCTCGGATATATCCCCGCATGCCAGATGCTCATGACTCTCCTACAGTCTATAAAGTCTGCTCGCTGGCCCGAGGACCACCCCTTGTCAATTCTACCAGGTGTGGAAGCAGAGAAGCCAATTCGCGGTCTTCCTTCGTCTTTGGTTGCGCTCTCCTCACAACCTGTGTCGGCAGTTGCTGGCCTTGTCAAGAAGCTGAACCTTCCCTCGCAGTTTAGTCGGGCAGCTTCGTCACTCCCGCAACTTTCCATCTCCGTTGGTAACATTTCTTCCAGGGGAATTTCCATTTCCCTCATCAGGCAGAACCTGGCCACAAATCCGGACTGCAAGATCTACGCCCCCCGTTTCCCCAAGCCTCAAACCGAAGGCTACTTCCTCATTGTGTGTAGCGCGCGACCTGACGGGACTGATGGCGAGTTGTTAGGTCTGAAGCGAGTCTCTTGGCCGCCGCTCTCTAGGCAGAGGGGCGGAAATAGGGGACGGGGAGGAGCTGGATCTAGTCGTGGTGGATCATCTAACCCCAGAGACCGGAACAGCAATGCCCCACTCAGTGTTCGCTCGTTAGTCAAGTTCCCCGGTGCTGCTCTTCTTGAGTCATCCTCTGTCACCACTTCTGGAATTGCGCGGGTGAACGTGAGGGTTATCAGTGACTCTTATCCTGGTATGGAGTGGACGCTGCCGAATGTGGAGGTGGAGGTCGGAAATGGTCCGAGTACCCAGACCGTTGTACCGTCCTCAAGTGTTTCTCTGAAGGATTGATCACAGTAGAGATAAACAATCACCATAGTAAAATTGTCAATTCTATACTGCCTGCTCATCTATTGCTCGAACTGAAATGGAGAACCACTTCTTCAGGCCCTCTCGTCGCTCATCCTCAGTTTTGTAGGAATCAATCACTCTGGTCTTCCCTCCCATATTCAATTTGACCACCCCATTGACAAACATGATTTTTCCAACAATCTGGATATCCTCCGAGACAGCCTTGGTAACTTCCCCTTCAATAAGAGGCAGCCCGTCGGTTTCGCCATTCCTGATAAACTTTACTACCCAGACATTTTTGAGGGTGAGAGTATGCCAGTGGGTATATCGGTTGATCACTTCGAAGTCATCCTGGAAAAACTCGAACTCTCCAAAAGAGTAGAAGGAATTCCAATCTTTCATTGCACCATTACGATATTGATAAATCCAAAGCTTTTGTTCCGGTCGCGTCTGCTTCGGAATGTTCCCGTGAATCAGTCGAATCTCCTGCGAGCCTAGATTCTTATGAACCTGCCCCGAGACCAATGGCAGTGGCCTAGTCGGGCCATCGCCTCCAAAAGCTGCGTCAACATGGTACTGAGCACCGGAAGGAAGTTCTAGGATGTTGACGATATGCGTCCTGACAAACATTAGCAAGCGGCGCGCACTGATGAGGACATGTCCTACCAGCCCCGGTATTCACCCTGCGGGATTCCGTCAATCCTCTCCCGATTCCGAACACCAGTCATATAAACCGAGAAACCCAATTTGCGAAGAACATGGTTGAAAAAGATGCTGCATTCAAGACAGTATCCTCCCCTTCGCGAAGGCTCAGAGTCACCTGAGCCCATGAACTTGAAGTAAATACTGGAGGGGTTGATATCAATCTGGCTGATTTCAGAGTCATGAACCGACAGATTGTCGTAGGGAAAGCGAGTGATTTGACATCGGAAGAGAGTTGTCAATGCCTCTTCAGTCTTGGGGAATGATTCCGGGTTCTCTACGTATTGGTGATACTCGGCTGGGAGGCGTATGTACCTGAGGTATTTGCTCAATTGGGACGTTGAGAACTCTGAAGCTGTCGTCATCTTGAAAAGGATTCGATTCAATGTCGGACCTCGGGTTTTCAAGTCTGATGTTTAAATGAATTGGCCGGATGGTGCAATTTCACTATATACGTTTTGACCTCCAAGTCTGACTCATCTGATAAGCGGAAGGGCGCAACTAAGCGGCCGGAATGGAATTTCCCTTTACGATCTAAACAACCGATGGCAAATGTATCAATGAATAGAAGGTTTTTGGAAAACCTGTATGATTCTTTGTGCTGATAACTCGCATCTCGTCTCTCATCTCTAGGGCGAACCCCTTTCATAGCAATGCCATGACTCGCCCGGTTGATAAATCAGTCTTTTAAAATGGATCAGGCCGAAAAGGCGGCAAGGGAAGCGCAGGTAGTCATTTCATGCAACCACTTTCAGCGATAGAGAGCTTGGATATCTCTTTTAAGGGAGCGAATTGTGATATCAATTCATCTTAATCAAAATCCATTTCTGTAGACCGCCTGGCCCTCAGCTTTGTACTTCGGGTCCGAATAATTGTCGCTGTAATTCCTCAAAGTCCGCTATGTCAGCTCCTGTCAGAACGAAATCTTGATCATGGTACACAGAATGCATGTCCTGAAGATCTGTTGGGAAATGTATTGGCAAGAATCTCTGGGCCAATCCCTCCATCGATGTTCCAGCCATCCTGAAATCTAGAGAATTACTTTCACCAGAATCAATTTCAGCAGCCGTTCCTTCGACTTCAGACGTGTCGAGTTGTGGCAGCCTGTCATATGTCTTTGCTTCTTCGCGGAGACTGACGGCATCGACCAAAGATGGAATTCGGGTGCTTAGTCGAAGCATTTGCTGCAAACGGGCTTCAGCAGCACGGTTCTGGAACGAAGCCAAGTATCGGAGCAGATCCATTGCTTCGTATACTCCAGGACTCGGCTTAAGACAGACGGAGCTAGTCCCATGGCCGGCACTAGCGGCATCAATCATTTCGCCCATCAGCAATATGAAACCCGCAGAGAATATTGCCTCGAGATCAAAGAAGCCGAAAATTGCTTTTGAATGTGAGCTGTTATTTTGGGTTGAATTGAATACCATGAAGCACTTACCTATCATGTTTTCCTTTCGCGCGACAATCATAAGTTCTAGACACCAACGTGCAGCTTCAATGCATGTGCCAGTCAGGCCTTGAAAAGAGTGATGACTCTCAGGGAACGTGATTTCACGATCAAGGATTGATTTTGTCAGATGTAAGACGATGGGTCGAAGGGTGAGAATTATGGACTAGGATAAGTCAGTATGCTCAGTATGCCATTTGATAAGCAGCAGTGACTGGAAGACGATCCATACCTGATATAAAATTGTTCGAAGAGATATACTCGTTCGTAACTGCCTCCTGGATGACTGCGTTGTATCCAATGAGTACTTTTGCTCGATTTTTGAAAATATTTCGCGGAGTGAGGAGATGATGCATTCCACGCTCTTCAAGAAAACATCCTTTGGGCAAGAGTCATTGCTATATATAACTTGTAACGATGAGTAATTATCAAAGAACGATTTGATCTAACTGACCTGAGTATATTTGGTTTTGAATATGGGCAATTTCAATATTGATCTGCAGGGCGGCTGGATTTGGAAATCCAGGGGATTCGCTCAGAGGGCAAGCATCCACAAATTTATCATCAAGACTTCGTGGACACCCCGTAGCTATCATCAATCGTTTGTCATGTGAGTGTATTGTCCACCAAAGACGGCCAACATGCGTTGCCTCCGAGCGACGCAGATTCTTTGTTATGGCTTTCCGATGTAATCTATGTAAAGTCGCTAACCGAACCGCGAGCCCGATCTGTGACGGTTAATGATTTATCGGGGCTTACAGAGAAAAGAACCAGACTTACATATGTGGCGGCATCATCTGTTCGATCACCATTCTGTAGGTAGATTGCAATGATCGCTAAAGCCTCTATCCCCGCAACACCTTGAGATCGAAGCTCATCCGGCGTTGGCAGGAGGTCAAGGGCATACTTGAATAGCCTTGTTCCTGGAGGCAGCTCTAGAATATCTTGCTCGCCTCGAATTAGCTTTCCAAGAGCCAAAATGACAAGTATTTGAACAACTCGTATGTCGGGTCTTCGAAGCTGTTCCTCCCGGTTCTCGTAGAACGCCGTGAGTCGGTCAGAGATGTACCGGGCATCAAAAAGATGTTGTGGTTCTTCAAAATAGAACAAGACCGTATCAAGTAGTTGGAATGCGTCTTCCTCTGGCGGAAGTTCCAGGTCAGCGAGCGACCAGCCTGGCCGACTAATCCGAGGCTGAAGTGGGGGTAGATCTTCGGGGAAAAGAGAGGCTCTCGTTGATTTAAATGGTCGGGACCGGGGTTCCGGCGGTTGGTTTGACCTTTGCTCGAAGAGAGTTTGCACTCGATATCCGAAGTTTTGGCTTGAACCGATATCGCGCTCGGTCGAAATCCCTAGGACGGAGGGTCAACACGCCGTTTCAAAATCTTTGAAGCATTAATCAGGCCTACTTTGTGCCGTAGAGTCCTCATTGAGGTAATTAAATGGAGTTATGGGGTTTCCGGTAGTAAACTGAGGCTCATACAACGCTAGACGAGTTTCCAGCTCTCGGATCCGTCTACATCAATATTAGGTAGGTTTTTCATCAGAGACGAATTACTAGGTCTTGACCTACGCCTGTGAGTGTAGCCGGGTATCTTGCGAAGCTGAAAAGGTACAATGCAGCTCTCGTCGCGTACAGTACACGCACGGGTACTCTCCTGAGCATTTGACCTTCTTTGCCTTGCAATTCGTGCAGCTTCATTAATTCTGTTAATCATGCAACCTAGTCAATAGATAGTATAGCTGGATGGGAGCTCACGCTGATATCACTTTCGTCGCATCACTTCGGCGATTCGGCATGCTGCGCGGCTCCGATCTGACTGGTGGCATTTCGGATCGGACACGTCGTGGTAGCTCGGAGCCTTCCGAGGCTTTGGCGGGGTGCCGTTCATGTTCGGGCCGACCTTTCTCCGCGCCATCACGTATTGAGGTACTCAGTACAGTAGGAACCTACATTTCACGCAACCCTCCCTATTTCTACTTTCTAATGGTTTCTTATCGGAACTATGTACGACAGGGACTAAATCAATGCGCTAGAGAAATGCTTCAGGTTGGAATTTTTCAAGTTTCAGATATATACGTTCAGATGTTGGATTGTATTTCGTTTCAAACATTGACACATAAATTCAAGGACCCTGAATCTTACTTAAGAGGGTAGATAATCTGACAAGCTTCTCTAATTAGATGAAACTTCTCATTACTATGTCATTTAGAAGTTCCTGTATTCATGAAAATATTCAAAATATTACAAGCCGGTGCTCCTCCAGAGCTGAATTTCATACAGGCCCCAAAGGTCTTAACGCAAATGTGTTCTATCAATCAGTCTTTCTTCCCACCCATCTGGAAAAGGTCACTCATATGCTGCGTGCAATCCATTATGTCCATCTTCAACTCCACAATGCGAAGCCCCCGCCCATCTTTGAATTCCTTGTCATTCAAAATGGCATCCAATGTCCCCCATGTGTTTGCAGAGGCTGTGAAAATAGGATACTCGCTATCTTGGACTCCACCGAAGAAAGAGGGAGCTTCAAGGTACTTCCAAGAAGCAACTTCATTATAATGTTGTTCTGGGCCATGGATCAGACGCTCGATTGTGTACCCGTTATTGTTGATGATGAAAATGATCACATCAAGCTTTTTCCGAATAATGGTGCTGACTTCTTGCGCTGTCATTTGGAAACTGCCGTCTCCTTCGAATAAGATCGTCCTACCCTGCGAGGGAGTAAGCGAGGATGACTTGAGGTTTCTCTGGGCTAGGGCAGCGCCTTGTGCCGCCGCAAGCATATATCCAATTGAAAGCCAGACGCTCGAATTGATCAGAGTTGTGCCCTTCGGTAATATCATATCGCGTCCACCGACGCTCGCTGTCCCAGTCTCGGTCATGATGATATCGCCGGAACGGAAAAACGAGGAGATTCGCGTCCAGAAAATGTTTTGTGTGAGCTCGGCGGACGGATGGACTTCTACCATTTCTGGAGTGAGAGTCACTCGTGGCAGATCAGGGTAGGGTTCGAGTCGAGAGAGACCGTCCTTGGCCAAGTTGTCCAGGATTTTTTCAAGTAGTGATTTTGGCTTCAGATTCCATGTGCTAGGTCCAACGGTAACACAGTCCTGCTCAAACATGATGGAAACATCCACCTTTGGAACAGTAGTGAAATAGAAAGTATTCACATTGCTGTGCACCGGCCCAATATTGATTATGAGATCGCAGCACTCAAGATAGGACTGATATCTTTTGTCTCCGACGGGAGAATAGATGCCATGGAAGTTGCGCAAGGTCTCGTCCACAATGCCCTTTCCGAAAGGCGTTGTTCCGGTAGGGAACCCAGTCATTTTAACCAGCTGATTAGCCATCTCAGAGAGTCCATAGCGCGAGGTGCCGCCATCAACCAAGATAAATGGTCGCTTGGCGTTCCTTATCTGGTGAACAATCTGCTCCATGATCTCCAATTCGCACAGGGGCTCATTGGGCGCGGGTAACAGGTTGAGTGATTCACAACGATGCGAACCGGGCACCAGCATTGACCTAGATGAATGAGGTCTAGGAACCATTGCATGTACCATATCCATTGGTACTCGGATATACACCGGTCGGGACTGAAGGATGCATTCCCGAATGGCTCGGTCAATCTGCATAGGCGCCGTGGAGAGATTAATCAAATTCTCCTGCTTAACAGTGACTTTCGCATACATTTCAGCAAAGATCTCATAGTCCTGCGAAATGCCTCTGCAAAATGAATGATGAAGTCGGGCGCCTAGAGACTGTGACTTTCGATCGGGGGTCCCAACGATGTGTACAACAGGAGCCATTTCAGCGTAGGCACCCGCGATAGCATTGATGGCGGAAAGCTCACCAACCCCAAAAGTCGTCACTAACGCTCCAATCCCCTTGATCCGAGCATATCCATCAGTGGCATATCCGGCGTTAAGCTCGTTACAGTTTCCAACCCATTCTAGACCGCATGGGGTGACATGGTCGAGAAGTTGGAGATTATAGTCTCCGGGAACTCCGTGGACTGCCAGCAAACCGGCATCATGGAGCCGATAGAAGAGATATTCAGCAAGTGTGATTTTGACCGTCATCTTTCAGAAAGATCAGAGCTGCGGGCAAGAGGCGTGATGGAGTGCCGAATGATACAGTAATAGAGAGAGTAAGAGAGATTCTAATCTCAATGGACGAAAACTGAACCAAAGAAGACTAAAAATAATGGAGATCAGGTCTCTGGATGAAAGTGATTGTGTTTATTTGCGAGTGGGATTATGGTTGTTTAAGAAGTCGGTAACCTTGCTCGGTGCTCTAAATCCCCGGCACAAATGTCACGGAATTTTCTAACCGGGTGGCCAATCATTGTTCGAGAACCCACATTGATCCGGTACCACCGAGGGCATCTTTGCCATATTCAATGGAAATAATGTAGCTCTTGTTTTCTAGAAAAGCCTGCTTGGGAGTGTTACTGGTTCCACCTTCGCTTCAATGTTCGGTGGGTTCCGAGATGTTCTCCACTTTTCGGATGAGCCGCCGAGGACTTCGAAGAACTGGCCATCTCGGTAACGACTACGACCGTAAGATACATGGTGGGTAGGTCCGGAGTCCCCGAATTGATAAGAACTTTGGTTAAATAAAATATTTTTGCCTGAGGATTTAAAGGAATTGTATGAGTGTAAAAGCCAAAAGAATGGGGATGGTATTGGAAAGAGACGTCTGTCTGAAGAAGAGAATTATATGTATATAGAAAAGAAAACACCTGGACCATATGTAGAGGAGTCCCAAATGCTGACAGAAAGTAGAACAAAGAATGATGAAAGAATGTCAAGAAGTGAATAAAAAGCCGAAACAGGATCATACAGACTCGATCTGCAGTTCCTGCGATTTGGCATGCTTATGTCCATGATGCACATCGGTAATGCGCGGCGTCAAGGCCTTGCGATCGACGAAGCGCTCTGTTGAATTCAAGTTATCCACCCGAGACCCAATGGGAACGAGCATTTGGCGTGCCCCCTTGCCTCTCTTCACGGAGATAGAGCGGGCGGTGGAGACTTCGATGATTGGGATTAGGTCGTGGACTTTCTTGGGGTCGGATTGTCCAGACTCAGCCACGAGCGGACTGCGGAGTAGCTCTACTGGTAATCGATTCGGATTGGGACCTGATGCATCTAAAGGAGATGACGTATTTGCACGCAACGGGGTCGGTCTGGCCAGCCTCTCTAGAGGAGACGTTGTGTTTGCGCGCATTGGGACTGGTCTTTGTCTCTCCATAGGCGAGGCGGTATTCACACGCAATGGGATTCTCCTCGGCCCGTCCATAGGAGATGCCATACTTGCGCCCAATTGGATTGGCTTGGGGTTTGACATCTCAAGAGGTGATGCTGTAATGTTCGCCTGCAATGCATTCGTGTTGGCAGTGGTTATATTAGTCGGAGATGCCGTCGTGTTTGCCGGTAACGGTGTTGGTCTGGGACTCGATCTTTCCAGAGGAGAGTCCATATTAACTCGCAGAGGGGTTGACCTGGACCCGTCTACAGGGGATGCTGTGTTTGCTTGGAATGCGATTGGCCTGGAACCCGCCATCTCGAGAGGCGAGGCTAAAATGTTCGTTCGCACTGGATTAGGTTTGGGATCAGATCTCTCCAGAGGGGACGCTGAAGTGTTCACTCGCAATGGATTCCGCTTGGGAGCTAAAACCTCCGGAGACTCTGTGATCATCATCGGCTCCGCTGTAGTTTTTAAAGCAGGCGCAACGATTTCAGGTGCTGACTTGGATGAGGAATTCTCTTTCGCATCCTTCGCCGGCGGCGGTGGTGGTTCGTGCCCAGTGTTGATTGTGAGATTTGGTCGCTTCCGGCGAGACTGGTTATTTGCAGGGGGCTCGTCCTCTGTTTGCGGTACGCTTTGGGGTTGCTTAAGAGAGCTCTGCACTGCTCGAATATCTTGAGGGGACATCTTCCGCGATCGAGGTTGAGTCTGCTGCTCGGACTTGATAGCTGGAAGCGGCTTGTCTTCTTTTCGCAAATAGGAATTCGATGATCGTGAGGTATTCATTTGAGAATCGAAGGCATTTCCGGCAAGAGGCGACTCGATAGACGAAACGCTATTATTACTATGGATTCCACGAAAGGGTGGCTCCAGAGGCGATCTTGATGGACTCTCCACAGGAATGGTATTTGATCGTAGAAGAGGGCTAGGCCCACGAGAGAAGTTCTGAGGGATGTTCTGTATGCCAAGAATCTGGGCGGCCTTTGAAGGTTGGGTGGCCTTCGAAGGTCGCGATGCCGGGAATAACGTAAAGCTTGATCGTGCTGGTGAAGTAGCTCGTCGTATGGGAACTGGCGGCGGCTTGACCGAGGCAGCGAGGAATACCTTAGTATGTTAGAATGTTTCATCCACGCTATATACCGCCAAAGACGATAAAGGTAACGAACCTGATTGCTTGGTACGCTGAGGCTATTCAGAGTTTTCGCCCGCCTGGCCAGCAGGTTGGGTCTCCGGTTCTTGTTCATCACGTTGCTGAACATCACGCTGTATCTTTCCATTTGAATATCCGGAATATTAACATCAAGGCGTGGCCCTAGACTCTCCGATATATCTCTGGGTGGTGTTTTTCGAGACAGAGAACACTTGCGGCTTCGCTGGGTACTCGGGTACTTTCTATCGGTCTTTGATTTCGGATCGATTTCAATCCGTGGCCATTCCTCGGTCAAGCCCTTTCGCCTTTTCATCTGCTGTTGATTTGCCAAGAGAACTTCATTAGGCCTCGGAATATTATTCTGGTCTGACCGAACAGCCTGTGTTGGCGATGCAAGGGCATTCTTGGCCCTGAAGAGCCCTCCAATCTTCTTCCACTTTGATTTCCGCGGCGGTGACTGTCCAGGCTGTGGCTGCGCAAATATCAAAGTATTGAATCTTGGCGGAGGCAGACCCTCTTGAGAATCCAGCATGCCGGGGCTTCCCAGGGCAATACCTATCATTTTCGGGCCGAGTGGGCTATTGCAAGAGCGGGCGCTCGAAGGAATTGCTTCGTCCGGTGGGGCTGTTAATCTAAAATCGAAACTGGCCCCAAGGCCCGGTGGTGCTTTTCTATCTGTGCCGGTATCTGCTGTTTGGGGTCGACGGAAATCCCGCTGTGTCACGACACCCTGCTCCTTTATCCGTTGGGAGGTGTTGTCAAGGGTTCGAAGATCGTCACGCGGCGCTGCATCGGTATAAGTCAAGACGGGAAATGAAATGGTATCTGTAGCCTGAGTTGTGCGAGATTGAACAACTGTAGCCATGTTTTGGTGACGGAACCCAGTCCGTAGCAATAAATAATAGAAAAGACGCAGACTTGTAAGTGAACGAACGGACAGCCTTCCAGAAGGCCTTGTTCCAAATAGAAAGAAAATCAGACAACAGAATCGCGCAACCAGCAGGGGTAGCCCGATTTTAATGGAGTAGGATCAGAAGCAGTGGCGCCGGGGCATATCGTCTCATGAGTGGAGATGCGACAACGCCAAGCTGTGTACTTGAGACACTCGTAGTCGCCGGGCCAAATTTAACCCAATCTAACCCCGATCGCAAAATGCGCTTAGCTCCACAGCCTAGGTGCTGAATGCGTCCGTTCACATCTCGGCTGAGACTAGTCTCAGCCAACGAGACGGCAGACCTGACAGGACTGGGCGGCGCTGAAATCAACAGGTCGGTCGCATAGCACCCGATTCGATTTCACGGATCGCTCTGGCTCGCTAGCGGCGCAACGGTCGGACCTTAAGCGGCCAGTCTCATCGTCGGAATGATAACAGCAGGACCGCCACAGGGCCAGTCCAGGGCTGGACGGCCCCTCCAACACCACTCAGGTCGCGGACTCGGTGTCCAGCACGCGATGCTTAATTCGGGTGGAACGAATAAGATCGGCTGTCGGGAGATGATTAAGTTGATTAGTTCGCTACCACGTTCCAATGGGGCCACTTGGAAGTCGGAATTGGCCGCATTTACAGGAGGCGTGTTTCATCTTGAAATTGGGACATCGTGGCCTCGGCTCTTTCCGCTCTGCACTGACGTCGCGTAATTTCCCGTGATGCCAAACAAGGAGCGTTTACCACTGTCGTTTGGCGTTTGAGGTTTGGTGTCTCGTGTCTCGTGTCTCGTGTCTCGTGTCTTGCATCTCGCATCTCGTGTCCTTGATAACCTGTGAGGCCGGTTTCACTCCTCTGCACGATGGGTTTGGAAAATATTTTAGATCTCAAGGGTAGATGCGATCGGTAACAAGAGACAACAGAGCAGCGGTGTAGGACGGCAGGGGACACCTCAGGCCCCAGCACCGTCGCCTCTCTATATTTACCTTTTCTATTAGTTTAGACAGCAATAGATTTCACAGTGAATTAAATATTGTAGTGGTGGAACGCATAACATAATGAATACAGTTGCGGCATGAGGTGTCACGAATACCTTGGGTGTAAGCAATAGCTTCTACATGAGGATGGAGAGAGGCAGCATCTCCCCAATTCATTCCAGTTGTCACTACATTCTTTGATTCATGATGCCGGATTGAATACATTCCTTATGGTCTCAGCCGGAAACCGTGCGGCCTCATTCAGGATTGCTGCGTTCAGGATTGCCCGTACGGTTCCCCAGCCCCAGTCAGTACGGCCTCACGGCCTCATCAAGGACACTTGCGACCTCCCTCAGGACGACCTCTACTACGTGCCGGTTGTGTGTGTGTTGTCCGTTGGTTGCTGCTGTCCAGTCTGCATTGTCAGACAGCCATCGAGCCATCCCCATTTCAATATCTTCTTTTATCAGAGAAGAGGGAATAATGCTTTATAACAGTAGCATAACGGTAGCATGAAAGGATTGTCATTGTGAACCTAATTCACATTGTATCGAGTTGCTGAGACTAGGTTTTAACATTACAACATTAAACAAAAAACCATTTCAATGACATCTTCCTGCCAAAGAAGACTCGTGTCTCTCAATCACGTTTTCAGGCCAGTGTAAATTGATCATTTCCATCGATGAGATCATCAATTATCCCGCTTTGGCGTTAGATGAAATCAAAAGAACTAGTAATTAACCCGTCTTACTCACACACCCAACCTGATGGCCGAGAAAGTTTGACTTAGGATAGCTTCAAATGCATCTCTCCTCATCACGGCACCGAATCTACCCCCCAGATTGGAATAACGTCAGTAAGCAGTAAAGACATATGGAGGCGGAAAATACATACCCGTAACACTTGATGAGCTTCGAGAGCGATACACTCAACTCTCTGAGTATGACTAAATCGAGCCGATTGGCCCACGATTGCTGGATAATACAATACCAGGCTTGAGTCGGACTTAGTTCATCATCGAGAACGAGTTCTTCAGACAGGGCTAAAAGCTTGTCAAAGATGATTGCTGGATTTTGAGTTGAATCTTGTGTGGACAAGGTGGATTGGGCGCAGTGATGGTGATGCGGCTGGACAAGGGTCGCGGATGCAAGCAGAGCGTGGCCATTTGGCTTGTCCCGGTGACGCTCTAAATGGGAAAGGCAGGGTTTTTCGAGTCTGGATTCCTATTAGATGGTGCGGGAGAAAGAAAAGACAGAATACTGACTCTAAGATGAATTCCATGCCCATATCAGTCATCTTTTTGCTAGAAATCTGCCCAGGGTCTTTTGACTTAGGTTCATTTGGCTGAGCGAGAGAAGTGGTAGTCAATGCGCAGAGATATTGATCAGGTTGTTGAATGTTTGATGAGTCGCTTAGTGGGCTGTGGAAAGTTGTATTGTGGCTCGACGTGACATCGCTGTAGATTGTGTTGGTAGACAGATCCATAGACGAATCTATCCCTTCGAAATCCATCCCCGCTTTAGATCCCACCAAACTAACCCCATTTTGCGGACTTTTAAAGCCCTCAGTCGGAGTTTTGGCGGGCGTCAGATCTGCTTGAACATTCCCAGTTTCCGCCAATCTGTATAGAGGCTCTGAGAGTACGAATTGCTCATGTTTGTCAACGATATTCTGAAGCACGTCAACCTGATTACGCAGGCGATGAACGTGGTTAACCAAGTTCACTTCATTTGCCCGTAAACGCAAGACTTCACTCTCCAGGTTCTTAAAGTATTGATCCTTGCGCAGACGGTGCGTACTGCTAACTATCAGCCGAGTTTGAGATTGCAAGAGAAACATCCATACCGCTGTGCTTTTCGAAGCTGTTCTCGACGCCTAAACAGGGTGGAACTAGAGCCGCCTGTGATCGCAAATTAGTGGGCTATTTTAGTTTAGACGAAAGTGTCTCCAGTAGTGGAGACACTGATTCGGCCTCCGTACCCGACTCGGAATCTTGTTTATCGGTGCGATGACCGGGAAGGAAGGTGAAGGCTTTCTTCATCTTTGATTCAATGGTCGGTCAAAGGAGGTCCGGTGGTTCAGGGTACGTGTGGATTGTAAATCAATTGAAGGAACTGCACGAAGGACTGGTTCGGTCCAGGGGAGCGAACCCGCTGACAATCAAGGAGAAGGTCGAGTAAGCCATCGCCCGGGTATCCACTCCGATCTCATAATCATAGGCTGCGGCATTTAGCCGAGCGGCAATTGAACTTAACTCCGATGCTAAACTCAGTTTGTCGAGGGGTCCAGCGTCACATAGCCCGGTTGTGCCGCACCTGCGGATTGTTGACTTAATCAATGTTTCCTAGCTCGGCTAGCGCGAACCTTCAGTGAAGACAGGTCCATTCGCTACTTTGACTGTGAAGGGGTGCGTGGATTGTTGACTTAATCGTTGCTTCCCTTTTAAGATGTTTTGCAGCCTAGTTTGAGCCAATTTTTGTGATGTTGACATGATCATTCTGTTCTAATGATAGTTTGTCCATATCATGGGCCGGGAGCGTCGACCCCTCGGATGGGAGAAATTGTAATATAAAGAGTCAACAGAAGCCAACATCAATAGAATGCTACAGAATAAGTTCACTTCTCTGCTATTTTCCCAGTTTAGCATATGTTCCAGTCGGCCAGCAAAATGCGTTCTACCTTTTTTTCTCTCTGCGTTTGGACGGCATTCCTTGCAGAGTGCGCACACGCCGAAGGCCCAAATGCATGCTCCAAAAGCCCCTACGAAGCGTCTCGGGTTGGCAAAGCGGTATACTTCCAATTGAATGAGCAACACAACGCTGTTGTTTCAATTCCGATTGGAACTGACGGAACGCTCCATGGCGGTGTGATCACCAGGACGGATGGCATGGGAAGTGATGGTATCGACGGGGCTACCATGATGCCTGCTGGCCCAGATGCGCTCTCATCACAGGGCTCAGTGGTAGTAAACGACAATGTAAGTTGAAGAAATCGTATGGAGGCTTCTCCCTGGAACGCGTGGGCTGATTGCTTCTCACTAGTATCTTTTCGCCGTGAACGCTGGATCGAACACTCTCAGCATGTTCAAAATTGACGCGAATGATGCCACAAAACTGTCTATGATTGGAATGCCTGCTGCCATCCCTGGTGACTTCCCTGTCACTGTTGCCGCTTCGGTCAAGCGAAATGTGGTATGCGTGGGATACACTGGAGCGAAGGCCGGCACTTCTTGCGCTTCATTCACGCCCGATGGTATCAACCAGATGGAACAAGTTCTTGATTTTGATCTTGGACAGACAACACCCCCGACTGGGCCCACAAACACTGTCGCTCAGGTGTTTTTCACCGCAAATGATACTCGCCTAATTACCACTGTCAAAGGGGATCCGACTACCAATAAGACCGGTTTCATCTCAGTCCTGCCATTCAAAGACTCATGCTCTACGGACTTTGAGCTCCATGATACTCGAAGCACTCCGTCTGGAACTGCCGTGTTATTCGGTGGTGTCAACATCCCCGACACCTCTGATCTTTTTATCACGGATGCGTCTTTCGGGACCACACTTCTCGACCTCAACCCAACTACAGACACAGTATCTCTACAGAGTAAGGTCATCATTGAGGGCCAAAAAGCGACTTGTTGGGCCGCTTATTCACAGGCGAGGGAGAGCTTCTTTGTCACCGATGCCGCAACCAACCGACTGATTGAGATCAGTGAAGATGGATCCAGCATAATGTCCATCCTTGATTTGAACAATGGAGATCCTGGGATGGTTGATCTTCAGACTTCTGGTCGCTTTGTTTACGCGCTTTCACCCGGCAATGGCACCACACCTGCTGCAATCACGGTAGTGGACTCGTTCAAGGGTCAACAGATCCAGCATTTTAAGCTTGACAAGTTGGGAGCGGGGAAACTTTCCCAGGGCATGGCTATCCTTGAGTGAACAGTCTGTCAACGAGATCAAAGTGATAAACGGGGGGGTATCTGAGTGTCACGGCCTCCAAGACTCGTCTTGCAGCACCAAAGTGTTCTTCCACGTGTCTATGTATCTAGACAGGACCAAAGTGGCCCCGGCGAGTTTTTCTTTCACTTAGTTTTATTGTTTCCGACTTTCGTTTCTTTTCCGTGCGCATTGTCTTCTTTTCAGACACGAAAAGTCTGTAACTAATGATGTCATACCATGGCTAATTTCGTACTCTGTGAAATCGATGAAGCGCCGGTGTGTTGACACATGTGATATCCCGTCCTCACGTGCTCTCATTTGAAAGATTAATTAACATAGTTTACGTAACCAATCTAATATATCTTTATAACTTTAGCTTATACAGAGCCTGTTGAATGCAAAACGAGCTTGGAAGGATGTTTTGAAGGACTGGCATTATTTTCATAGAACATGCCTCCATCAAGGGCACGACGGTGCCGTTTAAAGGTAGTCTTAACCACTAGCATTGGCCCGTGTCTTTCGATAGAAAATTGTCGCATGAGAAAAATTTCCGCTTGCACGCATTTTGCTGCAAGGTCTCTGAATGAGCCACGGGGAAGGGCGTCCCGGTTCATCTATAGCAACTTGAGTAGGGGCTCTTGAATTGTGTCCTGTGAATCCTTCATTACCACCATCAGTTTGCAGGCAAGATCGGAAAAAGTTCATTGGAGCACATAAGAATACATGTTATTAGAGCTAGCGGTGTGTCCCCATGACACTCCGAATCCACATTTCTTCTGGGCGACTTCAATCCTCTTTTTGCTCTTTCTGTGATTGAACTTGTTTTTGCCACATTTTCGTGTATCGACCATTAGAAGCAAGTAGCTCATTATGTGTGCCACTTTCTGCCGCCCGGCCCTCATGTAAGACAACAATATTATCCGCGCTGATGATCGTGCTCAGCCGATGGGCAATGATCAAGACAGTCCTTCCATGTGAGAGAACAGACAAAGCATGTTGAATATTCTGTTCCGTCTCACTGTCCAGCGCCGCGGTTGCTTCATCAAGTAAGATGATCTGGGGGTTCTTTAGAATGGTCCGAGCAATGGCAACGCGCTGCTTCTCTCCGCCACTCAATCGAAGACCGCGGTCTCCGACCTTTGTTTCGTAGCGATCGGGGAACGACATGATCTTGTCGTGGATGCTGGCTGCTCGACAAGCGTCATAAACATCCTCATCTGTCGCGTTTTGGTTGGCGTATTTCAAGTTGTACATCAGAGTCTCATTGAATAGAACAGTGTCTTGGGGGACGACACCTATGTGGCTGCGGACAGAGTCGATGGTCACATCGTGTATGTTGTGCCCATCGATAAAAATTTCTCCTTTGTTTGGGTTATAGAAGCGGTACAGCAGGCGGAAGATAGTCGACTTGCCACCGCCTGATTCTCCCACTAGTGCAGTCGTTGTGCCAGGCTGGCAGTCAAATGAAAAACCATCCAATGCAGGCCGACGTGTATCGTAAGTGAACTCAATGTCCTTGAAACTGATGGCTCCTCGACAAACCGATAGAGGAACAGCAGATGCCTTATCCACAATTGATGGTCGGACACGGAAGAGCTCTAGTAATCGCTCCGCGTTAATCAAGGCAGATTGAATGTAGCGGTAGAACGTTCCGAAGATGTTCAATGGGGCTTGAAGCTGTGCCATATACGAAAGAAGTGTCACGAATTGGCCTACAGGACGTTCTCCACGAGCGACTTGGTAAGCGGCGATGAAGCAGGTAACCAGGAGGCCGAGCATGAATATCGTGTTCTGGCAAATATTCATCAGGTTTTGCGCGAAAAGCGACTGGTATTCCGCATCCAAATAGTCGCCGACTGCTCCTCTGTAGCGGTTAAACTCATATTCCTCGGCGTTGAAATATTTGACAGTCTCATATGAGATCAAAGAATCATTCCTGAAGGTGTTAACAGCGTCACCAAGGCCATTTGGGGAAGACTTACTTGACAGCATCTTCTTGTCTTGATGCGTTGACCATTTGTCGTCGCATATCTGCCCTCCAAGTAGCAATTTTCACAGTTGAGTAAAGGTAGAAGAAAGTCATGATCGTGATGGCGAGTGCATAGTAAGCATCGAAAACAACGAGGAAATAACCAATCGCGATGGCCAGATCGATGAACATAGGAAGCACCTGAAATGTCACTTGCTCGAGGAATGTATTGATTGAGCTACCTTTGGTGAGAGCTGAGAGGACCTCACCCATCTTCTTGTTTAGGTGGAAGTCCAACCCAAGGTGGTGCACATGTTCAAATGCAGCTGTTGACAGCTCCATGTAGGCGTACTGGCTGATGGAGATCCACAAATTTGAACGAACTGACTCAATCAGACCCTGCCCTCCTTGAAGCCAGCGATAGAGGATATAGAGGCAAATGTTCATCCATGGAACTTGTAACTTCCCCTCGGAAAATGAAAGCGAATCTGTGATTACTCCGACTTGGTACGGAACCAGAAGGTTGACCACCCGTTGCAACACAAGAAGGCCGAAGCATATGACTGCCACTATCTTCAGCCGGCGGGACTTAGACGGCCACATGTATGGGAAGAATAGCGAATAGCCGCTGAGATATTCCAGCCAGTTGGTTGTGGGTGTTTTGGTGGGTCGTACCCAAGGCTCTGTGGAATCCGGGGTTCCCTGGCCATCGGTTGAGCTATATCCATCTTCCGATTGAGAATCCACCGTTGCATGAAGCAAACTCGTGGTCTCGCTCACGCTGGTATCGGTCACGCTGGTCTGTTCAATCTTCCTCCAAGCACCGATTTTCGGCAGCGCAATTCGGAAAACGTAGCTTGCCACCAGTAAAGTAAGAACAAGAATTCGAGTAATACCTAAAGAAACCTCCAATGTTTCCCAAAATGTGATCTTGATACGTATGGGTCCGCCGTATCTATCTCCAACTGTTGGCTCGTGGTGGACACTCGTATAAACAGAAGTAGAAAGGGCCACAATCGTCACCTCGAACGCCATTGACAAGGACCAGGAAACGAATTGTATGACGTTCGGGCCTGGGCCCATATCAAGGAGTGAAATCAAAACAACCGAGTGAGTAAACATTGAACCGATAATGTAGATCTAGCACAGTCAACTTGTGAAACCTTGACTGCGGTCTTCGGCCGAAACTTACCACCACAGCTTGACCACACCACCATTGCTGCGAGTTTGCGACCATGACATGCGTTAGCCCAAGAGCTGCATCGCCAACGTATGTAATTATCAGAATTATGGCAAGCCATAAGAAGAGAGCTTTGGATTTCTTTTTTGCAAGCTCAGCTGGCAATTCCCTAGCGACCATCATCATGACCCGCGTTCGTTTCGGAAGCGGTTTCCCACCAGGCCCAATGGGTGCTCCATCTCCAACTTTTCCCGCCTCATTTTGTTTGGCGACTTGAGAAGAGTGTACAATGAATACAACAAAAAAGACAACAAGAACAACAATAGGGTAGCTGATGCGACACCACTGGAGAGCTTCCACAGCGGCCTTGGAGGAATCCATGACCGATTAAAGGAGTGGATTGCACCGTTGGCGTGGTTGGAAAAGCACAGCAGACGAATTGTTTGAAATGCGAAAACAAAGTAATTCCAAATTTCGAGAATTGCATTGCATCAAGTAAGTGGCTCCGAGCGGCTTTGAGTGCGGAGACCAGCTCAAGGGGGTCCGCTGCACGTTCATTTACCACTAGCGTATGGGCCTGTATTACGCCGGTATTACCACTCGCAGCCGGAATACAGCGATCGTCGATCTGGACAGCTTCGAAATGGCAACTTGTCACGCGATAGGCAGTCCAGTAAACGAAAAGTGAATGAGCGTTGTGGATGAGCTGAAACTGAGACATCTTGGACAACTTTCAGCCCATATTCTGTCTTTGTAATTGGACACTAAAAACTCCATCGAAAACCGAAAATATAATTGACTATGGCAAAAGAACAAAAAATTTAAGAACCCTAAACACCGGCTAAGTCAAGTGCCATTTCGACCCAAAACATAGTAAATCTTGTACAATCTTGGCTTGGGCACAAAGCTTGCCATCGTCTGAGTGTGCCGAACGGTTCAAAAATGACAAGGATGAGCAAACCATGAGCATTCGAATAGTCGGAATGCTCACTCCCGGCCGTTGTAGTGTATATACATCCATAAAGGCTGAGATACACGTTTTCATCTCTGACTCCGTCATGCCATACTGTTCACCTGTTCGCCGTAACATATGCACGAAATGACCAAGATCTCGCTCTAGTACACCATCTGCTTCTCCGTTTACATCCAAGGATGAATGTAGCGTGGTGCAGTCGATAACGGTCACCTGGCCTGTCGCATGGTCGTAAAAGAAGTTTCCTGGATGGGCGTCACCATGTACAACAGCCGCGTATGGTGTGTTGTTCACATAATTCTCACATTCTGTTGTGAGACCGTGCATTTGCCGAGCGAGTTCATCGACATCGAGTCCTGCCCGGTGGAGAACATCGCGATGTTGGAACGCCTGCTCAACTCGGTTCTTCGCAGCCTCCAAATACCACTGCAGGTAGTCTATTCCAGATTTTTCTTCCACACCATAGGAATGGAGCTTGAGTAAGGTTCTTGCGACTTCTTGAATTCCTTTCTTAAGGACCATCACAAGTTTCTCTCTCGCAGGTCCTTTCGACATGGAACAAATTTGGATCATGAGTTGATAAAGTGACACGCCTTGAGCCACTTTATATGTCACCACACCGGCCATATTGTTCTGCCAAATAGTTTTCCCAACTGTGAGAGGTGCAGCAGTTTTGATGCTTCCTTTTGCGCGCAAGAGCATCCACTCCAGGCTGGAAAGTTCCTCGGTGATTCCATTGTCCAGGCCATGAACGAAGAGCTTAACAACGGCAACCACAAGGCCCTCGGCTGTATCTGTAGGTGTAACAGGCAGTTCTTCCTCCACAGGGTACTCATCAGCATATGCAAATAGAATGACCGCCCCGGAGAAGCCTTGTGGATGAGTGGAGTCCATATTTCTCAAGCGAATGGGGCTTCCGAGTGCATGAGACACATACTTTTCGAGCGCAAATATTGTCGGTTCGATCTCTGGTAAGCTGTGAAGAACATTTGAGGCAAGTTGTGGATTAGGTCTGCCTTCCCGATTGCGTGTTTGGACCGCTAGATGCATTGCCGCGGTGACATCTGAAGTCAAGGATAGAACAGCCTTTGATTTTTGTGAAATAGCCCCGTTTGCCATTTGAATAGTGTCTGTGTCACTTCGCAAAGCCGCAGTAAGCAGTGCTTTCGCAGCATGTTCCCAAGAATACTTTTCCATGATCTTCTGTAGGGTCAAAGCATGCATTCGAGCTTGATCCAAATGACACCGTACTTGATCGATGCGATGTGCCCATATGGTGACACGTTCACTTCTCAGCGATGGCTCAATACCATATGCACTCTCGTCCATCACAACACATGATTGGCCCACTGCGGCAGGAATGCGCTCGCGGTCCAGCGCAAATTGAGCGGCACCACTGTCTTGTGTCACTAGGATGGGAATTCCCAATCCAGCAACTTCAGTGAAGATCATCCCGAAGCCTTCGTGCGTGGATGGCATGATGACAAGGTCTTGAAGGCGATAATATTTCAAAACCGTTGTGTGATCGTCAGAGAAAGGGAGCAACTGGATGAGGCCAGGCATCCCAGTCATCTCGTCAATGCGACCCTGCCTTTCCTGCAGCTCATTTTGAGGGACTCCAAGGACATGGAGGACAATGTCGTGACCAAGTAATGCAATTCTAAGGACGGCATAAACGGCATCATCAAGTCCTTTAGCTGGATCATCCGCTCGGCCCGCCAGAAGAACATGGAACGTGTCGTTTGGTTGCCGCTTAGGCTGGATGCTGTCGAGAATATGCACCCCAGGTACAAGTTCGTGAAATCGAGGTCCTGTTATACTCGATCGCTTGCGACTGCACTGTCCCATCCACTCGCGTTCTCGGGCTTCTGCTGTGAGAGCCGGCCCAACGCCCACGGCAAGATCCGCGTTCGGGAGAATCTTCTCATCAAGCATCGCTAGCCGAGCGGCTTCAACATAGCCCAATTCTCGACTTTGTCCGTACCACATCCAAGCGAGATCGGATTTCCGCAACGCGCTGGTATGAGTAATGAGAGCTAATTTGGCCGATGGATACCATCGTTGACGAATCAAAGACGCGGCGGTGCTGGAATATCTCGAGTGGCCGATAATAAGGTCGAATGATGTGAAGTCGTTTTGATCAGGAGAGGGAAGACCGAATTCATTAGGATGATGAACTTTTGCGGCGCTGTAAAGCAAGGCGCTTGGCTCACATTCCCCAGCTGGGATGGTGATTACCTTGGCCGAACCATGCGATGAGATCGGTTTCTTCTTTTCTTGATCCGTTTCAACCACCAAGAGAGTCACTGATGTATGAGGTAGTTGGGACATAGCACGAACCATCTCTTGATTTAAAAAAGGTAGGCCTCCTTTACCCGGCCCGCTAGTATTGGCAACGAAAAGCACCCGTCGCGACTGGTCGAGCTGAGGGAAGATGTGTTCAAGATGAGCCCACTCTAGCTCTACCTTTTCCTGCAGTTGAGTGAGCCCGGTGTCTCCTTTTCGTGCAGTCAGCTTTGCAACTGCAGACCATAGCCTGGAAAGTTGTGTGCGTGTTCGGAATAGCTGGACTATGCCCTCACTGAGTGGCACACCTTGTGCTCGGTACGCTTTCCAAAATTCTGCCTGGACACGGGAAATATCACTCTCTCTCATGCCGAATTGGCCAGAATATTTACGAAGCCGCTCGTAGAAGCCGGCGACATCCATCTCGGCTGGGCCAATAGGTTGGTCTTCTGGATCGATTGAACGAGCCAGACCACCATAATCAATCATTGTAATGCCAGAAGTAGGATGCCAAAAGAAGTTTCCAGACGAGGCATCACCATGGAGGAGAGATGCTAGGCCTTTGCATTGGGACTGGCCGATAGCGTGATCAACAATATGAGTTAAACGTTGCAGTTTCGCTGCTCCAATGGCTTCTTCGTACTGATCTCGTGAGCATCGGTGGATTTCTTCAATCCAGTCCCGCAGCTTGGACCGAATCTTTTGGACAACACTCTCACTAGCCTCACTCCATTGACCTTGCACTTTATGAAGTTTGGAGAGCTCGATAGCCACGTCCCGAACAGATGAGAATAAATCTTTCATCAACCGATCAAAGCGAGATTGAAGCAATTCGTAAAGACCTTCATAGTATGTATTCTCGTCGGTAGATTTGAAGGGCACGCTCATATCGTCCAGCTCGTTGATGATTAGACCATCCAGTCCGATTCTAAGCCTCTCATCGTGAAGTGAAAGTTGCGTAATTCTCTGGAGTGTTGTAACCCGTCCGATGTCGCGAATTATCGTGTTGATGGCCTTTCCAGGTGCGAGTTGGTAAACAATCACTCTTCTTTCCTCCTGCGACTGCGGGTCTTTAAAGATCCCCACCCCAATTATACCGGCGGCGGCGGGAGGGTTGGGTAGGGAACGTAGTTTCCGGTAGGTTGTCACTTCTTCGAGGAAATCTGAGTGGCAGGCAGGCGGGAAGACTTTCACGACAGCGACGGTTTGTGTGGAGTACGAAGTGTCTTTGGCGAAGTGAATCGAGCAACCGGATTGACCCTCAGCGCCGGAGCCTTGTAGAAGATGTAACTCTACCGCGCGATCGAGTATGGAGTTGGCGACCTCAGTGGCAGACAAATGTTCGTGAATTGAGGGTCGATTGTTTTGTCTATCATCATTGCGGACGTGGGGATCGTATGAGTGAACAGCAGTCATGGAGTGAAGAGGATTGAAACGCTCTATGGCCGTCATGGTGTTTCCTATGCATCAGTGTATCGGGGCATTACTTGGAGTAGCTTCAATGAAAAGTTTATGATTTAAATTGACACGAGGGTACATAGAGTGGTATACGGAAAATTACACTAGTGTCAATACGCTAGTTCGCCGAGGTCTATGCGGACTTTCTTCCAGCTTTGCCACCATGCATGGATCTTTCCTGCAAGGATACACTTATGACTGCAGATTTGGTGGGGGAGCCAGCTTAGTACGCTGCCTGTGTGTCCAAGTATCCTGTTGATATATGCAGAAGTCCAATGGCCCATGGGTGTCGGGTACAGGTCTCGAGATCACGACAAGTCAGGCATTGACTCGAGGCTCACTCTTTTCTTCCAAATGAAATATAAACTCTTGGGTTCTTCTGTGAATTTGAAGTGTCACAGTGAGATATTTTTTTTCTATTCAGCGCTAGCATGCAGCGCTAGCACGGGACAGTGTTTCCTACAGCTCGCATCAGTAAACAGATCCTGTTTTCTGATTCGAACTAGGGTTTCCTGTATCGCAGATCGGTTCGTCAGCTTTTAGCGCCCTGTGGAGCTCGGTGCCTCTTATGAGCTAGCCGTATTCTATCTTGGCGTGGCGTGAAAGGGGCTTCGGTTCATCCGATCTAATCGCCCCACGTAGCAATTTCTCTGACACATAGCCTGGTGACGTGGAAACCTTTCACTAGAAGGTGATTATTTTGCTTTGGGCCTCGAAATGAACTTCAATTGTGGCCAGTTCGCATTCGGTGTTCTTGATATAATACTTGGGGTACCAAATTATATTACAGTGGCGCAATGAAGTTACTATTGTCGATATCTCTTCTGCGGACACTTTGCGCAGCAATCCAGCCATCTGCCCCACGGGCATTAGAAGCTCCAATACGCGATTTACAATGGGGTCAACTAAATTTCCTGCACACGACTGATATTCATGGATGGTTCGCTGGACACCTTAATGAGTATGCAAGGTCCAATGTCGTGCTACCTTGTGCCTGATAAGCTGATAGTACCTCAATAGACCCTCGTACTCGGCGGACTGGGGCGACTATGTCTCATTTGTGCATTGGATGCGACAAAAGGCCGAGTCTCAAGGTCAGGATCTGCTAGTGATTGATACTGGTGATCGAGTCGAAGGGAATGGACTTTATGATGCCTCAACCCCTAAGGGTATTTACACTTCCGAGATTTTGTCACGCATGGAATTTGATGTGATAACAACGGGAAATCATGAGCTCTACAAGCAAGAAACATCCGATGTTGAATTCAATCTGACAGTTCCAAGATACCGAGGGAGTTATCTTGCTTCGAATTTAAAAATGATTGATCCGTCCACAGGGAAGTTGATTCCATTCGCGGCCCCATTCAAGAAGTTTACTACGAAGGCCCAAGGAACTCGAGTCATGGCATTTGGTTTCATTTTCGACTTTCACAAAAACGCCAACAACACTATCGTTCAAGATCTGGAGGACTGTGTCAATGAAGATTGGTTCCAAGAAGCCATTCAACAGTCAGACATTGACCTCTTCTTGATCACGGGCCACCTTCCAGTTAATGATGCAAAAACCATCGTCCGCGAGATTCGTCGCTACCAGGATACACCAGTTCAAATATTTGGTGGCCACCTACATGTGCGAGACTTTACTATTTACGATTCAAGCTCGACGGGGTTAGCAAGCGGTCGATTCATGGAAACCGTTGGCTTTCTGTCAATCGACGGTCTCTCGAATGGCACCCACGAAGCCAAGTTAAAAGAACCACAATTCCATCGCAGGTACATTGACAACAATTTGTTTTCTTTCTATCACCACACTGGCTTGAATGAAACGACTTTCCCGACTGAACTTGGTCAGAACACAAGCAATCTCATTGCCGCCTCACGGCACGCTTTGAGCCTCGATTATGTTTATGGCTGTGCCCCAAAGTCTCTTTGGATGGATCGCGTGGAGTATCCCAGTGATGACAATATCTATACCTGGCTTGAAGATGTGATTCGATTTTCCTTCAAGAGAAAGTCACATAAGAATCCAATCTTCGCTCTAGTCAACACCGGATCTCTTCGATTTGACATATTCCGTGGTCCCTTTACCAAAGACAACGCTTTCATTATCTCTCCATTTACCAGCGGCTTCCGAATCTTACCCGGCGTGCCGTACTCGAAAGCGAAACAGATTATGGTGATACTGAATCGGAAATCGGCCTCCGGTGATATGTACGATGCAAAAGACACATTACGCCGCATGTCCCTTCCTCGAAATCAGCAGGTGTTGAGCTCCAAAGAGCCTGTCATTCGTCCAGGTCACATGACAATTGACGCAGGAGGGGCAGATGGTGATGATACGATACATTCGCCGGTTCCCCTGTACCCTATACCCAAATGTTTGGGAACTCTCATCAGCCCGGATGGTATAACACCGACTCGCGTCGATCTGGTATATGTTGATTTTATCGAGAGCAAAATCGCTGCCGCTGCAAAGGAAATTCGGCTCGGGGTCGATGTGTTGCGTGCGAGTAGCACTTACCTTCCTTCGACAGCCATATCCGACCTTATAATTGATTGGGTCCAAAACAACTGGAGCTGCGATCAAGGATAGGGCCTTCCGTATAGCAGACCATAGCGTTGGGATCGAAGCTAAGCCAATCTCAATACATAAACACAACGTGCCATATACTACTTCCATCCAGGGTTCGGCCCGGGATCGTTCGCGGAGACAAAACTTTAATATATGCTTATGAAGCCAAAGAATGTCGTTTTGTCATTCACCGATATTCAATTTTCCATGCGAAGTTCGCTCATTGCGCATTTTAAGTTGTATTGTTCACCCTTTAGGTGTACCGACAAAGTCAGGCGGTGTCACTCGATATCTTACTCCATTCAGAATAGGAGACAGGTCAAACATGTTCCTGGAGTTCCAGTTCCTATTACGCAATTTCGTGATCGTGGAGCCCAGATCCGTCCAGCCGCATCTCATACGACCCACCGCGAATATTACGCATTCTTTCCTGTGCCGATCGCGTAATTTAACCAAATAGCAACCATATGGGGGATCCACCTGAGCTCAAGATCACGCAAGGGAACGCCATGCAGGGCCTAGGGCCGGACTTGCACGGGAAGGAGGTCGATCGATCTCCTAGCCTAGGCAAGTGTTCGTGTGACGCTAAGAAATGTCCCTACTGGTCTATGTAGGTCCAGACGCTAAGCTCGGAGTTCTTACGAGCGAATAAAGGAACACGTGGCTTGGACGGGAAGCTCGAGTAAGCCATTATTTCTAGAATGAAACCGGATCTTGGCTCGGGTGTTATGAGCTTCCTTCTGGGCTCGTGAGTAGGGAGCATTAATTTTGAATACACACTACGTGACGAATTTGGGCTTTGCATAGTCAAACAATACAACTACGTGCGCGCCGATTACTGCAACCTACGAAAACGCACATCCGCAGCCACCGTGTGGGCACCTTTGCCCCTCTTTAAGCTGTAAATGTTACTTTAGGCAGGGCGTATTTGTGTCCGTATTTGTTGGATCAATACCGTGATTTAACATACCGTAATTCTGTAAAGAAGAACGAGAGCGATTCGTCGTTAGTGATTATTACCAGCGATACGTAATGCAATTTGATAGTTTCTTGAGCGTGGGAACTTCATCTGAGCCTGATTACAGTACAATAACCTCTATGTATGCACACGGTACCAGGTAAAGTGGCGAATACCAGGCAACGCACACTGTGAGGAGACTATTCCGGGTGGCTTCAGCTGGCGCTGAAATCCTGAAAGGTGAGGACTGGGGTTCCGACAGATCGTCAGCACCTCATACTATCTGCGGGTCTGGGTTCGCTTCTGATTTGGATGAATTACATCTAGCGTGATTGAGGTCCGACTTCCTGCTGAATCCACTGAGTCTGTCCTGCTTGTGGATCAAACCAGTTTTGAATTTCACATGGTTTTCTATAGCGCCTTTTTAATTCTTTCACTCCTCGGCGCTCTGCATTCTAATGCAAAACAAGTTCAACATGGGCCGTGTTCTCTGGCTTGATGGACTCCGGGGTGTTGCATCCGCCATCGTAGCGGTTTATCATTTCAAGACCTACGAGCCCAAAGCCGTGTTTGGGTTTCTCGCCAGCTCGTACTGGGATGACCCACGTGAAGAGAACCGCCGGCTACTTCAGCTGCCCCCTGTCCGGCTGTTATTCTCCGGTGCATCCATGGTGACACTGTTCATGGTAATATCGGGATATGCCATCTCATTGCCCTTGCTGAAATCCCGAGACGACACCCTTGGAGCAAATTCTGCATTCTTTCGTCGTTTAAGCTCCGCGTCTACACGTCGCATCTTTCGCATTTACCTTCCCTCTATTGCTATTTTATTCATTACGCAACTGTTATATTTCCTCAACCTCTGTCAATGGGAACCCCCGAATGATGATTACATCTGGGGACTGAGGCCATTGTCAAAGCCATGGTCACACTTACTCTACGTCCTGTGGAGTACTATACATCTACTAGATATCAGCAATCACCGACCTGATATGAATTTTGTCAAGAACCGATCGGATATGGCAACTCTAAATTACCAGCTTTGGACCATGCCGGTTGAGTTTCGTGGCTCATGTGTTCTCTATCTGCTGATTCTAACATTTTCATTTTGGAGAATGCAAACACGGCGTTTCGTTTTGGCAACAGTATTCATGTACTGGTTTTACGTTGGGCAATGGGATCTCTTCGCCTTTGTCGCGGGAGCTTTTCTCGCGGAGGGACACGTCGTACTTGAGCTGGTCGAGGCAGATGGTGAGCTGGAGCTTCCAGTGGAACAGCACAAGTCCTGGAACAGAATCGCAAAGACCTTCCTTCAAAAATCGAAAAGCATGGAGTGTTTCCGCCAACTTCAAATAGCTGCCTGCTTCATTTCCGGAATATACCTCCTTTGCATGTGCCACGTCACGGTTGAAGAGACGTCGCCTGAATACAAATTCCTGCTTTCAATTCAGTCACCGGGTTGGGATCACCCCGAGATGTTCTCAAGATGCTGGCGGAGCGTTGGGGCTATCCTCACTATATATGCAATCAGCCAATCCACTGTTCTTCAGAAGCCATTCGACTCACGGCTAGTCCAATTCCTGGGAAGAATATCATTCCCGCTCTATCTCGTTCATCCAACAGTTTATCTTGTCATCAAGCAACCAGTTCGAAATATTCTGTGGTATATTATTACACAGTCCTCGTACCCAGGCACTATTGAAGCAAGTCAAGACGGTCTAGCATTTGGTGTAGCTTGGGCTGGCGCTTTAATGACATCTCTCGTGCTCATGGTTTTTATTTCGGACCTTTGGGAGCGCTTCATTGACATGAATTGCTTGGCACTTGCACGGAAATTCGAAAAGTGGGTGACAAAATGAGATTATCAACTCCTAGATACCTTGGGGGTTTACCTTGTACGTAGTAATTTATCCTAGCCTGGCATCTTAATATTTCTGGCTAAAAGTTAATAATTCATTTTTCAACAGTAGTATCTAGGATTCTATGATTCATTCTGAATTTAGGAGGACGTAGGTGCCATTAACTTGTTGGAGGCTTTTCAGGATTAGCGAGAGGGCCCGCTAGATCAATGAAGTGATCAATTATATCGGTAGAAGAATCGGTTTCTAGAACTGGCGGGAATCTGTCAAGATTTTGAACAGTCCCTCGACGGCTAGCAAGATTCTCAGCTCTGTTTAGAGCTCCGGGCGCGAGCTTAGCTAGTGGAGAACGACGACAGTAGCTTGGATTAGTCCGCTCAGTCACTAGAGCCTCATTAGAATGATGAATGGAGGGTTTTGCACAATCTATTGAAACACCTCAAAAACCACGGTGGGAGGCCTCACGAAGAGTTCCAAAGAGGGCCTTCACGTCGTGCAGACATTGGGTCACTTCTCTCGCTAAGGAACGGCGATGACTAGTAGGGCTTGTCACCCCGGGTTGCTCCCAATACTTACTTTGGTCTGTTTTGACAGACTGGCCGGTTTGCACGGTCAAGTTAACTCATTTGTACGTCTAATTTATACATGACTCACGGTTCTGCCTCCCTGTCCTCAAAGGATGGAAGGCGGGTATAACTATCGAAAGGTTCTGGGCAAACTTCGGCTTCAGGGGGTTTGGGCTAAAGATGACGCTTGATAGGCTCTTGAGCTCTAAGAAAATCTCTAGATACAGCGGCGCAGTTTTCCCCGTGACTTAATAGGAATCCCGAGCGGCGCTACGGTCAGTGATGTAGGTAGCGAATTCTTGCTCGTTCTCCCCATGCTCACTAAATAAATGCTCTTCAGATTTGACGCTGGATACGGGGCTGTGGAACAGACATATCGTTGATTTCTTTGTAATTAAGTTGCGTGATTTGGCTTACAAATCTATAAAATCTTTGCTGCTGAAGGACATATGTTATAGTAATTAGGGTTAAGTCAAGGTGACAAGAAACTTGAGACCGTTGGTATTGACCTTCTGGTACAGGTGCTCTCAGGGAAACGAAAAGAAATGTTCAAGATGTTTATTCAATTTCTTGGGCTATTCCTTTTCAAGCTTCCATCTGGTTTCAATTTTGCACGATAATAAAATGCGAATGACAATGGAAAGGCCCTTTGTCTTGAGGTCAAAGAAGAGCCGATTCTTTTTGATGTCTCAACTTAATCTTTCTGTTACACTACCCTTTTGCAACTGTCTATTATATGAACTTTGTCAACCATTGCTGTGATGAAGAGATGAGGAGCTTGAGGCCTCACGTAATGCGCTTTTTAATGAGGACAGTACAATGGAAAATTCCATGATCTTTGGGATGTTGATAGGAACAGAAAATGACAGAAACAACACGCCTTTCGAAGCCTTGACTTGCGGCCTGCTATAGATGGGGTTGGTTTAGGGGTGTCGTTTCACTTGGTTCAGAAACTGCCCTGCAGCCTCCAAAACAATATAGAAATCAAATAATGATCCGTTTTGTCTCCCAATTTGTTACTTGCATCACTCACTGAAGGCTTGCTTCCTAGTGTACGCCCTTCAAATGCTCAAGTTTATTTCGCAATGACGCAATCCAAGCGGACTGCTGCGCCGCGATCTGATAGGGCGTCGGTAGAATATTTAACCATTCAGCGCAACAAGAGGAGTCCACCCGACATCGTCGATATTTGGACACGTATCAACATCTCTCAGCCAGCCATGCATCAAAACCTACCTGAAGGAGGCCGGACTCTGGTGTACTCAACGATCAGCGATCATGAGGTCAATCTTGACTACTATTTGCCCAACACCGACCGTGGGAGTCTGCCCGCTTTGATCTACTATCATGGCGGCGGAATGACTGCTGGCTCACGGCGCAGCATGTTCCCATTTTGGCTTTACAGTGAGCGCTGACGACTTGAAATTGGCTTGGTGGCAATATTAACCCCCCTTGCAGACCACTGCCAGGCGAAAGACTACATCTTCGTTTCAGCCGACTACCGGCTCTGTCACCCAACCACTGCCCTCGATCAAATTGAGGATGCCAAAGCTCTATTCAAGTTTGTTGCTGGGGAAACTTTTAATGACGATCTGCCTGTCTCTATCACCCTTGATACCACCCGTATCGCTGTCACTGGATTCTCAGCGGGCGCCTATTCTGCTCGTGCCGCATGCATCTACGCTGAACCGAAACCCGCCGTCCTTCTGACAGGCTACGGACTTGGAGGTAACTTGCTCCTGGATCACTGGACTTCCGCCCGACCGCCGACATCCATTGCTGGGCTGGTCAATCTAGATGAAGTCCCGGCGTTACTGGCCGACAAAACTATCGTCAGTGATGATACGCCGGCGAATGGCCTCATGTCAAATCGCTTTGCTCTCACAGTGCGCTGGGAGCTTGACGGTACTATACTAGATGGCATCTTTGGAAAGCCTGGACTGGGCGCGATGTTCAATTCCGTGGACTATGCTCAACGAGCTAGCATGATTCCTCCCGATCTTAAGCCAGGGTTCTTATCGTCTTTTGTCACGAAAGATTATCCTCCATCTGTTTTCGTGCACGGCACGACTGATGAGGTTGTGCTAGACCGGGAGAGCATTGACCACCATGAGCAGCTTAAGAAGCTGGGCGTAAAGACGGAGCTACTGCTTGTAAAGAACGGATCACACGGACTGATGGACCTGACCTCTGGCCCCCCGTTCGAGCTTTCTAGAGCCGGGGTAGAGGCATATGCCAAGGCGTTGGACTTTGTAGATGAAGTGTTCAGCGCGGTCTAAGCACTATGATCTTCTTCTGGTCGGACCCCCTTGACCCCTTGTCAAGTCAGTGTCAATATCAGCCACGGCCATAACACATGAATAGGTACATAAGTCCAAAGTACACCTCAGATTGTTATGAATACCGAGGAGGAATTGTTCTTGGCAATCATATTGAACATTCGATTCCAGCTCTTGTAAGTCTTCTGTAGTCTGCCTAGCTTCACGCCTCTCGCAGTGTATAAATTTAAATATCTTACAGCGCGGGCAAGTGCTATGACGAACAACTCTAAATTAAAATTAATCTTTCGGAATTGACCATCCAAGGGTTTTAAATCACTATAGACAGAAATGAACTTTAAGTAAGATCGATACGTTAACAGATTCCCTCGAAATGATAGTACCTTTGAGCTTTTGGCTATACTTATTAAATGACGTATCTCACTTGTGCTAGCCTTCAATTCCACGTCCTCATAGGTGATCCCTTCATCCTCCTGATGCTGGTCTCTGGAGCACGTCTCTTTTCGGGAGGCCCTGCAGGTGTTGCTATTAGCAAGCCACGGATCTATACAGTTCTGGTAGAACTATTGCCCACGGAGATGTGCAGATCAGGGTTATGCAAACAAGTAGTAAGAGGCGCCCTTAATGGGCTAATTTCTACGATATTCATTATGCGATGCCAAGAAGCTGATCATCATATCCATTCAGGTGGCTTAGACAAAGGCTAGCGGAAGGCCTCGGGTTTACAGCAATGTTCGAAATCAGCTTTACTTCACTCTCTCGCACTGTTTCCCAAAGCCCCACCTAAAGCAAACTAGTCCATATAGGATGCAGGCCCGCCGATATGTCCTCTACCAATATATCTTTACGATTCATGGTAAATTACGTTACAGTAGAACTCGAAAGTGGATTACCCCTTGGACACTCACGCTTTGTTTCTCAGCCCGTATCCGAAACCGCCCTAACGCATGTCTGCATACTCTATAAACAACCTTTGTTTAGTCGAACCTTTTTTTAATTTTATCGTATTCGATTTCATCATCCAATACTGTAAATGTCCACAATATCTGGTAGACTCTTCTAGGCAGAGTTCTCCAGAAAGCCCTTTGACTGAAAATTGCCCGCCACCGTCATGTGAGATCCGATGACACTGTCATCGTCGCATCAACAAACGATCACACCAAACACATGCTGATACAGCAATTCGACAATGTCACCATTATTTGGACAACTGAAAGCAGCTTCTGATATAAAATGCTATATTCTGAAAGTGTCGCGTCTATAACCTCTCTCCGTGCAAAAACAGGATAAAAACAAAGGATACTCTCCATATTTAGCAACATAAAGGTCTTTGACAAACGCGCAAATGTTCATGTCCACTTACCGAAAACTTCTCCAACGGATCACGGGCAATATCCCGCTTGACCAATATCACCAATCCAGGAGTAATGCACGACGTCAACAATCCTCCGAAGACTAGAGGATTTGAGCAATAGCCTTGTCATATCGGCTAGCCAAGCCAAATGAGTTCTTGTTGATTGACGATTGATACTGTATAGCTTATCCAGCTCCATGCGTTTCTTCGCCCATTGAGGGCCATCATCTCCTAGTGATCCATACGGCTGCAAAGCCTTGACCAACATATCATACTGCTCTTCAAGTCCATGGTAGCTGCATTTTTGTACTTCAGTGCTTTTACGAGTTTCGTGGTATAACTCATATAGTTTATGATGAGAAGCCATGACAGTCCAGTTGCAAAAAGCCATTGTCACCATGGCAAGTAGCTGCTTGGTCTCAATGAGCTGTCTCACGAAAATTAAGCAATCGAGAATTTGCATCACATCTTCAGTTTTAATTTTTGAAAAAGGCGATATACCGTCACAAGTACAATGAACACGAGGATCATATCGTTCGGATAGGAGGTTTGTTTCTTCACATGAAGGTGGAAGCCGTCCACCAAGAGTTATCTCCCCTTTCATGAATCGTCGCCGAAATGATGATACCACATAGGACAGGCATTTCATATCTAAAAGTTGGCTTTGGTTCGAAACATGAAAGAGATTTGATATTTCGTCAAGACTCAAGGTGGGTGATGTTTCATTTGTCTCCTTCAAAGGTGTTCGGACCCAGGTATGCGACCAAGCAAGATAAACCTGCAACAGGGTGCTTTGTGGAGTATGTGAGACTGTCATCATGCCATAAATTTTGTTTATTTGTAAAAAATGGGAAATATGGATAGAGAGAAAATTGGAGTATTGGTCTTGCGCGTCATTCGTGGTATTTACATTAGCACGCAATTGACTGGATCCATTGCTCCTAAAATGACGTCAGGAAACATAGTTTGTAGAGATATCGTAAACAGGGACAAGCGGACAGCAATCAAAGGCAGTTTGTGGTCTCAAAGTGGCTGCTTAGCGGCTATCTTTTTCCAATAACGTATTCGCGTGTTCGATAAGCAAGCTAGACCGAACCTAAAATCGAGTTGCCCACGCATTTCTGACTATATTCCTGTGGGAAAATTCCAACTTTTAAGAAGTGAGAATTTTCCGGAATTTTATCGATGGCAAAAATGAAGTAGATAGCCTAAATCTCATTACAGATCGGATCCGATTGTTCGGTGACTAAATCTCGTTCTGTTCACATAACGCCATAGATCTAGGATACTCCTATAGTCTCGTGAGTCTAGTATACAGCCGTCAATAGAAAAATCATGATTGCTTTGCGATGTCGTCCAGAGGTGCACTAAGTAGGGAGATATTCGAACGGCTGGAAAGCGAGCAGCCACAATCGTGACTAATGTTGGTGTAGGTACTGGCTCTTGTTAGCTTCCGAATAAGCTAGATGCCATACGGGCTAGACTACTTCGGTACGCAAGCTTATTACATCACTTTCTCACGATAACTACACAACGTGACTGAAATTTAACCTTACTTATCAAAGGTACATTGGTAGATGCGATATAGGGGAATTCTATCCCAATATGGACTAGTGCTCTTTAAATGGGGCTCTGGGAGGCAGTGCGAGAGAGTGTTCAGGTAAAGCTGATTTCGAACATTACTGTACCCCAGCACGGTTCCTTTCCGGCTCCGTGAAGTCGAACTTCTTGAGCTTCGATTTTCTTCATTTTAAGTGACTTGAGTTTGGCATCATGCCGTCTTGCATTTCTTACCTAATGAGTAGTATAGTCAAGTCAAAGAGTTGTTCGCTTCCATGGGGATATAGTGGCCTAGACTCGGTGAGGAATCCGATCCTCGGCCCTGATTCATGGCTCAGCCACACCCGGGCAGCCGTAAATATCTACCTAGGCATCTGTATCTACCTAGGTGAGTACACTGCACTCGCATATCTTTATTTTCAAGTGTTGGCATAGACTACAGGAAATATTCCGGCCCACGATTTTACTATGGATTCTCCACCTTCCACGCATTCTCGTGCCTTGGGCGCTATTTGGGGAACGTGTGTTGCCGATGCCCTCGGCGGTCCTGTTCAGTTTAAATGACCAGGTACCTTCGTCCGCATTAAAGATCTAGAGTTTGTGCGGCCTCTTGGACAACCGGCAGGGTGGGTTTTGTGACCAGACACTGATGATTCTAGTACTAACTTTCGTAGAGTTTATTCGGATGATGGATCCATGACACTGGCACTCGCACAGTCGTTCATCGACTCTAAAGGAGAGTACAACCACGCGATGTCGATTAAATATTTTGTGGAATGGCACTCGGAAGGTCGCTTCAGCACAATAGACAGCGCATGGGACGAGGGCATTTCAACTAGTATCGCATTATCAACATAGGAGAAATGTAGCCTGGATCGAATCGAAGAGACTCAACGAGAGATCAACAAGACGCTTGATAAAGAGTCGCGTTCGGGCAACGGAAGCTTGATGAGGATTGCGCCTATCGGGGCTCGGCTTTGGAGGGATCCTGCCGTCGCCGTCGATGCAGCAAGAGACAACAGCCGGACAACTCACCCAGCCAGTGCTTGTATCGAGGCCTGTCAAGCTTTTACGGAGATGATCTGTGTTTTGATGAGTGGTAAGTCCAACCTTGATCTTTCTTCCGAACGAGTGCCTTTTCAGTATCTGATGTCATCCTAGGGCAAAATAAGGCGAGCGCGCTGCAGAAGCTTGTGGCATTCCAATTTACACATCCCGCGCTCAAGGAGAAATTCACTCGCTCAAGGGCTTTGAATTTGAGGAACAAAGACAACTCCAAGATCGTTAGCAGTGGTTGGGTGGTGCATACCCTTGAAGCTGCTCTGTGGGGGTTCTTCGCATATGACACCTGGGAAGAAGGGGCTCTCGCCGTAGTGAATCTGGGAGAGGACTCTGATACGGTTGGGGCAGTGTACGGTGCTTTGGCTGGTGTTTACTACGGCTACGAGGCCATTCCGGAGCGGTGGGTCTCTCGGATGCAGAATGCAGAGCCCATTAAGGACATTGCGACGAATTTTGCTACTGTGGTCTCTCAAGCAAGCGAGAAGTGAACTTATTATTTCTTCATTCTTAGTCAATCTTTGTCAAGCATTTCCCCTATTTCTCAGTATGAAATCCGTGAAGTCGTGTCCTTCTCGAGTAACCAAGGTCAAATATGATATGCAGGTTGCTCGGAAAGAGCTTTTTCAGAAGCTATGTTCAGTTAGGTAAACAGGACAGCCCATTGGGGTTAGCCTCAATATAACTAGGCTTGTTTTCGGTGAAAATCCATCCGACCTAGGGCGAAAAAGGGTGGTTTTAGGCCGAAATTATATCGAGAAAACGGCGCCGAGCTAGTTATTTACACCGCTCCACTAGTGCTAGTGGCCCCGGCAGGGATATTATCTAAAGGTCATGAAAATTAGGTCAGAGATGCCGAGCATCACTACTAGGGATGAGCGTATGCAAGATCAAGCTTAAAAACAAGCGCAGGAACTCGACACCTGCAAGGTCATGACATGCGTAGCACAGATCTCCTATGCATAGCGCGTAAGGCCCTGACATGCTGACCGCCAGTCCCCGAGAGCTTCGATAGGGAGGCTTTTCCAGCGAATAAATTTCAAAATCCAATCGGAGTAGACCTAATCCAGGAATTAAAAACGAACTAACTAGATATCCCGGACGCGGACGCGGGCGCGGAGGAGAAGACCTCACCTCCCGTTCTCGGCGAGATCGACGGGGAAACGCAGGTTTGGCGGGGTCTTATTTACCGCCAACACAGACCCCCCACTTCAACCTCTTGCATCTCCCACAAGCTTCTTATATTCTCCCACCTTCTCTTCTCTCCTCCTTTCTCCTCACACTACCCCCTTTTCACCCTCACACAAGCACTATGGGCCAGCACTCGGCGATTTGGCAAGGTACGTCCCCCGTCTGACCGCATCCGTCTATAATTGTGGTCCCCTCACTAACGATGACTCTTCTCAGGCTATGTCGACTCTAGGTACATTTGATTCCCTTCCGATCGGCAATTCTCGTTTTTGTCTTCTTTCCGGAAAGAAGCTCCGATCATGACTATCGCCACGTGCTGACATCCACTCTCCAGCCTGATGGGTTCGGGTCAATTCGACAAGGCCGGTATCTTGGCTGCCGACTTCTCCGGCCTCGAGGCCCAGTCCCCTGGATTCACCGTACGAAACTAGCCCTACACATCTATTCCGTGCTCACGGCGAGGTAGATGAAGCCGTGACACCCGCTAACACGTACCTCCTATTGCAGATGAACCAGGAGGATATCAACACCCTGGCCGCGGCCTTCACTGACCCCGACTCCGCCTTTGCCAACGGCTTCTCCGTCGGTGGTGAGAAGTTCGTCTGCATCAAGGCCGATGCGCGCAGTCTGTACGGCAAGAAGGTACGCCACCGCAATACAAGAACGAAGCTCAGGGAAACGATTGGAGGCAAGACAGCAACTGACTCGGCATATACAGGGCAAGGAGGGCGCTATCATCTCCCGCGCTTCCGCATGCACCATCATTGCCCACCACGGCGAGAACGTCCAGACCACCAACGCCGCCACCGTTGTGGAGAACCTGGTCGACTACATCAACAACCCCCAATAAGCGGGTAACTTGATTTTACAGATGCAGATGATGCTATGAACAGGCTGTGAAGAATATGAAATAAAGGAGCATTGAAATTATACTCGTTACAGTTGCTTAACAATTAGCACACACTTTACCACAAGACGTGACGCACCACGAACGTGGGTCGGCTTTGCCTCATCTTGACCATCCTCCTGAGTAGATGTATTAAGTCTTTCATACCGAAGTACGTATATACTCGGAATCCTCGTGTTTAAAGGATATGCTTCTATGCTCTATTGTATACGTCAAGTACAGACGTTCCAGCCCACACACATCGTGTCACTTCGCTGAAGAAAGAGGTCATTAATAATTACATCAAGGTCCTAAGGCCGTAGAAAAATATCGTGGCAGCCGGCCGCATTACGCGCAGGTAAAAACCAGGCAAAATTCCAAACAAGACGACTCGAGACCGAGACCGGAAATCGTAGAAATCAAATCAAAGCCATGGTAGATAGGCGCATCACTCATACCGGCAACTCGGCGTTGCTGCGACCACCAGCCAGTACCTCAAGGCCGCGCCTGATATAAGGTCCGACGACAGGGATGTTGCCTGCGAATTGACCAATGGTGACCAGGAAATCGCCGAAGAGGATGAACAGGCCGTACAGCTCGATCAGGAAGCCCGTCAGCGGCCAGCGGAATAGGATGAGGAGAATTCCGACGGTGAATGCGGCGGTGCCCTTGAGTTTCTGGGGACGAGTGAAGAAGACCATGGTCTTTTGGACGCCAATAATAAGGGTGAGGCCGATCAGGAAGAGTATCTAGAAATGTTAGTTTGCAATTTCAGAAGGGGGTCACGCGCGCGTACGTTGCCCATAGCGAGTCTATAGTCCAGTTGTCAGTATCCATTGATCGCAGAGGTTTTATTTCGAAGGAAAGCGACGTACAATGACCGGTCAAAGAACATAATGACACCACCGACCAGGAACAGGCCACCTAATCACCCAGAAGGCTGTATTAGTATTCCGTTGTGGGAGGCGAGAGCAATCGTAGATCATCAGTCCATACCTGCAGAGCAGAAGACTACACCGATCTCTATCCAAAACGTCAGTCAAGGTCCCAACAAGTCACGCAAGCATTGCGCCTCGTAGCATGCGACACAGTCGCCACACTCGTAGAATGAAACACTTACTCTGGTTCTCCGTCAACCACATGCTAGGCATTTTGAAATCACACAACAGACAAGAGAAGAGAGAAACAGTCAAGAGAAAAGAGAAGTTAAGTTGGCCAGAAACAGAAGAGCCGGGCGCAGTCGCCGTAAACAGAAAATCGGATTCTGCCAGCCACACGGAGGCGGTGAGGATGGTGCTTTAAGCCGCGCCGAGCGGTCGAGGGGTTTTCGCTTCTGCACATTTGGTGCAAATCATCAATGTTTTGACTACGCGGGTTATGAGGCTGGAAGGTGTCAATGTGATTGTTCTCATTAACCTGGGAGCTCAGCGTGATGAAGCTGGACTATCTATCCCTATTTTTGTCAGGATTGGGCTGCTGCCACTGACGGGTGTCTACACGCATTGCACCATTTCCTTCCCATTATTACCTCCCGAATTCAATCATCACAACACGCCGCGACGACAGCACCTTCGGGGTGCTGTAACTGATGCTCCCTCCCGTGGAGCTTCGGTAATAGTCGAGTGCCTAGCACGAGGCGAAGAACAGACACAATGGTCACGAATAAGCCGGAGCGCTTTCTTGAGCCTGTCTCGAAAGGGGCATGGTGGGGTGGAAAGGGCTTGACTGTGTTGGCCGGACATATACATCGTAGTGAATGTCTAGAAATACAATAGTTGCCCATTAGCGAAATGGAATATCAAATGGAAGATTATTCTGCGGTCGTACTTTTGGGATGGGTATCATTGCATTAATCTCAAGTAAAAAGTAAAGTTGCCATAGGAGGCTCCTTTATTTCAGGATTGTGTGCGCTCCGCGTGCTTCGAGGTAGGTCTCTGGCACGCCCTGGGCTAGGGTGCGGATGACGCTGAAGATCTCCTTGTTGTGGTATCGCAGCCGAGTCTTCGGGTCGGTGTAGGGGCCCGAGAGACCAGTGAGATCACAGTAGTTGCGGTGATAGGATGGATTGAGCGAAGGCGCAGACTCAATGTTGGTGTAGGTGACCGTCGGACCGGAAGGGAACGTGGCGCGGGCGTTCTTCTCCAGGACCATTGTGGACAGATTCTGAGTGGCCTGTGCCAGGTTGGGGGCTTTACCGGCTCTCTCAGCAGGAGTCTGGGATCCATCTGTTGTCACGGCGCCAGAGGTTGCCGGATAGGGTGTGGTTGCGCCGGAGTTGGCCTGGGTAGCCATGACGGAGGCTTGGTTTCGCGATGTCTCGGAGACGATCTGCTTGACGTTCTTGTTGCGGCGCTGCGAGGGTCTCCAGTTTGAATTGCGGAATGGCTTGGGGGCATTGGCAATGTCCATCTGATTAAGGAGAAGCTGGTGCGACTCGTCGTTGGCGGGAGTTGCGGGAGGCATGGCGTGCGTATAAAGGGCGTATGTTCAGCTAGATGATGGTTGTAGGCGGAGGGTGAGGGGCGCAATTATCAGGCATATATCTTAGCGAGAGAAGTGTGACGTTCCCGTAGGATGGTATAGTTAAATGGATTGCAGAGGGTTGCTGGACGTGAGGACGGAATACGACGACCGTGGTTTGGTCTGTATAGAGTCACGTGAGTGCGGAGACCAAACAAAGCGTCAGGTTCGACTCAACGCGCTCGTCATTGTCATCACTGCCTTTCACCATGGTAAGTCTAGCCAAAGAATCAATTGACACCGGGGTGCTTCAAGCTTACCGTCTTCCAGGAGAGCCCTCATGAACACCAGCAGTCGGTGCTATTGTCCCGCATTATCACCAATGTGGTATGTCTTAACTAGACCAGATCTAAGGCTACGATGAACGATCTGACCAACTTCCGGTGCAGGAAAAACTCAATGAAGCTGTTATGGCCATGAACAAAAGCCTCCAGGTATCAACAGAGCCGTGACCTGTTGTGGCATACGTTTCTAACATTCTAACAGGAGGTCAACATCCAAAATATGAACGTCGAGCTGGTGGCGCAGATGTTCAAGAACTACCAGTCGAATGTCCTTTTCCACTTGGAAGGTATCTAACTTTCCCTACTAAAAATCATACCCTGGGCATCGTACTAAGACGTCTCTAGCCACGGAGAACCTGAAGGAGCCCGCACAGGGCGAACAGTCCTGATGAAAATTTATGATCAATGAGGAAATGCCTGGATTAGATACCAATTGAATAGTTTCTGCTTGTTTTCGCAAATCTCTCCGTAAAAATATGAGCTCGTCCGTAGGCGCATCGTTGATAAAGCGCGGTGAATCGCGGCGTATCGCAACTGCGGCTTGGCGCAACCAAACCTCCAACTCCCAACTTCCACACCTCCGGGAGTTTGGGACCGCTCATTCGACACACACAGCTGATTCCGTTTGACCGTTTATACGATTAAATACCGCCTCTCTTATATAATCCTGCTCCGCCCTGCATGCAGTAAACGCCAACGCACCTTGGACCTGATCCCCGATTCTCAAAGCTCCTGGTTTCGCACCGGCGCAGGCCACCATGACCATTTCCTCGGTGCAAACCCTCCTACCGGGGCGGTATGCGATCAATGCAAATGAAAAGCGTGCCGAGAAACCTCCCCCCAAGACATACAGCGTTCAAGAGTTTCCTTTCAAGGGCTACCAACCTCCGCAGCCGGATGGCTTTGAGCAGAGCCGTGCCCACCCCGACACCAGCGCCATCGTCATTGACAATGGTAAGCCCCTCTATACTCGTGTTCACTGATTTTATATTGATCACTACTTATATAGGCTCCCACCACGTCAAGGCCGGCTGGTCTTTCGACAAGGCCCCAAGATTCGTTCAGCCTCCCGTCATGAGCCGCTACCGCGATCGCAAGCTGGGTCGCCAGTGCCAGTTTATCGGGTATGATGCCTACGCCGATGCGACAACCCGAGGCCAGATCCGCTACGGTTTCGATCCGGGCTCCAGCGTTGTCGGCAACTGGGATGTGATGGAAGGTGTTCTAGACTATGTGTTCCTGAAGCTGGGAGTGGATGGAGCCAATGGCGGTGTTGACCGGCCAATCTTGATGACTGAGCCTGTTGCGAACATGGCATACCCAAGAAAGTGTAAGTTAGCTTGCATGTGTACGCTGAAAGGTGCTGACAAGTCCCAGGCATGAACGAGATCCTCTTCGAGTGCTACGGTGCACCTTCCGTCGCCTACGGTATTGACTCGCTTTTCGCCTACCGTTATAACAAGGGAACTGACGGATTGATTGTGTCGTCCTCGCACACCTCTACACATGTCATCCCCGTGCTCAACTCAAAGCCGCTTCTCTCCAACTGCTCGCGACTGAACTGGGGCGGCCTCAACAATGCCGAGTATTTGATGAAGCTGTTAAAGTTGAAATACCCTACATTCCCCGCGCGCTTGACCGACTATCAAATGGAACAACTGGTGCACCAGCACTGCTACATCTCACAAGACTACGACCGCGAGCTGAGTGGATACCTCGATTGGACCGGACTCGAAGACCGAGACCATGTCATCCAATATCCCTACACGGAGCACATTGTGCAAGAAAAGACGGAAGAGGAGCTGGCCCGGATTGCAGAGCGCAAGAAGGAGAGCGGTCGTCGTCTACAAGAACAAGCGGCCAAGATGCGACTCGAAAAGCTGGTCAAGAAGGAGCAGGAACTTGAATATTGGAAGGATTTGCAAAACCGCCTCGCGTCTGAGACTAAAAAGGAAATTCGCCGAGTACTGGAGTCAGAAGATCTTAAGGATGAGGTTCATCTGGAGCGCATGATTCGCGATCTAGAAAAGTCCATCAAGCGTTCGCGCAACAAGGACCTCGGTATTGAGGAAAATGACGAGCAGCAAGAGGAGATGACATTCCCAATGCTTGATATTCCCGATGAGGAACTCGATGAGGCTGGTCTGAAAGAGAAGCGCCACCAGCGTCTGATGAAGTCCAATGTCGAGGCGCGAGCCCGTGCCAAGGCTGAGAAGGAGCGTGAGAAGGCCCGGGTGGAAGAGGAAGAACGTCTTGATCGCGAAAAGCGTGAGAACAATTTCGAGGAGTGGATTGAAGAGCGGCGCACCAATCGTCAGGTACGTTTCTCAGAGCACTGGTCTCCCTTTTTGTCTAACAATAGCCTAGTCTCTTCTCCAAAGAATCAAGGACCGGGACCGTTTCAAGGCCGACCTTGGCAACCGCAAGTCCCTCGCCAGCCAGATGCGTATGAAGACGTTGGCCAACCTCGCCTCCGACGGTCCCAAGAAGCGCCGTCGCGGCGGAGATGACGACGACTTCGGTGCCAATGACGAGGACTGGGGGGTTTACCGAACCGTCGCCAAGGATGAACAAAGTGATGAGGAAGAAGAGGAAGACCTAGGCGGTATGCTCAACGGAGTCGAGCAAGAGCTGCTCGAGTACGATCCGGACTTTACCGAAAACCACACTCTGGCAGCACAGTCCGACTGGACTAAGAGTCTAGTGCACGCCTTCCTCCGTGGCCCGTGGCCATTTGACCCAGAGAGCCAGCGCGAAGCACACCAGATTCACCTGAATGTTGAGCGGATTCGCGTGCCGGAAGTCGTCTTCAAGCCGTCCATTGCTGGCGTTGACCAAGCTGGTCTGATTGAAATGGCAGCCGATATCATCAACCAACGCTTCTCGAGCAGCCAGGACCGCAACCGTCTCCTGAAGGACGTCTTCTTGACAGGCGGCAATACCCTCTTCCAAGGCTTCGAGGATCGTTTCCGCACCGAGCTCCGCGGTGTTCTCCCCATGGACGCAGATCTGATCGTGCGCCAGGCTACGGACCCCGTGTTCGATGCATGGAAGGGTGCTGCGCAGTGGGCTTCTGGGGGTGACCTTGGCCGGTCATCCGTGACGCGACAAGAGTACATGGAGAAGGGCAGCGAGTACATAAAGGTGAGTAATGAGTGGCATGTGATTTCTTGGGGCTCTACTAACATGTTCTACAGGAGCACGATCTGGGTAACGTTGCATGGTGAACGTGAAGTTGAACGTAGTTGAACGTGGAGTCCAAAACACCAGGCGCAATGGAGTCGAGTTGCACGGTCTATCGGTTTCTGGGGCGTATTCTTCTTTAATCTTAAGTCAATGTCAGTCTTGTCTAGTGCACTCCATTCTAAGTCCATTCAAGTATGGGATGGTGATCTCTCAATCTTGGTATAGCATACCTCCTCGGGCAATGGGGTAGTTCCCCGGACCTGGATGGTACCTGATAGCAAGGAGTCAACGTCTCATATGTTTCCTACCCTCCTTGCATGACACTTCAATCTTCAATCCCCTCCACGCGTAGATAATTACAACTTGACTGTGCAGAGTAAGACATTCACCGGTCAAGCCCAGCTTCATTCTTCATCCTTCATTTCTATTACTTCTGTTTGCCAAGGACGATCATCACCCCGCATGAACCAGCCCATCATGCAGCCATACATCTAACAATTGGACGGTCACAAAGCCTCGAAAACCCTGTCTTGAACCCGGACTGCACCGGAACTTGCCGTGTCATTCGTGGCATGAGCAAGAGTTGACGTTGTGTCACGCTGTGCTTGTCGATCATCCCTCTTGGGATGGACTCGCAGGTGGAGTCTATACAAAGTACGTCTACAACCGGAGATATCTCTATCGTATGGGAGGGAAATGATGACAAGTTAATATTCTTCATGGAACGAAAAATGTCTCACCTCGCAGAGCTTATTTCAAGTCGATATCGAAAGTAGGCTTCCAGGGAGTTGTACAGGTACTGAGTGGATCCCTGAAATCATCCAACTCAAGGCCAAGAATCCCAGGATTTTCCAAATCAAAGGCCACTGTCGATCACGGCTCACGGACCCCGGTGATCCTGTGCCGATCGACAAGTTCAGGTATTTGTTGTGATGGCATGAATTGATTTAAAGGTATCTAGCTAGTTAGCAGTATTCCTTGGTTAGCTCCCGGTGGGTGGTGTGATGTGGTGGAAGACAGATGATTGGCACTCGGCGATCATCCTATCATGCCGTCGTGGCAGTGGATCTGCATCCGCCGCGAGCCGAACGGTTCTTTTACTCTTACTCTATACAGCAATCTGCTCTCCTACGTGATCAAATATTCAGATAGTGAGAAGGACTCGTATAAGCATAATGTGACTTTAGAAACTGCACTCCCTTGCGCAAGAGCTCACCCACGCCTCGCACAGTGCAAAACACAAATCGTGCAACCCAACCCATGCATCGCATCAAAGTTAACAGGCCAGGACTATTCGTCTGGGCGAATAACGATCCCGTACCGAACCGATGGTTTGCGCTGATTCGCTAGAGCCACTGACTTCATGCGTTGAACATCATGACGCATCTGGGGAAACGGAAAAGTGGCAGCGCATTCTGACTTTCCCACTTGGTCCGGCCCTTGGACTTCGGCGACGCTAGTGGTGTATGGGTCTCATGGTTCTAACGTCCGGACGTGCTCTGTCTCTGGGAATATAAAGGTGGTTCCGTCGCGCGAGGATTGGATTCCTCATTCGAACATATCATTCCAATTCCAAAACATACTCCCGCATTTCGGTTGTGGCGAGCAATATCTACCATCTTCTGTATAGTTACACTTCATCGTCATGGCCTACTCAACAGCCATCTCTCGCCCTCTGCAGCTCGCAACTCGCACTCTACAGTGGATTAGTGCCGTAATTGTTATGGGTTTGACCTCATACTTCATTAGCGTGGGCCCTACCGGCCAGCACCTTATCTACCAGGAGGTCATTGTACGTACCACCTGGGCACATCCGGCCTTCAAACCCCGCGTCGTCCTATAGGGAAATATGAATCTAACGTTCAAGTCTAGGCCGTCCTCTCCGTCGTCTTCTTCCTCCCAGCATTCGTTTCCCCCTTCCTCCCAACAGCACTGAGCAAATTTGTCCTCGCAATCGACGTCATCTTCTCCTACCTGTACGTTCCATCTAGCCCCTCTGCCCAGTCCATCCAGTTCAGTCCAGTCCAGTCCAAAGCAAAGCAAAGCAAAATGAATCCAACTAACAACCATATTTACAGCTGGCTAACCGCCTTCATCTTCGCGGCCCAAGACTACAACTGGCACCTGTGCTACTTCCACTCCCCGGCCGGTATTCCTTGCGGCCGGAAGTACGCCAACGAAGCATTTATGTTCCTAGCCTTGTACGTTTCACAAGCCATGCCTAGATTCACACATCGATCGGTAGACTGACACCTTTGGAACTCAGCTTCTTCACATTCTGCGGTGTATTCCTCGAAGTCGCCGCCCTCTGGGCGTATCGTAAGGGGAACCGCTCGGTGGCGCCCATCCACGAGAAGAACGGCGCACCTGGTACTCGTGCGCCGCTTGATGCGCCCGCTGAGACTACTGCTCCGGCCGGAACTGTCTAGGTAATCATTTCAAATTTCAGTGCTACGTCAAGACAGATTATCTAGTATCGGTTCATCGAAAGTGACCAGAGTCGATCTTGTCTGTCTGATGAATGACTGCATAGTTCCTGTTAGGATACGATTGCGACGAGGCGATTGCATATACGGTAATACGGGGATGGTAGAGAGGAGGGTATTCTTTTTTGCGCTGAGCACTATTTTCAATGGTCAATAATACAATGACACGTTATAATGTGGCTATATATCCGATTGTACTATCGTGGAGACTGTGTAGCGCCGAGTATGGGGGAAAGGAAAACGACCTTCTTCACGACGTCTGTAGATGGAGTTGGATGTGAATGATAATTAAGGTGCTGTTAAAGTGTAACAAGTTCTTAGAACTTCCAAAGTTGAGTGATGAATCCTTGTTCTATAAGTGGACTCGTGTCCGGGTCTCTTGGCAGGACTCCGCCATGCTCGGTCTACAATCTGCACTCCAAGATTTGTAGAAGTCACTTCATCCATATCATATTGATATCATCAAGAATGATACATTTAGAACGATCTATCCATATCTATCCACCGAGCAAGATAAGAAACAAACAAACCACCGCATGCAAAAGGGTGTATCTCATGCAAAGAGAGGAAAGAAGAAAAGCACAATGCAACACCTAAAACAAACCACCTCGTATACAGGCAGAGCAAGAAAACTGTATCTAAATACTAGCTCGTCTCGGAGCCATCGTGCGCTGCAATTTCCGCTTCTCCTCCGTCTCCTCTGGAATCGGAAGCGATCCCTCATCCTTTAACTTATCCAGAAACTCCCGACCATAGGCATAGCCCACTTGGTAGATCTCATCGAACTTTCCAAAGTCCAGTGTTCCGTATGGATCGATAGGCGGACGCATATAAAGACATCCGGCTGTATTCTTCGCGCGCTCGAGGTTGTCAATGGAAGAAACGTATGCCAATCTCGCTTGGATCTCGGAGAGGGTAGGCGGGTTGGGGAGGGAGGAGAATGGGTTCCAGCGATTAAAAACGGACCAGAATCCAGAGAGCGAATCGCCGTAGCCCTGGGGCGTGTTATCGTCTATGGACCCCACGTCCACGGCGAAGATGACATCTGCGCCGAGACTCTTCATGTGAGCCACGGTTAGGTTGTCGATGTATCCACCGTCCAGGAGCATGCTTCCCTCATCGCAGATCGGGGGGATGAGACCAGCCAGGGTCATGGACGCACGGACATACCGCCAGACATAGCCGGAAGAATGGAACTCCGCTCGTGAGCGACTGATATTAGTCGTATTGCAGTAGAACTCAAGCCAGAAGTCTTCGATCTGGCTATCGCCAAATGTCTTGAAAATACCACGGTTGAACTCGTGGCCCGTTGTGTAGGAGACGGTTGGATACGTCAGGTCCAGTGCGAAGCGCCACATACTACCCATACGACCGGAGAATTTCTTCGCGCGGCCATACATGGGGACGACGTCTGCGTCGCGGGCGTATAAGGCACCAATGAAGGAGCCAATGGATGTACCTCCAATAATGTCGATTGGGATTCCGGCTTCTTCGAGGGCTTTGATCACACCTACTTGGGAAATTCCTCTAGCTCCACCGCCGCCTAGGACGAGACCGACGGATTTGCCGCACAGGCGTCGAGCAAGGCGGTGGAAGTCGCCCTTGAATGGGGTTTGTGCGGAGTAAAGAGGTGTTTCTTGGATGCGCCGGGAGGTATACTTCTGGATCTCGGCTTGCAGGATTTGAACACGCTGTTTCAAAACTGTACCGAATTTCTTTGTCTGAGGGTGGGATGGTTCAGAGGTTAGGCGGAAGGCCATTTGGATGTGGTGGTGTCCACCATTGATCCATACTCGGTTCTTCAACCAGCGGCGGGTTAGGCCGGGCGGGCAGTAGCGCTCGGAATGCAATAACACTAGTTCCTTGCGGGCGGTGGTCTTCATGCCGAGAAGGAAACGTTCATATTCACCAATCCGTGGAGAAGCTTCAGCGAGGCCAACCAGCAGAATGGAGTCAGCTTGTGCAATGCAAGTCTGCGTCCAGGGTGAATTGACATTTGTATCGGCGATGTACAAGACAAGACCGTACTTCTCCTCGAGGTCAGCCAGATACTGAGACAACTTGAGCTTGCCCATCTTGGTGAACGCATGTCGGCCTAGGTGGTTCAGAATTGCGGCTTGATTGAGGGATGTAACGCCTCGGTTCACGCCAACTTGGTGCAACGCATCCAGCAGGCGATGTCCAAATTCAACCACAGGAACGCCTGCAGTAACCGGGACAATTGCAACGGTGCGAAGGTTAACGGTGGATGTTGCAGTCTGAACGCCACCGACAGTTCCCTGTTCAACGCCCTTCTCAGACAAGGGATGCTCCACCAAGTCGCGCATACGCTGGGCAATGAGCTTTGAAACTTGAATGGTGATTCCCGGGTGCTCTTGCGCAAGACTATTGAACAACGAGCGGGGAAATTTGGCCAATTCGGTATCACGAATGGCATGAAGGGTAGCAGGGCGAGTAGACTCAGTCATAACCTCAAGCTCGCCGACACTTTCGCCCTGACCGTATTCGCTGATGACAGTCATCTTTCCATTTTGACCCTCTAAAACAGATCTCAAACGACCATTTAGAACAAGATAGATCGCATCACTTTCGTCTCCTTGGTGGTAGATCACCTGGCCTGCACTGACCTGCACCCACTCGAGAGCAAAGTCAATGTGAAGTAGCAGGCGCGGAAGCAGGCTAGTCAATCGCTTGCCCAGGGTCAATAAGGCAATAGGGTAGCGATCAGCAATACGCTCGAGAGAAGCACGCGGAAGGAATCCCACGTAGACATCCGTCTTCGCAACGACGTCCGTATAGGAACGATAAGAAGCAAGACCGCCAACATATCCCTGAATACCACCGGGTTTGATTAAATACAGAGACTTGCGGGACTGGGACTTGCGGCGAGAATCACTCGTACCATTCACGCCTAAAGTGCGAGAAGATCCAGTTGTCGTGCGCCTGAGCTTGGGGAAAAGCTCTTCCTGTGCCGAGCCGGACGGGCGAGATGTGCCGACGAGATCATCCCCACGATTGTTGATCGGAATGCCTACGTCCAGGAAACCATCGATCACGTAGTATAGACCAGGGTGGCGCTCACCCTGCTCGACAAGAACAGAGCCCTGAGGGAAGTATACCACCTCAATATCATAGCGTAGCTCTTCACGGAGGTTGACGACCGGGGACGTGCCACCGGCACTGGTCACGGACATAGACGACATAGACTCGGTTTCGATATCGCCGGAACCCTCGTACGGGTCAATGAAACCGAATGCATTGGAGAAGACGGCCTTCTGTCGACGTGAATCGTAGGAAAGTAACCTCGGGGAGGCGTCGCCAGACACATGGCTACCCTTCCGCAGAGTTTCATTGGTACTTTCGGTCAACCCGATGCCTTTCATGATACAATCCAGGATGGAATCACGGAAGAGAGTGTCTTCATCCACGGACGAATCCTTCCGCTGGAACGGGGAGGGCCGGCTAGCCATCATGTGAGAGGTTCGGAATAGAGGACGTTCACGCTCAGTCAAAGGACTTGTAAGCTGCGGTCCGAGATGATCATGGCGTGGTCCGAATCGGGAGAGCTGAATGGTAGACAGCAAGTCACCGGGACTAACTCCGCTGGTGTCACGGTCATTAAAGTTACTTGGTTGTCGTTGGGGCATGGGCGTAAGGCCAACAGGCCGGCTTTCGCCGGCCAGACGAGCTTGGAGAACAGCATCTTTCTTGAGAGAGCTGCTCGAGCGTCGCCGACCAGCCGATGGGTTGTGGAGCGCAATACCCTTGCAAACATCCTCGGGACCCAGGCGGTCTCGCTCTCGCATAAATTTATCCTTGAGACGATCGAGAGCACTTCCACGAAGGTCATTTGGCAGATCCCAGCTGGTGAACTTGGTCATCTGTTTCTCGATGCCAAGAACGTCCGTGGTCAATCCGAGGTAAGAGTGGGCGGTTGCAAATGTTACTCTTTGAAGGCGCGTCAAGATGACCTGTACAATATGGGCCGTCGCGCGTGGGTAAACCCGTGTCAGACGGCGGAAAGCACTGGCAGGAATGATAGCAATAGTAGTGTCCACCGTTGCGCGGGCGACAATGTCTGGGTGAACTGACTTTCTACGTCTCTTGTGTTGTCGGGGCTCGGGCTGCGGAGGGCGCTGGGGCATGCTGTGGCTTTCTCCAAGATGCAAAGGAGGGACGAAGGGTAGAGAGCCGGGTTGGCCATTATTAGGCGTCGGTGAGCCAAAGTCTCTCGCAGCGTTCAAAGGGCTATCAATTACCCCGACACTAGGACTGACCGGTAAAGAATCGACAACTTGGGCGATGCTCGGCTCCACGCTCGAGGTGCTGGAGCTAGAGCTCCGTGACGTGCGGAGTTGAATGTCTTCGGTGAACAGCGACAGGATAGAGAACAGGGACGACATGGACGCGCCATTCTTCACCTCTGTCAACAGCTGATAACCCTGTCGACCATGCAATGGGTCACCCTCTTCTTCAGAGGTGACTTCGTCCAAGTGGAGGTCCTCCTCCGACACTGTCTTTCCCTCTCGCGTTGACTTCACGAAGATCTGAACCAGACCGTCCACCACTAGGCAGAAGCCCTTTTCTTCTTCCAACATGAGTGTTTCGCCGGCAATCAGCTTTCTCGTCTGCATTGTCCGTGTCAACTCGTGGAAGACTGGCCGTTCGAGATATCCGAACACCTTGATGGCGCTGAGAAACTCATCGAGATAGTTGGCCAGTCCGGACTTGACGTCGCCTTCTTGTATATCGGGGAAGAGATCGATTTGCGCTTCTTTGCGTTGGGGCTCCGGAGGTAACCGGCTGTACATGTTCAAGAAGCGGTATCGGATGAACCAGCTGACGGTCGAGACCACGGCGAGAACGATCAACATGCTAGAAACGAAGCCATTGGTCAGCTATTAGCGACCCTGGCATCAATGAGAAAGACGTACAGGGTGGTGAAATTCATGGTGAACGTCAAGCTCATCGAGAAGAGCGTAAAAAGCCATGTAGGCAAGGTGAGAGTGGTGAAAGTAATAAGCCAGTACAGGCTGCGGGGAACGACCTGGAAGACGAAGGTCAAGACCCAACCAATCCAACCCGCCATCGTTGAAGGAGTCGGAGGGAGGAAGGGCGGGGAGGAGGTAGCAGACGCGGGTAAAGCGGTTGTCAAGCTAGAGGATGAAGTTGCAGCCGTTAGGCTGAGGGCGAGTGATGGAGCTAATCCGTTCGCCATGGTTGGAGGGGGGCACCTGTAGGGGCATGTAGGGGCTCCGCTTTCCTGACCTTGTTTTGGGCCAGGTCCCGTCAAAGTCCCGTCAAGTTCCCGTTAATGCGAAGTTAATCCCGACCATTTGGGCCAACTTAGGCGCAGCATCGGAAACGTGCGGGCCCTGTCATCGGTGGATGGAGGAGATGGAATGAGGGGAGAGGTTAGACCGCCCAGGGATCAGTCCCGAGGCGGTGCAGATCACACCTGGGCATACATATGCAGATACGTAGTAATTTAGAGGAAAGCTAACCGCGGAATACCTAGGTAAGCCATTGAATGATCCTAGGAAAGTTTTGAGTAGTGGAACGTGCTCTAAGCAAGGTATTTCGTAGGTTCGTCTTTTTGGGTCCGGAGTTGGGCACGTTTCTTTGGTTAACCGGGGCCGACAACCGGACTTTACACCTGCACCTAGCACCATGCCATTCTAAATAGATTGAATTTGCTTCTTAATCCAGATCCACTGGTCCGAAGGTTTCCACTTGGTAGATCTATGTCTTTATCCACCCTCAAGGTTAATTAGATCTAATCTAGGACTGCAAAGAGGCTTGGAGCACGGCTGACCGCTGCAATATATAAGGACAGGCCAGGGCATACCACATACATACAATAAACCGTACAAATCACAAGTCAAGAAAAAGAGCATTTAGATACAGTAAATTGGTCTAAAAGACATCCTTCACTAATTTCTAACGTTTAAATTGTGCAGCTATTCGAATGTTACCACCGACGTAGATAACTCATCGTACCTGGCCCGAGCTCGGAGCTCCGCGCGGTCTCTTGGCTGAGGCCAAGTTGATTGTCTCTCCATGCTTCATGGTCCCCCTCACTCCGCTTCCTCACAACCTTCTCCTCCTATTTATCCATCTCGCCCTCTTCCCTCTTGCGTTCATTGAATTGGTGGTTTTGGTCAATAGACCCGTTGCGGCGATGTTTCAGGTTTGCTTTTCTGTCCGCAGCCTTCTTCTTGATGCTGATCTGTCCAGCGCTTCCGCGACGCCATCGACTCTCGGATTGCAGAGGAACAGGCCCGCCAGAAAACGGCACAGGACAACCTCTCTCGATCCAAGTCCGCCCGTCGTCCGGCATCCAGTACCAACTCCCCCGGCCAACGGCGCCCCAGACGAAACAGCGGCACCCCCGTCCGCGGTCCCGACCCCAACGAATTCGAAGCTGAGTTTGCTATCGGAGATGACGACGAGTCCAGTCGCTCGGGCACGTCTCGCCCGGAGACCGCCGACTCTATTTCCGAAATGAAACCACCCACCGAAGGCGAGAGCTCGGAGAAGACAGAAAGCACAACGAACACAGAATCAGCGGAGACAAAGACCGCCTTGACAGCGGCCACGGACTCCAGTGACCAGAAACCTTCTGAGTTACCGGCAGACGTTAAAGCCAAATTGCGCAGGCTCGATAAACTTGAATCGCGATACCATGGTAGGTCGTCACGCGACAGATGCCACAAAGGGACACACAAGACTAAACGCACATTTAGAACTTCTCAAAGCGTACCGTGTTGCGCATTCGCGCGTTCTTTCTATTGAACCGTTCGAAGCCGCCCTCCGCGAAAATACCCCCCTCACCTCGATCGGCGAGCCGAAGGCGCTTACCGAGTACCTCAACCAGATGTCGCTCAAAACCGATATGGTGGTAGAGGAACTGAAGCGCGTCACTACCGACCGAGACGGATGCAAGAAGAACATGGAAGAGGCGCAAAAGTCCGCTAAGGATGCGTGGGATGAGGTCGCTGGGCTCAAAAAGGAGGCTTCTACGAAGGAAGAACCGAAGTCGAAATCGCCAGAGGAGAAAGAGACTAGCGAAGAATTCTTTTCTTTTGATAACGAGGTTCCTCGATTGGAGGGAGAATTGAAGGAAAAGCAAGAGGAAGTGGACACTCTCAAGATCGAAGTTGAGAAGCTCAAGAAGGACATGTCCGTTACGCGCGAGTCTACGGAGGGCATGGTACAAAATCTGGAGACATCGGCTCGAGAGCTTGTTGAGTTACGCGAAACCAAGGATAAGCTGGACGCGGAGATCAAGACTCTCAAGGCTTCCGAGGGTGATGTTGATGAGCTGAAGACGAAACTCGCCGCAGCGGAGTCTTCGCTTGAAAAGACCACTGCCGAGGCCGAGAAGCTCAAGAAAGAACTCAAGGAGAAGAGTAATGAAATCAAGAAGCTCCAGGCCCGGGCGATTGAAGCTGAGAAGACGAGCAAAGCCGAACCGAGCCCCGAGTTGGTCTCTCAGTTGAAAGAGGCTAAGAAGGACAAGGATGCTAGCGAAAAGAAGCTCGGTGTTGTTCAAGGTCTCGTAGACAATCTTCGTTCCCAGCTCAAGGACACCGAATCCACCGTTTCCGACCTGAAGGCGGAGGTTAGCCAAAAGTCGGAGAGCTCCACCAAACTTCAGAGCATCGTTGATTTCGTGGACGAAAACTTGAAGGACAGCGCTGCTTGGAAGTCTGCTAAGGAGAATATCTCTGCTGGAAAGGAGGCGGACTTCGAGGAGGTTCGCAAGAGCCTTGCACCTGCCGAGAAGGCCGCAGAACCGACTTCAACCACTGCCGAAGAAGAGCCCCAGCCTGCTGCTGCGAGTGCGGCTGCAGGTGGCGGTGGTGGCGGTGGAAAGAAGAAGAACAAGAAAAAGAAGAAGGGAGGTAACGCAGTGGCAGAAAGTCCCAAGCCTGCGGAGCCTCTTCCTACCTCCAAGGAAGAGCCAGCTGCGGCATCTTCTGCAGAGCTGGAAGAGCTCAAGCAAAAGATCGAAACTCTCACCAAACAACTTTCTGAAAAGGAGGCAGCCATCGACCGCCTGAGCGATAAATTGAAGGGTGAAGAGGACCTGAAGGAGGAGATCGACTCTCTTCGTGATGATCTAGTTACTGTTGGACAAGAGCACGTCACAGCCAAGGACAAGATCAAGGAACTCACAGCCCAGAAGTCTGCCTTGGAGGAGACAATCGGCAAGTTGGAGAAGGAACTGGTCGAAGTACGCGCCAGTCACACCACAAACACTGTAGACTCGGAGAAGGTATTCAAAGAGTTGAAAGATGAGTTTGAGCGTGTCAAGGTCCAGGCCGCTACTCTGGAGACGGACCTGTCTGCTGCTCAGCAGCTTGCAGCCACTCGATTCAAGGATCTTACCGACCTGCGTGAGACTCTCCAGAAAATTCAGCCCGAGTTGCGTACCCTGCGCACCGAGTCTTCCGAGCTGAAGACCATCAAGGAGACCCTCAGCGGAAAGAACACTGAGTTGCGGACGCTTGAAGCCAAGCATGAAGACCTTCGACAGGAGTTGAAGAATACCAAGAGCCGGGTTTCGGAGCGCGACTCCGAAGTAAACACCTTGAACAAGAAGATCCGCCAAGAGACAGACAGCCGTCTCAAGGCCGAGGAGAGTCTCAGCGTTGCACAATCGGAATTGCGCACCGCCGAGTCGAAGAAACAAGAGGCCATTAATGCGAAGGAAAGAACTGCAACGGAACTCACAAAAGCACAGGACGGACTCAAGAGCACCCGTTCCAAGATGCGTGAGATGGATGAGCAAATGTCTCAACTGAGCAAGGAACTGGGGAGCCTCCGCGAAGATGCGAAACTGAAGACCGCCCAGGCTGTCGGTGCACAGAGCCTGATGAACAACATGCGTGATCAGACCTCCGAAGTTGCTATGCAGATGAAGGAGGCCCGTGAGAAATGCGAGAGCTTGGAGGAGGAGCTGTCTGATGCTCACCGTCTCCTGAGTGAGCGCACGCGCGAGGCCCAGACAATGCGTGGTCTTCTCAACGATATCGAGAGCCGCGCCGAGGCCAAGGTACGTGACTTTAAGGAACGCATGGAGGCAGCTGTTGAGGAGCGGGACCGCGCCGAAGATGAGGCTAGCACCCAAGGCCGTCGCCGGGCACGGGAGCTGGAGGAATTGAAAGCCAAAATCCGCGAAGCCGAACGGACACTTCGCACCGTTGAACAAGACAAGGAAGAGCTCGAGGATTCGCAGAAAGACTGGCGGCGTCGTCGTGACGAATTGGAGGAGATTTCCGAAAAGTCGGCCCAGGAAGTCACTGAGATCCGAGAGGCCATGGCCGGCCTTCGCGAGCAACTCGATGAGAGCGAGAAGCAAGTGCGCGACCTGGAGAAAGAGAAAGCCGAGCTTCGGCGCTCAGTCGAGGAGACCAACAACCGATTGGAAAAGCTGCGACGATCGCACAAGACCCTTGGCGAAGACGTTCGTCTCCGTGGACTGGAGTCCGGCCGTGCATCATCACGCTCATCCATCGATTCCGGATCTCGACGTGGTCTTGCTTCTCCAGTCGCCCAGGACCGCAGCACATCTAGTCGTCGAAGTGAGACTCCCTCTGGTGGAGGTGGAGGTGGAGCCAGTGGTGGGTCGATCGACTACATGTACTTGAAGAACGTCCTGCTTCAGTTCATGGAGCAGAGGGACAAGAACTATCAGAAGCAGCTAATTCCTGTATTGGGGATGCTGCTTCATTTCGACCGGTAAGCCGAACCCATCTCTTCTATACACTAAGGATATACTAACAGGCGCAGAACGGACGAGCAAAAGTGGATGTCGGCCATCATGTCTAAGTGATGCCCTTGATGAAGACCCTGCACATTTGATTTCTGTTCTGTACAATACCACCCTTTATAGTATTCTCTGTAGAGATAATCCAGTCATACTTCACAGCTAACTACCTCTACACCATACCGGGATCGGTATCCCGAGCTTCCAACTGGTCCATGTGGGTCATTATCTCCATATCCACATTTAACCCCGGATGTCAAACCCTTTCACACCTTACACCCTACGACGCGCCCTACGACTTCCCTTCTACAAAACCCCTCCAAATTCTCCCGATTCCTCCCAAATCAATCACATACACCATGTCAGACCAACCCACCATCCGCCTCGCTACGGCAGAGGGTAAGAACCCCTCAATTATCCAGCAAGCCCAACCTGGATAACCCCTCCAAGTCTATAAAGAGCCCCACTAACACCACCTAGATGTCCCACTAATCCTCGAATTCATCCGCGAACTCGCCGACTACGAAAAAGCCCTCCACGAAGTCGAAGCCACCGTCGAATCTCTCACAAACACCCTCTCATTCCCCGACGACCCTCCCAAGCGCGGCTCAGTCTACACGGCCCTAATCACCCCCCCGGCGTCCCCCGAAAACCCCACCCCAATCCCGGTGGGGATGGCATTGTACTTCTATAACTACTCCACCTGGCGCTCTGCACCGGGCATCTACCTCGAGGATCTATACGTGCAACCTGTTGCGCGCGGAAGAGGATATGGGTTTAAGCTGTTGAAGTATCTCGCAAAGCAGGTGATTGAGGTTAAGGGCAGACGGCTTGAATGGAGTGTGTTGAAGTGGAATACGCCCTCGATTAAGTTCTATGAGCAGGTTGGGGCGAAGGGAATGGAGGAGTGGATGAAGATGATGGTTGAGGGGGATGCATTGGGGAAGTTGGCAGAAGGCGCTTAGATTAGATTCATTCTGGTTTGTTCTCTGTAAAATAGAAGGGATTTGGATGGTTTTCTGAATCAATAAGACCCGATAAGGTCCCGGACCATTAAACTATTCATGGAAATGAGCAGAAAATATGAAAGTTGAATGAAGATTGGTAAACGGATTGGTTACTCTGATACATACTCCTCATGCAGATCTGGCTCCTCACTGTACCAACCCTTTGGGACCTTTGAATTTTCAATGATAGGCTCGCCTTTGTTGATCCAGCGTCGCTGGATACCATCGGTTGGGATCACTGGCAAGGCGCGTTCTTGCGGAAGTGTCATATTAAGGGGGAGGTTTCCATCGCCAGGGTCGAGATAAACCTCTGTCATATCGGTCCTTTGGGAGACCCTGGTAAAGCCTGGAAGAGATGCGGAGCTTTTATGTGACTATTTGGCTCTGGCCTTGGCTTTAAAATTAGGTGCTGACCTGCGAGGATGGTTGAGTGGCTTTGCTGGGGGTTTGTTGCGAGGGCGTAGTGTGAGTGGCATTGTAAAGTTGGCGGGGAAGGATCAAAGCTAAAGGTGAAATTGGAGGAGAGAAGGGCAATTACAAAGGAAAGAAAAATATTAGATCACCGAAGGAGTAAAGTGAGACTACAATTGAAAGTGAAAGAGTTGCAAGGCAATGGATGGCAGGTATTTCGAGCACTAGAGAAAATCCCCACCATGGACCACCTAAAATCACCTCTACAACTCTGTTTCGGCTGATCACCTGAGTCATAACAGTCTTCATAGAACCCAACCCTGCTAGACAGATCAAAGGCGTCGGGTTCAAGACCAGAGAGATACTAACCCCTTCACACCACAGTTTCTGCGGAGTGTCATGCTTATCATCTGGTTTACCACAAGCATATTTCCATGGCTTAGCAATCTGGACGCCATTGATTAATATAAGGAAAACCATCCCGCCAATCTACCTAAAGTTTGCAAGTCCCAGATTCGACCTCAACTTTTGTTGCCAAGTTGTGTGGGGATTGATAAACAGAAAACATAACGCGGGAAACCATCGCTTTGCGCAACACCATATTAGGTCCAAGTAGGTCTATTCATATTATTTTCAATTCAAACCAAACCCTTCAACATCTATAAGCCCGTGCAGTGCAGCGATGCGAACAAATCAACGCTGATACGGGCTGCCTTTGCACAGAGCCAAAAATAGCCCCACGCGAAAATCTAGTTTGTCCGATGGACCTAACTTGAGCCTCTTTACACTCGGGCCTCTTCAACCGCTGGAGCAATGAGTAATAATGGTTTCTCGCTTACAGTAGCCGAGCGCGGAAATCAACACTCCAGACAATCACGCCCCGGCGGTCTCGTGCCTGGCCGGCGATTCCCGAGACCAATCGGGCATTCATAATCGGGGCCAAAATGGGCTTGGCAGAGACTAACAGAGACTAACAGAGACTTGGATTCGCTTAAAACTGAGCCTCCGGATGCGCTAGGTCAGAAGTAGAAAGGCGTACGGGCGGAGTCCCTTTTTCTATCAGCTAGCGCAAGGCAGGAGCCATGAAACCGGAGGTCGAATTTCCCTTATAAGAGATGGAAGGGTCCGGAGTTTGGAGTCTACAGGCTTCGTTCATTTTTATCCGACCCCGACAACATGCGCGGTTCTCAGCTCACCCATTTGGCTGTAGCCACTCTTTTGACAGCGCGCGCCCAAGCCGCGAACGACACTAATTACGATCCTTCATTAACCTTTCGACCGACCAACGTTACCGAAAATGGTCTCTATCATTGGACTGGATCGTGAGTTTCCTTCTTGTGGATCGCGGGCACCATGCTGATTGGTGTAGGTACTACAATGGAACCACAACACTCGAATTTATACCTTTCGGGGGCCTCTCGTCGGATGATACCGATGATGAAGTCTGGCAGTCTTGTCCCAAACTGCGCGGTACAACAATTGACACCGTCTACGAAACGCGCCTCGCAATCACCGAGTCGGACGAATATAACCTCGGCAACAACCCGATCAACACCTATCTGACGACATGGGAACCCAACTTCAATTTCAGCTCATTACCAGCAACCGAGACAATGGCAGATATGCCGCTCAAATGGGGCTTGCTTTCTTCCAAGTATGTTACCTCCTCTCGACAGATGGGCTCCTCGATACTAATGTCCACCTAGCCCTATGTACTATTTTGACAACCTCCTTTACGTTAAAGACAACTTCAACTACACTCTTGCCGAAACAAAGAGCGCACCGTATAATCTGTCAAGCACTCTCAGCAAATACTACGGAGACGGGCTTCTCAATTTCAACATGACCAGCTGCGACGGCAAGAGCGATGTCGCATGGGACGGCGCCCTGATCAATAAATCCTGGTGGGCCAACGTGGGCAACAATCATTCATACCCTGACCCCGTTCTAAACCTGCAATTTGATGGCAATACCGCCAACTTGACGATTGAAGGGTATTTTGACGCTACACCAAAGCCGACCGGAAATAACACCTTCAATACAGTTGACATCGAGGCCCGAGGAAAGGTGAAGATCACCTTCTTGGGGACCATTGACAGCTATCACTCCGACGTTCTCGTGAATGATACATCTAAGCCTACTTGGAAGAGGACGGTCGGCTTCAATAACAATACTTTAAATGTTGGATACAACGGCTCGAGTACAAGTACGAACGGAGCCCCCAGTCAGCAGCTTGGCACTTGGGGAATTGCTCTTGGCTCAGCTTTGATTTCCTTGGTAGTTTTCTACATATAATACATTAATACACTAATTTTTAATTGTTTGTGATATCCAAAGACGATGAAGCTGAAGATCTTTGCAACCTCACAGCGCATAAACCAATTTCTTCCCCAGCGCACCACCATCTTTAACAAGCTGAATCCCCTCCAAAACACCTTCAAGACCCCCCTCTCTGACTTCCACCGGCATAAGCTTTATCTTCCCCAGCGGAATGATCTGCTCTACACAACGATAGAAAAAAGTCATAAACTCCCTATCCACAGCCGACGGCTCCCAGGTCCGATTCAATCCAAGTCCCTCATTAACGATTGTAAACCGTCGTCCAAAACAAGTGAAAACCATATTCCACTCCGCATGGATAATTGCCGACTTAGGAATCATTATTGGCGGTGGGGGGAGATTCTTCACCGGCATGAGCGAGGCGTAGTAGAAAGTCCAAGGGGCATTTTCGTTTCCGGCACTGAGCGGGGGCGCGAAGCATTGGTAACAGAAGGCAGCGGTTGCGTCTTTGGAGACGCAGTCTAAGATTATGAAGAGGCCGCGATCCTCGATATGGCGGCGAACTTGGCGGATTGCGTCGATTTGGTTGTAGTCGACTACTGCATCTGCACCAAGGCTGTGGAGCCAGGGAATATTTTTCTCGGAGCAGGTTGTAATTACTTTGAAGCCGGATCTGTGAGATGCTTAGCCAAAGGGGGGTTTGGGGAGGGGCTTCTCTACCTACAATTTAGCTAACTGAATTGCCAGACTTCCAGTTGCGGTACTTCCGCTATATATTAGAATGGCTTGGTTTGTGCGCACTGATGTCTTGCAGGGAATTGGCAATGGTAAATTCTGATAAAGGTGTTGAGCTGCTGTGCTAACACCCATACCGAGCGTGGCTGCCTCGGTGAATTCCAAGTTAGAGGGTATGTGAATTAAGAGAGCAGCATCTGCAGTCAAATATTCACGAAAAGCACCAATAGAATAGTTGGCACCGTGGCCTAAATACCATTAGTGTCAATAACTTTAAAGGGTTCACATCTCTTACATCCATGAACAAACCCAGCCACACGGTCTCCAACAGACCTCACTTTCTGAACGCCTTCGCCCACTTCTAATACCGTACCTGCGAAGTCAAAGCCCATTCCCGCACCAGGTCTTCCGAGATGATCCCGTGCCATCCAGTCCGATGGATTGAGAGATACTGCTTGCACTTTGATCAAAACTTCGCCAATTCCAGGCGATGGAATGGATAAGTCTTTAACCACACTGGCTTCACCCGGGCCTTTCAAGATGATAGCTGATTGAAGTTTGATTTCTGGCATATTGAACAATGCAAAGAGAAGGCATGCAGTGCTCAGAGTTCTTCTCTTATGAATGGTTGATTTATTGAAAGAACACTGAAATGTGAATGGGGGTGGTATCGCCTAGACTATCCATCAGAAGTGGCAAATGCACATGGTTAAGCTTAATTTTGCCTTACGGAACTATCTACAAACAGCATGCACTATGAAATGGACTACGTCAATCAAAATCACACAGATTGCCTTCGTGAATCCAAGCGTGGCGACGGGTATCCTTCGATTAGCCTATTGATAGCCTATCGGACCTTATCGCGAGTCCCGGCGCCACCAGCACGAATGACGGACATTCTCCATGGAATTAAGCTCAGACTTGAAAACACTATAGCCTATTCGGAAGGATGTCTTTCCAGTGGTCTTATGGCTTCTCAACGAAGCGCCAAGACACCTGCCCCAACAAATTGCTGGTAGATCTATGGGTATAAAAGCCCGGCAAGCCATGTATTGGTTCAAAGCACTTTACAATCGAGCATACACCAAGGTTACAAGCAGCGTGACAAGACGAAAATTTGATTCCTTTGTCGAACATATATAACCGCAATGGAAGAGCCGACTTATGACCCCAGGTAAGCCGCATGCCCACAGTCATGGGAAAATTCCATTTAAGTTAGCTTAACAACTTCACAGTCGCCCAATGCCGGCAATCAATATTGCCTACCAATACAAACTAGCCAATTGCCCCGGGAAAAGTATCGTCGGACTCCATGTCGAATTCCCACCCAATGGCTCAACACCCCCGCACCGACACGGAGGGTCTTCGGTTTCCGCCTACGTGATTAGCGGCGCGCTGTTGAACAAGATGAATGACTCTCCTATGAAGGTGATCGAGACGGGCGGAACCTGGTACGAGGCACCAGGATGTCACCATAGAATTAGTGACAATGCGAGCATGACTGAGCCTGCGGTTTTGTTTGCTAATTTGGTACTGGATACGGATGTGCTTGAGAGGGATGGAATGAATGCGTTGATTCAGATTGATGAGGAGTACCGTCAATAACTTCCATGGGCGAAGCGAACTTATCTTGGCTATAAGCCGATGCTGTCGTGGTCCTAATAGTTCAAAGAATCATGCTGTGTCAAAAAATAATGATTGTCGTATGGAAGTAGCCATCAAAACTATCAAAATGCACATTCCAACAGAGTCTATCCAAAGAACACGTCTCGAGAGAGACCCAAAAGCACTGAAAGCGGCTTGTCACTGGTAAATGATTGTCAGAAATACGGTATGCGTTATTGTTGCTTCCAAGAAGGGCATAGGAGCAAAAACATCAGCAAGATTTCAAATTTTTGCACCCGACAGTGTATAAGACAAAACAGCGCTTTGAAGAAAACTCGAGCAATGAATTAAAGCTTCGTTGCGGTCGTCTATCAAACCTCCATTACAAGATGACTCGAAGCTCCAGCTTGCGAGAGAAGCAAATATTATAGATTGGTACACCATCGACCTGATAAAACCTGCTCCTATTTCGCCCGTCAATGAATTCTGATGACTTGGTTCGATGCAATGTGAATCACTTTCGCAGATGCAAACCGTCACACACAAATGAATTGAAAGAAAGATTTAGCTAAGTTTCATCGTCTGCTCGGCTTTTTCTTTTTGCTCCATGCAGTTTTTGACCGTCTCGGCCTCTTTGTTTTTGTTTTGAACACCCTTCTAGGCATGCCCGTCCTGATCCAGCCTCCCTTGGTCCACTTGGACATCAATCGATTTGAGTCCCTCTTAGGTCCGCCCTCTTCAACCAAGCCTGAATTCAAGAACCCATCAATCTTCTGTTGACTCCTTTTTTGTGCCGCTTCAGCTAATGATCCTCTGTCCTCCTTGTTGGAGTATCTGCAAAGGTCGCTATTAGGGATGCTACGCTGTCGATAAAATGCCCAGCAGAGTTGAAGCAGGCTTCGAAAAAGCCCAGTCCGTTTTATGAATCCATAGGTATATCTGGAGCAGTTTGGACAGGTGTGTCTTTCAATCAATGCTGTCCATCTCGTTCCATCGGGCCTTTGTTGCTTGAAAGGCGCGAGGCAACACCCGCATCTATGGCATGACACACAGTATGACCGGATTGTTGAAAACTTAGAGCAACCTTTGCATAAAATCCAGCAGCGCTCATCACTGATGATCATCTGCCCCTTTTGATATAGGGTGCGAACATAACCATATTGCCACGGTCTCCGTTCGTAAAACCATTTGCGCAAATTCTGCTGGATGCATTCCATGCATAATCTACCGTTCCTTTTCTCAAAGATATCATAGTTGAAGTTGTGCTTCTCATATGGGTTCTCTTGGCATAAAACTTTCCGGTAAATCTGGTCATAGGAAAAGAATTTACGGTGGCGAAGCTTCTCACAGGACCCGCAAGCATAATAGCCAGAGTTTCTGGAAAAATTAGCAATTGGAAAGGGTGCTAAGGTGGCGTCTTATGCGTTGAAGGTGAGACTTGCTCTGGCCAGCCTTCCTGGGTAAAAATTAACACTCGCTTCTGCGCTGCTGTAGAATGAGCAGGTCGTATAACGGATTTGTAATATTCGTTTGTTTCCGAGAAGCAAATAGATGAAATATAGTCAAGTTTTGCTAAAACTTCAAGTTGCATTTCGACCGGCAACTGAGTAAATTTCGGGAATATGGCGGCGGACGAGTCAGGCATATTGGTCATGGGCGCTTTGAGCGGAATGATCATCTTCGCCCGAAGCTAGAAACGACAAAATTCTTATATTGTCTGTGTTTTTAAAGTTTATACAAAGCTTTCAGAGATATGACGTTAACGTGAGCGTTATATCGAGACCACTTTCCCGATTTAGACCGGGCGTCTTGGATCGAAAAGGGTGCGTACTTGGACGAGGGAAAAGGCTAACGGGAACTTGATAACACGAGGGAATTTAATTGTTCTTCAAGTTCTCATATAAGTCTCGAAGTTGTAGACCAAATGAAGGTCCGCAACAATGTTTCTGTTTCTATCAACCAAATGCCCACCCATCACCCGCAGTGAAACGCTCGCTTTCATGACAGCGCATACGAGTAGAAACATAGTATACTATCGGGGGGAGCTATTGTACTGTAAACGGCGAATGTTACGGAAACGCATAACGAATGGAAGACTATCTTTGCAGAATTTGTGTGGATATTTGCTGTCTATTTAGCCATAAACGAACTCTGTACGGCGATAAAGCTTAAGCAGAGCTAGCGAGCTACATGTTCGGGAATGCTACCCAAACTCACAAATTGGGAAGTGGTTTTTTTTTAGGAAGTGATAAATAATTACGGAAAGGCATGACTGACTCCAGCCATGATTCTGGACATAGTACTGGATTTAATGAAGCCAAGAGTCACATTCACACCCCGGTTGACTGCCTTGGTGGATCAATGTGCTTCTCCATTACCACATCGCTTCTCCAGTTCTTGAAATCACGGGTCTTGAGACTCAACGAAAACATCCGATCAATCTCCATAGGGGATCGGCCCTTCATCTCTGGCACCCAAATCCAAGTTGCAACTATGGCAATTGCGGCAAACCCAGCCATAACAAATCCAGTCTTAGCCTTGAGATTACCCGCATCCAGGTTGTAAATATATGGCAGACTGATGGAGAAGACACCTTGAGCGACACCGCTCACAAACCAGCCAATGCCCTGGGTCTTGGCACGAAGCTGCAGTGAGGAAGTTTCGGCGGCGATGACATGGGAAGCAGGCCAAATACCCAGACCGCAAATCATGGTCACAATCATCATTGTCACTGAGGCGTACCAAATTGTGACGACTCCGTCAAAACACCCGGCTATGCCCATTGCTAACCAAAGAACGAGTGTTATCGATAGAGTTACAAGCACCAGAAAACGTCTACCGAACGCATTCAGTACCCATAGACTGCCGATGTTTGCAATCAGACCAAGACCGATGCCAAGGATAAGGAAAATCAGACTGTTAGCTGATGCCATGCCGACGATTTGTGCGAAATAGGAAGCATTTGCCAATAGTTGAAGGCCGAAGAGTTGGGGTAGACAGTTTGCCAATGCCACCACCAAGGTTCTGCGCAAGTTGACTCCCCTGAAGCAATCCGCATACGTGCTAGTGGCTCTCGTCTCTTCCTCCGCCAGGATGGAAACCCGCAGGTCTTCAATAATAGCCTCAGAGTCAACACCAGGACTTTCCAATCGCTTTTGTGCCTTCAAAGCCTTATTCAAACTCCCTCTTCTCAACAACCATATCGGGCTTTCTGGAATAATAGCAGCGAGTACAAAAGTAACCGCTGAAAATGGCCATTGTGACGCGAAAGGAATGCGATAACTTTGTGCGCCAGGATATTTTAAAGAGGTATATACGACGACAGATCCAATGAGCTGTCCGAGAAGAGTGAAGATTGGCAAAAAGGCGATAATCGGACCTCGTAGTAGGACGGGCAGGACTTCAGACATGTAGGTCTGCACCACGCACAAAAGTATACCGAGACAAACTCCTTGAAAGAATTTGCCGACGAAGAATACGCCTCTTCGCGCAGTTATTTCGTCTGGGAGATCGGCAACATAACAAATAGCGACCGCAATTGCCGAGAGGAAGGCGCCCGTTGCTAGAGAAATTCGTCGTCCACCACGATCTTGTAACTGACCGCCGATTATAGACCCGAGCATCATGCCTATCGGACTAGCGACGTTCCAAAGGGAGAGCCACATTGAAGGGATAATAAATCTTTTTCCGAACTTCTCGCCGAAGTGTTGTCTTTGATTGCGTGGTTAGTGAATGGTCCAGAACGGGAAGTTTGGACATACTGAAATGAAGGCATGGCGGAGACGGAACCAACGATAACCAGATCATATCCGTAGAGAAGGATAGCAGAGCTCAAAATTAGACAATAAGCGATAACTCTGGGCCACTTCTTCACAGACTGCCAGAGCGGCACGTGCTGTGTCTTGGGGTCGGTGTTTGTATCCGTACGCAAGACATCTTCAACAAATTGCTGAGTCTCCTTCTCGTGTGAAATAGTCATAGTATCTTCGGCTCATCTAAAAGACTTACAGGATCAAGAGCTACCCGGTGCCATAAATACGATCTTCAAGCACAGATATTGAGGGGTAGATCGCCAAGAGCTCTATCAGATGTAACATTCGCTTAGACACGATGTACATCAAGTCTAAGCGAGCACCAAGACGATGATGAATAGACTCTATCGAATAAGACCCCTCAGGGGGACGGTAAATTAGCAAAGTTGCTTTTCAATAACATGTCACTACGGAATCTAGCGCCAATCACAAAACCGGATACTAAGCACCCCGCACGCGGGCCAAGTAAAGTCCGGGGTTTGAGTTTGGGCTCTAGTTGACTTGGACCTTGAATTCTAGTTTGATTGTATATTGAGCTCCTAGTCACCGCGTGGTTGGATATTCCTAGAACTTGGAAATGAAGTGGTAGTGAATCACCATCACGAGACCTCACGTTGCATATTATTTTGATTGCTCTATTCTAAAACATAGCAGAGAAATTTTATCTATGATACATGCTAGGGCTCAGTCCTCGGCTCTTGCTGGAGCGGTCAACGCGACAATCTCAGATGGCGACCGAGCATCCCTCCTTTGTTGAAGCTTTTCGAGATGAGTCTTTGTCTTCTCAATCTCAGTATCCAGTTCGGATTTTGTCGCTAGTTTGTATTTAAGCGATAAGATGACCGCTGATACAAGCAATAGAGCGATTGAAACCAGATATGACCATTGCCCCACCTGTTGTGGATGCTCTTGTGAAGGGCCATCGTTGTAAATCCACCACTCGATCCACGCGACAAAGGCAATGATCGTGAGGGGACTGATGATCATACTGAACAGTAGTCCGAAAAGGATAAACGCGTCCGCGAGTACGCGCAGGAGTGCCCTGAAGAAGCGAATAGTGAAGAAAGGTCGAATGCGGCTCCATCGGGGAGGTTTCTTCCCAGTGGAAGCGCTAACACCTTTCTTTTCGTCTTGTTTATCTCTGGATATTGACAGTGCGTCTTGAAGTTCCTGCCTGAAGGCATGATAAATTGATTTTTTTTCCTTCCAAATCACAACAATCTGGGCAGACGGTATGCGAGATTTGTATGGCAACCATTTGAATGTTAGATGCACAATGTTCAAAACAAGGCAGATGACGATGAGGCTGTAGATGTAGCGATTCGAGTAGATAATTCTGTTCCAGAGTCGATTCGGATGTGCTAACTCAGAATCATTGGAAGCGACCCATGACTGTAATTGGCTTGGCACTCGGAGGATCTGCGTAGAATTGAAGCAGGGGTTGTAACAAATGTCACCAATTGCACCCCAGTGAGATATATTAGAAAAGATATTCCAGACACTAGCATTCCATGTTCCCGTTCTCCAATCATTTCCCCATCCATCGCTCGAGGTTTGCTGCAGTGGTGGGACATCGGGGTAGCAGAACATATATTGCGTGGGGATCGAGTCCTTTTTCCCAGCAAAGACCAGACAGCAGATGGATCCAGCGAACATAAGCATATTCCACACATAGAACAAGAGGTTCCGAGCTCTTTCATGCGTCAAAACTCGTGACCAGCACTGTAGGGGGAGGAAGACAAGATAGCCAGTGACGACGATCGCGAGAACAGCGTCACCATCCAGCTCAAGTGCCGCTGGCTGAATCATGACCTCGCCCGTTTGCGTAATGAGTTGCGGGAAACTTTCCCATAATGTCGTATTATCCGAGATGTATGGAATAGTTACAGGCGAGGGGGTTTGCCTCGTTGGACGATTTGCAACTAAGATGAACGACTGTATCGCAGCGGTCCCTGCATATGTCGCGGCGGCACCCAAGAAAACATCCGCCAACCATCCCGTCCATCGGGTCAAGCAGCTGGCGAGTAGCAATGCGTAAAAGAGATACCTCGGGCACGAGTCATATATTGTGCTGATTGGGTAATAACACAAAGCCTCCTGGGCGACGAAGAGAGGGCCACTGCTGTTCATGGTGGATCGTGATCGGCAAAGATTGATAGTGGCGATCCCTCGCGACCGGGGCAAAGTCGCGCAGTCTTCTCTCACGTTTTAGGTCGATGTTTGATTATACCAGAAGTGACCGGGCGGAATTTTCACATTTGAGTCTTACTTTTAGAGTGATGTTCTGCTGCTGCCTTAAATTGAGTGGAGTCTGGTTCGGAAGGGTCCAGGTAGTGACGTCATCTACTTTTGCCTTGCCCAGAAAATAAGTAAATATCATCAAATATGTAAACACAACCAGAATACAAATAGACACGCGATTATATTATTCAATCAATGCAGAGCTATACTCCACATTGCATTACTTTAGGCCTGCTTCGGCAGCCACTTTTCTAAAGTTACTCATTCTTTGCTTGCTGAAGAAGGACTTGATTTTGACGAAAAAAATCCTCACCATGCCACAGATAAGTCGGTTACCCCGAAGCAGCTAAAATATATACAGATGAGCCGGCCTTCTGACCATCAACTAGGCTTCAACCTCTTCTAAGGCCATTGGGTAACTCGGGAGGTAATTCCAATTGCGATATACCACACTGGCCATCGTTTGAGTTGACTCGAGGTTTGAGTTGACTCGAGATTTGTGTGTTCCTTGATATATCTAGTGTAACAATTGAAATCAGCTTTACCTCCACACTCTCTTGCACTATTTCCCAGAGCTCAACATAAAATGCACTCGTCCATATATTAGAGGGCAGATCTGCGTATTCGACGACGATCAACTAGTAGGTCTTGGTCTCTCGAGTCCTTAATTGAGAGTTGTCGGTTCGCTTCCGTAAATTTCATCAGCTTGCCCTGATCCATTGGCAACATTGCAGATCGCTTTAAATCAGCTCGGTATGTCAAAATCGGATCAAGGAAGCACATTGTGCCCATTTACAGCATTTCCGCGATCGTCAGACAAGCTGCATGGACACCATCGTTCTTTTGAAAAGCTGCCTCCAGTGGCCAAAGGGTGTCGCACAGCCATTATGCAAGGGTAGATCTTCTGCGAGCCCTCGAAGTAGGGATTGGACCAGATGTGCTGTTAGGACAGCCCCTTGAGGGTGTCCCGGTACGATATGGATACGAGTGAAGAATTTGAGATGTGCCTGATATAGGTATGGTCATTGTCAGACTAATCGTTCGTTCTCTGGGGATCCAGCTCCTCCTTTTTAGAGGACCCCTCCGTGCGTATACAAGCAGGTGAGGTGATGTATTGATAGGTGGCTCCGGTGGCGCATAGGCACTGCCTCCGCATTCCCTATACATCATTGTATGGTTGGCGTAATATGTGCATACGTGTCAATCAGACCGGGGACGACGATTTTCCCTCCGCAATCCATTCGATCTGTTCATATAGGCAGGTCGTGGGGTTATGGGCATTTGCCGACCGCGGAGATGCGGTCTTCATCGACGCGGATGTATCCTTTCAATATGACTTCACGCTCTTGACTGACGGAAAGTACAGTGGCGCCGTAGAATAATTCGCAGCTCATTGGAGCGGCGGTCACAGACACATGGCTAAAAAGACTCAAGCGATAAACTCAAATAAAGTAACACGGCTGAATTGGATCCAAAGTGCTTTTGAAGTTTCTGGCCATCTACATCAACATTGAACAGGCTTTATCAGTTGGATTTCCCAGCATCTCGGCCGACGCTAAACCCTCGGGGAACATCGGGTGTTGCTTATCATCCCCACGGGGGCGCCCTGATAGCTTAGCATCTTGGCGCGATACAACTAATGGAAACGAGGCATAATTTCCCTCCCACTGGCAGCGAGGCAGTTCCCTATTGAACTTTTTTTTGATCGCCGCCAGTGATCATAGATGAGATGTGGAGATCCCGGGAGAAAGAACAGCCCGACACTAGTCCTTGCCTCTTTTGATATTTCTGACACTGGAGATGGAGAGTCACGGGTCATTGAGATTGCGTCGCTCGCCGAGACCCGATGGAAATGACTTTGCAGTTGCTTCACTACTCAGGATGGGTGGATTGTCAACTATGAACATTAATTGAGACATCCGGGTTGATCGACAGAAGCTGATTTGTCATGTAAACGACTGCATATCTTGTGACTCCAAATATTCCAAATATCTGTCCGTTAAACAAGCGGCACAAGGGATTACGACGCACCGTTCTATGGCTTTAATGACTAGGTGCCAATTCTTCTGATCATCATCCTCGGCCTGCAACATGCCTTGACCATTATAGGATCGGTAGCTTCAATCCCTTTGGTCGTTGTGAGCAGTGCGTTCTATCTCGATGCGGAGAAAACCCAGCATCTTGTTTCTGCGGCATTCATCGTGACAGGCGTTGTGACGGCCCTTCAAGTGACTCGTGTGCATTTTTCAAAGACTCTTTTCTATATCAGTATCGGTATTCTATCGGTTGCGGCTTCAAAGTTCGATGTCCTTACCATTCTTTTCAGTTACTCCGATATGCGCTACGCAAAGAGTTAGTTGATAGGCAAGATGGACGGCAGGTACTTCCAACTTAATGAAAGAATCATCTTATTATTACATCATAAGGCCAGATGGAGGTAAATTGGGAGCCTTCTGGCCTTGTTACTCTGGAATTTGGAGTAATATGAGCCGTTTTTAATGTAGGACTATCTGCCATGGCTCCTGTCTGGGGACTAACCGACAAATGGCTGGAAAAATGCCCTCGTAGAAAGTTCTTCGTACGGAATGAAGCGGCCTATACTTAGAAAATATAGCAGGTGACTGACCTACGACGGAACCTACTAGCACGTAGAATCTCGGGCTCTCCTGACGCGATGGTCTTCTTTAAGGAGCAGACCGGAGAAATCAACCAACAGGAACTACTAAAATTCGTCTCCTCAAAATCCTTGTGTATTATTCAAAGCACCATACTTTATCATTTAAGATTGTGCCTATGAAAGCACAGAGAACTCAATTGATCCCAATTTTTGTCTTGACCTCGCCGGCCTTGTGATGCATAGCCAGCCCTTTTCAGAAAGGATATGCCACAAATTTTGTCGATTTTTCAAGTGATGATGCTTTGTTTGTATCAATAATAATAAGAAAAGAATTTAGACTTCCACCATTTCTTTAGCGGTCTTCTCCTGAGACCCTCCGAACGTATCCGCATATCGTCCCTTCATCCACTCTGACACTGTGAGAGGAGCGTGTTTCGCCACCTCACCTTTCTCGATGCAACTAGGAAGACACTTAACCAAGAAGTCTGGATTACCATCGAAGAAGAATGGCACACTGTATCTCTCAGTCCCAGTCTTGTTGACAACACGATGTAGGTTAGACACGTAGCGGTCATTGGTCCAACACATCATCAGATTGCCAGTATTGACGACAACTGCATCTGAGATCGGTTCGACATCAACCCAGTCGCCTGTTCTGCGGTCTCGGACTTGTAACCCGCCCGTCGAATCCTGAAGGAGGATTGTGACGGCACCGAAGTCGGTGTGTGCGCCGATCCCTAAACGAGTTGTAAATAAAATTCTAGCAGCTTTTTCATAGTTTGTACTACATACCTCGTTCTAGCTCCGAGGCATCGGGTTCCTGTGGAGGATAATGGAGGAGACGAAGCACGGCAATCGGATGGTCGCAAAAATCATCCAAAAACTCATGCCCCCCTCCTAGAGTGTCAAATAAAACGCTCAGCACATTTTTCGCGACTTTAGATACCACGAAGTGGTACTCATCAACTGTCTTCTTCCATAAATGGGGGTCCTTAACCTCAGAAGGATATTTATTCGGCCCTTGAGCCCACTTCCTCGCCTGGACATAAGGATCGTCAAGGGGAAGATCTTGTGCCAGGAAGTAGCCTTCTTTTAGATCTCCTTTGGTGAGCTTTTCAAAGTTCTGGGACCGTAGCCGTTCATAGCCACGATTAAATTCGCCGACATCTTTTCGCGACTTAGAATTGGCCTCCTGTTCTCTTCGACTTCCTTGAGGTAAGACACTTACCTTTGTTGTATTTGTCCTTGACTCCGTCCGGGAGATTGAAGAAATCCTCGGATTGACGCAGTATTTCCTTTTGAATATTCTCAGGAATGCCGTGGTTACGCAATTGGAAGAATCCGTAGTCCAGGCAAGCGTTACGAATCTCGTCTTCAAGCTTTGATCTTGCTGCCTTATCTTGCCCGTAAAAGGCTGATAATTTGGTCAGCGGGCTGCTGATGCCGCTATGGTGGAAACTTACGGGAAAAGTCGATGACTGGGGGACCTCGGCCCATCTGTGCAATATGGGGTCTATATTTGAACTGACGTCCGGAAATGTGCAATGGTTGCTCTGTATCGAGACTCCCTTATTTATATATGTGCCGGAGATGGCCATAGCGGAGTTCGGTCGGGCTTGTCCTGCTCCATCGGGTTTGTCTTGTTCTGTTGGGCTTATCGTGCTCGGCCGAGGGTACTACACCGATGAGACTCGTGATATAAGCCCGGCAACTGTAAAGGTTGGCAGGCAGACATTTTCCGTATAACTGGTCATAGAGAACCCCATTTACTAGTGGCGTTTTCATCTTCCTCACGGAGATTACAAGAGGTTCTATTTTTTCGCTTACACATCTGCCTGCACCTTTGGGTGACGATGGCCCTAAGTGAGGGTTGGGTTGCTGAATATGAGATCTTCGCAGGAATTAGCAAAACAGGATAGGGTGTCAACAGCTTAAAGACCTTACCAAGAATCAGGGCAAGGTACGCTATCTTGTACGGTCTTATATGGAGTTCACTCAATTTTATCATATGAACGGCTCTTTGTAAATCGTAACTTTGTTGTCGTAGCTTTGTGTTGGGTTACGATTCGGCCACCCTTGCTTCGTTATCGTACCAATTAGATGTGTCATATAACCCAAAGCGTCTGTTTGCTTGTGCAAGAGCTATCTTCTCGGCCGACCATTGCCACCTCCGATAAGACAGCCATATCTATTCCGTGTAAGCACAGCTGTACCCATCAGATATATTTCTCCTATACCGAATTTTCACAAGTGTTACCACGGGAGCTGACGAACAGCGCCTCGCTGGAGGGGACAAGGTCCCTTTTTTCACCAAGTCAGACCTGCACGGAATTTTCGCTGCGCGAGCTAAATTACGACACACGAATTCCTTGCGAACACTGTATACTTAATCATTCAACATTGATAGACGAGCCGAGGCTAGAAATTTTGATTCATCCCCGCGCGCGTCCGACACTACAAAAGCCTTTTATGGAACAGGACGCTTCTAGCCAACCATGGACATCACTGTCAAGTATCGGATTCAAGTTCTTAGCTATGCCCCAGGAAGCATTTTTACAGACGTTGATGCCGACCATCCAAAATATCTGGAACCTTGTCAACTATCATGAAATGTACCTTCTATGGTATCACGGTTGCTATCATGGTCCAACCTTGCGGTCTGAGCTTAAGAGCGTTCTTAAAGATCAAAAAGAAAAAAGTGGAATGTTGGTCATTCGTCGACTGAATCTACAGTGGCTTGCCCTACTATTCTCCATCATGGTAGGCAGCATAACTTGCGCGACCAAGGCACACCTCAAAGAATGGGGCTTCTCCCCAAAAGAGGTGACTACTCTGTCAAAACAGTGGTACAGAGCAACGATCTCTTGTCTCAACGAAGCTGAGTATATGGCAAACCCTGATATCTACTCGATCCATGCTATCACGACACTAGCCATGTCTGCACACCCGCTAGGCCATTCACAAGAGCTTGCGGTACTACTAGATGCCGCCTCGAAGATTGCTCAAGGCTTGGGTCTGAATCGGCTCAGTTATGACAAAGCACTGGAGAACATCACCAGCTCCTCCCAAGAAGAGCAACGACATAAGCTACTGAAACGTGAGATTGGCCGAAGACTCTGGTCATTTCTCTGCATTAATGACTGGATGTCCGTGCCGTTTGCAGAAGCGCACACAATCCATCCGCTCCATTTCACTACTATCAAACCCGCCAATCGAGACCACTTGTCAATGGAATCGATAACTCCCTCATTTCCAACGTATGTTAGCTACGGCAATTACCTTTACGAAATTGCGAAGCTCATGATCAGTCACCATGAAGCTATGCTTCGTGCCACAACGCAGCTCATGATGTACGAAAGCGTCATGGAGTATGACTCGCGGATTCGAACACTAGCGATAAATGAAATACCACGGTACTTCCATGTAGTTGAGCCCATTGATCCAGCCTGGCCTCAGTGGATTGTATGGGCGAGGAGGAGTTTGACAATTTGCTTCGCGCATAAGGTCATCATGATACACCGAGCCTTTATCCGCCAAAGCTTCACGAATCCCGCCTACTCATTCACACGCACGACCTGTCTAGCAGCGTCTGCAACCATTTTGAAGGAGGCGAAACAGACGAAAGACCTTGACGGTCCCATAATTTGGGTTGATAAGGCGTTCTGCATTGTCGCCGGTATTATCTTTTGCCTGGATATCTTCCACCGGTCCGGATTTGAAGCCGAGTTTCAGACCCACCGAGAACTAGTGATCGACTGCATCACGCTACTGCAGAAATCTGAGACCAGCGCCATCGCTGCTAGGGGTGCCACTCTGCTGTCGGCTCTTATCTCTGCGAGAGACCGGCTTACTTCGGAATCGGCCTGGCCAACTTGGACTATGAAGATGTCGGACATCTTCGAGTCTCTGACTAAGGAACAAGACTCGCAGTACGCCCCCACCTCTTTGGAGCTTGAGGGAAATCTTTTGGCAGACATTCTGCCTCCTCAGGCTGGCTTCTGCAACCGCTTTTTGTTCGATGACCTTCTCTACAAAATAATTTGAAACATATGCCTAAGTAGCAGATCATACAAAATACATAGTGGGAACACCAAACCAAATTTTTCCTTCCACTGTTTATTGTGGCACCGGGTTTGGCCTGTAGGGCTCCGAAAGCAATAAATATAGGGCATATTCATAACCGCATCCAAAATATTGTCGATCAAAAGGGAGAATCTTACCAACGTTATTGTTTCTTTCAACACCCAGTTATTCCTGATTCCCCAAGGAATAAAATACCAAATCAGCACAGAGGAACCCCTAACTACTGTTCATAGATGACTTAATGTCGTGCAAATCGGGAAGCGCCTGGTTGGGTGCACGTGACGAAAGTTACCCGACTCTCCACGGACTAGCCATATGAGACCAAAGGACCTTGATGCTTAGTTGCAGGTGGATAAGCTTGAAAATCGCCTGGCCCCTGGAGCACACCTATTTTTTGTGATCTGCGGTTTAGTACGTGTTACAAGTCAGAGAAATTTGCTATTATTCAGAGGGAAACATGAGGCTAAATATACAACGAGAAGATCAAGTTAATTTCAAATGTAGTTAGGTTTAGTCAGAAAAAGCGGTTTGGGAAAGTCGGATCGGAATATCGGATGTAGATCTAGGGTATGAGATTCAACAGGAATTCCTACTAGACTGGTCAAGAGCGGCTTCCCAACCTCAGAACGTCAATTTTCGGTGAGACGTACGATTACCGGATCGTCATTGCACCGGTGGGCGTGCAGCAGATTTTCCACACGGATGGGGAGACGGCGACGGCGAAGGCTGCCCAGCAGGAACATGTCACCTACATCCTCAGCACTGCATCCGCTACGAGCATTGAGGATGTCACTAAGGCAAACGGTGATGTGTCTCGCTGCTATCAGCTCTCCTGGCCTCAGAATGAAAACAAAGATATCACGGTGAGCTTGTAATCGACAGCAAAGGCAGCGGGATACAAGGTGTTAGTGGTCACTTTGGATACGTACATTCTTGGATGGAGACTCAGTGACCTGGACAATGGATACGACCCTTTCATTCGTCCGGACAACATTGGTGTTGCACTAAAATTTTCTGACCCCGTGTACTGGGTGAGACAGGATGCAAGTTGATAGGACGCGACCTGTGCTCCTCGAAAGAGAGTGGGTACGCGCTACGAGATGACGGGTTGGTATAGGGACGTGGGCAGTCGAGGCATTTTCAACTCTTTGCTTCAATAGCAAGGTCATCGTTTTCGAAACATTGTAGATTCCTTGGCGAAATTCAAGTTCAGTCAAAGTCATAGAGGTACCAAAAGTTAGGTTCTCGCATCGAGGTCGAGACACGGGACGGCACTGGAGTGGACAACCACCTAGGTCGTCATAACACCTCCAAGGAGATTTACCTAGAGCAAACTTAAACTTAATCATACAGCTAAACATGATCTCTATGATCGACAGCCAGAATTATCGCTGGGGTGTGTGGAATCCAATGGTAGCCTCTGCGGAGTTTCCAGGAATTATCGCCGGGTCTCGACCCTTAACTCCGCCTCGTCACCAGCTGGCGATCAGTCTACATCGACGTCGGAACTATCGGTATTTGGAAGGATAAGACCCCAAATTTCGCAAGACTCTACGGTAAATCTTGGAACTTATATTAAGATGTTATCGTGGGCCACGATGTCATACCACTGTCTCCAAGCTAAGAATCACTCAAAGGATTAAGAATCAGCTCCCAACATCACGATGGCCTCACCTATGATTGTCCTTGTCACTGGCGGTAACGGTGGCATTGGCTACGAAACGGTAAAAGCTTTTTACGAGTCCGACAAGTCATATCGCATTTTAATGGGTAGTCGCTCCATGGACAAGGCAAAGGCGGCTATTGAACACCTCTACGACGAGTGTCCGGGAGCTACCAACACCATCGAGGCATTGGAACTTGACATCGCCAGCGATGATTCTATTGACAAAGCATTTGCCAAAGTCCAGACCGATATCGGGTACATCGATGCCCTAGTCAACAATGCCGGTAAGTGAAAATATAAAATGAAGTACAAAAAGCATAAGATCTAATTCGATCCTAGGAGCCACTTTCGACCTAGAATACCTCGGTGGTCGGGTCTCACTCCGAGGGTGCTTCAACAATGCTTACAATGTGAATGTGGCTGGCACGCACGTCATGACAGCAACTTTCATCCCTCTTCTCTTGAAGTCAAAGGACCCACGTCTAATCTTTGTAACCGGGCTATCCAATATCAACCAAGCAGGAGAAAAATATTTCCCCACGCCGCCTCAACCCACTGGATGGCCAAAGAAGATTGACTTTGAAACCATTGGATACCGATGCAGCAAGACTGCGCTGAACATGCTGATGCTGGATTGGAACCACAAGCTCAAGGAAGATGGGGTGAAGGTTTGGTGTGTTGGACCCGGCATGCTAGCCACTAATTTGGGTGGCATGCCGGAGTTGGCTAAAAAGATGGGAGCCAAGCATCCGAGTATTGGTGGGAGGTTTATTAAGAGAGTTGTTGAAGGGGAGAGGGATGATAGTGTGGGCAAGATTGTGGTTGAGGCGGGAGTTATGCCGTGGTAAATTATGCCGTTTGTGCACGGCTTAAGTCGAAGAACAAATGCAAGTGTAAAAGACGAGTAATAAGATGATTTGACAGTGTATTGTAAATTTCAACCTCTTAACGTTAACTCTGTTCTAGCTCTCGAGTTGAAAACAACAGGCTCCCGTTCTAGATATAAGCAACAGTTTGGGGACCTTGTTGCGGAAGCATACACCCGGGGTATATCAGCGGGTATTCATACGCTGGTGGAGGGGCTTAGCGGCATTGAGAGTTGAGTATAGAAAGACCGATAAAGCCAGCAAAAAGAAGCAACAGCCTGCTACCAGGGGAGCAAGCCGACCTTGTCAACAATCTTTCCAGTATCAGTATCTCTGTAACCCTCGGCAACGGTGACGAGCCTATGGGCACCTTCCCTGGGATGCTCTCCTCCCATTGCCTTTATCAAGTCTTCTCCTAGACCGCCTAGTCCTGTAGCACAGAACCCAGGACTGACGCTGAAAACCTTGATCCCGTCCTCTTTGAGTTTATGATTCCAGTCTAGCATCATCATATTCATAGCTGTCTTGCTGCAGCGATACCCAATTGTTTCGAAGTCAATATTTTTTGGCCAACCCGCTGGTTGCGGTGGCGTGGGGAAGTAGGCCTTAGCCGCCTGGGTCATCTGCGAAAGGCCGGCTACGAAGAGCAGACGAGGTTCTGCGGACTTGAGTAGCAAGGGAATAAATGTCCAGGTCACGACATTAGTTCCTGATACATTCACATCGTAGGCTTTGTTGTAGCATTCGCGCAAGGATATCTTGGCCTGCAAAAACTCCCCATCGAAGCCGGCGCCTAGGAGAGTTCGTTAAGCTATACTTTATATAGAAGGTCAAAGGTTTTCAAGGCAACTTGCTTACCAGCATTGTTGATGAGAATGTCGAGTCGACCTTGGCTACTATTCACTGCCTCAAAGGCTTTCTCGATGGATTCATCACTGTTGAGGTCGAGTATGAGCATCTCGAGTGTATTGGTTGCACTGGGGCATTCAGCTCGAATCTTTTGAAGCGCGTCGTTACCCTTCTGTATGGATCTGCTTCCGACAAATACGTGGTAAGGGTTTGGAGACTCGATGAAGGCCTTGACAGTCTCGTATCCAATGCCACTGCTGGCGCCAGTCACGAGAACGACCTTTGTTGCCATTGTGTTGTTATCTTAGGTGGTGTGGAAGGATATGCAAGATAAAAAATTTACTATGGTGTTAATCTTCCTTGCGTGTAAATTTTGTGACTTATAGCTTTTCACAATGATCTCTCGGACCCGATTAGCTTCCGTTCCTCCTAATTAAGTAGGGCTCTGATCAATGCGGAGATAACTTGACTACAAGTAATAACGGAGTTAAAAGATAGCATATCCGTTATCCCCACACACTCTTTGTGACAAAAAAAGATGGGGCGCTGAAAAATGACATCGTTCAGACCAAAGAGCGCAGATCTGATTGGCCTCAAGGTATTGCACCTCATTGCAAGTATCCAGGTCATCGGCGGGAAGATAGCAAACTTCAGTGTCGCGCCCTCGCGAGGGGGCATTTGATTGGTAAAGAAAGCGGAAAAATCCGTGCGCAAAGCCTGCCATAGGTGTTTGCAGTGCCATGTGCCCTCCTCCCTCAATTTACTGCAAACATCAAACAGGAACAAAAACATACAACAGCAGGGATTCGCTGGTGGTCACCCACCCAACTACTAACCTGCCGGCGTGTGGCTTAAGTACGGCTGAGCGGACGGGAAGCCCTGTTCTCCACACCCTATGGTCGTATGTACTGTGTATTCATCAAAATGCACCTATATAGCCCAAGACCGGTCAACGCGATATGTAGGGTGAGCTGCATTAGTAGTTGTTGATCGGAATAATCTTGTATATATGAAGAGGGGAAGGAGGAAAAGAGAGAGATGTAGATTCTAAAGATGGAAGCTATGGATCTAGATCTATCATGGAGGCTCGAGGCAAGGGATGCGGTGTAGAGGAGCAAAATCCCTCACTGCAAACAGTATACAACCAATCAACGATGTCAAAAGCTCTGATTTTGTGTTACCCTGAGTCTGGCAATATATAGGGGGATTCTAGGTTATATAAGTAATAAACATGATGAATAATTATGTCTCAGATCCACCGCAGTATTCATACCGACATTATTCAGCGACCTTACAAATCAAATGCGGGGTGCTTGTTGAACAGCTTAAATGACTTTTGACTTGACGTTCATTTCGCATGCAACAGTTCGACTCCGCATAAAATGAAGGAAGCCATTGTTGACCCCGATCTTAACGTGTCTATTCACGACACAGCTCTCCCGGTCCCTGAGCCGGGTCAGGTCCTCATTCGGGTCGTGGTGTCCGGCACCAACCCCAAGGACTGGAAAATGCCCCGCCTCTTTGCCAAAACGCCCAGCAATTCGGGTGATGATATTGCCGGATACGTTGAAAGTGTCGGCGATGGAGTAGTCAGCTTCAGGAAGGGCGAAAAGGTGGCTGCGTTCCACCAGATGATGACCTCTGGCGGAAGTTTCGCCGAGTATGCAATTGCCTGGGAGCACACAACTTTCCGCATTCCGGAGAAGACAAGCTTTGAAGGTACGTGTTAATTTGGATCAATTGTGGGGCAGCCATTAACAATTCTTCAGAGGCCGCCACACTGCCCCTGGCCGCTATGACAGCGGCCCTCGGCCTGTACCAGATCCTGGGCCTGCCGCTGCCCTGGAGCCCGACCAGTGCGCCACAGCCATTGGTAATTTACGGAGGCGCTACAGCCGTCGGAGCGTTTGCTCTGAAGTTCGCTCAATTGTCGAATATCCACCCGCTCATTGTGGTGGCTGGTAGAGGCAGCGACTTTGTCGAAACACTCATAGACCGCAGTAAGGGCGACACAATCATTGACTACCGCGAGGGAGATCAAGTGGTTCAGACCAAGATTAAGTCCGCAGCGGCTGGGAAGCCCATTCACCTCGCATTCGACGCGGTGTCAGAGAAGGGTAGCTACCAGAATCTATGCGCATCGTTGACAGCCCCGGGCAAGATTACCGTTCTCCTCCCGCCTGCGGAAGATTACCAGATACCTGAGGGAATGAACATCGAACGAACCTACGTGGGATCGGTGCATAATTCTCCCGCAGCGGGGAAGACGATTGAAGATCGCGAGTTCGGGGCCGCTATGTTTTCCCTAATCGGGCGAGGCCTGGCTCAGGGGTGGTTCTCGGGACATCCCTATGAAGTGCGCCCAGGCGGACTGGGTGGTCTGCAAGGGGCATTGCGGGATCTAGAAGCCGGTAAAGCATCTGCAGTGAAATATGTAGTTAGGATTGCGGAAACTGCGGGCGTGCAGTAGATTCTATCTGGGTCGGGCGTCCGTCGGGGTAGCATTCAGATGACAGAAGTGGACCTGCCGTTGTGACCAGCTGAACTAGCGGAGAATTAAGGGCTCTGAATAAAATCAAAAGAGAGAATGTTCCGAGAAGTGGATAGAACAGGACAATCAGAAACCAGGTATTATTCACACATGGTTCGATGATCGGCGATTCATAGCCACGGGCGGCTCCACGTGCCAGGGGAGCGGCACCGTACAAGGTCCGAAGCCCGGAAACCTAAGCCCAAGCGAAGCCGCGTGCCTAGACTTGACCAAGACAGGAACATCGCTTGACCTGAAGATCTGCACGATCAATATCGAGATTCGGCGTGGGTTGCTTGTTTGGAATGATTGGTCTGAGGGATCTGCACTGGACTCCATTCTTGTCATATAAAACCTCCCTTGGCATCATGGGGAATAATAACAGCTTTCGCCAACTATCAAAGTTGAGTATACACTGCCTACCATGGTTGGGGCGTCTTCTTTGATCAAGGCTATGCCTTTGTTGGCCGCATCGGCCTTGGCTAGTGTCAACTATCCTACGATCCCGACTGATTTGACTACCCCCTTTCAACAGCGTCTTGCTGTTTATGGGCCAACCTGTAAGATGAGTGGACGTAATGTTGATAAACAATGACTGAACTGTGAATAGCCATGTCCGTTGGGTGGAACACGTATGAGAAGATGGATAGCAGCTGTGTTGCATACGGCACCTCTGCCGACGCCCTGAGCACTACTCTATGCTCATCGTCTGTACCAACAACTTACACTACGTCTCGAACTTGGTCAAACACGGTGATCCTGACCGGTCTGACCCCAGCCACCACCTACTACTATAAAATCCAATCGACCAACTCGAGTGTGAACCATTTCTTGAGTCCTCGCACACCGGGTGACAAGACCGCGTTCAACATGGATGTCGTTATCGACCTTGGTGTTTACGGTGCGGATGGCTTCACCACCACCAAGCGTGAGGAGATCCCTTACATCGAGCCTGAGCTGAACCACACCACGATTGGTGCTCTTGCCCGGACCATCGATGACTACGAGCTTGTCATCCACCCGGGTGACTTTGCTTATGCCGATGACTGGTACCTGAAGTTCTCCAACCTGCTCGAGGGCAAGGAAGCCTACCAGTCCATCCTTGAGCAGTTCTACGACCAGCTCGCTCCTATTGCCGGCCGCAAGGCATATATGGCCAGCCCCGGCAACCACGAAGCCGACTGCAGCGAGATCCCCTACCTTCTGGAACTGTGCCCTGAGGGCCAGAAGAACTTCACCGATTTCCTGCACCGCTTCGACCAGACCATGCCCGAGCCTTTCACTTCGTCCTCGACCAGCACCACCGCCCAGGCCCTCGCAGCCAAGGCAAAGACCTATGCCAACCCGCCCTTCTGGTACTCCTTCGAGTACGGCATGGCTCACGTTGTTATGATCAACACCGAGACCGACTTTCCCGACGCGCCCGATGGGACAGATGGTTCTGCCAAGCTGGACAGCGGTCCCTTCGGCACAACCGGCCAACAGATCGAGTTCCTGACAGCCGACCTCGCCTCTGTCGACCGCAGTGTCACCCCTTGGCTCATCGTCGCCGGTCACCGCCCCTGGTACAGTACTGGCTCGGACAACGGCTGCGACTCATGCCAAGAGGCATTCGAGGATCTATTCTACAAGTACGGCGTCGATCTTGGTGTGTTCGGCCACGTCCACAACTCCCAGCGTTTCCTGCCCGTTTACAACGGTACTGCTGATGCGAACGGCATGACCGATCCCAAGGCGCCTATGTATATCATTGCTGGTGGTCCTGGTAACATTGAGGGCCTTAGCTCTGTTGGCACCGAGCCTTCGTATACTGAGTTTGCGTATGCGGATGACTACAGCTATGCCCAGCTGAAATTCTTGGATGAGAACAACCTCCAGGTTGATTTCATTCGCTCGGAAACTGGTGTTGTTTTGGATTCTAGTACTTTGTACAAGAGCCACACTGAGTCGTTTGTTGTGCAATAGATAGATAGCCTTAGAATTGGGCCAAGTGACCCTGTGAGATGATTGAGAGGAAAATTGATTCACGAGATGATTTTTGCGAGCTTGCCTTCCAATAGATGTAAACATTCCAATGCCTAGATTATTCAGTCACGAAAGCGTCATGCAAACCCTAATATTCCGAGCTATTAGTGCCACCACCACCGTTCCATGCACAGTGGGAATCCCATTTTGAGGCTGATCTAGAAATCACGTACTGCCATTGATATATCTATTATAAGTTTATGGTTCAAATATGATCTGGTGAAATATAGATGCTCCAAATCAAGTCCCTGTGGGTACGCCCGATGGGACTAGTCATCAGGGCTTTTCCTCGACTCCACCTGACCAGCCCGCAATTGCCGAATCCGGAACTAATTGAACGCGCTCACGACCCCTAGGCCGACTCATTGCCATACCGTCGCCATCCCAACTATTATTGTGGACATACGGACTTGCTTTTCAAGGCAACAGTATTCAATGGAATACTCTAGTGTGGTCTAATATCAGTGTCCTAGAAAGGCATCGATTGAACGCGTCTAAAGATATGAGCATCTTTGGAGGCAGCCACCAATCCTCAAAGGAGCAGGCTCAAATGCTATTTAAACATATGAAAAGACCGCGAAACTCGGAAAAAGCCATCTATCCAGCACAACTCAACTATAATCGTTTGTTCAAACTGAATTCACATTTTGTGGATTTCTTTTTCACTGCTTGATCATGCATTGCGTCCTACTTATACTGGCATTGCTTGTCAGCTTTCCTAGCGTGATAGCGACGAAATCTTCGACCTGTACACCATTTTCTTCCTCATTAATGGAATTTTCCTCTGGGTTTAAAAAACATTCGGCCCCATTAGTGAAGGACGAATACACGCCGAATTTTATCCGGCACAAGTGGTACGAGTTTGATGTTTACATCTGATGCTTCTCTGTTCGTACCCGAAATGAGATCTTAGGAATCAGAATATGTCTCACATTACATCGGGCTATATCAGCAACTCACCATCCCTTGGTATCGTTCTTGCTAATGAAGCCTCCGATAGTGGCTTCGCCTCGTCACTGTTCAACTATGCCAACACTACGCAGGATGGTCTAGTGGACAACACTTTGACAACATATACCAACAGTTCCCTTGTCACAAATGTTTGGAGGGGTTATGTAAACTCAGGCTTTCCTTTGTTCGCTCGGGACTTCCTGGTCACAAACAAGGCCATCTTTGGCGGATTGGTCAGAAGGCGATTCAATGAAGGTTATGTGGCGTCTGTAAGTACCCCTAGGGAGCACCCTTGCCAGTCCAGAGAGACACAAAGAGACATAAAGATCGAGCGACGTTAACGAGGTCACAAAAAGTGGAATATCATGTATCAAGGGGCGATTCCGGTCACAGTGTACGTCAATGATTGCGACATTGTGGTTGGCTACGACTTCTTTGCTACTGGGGAGCGGACCAAAGTGATCAATGGTAGAAATAGCTCTACTCACCCTGCTCACCCATTTCGCACTCGGGCGACACCCACCCAACTACTGGTGGAGCTAGCACATAGGCCACACGCCGGTAGTTTAGTAGTTGAATGGGTGACCACCAGCGAATCCCTACTCTTGTGTTTCTGTTCCTGTGATTTTGGCAGTGAATTGCGGAAGTGAATTGCGGAAGTGGAGAGTAAACAAAAACCAAATCGGGAAATATAGATCGGATCGCCAGGCCGGGGCGACATGACATCACCCACAGTTTGTCGCGCTTTTACGTCGCCACGACGCGTCTAACTCAACCACCTTCAACACAGTCAATGCCATGGCAAAGCGCACCCTAGACGCTTTCTTCAAGCCCGCCGTCGAGGCCGCATCTAAAAAACTCAAGACGGAGCCAGACACACCACCAGAACCCACAGGACCCCCGGATACGCACGCCAGCTACCCAACTCCAATCCCGCAGCTCCCCTCGCACATCACCGTCAGCCTCGAACATGGAACTCCAGCCCGCGAAGGCCGACGCATAACCGACCAGCCCGACCTCGACCTCCTCTACTTCCAACCCTATATCACGCGGACCACAGCAAATGAACTATTCAAATTCCTCCGTCGAGACCTGCCCTTCTACCGAGTCCAATACAACATCAAACGAGGCGGAGTCGAAACATCAATTAACACACCACGCTACACAACCGTCTTCGGAGTCGACGAAACCGCCACATTCATCCCACGACCCGAAGTCAATTTCAAAGATGATTATGAAGATGATGGAGGGGAAGATCCCGAGACTCTAGCTCTCGTCAACGCAACGAGCAACACACCAATCTCCCCCTCCAAATACCAATACACACCCCGCCCTATCCCAAAATGCCTCGACGGCCTCCGCCGCCTTGTCGAATCCGCTACATCCTCCAAATACAATTTCTGTCTAGTCAACTACTACGCCAGTGGCAATGACAGCATAGCCTTTCACTCAGACGACGAGCGTTTCCTCGGCTCATCCCCCTGTATCGCATCCCTGTCCCTAGGCGGGGAACGGGAATTTGTCATGAAGCACAAACCCCCTTCTAACGGGACACAGACACCGGGACAATCACACGTTACACAGAAGGGTGCGGGCCGCCCCGCGGGACAGCTAAAGATGCCGTTGGCGTCGGGCGATATGGTGATAATGCGGGGATCGACGCAAGCGAATTGGCTACACAGCATACCGAAGCGGAAGGCTGGCGGAGGAGGAGGGATACAAGGACGGATTAATATTACTTTTCGACGGGCTGTTGTTCCGGCTGGGACGAACAATTATTATAACTATAATGTTGGGTGTGGGAGAGTTTGGAGGTGGGATGAAGGGGTTGGAGAGATGGTTGAGCAGAGAGATAAGGAGGAAGAGAAGGACAAAAAGAGGGCAAAGAAGGGGACAAAGAAGGGGACAAAGAAGAGGACAAAGAAGAGAACGAAGGAGAAGACGAAGGAGAGAACGAAGGAGTGGACAAAGAAGAGGAAAGGGTTGAAGAGATTAAGGATACCACCTACATGTCCCTGTTAAAGGCAGGAGGTGTAAAAACTACGTCACACGGCCATTGAATGAAGACTTCGTTGGAAATCAGTTGATATCATATCATTTACAGCCAAGCAGCCAGCACTAATGACGAGACAAGCGATGCAGGCAGTAAGCCCGAGAAGAAGAAGAAGAAGAAGAAGAAGAAGAAGAAGAAGAAGAAGAAGAAGAAAAAAACTCCATGTACATGACACCCAAATGAATAGACAAAAGAAGCAAGTCGTCATGTGCATTGGCGCTGTTCATCGTTCCTGAAACAGGGTAATTGTAATGAATACAAGGGTGAGAAGGGTAAAAAGCGAGAAAATTAGAAGATAACCTCCTCGCCGAAGACATCAGCATAGCATTGGAAGACATCCGGGCAGCTAGTTCAGTCAGCAATGATCAACATGGGTGGACACAGTGGACACGCCACTAGTGGGGGTGGTGGTGGGCCAGGGACTATGTAGACTTACAAAATGGGGTCCTTTCCGAAAATGATATGCCACATGTACTCCATAATATTGGAGGTGACTTCGTCGGACAGGTCATTGTTCAGAACCCAGTTATACATGCGCAGGTAATCGGTGCGCGGGCGCTGAAGAACCTGTTCCCGGGAAACGGCAAATTGCGAACAACACGGGGCAGCGATCTTCTCTGGAACCTTGGAGTTGCCGAAGATCTCCTTCCAAGCTGCGGCGTAATGCTTCTCGCCTGTGTCACCGGGTTTCGCAGGCTTGCGGAAAGGCTGCATTTCTTCAGGGCAGCCGGGGGACAATTGACAACGGAGGTTGACGAAACCTTCCTGCTTCACAAATTCATGCTGCAGGGCGCGGATGGAGTCGACATTGTTATAATCCATTGAATCGACGTGCCATGCTGTCTCGTATGTACCGCGATGAGCGTGGACGAAGACGACAACGGCGGGGAGGTCGTCGTAGTGATCGACGAGGAATTGGAGGTAGGGGAGGGCCTCGCGACCCTTATTCTTAGGCGTGTGATTGGGGACGGAGGGATCATCGACCGTGTAAATGAAATTGCGCCATCTAAAATGCAATCGCGTCAGCCAAGCCCCCCTGACCCGAGGTCGGGGGAAAAAAAAACACTTACTCCGCAAGCTCCTGAGATACCCAAGTAGTGTCTTCCTCGCGCAATTTGCCGATCACGATGATACCCTCGTCAGGAACGACGATCGGAGTGTTCTGGTAAGTCAATTCGACCTTGTGGCCAGTACCACTGCCCCATTTCCGGCGCGAGGGGTTCTGAGTCGATGGCTGGGGATGGAAAACGGAGCGGAAATCGGTGGTGTCGAAGTGCCAGAACGAGGAGGGGTGAGGGCCTTTAGGTAGGACGCGACGATTGAAAAGGATGAAGCCGAGAATGATGAGCACAGCGGCTGAGCCGATGCGGAGTGATAACCTCATGGCATGCCGTGGTGAGCGCGCGCGACACTCGGAGGAAGAAAAGGAGTAGCGTGAGAAGGTGAAACGGGGGAGGGGTTTAGTTAACGGCGGAACCCCATGCGGTGTCGGAGAGTCTGCGTCAACGAAGAGCACACCCTGGACCTCAGAAACGAGTGATCAAGAGGTAATAAAGGAAGGCAGATTAAGAACAGGGAAATAAAGGACAGAGAAAAAAAATTAAGGCGGAAATGGGCGACTCGAGGAAAGTGCGGGTTCACATACATTTAATTGGCGGAGGCACAGATGGGGCGATGCACTTGTAAATCCCCCCAACCCACACAGTCTGGCCCCGTCGATCGGGCCCCTGGGACCCTCCATGCGAAGTTGACAGGTGGTTGCATTGGCAAAGGCCTATGTTTTGGTTTTATTTTCTTATTTTATTTGGATTATCGGCTATAGAATCAACGAAGCGTTATGTTTCACCTGGAACAATCGGGCATTTCACCCTAGGACCCAAGATAGTCAGCGTCATGACCCGACGCAGGGGGAATGCTCCATTCTACTCGCTCACAATCTGATTGACCGCTGATGTCAGATCGACATGTGCCTACGGATGATTCTGCGAGGGGCAGCCCAGAGGCAACACATCGGAGATGATCGAGCCGATCCGTGATAGATGACAGGATCCCTACAGGTACGGACAGAGGTCGGAAAATAGCGACGCTGATTTAGCGGGTAAGCAACACCCGATCGGATCGTCGCATGGTTCAGGGGTTAAACCTTGGAAAAGAAAATGAATTTCCCGCTAAACTAAAAGGCACGGCTTGGACCGCCCGAACGCCTCTACCTATATACATGCACTTGCAAGAATCATGGACATCGGACAAAAGAAAACAAAAAAAAAAAACTCAATCATTAGTATGCGTAGGTGGAATATTAATATCAAATTCCTCATCGTCACCCGCAATCCTCCCCACAACACACCTCGTCCTCTCTAAAAGTGCAGCAGCATTCATGCACCGATGCTCCCCCAAATGTACCATAAACGCATCCAACGTCTCAAACCTAGGCGCCATCTCATTCCTCTGCGCACAACAAAAAATACACCCAAAGGCCCCCCGAACGTAATTCGGCATCTCCACACCAGCCCGCTTACATTCGACATGACTCTTGGCGAGAAAGAACCAGCGATAGCGAATCCCCGTTGCTTTATGCACGTACGCGTGTGTGTCAGGGCGGTGGTCATTCCGGCTGCTCTCTTTGGCGAGAGGCATTGCGAAGAAACATTTGTAGCAGCGTAATTTGGTAATTAGGGTGAAGTAGCCGACGGGTTCGGAGTGGACTTTGAGTCCGCCCATGCCGGAGGAGAGTTTCCAGGCGCCTTTGCAGAAGCCCGAATATTTGTTGTCTTTGCTAGGGGGCCAGTAGGAGATTCCATTTGGGTTGCGAGGGATATACATGGATGGATTTGAGGAGGTGGTGTCTGAGGATGCGATGGATGGGGCCGAGGCGCGGTCTTGGTTTGATACGCGGGTTGTGGAGGAGGCTACGCTGGGTGCTGGTGCTGGTCCTGGAACCGAAGTTGGGGTTGGTGCGATGGGATGGTCTCCGATTTGGGGTGGGCTTTGGAGGGGTGGGATATCGCCTTCTTCAGCGGATTCGAACTCGGTCTCTGAATCAGTTTCCGACTTGGTATCGTGGTTCCACATGTTAGTTGTCAGTTCGCGGGTGATTTCGTCCTGTTCGACTTTTTTCCTCTGTTTCTTGACCTTGGGAGGCTCTTCAATCGCCTCGGACTCGTCTTCTCTGATCTCTGGCTCCGTGGAAGCCGTCGGTGGGATGGCTGGATAATAGAAGGCAGGGCGCGGGATAGACTCAACTTCCGCGACAGACGTAGCATCAGCAGAAGACCGACGTCGGATGTCCTTCCACCAGGAACCGATGGATCCAAAGGTCGATGATCGTCTTTCACGGGACAGGAGACTAACGGATTCAGCCTGACGAACAAAACCATGCGACTCTGGCGGCGAGCCTGTGATCATGCCAGGGAGACTAGTACCCCCAGAGGCGCGTCCCCCTCTAGACCAGTCCCTCGTATCCGCCACCTGCGACGAGGACAGCCTTTCAATCAGTCCCATATAATACGCAAGACTAGATGACGGATCAACAACCGGAGGCCCAACAGCCAGAGCAATCGGCCAAGGAACTGCCGCCGTCTGAGCCTGTCTCTGATACAAATCATGCAACACAGATATAGTACTGGCCCTCCCCCGATCCGACGCCGCAAGCAGCTTGAGCATATCCAGCCGCGCTTCATGGCCCTCTGCGTATCGCAGATGAGTCAGAAGGGCGCTTTGCAAGGTAATAACGATATCCTTCATCTGCTCGCGAGCAATAGCGTCGCCCTCCTCATATCGTCGGCCGAGGTGAGCAGCGCGGATATTCCAGTGCGTGAGGATATCTTCGTGGCCGCGAACTAGCGACCACTCGAGGTCCGTGGCGGAGGTCTCGTTGGAATGACGGCGATTATGCCATTTCTCCTTGATAGTACGGAAAAGTTGACCTCCATCGTGGTAGGCGGAGACGACTACATATGTCCAAGTTAGATGTCACAAGACAAGTTACGAGATTGAAGGATGCGTACCTGCGGCCACACAGGCGACAACGGCGATCACCTCCGCCCCAGACATGGCTACCGCTGTGATCAGGAACAGGTATGTACGCGGAGAATACAATAGCCTATAAGCGCAGTCAATCCGGAGAGCAGGGGTTTCGCTAGAAAGCTTGGTGCAACAAGAAATGCGTCTGCGTCTGTCAAGAAGCAGGAGCGTGAAAGAAGAAAACGCCGAGACACAGGGCCCTAAACGGCACGGGCCATGACTGTCAACCTGTCCTGGGGGAGTTGGCAAAGAGGGGCTATAGCCCAGGCGCTAAGAGATAGCTGCAGAAGGAGATTGGACCGCGGGAGATGATTTAGCGAGGAGGCTGAGCGCGATAGCTGATTGTCGAATGGTGTCCAGGGGTCGTGACAGATAGGATTAATAACTGGCTTTCTATTATCTGGCTACATGGATAGGCACCTAGGTACTTTGGTTTTTGCCCGGGTAAAATGCACGGAGACATAGTGACAACCTTCATGTACTTTAATCTGGGTCCGATCTACCCCGGACCCATTCGATCTCCACTTCGCTCCGCCGTGATGTCATGAGGTCCTATTTTGCATTATAGCAAATGAGATCGCTCGTTCCTGAATAATGATTTTTGAGTGCTTATTCTTGATAAGAAAGTAGATTTACAAACTTTGCATGGCCAGTTTTCCGATTGCCTCCTCATCTCATCATAATGAGGATTGACCTCCGTAGGGGAAGCCAAAAAATGACACAAACATATCTGGTAAAATGACTGACATTGCATTTCTATTAGGAGAGGGTTGAGTACAGCCATTCTCGAGATCGGCTTAACCAATACCACAGAGTCACTCTTTTCTGGCCCCACCAACAAGGCCTCAGCGTAAATCAATCATTGAGCAGGCCGCATGAATTTGAGGGCCAGCGTAATATACACCTTGTTTAGTACAAGGTCTTCCTACGTAATATTACAGATGAGTACAATAATGCAGTCGAATTTTATATCTAAGAGGAATTTTATATTATGTCGTGAATAGTAGATAATACTGGTCCCGCTAATGCTTCCTCGGGTGTGTGCATTAGTATAGGCTAGATGTAGAATCAAGAAGACCAAGATTTGGGTGTCGACTATCCAAATCTTGGTTAACGTTAGATCTAGATGATGACAGCGCACTTATCGATGAGAGGACGTCGAGAATCTCCGATTGACGTATATCAGACTTCGGGATGGGATTGAGTCGTCCTCCACCGTTGGCCAGTATAGTCTCCACGCGCTATGGTTCATATATGATCGGTATGCAGTGATGGATGGCTCCTGAATAAGCAGCACATCCAGGTCTTAGGTCTGGTAATTGTTGATAAGGGCTTCCATGCCCGCCCTCGATTTTCATGATATTCAATTGTAGGACTCGGAGGTCATTTTCCAACATCGTGAGGGAGGTAGATAGACGGGCGTCGGTTATAGGAGGCCCCTGGTTACATGCTCACCCCTATAGTCTACACAGTGTGCTCTAATGCCCGGTGGGAATCATGCTCGTTCATGCTAGCCGCCGCAGTGGCGGCACCGGGGCAATTCTTTGCACGACCATGCTAGATGACCGAGCCCCTGGCAGCGAAAGCACTGCTTCTTTTTCATTTCGTATTTCTCTACCCTTCCAATGTATCGTTAGTCGATTAGAGGGCCGTAACGGTATCAAGCATCTACATATCCATCGACGCGAATGTGTCACGGGCCAGTGCGCGCCATTGGTCACGAGAACGCGTACGGGGAACTTCCCTTCTTTAAGATTTTTGAACATATTTTGCAGGCTAGCTAGATTGAAGTTAAGACCTGCTTCAGCCCTTCACATATCATATTGCATGTCCATTATTTTCAAGCTAATTTATTTGAACCATTTCAAGGTGAACTATCTGGCTTTGCCCCCGAGTTTGCAGCTTTTCGTGCGGCAATCTGTCTTTTCAGCTCCGCCTCTCTGCCTGCCAAAACCTGCATTTGTTGCAAGCGTTCTCTCTCTTCCGCGATACGCGCCATTTCCGCCTCAAGTTGCGCCAACTGCGCATCACTGTTTTCCACACCTGACGACGGCCGCTCAGTATCCTCCCAAGTCTTCACTTGCGGGTTCTGCGACGGTGCACGAGAGTCGGTCAAGGCACTCGTTGAAACATCTAACCCTCTACTTGGGATCATTTCAGAGGCAGGCGTAGAAGCGGACGATGTGACTGCCTCGCGAAATACATCGTTACTTACGGATGAGTAAGTCTTAGCAGAGTGATGGCCTAGCGAGGTCCTGTGCTTCTGCGTAGCGAGAGCTGCCGCGGGAGGATATTCGACGGCAGAATTGCCACTCAACTCGTAAACACTGGGATTCTGCGTACCGGCAGCCACGGGTGGTGATTTGAATATTAAATTGCTGTCTGGTTCGTGAAGAGCGGTGCTATCTGCTTCGGCAGGGAGGTTTTTTGACTCTGGCGAGTGATTCTCTGGCCACGGTTGTTGACTGATTTCAGGAATGTTGTTGCCTGCGCCATTTCTCCTGTTCGCTCTTCGCTTGCGGAAATAACATAATAGAGATAAAGCTAATATTATGACAACTAGTGGAATTGTCACTCCGATGCCAGCTTTTGCTCCAGTCGAGAGATCCGAGGAGGATGAAGACAATGCGGTATTTGTAGACGCGCTTCCCGTGGTAGTTGGCCTTGGTGATGATGATATTGTTTCACTGCTAGTTGAAGCTGTCGCTGTCGCCGAAACCGGTGTATCCGATGTTGCCGTCGTAGGCTGCAGCGAAGAGCTTGGAGCATAATAACTAGCGGTGGAATAGTAACCTCCGTCACTATAACTGGCAGTGGAATAGTAATCTCCATCGCTATAACTGACTTGATCATCTTGTCGTCGATGCAACCCCGCGAACTGAGCCATATATTCTGGCAGTTGAATATGCTCGCCGACCAGCTCGCAAAAGTCAAGAATGCGCGATGGAGTCCCTTCAAAGAAATAAAAATTAGATATGGTGAAACGCGAAGCGAGAGAAGACAGGAAGTTACAAACAGCGTTGATCCGGGTTCACTGGGCATGAGTTCATGCAAGCTTCGACGCCTTCATCCGCTGCGATATCTGGGATCGATCTGCATATGCAACTAAAGTCGGAGTAATGGCAACCGCAATTCAAAGCTTCTGGATACAAGCATTGGAACTGTTGTTTTCAAAATTTTCATAATGCAAAGTCAGTAATCATTCTCAGTTGTCGGCCTTGGCTAGCCGCGATTCAACAGAAGCGACGTACAGAGCAGCGTGGGATTTCCGAGAACCATCTCACTTTTAGTCGGTCGTTTCTATCGTCCACTTTTCTGCTCTCCAGCTCTTGACTTTCCATGTCCGTTTCCTCAGAGGGGAAAACTCCTAAAGCTTGAAAGCCCCTTTTTATCGCAGCTTGAATCAACATCTCGGCGGTTTCCCGACCTGGAACTTCGCCTGCTGAGAACCAGATCTCGAGGAGGATTCGAGGTATGAAAACCTGTGTCCTGCTGAAAGGTGTGAGAACAGCAGGGAGCTGCACTTACTGGTTTGCATTAATGGGCTCGCGAGTTTGTTTATTTGCTAAAATCGCCCCCAACGAGGATGAATCCACCAGTGACTTCCTTTAGCCTATTAGGTACCGCCTCAATGCAACCTAAACCTCTGTCGACCACGACCGTCGATTTTTTCTCGCCGGGGACTCCAGTACGCACCCCTGTCCCTCGTGATGGGAAATTACAGCCCCAGGGGACGTTTCTCCTCTCTTGTCGCCGATTTCCCCATAATTATTCGCATAGGAAGAGTCAAGCAGATCTCAAACCGTAAGTGTCTCCTTAGTATATCCAGAACCTTATACGTTCTCTCCAAAATAAAACAACCCTATCTTCCTCTGAATTACGAGGAGCGCGAATCAATTTAGCCCCTACTACTGTATTTTCTGCTGCATTAGTTAGTGACCAATGCGCAGGATTAGCGCTCGAAAAGGTAACGACCCCCGAGCGTATGATTAGGTTGTGTGGGAAATTCCTCCAATTGGTGAACGAGACAGGGGTAATTTTTGATGCGACGAGGTAAAAAGTACCACCGGCGATGGCCTTGGCATCACGAGTATCTAAGGCCACGGCCTCTTTCCCTGTTTGAAGAACTTCATGTTACAGCGCTTTAACTATGTCAGAAAGGACTGGAGCAAAAATTAGTGTCTTTACTTATGAACAAAGCCAAACAGTCCTGCCTAGACGAAAAGGGACACGGCGAAAAAGAAGATATTTTTCTACGGTTTCGATGAGGCCTTTAAGCGAGCATAGACTCTTCATGCTGTAGTAAGCCTTGGAATACTTACAGCGGATGGTAATAATACGTTTATTGCGTAGATTTATTGATATTTCACAGGAATTTTATGCCAATAGTGCCTTGTAGCTTGTTAAGTTACGGTATCACACAAGATGCATCTTACGGTGTCCCTCAATTAGATGCGGCCCGCTCAATGATTGCTCTGCGCTGAGGCCTTAGCGGTGGGGCCAGGAAAGAGCTTCTATGAGTTTAGTGGATAAGCCGATTTCGAGAATGACATTATCAAACTTCTGAGATGATTCTGAAAATCTTCTTAAGAATATTTGAGGGTAGCTCGTATAGTCCTGATTAAATAGACTTTAGCCTGCCCGGGCTCAGCGATACTGCCTTGTCATTTAATAACCGACCATATTCTCAAATTCTCATAAAGAAATGACCATGTAACAGGGCAGAAAGAAAGAAAACAATGAGAAGAAGATATTGAGATATCTTATAATATGAGCAGGCGAAGGGGATCGTAAAGTAAATGGACCAGCAGTGAATGCTACACCTCTCAAGCCTGTCACAGCAAGCACAACAAACTATCAACATCCAAGTATAATTCTTCAATCAGCAATCTTCGAACACTGCCATCCCATTTGTCCGTCTTTTCCTTCCTCTGCTATCTGCTATCCATGACAACTCTTCACTTCCTGACCAGGAATTGACCTTTTACTCCCAAATTCATGGTGTCCACATACTTTCTTATTCAATATGCTAGGTGACGTATACCTAGTGTACTTCCCCCTTCCCCGCAATCTTAGTCCCACCCTAACTTCCTTAGCTAAGGCCTAGAGCAACACCACGTTTTACCGCATCCAGAGTGTAGCTATCCATGAATAGGTAGTTCAATTTCACCGTAGTAGGTAATAGTTATAACTTCTCATCAATTCATGCGCTATTCAAATCAAAAGATTGTCCTAGGTAATACAGAAGTCGTAAGAAAAAACATACAAGGTTAGCATTTCATATGATCATCTACGGTGGCCCACTAGCCTAGGTGGCCCACTTACAACAAACTTCACAATAGGAATCTTGGAAGACTCCACCGCTCAGAGTATTGGACTTGGCAAGTTAGTAAAATCCCATAAACATTAGATGGTGGAGCCGATGGTGGACCCGAAACTTGGAGGGGGCAGCGTGGAGCCGGCACGAATGTGCCGACATCAATGAATTTTACCCCCTTGGCTGTATTGCTTAGCTCGCGGACTTGTCGCCGATCTACTAGGTAATTATTTCTATATACCAAATAATGCGGGGTATACGTACTTCAATGGGGAGCTTAAGATATAAAAGGTGGATTATTCATTCTAACATGTTTACTATGAGCGTCGTCCATAACGGTCTTCTGAATATTCATTCCTACTTGACGTCAGTAGCGTCACTAAACTTCGAGTCGGTAATCCACGATGCACTACTCCGGTCTATTCGGTATGCTTCGCCTATTGCTGAGCCTCTCAGTGGTGTTTTCCGCAATTGGAGGCTCATCTATGTCTGCTGCTGCTGCATCCATCGGCAGGAGTAATTCGATCTCGTCGAAGAGCCATTGCCCCCGGCAGTGTATGACAGATATTGTCACTGAGATCCTGGATTCCATGGTGGCGCATAACCCGTATACCCTGCCAATGGCATCGTTCTATGTAGCGACTGAAAATTCACACCCGGCCGCGCTGGGTATGATGACTCTTTGGCGCACCGTCACCAAAGCAGGACCACCTAGCCTGCTAGCCATCGACACCAAGAAGGGATCGGCATATTTCGCCCTAGATATCAGTGAAGGCAACGATATCACAGAATCAGTACTTCGGGGTCGAGTCAAGGTAGTCAACCGGCAGATCACAGAACTGGAGCTGTTTATCAACCGCTACCGTGGTGACCATGGCTTTTCCTTCTCAGCCGCGGAACTTCCGACAAATTATGAGGTGTTGATGTCGCCGCCAGCTAATCGGACGAAGGCAAGCCGGGCAAGTTTGATAGCCTTAAGTGAGGCCCTGTTCGCCACTTCCAGCAATTTATCCGTCAGTGTCGCAGACTCCTGCCAGTTCACTGAAGCGGGCTGGAAAGTCATCGATCCAGGGACGAACGGAAACGGTTCGACCACTCCGCTCGGCTGCTCCTGGCCCGATGATCATCCCACAGACACAAACGCACGAGTGGGTCTGGTCGTCGATGAGGAGTTAGGCTTCGTTGTGACTAGCGGCGTGATTCCTGGTAAAGTCTTCGGCTACGGGAATATCTCTGCCTTCATTCCGAATTCCATGACTTCGGCACAGGAAGCACAGGAAGAGTGGTTGGAGGAGATGAAAGTCTTGGACATCATGCCGCTGCTCACGCCTACTGGAGCTACTGGTGACACTCTTGAAGTACTCCAGTACTACAACGACGAGCTCCAGGCCATGCAGATCAATGTCTACTTGAGCGGACCGAATATGACATCTCCCTGGCTTTAGCATATGGTGTCGATGAGATGTGGGCGTTCAGTCGCCTTGCTCATATTATGTGAGAATGTGGATTCTGATATCCTGAGCCGTGCCTGTGACTCGCTCGAAGATTTCTAGTAGCTTAGATGGTCTTCATTCTCATAGCTTCAATATCATCTTTGCTGGCATCTATCACTACCGTCTGTCAGTAAACCTCCCTCGCTATGTTAAATCATAAATAATGGATGAAACCGAATTGAGATCTATCAATTGACCGTTTTGGAGTATTTAAATGAATTTTGCATAGATGGTTACAAACAGGCTCTTCCTACACGTGGGATTCGGGAGCATGACGAGGTTGAATTTCCACTACGCTTGCCTTTGCAGATGAAGTACATAGTAGGTGCGGACATTAAATGTTCAATTTTTGTCTTCGAGGTAAGGTTCCAACGTTGTGAGACTCCGAGTTTCGAGGTTAATATATGTTTTATGAAGCCTACAAGGCATTCATATATTCATCCTGGCGCATTTTCTGGTGAAATATGTAGACGAAGGGTATATATATATGTGTCGAAATAAGTACCTATCTAATAGACCCCATACCCCATCCAACATTTGAATGTTCAAACTAACTAGATCACGGACAATGTTCCAAATTTACAACTTCGGCTTTTCATTAAACCTCGGCGCCTCAAGCGGATCATAAGCCCCAAGACCCAGCGTATCAATAGGAATGAACCCAGCATGCCCACCCTGCAAACCCCTTGTATCCAACAAACTGGGGTTCAAATCCTCAACCCGCGGGGCCCCAATCAATCGCATATTCATCTCCATCTCATCCTTAAGCAACTGCATAGCCCGGTTGACACCATCAAGGCCATAAGAACTCATAGCGAAAAGGAACGGCCGTCCAATACCAACGCCCTTGGCACCAAGACAGAGGGCTTTAATGATATCAGTGGCGCGACGAACACCGCCATCCACGTAGACCTCGATGCGCTTTTCCCAGCCTCGTTCGCGGAGAGCGGGCATGACCTCGGCGAGGACTTCGATTCCAGAACGGGCTGTTTCGAGTTGTCTACCGCCGTGATTGGAAAGGACGACGCCGTCGACGCCGGCTTCAACAGCACGGAGAACGTCTTCGACGCATTGTACGCCCTTGAGCACGATTGGCATCTTGGTGATGGAGCGGAACCAGGGGATGTCTTTCCAGGAGAGAGCGGGGTCGATGAAAGAGGAGATGGCACGGGCGGCGCCCTGCGAGCGGTCGACGCTATCATCGCCGGATTGAACGTTTGAGCCTACATCGGAGAACTTCGAGCGCATGTCTTTTTCGCGACGGCCGAGTTGCGGTGCGTCGACGGTTATGAAGAGGCCCTTGCAGCCGCGTTTTTCGGCGTGGGCGATAATTTTTTCAGTAATTGCGCGGTCCTTGTTCACATAGAGTTGGAGCCATTGGACTTGGTCGCCTTGGGCGGCGTCCATGATTTCGTCGAAGGAACACGAGGCTAGGGTTGGGATCATTTGGATTACGTCGTGTTGCTTGGCGGCTTTGGTGAGAACGACTTCACCCTCTGCGTGGCCTAGTTTACCGAGTGCGGTTGCGGTCACATAGAAGGGGATTGAGCATTTGGTGCCGAGCATTGTAGTGGAGAGGTCGACGTGCTCGACGTCGACGAGGACGCGGGGGCGGAACCAGATTTTGTGGAAAGCGGCGTGGTTTTCGCGCATGGTCTGCAGGTGTTAGTTTTACACCGTATAGTATGTTAGTGGGGACTTACGATCTCGTCGTCGGCTCCGCTGGAGTAGTAGGCCCAAGCGGTCTTCTTCATGACCTGGCGTGCGACAGCCTCAAAGTCCATCAGGTTGTAGCAGGCAGCCAAAGGAGGCATGCGTTTGACACGCTCGAGGCGGCCGGATTCCTCGGGGTCGAATGCCTTCTCCTCTTGCTCGACAGTGGCCATGTCGACCTCGCCGAGGTGCTTGGACTGGTCGAGGAACTTGTCCAGGGTGTCAGGCGGATGGATAGGGTCGAATTCCTCGGTCGCATCTTTACCAGCATACTTGAGAATGATCTTTGAGCCGCCGGGGTGTTCTAGATAGTGTTAGAGAGTGTGAAAAGCGTTGTTGCGGTAGGATTGGAGTAGGTACCAGGGAGGAACTCGGTCACGTCGTAGGCCTTGCCGTGGACGATCACCCAGCATGAGTCCTTGGAGTTGTGCTCGGCGACAGCATCGCCAGTGAGCTTGCCGGATGTCATTGTGATAAGATGTAGGCTGTGTTATTGCATGAGGATTGAACAGGAGAAAAAGACGAAGCTAAAGACCTGAAGTCAAGAAAGAAGACCTCGGGCTAATGGGGTCCGGGGGAGAAAGTTGCGGGGAGCTTCTCGGCCGATTCGGGTGGATGGCCACTCATTGCCCCCCGATTATCAAACTATCGTCCACCTCTTCATCTCTTCATCTCTTCATCTCCGCATTTCTTCATAACATGAATCGTAAATTGTAGTGATTGTTGATGCTATTCACAATGACTGGGGTCTCGCATTCTGTGTCAGTCGGATTGTGACCTCATAATAATCCACTTCGCACAGTGCAGCACAGTCAAGGGCCTCGGCTCATCACTGTCCACTCGCAAACCTCCAATTACAAGCACGGGGTCTACTCCCCCGAAGACAGAATGTTGGGAGTCGAATGCGGTAACTAATCTCTGCAGATACTAATAGTGTAGCCCCATCCTTTTGTTATGCGATCAACATAACTCCCACATATCAAGAATGCCGGGTTGCCCAACGAGGCAGGGAGCGCGAGTTCAGGAAGGCCTGCCGAGTGGTGCCTCACCGCCTTACAACCTTACAGTCAAGGTGTCTATAAGGTGTCAACGACACGTGATCCGCCACTCGTCTCAGGCCGCAAACGTTCAAATCCCAAAACTCAGTCCCAGCGCTCTGGATCAAATCAAGTTAAAAAGTCGCACTCCGTATACATGAATAGGCCCTGTGCACCATGGAACTCTCCAACCTTCACCCCGGGGAGATCTCGAACCGTAGTTTGGGTCAAGCAACGGGCGTCTCTGTCGATCACGCACTTAAGCTTCTCGCATTGACTGGGGATCGTCATTGTACCAGTTTCTGTAAACTGAAACCGACCTCGCAAATCAAATGTTTTCTAAGCATCGGTGTAGCGTTTCCCGCGGCAGCTGATCTGGTGCAACACCGTCATAAGCTCTTGAATCCTCCGAATGTCCCCGCCTAAACGTTTCTGCGGCCACGCAAAGAGGGGAGGCGAGGTCCCCCAATCGCTCTGGAAGGAATGCGCCCACGACGGCTGTGGCGTATTCCCGAAAACCTCCGCGACTCTACACCTGGTTTCGAGTTGGAGATTTCTTGCCACATTGTCTGGCGCATTTGACTTTGGTTATTAGAATTTTAATGTGAATCTGGGGTTTCCAGTGTCATCTCTGGTTTAGCAACAGGGCTACCGTGTAGCTATGTCGCCTGTTAGATGGTGTTGCCACCAGGCGACGTGGTTGAGGCTTGGTACTTAATTACCGACTGATTTTTGTGCACGGTACCCTATCAACACACTGCACAAGGCGCGAATACAGTTGTCCTCTTCCATACTCTCTACAACGTCGGATCATGACGTTGGTGGGATCACCGGGCGGGGCGACATGCACCTCAGTGTCATACCAGAATGACACCTCTTGGCTTGGCCGTGTCGGGATCCCTTTAGATTGCCAGATCAGCCGTTTTCCCGTTATCAAGAGAGGGAGATACTGTAACTGAGTCGTAGAGATCAGCACGCAGGCATCAAGTATCATGCATGTGCACCACGCATTGAAACCCGACTGTTTTACCGTGCTGGGTCCCTTAGGTTGTTAGTAGCAGTACTTACTACCAGAGTCGACACGGACGAGCTCCGACGATTTGTCTCCGATCTATCTCGCTTGTCATTTCCGTGGTTAAAGATATTCCCATCCACTTGTACCCCTGTCCATAACGCCTTTCTACATCAGCGTAACCGAACCGAGCTTTCTTTTAATTCAGGGCCAAATATCTGCCACTGAGAGAATCGCGTGTCATTGCGGAGTCTGACGGGGCATTTCCGACGAAGAATTTTCACTACGTGGACGGAGGTAGGTGGGTCACTTGGAAGGTACCTGTTATTCGTCGGTGGAGAGAATGGAAAAAGAAAAATCAGATAATCTGTCGGATGCAAAGAGAGTTTGGGGGGAAAACTATGTGTCAAAAAGAATTAATATTACAATCCGAAAAGTGAATGTGAATCAAAACAAAGTAAAAATAGCGGCTTGGCTTCCATGCATTCGGATTCGGGTGTAAATTTCTATCACAGGGTGAAGTGAACGTACGGGGGGTTGACCCCTTCTCTCCGCCTCCAAGTCCCCAAGTCCCCGGGACGAAAAGCAAATTCGCGGAGTAGCCTTGTTCAGCACGGGGTCGCCTGTTCGTGGGACCCCAAGTGCCGGGTAGGAGTAAGGAGGCCACCTAAGCCTTCGATAGCTCTGTGCTTCTACACATTCGCACATTCTATAGGGAGTAGGCAGAATGACGATCGAATTGTGGTTGAGGAGGTCCACTGTGGGTCTGTACTGATCCATTGATCCACTATGTCTTTGCTAGTTCGCGCACGGCGCATTCTTGCATCATCGCCCACTTTTCACGGGCTGCCTGTCCTCATCGGGATGCGGTGACGGCTTCCCGAGTGCAGACCGACTCGGCCTTTCTCTACTCCGCCCGTTGCATCTCCGTCTTGGCATGGTCATCAAGGTCCCATGAACGAAGGTATACAGTGTTACTATGTGGAAGTGGCATGATACAATCGATCCAGGGTACCTATGTGGCGTTCCTGAATATTTGGTACAAATTCCCTTGTTTTGTGGCGGCTCGCCTTCCTATTCTGGCTGCGGCAAGGACTGATTTTGGTGCTGGCTGTCTATAGCCGCGGCTCCTTGCCGCCCGAGTACTAACCGGCGGAATTCATTTAATTTTTTTTGGGCCATTATATTTTCCGGCCGATGTCCTTGGGTTGTCTGATGCACATGGAGCCAAACGTAAAGTAAAGCACAATATGTTTGGTCAGAGCGAGAGAGTGGGCATACGCAACCCCTTTATGGAGTAGGTCAACCGGAGCGCAGATTCGCCAATCATATCGATCACACATGCTCCGACCCTCGAAAATTTTCCAATTTACAGTATTATGGAAGGGCTTGATGTCATCAGGGACGCAAACTACGGCAACCGACAGGTGGAGAGGGTGAAAAATGCTTAATGGAAGATTATTGATGCATGCGGGTGGCTTGGTCCCACCGGCCGCGGACCACGGTGGACCTTAACCTGGAATCGGCTTTCCTCTTCGGCTGAACGCTTGTGCCCAATAGATAGTTGTTTCTCCGACTGCGAGACACGGGGATGCGATGTTGGAGAGCCCCACGATGCATCCATTTCCTTGCCACTTTCGGAGCCCTAAAGCATTCAAATATCCCCTCCCCTCCTCCCCCCCCAGGTTCCTCCCTTCCTTTCTTTCTCCGCGTGCCCTTTTTCCCCTCCACTTTACTTTATTTATTCCTATCTCCATCCCACGTGCCTGGAGTAGACTCATTCTCACATTGGGATTACATCACGGGTTTATAGGACAAGTGAGATATACAAGCACACCATGGCGCCTACTTACGCCGGTATGAGCGGCAGGAAGCTGTCTTTGACAGTGTCCACCATCGCCACGATGGGCTTCCTGCTGTTCGGTTATGATCAGGGTGTCATGTCAGGTATTATCTCTGCAAAGGCCTTCAACGACATCTTCACCGCCACTAAGGACAACGACACAATGCAAGCTCTGGTCACCGCAGTTTACGAATTGGGTTGTTTGTTTGGTGCTATTTGGGCTTTGTTCATGGGTGATACTATGGGTCGTCGCTGGATGATTATTGCTGGTGCCACAGTCATGATTATCGGTGTCATTATCCAGGTCACTGCGTTCATTGGCCATATTCCTCTCGCCCAGTTTATTGTCGGTCGTATTGTTACTGGTGTTGGTAACGGCATGAACACCTCGACTATTCCTACTTACCAGGCGGAGTGCTCCCGCACTAGCAACCGTGGTCTGCTCATCTGTATTGAGGGCGGTATTATTGCCATTGGTACTGCGATCGCTTACTGGATTGATTTCGGTGCCTCGTATGGTCCTGATCCCCTCGTCTGGCGTTTCCCTATCGCTTTCCAGGTCGTCTTCGGTCTGATCATCATTGTCGGCATGTACTTCTTGCCTGACTCTCCTCGCTACTTGATCTCCAAGGGCAAGGTCCACGAGGGCGAATACGTTCTTGCTGCCCTCGGTGGCTATGAGATCGAGTCCCACGAGACCCAGATGCAGAAACAGCTCGTTATCGAATCCATTGAAGCGTACGTTTTCCCATATATCTTGTGTGTCTGTTCTTTGCTGACTGTTTCCCAGTGCTGGTGTCGCTGAGGGTGCTGGCTACTCGGATTTGCTCACTGGTGGCAAGACTCAGCACTTCCGCCGTATGCTTATCGGTTCCTCCTCCCAGATTGCCCAGCAGCTGTCGGGTTGCAATGCTGTCATTTACTATCTCCCCGTCTTGCTGGAGCAGTCTCTTGGCCAGGATCGCACAATGTCCATGATTATCGGCGGTGTCAACATGATCGTCTACGCGATCTTCGCCACCTTCTCCTGGTTCTTCATTGAGAAGATCGGTCGTCGCAAGCTCTTCCTTGGTGGCATGACCGGTCAAATGGTTTCCATGATTATCGTTTTCGCCTGCTTGATTCCCGGCGACACCGGTCCTTCCAAGGGAGCCGTGTTCGGTCTGTTCCTGTACATCGCCTTCTTCGGTGCTTCCATCCTGCCGTTGCCGTGGTTGTACCCTGCGGAGATCTCTCCCATCCGTACTCGTGCCAAGGCGAACGCTGTCTCGACCTGCTCTAACTGGTTGTTCAACTTCACTGTTGTCATGATTACCCCCGTTATGATCGCCCACATCCACTGGGGAACTTACCTCTTCTTCGCTGTGATGAACGGCATCTTCATTCCCCCGATGTACTTCTTCTACCCCGAGACCGCCGGCCGCTCGCTCGAGGAGATCGATCTCATCTTCGCCAAGGGCTTCGTCGACAACATGAGCTATGTCCAGGCTTCCCACGAGCTGCCCAGGCTCACCGACGAGGAGATCGAGCAGTACGCAATCCAGTATGGCTTCCAGGCTGGTGGTGCCGGTGACGTCGAGAAGGCTACCCACTCCCCTTCCTCTTCGGACCAGGAGCGCGAGGAGAACTACAAGACTGAGCACAACACTCAGCAGACCTTCTCCAGCGGCAACGACCACCCCCAGGAGTAATCTGATGGGCTGTTGGTCTAATTTCCTTCTTTCCTTGTGTTAGTTAGTCTTCTGGCCGACGTGAGCGCTGCGCGCCTGACCCAGTGTCGCGGTCGGTTTGATCAGGGCAGATTGTCCCTACTGATGCCTTTCCTGTTATTAATACTTACTCGCATCCTCATTATACCCATTGTTGCCAAAAGTGCAATGCTTGATGATTTCATGTTTATGACTGGGTTCGGTCGACATGTTGAATTGGACTCATGTATGCGCTTTGTACCGATAGAGATACAAATCCGATTTTTAACTTTATTTTCTCCCACAAGAAACGCAATATTTATTTCTGGTCATTGAATCAAAAAAAGTAGTCAAAGTCTACATGTAGTTATATCCGATCAATATGTCTTTCACTTCTCCCTTGCTGAGGCTCAAATTCAAAGAGCCACAGCACAGCCGAGCTGAAACCCTGAATCAGTTCTCGCAAGGGACCAGCTGACAACGATCGGCTGATCCCGCCATGTTCCTTGTTTTCTTCCTTTCGATCAACGCTCCCCTTAATAAAACCCTTAATCCTGAACCATGCAAACCACATCCGCCGCCCTCCTCAACCCCGCGCCATGAGCTCCTCCCTCGAGGCCAAGATCGTCGTGCTAGGCGCGCAAGGTGAGCCCGCCCCCATCCCCACCCCCACGATCTGGATCTGGATCTGATCGCGTCGCGAACTACTACTAACGCTCGAATCTAGGAGTCGGCAAAACGTCTCTCGTCCACCGGTACGTCCGCAACGCCTTCACCCCTTCAACAACAACATCCACCGTCGGCGCGTCCTTCGTCACAAAACGCGTCCTCGACACAACCTCCGACACAACAGTCCGCCTCCAGATCTGGGATACAGCAGGCCAGGAACGGTTCCGCTCGATTTCCCGCCTCTATTATCGGGGCGCGCACGCGTGCCTCCTCTGCTATGACATCACCGACGAAAACAGTTTCGCCGAGATGGCCGGCTGGCTGCGCGAGTTACGTCAGAACGTGAATGACGGCGACGAGCCGCTGGTGATTCACGTCGTTGGCACGAAATCGGATATCGTGGCCGAGGATCCTGGGGCGCGGAGGGTTCCGTTTGAACGGACGATTGCGTATGTTGCTGAGCAGCTTTATCCTAGTCGGGCGAGTACGCCGCCTCCGACTGCTATGGGTTTGGGGATGGGATTTGGGAGTTTGGGGAGTGGGAGTGCGCTGCAGAGTCCTGACAGTAAACGCAGTTCGGCATTCTGGGGGCAGGAGATTGGGTGGGATTGTTGTCATGAGATCAGCGCGAAGGATGGCGAGGGAATCGAGGAGGTTTTCAGGGTTATTACGAGGAAGTTGGTGGAACAGAGGAATCGGAGAGATGCAGAAAGCTTGTTGTCTGTTGTCGGGACACCTGCTATAGAGGGTGTGAGTCCGTTCACACCGGGTTTGGATGGGGGGAGTTTTCGACTCGGCATGGGAGATAAGCGGAGGAGCTGGATGGGATTAGCAACGCCTATTGTTGGGGAGGCAGAGGAGGTGCAGGTCATGGAGACTGCGCAGAAGAAGGGGAAGTGTTGTTGATGGAGAAGGGTTTTGCATTTAGGTTGGCGTTAGCTGGCTCCGGGTTTTACGTGGTTTGAGGTTTGCATTTTTACATAGCACGAGCATAATCTGCTTTTTGAGCACTGATCTAACATTTTATAGGAATTCCAACATTTGTTGTTCCCAAGTGCATGAGTAGCTCCGTGTAGTAACCGATTACTTTGTATACCTACCTTGTAGGCACGCCCAGTCTATATAGGATGACGCATCGACTGAGAGATCTTGTTGTACCTTGGTCCTAAACGCCTGCCCTGCCCTTGTGTAGATGACCATTCTGACACTGCACATTCATTCAGTGGGGGCAACATATGTACTCGCATAACCCGCCTTTGCTTATTATTAAGATGACACTCGCGTTGTCCTACTCTATACGAGCGTTACCCTAGTCACTTAAGGGCTTTTCATGACCTCCTGAAGGACCGACCTCCCTAGTAAAATATCAAAACTGCCCCACGGGAGATTATGGATATAAAGGAGTGCATATTGCTAATTATACGTGTAGAAAAGTAATATCGACTATAGGCGGTACAATATAGCTGGTAAAATAGCCGTTCGTATCCCCGATATAAGGTCAATTATTATAAGCGAGCCAGTCAGACATAGGAATGAAATGTACAAATGTGTATATTCGGCAGCAACGACATTACCAAGCATTGGTAAAGCGAGGCTAATCAATTATTGATATTACCGTTACGAGCCCCCAGGGTCCTTTATTATTTACAATGCATGAATAATAGGTCTGGCTCTCAATTAGTCGACCATCCCACCATCCCGCCGGGTGGGATGCAAGCTTATTAATTCATTGTTCAGCATGAGAATGTAGCTTTGAGGTAGATCTGATGAATTTAAGACGCTGTAGTCAACACATAATTGACCCATCTCTGAGAGAAATAAGAATGTCGTTTCCTAGAACAATTCGAGCCTTTCGTCGAACCGAAGGGCCAGACCCTGTATCGCTGGTGCTCGTGACAGACTATCTTCCATTGTCTCTCAAGCCTGATGATGTACTTATTCGTAACCATGCCGTCTCCCTGAACTACAGGGACGTCGCCATGTTGCATGGAAAGTATCCAGGCTCTCCTCTGAAGAGAGGTATTGCGGCTTCAGACTGCGCAGCAGAAGTGATTGCAATCGGATCGGAAGTGACCAAATTCGCAGTTGGCGATCGCGTCGCGCCAATCTTTGATCTGAACAACTTGACGGGGACCGAGAAGGTGAAGGCAGTCTTAGGCGGGGATATTGATGGTGTTCTGCGAGAAAATGTCTTGGTTCATTTGCCAAAGTATCTATCTTGGGAAGAGGTTGAACCCCCATTGTCATGCTGGTTGTACAGAGATTGACCATTACCTAGGCAGCGACTATTACGTGTGCTGGTACGACAGCATGGAATGCTCTCGATATGCCAGGCTCAAGCAACTCGGGTAAAGTCGCGTTGCTTCAAGGTAAGCTGCCTATTATACGCAAGTCAAAGAATGACCCATTGACTGATGATAAACAAACAAGAACTGGTGGTGTGAGCATGTTTGCTTTACAAATATGTCTAGCAGCTGGTATCCATCCCATCATTACGTCTTCATCCGACAAGAAATTGGAGATGGCGCGCTCGTTGGGTCCACCGGGCGCTGTTGATACCGTCAACTACAGAACCCATCCCGATTGGGAAAATGAGGTCATGCGACTAACTAGTGGTAACGGTGCAGATATTGTCATTGAAAACGTTGGACCTGCCACCATTGCGCAGAGCCTTGCCTCGCTGGCTAATAAGGGAACTGTTTCATTGATTGGATTTCTTGGGGGCTTTGAAACACAGCACCAGCCAGAAACAGTCGTCACGCTTCTGATGAAAACCGCAAAGATGCAGTGAGTTTATCATTTATCACATATTTTTCAAATGGGCATTGAAGGTTGATTTTGGCTATAGGGGGATCTTTGTCGGTTCCATTATTGATCAGCGAAAGCTGTGTGACTTTCTCGAGGAAAGGCAAGTGGACTTGTCTCCGATTGTGGATCAAATCTTCCCATTCACCACATCGAATGATGCCTTTGACTATTTATATACTGCACAGCATCAGAGCAAGGTTGTCATTAAGTTCTAGATTCAGCTTCAATTCATTAAATGTCAGCGATAATGGAGATAAATCTGTGAGAAAGGAAATAATAGATCAATAATCGAGTAAGGAGAATGAGCTTCCATTTGTCAGGACGGCTTTGGGAACCTGTCAGTCATTGCGCATGAGCTATGGAAGGAAATTAAATAGCGGTTCGGAGAAGTTCGATAGCCGAGGCGATCTCCGCGTCATCTCCGAAACTCCGAGCTCACCTCAATATCTCCGCACCCTTCGCCATTTCCGCACCTTGATTCAATTTTATCAGATCTTTGCTTGAGGCTGAATGCGGTATGGCTTCTTCGGTGAGACAAAGTGTTGCGCGATCACCAAGCATTCCAGCAAAGCGCAAGAGGAAGACATTTTCTTGTTTGGAATGTCGGCGTCGCAAGTTGAGATGCGATCGCAGTCAGCCCTCTTGCAGTCGATGTCGAGCGCAGGAAAGCGCATGTACATACAACTTTCCACCGGGATCAGAGCCACCTCAGTCCGAGGGTGATAATCATTCCGGCCAGGGGCAGGGCCTTCCTACACCAATCTCGTCCCACTCTATTGTTACACCACCACATGGCAGAAATTCCAACATTGGAGCAACGAGAGATCCTGTGCTAGAGGCTATCCAGAGCCAAGGCACTTGGGGGCTTTTGAGTGACCAGGCAGCTACTAATATGATTACTCACGAGAGGCCCGCCATCATGTCCGATACACAGCAGCTGTTGGAGCCTGAACACGCACCGAAGAAAGAAAATGTCATTTTTCGAGGAAAGAACTTCAGGACCCAATACTATGGCGGGAGCAATCCTACTAGTTTGATTGGAGATGTATGTTGCCTCAATACCCGTTTAAAGTGATCATGCTGATGCTTTCAGTTTCCTGAGCTCCGCTCATTCATGCGGGACAGCATCAAACTACACCCATCTCTACCACGTGTCCAACGCGAATTAAAGTCACTGCAAATGAAATGGAAGGTAGAAAAGATATCCTCATTCCCATCTGTGAATGCGAGCCTTCTCCACTTGTTCCCAGAAGAAGAGATCGCAGACCAATTAATCCACATCTATCTTGACACAGTGGAAACAACCTATCGGGTTATCCACGTACCTAGCTTTTGGGAGGAGTACAAAAGCTTTCGGGATGACAAACACTCGTCAAGACCGGCATTCTTAGTTCTCATGTTGTTGATGATGTCCACCGCAAGCTGTCTATCCAATGAAAGTCTCACATACGTGGGGGACAGTGCCGTTGCGCGTGAACGGGCGGCTTTGTGGATCGAGGTTTCTGAGCGGTGGCTTCAAAAACAGAGTCAAAAACAGATCTATTTGAGCATATGGCAGATCCGATGTCTATTAATTCTTTCGAAACAAGTCAATGTCATAAAGAAGAAACGCATCTGGACAGAGGCCGGGACGCTTCTCCGACAGGCAATGGCTGCGGGTTTCCACCGAGACCCGAGATTTCTTGGAGAGAAGGTATCGGGATTTGACCGGGAGATGAGATGTCGGCTATGGAACACTATTGCCGAGTTGGAACTTCAAGCTTCCATTGATCGTGGGATGCCGTCTTCTTCGGCGGGTATATTCTCAGACTGCGCTTCCATTCTGAACATCCATGATACAGACCTCACAGATGAAGAGAAGAACGAATCTCGCGCAAAGAACTGGGACGAATATACTGGCAGTTCGTTCTTGCATGTTTCGAGATCCAGTTTTGCTCTCAGAGTTGCCTTGAACTCTGTTGTCAACGACATCAGCTCCCCTTTACAATGGGAACAGATCGCAAGTTACGAAGAGCTTGTGACGGCCGAACTTGAAAAACTCCCTTCGTGGACAAAATCAACGACGGACATCAAAAAGGGTGTTTTGGCCGGCTCTATTCTTCAGATCCAACTAAGGCAGTTTTTGATTCTTCTCCATACGCCGTTCGCCAAAAAGAGGAGCCCCAATTCTCGATGTTCCGTCTCGCGCATGATCTGCTTCCAAGCAGCAATGAATACACTGGAGCAGGTTCAACAACTGACTAAACATAATTATTACTTTTTTCTGCTCTTTCGACAAGAGTATTTCCGCGCAGCTTTGGTAGTGTGTCATAATGCTTACATCTGTTGCAATGTGATAGGTATGTCCAACCCTCTACATATTAAATATATTCTAACCAGCGGCAAAGGGGACCTATTCGGGGCGAACATCTCGTCATTCATCCGCTACCTCGAAGACTCGTTAATTTTATTTGAAGACAGAACCACTCGAACTGGCACAGATTTCACAAGATATTGGTATATTTCCGCAGCCCGGGCCTTGCTTCGCTCGGCAGTAGATCCATCAGATGCTACGATGCAGGAGCAACAGGCAATTGAGCATGTGGCAAGACAATACTATAGAATCCGCGCATCACAAGAGGACCTGCACTCCGCAAAGAACAAGGTATGTCTATCTTCTGCATCATGACATACATTTCAGGACGATGCAAGGCTAACATTAAAGAAAGCTCAAATTGACAGAACCACTGATCCAAAGCTCAAACGATTTTGTAAACATTCCCGATGTTCCTTTCCATAATGGAACTATGCCAGCAGTGAGTGAAAATCTCTTTCTTTGACATTCGAATACCAAGTGGCTAATATGGAGTAGATTGACCTTCCTTTAGAGGCTTTGGAAGAGGAGTTCTTCTTTGGTGATCCGGCCGCTTGGACGTTTGATAATTTTGATTTCTTATAGGAAAGGCACTATGACCATGCTTAGATCAAAAATCACAGATATTTCGAAGCAAACTTAAAAATCCCTTTGGAGAATGTAGAGAAATCTTGGTCAACGATTCGGAGATCTCGGCGCTAGTTCACTATGCTGAATAGCTGACCCGGAGACTTTTCGTTCCGAGATGGCAGCCTAGATCGCCTATCCAGTAAGATCAATGAACATAGAACGATCAGATAAGATTATTCTACAGATAGGAGAAATTTGCCGCAAAGTATGGCTGGCGACATAATCTGATCCGCGGAAGGTTGCATCTTCCAATCGGAGCTTGTCCAAGGTCCGAACCGTAAAGCCGAGCCGTTTCCTGGGGTCACATGAATAACAGTCAGTACTACAGTATTAAAGGACGACTCACAGCCGGAACATTGGATTATCATCAGAATCAGCATTTAGTCTTATTTCTCACAGAGCTCTGCTTTCTAAGCTAAACTTCAATTATCCATCCAAATTTGAAAATGTCTGTCGACCAAGTCAACCAGAGAAAAGCTGTTGACGCTTATGTCAAGAAGCACCTTCTCCCCGCAGACGAAGGTCTCGAAAATGCCTACACAAACAGCACGAAGAAAGGCCTTCCCATGATCGCAGTCTCCGAGATCCAGGGTAAATTCGCCTCGATGCTCACAACCATTGGATCGGCTCGCAACGTCCTAGAAATCGGCACCCTGGGAGGCTACTCCAGCATTTGGTTCGCGCAAGCCATGAAGGGACGGGGAAAAGTGACTAGCATCGAAGTCATACCGCACCACCGCGATGTTGCAATCGAGAACCTGCGAACAGCCGGTGTTCAAGTGCCCGAAGAGGTCGACGTCCTCCTTGGAGCAGCTTTGAATATTCTACCGAGGCTCGCAGCGGAGATTGAGAAAAGAGAAAGAGAGCCCTTTGATTTCGTGTTTATCGATGCCGACTGGGATAACCAGTGGAACTACTTTGATTTTGGAGTCAAGTTGTCCAAGGGCAAGGGCTCGGTGATTTATATTGACAATGCGGTGCGGAATATGTTGGAGTCCGGTATTGTTGGTGATGCTGAACGTGAGAAGGACGCTATTGATCTTGTGGCTAATGTTGGAGCGGATGATCGTGTGGATGCTGTTGTAATGCAGACTGTGGGGTCGAAGAGCTACGATGGGTTCTTGCTTGCTATTGTGAAATAGAGAATTTTATAATTCGGTGACCTCGGGAATATGAATGCCAGACTTAAGAATTAACCATGTCCATATGATAACAACCCATAGGTCCATTATCGACTCAATAATGCTCTTCTGACATGTCTTGCAATTTTAGCCGATAATTTATTAATCGGGGGAGATACGCCATTTTCTGCGCTAAATTAAATATGAGAAATACGTATCGATAAGCCGTAATAAAATCTTTGAGGAGTACAATGGGGACTTCGCTGTGAAACATGGCCGTGGAAAATGCTTGATTTACCTACATGCTTGTTTTTCTATGCCCTTGCATTCACTACGACGCGTAGAAACTTTGCGCCTGGAATGCATGGATTGGCCAACACTGAAGAAGGTAGAGCCGGCAATTAAAATCTACTTAGTGAGCCTGACACTAAGCGCCCTCATAAAAGCGGCTGTAGCTAAGATATGAAAGCCTCACCTGGCAGATCGAATCAAGCACGTATAGCTACATAGTGAATAATGGAACCCGTAGGGAGACCCGCCTCTGTCTGTCTGTTTGCCAACAGGTCAGCCACTGGAGTTAGTGGGTCTACAGGGGAGGAGAACATATAGGGGTGGTTTGGAAGAGAAAGTGTGTCTGTATTGCTATGCTGCGCGCAGAAAGTCTTATATATCACAAAATGCTGAATCATTTGATAGACCGCCAGTTCATGCAGTCAGCACTTCCTCCACTACAATAGGTACTATGTACAATCAGACCTCGGCAGCGATTTGCATCGCCCTGGCCGTTCACCAGACTCTTGACTAAGAAGCGAAACCGCTGCTGATCACCCAGGTGACGTCGGCGTTGTATGAGGCGGTAGCATCAAATGTATCAACACCGCCCTCGCTCGCAATGTAGAGGACGTTTTCATAGTGGCGGAAGAAGCGGGTGGGATAGCTCCAGGATCGAATACTGCTCCCTCCGGCGTTAAGGCCAGCCATTGGGCAGAAAGTGGCATCTTCGTAGAATTGTTTTGTGCTGTCGTCGGCCGCGAGCAGTAGCGCGAAGTTGTAGTGGCGAATGTAGCTTCCCGGAGTGTCGACGGACTCGAAAGAGTAACACCCGCTGTTCCCAAGTCCGGTGCGAACCGTCCAACTAGCTTGCTCCTTGAGAGTGCTGCTACTGGAAGAGGTGACGACTTGGGTGTTGATAGTAGTGCCAGTGTGTGCGATATAACGTGTCGTATATCCACTTGTGGTGGCTTGCAGAGAGATAGAGGAACCGACAGTGAGCGCCGTGCCACTGACCAGCGAGGTAGTGGCGTATTTAGCGGCTACGATATTAGCCTGCACCGAGTTCTCAGTGGCGGCAGAGGGATAGCCGTAGGTCATCGCGCCTTCGTAGAACGTGCCCTGGGCGCCGTTACTGTTGTCGCCGCCGATACCAAGAACTATGGAGCCTTCTTTGCTCATTGGGTTGTAGCCAGACGCAGTTGGGCGCACGCCACTATAGTACGTTGACAATGCGCCAGACGCTGCGTTGCCCCCGCGGATGGCCCACTCATCTGGCTCGCCCTTGACAGCCGTAGTGACGAACCGGTAGGAAATGGTCGGGTCGCCGGTGTTTTGACCAGAGCTGACGCCAGAGAACAAGCCGTTTTCGAGATCGGCCATGATCCAAGGGCCCGCGCCAGCACCAGTGCCCCAGGTGGTACTGTCACCGTAGTAGATGGCCTCCATGTGGCCGTTGCCCGTATCGGTGTTGCTGGTCTCGGCATTGCCGTAATCGAAGCAACAGGCACCATTGTAGTGAGTTCCATCGAGGACTGCATACATGCCCTCAGGCTCGTCACCCGTAGCGATGCCATTAGCAACGTCAATACGGTAGCCAGTGCCAGGTGAGACGAAGACTCCATACGCCTTCTGGCCGCTGAGTGTGACTGGAGCTCCAATTGCGCTGGCCAGGTTGTCGTAGCCATTTGATTCAGGGCCGTCAAAGCCACCTGGTGGAGCCTGGGTAAGATGATTGCCATTGCCGGACTGATCGTAAATTGTTGTAATTACACAGGTCGTGTTCGCGCAGAAAGTGTCTTGGGCTGCGGCATTGGCCACACCACCAGCGGAGAGCGGCTTGATTGTGGTCGTGGTACTGTCGGAGTTCCGTTTTACTTGATAGAGTGCACCGCTGAAGGCGCTGTACATGGCACGAGTGGTGCTATGCGCGGCGATGCAGGACGTGCCGCCGGACGCGTAGATGTCACAAGGTCCAGCAGCCACAAGGGAGCTCGTGGCAGCGAGGCCTAGAGCATATCGGGTTACTCGTGACACCATATTGACTACTCCTGGTAAATCGTGACTGGCACGCCTTTGAGAGTTTTCAGATATACAGCGATTTTGAACTGCTAGTGAGGCTGCCTGTTAAGTCTCTCAGTGATCAGTTCATCCTTTTATAGTCTTCAACCAACATGTCACGTTGTCTATTGAATTTTGTTCCAGATCAATATTTTTGAGAACTACTGCAGTGGATAGAATTTTCCTCCAATAGAAATTAGATCAAAGCATATGCTAGATAGGACAAGCATGCTTTACCCGACAGAGGCATGGTTGTTTATCTGCGAATACACTCCGCAATAATGCAAGGTAACATTAGTGAGGCACAAAGTTTGGAGGCCATAGTTTCATCTACGTCTAGGGCCAATCATGCATCTAGTGCCACCGGGATTTTTCCTATATTTCTTCAGCACGAGACTATGACCCGAAGCAAGTGACGTAGTTGAATATCAGGCACTGCGCTATCATTGGGGAGGAAGAAGACGACAAGCCCTTGCTAGCGTAGAATTTATGGTGCCTGAATAGTCCTCGTGAAGAACAACTGCAGGGAATTTAGCACCATCAAGCGTCTCACAATCTGATTTGGGACGTGGGGCCCCAAGACGAGGGGTTCTACCTACGCTACCGGGGCTAGTGATGCAGCCTGTGCCGCCGGGATTTTTCCTAACTTTCCTTCGCCGGGATAATCGTCCGAGCCGACTAGCATGAAATAACCTCACAAGGAACCCAATTTTTTACCTATTAAACTCGTGAAAGAAAACCCCGGCTTATTGGAGGATTCTGGCGCTGAAGTGGTTGATCGTGAAGTTTATTTCCAGGGGCCGAGGGACTGGTAAACCCATGAGTAATGCGGGGTCCCGGACGATGGGAGGGGTTATTGGTAGGGAGCCAAATAGGGATTAGCGGTCCACAATCACCAGGTACCGGTCAATTGACTAGAAAGACCTAGAAAACAAGATCTCCCACTGGGGAGAAGGTCGATGGCGGGGCTGAAATGCTGCCGGTATGATTTAGCTGAGGCAATGCCGGTTCACTCCATGAACCCCATCAACGGTCCCGAGGCTCTCAGTCCTCCTAAGAATTAATCTGATCATCTGGCCTCACTTCATTGTTTTGATTTACACTTTTGCGACCAATCTATGATGGGTGCGTTCGGATTATGACTTAGCTTAATCCCATGGTCCCAAGTCCTATGCCCAGGTACCGCCGGTCGGCAACGGGCCGTCCCTCCAATAGGGAAGGCTTGTACCTCCCTCAGGTTTCCGGGCTCGGCCCAATATCGCCTGGTTCGGCCTTGTCTTCGCAGAGTTTTATGCATGGTGATGTTGAAATTGGTGCTTATCAGAGAATGTATTAAATGAGACATAGTGAAGCCGCTTTTGTGAAAATTAACATTATATATTGTATACTTGTAGAGAAACGATTAAATATGCTCATCCGACCATTCTATCGACCTCAATGTAAGTCTTATTACAGAGCCGGGACAACAACCTCCTTATTTTCAGCACCGGCCTTCTTCACACTCTTCCACTCCAGGAAAAGACTAGCCACAAATGCGACCACCATCAGAGCCAAGCTGACACGGTAAGTATCACGCAGGCCGCTCATATAGGCCTTGATGACACCATCGACCTGATCAAGCTGTCCAAGTTTTCCAAGAACGCTGCGCATCTCGGTCGCGCCAGCACCAACGATCGCGGCGGGACTCACACCGGGGGCGTAAGTGCTAATGCCATCAATCAATCCGTTCTGGAAGACAGACTGTCCAACCGCGATGAACAAAGCTCCTCCAAGAGTTTGGAAGAACATGACCATGGCTGTTCCGACCGGGATATCGGAAGGGTCAAGAACAGTCTGGACAGCGGTCATAGGAACCTGGAAGCCAGCGCCAACTCCGGCACCAACGACAATTTGGTAGCCGATCCACTTTCCGCTGGAGATATCGACGTCGAACATGGTAATAAGACCTGTGCCGATGGCGGCGATGGCAGCGCTGCCAATTAAGAAGGGTGTATAGTATCCGGCGATGGTAATCAAACCACCGAGGACCACAGAGGAGACGACAGTAGCCAACATTAGTGGAAGAAGCTGGATACCAGACTTCATAGCCGATGAGCCCTTGACACTCTGGAAAAAGATTGGGACGTAATAAACAAGAACGAAGAAAGCACCACCGAAGAACAGAGCGAACAAGCACGCAGACAGAACGGTGCGCTGCTTCAAGATGTGGGGAGGGAGGGTGGCCTGTTCTCCAAGGTAGACCTGCGACGCTGCGAAGAGGATGACCAGAAGACCGAATCCAACAAACAAGCCAATGATACGCGAGTTATTCCAAGCATACTGATTTCCTCCCCACTGAAGAGCAAGTAGCAGGCAGATGATAGCAGGAATAAGCAGGCCAGCTCCAATGAGATCCAGTTGCTTGATCCGAGTGAAAATAGACTCTCCAGAGTGATCCATCTTGTTCGGGAGGCGAAGGAAGAGCAGAATGACACCGATAGAAAGACCGCCAATAGGCAGGTTAATGTAGAAGCACCACCTCCAGGAGACGCCATCGGTGAAAGCACCGCCAAGTAGAGGTCCAGCGATGGAGGCGATGCCCCAGACCATGCCGAACATTCCAAAGACAAGCGGGCGTTTAGGAAGGGGAACGGTAGCTGCAATGATGACCATGGCACCAGAGAAGATACCCGCGACACCGATTCCAGCAATGGCACGTCCTACAATAAGTACTGTGCTGGATGGAGCGACAGCGCAGAGTAGCGAGCCGATCTCAAAGATGGCAACAGCGACGAGAAAGCCCCATTTGACCTGAAAGATATCAGCCATTGGCCGTCAAAAGAAAAGGGAGTTTCACACTCACGCTGAAGATCTTGTAGATCCTACCATAGGAGGGTTGTAAAGCAGTTGAAGTCAGGAAATAGGCACTTCCATACCAGGCAATATCCGAGATACTCTTGAATTGATCAGTGATTTTGGGGATCGCGACACCAATAATAGTCTGATCAAGGGCGACCAAGAATACAGCGAGGTAGAGAGCCATGATGATGATGATCACCTTGGACAAAGGAGGATACTCTGACTCTTTCGAGACAGCCTGAACATCTTTCTCGACATCTTGTCCCGAAGTTTCAGTGGCAGAAGACTCCGACAAAGCCCTAGACTCCGTTATGGTGTTTGAATCCTTCTCTGTCATTGTGCTTAGACTTTTGAATAGGAAATTTCTAAGAAAGAAAAAGCCTAAGCTTTAAAGTACTAAGTGGGGCAGAAAAGAAAATTGAACCCTTTCGCCTCTGGACCCTGAAACTACAAAGAAACCTATGGTTCGGGCGCAGTGCCTATTATCTACTACAGATCGGAGATCGGGACACGATTTGGCCGAAGGACGAAATAAACGGACCAAGAAAACTTCTCGGGGATAAACCTGGATGGCTAAGGGGAAAATACGAGGCGGCATTAACGGGGTTTAGGTTGTGGGCCAATCAGGGGCTCGGGTAGTGCCGAGTATTTTGGCTGCAATTACACGGACCCTGAATTTCGAGGCTACTTTGGGTTAGATTTGCGGAAATGTCCGATCTGGGTGAGTCACATTGCTGACCGAGTTTTTCCGTTCATAGACCTGTTCTGAGTTAAGGGGTAGATGTGTGATGATTCCAGCGGAAGGAGTCGGGGTGTCTGTGAGCCCGAGGGAGCTTTAATTCAGGCGATAACAACGTGATGACGACAATGCCAACAAAGTTCCAAGGACCACGGCTTATAGTGATAGCTACGTAGGTAGATGTGAGATTTTACATCTTGACAAAGTTGGAAGGTGGGTAATTGAAGCCGTTAGGCAGCAACCTGGCCCCGAGCTTAATTTCAATGTCACAGGGATGGTGGGAAAGACAAGAGCCTCATCACTTCGATCCGACTGGCGAATGTTAACACTACTTAATGGCTCAAGAACTCACCAGCTGTTGGTATTTGATTAAATAGGAAGAGATCAACTTGTCCACCTGTGCCTACAGAAGAGATACGAAAAGGACCTTGGAAGTATACTGTACGTGGTCATATATAAACCAAAGCCCCATTGGTTAGGTGCCTGAGCATCTAGCAGATGACCACATGCTTATACTTGGACATGGTATGGAGGGCGCGTACCAATACTCCCAGTGTCCCGCTCTACGTCTATATCTTCTCAGGTACTTGTCTACTCCCCATGCTTTTCCCTCCAGACAGGCATCTTCTGGTTGCCTAATGTGATTTTTTAGCTTCCTAGACAAAAGCCACGCGGAATGACTATCGGCCGTTGGTATGAACTCTAAATGAGCGAAAGCGATCGATCGATAATTAAAAAACACACAATTCCCAAAACATGCAAAGGAAGTGTAATCGATGTAAGATTTCTAGATAAGAAGTAGACAGGTGAATATATAGATCCTGAACCTTGGATTGGAAGTCTAAACGTCCCAGATGACCTGGAGGAACCCTGGAGATATTAAAAACGTAAGTGCACGTCAAGTTTCATTACTCATCAAATCAACCCATAACTATCTGATCTTCGGAGAAATACTGAGGAAAATTTCCAGCGGCCGATCGACCGTCAGGCCCAAAGGTGGGGGAGTTGGAGTTCAACGAGTCGACTCGAGGTGGACTCGGACGTCACCTGGGAATATGGTCAATGATGTTTCTAATGTATGTGACAACATCACACAAAGATTCTCCCAGGCTGATGTCCGTGTGATACTAGTGTCGGTCGCATCATCGGTACGGGAATCTTTTCAACGCCCTCATCGGTCACAAGTAGTGCAGGGAGTGTTGGTGCAGCGTTGCTTCTATGGGTATTAGGTTTTCTACTCGCTGGTGCCGGTCTTTGTGTATGGCTCGAGCTCGGTTGTATGATGCCGCGCAGTGGAGGAGAGAAGGTTTACCTCGAAGCGGTTTATCACAAGCCAAAGCTTTTGATCACGGTCGTTTTGCGATTCGAGATCCCTACGCCAGTTTCCACAACTCGTTCGCAGGCTCATCGACATCAAGCAGCATGTATGCGACAGCTTTATTCAAGGTTTTGAATTCATATGCAGGGTAATATAATTCTCCAACTTCTCCCTCAAGGTACTGGACTGATAATTGAAGTAAGATGGTCGAATGCTGCATATGTATCAAACGAGATTCGAAATCCTGTTCGAACCTTGAAGATCGCCGCTGCCATCGGTCTATCTATCTGCGGTATGTTGTTCCTCTTGGCGAATGTGGCATATTACGCAGCTGCCACACCGGAGGAGATTGCAGCTAGTGGTACCACCGTTGCTGCGTTCTTTATGGGAAAGGTTTTTGGCAGCGCAGCCGAACGTGCCATTGGGTGACTTAAAGTTAACCATTCTATTGTACCCCTGACCTAATCAATTCTTGCAGTGTCCTGGTCGCCATTTCATCGTTCGGAACTGTTATGACCGTCACTTATTCCCAAGCAAGAGTGAATCAAGAACTTGCAAAAGAAGGTGTCGTTCCCTTCCCCAAGTTCTGGGCATCAACTTGGCCATTTGGCTCCCCTTCATCTGGGTTGCCGTTACATTTCATTCCTTCGTTCATCGTTATCGTAGCAATCCCATTTGGCGATGCATACAACTTTATTCTTGACCTTGAAGGTTACCCGTCAAGCGTTATCAACTTTTTGTTGTCTTGGGTTTGTTCTATTTTCGATGGAGCGCGGCAGACATTCCTCGGCCATTCAAGGTCTGGTGGTCCGTCGCCATAATTTTCATGGCGGGTCAAGCGTTCCAGCTGGTCGCACCCTTCATTAGGCCGCCCGGTGGAAAGGGTGACACTTCGCTTCCATACTGGCTAGCATCTGTGGTCGGTATCGTAATTTTACTTGCGGGTATCGTTTACTGGGCAATCTGGCAGATAGTTCTGCCGAGATTCGGCGGGTACAGATTGGTGCCAAGGCATGAGATGTTATCCGACGGAACTACTGTTGTAGTTTACGAGAAGCATAGAAGACTCTAGATTACCCACGGAAGACAGATGAACAGAAATATTACTAGGGGCCGTCCCACAGAAAAGAAAGCAGAGGTGATAAACGAAATGTACCAAAAGGAAGAAAATGAAAAAAATGAACAGAAGATATGAGGGGTCATGGAAAGTAACAACGTCTTGGGAACGCTTACTTCTCGGGAAAGGCCACTGCACGGAATGCGTCAGACAATCTCTTATGGTGTCCTTAGACAAGCCTTGTCCTTGGAGAGTGAAGTCTCTGGGCTTTTCCCGGGTCGAGTCATTGTGTTGTTTAAGAATACAGTCTTTGAGCTTCTTGGGAGTCGAGACTTCAGACTTCAGACTTCCGGGGAAGACTTCTGGGGAGTCAAGTCTTTATAGTTGCTATCTTGGGAGTTCAAAGCAGGAGAGGGTAATACCAAGCCTTCCTTCAGAATTCCTTGGGCACTGTATGGAAAGCATTCAATGAACTCAACCCACTTTTTCACAGTCTGCAGAAGTGTTTCTTGGTCGATCATAAGCCACCCCTTGTGAAGTTTCCCGCATACACATTTCTCTGCTAGCCTGCAATGCCGACCTGCAAGCTCAGTCAGGACTAACTGTTCCAACAGACGAGCATAGGGTATCAATACAGTCATGACCTCGATGAATTGCTTATAGCAGGTCATATGAGCTGCAAAACGATGCAGACTGGGAGGACGCGAGGAGAAGCCAATCTTGAACATTCCATCGGCGTCGGTAGAGAAAATATAGATCCACCCACACTGTGAATTCAAGCCTTCGAGTTTGCTCTCCAATAGCCGGGTGATGTTCTCGGCGACCTTCGAATCGTGTATGTCCGGCGTACAGAGCACCCACTTATATGATGATGACTGAATATCGGGAACGGGAATCCTCTCGCTAACATTCACTTCACCGGACCTCTCTTCCTTATCAGAAAGATTCCCATCAGAAAAGTTTCCATAGGTTGCCTCCATTTTGGATAGAATTTTGCCGTCATTCAACTCCATGTACCACTGATCGCGGGCTTCATCGGTGGACTCCACATGCTTATTACAAAGAGCTGTGTTTGCGAGGCCATCGAGGGTGTCGGACAGTAGGATCTCATCACTGGGCTCGCGAAAGTGTTTAGAGAGCACTGAATTGATCGTGGCAAAACGTAACTTAGCATGTCGACAATTCTCTGGACTGATCATTTCTCTGCATGGTGATTTGGCGGACCAAAGCCGATATGGTAGATACGGTAGTACGAGATAAGGACATGAAATCGCAGGTGATTCACAATGAATCCAATCAAACAGTTCTGACAAGGAGCAATGGCTCGTGGGTACAATTGGGCTCGTGGGAAAGGTTGGGCTCCTGCGTAAGGGTGCCATGTTCTGGGAAGAGTATTTCATGAACAGAGAACGACTTTCGCGGAAAATATGACAACTCAGACTGTCTCAAAAGATTGAAAGACTTTAGAATGATGGAAGAATTGTCAATGGCGAGAAAATGGATTGGTATGCCCTAATATTTCCGAGATGTCCGGGCGAATTATATTAGTCCCAACATTAAGCCACCCGGAGCTTAGAGATAGAAACAGAAAGATCTCCACGAACTTTGTGGGCCTTTCATGCACAGTATACACTATTTCAATTCCAAATATCCTCGTGAGCCCGTGTATCGGTTTGGGAACAGGGGTATATCAGCTAGGGTGTAGATAGGCAGCTCCCAATTTGGAAGGTGGTTAAGGCTGAAAGATATCGCGTGATCGTCGGTTATCGGATCACTAGCTCATTGAAGGGGGTTCCTCCGCGATACCATATTATGGGGAAGCGATGAGGTGACATGCGTTGGCGTCATGGCTAGACAGGGATCTTCAGCCGCTAGCCAAAGTACGTTTCAGTTTATTGGAGCCCAAGTATAAGGTGTTATCCGACGGAACTACTGTCATGGTTTACAAGATGCATGAATGGCTCTAAATTATCCACAAAAGACAGACGACCAAAAACATGAATGCTTCGGCACAAATAACGCGGGCAATAAGAAAAGCATATAATGAGATACGATCCAAAAATATATCAGCCTTGGGGGGGTACATCAACATCAATTCTCAACGTCCAGTCTTCCGTTCAGCCTTGGAAACAAGTACTTGACGAAATCTTTCGGTCAAAGAATGAACTGCCGTGTCGTCTCCAGATTTGTCAGACTCTTCGTCAGACTCTTGTTCAGAATCTTCGTCGGACTCTTCGTCGTACTCTTCTTCATCAGAATCCACGTATTTGGTGGTCACATCCGGAATCTTGGAAAGAGGAGAAGAATGGCGTGGCCCTTTTGTGGGAGTAGATTGGGCAGCGCTTCCTGAGCCACCATCAGAGCTAAAAGGAGGGGGCAATACCGCGTTTTTCTTCAACATTCCTTGTCGGGTGTACGGCTGAGTGTCAACAAATGCGATCCATTTCAATATAGTTCTTTCGAGTGTTTCCCGTTCAATTTGAAGCCATTCTCGGTGATGGGTCTTGCATTTTTGACACTTCTCCTTCAACTTACCGTGCACAGAGGAGAGTTCTGCAAGCACGAACTGTTCCACCCGAAATGCGTTGGATGTGCTCTTTTCCCAAATCATGTCGATTACCTGGTAACACCCTCTGTGGGATGAAAGGCGTTGCACTTTGGGATGAAGTTTTGAATATCCTATCTTCACCATCCCCGGGTAAATGGTGGAAAAGAGGTATATGTAGCCAGTATATTTGGAGATCTTCCCGAGTGGTCGCTTCGCAAGAGCAGTGACTTTCCTTGTCACCTGTTCCTGTGTTGTATTCTTGTGATAGGATTCAAAGATAAACGAGGATTCAAAAGAACAAACGGAAATTTCGTTGGCTAAATCCTCATTGTCGTGATCTTCTTCGAATTCGTCGTCTTCTTCGGACTCATCCTGCTCAGATACCGCCCCCTCGGATCCGTCACCAGCCTCAGTATCATAGAGCTCCCGCAATCTTTGCAACAAATGACGCTTCGTTTTATTGTCATTCAATTCCCCAAGCCATTGACGTCTGGCTTGCTTGACATGGAGCAAATGACTGCGACAGAGAAATAGTTTTGCAAGCTCGTTGACAACTTTGGAGAATTTATAATCCTCGTTGGGAACTTGAGAAAGAATTTTCAGCAAAATGGGAAAGAAAGGGCTTGCAGATTTGCAATTCTTCTGACTGATTTTCTGACTGCAAGGTGCTGTGGCACGTTGTACCAGATAAGAGCATGGGACTTTGGGATGTTCACAATGAGTCCGTTCAAGTAGAGCTGACAAGGAGCAAAATGTTGCTTTGGAAGATTCCATGTCAGGAAATTGTAGACCGAGATTGGCGATAGGTGGAGTGGATAATGAGGTCGTTCAGAAAGAGAAACCCGCCGAGAATGCGTGATGAAAATTTTGTTATGCACTCGGATCCTCGATATATCTGGGCGAATTTAAGTGAATCCCAATGTCTAAGCCACGCGCAGCTGATAGGTACAAAAAGGACTAGCTTTGATTAATTTGGGGGCCGTTTATGAACGGTATACAAGTATTTGAATTCCAATTGTCCACGTGAGCCGACAAGTTGGTGTGGAAACAGGGGATAAAGACCGGGGTGTAGATAGCTAGATCCTAATTTGGTAGGTGCTGGAGCTGGAGCTGAAAAATACTGAGAGATCTTCACTCCGCGGGTTGAGAGCTAATTGAAGGGTGTTCCTCCGCGATACCCGGATGTGGGGATAGGATGCGGCGAGGCATGCGCCGGCGTCGCGGCTAGACAGGGATCTTCAGCCGCTAAACAAAAGTACGTTTCACGTTATAGGGGGCAAGGCATAATCCCATTGAACTGGGATGCATTATCGTGAAGCTGAATGTGGTGAATTTGGAATTCAGGTGCCGGGAAGGCCGTTCTCGTCGCTCTAGGGTGGGTCTTCGGCGTTGACAGCCCCCACGTCTCGTGATTCTGTCATATGGCATCTTGATAACATTCGTTCTGGGTTCCGTTGGCCCGAGCCGTCTAGCTGTAATTCGTGCTTGACGATGCGGTACATGACTCGACAAGGCATATTTCGTAGTCTAACAGCAGCGTCCCATCTTCCCTCACTGGCCTTCACATTCCACAATGCGCCGGATGATAGCCTCAACGTCTTCCCAGATTCGCTTGCGATTGCGCAACCCCTTGAGCTTGGGCCAATTGCGCTTTATTTGTGTAAAAAGTCTGTGCCAGTCCGTGTTTTCCCTGGACAACTTCATCTGCTCAGGTACCCCACTTGATAGAGTAAGGAGTTTACCAGCGATCTCGTCTGCTGGCCCATATCCATCACCCAGGATGCTGGAGTAGCGCTTCTTTTCATTGAATACTACCTTGACCTCATTCGCCGTCACCCTTGTCCACGAGGAAGGAATATGCGAAGAGTCAGGTCCATTCCAAGCTTCCCATAGCCAGGGCATTTCCTCGTGTACGAGTCTGTACCATATGCCATTTGGAAGGGTTGCAAATGCCTCGGAACCGATTCGTAGGCTAGTGATGTCGGCAGGTCCAAGATAGTCGACTAGAAGAAGGCGGACATCCAAGGACAGGGAGGCCAGATTGCCGACTCCACTAGGTTGAGATGGAACTGGGGTATGTTTTATATCCTGGTCAAGTTTAACCCCATGTGTATCCTTTCCCGTCTTGCCACTGTCAAAGCCCGCGAGGAAAACCGACAGATCAGGCACCTAAAGGGGGTTGGCAGCTAAGTATTCCTTGCCAGAATAATGGCACCAAAACTGCTTTTGAGCTTCATAGACATCACCATCGCGCGGAAAGCTGTGAAAATCATCATAGCCAAATGCTGGGTTCCGCCACTTCATGAGTCCGGAAACATTGACCTTGCCGAACTTTGCTTTTGACTGTCGAGAAAAAATGTCAAAACACCACGGATGAAACGGCATTGCGATATCGTTTGCGGGGGTCCACTCCGTCTACTGCAGATTAACCTCGACTCTTGCCTTGAAACATTCTCTTCACGAAACACTCGAAGGTATAACTTACACCAAAGTTCATATTGTCAGCATGAACGGTACCTACACCCCCTCGCACAGGCGAGACATCTTGGTCACTGCAATCACGCGAGGCCATACCAACACATTGACCGGAGAGGAAATAATCTTCGGATATTTCCCAGCTCTCATGGAGGCCGTCAGGTTGCCAGGGCTCGGAGGAGGCATCTTTGTGGACGAGGAATTGGGCTGTGCGACAGCATCGCATCTCTTGGAGTGAGATTGCATAGCCTGAGTAAGCTCTGGCTTCTTCACACGTTACACCGGGTATATGTTCCAGTTCTGTCATGTCGTATCCCCTCGGCAGTTCATCCGATGTAATGGGGAGGATGATCTCATTTCTGTTGTTTGAGTAGGCGAGATTTCCAACAGGTTCTCCCCGGAGTTTCTTCTGCGGAATTATTGTTCGTGCTAGGAAGTCTTGGTACGAATCTGCGTCATCTATATTCTCATCATCGTGATAATCCTCTTCTCCATCAAGGCTCATGGCATCGGTTGACTCATGCTCAGAGTTATACTCCAGCTCATCTTCGGTTTCTTCCTGTGGCACATAGTCGGGATCTTCAGAATCATTCTCATGTTCATCTTTAGGCTGTTTGACAGCTACACAGCAGCCTTTCTTCGCACATTCCAACAGGCCCTGGACCTCGTCGACAGGTGGGTAGTCATCTTGGACGCCTTCGTAGTCCCAGCTCGCGAGGTCTGGCTCTCCTGGTTTGCGGCGACGAGCGATGTTGAAGCTGACGCCACACAGATGGCAGTGTACCTACTATGCATCGGCGTCGCTCATTCGGAGAAAACTAATAGAAACAATAAAGTGGTACCTCGGAGTATCCTAAACAATGTCATTAGTTTATGAATATGTGACCAGATGGCGGGGGTAACTCGCCCATTGAAGTCCAGAGATTGAGTCTACAGTCTGTTCAATGTTGTTCAACAATGCTTGGACAACTGCTGCGGCCTTTATATGTTCTGAACTGTCCAGTTCGTGTCTAGACCGCCGTGGGGTGTTACTAGACCCCTGAAAAGCTTCATTGGGGTTGTCTGCCTAAGAGAACTAGGCAGCACCTCGGTACTGGCTTAGGGCCCACTAGGCGCACCATTCGAGGGCCTGTGCTTATACCCATGGGGTGAGAGTCCAAAGATTCAAACTTCCACATCGTAGCAGACTTTGGGTTCGACATGTGGTATATTAAACCTATGATCTTTTTCCAGCTTCTTGGCGATCCAGGCCGACATTAGGTGTAAGACAATACAAGAAGCCGGGTCCAAGGGAATCACCCCTGCTCGATAATGACATATAGTACAGCACTTCCAATTTGCAATGAAGGAGTGCAACAATTCAAATAAGATCACAGGGCCACGCCCAGAGCTAAAAAAGCTTCCGTATTAACAATTATCAACTCTCGGCCCCCCAACAAGCAACGCTATGCACAATCATATAGAATCACAAAGTAATCACTTGCGGCGCGTTGCCTAGCTTTCCACTGGCACGGTACATGCATGCAGCATTCACCATCCAGCCACCTCTAGCCTCGCCTCCCCAGACCTGCGCCCAGATGACCCCAAGCATACCGTACATCAAGACTCTAGCTGCATCCGCCCACCCCGAGGGATCGAATAGATCGCGCAAGAACCCGAATAGTGTCATGAGGCGACTATGTTGCGCGCGTGGACGACGTGATGTGCAGAGTCGTTCCCAGGCGCGTTGGGCCTCGTCCCAAAAGACGGGCTCGGAACCGGCGGACTCGTGGATGTGGCCGAAGACGTGGAGGGCCGGGCGGACGCGCCATGTCTCCGCGAGGAGGTTTGGACAGCCGGCTGAGTAGACTGGGGACATGTCGAGGTGGGCTTGTGGGGGCGTGTGGGTGACGAGGATGTCTGTTTCCGGAGGTATGGTGCGGGACCAGGCGTCGTGGTGTGGGGGATATGTGAAAGCGTGTTCAGGGCCGAAGGGGACGAGGGCTGGTATTTGAGGCGCGCCGTAGATTGTAAGAGTCCGGGAATTGGAGCTTGTGAGAGGAGTGTCTGATGATGCGTCTGAGGTTGTAGGGAAGGACAGTTCGACAGAGGAGTGTTGAAGGTAATGGATGTCACCCCAGTCAATGCGCGATGCAGCATTCATATCGTCGAGTGACCGAATTGAAGCGGTCGATGAGGATACATTTGCGAACGAGCCATTCTCGTCGCGGTCTTCGTCGCAACGCGACCGCGCATCGAAGTAGCTATCGTGATTGCCGCAGATCACGACCTTGTGCTTGTGAGGGAGGGAGTGCAGCCAGTCGACCGCGGCTTGGATTTCGCGCACAGAACCATCATTTGCGAGATCACCGGCGTGAATTAGCAGGTCGCCGTCTGGTACATCTGGCCATTCGAGTGTGTGGGTGTCGGAGATGCAAACAACGCGGATCGGCTGGGTTGTTGAAGGAAGACGCGGAGGTCCCCGAAGACGAAGAAGAAGTTGGTGGAAAGGATAGAGCAGAGCGACCAGTGGCGATGCAAAGAAGTAATCAGGCAAGGGACGCCTATGGTAAGGGCTATACATGATGCCCAAGGGATCCCAATGGTATAGTTCTGGGTGAAGTCGAGTGGGGAGAAAAGCGGTGACATCAGGATTTGGTCGAGACCTCGAACAAGTTGAACAGGTCAACATCAAACATGTTGATCTAGTGAAATATAGATCGAGAATTAAGATCAAGCAATACCACCACTAATCGAATGAGCATAATTCCATTCAATTTCAATGTAAAATCCACTTTACGAGGCTGGTCATCACCAGCCACCTATACAACCACAACCACCAAAACACATGCGGTCTTCGCCACATCCGTCGCTTGTACCGCTTGGCTGCTTGCGGAATCTCTTCTCCCTCAAATCGCGCAACTTCATCGATTCAATCTATTCCCCTTATTTTCAACTTCGATCTTGATCTTGGCTTGGATTTGAACTTGCCCCTCGCAGGTTTTCCTTTCCGCGACCAACCAACTTGCATCCCGGTGCCCCGCCTCTCAGCTGTGGTCCCCCGAACACCTTCCAACTCCACAACATGGAGAGCGTTGATCTTACCAAGGCCATGCTGAACAAAGGCAAACAGATAGCAAGTGTTGCTGCCTCCGCTGCCAATGGCAACGGCGGAAAGAAGAGGAGAAAGGGCACCGACTTGAAGCCCATCGTTACCAACGATGCGGCGGGCGAGCCGACAGAATCGTACGTGATTTTTTTCCCCTCACTATCGCAACTTTTTTTCTAAATCACCCTCCAGAACCGGCGCCGCACCAACTAACGCAAAGCCTATGGGAGCGTCCGCTTCGCGATCGCCCTCCGCCTCGTCGGGCGACGAGGTCGAAACCACCGCTGAGGAAGAAGACTCGGAGGATTACTGCAAGGGTGGCTACCACCCGGTCGCCGTGGGCGAAACCTACAACAATGGTCGCTACGTGGTAGTGCGCAAGCTGGGATGGGGTCATTTCTCCACTGTGTGGCTGTCGAGAGATACCACCACTGGCAAACACGTCGCGCTGAAGGTCGTCCGCTCCGCCGCTCACTACACCGAGACCGCCATCGATGAGATCAAGCTGCTCAACCGGATCGTCCAAGCGAAACCTTCGCACCCGGGGCGCAAGCATGTGGTGAGTCTGCTGGACTCGTTCGAACACAAGGGACCGAACGGTGTGCACGTATGCATGGTGTTCGAGGTGCTGGGCGAGAACCTGCTTGGTCTGATCAAGCGCTGGAACCACCGCGGTATCCCGTTGCCGCTGGTCAAGCAGATCACCAAACAGGTCTTGCTCGGCTTGGATTATCTGCACCGGGAGTGCGGAATAATCCACACTGATCTGAAGCCCGAAAATGTGTTGATCGAGATTGGCGACGTGGAGCAAATTGTCAAGGCCCATGTTCAGCAAGAAGAGGCGAAAAAGAACAAGGAAGACAACCGAAATGGGCGACGACGGAGACGCACCCTCATTACTGGCAGTCAGCCGTTGCCCAGTCCGTTGAACACCAGCTTCAGCAGCTTCGACTTTAAACACAGCTCTTCCAACTCGCACAGCAGTCTCAACCAGATGGTTAATGATTCTGGTTAGTACAACAATCCGCATTGGTTATAAACTCGACTGACTTTGAAATAGCCCCGACGGAGCCCTCATCGATGAAGGAGACCCTTGGCGTCAAGGAGGAGGAAGATAAACATAAGGAGCGAGAGAAGACAACGTAAGTTGTGCCATCTGGTCTTGTTTTAGATTCCACTAACAAAACGCAGCGATCTCCTGGAGAGAGAGGTTTCGGGTATCTCTCTTGATAAGACTCCATCTCGGGACAGTGAAGACGAGATCGACGCTAGCATCATCTCCGTCAAGATCGCTGATCTGGGCAACGCATGCTGGGTGGGTCACCATTTCACCAACGACATCCAGACCCGACAATATAGATCGCCTGAGGTTATATTGGGTGCGAAATGGGGTGCCAGCACCGACATTTGGAGCATGGCTTGCATGGTCAGTCGCTCCTTCACCTATCAAATCACCACTCTATGCTAACCTCTTTATTCAGACCTTCGAATTGATCACCGGAGATTACCTCTTTGACCCCCAATCAGGCACCAAATACGGCAAAGACGACGACCACATCGCGCAAATCATCGAACTCCTCGGTCCATTCCCCAAATCCCAATGCCTATCCGGCAAATGGTCCCAAGAGATCTTCAACCGCAAAGGCGAGCTTCGCAACATCCACCGCCTCCGCCACTGGGCTCTCCCCGACGTCCTCCGCGAGAAATACCACTACACTGTCGAAGACGGCATGCGAACCAGCGAGTTCCTCCTACCCATGCTAGACCTCTCGCCCGAGAAACGCGCCAATGCTGGCGGCATGGCTGCACACGAGTGGATGCAAGATACACCCGGCATGAGCGGGATCGACCTTGGTATTGCGCCTGGGACGCGTGGCGAAGGGATTGACGGCTGGGCAGCGGAGTGCAAGCGGCGATGAAGGATCAATGGGAGGAATGTTTGTGATAGCGTTAATTTCCTTTCATCTCTTTACACGAGGGCTACCCTAGATGGGATGGAATTCTATGTCGTGCCCGCGATGTGAGTTTTAACGATCTTTTTCTTCAATGACGGGATTCGATTACGGTTGGTCTTTTATTTTTGTCATGGTAGTTGGTCGGGAGGGTTTCTTCTCGTATGGCCCGCCTTTATCTTCATAGAGATCTTTCCTTTGCTTCTTTATTTTGTCTATATTCTTTAGGTCTAGACCGATCGTTGAATCGGCCTCTCTAGAATCTGGGAGGTGAGATGTAAATTCAACCTGGGTATCGTCTTCAAACTGATAAACGTGCTCAAAACTCGATCAATCAGACTCGTCATGTCCGTCGCTATCGCCCTCCTCGCTCGGCAAATGCTTGGGAAACCATCCATAGCGGGAAAAATCGACGTGGAATTCTCCCATTGATTCCGAGCGCACCTCGACCCCTTCCAATCTGAGAGCATCAGCTTGACGCTCGGCGCTGCCAGGGCCGCTAACATCAATTAGCCAACGTGAGCACATTGTGCTAATATCAAGAAAAGGTTACCGGTGAGAGATCATCCCTTTACTGTTGATCACCCGCTGCCACGGCACGGTAGCCGAGTTGTATTCAAGCCCGGACTCTGGGTCTGGCATATGCTTTAAGCATACACCAACCTGGCGGGGTCTCTGAGCTATTTATTCAACTGTCAGTGGAAATCACCCAAGGTGGGAACTCCGTACGTTCACCGAGAAGCAGAGCAATATGGCCGTATGAGGTGACCTTGCCGTATGGTACCTCCTGAATGGCGGAGTAAACAGCATTCGCCCATGCCTCAGCTTCTTCAGAACGTGGCATCTTGAGTTTCCGGTTGAATTATTGCTCAGGTATACGCAAAGCGCAAGGGAAAGGAAAGTGAATCAGCAGCCCGTAGCTACACTTCGGGTAAACCTTGCTCCGGCTATCGATAAGTCGCGATCCAAGTTCAGTTCCGCCGTCACGAAAGCTTCCGCCTCCATATCACTCGCCATGCCAGGCTCACTAGCTGACTACCTTGCGAAAAATTACCTCAACGCCGACCCGGCGACCGAGCGCCCCAAGAAAAAGCGCAAGAAGACCAAGGCCGTCGACACCGCCAGCTCCGGCCTCATCATCACCGACGACGACCCTTCCGACCTCCTCACCAAAGACCAACAAGATGACGAAGACAGCCCGTTTCTTGACACATCCTTCAAGAGCGCCGAGTTCCGCCGCACCAAGAAATCAGGCTGGAAGACTCTCGGTGGTGACAACAGCGACCAAGCAGCCGCGGACGCAATCCTAGCCTCGGCGGCCGCGGAACGAGACGCAGCACGCGCCGAAGATGCCGACGGCCCAACAGTGGAAGAAAATGCGGAAGGGCCCAAGATGGAGTCTGGCGCCCTAGCAGGCCTTCAAACCGCCGAACAAACCGCGGCGATGGTAAAAGCCCAAGAACGACGCAAAAAAGCCGAAGAAGCGCAATGGCGCGACCCATCCGCAGTGGCCGCCCAAACCCAAGAAACAATCTACCGAGACGCCTCGGGCCGAATCATCAATGTGGCAATGAAACGCGCGGAAGCCCGTCGCGCCGAAGAAGAAAAGAAAGAGAAAGAAGAGCGCGCCCGTGAAGCCCTAATGGGCGACGTGCAACGGCAGCAGCGCGAGACGCGAAAACAAGAACTCCAAGAAGCAAAGGCGATGCCGCTAGCTCGGGGTATTGAGGACGAGACTATGAATGATGAGCTGAGGGCGCGGGATCGGTGGAATGATCCGGCGGCTGGGTTCTTGACGGAGAGGTCTAGGCCGGGAGCCAGTGTCACGGGCAAGCCGTTGTATAAGGGGGCCTTCCAGCCTAATCGGTATGGGATTCGGCCGGGACATCGGTGGGATGGGGTTGATCGGGCGAATGGGTTCGAGAAGGATTGGTTTGCAGCGAGGAATAAGAAGGGGAGAATGGAGGCTTTGGATTATCAGTGGCAGATGGATGAATAGATGGATATAGAATTCACGGTTTATTGTAATACATAGGGTTGAGTGGGAGTATACGATGCATGATGGGGTGCTGGCGCCCGGTCCCAAGTTATTTAACTTGTTCTTCATATATATCTATTTCAATTTGTATACAACAGGATATGCGCTTGTGCGGAAACAGACTGGCGCAAGTGGACAATCCGTTTGTTGGAGATGCTTGAAGCTAGTGCTCAAGACTCCAGAACAGTGGAACTCATGCATCATCAGCGATAAGTCTTCCTTTGTAAATCTGTTCATTGTTGAAATTCTGACAAAATATAAAGCTTTAGGCGAAACGATATAAATCATCTAGAGTGAATCTTTGTTCTACGTTCTTTGTGTATAAAGGCGGAGGACGGTTCTGGTTGCCGCGGAGTCTGTTTACCAAACAAAAAACTTGCCGTTCCGCCTTCCCTCATCACCATCCACCATGGAGAGCCCCATGGAATACCAATGGACCACGGGTCCCAAGATGGACCCTGCATCGCCTTTCTCTCATCTAGGGATGGAGAGCAAAAAGCGTACGTCTCAAAGTGCCCCGACCAGGAAGCAGTCCTGGGATCGCCTTCGCCGACAACACCCTAACCCAGACGTCCAAATAGGCACACATAGCGCATTCGAATCGCCAGACAAGAAAACAGTCCCTCATCTTCGCGCCCCGAACTCGCAACCCTTCTATTTCTCCCAGCAACAACAGCCCGCATCCCCCGCTGCCAAGTCCGTCTTCGGTCAGCCGGCCTTCACAACACCGCGCAAATTCGATGTCGATGTCGATTTCTCATCAGGGGCGGAGAATATGTCGTCTCCGGACAACGCAGACAATGAGGATACCCCGGATGCCAAGGCAGGACAGCGCAACTCTTTATACCAGATGTACGGACGCTTCGCTCCCAGTCCTGGAAGAGGGGAGATCCCCCGCGCGAAAAACTACTCGAATGCACTCGCTCGGAGGGTAGAAAAGCGACGCCGAAGGGATAAGGAGTTGGGCAGACAGGTTCGAGTCGACAGTGACGACGACAGTGACCGACCAAGTAGCAGTGAGGGACGGAAAGAGAAATCGAAGAAACAACTGAAGGGATCCGATTCAGAACCGCCTCAATCGCGAATGTCGAAATTCTCCGAGTTCTTTGCTCTTTTGGAAAGGCATCCCAATATCCCGAGCATTCTGTCGTGGTGGGCCCAGCTCTTTGTCAACTTGTCGCTCTTCTCACTCGCCGTGTATGTCGTCTTTTCAGTTGTGTCAACGATACGTGCGGAGTTCGAGCAAGCTGCGCAAGGGGCGAAAGATGAAATTCTGGAAACGATGTCAAGATGCGCCGACAATTACCTCTCAAATAAGTGCGCCAGTGACGAGCGACTCCCCGCGCTGAAGGACCTCTGCATGAACTGGGACCAATGCATGAACCAAGACCCCGACAAGGTCGGACGAGCTAAAGTCTCCGCGCAAACCATGGCCATGATCATCAACAGCTTCATTGATCCAATCAGCTGGAAGGCATTCGTACGTGAGATCCATCCCATGCTACCATACTATTACTAACAACTCCCAGATGTTCTTCCTCGCCAGTATCGCAACCGTAACAGTCGTCAGCAACCTCTCCTTCCGTTCCTTCAGAAAACGCCTGAACCAACAAACATGGGCTCCTCCCAACTACCAACAACCCCACAATCCCCAACTACACCCTCCACCCCTCCACCAAAACCCAAGCTATGGCTACTACCCCCACGAACCCCACCAAATACCCAACAGCTACACCGAGAAAGAACCCCAATTAATGCTCGAAGGTCCCCGAATGGACTTTGTCACGGAACGCTCGCGCGAGCGCGAAAGTCAACTCCGAACGCCGAGTCCAAGTAAGCGCGGTCGTCGCTTCGCTTAACCTGCAATGAATTGGCGTCTGTATCTGTATCGGTTTTGGGCTTGGGGCGGTGTTTGCATTGTACACCAATTTCATGGTTATTTCCTTTCGGTTCTTGTACTTCCTTGGTCTCTTTGAGAATGGCATAAGCAAGCGAGTGTTATAATTTCTACGACCTACTTTGCAAGGTTTTATTTGTATTATCCTCATGGTCATAGCTTCTATCCATCTAGACTCCACTGTGGGGACTCATACATGTGCATCATGCAGTAATCCTCCGGCCATGAATACGCCGAGTTGCATGCATTCATTTTCCCGAGTGGTTGTTTTGACCTGTTTTCTTGTTTCCAGCCCGATGAACCCAACTCCACGTTCGCCGACAGGTTCGCCGAGCGGCCGTCGCCTACCGAGTCTTGGCATCTTCGCCGCCGGAACCAGTGAGGTATAAGCGTTGAACTTGGATAGGAAAATTTTCATTTAAGCCGCATTTCTCTGTGCTCTTGGATCGGAATCCAGTTCTCGGCATCCCAGAGACCCATTAGCTTCTCGCCTATAGGTGGCGCCGGTTTCTGCGTGCAGCTATTCGCGGCCACCGTCCGACGGAACCACCCGTTCGCCGAAGTATATGAAAATTCCATGAGATGCATTGGGAGTGGATTAAAGTAATGGTAGCTATATAGTAGACACATGATCTCGTGTCTGGACTTTGTAAAAATTACACTCTTCAATTTCAACCGAACTCTATCATTCTCCCAGGTTATATATTCGTTTTCAACGACACCATCCAAATGCACCACGAACCAAAACCCTCCCTCGAAAATGCCCCAATCTACCCAGAAGGCGGCCTCCGCGCGAACCTCGTCGTCCTCGGCAGCTTTAGCTCAATAATGGGCGGCCTAGGCCTCATGAACAGTATAGGAATCTACCAAGCCTGGATATCCACGCACCAACTCTCGCACCTCTCATCTGGCCAAATTGGCTGGATATTCGGACTCTACAATTTCCTTGTCTTCTTCTGCGGGATCCAAATCGGACCAATCTTCGACGCCAAGGGCCCGAAGGCCCTGATGTGGTTTGGCTCCTTCCTTGTCGTTCTCACATTCGTCCTCATGGGTTTCTGTACGCTCTATTGGCATTTCATTGTCGTGATCGGTATCCTTGGTGGAATGGGAACGAGTTTCATTTTCATCGTTCCTGTTGCTAGTATTGGGCATTTCTTCTGTCGTCGACGTGGTGCGGCTACGGGTCTTGCGTTGAGTGGGGGGAGTATTGGGGGTGTGATATTCCCTCTCGTGTTGGAGAATCTCGCGCCGAAGATTGGGTTTGCCTGGTCGACAAGGGTTATCGGATTGATCACGTTGGTCCTTCTGATTCCGGGGTGTTTGCTTGTTCGTACGAATTTCCCACCGAAAGATCCGAGTCCGCCGTCGGCGAAGGTTTTCTTACCTGATTTGACGATTTTGAGAGATCCGGTCCTGGCATTGACGACGCTTGGGGTTTTCTTTATCGAATGGGGGTTCTTTATTCCTCTTGAGTATATCGCGTCTTATTCGCTCGCGTCTGGGGTTCCAAGGCAATTGTCTTATTTGATGGTTGTTTTCTTTAACGCTGGTTCGTTTCCAGGAAGGTGGTTGCCGGGGATTTTGGCGGACAAGATTGGACGCTTCAATACTTTGATTCTGACGAATGTATTGTGTTTGATTTCTGTCCTTGCTATCTGGATGCCTGCGGAAGGTAACATCGCTGCAGTGATTATCTTCTCTGTTGTCTTCGGTTTCGCGAGCGGGAGCAACATTAGCCTGGTTCCCGTGTGCGTTGGTGAGCTCTGTCCGGTGCAGAACTACGGTCGGTACTATACAACTGTGTATACCATTGTCAGCTTCGGGTAAGTTTTTTTTGAACGTTTCTAAGGTTGGTGGGTATTGACTAATACTGCTTGTAGGGCTTTGACTGGTGTTCCCATCGCGGGTGAGATCCTCAACCGCTGTGGTGGCGAGTACTGGGGTCTCATTTCGTTCGCTGGATGTGCATATGCGGCAGGACTGGGGTGTTTTGCTATTGTTATATGGTTGCAGAAGCGCAGAGCAAGCAAGCAATGAGCCGATATCTGGAGGTCGGGAAATGTGAGCGGGTTGACCTACGAATGACGAAATATATAAAAGCATTATAAACATAGAAGCCGTATATACAGCCACAACAACCTTGAAAATGAATTCTTTTAGAAAATGCCTAGACTCATTATCTCCAGTGTCTCTATGATATAGATATAGGTGACTTTAAAACGGTGAATAAAGGAGAGGGCCCGCGTACCTACCTGCCTAAAGATGGGTGTGTCGGGATAGCCAAATGTTGACCGCTATGGATCGTGCTAAACTCCTGCAGTAATGCGAAAACGCGCAGCTGGACAGCATGTGGGAAAAAAGCAATTGAAATACCCTAGAAACGTATCTCTTACGTGACTAGTTTCTTGAAGTGTGTTTTTATAAAATTGCTCAAAGTCGCGCTGTCGGATATTCATTCTGACGTACCATTTGCCATCAAGCGGCAAAAGGCAAAAAACGCTCAATATACCGGATCAGGGGTTAGCCTAGCCTTAATCAAGACTATAAAGCTTGTGTATTTGCTTGAACAATTACACCGATTCTTAGTTGTACCAAAGTCTTGGAAGTTTACACCGCGTTGAACACCCAATCTCGGAACACCATGGGCGAGTCAGCCAACACGAAGCGCAATCTTATCATTGTTTCCAACCGTCTACCTGTGTCCGTCAGACGCGTCGATGGAGCCTTTCAATCCTCGTTGTCGAGTGGTGGTCTCGTCACAGCACTATCGGGACTCACCAAATCAACCCAGTTTCGATGGTTTGGCTGGCCTGGCATAGAGGTGAAAGATCCCGAAGAAAGAGCCGAAGTGGTCGAAAGTTTGGAAAAACACCGTGCGACCCCAATCTTCCTGGATAGCCATCTAGCACACGAGCACTATAATGGCTTTTCTAGTAATTCAATCAATTCATCCCAATATCTTGCACATGTTCCAGCTGGCTGACTGTTATAGATCGCATACTCTGGCCAATTCTCCACTACACATCTGGCATTCTATACGACGATGGCCCCTGGCAAGCCTATAAGCGTGTGAACGAGCTATTCGCAGATGCCATTGCAGAGGCAGCAGAAAGCGGCACATTGATCTGGGTACATGACTATCACCTCATGCTTCTCCCTGAGCTCCTTCGCAAGCAACTTCAAATGCAGGGGAAGGGGTGCGCAATTGGATTCTCTCTACATACTCCGTTCCCAGCAGGTGACTTCTGGAGAAATCTCCCAGTCCGAAAGCACTTGATTGAAGGCCTGTTGTCGAGTGATTTAATTGGATTCCACACGGATGAGTATAAGCATAACTTCATTGATACATGTGCAAGTCTACTGTGAGTGGAAATGAAAATGATTCCAATTTGGATCGCGACTAAGAGCTTTCTAGTGGAGCGCAAACTCAAATTCCAAATCAGATTCAATACAAAAACCGCCTTGTCTGCACCGACAAGTTCATTGTCGGTATCGACCCCCAAAAGTTTACCGATACGTTGCGAAGACCCGAAGTTCAAGAGCGGATCAAGTCACTTAAGGAGCGTTATAAGGGAATGAAGGTTATCGTCGGAATTGACAGATTGGATCATATAAAGGGTCTCACGCAAAAGTTGAAGGGATTCGATTATTTTCTGGATGATCATCCAGAGCTTCGGACAAAGGTTGTTCTCATCCAAGTCGCTGTGCCAAGCAGAGAAGATGTAAAAGAGTACCAGGATCTTGAAACGGAGCTTTGCACGATTGCGGGAAAAATAAATGGAAAGCACGGTTCGGTCAATCCTCCATCCCCATGTATGACCTGACTGACAAGAATAGCGACACCGGAGGGCACCCCCTTGTTATATATGCACCGATCAGTCCCATTCACGGAGTTGACGGCACTTTATTCCGTCGCCGACGCATGCTTGTTGACTTCTACACGAGACGGCATGAACTTGGTCTCTTTCGAGTACGTTGCGTGTCAAGAGCAGAATCACGGCGTCCTGGTATTATCCGAATTTGCTGGCGCAGCAGCATTCATGAGAGATGGAAGTATACCATTCCACCCGGCCAACACATCAGAAATGTCGGAGGCTCTCTTCGCGGCGTTGAACCTTGGTGACGAGGAACGCAAGGAAAAGTTCGAATCCTTGTGGAATTTTGTCGCGACGAACACTAGGTATGTCTTACGTGAGGCGGAACTTCGTGATCAGTCACTAATCAGCATAGTGCAAAATGGGGTTCAACATTCATAGAGAAACTCTCGCGCAGATGCGGTCGACCTGGGGGCTCCTGTTGAAGCTGGCAAAATGATTCATCTTTTATCTCCGTCTTTCCTGTACTTGCAAACACTGAATGTATAGCCCGCATGCGTCACGCAGCATACAAATAGGACCTTGCGAAAGGCTTTTTAGCTATTCAAGTGCCTCTGACTTAGATAAAGGAAGAGCATAAGTCTATATGGTGATTTCAAGAATCATAGACGTAGTTGTCTAAGAAGATTGAGGTGAGATCAATCTGTATTGGTTGAGAATAGAAAGAAGAAATTCAAGGGTTTCAAAATGCTAAAGAATTTTCCGTACAGTTGAGAATGTACGGAGTCGGGTAGATGTATAGGGATGGTCTTCAGCCAGTAGCTTCGTCACGCCTTCCGCGGCATATCTTCCTAGTCCATCTAGATTGCCCATACCAAGCAACTCAAGTACGCTGATATCAAAACCAAATGTCTGCCTCCACCAGCCGCGTATCTCGACACCAACCAGTGAATACATGCCCAGCTGGGCGAGTGAGATAGAAGTGTCGAGGTCCTCTGGAGACTTCAGGAGGAAGACGAACAGCTTCTTGCCTATCTCTTGGGCTAAAAAGTTCGTGGACTCCTGAGTACTGAGAATACCAGTATCCTCCTTAGCTCGGGCAAGGAAGGATTGAGATTATCACTGTTTGAGCCAGAAGCGCTTGCCCCGGTCTTGGATGAGTTATGGTAGGCAGCCATTCTAATGTCCTTCCTCCATAACGCACGACTTTCAGAGCTGCTAAGAGGAATTGCTGTTGATAAACCAAGAGCGATGGTGTGCAGGTCAGCAAATGGCTCAGCCAGGGTATCGCAGTCAATGGGAGACATCGCCGGAAATAGAGCCGCTGCACTGACAGCTTCCATTAATTCGGGTTCTGTAATTCCATGCACACTTGCAAGCTTCATCCTCTTCAGAAGGGCATCATCTTGCGAAACGTAGCCAACGTCCTGAACAGCCCCAATATCCAGGGAAGAGGCCGCGAGCCCTAGGCTTCTTCTGTATTGAACAAAGGAATCCAGGAAAGTGTTTGCTCCTGCGTAATTTGCCTGGCCAGCTTGACCAGTGACACCAGACATCGATGAGAACATGATAAAGAAGTCCAGTTGGATACCGGCGGTAATTGCAGCGTTGTGGAGATTCCAAGTTCCTTGGACTTTTGGTGTCACTGCGGTTTTCCACTCGTCTATGCTCATACGACCAAAGTTCTCGTCACGAAGAACCATAGAGCATTGGATTATTCCATTTAGATTTGGGGCTTGCTCCAAAGAGCGCCTCACGTCCTCTTGTCGAAGAACACTTCCCTGAACAAGGACGACTTCACAGCCCATACTCTCAAGCTCTGTAATGGTATCAGGGTCCTCTGGCCATTTGCCAGCGCTTCTCAAGAGAAAAAAAACACGGCGTGCATTGCGCTCGACCAAATGCCTTGCAATGGCCCGACCAAGGCCACCAAGACCACCAACGAGAAGATAAGATGCGCCCTTTTCGAGGTCCAGATCTTTCATCGCCTTGACAGATGCAGTGCCAAGATTCAGGTCGCCATCAGAGTTCCTGATTGAGATAATGATCTTGCCGAGATGCTGGCCTCGTTGCATGTACCGGAATGCGTCTTCGATCTGCACGACATCAAAAACCTTCTTCGGGCGAATCGGAGTGATTTGCCCACTCTGCAAGTACCACACGATTTCACGAAGAAGCCCCTTGACTTTCGATTGTTTCCTAGCCATGAGTGCATCAAGATAAAAGCAAGCGTACGTCCGGCTTCCTAAGAAAGTGCCCATATCAAGTTTACCAGCACCAAGGAAGTCACGCTTTCCAATTTCAACCAGTGTGCCAAACTCGGCGACACAGCCCCAAGTGGCATGAAGGAGTTCTCCAGACAGAGAGTTGAGTACGAGATCCACGCCTTGTTGGTTGGTCTCGCGCATTATTCCTTCCACGAACCTGGTATCTCTTGAATGGAAAATGCGATTTCTGGGAAGGTCAAAAGTTTTGACGAGATGTTGAATCTTGTCTTCACTGCTAACAGTTGCCTAAATTTCAGCTCCCACCATGCGGGCAAGCTGAATGGCAGCCAGACCGACACCACCACAGGCGCTATGAATTAACACAGACTAGAGGTTTATCAGTTTAGTATCGAGATAAGCAACCGATTAAGAAGAGTGTCGTACCTGTCCCTTCTGCAACTTTCCAATATATAAAAGCGAGCAGACCGCGGTTGCAAAGACCGCTGGCATACTTGCAGCATCTTCAAAATTGAGACTTGTCGGTATTCTGGTACAGAGTCTCTCCGGAGTGACGACATGTGAACCAAAAGAGCCGTCGCCTAAGAGCATAACCCGGTCGCCGACCCGAAGATCGGTCACCCCAGGACCGACACGGGAGACAATTCCACTGGACTCAATACCAAAGCCATCCTGGGGATAGGGGACGACTGCTAATGATCAAAGAACATCCTGCACAACATGTGTTAGCTATAAAGAGGATTTTGATGAATCAAGACTCTCACCCTTAAAGTTCAGGCCAGCTGCGTGAAGCTATACCTCCACATCATCACCGTTGAGTCTCTTTTTCTCCCAAGGGGCCCATTTCATAGTGCTGAGACGTCCAGGCTTGCTCATGTCAAGTCCACTCCGCTCATCCAGAACGGCATCGGATGAAAGCTCATTGGTCAGGGAAAAGGGATAAATTCTGCCAACGTTCACGGTGCCATCACAAATAGCGTATTCATACTCCGGCTTGAACGTCTCAGTCTCCACTCTTAATTGGAATTTTGAAAATCCATCAACCACTTTCTCCAAAGACGATCCGAAGTGGTCCACTTCACACGTAGCAAAGTCTAAAAGCATCTCAGTACGGATCGTACGAGCGGTGCCGATCACCTGAGCATAGTCGGGATCACAGCACTGAATCTGACATGGCTGGGCCACCCAGAACAGTGCAGAATCTCCCAGGCTGTTCAGTACTCGCTGGAAGGCCATGAAGCGAACTTCTTCAATATCCCGAAAGAAAAGCTGCGGAAGATCAAGAAGACAAATAATATCTTGGCCTTTTGGCAGTTCTTGGCCGATTTTATACGGCTGAATAGTGAAGCCTCTGGCCTCCATAACTCTAGAGAAAGGAGTCAGATGGGTGCCGGTATCATCACATAGAATAGACACTGTCTTGTTGACTGCCTTGCGCTCCGTCCGCGGGCTTGCAACCATGATGGCGTTCAGTTGATAACCCTCCTCGGCATCAAGGACAATCGCATCCAGTCCATTGAAGCCTGCGTCTCGCAGCTCATTCTCCCATCGAGCCGGAGTGACGTAGGGTTGGTCTGGACGACCATCAGGTCCACCATACCACCAGCCTGGCAGAGTTCCAAAAATAAAATTAGGCCATTTGGAGGGAGAATCAATCTCATGAAGAAGCAGTCTGCCATCGGGCACAAGTAATTGGTGCACGTTCTTCAAAGTCTCATGAAGACTTCTTGTGGCGTGGAGAACATTAGTGGCGATTACAAGGTCAAATTTGTCTTCTTCGAAGCCTTCCTCGACTGGATCCTGGCTGATATCTAGAACGCGGTACTCGATGTTCCGATAATCTGTGAAGAGATCCTTTGCAGCGACAAAGAATGCTGAAGAGATATCGGTGAACGCATACTTCGAGTAAAGGGGTTGACCAGTGGGTAGGACCAGATGCTTCAGAATGCTGGCAGTGGATGCCCCGGTACCAGCACCAATCTCAAGTATGCGAAGATTGGGATTTGTGTGCGACAAATGGCGGATGAATTGGGATCGATCCACAGCGTCCGTGGCAACGTATAGCTTTGTCATTGTATTATCGGCCAGTAACATTTCAAGAGCATCCGTCTCTCCAGACAATAGTCCTTCGATATTGTTGACTACTTTCTGGACAGCAGTAGCACAGTCCTCGACTTGCGTCCCAAGCAGCTTTTGCACCAAGCTGGATATCTGCCGTTTAATAGAAAGATCATCCATAGCGAGCATTGGCAAATGGTTTCCATATCCCTGGACCTGGTGTTTGATCCAATTCATATACTTGGCGATATGGGGAAGTTGGGTTTGAGCTCCCTCTATGCGTCGTTCCGCGTATACCAGACACAAGCGGGAAATCTCGTCCATAATTGTAGTATACAGACGCCTGGGGACCTCGGGCTTGATGAGACGCTTGACGTCCAAGAAGTCAATTTGTGGTCCCCAGGTGAGACGCGCGGATGTCATTGGCTTTTCCGTTCCTGTATCCTCTGCATCCTCCAAGGGCGAAAGCTTTGCGCCTTCCCTGTCCATCATGATACTTCTATTTGCTATGCATTGTACCCGGCTAATAACATCACCACTTCCATTAATTGAGACAGCGGATGCGGCGACACTGATGTCAGCAACTGGGGTGCAGCGATGCAAAGTCACTCTGTCGATCTTTGTGGGAACGCGACGGTAATTCTTTGCCTCCACGCGACCTCTCATCGCCGCAAGGGGACCCGATTGGATGCAAGCATGAATGATGGTGGGGTGGATGTGATAATGCTCTTCATCTCCGCAGACATCGCTCGACAAGCGAGCAGCCGTGCGTGCTTCCACTCTACCCGTTCGAATGTCATCAAGACGCTGGAAGTGGGGACCGTATCCGATACCTGCACGAGAAAGGACGTCATAATACTTGCGACGTTGTACTTTCCTTGGCAGAAGATCTTCGCCTGGCTTGCGTACGGGCTCGACCTTTCTGTGCTGGGTTGAGCAATTCCTTGTGTTCTACCATCACCATTTGACGCAGTAGATCTTAGGACCCCCTTTTCAGTCATAAATGCTGTCATTCCGGGGGCCATGATCAAGTTCGCGCCTCCGTCGACTGCCGCTTGACAATCGCCGCGTTGGATGGCGGAGACAGTCTCATGCAAGCAAATGAGTGCTGTAGAGCACGCGGTGCGGATCGTTATACTGGCATTTACTTAATTCTATTTTCTCAACACAGTCATGAATAGCAACCAGCTCGAGCATTGCATTTTTCTCAACTCAACGAATGAGTGCATTGGCGAGCCGTTTGGGGTCAAACATATTTACAGAAATTGTTCTCAATCATGCCATATCTCAGGATACCCAGGTATCAAATAATCAGATTACAGAACTCAGGTCCATTTTCGGCTTTGTTTTCCCTGATCTGGAAGATGAGGCATAGCATGAACCTGTCTACCAGATATCCCAGTCATCAACACCCAATAATAAGATACAAATTCCAGAGAAGAACGCCGGTACAGATAACTCGGGATCTGATATTATAAAATAATCATTAGATCCTTTTAAAGTTTAGGATAGAGTATCGTACCGATTTGAGCGATTGCAGCAACTGCTAGGGTAATCAGAACGATTTGGTACATTACCTGATGGCAGGGGTTAGGGCCTGAAGGTGCACTTGGGCTGGGTTAAGTTGCTTCCATGGCGTAGAAGGGGTTCTTCTCGTCTATTGCAGGCCTACCGAGTCGGGACGAAATCAAGAAATTTGATGCTTTGGTTCAGTAAATCAATTTAAGAAAAAACATTATTGACAACGACATTTAGCATTGTACCTTTCTCGATCCCCTCGATTTAGTAAGCTCTGGCAAGGGCCTGAACACGGTCAACTTAAAGTGTGGCGTGATGGCTCAAGCGGTAGAACCCTCAGCCAGGAACAGACCCACATTGCAGATCCTTCCGGTCTCTTCTTTATAAAAATCGAAAATTGGAAATTTTGTGCATCTCACTTAGCCTGCACAAGATAGTAGAATTCTTCTCCGCATTTTTTCATAAAGAACGCATCGTTCGCGTTGGACCCCCGCGCTCAGAGTGCCCAGCTTGCCCAGAGTGCCGATCCTTGCGTTAAAGTTGGATCCTATCGCGACATTTCCGGCAAATAAGATCTGCCCGATATTGCTCACCGCAGCTCTTTCATGTGCATTCCCGCCCCGCGATCGCGCGCAGATACTTTGACTGCACATTCTGGACCATTTTCCACACGATTTGGGGTTCAATCTCAAATTATCCTTTATCTCCTGCTTGCCAATGGCGGACAAAAAGGATTCGGGCGCTTTCGCCTATCCAGCGCCTGTCAGTGATGGGGAGACGGCTAGCCGACAGTCCATTGAAGGGGGAAAGCCGACCGACGGGCCTGCAAGGGATCCATTTGAGGCCCCGTTAAAACGACAACTTAAGTCAAGACATCTTCAGATGATTGCTGTCGGAGGTGTGTCTGCCCAAAAGGACTGACATAGCCTAAGCTAACACTGAGAAGGAATCATTGGTCCTGGTCTACTGGTTAGTTCTGGTAATGCATTCCATGATGGAGGACCTGCTGGCTCTTTGATCAGCTTTTCTCTTGTTGGCATCATTGTGTTCTTCGTTATGTAGGTATTCTACTGGTCTTGATACTCCCCATTTCCTAACCAGCATTTGACTACAGGCAATCACTTGGTGAAATGGCAACATTGATCCCCATATCCGGATCATTTATTGAATATGCTGAGCGTTTTGTCGATGAAGCTCTCGCGTTCGGCCTTGGATGGGCGTACTGGTGGCTATGGGTGACAGTATGGACCCGGCACTTTGTTTTGTTGCACTCGCTAACCAAGCGCAGGTCCTTGCCAACGAGTACAATTCGGTTTCTCTCGTTATTGGATACTGGACGGAGGCAGTTCCTCAATGGGGTTGGATTCTAATCTTCTGGTTCCTGTTTCTTGTCCTTTCGAATCTGGGCATTTTAGCTTATGGAGAGATGGAATTTTGGCTTTCATTGTGAGCATTTTTTCCAACAGACCCGTGGAAAAAGCTAACCCTATCCAGAATCAAGGTTATGGCCTTGATTGTGTTTTTCATTCTCGCACTTTGTATCAGTGCAGGGGCGATTGGGCCTCAGACCATTGGATTCAAATACTGGCATGACCCGGGCGCATTCGCAGATGGAATCAATGGTGTTGCCAAGACTTTCGTCGTGGCTGGGACATTATATGCGGGCACTGAGATGTACGCTGCAAAGACTCTTTCCATGAGCCATCGATACTAATTTTGAACTAGGGTTGGTATTACGGCGGGAGAGTCTGCCAATCCGCGGACAGCAGTTCCACGTGCTATACAACAAGTGTTTTGGCGTATCCTGATCTTCTATATTGGTGAGTACATTCAGACCATATCACTCTCAAGTCTATCTAACGCCTCTTCAGGGACTATCTTCTTTATCGGAATTCTCATGCCGTACAATGACAAGTCATTGTTGAGTGGTAGTTCCAAAACCGCCAGCTCACCTTTAACAATCGCCCTGACTGAGGCCGGTATTTTACCCGCTGCGCATCTCATCAATGCATTGATTGTGATCAGTGTAATCTCGGCTGGCAACAGCTCTCTATACGTTGCGTCTCGCGTCCTCCTTTTCATGTCTAGAAGCGGAAAAGCCCCCAAGTTCATCGGTCGCGCCAATAAAGCGGGAGTGCCATGGGTCGGTCTGATTTTTACAAACATTTTCGCTTGTATTGTTTTCTTGGGACAATCTTCAAGTGCTGGAGCGGTGTACTCTGCTTTGATAACGCTATCCGGAGGTATGTGCAGCCGCAACAATCGACCACGTCCATGTACTAATTATCTCGTAGTGGCCACCTTCCTCGTTTGGAGCGTTATCGGTGTCTGTCACATTCGTTTCAGGCGTGCTCTTGTCGCTCAGGGCCAGGACCCATCGAAATTACCATACAAGGCTGCTTTCTACCCGTGGGGCACCTACCTGTCTCTCGCAGCCAATATCTTCCTCGTGTTCTTCCAGGGATACACGTGTTTTTTGAACCCTTTCAGCGCGAAAGACTTTGTAATAAACTACATTATGCTCCCTGTGTTTGCATTATTCATCATTGTTTATAAATTTTGGCACAAGACGAGCTGGATCAAGCTGGAAGACATGGACATTTGGACCGGAAGAAGAGAATTCGCGGAAGAGGAAACTACTAAGCCGAGGGCTTGGTGGTCGCGCATTAGCGATATTGTTGTCGGATAAGCGAGCGACTACATGTGCATAATTAGATCCTTGATTTCAATATATTTCTTCAAGAAGTGATCTTCACCCGGAACCCGTCGGACAACCGAGTTTCGGCGACCTCCGACTCCAGCTACACTCAAAGTCCACCAGTAGCATCTAGAAGAAGGATATTAGACAGAGTTGAATAGTCCCGGAAACTCTGCGCTAGAGCCAGATCAAAAGCCCAAAAAAGATTCCATCGCATCTCCTCGATTGTGCATCCCCACGACCCCACATCTCACCCGCGATCTAACCGTTAGATAAACACCGTGCCCCTAAGCACAACCCACCATTGGCCCGATAATCAACTACACTACTACGGTGCAAGGGTCCATCTCCCTGCCTGCATAGTCGAACCCGGCGCCAAACCCGGTTGATCGCCGTCTCAGGGCCGGGTTCAACCACTCAATCGCTCACGATGTGAGCCCTTTCCATCAAGCCCTTGGCCGTATCTCAACCCGAGGGCTCTGCCGATCGGCGAACATACTACTTGGAGTATAGCTTTCTTGTACTGGCGTATGTTTCAGCCATGCATATTATCGATGCCAATGGAAGGTTTCTTCTAGACTGAAGAGCAGGATGTAACATTGCCGAAGTCGGTGTCTCGGCTGGGATAGAATCCACGAGGAGGTGAGTATGAGTAGCTCTGGTCTTTCAGTGAAGCTATTTAAGCAGCCAATACCCCAATGATCTACTTCAACGAGCACTCCAATCTTTCAACCCCATTAATCCCCATTAATTCAACTCATCCTCCAAAATGCAGCTCACACAGGTATTACCCCTCAACCAACTTTACACATCTGTATTCCCTAACAAGCCAATCCAGCTCCTAACCCTGACCACCCTCTTCACCGGTGTCTTTGCCATCCCAACCCCCAACGAAAAGCGCGCCTGTGCCTACACTTGTGGCACAATCTGCTACACCAGCAGCGCCGTCTCCGCCGCCCTGGCCGCTGGGTATAAGCTTGAGGCCAACGGCCAGGCCGACGACTCATACCCCCACGTCTACCACAACTACGAGGGCTTCAGCTTCCCCGTCTCCGGGACATACTACGAGTTCCCTATCCTCAAAGGCGGCAGTGTGTATGATGGTGGCTCGCCCGGCGCAGACCGTGTTATCTTTAACGGTAACGATCAGCTTGCTGGTGTGATTACCCATACTGGGGCCAGTGGTGATGATTTTGTTTCTTGCTAGATATCCCTACAAATATATACAGATTCATGTATGAGAATATTACAATGAGTTGAGTTCATCGCCTCAATGGTATACTCAGGGCTACTATGTAGATGTAGGAAACCATCCTTCACGTGAACGCAAGCAGACATCGTGTCAACATGCTGTGTAGGCTCCATTGATATGGGTTCGAAGATTCAAACAACAATCGACACTTGCACAAACGGAATCGTGGTATCCCGTGCCCCAGTACGGGGCTACCTATACTTACGACAAGGTTCTTGAAGGAATTGGTTCGACACGTAGTACTGGGTATTGTTGTTTCGCCAGATTATCTTCTCCGGTTATAGGAAGCACAGGACCAAATCGGGTCGACGGCGGAACGCGGAGCACATTAACTCGTGGACATCGTTCGCAGGATCGCAGTAGGTGTGGCTTAGGAAGTGTTCTTGGGATGAAAGGGTGTTCCGTATTTAGTAGGGGCGTTTCAAAGATGTCGATTCTAACACCCCAGAGGGAAAACAAGTGGGGATGGAAACTGTACGTGCGCAGGGGCTTGACATGATGGATCGAAATCAGTTTCACCACTTCTCAAGCCCTCTTTCGAAACACACTGACCTGCGCTTGGCTTCGCTCAAAATTAAGGATGAATCGTACTATAAGATAAAACCACGTGATAACAGGCTCAGAAAATCGCCGACAATATTCTTACCTTGAATACTTTCATCTTGTTACCCCACTTTCCGTTGCAACTGCCTCACTCTCGCGGCAGTAAGACTCGCCAGAATAATAAGATTAGCCCTTTCGTGAAACAAGTACAATATCTTTCTATAATCGGAAGAGTTTGGCAGCAAATTATAATAAAAGTAAAAGGTTCCTGCGAAGTGGAATATTTTATTCAAATTAATGGCTCATCTGCGTATTTGTATTCAACTTCTCCGATTCCCATTCTAGCAAGGTTTGGTGGTGATTGATCCCCGGTATTTGCTTCTGCTTGGCCACACAAACTCGCAGTAAATCAAGAGCTTGGGTTGTATGGCCTGAAGATTTCCAGGTGAAAGCGAGACTGGCCGTGCTTGTCAGTGTTTCAGGATGATCCTCGCCGAGCTTCGTCTTGCGAGTCTCCATCACCTCCACCTGGAGCTGCTCGGCCTCTTTCCATCGGCCCTGTCTTCGGTACGTCGACGCTAGATTGGCTATACCCCTTATTGTGTTAGGATGATCCTCGCCGAGCTTCGTCTTGCGAATCTCCATCACCTGTACGTCGAGCTTATTGGCCTCTTCCTATCGGCCCTGCTTCCAGTATGTCGACGCCAGATTGGTTATACTCGTTAGCGTGTTGGCATGATCCTCGCCGAGCTTCGCCGTACTAGCCTTCATCGCCTGCACCTGGAGCCGCTCAGCCTCTTCCCATCGGCCATTAAGCCAGTATGCTATTGCTAATAGGCCTATGCTTTGAAGGACCTCTTCATGCTCTTCACCTAGTAAGATCACTCTCTGATTTTTTGATTTTGCCGCCATTTCTCTCATATCTGCAATATTACCGCTTTGTGACGCATACCATGCACCTCTGTAAAGTAATGTAGCCCACTGTTATAAAGCCTTAGCTGATATTGGTCGTTGTGACATTGCGGTTTTGACGTGAGGAAAGAGCGCTCGGCACCTCCCCCAGTGTTCGTATTCACCCGTAGGAAACTCTTCGAACAGATTGCTAATAAACTTCTCCCTCCATTGATTTATTTGTCTATGAGATTTTAATCACGCATGCATGGTCAGTTACACTAACCGATGCATTGTGAAAAACGCGCCGTCCTCACTAATAGATATAAATGAAAAATCCCTTAATGTCCCAATATTATCCTTAAAATTGGGGCTTATATCGGATTCAGATATTTTCCTCCTCACTAGAATCACTAGAATCATTCAAAAGCTCTGAACTTAATATATAGTTATTCTTGGGTCGATACCGGATAAGGTTCTCTGGTATCCCTTGCCGCTCAAAAAAGCTCATAAGAGAAAGTAACTCCGCTGCAGATAGCTTTTTTCGCGTATATACTTAAAGGACATTTACTATGTCCCTAGAATTGAGGTCTCTGCTTCCCTGTCTCGGTAATTATGACCTATCTCTTTTTTTAGAAGCGTTATAGCTTCGCGGTCGCTCCCTTGAAAGTCTCTTAGGTATTGTGATACCGAATAGCGAGGCGCCCGATTTTGAATATAGCTCGCGGCGTGTACGATCGCTAGCGGCATAAGCTCTAACGCGTCCACTAATTTTTTACTCTCTTAGCTCTCCTCTATTTGTTAAAGCTTTTTTTGGAGAAGCTCTAGCGCCTCAGAGCTTTCCATCGGTTTCACTTCAGTAAGGTCATCCGTTCGTTTCATCAATGAGTTGCTAAGTTTCTGATGTGTTCCCATTCACCTGATCAACTTGGGATTCATGAGTACGTCTTGGTGTACTTTTCTAATGCCAGAGAAGATAGCTCTGTAAACTCAATTTTGCATTTCCAGGTAAAGATCAAATCAATGCGGTCAAAAGGTTCTCTGCTTAAATTTGGCGCCTAAGCTATCAAATCCTAATGCTAGTTCAAGGGAGCAAAAATTTAAAAACACTGGCCTCAGTTGAAAATAATACGCCACATTTGGCCTTGAGAAATGATGACGCACACAAGTTTGCTATAGACCCTTAGATCCGGTCTATAGCCATCAATGGTCCATCCCGCTCCGCCCCGCAATTCTCAACTCCGAACTCCGCTCCGTATTTGCAAACTATAAAAACCCGTCTCTCCTATACCAACCTCTAACCTCCATTCCCAATCCTGAGTTTCAACGAACCATCAAAATGCAAGTCTACACAAACGATCACTCCTCCTCCGTCCTCCAAACCCACAAATGGCGCACCCTCGCCAACTCTTCCCCGCACCTCCTCCCTCACATCCTCCCAGCCATGAAAATCCTCGACATAGGCTGCGGTCCTGGAAGCATAACCCTCGACTTCGCACGACATGTTCCACGAGGCCACGTGATTGGCCTAGAATACGTATCCGATCCGCTTCCAGCTGCGCGCACACTCGCACGGGAACAGGGAATATCGAATGTCGAGTTCATGGAGGGTGATATCCACTCTCTGCCGTTTCCTGATGAGAGTTTCGATATCGTCCATGTTCATCAAGTGTTACAGCATATCGCTGATCCTGTAAGGGGTCTCAAAGAGATGAGGCGTGTTGTGAAGAAAGGCGGGATTGTCTCTGCGCGTGAGTCTGCGGGGATGGAATGGCATCCTGCCAATGAAGGAATTCTGAAATGGAAGGAGATTTCTGGAAAAATGGGGAAAGCTAGAGGGGGTAATCCGCATCCTGGAGCTAGGATTCATGTTTGGGCTATGGAGGCCGGGTTTGAGGAGAGTATGGTGAAGAGGAGTACTGGGAGTTGGTGTTTCTCTAGTCCCGCGGAGAGGAGGTATTGGGGTGGGAGTATGATGGAGAGGGCGAAGTCGAGTGGGTTTTCGAAAGGGGCTGTCGAAGGGGGATTTGCAAGTGAGAAGGACTTGGAGGTTATTGCGAATGGTTGGGGACGGTTTGTGGAGGAAAAGGACGGATGGTTTGGGTTGCTGCATGGGGAGGTCCTGTGCTGGAAGTGAAAGCAAATCTACCTATGTCCGTGGAGTCAAAGTATTGTGGAATGTAATGCATTCAAGTCTGAACCCTATCCGATGCTGTGCGATATCGATATGCAAGAAAAAAAAGTGAAGGATCACCAGCCACCATCATCATAGTCCTCTTGGTCCTCACGACCCTGCTCGTAAGCCTCTCGCTGGTCATCTTTATCGCTGTCCTCATCTATTCCATATTAGCTTCAAACTGCTCAAAGTATGAGCGAATAAAACTCACCAATCTCATGCTCAATGAACGCCCCACCAAGCGCACCAACGGCGAGAGCACCAGCACCGACGGCAAGATATTTGCCCGTATTACTCTTCCTCTCCTCAGCGGGCTGCTGATATCCCTGATCATAACCACGCTGGTCATATCCGCCCGGCGGTCCAGGGGGAGGCGCATAGTAACCGCCCTGCGGCTCAGGCGGAGGAACAGAGCGTGAACCATCATAGTAGCCCTGACCCGGGGGACCTCCGTAAGGAGGCTCCCACTGCGCGCGACCAGTAGCATCTTCGACCCAGAATGCGCGGCGCATGTTCGGTTCCCATTCCTGGTGCCAGCCCTGAGGCATTGGGGGCGGGGGACCAGGCGGGGGTCGGGCCATGGGTGGAGGGGCGCTGTATGGGCCGCGCTCGTAGGGTGGGCGCTCGCCGTAGGGCTGGCCGTAGCCTGGGGGACCAGGGGGTCCCGGAGGAGGACGGTTGTAAGGGTCGGCGTAGTAGGACATGTTTTGTGTAGGGGATTGGAGAAGGAAGAGGGAGAGTCAGGGTGAGAGGGGAAGGTGGGTTTATGTAGGGACAACTATCCGACCAGAACCGAACTCCATCTCCACTCACACTGGAAAATGTTGTGGAGTCACGTAGCGTCGAACAAGCCTTGTGCGATGAATCCTGGGTTTGACTAGGCAGCGATTATCATTCAGTTACCCCTGACGGTCGAGTCTGGGCTGTGCATGGCAATGTGCTGTTTTCCCTCTGATTCAGACATTCTAGGGGACGACAAAACAGATCGTCAGCAGGCGCCAAGTCATGCTATAATTGGCGTCGTATTACAGGTCTGAAAGCGCTGGCGGGCTGTGAAGCGCCATGCACAGTACAGTACAAGGCTGCAGAGTATGTTGCATACGGAACCACGGCTCGTGATCGGCCCGCTCCACAGGAGCTTGACAGATGGACAGGACTATCACACCCTAGATGGAAAACACCCCACAGCCCCAAATGTCTCGTGTGGAGCCGGTCCCTGGACCAGAATTCTGGTGTGTTCTCCAAAAATTAATATCTCCGAACGGGACTAGTTACGTCCGGTGCGGCGCTAACATACTTGCCGAGCCACGATGTGGCTCAGGTGTGGGAGACACAGCCACTCGATGCGGCACACGTGGCTAGTATTGTTGTCAGGTCTGGGCATAGTAACTTGACGCAGGCTAAGAGTCTGGGCGCTACGGAGATTACAGGCAGTGGAGAGGGGTTTCATATTAGGGGATGGGGGAAACGCCCCTATCCAAAATATTTAATATTCAAATATTCAATGTTCAATTCATTTCAATCTTAGGTTGACGAAATAGTAAGAATGTCCAGTCTGAACCTGATTACAGCGAAAGAAAAGCTTTATCCTGTGTTTGAGGGGACACTGGGTGACCGATTTAGAGCAAGTGGCTTCACGCCCGGCAGGGTTCACCGGTGAGCCTTTAACCACTCGAGCCGGCGAAGGCGCTGGACTCGTCGGCGGGCGGGTAGAAGAATGCCGCTAGAGCGATAATCACGTAGGCGGCGATGAGCAGGGCGCCCTCGAGATAGTTACTGCGACCGTCTAGGACGAGGAAGTTGACCACGAAGGCCGTCACGAATAGAGAGATAGTCTCGAATAGGGTGAAGTATAGAGACATGTCCTTGTCCATGCACCAGCCGATGATAACAACGAGGGGAGTGACGAAGATGGCGATTTGGATGCTACTACCGACCGAAACACCGATAGCCAAGTCCATCTTATTTTTGGTAGCCACACTGACAGCGGTAACGTGCTCGGCAGCGTTACCAACGATGGGCAGGATGATCAAACCGATGAAGGCCTCGCTGATGGACGAGCTGGCGAGCATCCCAGGGATGGCATCGACTAGGAACTCGGCACAGACGGCGACCAGGGCGGTGGAACAGAGAAGCAAGACCACAGCCGCGGTTCGAGACATATCGGGTTCGGGCTGGTGGTCCGTAGGGGCGATAGCCGCAGCGTCAGCCGCACCAGGAGCACGGGCGGCGCCCCGAGCGAACTGCACGGCATTACCGACGGGAGGAGCACGGCTGATATGCGCAGGCAGTGAATTGCTGCGGTAGATACCCGGACGGGAAGCACCGGCACCAAGATGAGGGGAGTTATTCGGGGACTGGGAGCTGAAGACGGTGCTGGAAAGCAGAGAAGGTATAGGGCCGAAAGGCGACTTTCTTTTTATAGCATCGACTTCTCCACCACCCTCTATGCCAGCAAAATTAGGCGCGGACGAGAATCCCTTCATGCCGGGAGCGCCCTCAGCCTGAGCAGCCTCGACCTCAGTCGGCTTAGGTATTTGAGCACGAGACTTTTCACTCTTCGAGCGACGCTTCTTGCGCTCCTTCTCGCGCTTGCGAGAACTATCGCTCTGTGCGCTCTGCACACGACTAGCCGGGACGCCGAAATCACGCGAGCGGAATCCAGAAGCCGGCTGGGCGTCATCATCAGCCTCGTAGCGGGTATCATCAGCAAAGTCGATGGCGCATGAGCTAGAGTCATTGTTGTTGCTTGCAATAGAGTTCCCGACCGAGCTCTTGTTCTCGTTGGTCATGACCTTCTTGGCAATTGCGGTATCTTTGGAGCTGGTGCTAGACTTGCGGTGTCGGCGGTGCTTCATGGCTCGCTTGATGCGCTTGGCGGTACTCCATGAGGTTGTTGTGTCAACGGACTCATCGCTGGAACTGCATGATGATTCGGAGGAGCTATTCATGAGCTCGGCGAGAATACCGGGGTGGGATTCCTCGTCGATAATTCGTTGAGGAATACTAGCGTAGAGGTAGGAGTGGGACTTGAGCTGGAAGAGAATGTACAGGATGTACACGAGTAGCAAGACCTGATCTGTTAGCTTTGTGTCGAGACATTGCATTCAGATGTGTTGACTTACCACACTGGTTCCACGGCTAACCTTAAGAGTCTCACGGTCTGCATTGGCACTGTTGGACCACGAGGCATGGAAGGCAGTAGGAAGCAACAGACTCGTCACACTCAGACTGAGCAGACAAGCGCTCATCTGGGTCACGGTACTGTTATATATCTGTTCCTGGAAACGGAGACCACCTAGTAGGAAGGCCATTCCCAGAATGAGAAGCAAGTTTGCCAGGATAGAACCCAGCAGAGAAGCCTGAACGATGCGAATCTCATTCTTGACCAGGGCAATAATGAAGATAATAAGCTCGACGGCATTACCAAAGGTGACATTGATCAGGGCTCCGATCGTGTCGCCCAGGCGGGAGGCCACACTCTCAGTCGCGTGACTGAGCAGACCCGCCAGAGGGATGATGGCCACGGCGTTCATTGCGAACACGATCGCGGGGTTCAGGCCGATAGCCTTGACGACGATACCGGCTGGTACGAAGACCAGCAGGACGTTGACCCAGCTGTGGAAGAGGGCATCCTTGGTGTGATTGACGAATCGGCCGCTGCCATTGCGCATGCGAACGAGCAGGGCGGGTTTGGCGTTATCCTTCTCAGAGGGACCCGAGTGGGATCCCTCTTCTGTACCGTTCACTTGTACATCTTGAGAGGAGGAAGTAGAGGCTTCCGCGATCGGGTCGGCCTTGAGGTTCGGGTTGCCGCGAGAAGATGCGTGAGCTTTCGCCCACGAGTTAATCCGGTCTGGGTGGAGTCAGTCTAGGCCCGGGTAGATGGGTAAGAGGGCTGTTGCCAGGTCAGGGTAAAACTCACGCATGTATTTCAGGAACCAACAGCTGATTCAAGGCACAGAAGAGGCCTGGGGATGATGAAGCAGAGAGTCTGGACAGACGCCCGTGGTGGAATAAGTAAGAAGCAGGTTAAGGGGGGTGCGACCCGGGCTTATTTATGAGCTTGGCGATCCTTGGCGAGACAGCGAGACAACAACGGTACGACGGCGCAATCGTTTGGCCGCCGATCTAATTGTTGATGGCTTCTTTGACAGGCGCATTCTTCATTCTCCACATCATCAAGGCCTCGTCAGCATATCCCTTGTGATGTCACGCCCCCCTTTACACTATCTTCAACGACTACAAAGCCCAAACATGGCAAATGACGCATTCTTCCGTGTCTCCCTATAGGGAAATGCCAAGCTACGTCGATGCAGGGAATTTGTCCCCACTGTGGACAATGTCCGACAGCCACGCCTCGTTATTGGCGACATCCACTCAAGATCGACGCCTCCTCATTTCGATTCCACGGCGCTGAATCGCCTCGCTGAGGCGGTCACACTACTCTATACCCTATGAAGGATACAACAATTTTCAATTCTGTCGATCCCGATAACTCGAACTACCAGATCCGATGTAGAAGTCCGAGCGCTCGGTGCTGCCAGCGCTCGCACCTCACACCTCGCAACGATACCCGAGTCTGGGCTCGTACGCTTATCTGATACGAGAGACTCGGTTGACGAGTCACAGACTCCGACGCTTAAGCCCGGCAATCACGGTGATGTCACCCCGCCGTGTTGATTTAACCAGAGGCAAGCATAGCCAGGCCTATTTTTGGGCTGGAGCTGCAAACAGGCAACTCGACATTGGTTCACTAAGACACTTGTCAAGATCCGAAGGCTTCTAACACGGTGCGAGATTCGACCACGGTTTCAGGACCCACTTCCTCTCCGCTCTGTGGCTGTGCTGCCTTGCCACAATCTCATCTCACTCATTTCTCGATTCGGGATGCTGTGCGTGCTAACTACGAACTACGAAGTGCTAACCGTTTACTCTCTAGCTCGATGGCAATAGAAGATCGGAGGTGTATGCAGGATGGCCTGAATGGCGAATCTCTGCGGGAGCGGACAGCGGGCAGCAACCCCGCTGCGAAATGTAGATCCCGAAACTTTGGTGTAGCAAGTTTTGAGATGAATTCAAAATATTCTTTCCGTGGTTCGGCAAGCCCTTCAGTTTGTAGCGTAGACTTCTCAGCAACAAAACCAATGGTGTCGTTTGACTGCGTGTGTCTTAAGACACTAATGTCAAATTGTGTATTGGGGGTTCTGTGTCACATTCTGTTCGAGACTGCACTCAAGAGCTCGTCACATGCAGTTGAACAATTTCGATTCAACATTAGCGGTGAAAATACGCACGCGTGCAGACGACCCATAGTCTAGCCCTGGGTTACACTTCTATCGTACAGGAAGGACCCTGGATAAACACCGAAACGCTCGTCGGCGGCTTGCTGGCGGGCGGGAAATGTCTATTCCGCCTATGCTGGGTACGGATATTGAACAGCGGATATAGACAGTCACCTCTAGAAATTTGCCAAATGCATCTCATCCACGATAGTCTCAATCAAAGTCTTATGGCGGATCTCTCCTACTGTCAATTAATAAAACCAACATTGGACAAAATATTCATCGATAGTCTCCAACCCGATCCCAACTGCAACACCTGCAACACCACGTGATCCCCAGAATCAACGACCGCCATGAACTCTGATTTCCATCATCACTCGTGAGTGCCGGAAACTGCTGCCGCCATCTGAAACTTTGACTTTCGACTTCAATGTCCTGAATGGACCTGTGCAGGAGGTGCGCCACTGATATCGTTCATCTGGGGCTCGTCGGCACTTGGTTCGGTACGGCTCGCACGGCAAGCCGATCTGCAGGAACTCCGATATCTCGTTGATGTCTGAATTTTATCCCTTTCTCATCTTCTCGACAGTGCTGTTTGGGACAGCTTCCTCTATAGCTTTGAGATTGCTATGAGATCACCACGAGATTAAACCGAGATTGCATCTCACTACACCTGTCTACCCAGTCATGACCATGACTCAAACAGAAGCTCGCCCTTCCCGGGCTGGGCCCATGAGGTAAATGCGTATAATCTAACATACCACAACGACTACTAACAAACACTAGTATATTTCAAAAATGGTGGAAATGGCTAGACTTGGACTCCCGCACTATGCTCCTCATGCTAAAGGGGGCACTGGCCCCAACCATCACCATCGCCATGTATGTTCCATGGCAAACATTGCGATGATCGTTGTTGACCGTCTCAGATACCAGAGCACGGCTATATCCCGCATCACGTCCACAATCGGCTACCTATCTGCGTTGATCTCCGTCCTTTCGCAGGGATTGATGCCACGGGCCAAATTTATGAAGATCATGTTTTACGATCTCCTGTCCACCTGCGTCTCCGCATCATTATGCTGCCTTGCCATATTCTGTGCTGTCAAAGCTCGAGAGCACAATACCCCAAGACCCGACGGATTCAGTAGTGACGCCTGTGCTGTTGCTGCTATCTGGCTCATTTTTATGATCTGGTGAGTCAACTGTACATCGTTGACGCCATTAGCTAATACTTCCAGGGGTGCAAACTCTCTTCGCGCATTAAAGCCAATGGAACTACAGGATCCAATGGTTGCCTTTTCCATTTTCGCTTCCGTCACCATCACCCGTGCGGGCATGTTCACGAGTCTCACTGAAGGCCTGGAATTCGTATCCCGTCTCTTGAAAGGGTTTATGATCGGCTTTGCGATTGCCACAGGCGTTTCCCTGCTCATTCTGCCGATCACAAGTCGAGGGGACGTATTCCACGATATTAAAGGGTACCTCGCGTCTGTGGAAGACGTTTTAGCGGCTCAGGTCTCATTCACAGAGGGAAAAACGGTATTTGGATTATTTACGGGAAGCGGTCTACTGCGGCGGACACGGACTGCAATGGAGCAGGACGCGCAAGGCGAAACAGATCTACAGTCTAAAAGAAACAAGCTCCAAATTTGCATGACCAAGCTCAACGGTCTCCATAGCAAACTGCACGCGGATCTCTTCTACTCCAAGGACGAGATAGCGTGGGGCAAACTGTCAGCCGACGACCTAAGCGCCATCGCCACGCTGCTTCGCAGTCTTCTGCTGCCTCTTTCTGGAATGTCGATGCTGCCAGAAATCCTGGAGATGATAGTCAAGAATGAAGGACCGCGCGAAGCTGACGACAATCCGGAAGGGGGGCTGAAAAATTTGGAGATTCAAAATGTACTGGAAACGAACCACGCGCGTCTGGTCCACGCAACAAAGCTTGTCCAGCAGGGTCTATCCCATTTCCTCCTAGCGCTGGAGCTTATCACGCCTAAGCATTTAGACAAGCGGACGCGCGGCGCACAAGCCAGGGACACCGAAGCAAGGGGCGAGGAGCTAGACCCCACACAGCCGGACTTTGGGTCACGCTTTGAGGCGGAATTGCACAGCTATTCTTCTGGGAGGAAACAGCTGCCCGAGGCGCTGGCGTCACTTGAGGCATATTCGGAGAAACCGGGAGAGGCTCGCTTCGCGGATCCGGATGTGAGGCAGGAATTCTTCGTGATTCTGCATCTGAGCCATTTGCAGGATGATCTGCTAAATTCGACGCTGCAGTTAGTGCAATTTGCTGATGCGAAGGTTGCCGGGGGGACGATGAAGCGTGGGAGGTTGATCTTTCCGAAACAGAAGTCTATTTCGGAGTGGTTCTCGCTCGGTAAGAAGGAGGAGGAGCGACATGATAGTAGACAGTCGTCGCATGTGGATCCTGGTACCTTCCACCGAGTTCCTCAGTCGACGGGCTTTCCAGATCCTGAACATCTTCCGCCGGAAAATATCTGGGAGAAAGGGAGCACTGTGCTGCGAAGTATTTCGCATGCCATCAAATCGGATCAGAGCCTTTTCGGTTTCCGAGTCGCCGCCGCCTCGTTCTCTGTCGGGATTCTTGCTTATCTTCACCAGACCCAGGACTTTTTCATCCGACAAAGATGCATCTGGGCCATGATCGTCATCGTCATCGGAATGAACCCGACAAGCGGCCAAACCATGTTTGGCTTCGTGGCGCGCATCGTCGCGACAGCGATTTCGCTCGTCCTAAGCTTGATAGTGTGGTACATCGTCGACGGCAAAACCGCCGGTGTCATAATCTTCCTCTACCTAGCCAACGTGCTCGAGGTACGCCATCTCCCCACTCATAACACATCCCTACTAACATAAGTCAGTACTATTTTTACATCAAAGTGCCCCAATACTTCGGCGCCTCTGTCATCTCAATCGTGACGCTAAACGTAATAATCGGCTACGAGCTCCAAGTCCGCAAACTAGGCCTTCCAGCGGCTGAATCCAACGGCCAACCATACTACCCGATCTACCTTTTTGGCCCATACAAACTCGCTGCCGTCGCAGCAGGCTGCGCAATATCTTTCTTCTGGGTAATATTCCCATACCCGATAACTGCAAAATCACAACTCCGGAAGCTCCTCGGCCGAAGCCTCTTCGTCCTTGCCAAATTCTACAGCTGTATGCATACTACCATCGAACTCTGGCTCAGTTCCTCCCTAGGCGACGCCAAAAACCCATCTTCACCAGGTCACCAGCTCCAGAAATCACGACACAAAATCTTCAAAGAAGAAATGATGCTCCTCACCGGCCTACGCATGCACAGCCACTTCAGCACATTCGAACCGCCTATCGGAGGCAAATTCCCCAAACAAATATACGATAACATCATCGCTGAGATCCAGCGCATTCTCACAAGTATGTCTCTAATGGCACATACAGCACAGAGCCTAGAAGCCCTCTCCATAAAACACTCCTCTGAAAAGAGAGAAGATCAATGGATGGCGCAGATGGCAGAGATAGCGCTTAAATCGACGGATTTCAATTCCCATCAGATTACCTCGCTTCTGTGTCATATCTCTGCATCGATTGCGAATGCGCAGCCTTTACCGCCTTACCTTTCGACAGGAGAGTCGTTTCCGCTTGCGAGGCAGATGCAGAAGATTGATGAGGGGTTGTTGAGTATTAAGCACATTGAAGATCCGGCATTCTCGGCCTTTGTCTCATTGGAGGTTCTGAGGTCTGTCGTTAGTTTTAGTTTGCAAGGACTGTTAGAGTGAGTTTCCCTTTTCCCGGTGGGAGGATCTTGTGGTTGATTGCTGATGATACAGTAATGTGCGGAAACTTGTTGGCGAGCTGAGCTTTGATTTCACTCCGAGGGATATGCAGAGGGAGGAGGAGGCGGAATTGTTGGGTGGCTCTGGTCAAGACGAAGTTTAGTCTCGGTTATTGTGTGAGTGTAGATTATAGCCTCATCTATGCATCAACGGTTCTTTTTGCTTACTTGATCACGCTCTGTAGTATGTTTCCTATGCCGGGTGACGTTTCCTATCTTGGCGATCGCCGCTGTCAAGTCCGTAGGTGGGCTCTTGTAGTGAGGCTGTGTGTCTCCCGGTTTCATGTCTGTTATGTCATGCGTGCTACCACTGCATTAGCTAGGAAGCTGACGCTTGTGTCTGAGTGGTCAACGGTAAAGAGGAGCATCAGAGGTTTAACCTAGAAAAAGGTCGGGTACTTCGAAGGAACCCGGTCCTAAATATCACTTTAACCACCAAATCAAGGAGTTATGCAAACGCACTTCTTCGGCTGAATGGAAACCCCAAGGCAGAATCATCCGCCCCAATTGAGGCTCTGCAAGAAACCATGTGCCTTACCCGGGCAATGATAGGATGACAAGACCACAGCATCACCCTGTCAGAACGACCCGGGCGTAAAAGGCGCACATGGCGCACATGGGGCAATATTGAAAGCACTAAAGGAAAATACACCCTTTATCCAAACAAATGAAGCCCAACGCAGGGGCTAGAAGTAGAACCAATTAAACCCAGCAATAAGCGGTGCCAAGGTCTGGGGTGTGGAGACAAGCTCTAAAGGGGCTGTGTTGTCCGTTGCCCGATACCATTCCAATGCGGATAACGAACCTCGTAAGCGATGCATGCCCAGGTGAGTGAGTCAGTGATGCTATTTAACCTTTGTTTTAATATGATAGATCCTGTATTTATTCTCACGCAAATCCTACTTTGTGAGTCGCTCAGCTTCATTACTCTTGGGTTCGTGATCTGACAAGTCGAAGGATATATATATCGGACAATTGGTCAACAATTGACCCACATATCGACATCCACGCCCACATCCAGGAACCCCAATGTATGTACATGCATACATTGATGATTCTTCGGTATCTAACATAAATCACTCAGCCAAAACAAACCATGCATTTCCGAAACCCTTTCAAAAGAAGAAAGGAGGAAGCGGCAAAGAGCCTCCAGGAAGAGAAGATGGAGCAAGAGAAAAAAGAAGAAGCACAAAAGGCGAAACAGAGAAACAAGCGCATTTCCAGATCATCAGAACCTTACACCAGCTACTACACCGGCACCCCAAGCCTGAAATCTCCACGTTACAACTCATCCTTCCTCAACACATATATGTCGGCAGCAGAATCTGGGGACGGCGGTAGTACCAACAATCATTATTCTGGAGGAAGCAGCAGTCACAACCATTATGGCGGAAGTAATAATCATCATCATAGCAGCTGTCACACTGGTGGTAGCAGTTCATACTCAGGTGGCGGGGATTCCGGAGGCTACTCAGGTGGTGGAGACTCTGGCGGAAGCAGTGGGGGAGGTGGAGATGGAGGTGGAGGTGGAGGTGGAGGTGGAAATGGAGGTGGTGGCTGCTAGAAATTGTATAGTGAGTAATTATGGTGCGGTGCAGGACTCTGGGACTTTATACCTTTATATCTACTATCAAGTAGAAATATTATTGATACTGAAGTTTTTAAGTGAAGGCTGTAGAAATCGGGAAATTGAAGGGATCAAACAAGAGGAGTAAACAAAGAGAGAAGTTGAATTGTGGGGAATGCCACACATTAAACCAAGCAGGAAAGACGGGGGTCATTATCTTCTATTATCAGGTTGTTCTTTCCACTAGAAGCACGGAAAGAGGGAGGTCAAGCCCGCTACCGACTGTCGCCAAGTAGCCCTATCAAAGAGACCCCCAAGGTACCAGAGACAGCGCACCGGTTATTACTATGTCCAGTGTAGAAGAAATAAATGAGCAATGTATCGTTCGGCGTGAATATAGAATATACTTTGCCTATTACTCGTTGAAACACCCCATATGAACCATACCCACAACTAGTCCACCGCCCACCTCACAAAAGCCTAAACTTCGCCGCGACAGCCAGGCAAACAACCATAAAGGCCACAAAAGCCCCGACAATCGCAAAAAACCATGTCAACCCCGGCGTATCATCACCAGGCACATTAACATTCATCCCAAACATGCCCGTAACAAGATGACAAGGAACAAAAATTGTCGCCAAAACCGTAACCTTACTCATCGCCGAGTTAATAGTATAACTAACTCTAAGATTCGTCGCACTAAGTTGTGCCAACGAATTTGCCTGGCTGCGCCCGATAATCTCATCAATGTGATTCAGCGTCGACATCGTCGTGACGAGGTGGTCTTGCACGTCGCCGAGGTAAAGGAGTAAATCGCCATCTGGGAAGACGGGAGGTTTATCGGGTGATTGGCAGCGTTTGACAAAACCATTGAGTACGTCCACTTTCCCGTGGAGATAGCGGAGAATGTGGGTGATTTTTTTGCGGAGGCTGTCGATTTGTGGAATGAGCTCTTTCACGTCATCGATGCGTGCGATGTAGACTTGATCTTCTATTGCTTCGGATTCTAGTTCCGCAGAACGGGTGAATGGTTCGAAGCTATCGACGATGTCGTCGCTGGGCTTGTCAGTTGTTGTTTGTCGGGAATAGACAGACCGGACTTACATAAGTGCGTAGCAGATCCAATCACTGGAGATAACAGTCCAATCGTGCATCTTGTGCGCTCGGCACCGGACCCGATCGATGTGGTTGCATCCGCTTGGCGAGAAGGTCACGACACCGTACTGGAAAACGAGAATGTAGATACCCGCCGTGGAGGGAATATCAGGTCTCTCGCACTCGCTTGCATCTTTGTCAACGAGAGTCTGGAATGAGATGAGATAGTAGTTCTTGAAGACCTCGACTTTCTCGCGGGGTTCGCGAATGGTGATGTCCTCTGCTGTGAGCGGGTGGATGGACAAGGCCTGTGAGATGAGACCGACGTCGGCATCGGTCGCATCGCGGATATCGAACCACCAGATTGGGCGTGATGGGTCAGGTCGTGTCTTTTGGGTCTCTTGAAAAATGTGGTCTAGGTTGCCGTTGGGAAAAAGACCGTCCCATGTGGCTGAGATGGTTGCTTTCAGGGTCTGCGATGAGAAGAAGCTGAACCGGTCGGGAGATTCGACAGGCTTGATGTATTGTTTCTCCATTTTACAGGGATGTAGATGGAGTAATTCGATCGTGGTGTTGACTCGGTGCCATGAGTGTGATCATGGGCACTACTTAATGGCAGTTCATGGACGAAGCAGAGCGAATTTCTCAACCCATTCCGATCTCAAGGAGATTAAAAGGTTCCCGGGAGTAGAAAATACCATAAGTGGAAGTTGTGTGAAGTGGGAAGTGTGAAGTGGGAAGTGTGAAGTGGGAAGTGTGAAGCGAGAAGTGACTATCTTCATGGGCGAGATGTTCAGGACCAGATGGAATAGCGAAAAATCGGTGCCACCTACCCCAAATCTCAGATCCCCATTCCCCGTCTAGCCCTACCCGTCGGCCCACGCGCTACGAGCCAAGATGTGGACTTGCGAAGGGTTTTACCCAATTACGTGGTACACCTTGGCGTGTTCCAGGGGTCTCGGGGTTCGGCACAACTGGCCGGGTGCAGACTCTGGCACCGGCGGGGTCCGGTTTTCGGGGGTGGCTAGGCATCTTCATTTTTGACTAGCCAAGGTTTATCCTAGGCATTTACAATTCGACTGTATATATACAGTACTTCCGATAATCGGTGTCACCACTTACGTTGGGTTGTCTCCCAAACCTCTCAGCAAAGCCACTAGTGCTTGTTAGGAACCTTTCCAGATGAATCGTTTTCCCGATCATCACCCTTATAGTACTCTAATATAAATTTACATAACGTCAATCTGGCACTCTCTTGGTGGAGAAATCCGTGGCCAAACCAGTGGAAACGGCCTATTTGATATTTGATAAGCCTTGACTGCGACGTAGTTCAATCTCGGTTTGCTACACACGATCTTTCAATCCAGTTGAGGCATTCTGTCTCGACGGTCCCCTATAAAATTGGGGGAGCAATAAGCCTGCAGACTGTTGAAATTGCTCGCTATAGGACGCCGCTCTATCGTATTCGTTACCTCTACTATAGTTTCCCGTATATAATGATTATGCATTGTCAAAGCTTATATTATTTCTATGCAATGGATTATCTTCCGATTAAAAGGGGGCCTCCCGCCTCGTATATAAAGAAGCGTCACTATTCTGGTATCTAGCGGATAGAGCGAGCGTTGGAACATATTTCTATTACATTCTGAGAAATGGATTCTAATATGAATCTGCGTCAACATTGGCACCTTAAGATGTATTACCATACTCTCTGCCCTAGATGCTAACGTCGACACTTAATCTAGTAGCATTTGGATTACCTCTTTGTGGCCTCCAAAGGATATAACGTAATCCACCCCTGAGTAACGGATACCACCGAGTGACGATGGATTCTGACCAACTCTGTGTAATTTTTTGAAGATTTCACCCACAAATATTTTAGGTTACATTGTATTGAAGTTGAGATAAATGGCTATTTGCTGGGACAAACTCTTATTGTATTTTCAATAGTCCCACAACCGCTGTAGCGTTATGGAGCTCGGTGGCGAGTCGTTGGTGTGCAAGTCTACCTCTATGATTCTTGTTCTTCTATTAATAAGTCTCTCACTGCTATTTCTACTTTCTACTTGTAACTAACTTACTCTTCTCCGCAATCTTTCCCGCAAACACCTTCATTGGCTCCGCTGCCAGAATCTCCAACAGCGCCATATTCGCCTGCAGCTCTCTAGTAATCCAATTGCGGACCTCCAGTGCCACCAGCGAATCCACTCCATAGCGGTACATTGACCTACCGGGATCCACCTCGGGCAAGGGCATCTGCAAGATCTCCGCCATCTTGTGTACGAGTGCCTCCGTAATGATGGGCACGGCTTCATCGTAGGTAGCTATGGCAGCGAGACGTGTGGATGGTGATGATGCAGCAGATGAGGCGTCTTGGTCTGTGGACGAGGACGAAGATGTAATACTCAGCACATTCAGTGGGCCAAATCGCGGATCACCGAAATGCTCCGGCCGCTCCAATCCGAACCGGGCCATGACATCTGCCGTCCCGAGGCCGGTACACACCTGCGCAGGATATGAGTCTCCTTTCCACTCGCTGTTGATCAGGCTCTTAATCAGCGCGTGGAAGGGCTTTTCGCGGATTCTCAGAATGGCTTCCCAGTCAGCGAGTTTGCCGGTTGTTCCTTGCTCGGCTAGAATGCCAACATCGCGCATGATACCGAGGTCAATCGCCACGCCCTTAAGGCCTTGACTACGACGGTGGCGGGCGAGGGCGTCTTGGAACGTGTTGGCAGCGGCATATTGCGTCTGGCCTGGGTAGCCGAAGATGCCGGAGATGGAGGAGCAGATGACGAAGAAATCCAGCGGGTGCATGAGGGAGAAGTAGTTATGCAGATTGAGTGTGCCTTGGATCTTGGGCTGCATGGGTTCCGTCCAGTCCGTGTAAGAGATTTTCTCAAAGAGAGTGTCGCGTAGCATCATGGCCAATTGCACCACGCCGTCCCGAACCCATCTCCATGTCCGAGGCAGCCTCCTCCTTGGCCTCCAGCGCGGTCGACATCGAAAAGGATGATCTAATAACACCCCCTCCAGAACGTCAAGATAACAACACCAAGCAACAGGGGAGGCTGCCCATCAACGTCATCGGCACAGACACATCACCCGCACCCACCGTCCGAGTTACCCTACTACAAGGCCGTCCCGGACCCAAGCGAACTCCCTTCTACATGATGGCTGACGGAACCGGCACAATCGCAACCTACATCCACCTCCCAGCCTTCAAGTCTAAATGCCCGTCTACGGCATCGACTCGCCCTTTCTCCGCTGTCCAACTCGCCTAAACAAGGAAGTCGGCATCGAGGGTGTCGCAAAGCTCATCGTCGACGCCCTCGTGACCGCCCAACCCAAGGGCCCTATGATGATCGGCGGAGAAGCCGCCGGCTCAATCGTCGCCTTCAAAGTCAGTCGCCAGCTCGGCAGACTAGGCCGACAGGTTTCCGGTCTCGTGTTGATCGACATGTGCTGCCCGCGCTCGAGTCTTCTCGACGAGGACAAGATGAACTCCGAAGATGACGCCAGCTTTGCCATCTTCGAAAACGCCGCATCCAAGGACGGCCTCTGGAGCGTGGGAAGCACCACCCAGAACCATTTCCGCGCGTACCATGTCGCCATGCACGCATATCACCCGCCCTACATGACGGAACAAGAACGACCCGCCCACACAGCCGTGATCTGGGCCGAGAAGGGGATGGTTAATCGGGTCGTTGGTAACGAGAAGTTGATGCGGCTCCTTGCAGACCAGGGCATCCCGACGACGTCTTATCCGGGCTATATGGAGGATCCGAAGTTGGGTGCGTTTGCCTGTCTTGTGCCGGACAGGACGGAGGCGGACCTCGGACCCAATGGTTGGGAGAAGTATATTGCTGGAGAGGTTTTTGCACTGTCGGTGAATGGAGATCATCTTGATCTGCCCATGCCGGGATATGTTCACTTGCTTCATCAGCAAATGGAGAAGGCGTTTGTGTATTTTCAGGGATAAGATTGATTTGCTACACCTACGTTAGAAATCCAGGAAATTTTAGAATGACACTGAACGGCTTGCCATCATGTAGTGTACGTATCTGGTTAGAACGGCGCTTTTATAGTCGAACGCTATATAGTGCTGATTTAGCGGCTTGAACGGTAAGTTCGCTAGCATTGAATGGTTTGATACGTCGCCTTATGCAGTACAATAGGTTAATTTCTGATGGGCATTGGTGTAGGGAGCACTTATTCGGATTCATATCTTAATTAAGAATAGGCAGCAATGGCATCATGCCCTGGTCAGACCTCAGCTCCCGGGAACGTAGAAGCATACTTTATTTGAACAGACTATTTTATTGGCTCAACAACCCTGCACATAAGATAACACCTTGAGCAATTTATGGGGACACGGTGACGCTCCCAGGAGCAATTGTTTGGGCATATGCGGATATCAGATCTTACGTTCCCGTTTATATCCACTCAAAATAGCGAAAATGGCATAACGCTTAGAATGGCCAGTCAATGTGACGATAGAGATGGAGACACTCCGCATGATTCACAGAGACCCACCATCGGCTTCCATGAGTTTCTATTGAATTCTCTACGCAGTAGGTGAGCTTTCGTACAGTAGCATGATACGGTACTTTACGGGTGCATTTTACCTTGCTCCTCGATTTAACCTATCATCCTCAATGGATTAACGGCGCTAAGGTCTTGGCCGGTGGGCCCAGGAAAGAGTGATTGAGTGTGTGCTGGTCAAGCCGATTTCGAGAACGACGGTACATTTGAATCAACAGAAATGAGTGCATTTCTAAAAATCAGCCGGTACACCTGACCTACTTGCGCAAGGGCTCTGAACCCGCAAATGCTTATTATGCGTTTCCCATACTCCGTAATGCTGCCTCCGGGGCTATAGCGGCCTGGGTTAGTTAGTCTCAACACCCCCAAATTAAAAAACCCAGCACATACCAATTAAGCGGCATCGATCCTCTGAACGAAACCGGACTTGCGGAGCCATGGGTAGGCCAAGAGGAAGAACGCGACCACAGCCAGTAGCACGAGGAAGGTAGGCAAGAACATGAACGTGAACAGAAAAACGCTCAATCCTAGGGTCAAATTCTGACCGTGGAGAAAACGGCGAGCCATGAGATCGACTAGATCTGCAAACATGAGCGAAGCCAAGAATGGAGGTCGAACTAGCTGTGTGTACTGTATGTAGGTACGGGCACAAGGAAGGCCTTGCCAATTCGAGTGACGATCACGGTCGCAGATGCTCAAACGCCCATATATACTTTTCCTTAATCGTAGAATGATCCTATTGAACCGCCGGGATGCTCGGAAAGGGCACCGCCATGGCAAGCCAAGCCACAATATGCTATATCCGAGTCTTGAAGTCCGAATGTTGATGCCTACTAATGGTTGGGGAGGACTCATCTCGGTGCCGTCATCGACTCAATCTCCAGTTCAACTCCACTCTTGGCTAAAATAGCAGGCAACAGTCTGTCAGTCCCACTTGGGTATTGTACTACTGGGACCGAAAGGCAAAGTGGAATGCCCATCCCTATGCCGAGGCTTGGCGCAATACCTTCAGGCAGCAGCTTTTCCTTCCTAGGAGCATATAGGGGACGAGCGGATGTCTAGGTCGATGAGACCTGCAGGGGCTAGGGCCGATGCCACTTGGAATGATTGCAGGGTGTTTTTATTTTTTTTTATCGCTGCAAGTGCCATGCATGATGCTACATTGTTTGCGTGTGGTGAGCCATTCACAGGACTCAATCCGTGGTGGGGCGGGGACACGGGGGTTAGCGCCGAGGGTTGCGCAGTACGTGCGGGCGATAGGGGCAGTCATTCGGGGGAGGATTGATGGGACGTGGGAAATGAAGGCTAGCCTGCATTAGCGACGATTGGATGTCGTCAGGGGGGAATTATCTGCCGATCGGTGGCAAAGACCTCGTGTAATTCGGCTGTAGCGTAGGGCTGAAGCTTGGCTCGTGGATCCGCGGTTCGTTTCGCAGTAAGGCGTAGGGCTGGTATTATTGATCTGGATCAGGTGTAGTTCCTGGAATTTATTGGGTCAGTCTTTGGTCATGTCCCTAGGATGACAGGCATCTTACTAGCCCGCACATTATGGAAAGGATGAACTGTTCGTTGCTCGGTTCAGCCAGTCGGGTCCTCGGGTCCCTGGGTCCCTGGGTCGCTGGGTCGCTGGGTCCCTGAGCTCAAGGCGTCAAACCGGATCAGTGGAACCAACAGGCAGTAATTATGACCCGGAGTAATTATAGTAATTCAGTATAGCGTCCTAGATAGTCAGCCCTGTCTCCCCCACATTTTCACTTCCTCCCACACCGTATTTTCTCCCCTCCCCAACCATGTCTTGGCTCGCGGGTCAGGGAACCGACGAAGAGAGTGACAGCCTCGGGGTCGACTGGGTGCTGCAGTACGAATTTGGCGAACTTGGTACAGTGCCTGCATGTGATCACGTCTAGGCTGAAAACTGACGATTGCAGATCAAGCAACTGCGACTACCGACTTCCGAACACTCATTGCTGACTTGCACGAAGCTGGCCTTCGCGTGCAGGTGCGTCATGGCCACGGTCAGTCGCTATTAGTGTGTATTCGGGTGCCTAGAGACCACCTGGGGCAGATGATTCACAAGTCGAGGTTTGTGTCGTGGGTGTGGATATGGAGGTGGAAGCTTGCTAACGGATGCAGAATCAAGGATTGGTTGTTTGGAATCACACATACTCTGCCGAATGGCGACGAAAACACAACCGCCGTCGCCGACACGCCTTCCGAAGAGATCCGCTCGATTTACCACGCTGTGACGTGGCAGAAGAAGCTAGGTGGCGCGGGCATCACACCGAATCATGGACAGTGGAAGAACGTGACTGCTTCCTTTCCGCTACACGATCAAGATGCGTCTTCCAAGTTACTGCGGCAGTGGAGTCGCAAGACAGTGTTGACAACGCAGGATCTTGACACCATCCGCGCGCTGTTTGGTGAAAAGGTTGAATCAACATCGACGACTCAATGTTATCATCGTTAACCTTGGATTCTCTGCAGGTTGCTTTCTACTACGCCTTCATCCACTGCTACTCGCTCTTTTTGGTGGTACCTGCCGTGCTGGGGATCTTCGGTTGGCTCTATCTAGGCCCTTACTCGATCTTCTACGGATGTGCCCTGTGTGTCTGGTGTGTGGTCTTTGTCGAGTTTTGGAAGATCCGCGAGTCTGATCTAAGCCTGCGATGGAATGTCAAGGGCGTCGGCCGGCTTAAGGTGAATCGGCCGCAGTACGTTTGGGAGAAAGAAGTCAAAGATCCGATTACTGGGCAGGTGAATCACGTCTTCCCTGGATGGAAGCAATTCCTACGCCAGATCCTCCTGATTCCTTTTGCTTCGATCGCATGTGTTGCCCTTGGGGGCTTGATCTGCGCGACCTTCGCAGCGGAAACCTTTATTTCGGAGGTTTACAGGGGACCTTTTAAAGGATATCTAGAGTTCCTGCCGACCGTTCTTTTCTCGCTCTCACTTCCAGCAATTACCTCCTTCCTGACCGGAATCGCGACTCGCCTGACCGATTACGAGAATTACCGAACGCAAGATCTGTATGATCTCGCACAGACACAAAAGACCTTCGTTATGAACTTCATCACCTCTTTCCTACCCACCATCCTGACCGCATACGTCTATGTTCCATTCGCAAAGTCTATAGTGCCCCATCTCGATATGCTCCGCTGGTTTGGCAACTCGGATACGACCACTGCTCACCACGATTTCGAGGTCGACACATCACGTTTCCAGCAGGAGGTTATTTACCTCTCCATGACTGCCCAGGTTTTTGGTTTTTGTGAAGAGATCGTCCTACCATACGTGAAACATGTATTGTGGCAGAAATGGCGGAACTATCGGGACCGCAGAGCTGGATTGACCCGTCAGCGTAGCTTCTCCAAGGCCACGGACTTGCTCTTGATCGACCCTGCGGGTGAGGCGTCATTTTTGAAACGTTTGCGAAGCGAGGCGGATGCCGATGAATATGAAGTGGAGGAAGACATATTGGAAATGTGTGTGCAATTCGGATATCTTGCCTTGTTCGGCGTTGCATGGCCACTTGTCCCACTGGGCTTCCTGCTGAACAACTGGCTGGAATTACGAGGCGATTTCTTCAAACTCACTCTGGAATGCCAGCGCCCACCGCCAATCCGAGCAGACTCGATCGGACCGTGTCTCCTGGGCCTGGATTTCCTAGCCTGGATGGGCACACTGTCTACAGCGGCTATTGTCCACCTATACCGCGGCCCGATGGCCGAAGTCCGACTGTCCTCGCTCCTCCTGACAGTGTTTGTAGCTGAACAAGCATATCTGGCACTCCGTTTTGTGGCAGCGACTGCGATGCAAAAGATCTTCTCCGACACACTTCGTCGAGAAGAAGCCCGACGATACGCCGTTCGTAAAAGTTTCTACGAGGCCAGCGTCTCCCACCACGAGCAGCCAACTTCACCTGAGGGGCGAGTCCGACAACGCGTTCGTTTCCACGAACGAGTTAACGTCTACAGCTCTGACAGCAACCCCTCACCCGACGGTAGTCCATCACCGACCCCCGAGGAACCCCATGACGATTTGCTCCGGGGATCCGACCGTGAGGCAGAGTTCTGGGCCGGGCCAAGTGACGCGGCTGATGCGGGCGTGAAGATGATCCGGGCGCTGAGTGCGAATAAAGCGGATGATCCTAATAGGCCGAAAGAAGCATAGAAGTAGAGCATAGCATGGAGAAGGCGTTTTGAGAATACATACATTAGCAATCTGGTCCGTTTTACGAGGTTACGCGTATTGTGGAGCAGAGGCAAAATGTCGCCGTAGTGTACCTGGCTCTCCTGATCAAAGGGTGTATTACGTTCTATGAATAGAAACGCAGCAGTTACTCCGGCAAAGAGATAATCAAATATCTTACACTAGTGGAATCGAAGTCATGAGGTATTACAAATCTGCTAGGGGGCCAGGCTGCAGGATAAGAGAATCGAGCAATGAAACGATGAAAACTGGGGAATGTTCAGCCCTACAGGGCTACGTCTTGGCGAAGATCCACAGTTTCCACAGTTTCCACAGTTTCCAACTTTCTCCATTTCCTTCCCGAGTCTTTCTTTCTCCTTTCCCTTACCCCTACTCGCCTCGAGGTGCTCACACCTTGCACCTTGCTTCCACCTGCCCTGACACCCGGGACCGCAGACGTGCAGAGCACCTGCCATCAGACATGTGCACATCTTTCTCGTGACCACATCTCACAATGTCTCTCCCCGGAGACTCCTCCGACACCCTAATAACACCCCCTTCACCAATTCACCCCAAACCTCAAATGGAGCACGACCATGAACTCACCATCATCGAGTCTGAGCCCCCAAAACTTCTCCGGGAAGCCAGCGATATCACTTGGCAGGAATCTCTCGAAATTCAAGATGCAGTAACTCTCGTCCGTCGTCGACGCGGCCGCTTCAGGCTTTTGCACCAGCAGCAGTTCCGAAATAGTCTCCTCGCTAGCGTGGGATATCTTGAACTCGCCAACGCGGGTGACTTCGCTGCGAATGTGTGGAATGACATCCCCGTGCCGACCTTCGCTGCCGTGCTTATGGGTATTGGGGGGACGTTGGCGCTAGGCATGACCTTTGTCGCGGTTCAAGACTACAGACTTAGCCGGAGGAATGTCCGACTATTGCAGGATGAGAAAGAGCATCTGCAAAGGCTTCGGCAGTACCATGTGAAGAATCCCGAGTTGGTTCGAGTACTCGATAGTCGGCTTGGGGTGGGGATGCGTGAGATTGGGACTGAGGTTGTTGATCGCATTTTCATGGATATTCTGCTTGGCGCAGGGTCGATCCTTGTTGGAGTTGGGACATTGATGGCGATTGGGGGTGCGAATCGCCGAGTGTATGAGGCGAGTAACTTGCTCTCCGGGTATATTGGAAATGGTTTAGCTGCAGCGTTCGGTCTTGTGAATGCGGTGTGGTCGTATTATCTCATTCAAAGATTCAGACATCATGATGCTGCGGTGCGGAAGAGTGAGCCGAGTGGTGATATTCGTCGACGACTACATGCTCGGTTTCGTCGGTTCCAGTGGCATGCTGTGATCAATGGAGTCAACGGGTTGATCGCGGGCGCTGCGTCAATGGTCACTGCAACGCGGTGGTGGGGATATGTCGTGCTGATTCCCTGCATTATCTCGCTCATTATGTGCAACTATTTCTGGCGCAAGAAGATCGGCTACGACCGTCCCGTCTTAGGGCATGTTTCTCTCGCAAGAATGCAGTTAACGCCGCTAATCGAAGATCTCGAGTACGCGATCGCCATGCAACGCGGTCTGTCAGGGCCTGAGATCTCACTTCCTCAAACCATCCTACGACCCTCTTCCTACGAGTCCATCCTACAGTTCATCGTGCAAAATCGCATGCTGGAAATCTACGCTGATTCCCTAGCCCACGACAAGAAGACCCGTTCCATTCTCCTCGAGATTTCGACCTCCATCTCAAACCAAATTATAATAACCCACGACATCCTCCTTCGACTTTCCGTCAAGCACACAAATACACAGATCCTTTTAGATCACGCCAGCCGCTTCCTCCGCACCGATGGTGTTCGCATCTTTACACATCGCGAGCGGCACCTGTTGGAATTACTGGGCTACGCCATCTGGCAGGATCAGACGGTTGCCACTCAGACGCAGGGAACTACAATAGAGATGAAGTAATATTTAGACTGTCGAAGGCGACTGGTCGCCGGTCTTGCATAGCATTGTGTGATATAGATATGCTGGCCATGTTAGAGTTTTCATCTGTCTGAGACAGTCGCAATTTACACGCGAGTTATTGAATGCCATTCTTTCTATCTTTTCAAACGTATATTTGTTCGTCCAGCGTCCATAACATCCGTGGATTGACAAACCCAGCGAGGTTAGTCTAATTATCCAGACCAGGGCAGTTCTCACTAGTCTCCGAGGTGATAGAAGTGTAAGGAGAAGGATCAGTCCAGATGATGTTGAAGCTATCGTCGGATTAGCTCTGTTGACTAAATATACAGGGATTATACCCGTCTCTTCACGGGTAGTGTAACATACCTGTCATCGGGATAATCCGGCGCATCATCATCACCCAGCTCCTCCGCAATATCCGTAAGCGCATCGTGCTCCCAGCAGATGAGAATATTGCCACTACCAGTGTAGTTATCAACAACATCCTTAACACACTTCGAGTCATCACGGTCACATGAAGTATCAACAGTCAGACCGAGGTCCTCAGCCAGAGGCTCGACTGTGTCATAGGGACGCTGACGCTTGCCATCTGTAAAGGAGTCAACATTGGCTCCTTTTTCAAAATACAACTTCCAAAGCTCTGAAGTAACCAGAGAAAAGGAAAAGAACAATGGGAAACGCACCACTCTCAGGAGTCTCAGCCATAATATGACCAATATTATAACCCGAGCTAGCACCGAAAACAGTGCGCAGACACTGAGCGCGCTCCTCACCCTGAGCAGTCAACCCATTACCGCTATCAGGCTTCTCACCGTGACGGATAAGGTAAACAGTAGGATCAGCAACGACGAGAGTCGCCAGGAGCGCGATAGGAAGTAGCTTGAACATCTTGACAGATTCAATGTTTTCTCTGAATTAATTCAACCTTGAATACTTCCCGAGAGCCTAGTTAACCACAGAGCCATATTTATACTCCAACATTCTCTCCACTAACCCTCCCTGCCCTAGATCCAGTTCCAAGATCGGAGGTAATCCAGACCAACCCCGACCGCGCCCTGAAAAGCTAAGAGCCGAGTACTACCTTCTCGCGCATGAAGCGGGCGGCTCCGATATACCCGGAGCCATACACCGGGTTGATCTACGCGACATGGGTGTATAGTGGCTTTTTATTCGTGCGCCGATCATCGGGCTAAACCACCCTGGGGAAGAGCGTGTTGCGCCCCGCCCCGCCCCGCTCGGGCGCTGATGCTTGAGGGGCTTGTTTGGATGCGATGTTCCGTGAAGAAATGAAGGGAATGCAAGTATTCGTGTATGCTCAGGGGTGTGTCTTGATGAATCTGGCTGGGATTGAAAGTTATTTGTTCTTGCGCTTGAGGTAAGTAGGCTGCATTCGCAGCGTGATTGGTAGATTGATATTTCCGGATGAAATCACATCATTTCGCATTTTCTTCACTGAGCTCGTATTCTCGTATATTGCTATAGAAGCAATCTTGATTTTGGACCCCCTGCAATCAGTTCTGTGACACACGTGGGCTTATTCTCCGATCTCGATGTTGTGTGACGTGCTTGTGCTATGGATCTTGTCCCCCGTGTTGTTTCCACTGTAAGCACTAAGGGGATCGATGGCACTTTGTTATAATAATAAAATGGTCAATTGTGTTGTTGTTTGGAATTTGGTGTCCAAGCATGGAATAATACATGTAGCTTTACGTGGTGTGATTTGTTTTGTCGTGTTCTAAATGATGGTTTTACTGGTGTCCGTGCGGTGGAATGGTTTCTCCTCAATAACCTTTGAGTTGGAGCTGGATTAAGCAGTATTGCTGTCTTGAATGGCCATCGACACATATCTTTCCCTATGCATGTCGGCATTCAAACCTGGTTTGGGCGCCAGTGGCGCCACCCGCGAATTTGAAGAACAATCCTTGCATCCTTCCTGGGCTTTTCTGGACTTTTCTGAGCCCCGCACGGTCAGCAGCTAAAACCTTGTTCTGATAAAGGGCATTTGTCGTAGTATCTAATATTTGTCAGAGCGCAGAGCGCATGCCTGAATACGGAGACATATGGAAGAGTGATGATTTGATGCTACGGGAGAAGCAGGCTATCTAGGCTACAAGTAATACGTCTTAGTCTAGTTCTCAGGATCCGAAAAGTCCAAGACCCATTTTGCGTGGCTATTGGTAATTTTTGATGATTAGTTCAGGGTTGAAAGCTTGCATGCTCGGGCAGCATTTTTCCTGCACAAAGTATGAGTATTGAAAGCTCCTCATGTAGGAGATCGACTCGACTGAAACTAACCCCAAATCAGCTGTAAGCCATCAATGAGCTAAGATATATATTTCGTTAGCAAATTTGAAGCGAATCTACCTGAGAGTAACATTTATTAGAGATCGAGTGCTTTTTATCGGCATAAGACTTAGGTCCACTTAAGACTCCCTCGACCAGGGTGTTCAACAAGGGTCCTCAACAAGGTTTGCGTCGAGTCATAAACATGCGGAATCTATTGAATAGCGACAGGAACTGCGTGGAATAACCTTACAGCCGAGGGTCTTGGTAAATTGCCACAAATACGAGACTAATTTCTTCACCCTATCCCGCCCCCCCCCCCCCCCCCCGGCATCATCCCTTTACAGCCCAACCAAAAAGATAATCCAATAGACCGAGAACTCGATCCTGCATTACCTTCTGAACTCTTCCTGGAAATTTCCGTAGACCTCTTCTTGCTCCTCTAACAAGTCTCTTTCAAATTTTGCAGAGATTCCTGCCACCGACGACCTGCAAAAAGGTCCATGTGGCGTTTGCGATTGGCCTCTTTTTCGGCATATTTTAGAGGCGTTTTGCCGCTAAAATATTCTTCGTAAAGATAGAGGCTTCCATTCTCTTAAAGAAATTGTGTAAGGGATTTGTTGAATATACTATTAAGCGCCCCATGATGCGACGGTATTAGGCCCAATTCAGGCCAATAAGCTATTGGCGGGTATGCATGGACAGTTGATCAACAGATCTTAACAGATCCTGAGCCGAGTGATTTAACCAGAGGAGGTTGCTCTGAACGAGGCACTGCGTATTATACTTAGTGCTGTATCATGAATCAAGGAAGGTGGTGAGAATTGTAGTGTATTAGGTAGATGCTTATTCTATCTCTCTCTTCATGAAGAAGATATTGTATACGCCCGAGGTATTCATGACACCTCAGGCCGCAATTGCATCTATTGTGTCATGCGCTTCACCACTACACCAGTCAGTAATGTAGACATTGAGAAAAGGTGTCAATTCAATACAAATATCGGTCGCGGCATTTACTAAGCAGATTCTCATCCGGATGGCTGCTGTTTGCACTACACAGTATCTAGCATGATCATGAATGGTCAGAAAAACGTGCTACATTATATTAAACTAAGTATACAGTTCTCGTTAAGCGTCAAAGTCTCTCATCCCTCATACCAGTCATCCCAAGCAGTAACCTTAGGTAGACTAAATAAACTTGCGCTCAACCACCACCTTAACACAGCTCGGGTTCTGAGGCTTAGCCTTAGCATCACCCAACACCCAGTTAAGGGTTTGATAGGTATAAGCGCTGTAGTAAGTCTCACAGATATACCAATTCCGCAGAATCTTGACGTTGTCACCAGTAGGCGGGGTAACGGTATCATCAAGATAACTGTAGATACCCATTTGGCCATTCTTATCGAACATGACTGACTGCGTGTCATAACCAGGCTCAAACAAGGGCATGGCTACGTTGGTGGAGGGGTCACTGTAGAAGCTCATGGGCTCGGACTCGTACTCAATTTCTGGGATTATTAGAGCGCGATTGTTTATTAATTATGAAAGGGTACGTACTGTTGTCCTCGCCGGTGTAGGGGAGCCTCCAGACTAGAGTTCCGGGGGGGCCTTGGCCCTTGATCGGGGTTTCCTCACCCGCGGTGGTGTTAAGGTGGAAGTTGGAGCCACCGCCCGCTAGGCAGAGAGACTCAATAGCGGCGCCGGAGTGGCAGGCCGCGAGCTTTTGGCCGTTGATGGATTTCTTGGCGGATTGGATGACCAAGTTGAAAGGCTTAGATTGGACGTCGGCGGTCGCGGCTCCGACGAACAGGAGAGCAGTGATAGCGGTGATGACCTTCATTGTTGCGGTGTGATTGTGAGAGGAATGTGATTGTGAGTAATCTTTGAGGTGGAAGGCGAAAAGGCAGGTTGGGATGGAATGAGGAGAGAGCAGAAGCAAGATGATTGAATTTATAGTTGATCCTGGTTCTCAAGTCCGAGCGTAGATCCTGAGACATGCGGGTTTAGTGCGTCGCGATCATCCAAAATTGTGGCAGATCGTCAGCTAGCCTCTGTAACCTTGGGAACTTTCCCCGACCTTGCATCCCACGTGAGCTTCGCTAGCTACTCGCGATCGTTAGTTCAGGCTCGGGATAATTGCCCTTTTCTATTATTAGTCTAGGCCCTATTACGCCCAAGTAGAGCGTACGAAAGCAAGCTAGGGGGTAAACAAAGAGCTGGAGAAACAGCAGGGTTGGGTAGCCGAGCGGGGTTCCCGGAGCGGCCGTGGTAACCAGGTCTTGCCACCGCCTTTCCGCTTGTAAACGAACACGAGCCTGAGCGTCGGCGATTTTTAGCGGAATTTTTAGCGGGGACTACAGTCTGCTAGTAGGCATTCTGCTGCGCCTCTACATATGCTAGTTCCTATTGGGTCGTGCGATTACTGCCTCGGAGTTTTCTTAGGTTGATGACCCTGGATGCCGGCTGCTTATCCCACACTCAATACTGGTCGGTGTAGCTGTAACCATGAATATCTTACTCAGAACTCTGTAGGATATGATTCTTGCAGACAAGATGGCCCAAAAATCAGGAGATCAATTCATGAACATTAGAATGTCTCACATAGGAATTTCCTAAATAGGAATTTCGCAAACAATTGGAGTCGTTGAGAAACAAGGTCATGCACGTCGGCCTATTTTTACTTAAGGTTCAAGAAGGCTGGTGTTCGACGGAAATCTCCGAGACGCTTCCATTCGATATTGGCTACCTTATTTTTCTATCCTGCAGCTTTAAAATCAAAAAACTTACACTCGGAACATTGACGGCACAAATGATAAGAGGAATTTGGTGATGGTTTGATTCGTATTTCATAGATAGAACGAGCGTTTAAACATACACCATCCTAAGTTTGGCGAACGCTTCAACCACTGGAGTTTTGCGGATTTGAAGTTGATACAGATGAAATTTGCGGTCATGAACTGCTCAAGCTTTGGTCTTGTCGGGTGGCTGGACCCACGTCACGGACTCGGTCCCACTCATCAGATTGTGAGCCCTTGCTGCCGAGATGGTATTCGCACGGGTCGGAGGAGTATAGTAGCGGAGCGACCGAGCCTGCCTTCTAATTTTGACCATATGGATTTGGGCGATGAACCCAATGCAGTGGAAGCTGCAATTCGAGTCACCAACCGCGGCATTGAACGTCACAAGTTCACACTACTCCCTCAGAAGCTGAAAAGTCCACTCCGACGCTTACCGTACGGGTAGACCACCAGGGCCGAAATGAAAAGTCCAATAGTGATGCCTATAGCCACCTGGATCATGCCAAATCCCAGACTAAATACTGAGTTTCCGGAAAGCCCAGCTCCCGGCGCGGAGCTAGGTTGGTGATGAGAAGAGATGTTCTGGCGAATCGCATCCGCTGACTGGACCCCTGAGATCAACGAGCCCGTCGCAGCGAGGCCTGATGGCACTAATATAAACACCCCGGGCAGAATAGCAGTCGCAGCATGGCCGTGCCACAGGCGGCTGTACAGGTTACCCAGGATGCCAATGCAGAATGCGCCGACCGTATTGGCGACCTGAGAATTGGAACCGAGACGTAACGTGCTGAAGTAGTTGGAAATATATCCACACATGGCGATGAATGTCATTGGCGGAAGTTGCTTCCATTTACCTTGGTTAATGATCAAGAGCCAGAAGGTCATAACGAAGACGAAAGGGAAGCGCTGGACATAGGGGCTTTTGAAAGCACCTTTCTTGGGACACTGGAGATCTGACACGGCTTTTTGATCAATCAGGCCGTAAATTGTAGTACCGACTGTAATTCCATAGCCAATAAAGAGGGAGAAGATGATAGCGTAGACCATTCGAATTGAACCGGCGATGATTTGATGAGACTGCAGTTCCAAACTGCTACATAGTACAAGGAATCCGGGTAGAATCAGTGCAATCGAGGACTGGGCTATGGCTGAAAAGCAAAATAGATACTCTTTTTTCCCATCGACTACAGTGAGCGTAATACTTCCAAAGGCGCGAGCCAGGAAGGAGGTCACCACGGTCGATGTTACCTCGAAAATATTGGAATATAGCACAGAGCGGGGTGCTGCGAGATGTTGCATAGCTCCAACACAAAGACCATTGAGAAAAATGATGGGCATGTCGATCGGTCGGGCGTTGAAGGCGAAAGGACCGACTGTTGCAGTTGCCAGCCCGTATACCAAAACTACCAACCACTTGGGATAGCGTGGATTGGAGTTCACCACTTCGTCCAATTCTTGCACTGCTTCCTCAATACCGATGACATCGTGGATCACATTTTTGTAGATTAGATGTGTATCGGAGAGTCGAGCAAGATCAACACCCTGTGCCACTCGAACGAGTTTGAATTCCGTGGTTCGTGTCGAGGGGTCATCAAACGCCATGATCATACAGCCTGGCAGGTACAAGAACTGGGCATCGACCTCAAGCACTTTTGCCGTCATCTGCATATACTCTTCCAGCCGATGGGTTGGAGCTCCGAAGGACATCAGCGCTCGGCACAACTGCATGATATACCGTTGTCGGCAGATAATCTCTGCAATATGAACCGTTACTCGAATTTCATCTTCTAGCTTCACTTTGCGATTCGACTGCTTTCCTTGTCGCTTCTCCGCCGCACCAATCACTTCACTAGAGACCGGTGTGCTCGCTCCATTCGAACTACCTGCGCCCCCAATCAGAACAGATGTCGAAGTGTTGGGAGGCTTCTTATACCACTTAACGGGCTTTGCCTTCTTCCCTGTTGGACCACTCCCCGAACTGGAAGCAGAGGCCCCAGAAGCAGAGCTAGCTTGCGATTCACTTGACGACTGACTGGAAGTCCGCGATTTCTTTCCATCCTGCGGTAGCTGTCCTTGTCCTTTTAGCTTCATCAACTGCGAAAGAACACCGCCACCGCCAGAACGATATCGGAGACCGGAACCAATAGCCGACTCGTGCTCTTCACCGACATAGTCCTTGCCGGGTCCCGCACCATATGGTCGCCCTCGAGCTTTCCGTCGTTGTGACGAGTGGTCTTGCGTCAGATCGCGCACTAATCGATGGGCCTCGGAACTGCTATCTGCCTGGTGTGCATGCTTCTCTTCATCCGTTTTATGCTTGTTGTCGGTGAAATCAGACTCAGGCACTGCGTTACCGGTCGCCCAGTCTCCATGGTAGACACCAGATGTCAGATCATCACCTCCATGCTCTGACCGACCTAATCGATTGGCTAGAGCTGAAGCTTTGCGCGACCAGCTCGAAGATACTGAATGCCATCGCTCTCGTACCGAAGATGGAGTCATGGTACCTGGAACATTTCTCCGCTCCGGATCATTTTCTAATGGCTGTTCCGGGGGGGCCTGTTCGTCCGGCGCTATATTCTCGGTCTGCTGGGACACCGGCGAGTATTGTTGTGGCCTACGAGGTTCATCGGCGATATCAGTGGACTCGTGTGCATATGGCATAGTGGGCCGATGCGATTGGCTCTCTTTTTGGGTCTTATCCCATTCTGTGCGGATATCTTCTCGTGGCGGTGCTCGAGCGATGTCTTGCATGGACTTGGAATTTGCTCGCCAGCGAATGCGAGGGGCACTGGGGTCTCTGACCTCTCTATGAATTGAGCAATCATCGTATTTGTTCCCAAGATGCTGGTCGTGCCTTTCTTTAGATTGACCGCTAGGCTTGTCATAGTCCTCCTCGCCATTGCGCTTTTTGGAGGCTAAGCTAGCGCTTTCCCTATCAGACATTGTATTGGTGGTTTCGACTTGGAAGTCGGTTCCTGACTACCGTGAAAACATTGGTATCAATGAGCCTAGCATTAGCAAGGAAGAAGCGATTAGCCTAGGCACCACAGGCGGCAGCTGAGACCTACTGGATGGCAATGGACGGGTTTCAAGGACGAGGACACTAAAATGCACGAGTATAGAGCGTAGCGTTCACGTAAAACTTGACAATGTTCCCCAGACCAATCTGTGCGTCTCCAGTGGCCAATTCTACTTATGCATGAGCTCATGGCGGCGCCCTCGGGATATAATTCAGAAACGTGGGTCCAGTACGGAAGAATGGGGAATGAGGCCAAGCGGAAAAGGCAAAATTAATATCCTATCTATTCCCTAGAACGGAGTTCTTTCAGCGGAGTTCTTTCAGAACGAGTGCCTTTACCTCTTCAACAGGCCCTGAACGAAGGGCTTGGAAACGATGATATTGGTAGTGTAAAACTAAAAAGGGACTAGGATCCGGACTCTAAGAGCCTAGCATTCCCCGGCCGAAACACCGCCTTCGGATTGGGGTAATGTGACCCGGGCCGTAACACTCGGCTCTGTCCAGATTGACCGGACGGTGTTCCTTGTCGTAACAACTCTTCACAACCAAGGTTCACCACTTCGCCTCATCGGATTGTTACTCCGAGCTTCAGGTTTTCCGCACAACAGCTTCATGTCACGGGGCATGATGTGGATGATTTATAGGCTAGGTCTGTATTTGTCTCAGATTTCAATTGTTTGTAGGAAAGCTAACGTGGTGGGTCGCTGGATCGTGGAAATGTACAAGGCACGGCCTCAAACAATGTTAACCATGGTCGCGTTACTGTAGCAGCAGCGAATATGTAGATATTCTCCATAAGCCACTAGCTGGCTTGTGAGAAATCCAAAGAATACTTGCAGGCCGACTCAGACCACTTTCTCCCTTGCCTCGTTCCCAGGAAGATAGAAGCCGACTTGTTATCTGCTTTAATAATAACTGTAACGCAATAGGCCGGATCATGTTGATTACGGCGGCTGCTTCAGAAGCTGGCGAAGCAGTCTTTGCGCGCAGCCTTGTGGATGAGATCTCACTGACAGGCAGAGAATGCATAGTAATAGTCGATACCAAGATGGCCCATACACAATTGTACAGGAACACTTTGCCTTTACTTGACCATGATGATCTCTACACAATGCTCATTCCTGCCCAATGGAATTGATGATTAATAGGGCCTATCGGGGGGTCAGTCTACTATTAGGCACCTGCATAGCCTCGGCGTGACTAGCTTTGCTCCATCGACTTAATATTTCAATCAACGACTTACAAATTGCGCATGAGGATGTGCGCTAGGGATATTCTTTTGATTCGTATTGGCAATATCCAGATTTCGGCACGTTTCTGGCCCGTCGCCGTAGAAATAATGTAGAGCGCTCTCTTTATCCAGGAATCCATGACCTGACTGAAAGAATCGGCGTATCATGGATATTTTGAAAGTGGCATGGCTCACATGGCCTCGTATACACTGGATTTAGCTCTCTTACGAGGGTGTAGTAGACTCTCGTTTTGTGGCTTCCGATCGGATGACTAAATTGTCCGTATATGTGCTAGAGCAATCAGGTTAAAAAACTCGAATGTTTCGTCCGAGCAATTTCATCCAAAGCCACTGTACATCCAGGTCATAGGCTCAGATATACCGAAGTCAAATTGGCTGTCGGGCGTCTAACAAGGGTACTATCAGTAATCATCGCTGATAAAGACTTCCAGGGAGAAGATTCTATGAACTTACCATGAATGCCCAGTTCCCAAGCAGGTCCGGCATGCCATCAACTTCGAGATCATTGATATCATCGAAATTCACCCCACTATCTTGACCTTCACCCGCCTTTTTTTCTAAAATAGACAAGCATAATGCCTCTGCATCTTCTGCGGTCTGCAGAAGCATGTACGGTAATTTTTCCTTGGAGGCACGCATCATGAGAGCGTTGATCTGGGTATAAACCAAGCAAGTGAACAAATATCCCTTCGTATTGGTCTCTCCAGCTTCAATACATCTCAAATTCCAATTCTTATAATCCTCGATGACACAAAGAAGATCACGCCGTAGTGGAACGGGTCCAAGACTATCTTCCTCCTGGAGCTGAGTTTTCAACTCCGATGCAATGAGGAAGCACGCTTGCATTGCAGAAGTGCGAAAAGGGCCGGATCCACACTGAGCCAATCTTGTCAGGTCTTGTTGCGTTATATTCTGCTCTTCGTTCGCGTTGCTGGCCATTAGAGATGAGGGATGGATGGCACACCAGATCTTAAGTGCGTTTTCGACAACAACGCGTCTGGAGAAGGCGAAAGCTGTTTCGTTCACGACACCGGCGAAGAATGGCAGGTGTAGCGCGAGGAGATAACGGCGGACGAGCCAGTCGAGGGTTCTTATGCCGAACTGCGATGTCCCACTGGCAGGTCCGTACGACTTCAAGTCTTCAAAGATGGCTTTATAAGAGCGGCGCAGCTCTGAATCGACGTGAATTGTTTCTTCGTACGTCATGTGTGCACCGAGCGCGTTGAGTGATCTAACAATAGCCAGACGGAGTGGGAAAAGTTTCCGAAGAGCCAAGGCTACAGACATCTGAGTGAATGCCTGTTCGGGTTTCGATATCGGATCATCGCTCATGATCTGCTCGTCATCAAAACTTCCCGGTGGGTGTGTGTCAAAGTCCTCTAGTGAGAACAGAGGAGGCCCACCCGATACCATACTTGTAGAGAGAACCAGTTCCATTATGGTGTTCCAAAGTCTGCGACGCATCTCAGTCACAAATGTTGTTCTTTTCGGCAGGTATATCGGGTCTCGATTCAGACCCATGTACACTGCAGTTCTAAATAGCTCTCCTGTCGATATCCAAATCAGGCCTCCGTCGACGCCGACATTTTCTCGTGCAAGAAGAAGCAAAATTGTGGTCTGGAGGAATTGAATGTTTAACCTTGACTTGAACTCTGGTTCGGAAATCCATGTTTGGGCCTCGTACACCCACCTTATGGCCGAGGTACGCAAAGAGAATTTGTCGTCGTGCATTGTAGCGCCGATCGCAAAGATGAGCTTCAATTGCACCAGAAAAGACATATCGGGCGGGGTACCCGATAGCCATAGCGCATCGTAGTCTCGTCTGAAAGTCGGGATATGCAAGATCCTGTAGACAGTCTCAAATGTCCGAATGTAAACCTCTACAAGGACATCCGCAACATCTTTCGGTGGGAGCTCGGCGGTCGGCGCGGCAGGCCACGAAGGTTTTCTCCGGGTTTTGATCAACTTTCCCAGATATTTGCATCTTTGCAAGTCGTAGAAAGCCTTACTTGTTTCATTCCGGACAAGTGGCTCGATGGTCTGAAGGATGTCTCCGAACTGAAACCCAATCAGTCTTTTATCGCCTTAGGGCGATTTCAATTCGGGGTCTTACCTGAGCGACTCCATTCATCCAATGACTTTGACCAAACACTCGAGCCTTATGCATAATCGTGCGCGAGGTGGTTGGAATGCGGCCATCTGCCGGAACTTCCTCCTGCACGTGGAATGTCCCAGCGATGTGCGACGTTGTCGTCGCGATGTTGTAAGTTGGGCTGGGGGCGCTCAATCCAGCTGATCTTCGCTTCGCACGCGACATCTGATCTTCGAGCTGTTGAATCTTGATCCGCAATGACTCGACTTCTCGGGAGGAAGACTGACTAGCCGGTGTCGACGGCTCTGTTGAGTTGGCGATTCCCGACGTTGAATCTGACTGATAACTTGGAACCATGGCATAACGACTGGCATCAGAAAATTGATCGGTTGGTTTCGGAAACCGGTAAATGTCGGGCTCTGGCTGGTCAAGATCGGATGTTCTAGCGTGACGAGGCCGTCGCGATGGTGGGGGCGACAACCTGTCATATACGCAGTTGCTGCTCTTCGATCGGAGGCAGTTGCTGCAAGGAGATTCTCGATTGCACTTAATCTTTCGCTTTCTGCAGAGAGAGCATGATCTGTCGATGTCAGCTCCGTCGCTCATTCCTGTTATCTCCGATCTACATACACGGGCGGTCGCCGTCGTCGGCGCTGGGGTATACCATGCGAGACGTTCACACCGGCGTTTTCCATACCTCACATGTCAGACTTATGCAATTGCGCGATTCCCTGTATCTCAATCTCCTAGGTAGAAGAAAATCGAAGGATGAGCGAAAGAAAAGTGAAAAAGACACGGGGCTGTCAGATCTGATTACAGGAAGTGCGCAAATGGTCCGTCGCGCTCGCCATTTCCCGACTTTAAGTCCGAGTCCGTGCTTCCTCCGCGGCGCTGAATCTATACGCACCCTGAATCTACGCCGATGGGCTTACTTGTGTAGAGGGGGTAAGAATCATTTTATTAGCCATTATGTCCATCGACATGAGCCTTTCCAGCTCAAATCGTAATAAAAACACTTTTCCAAATACAGGTACGTCTTTCCAATCACAATTTGTGGATATATATTGTGGATATATCTTCTGTTCAAATAGACAGGAGACGGATCCAAGGAGGAGCTTGCATCTTCTTCGCTGCTCTAGGCTCAACCAACTCATTCGGATTGTTCGAGGAATAGTATGCGACTCTCGTTTCATACCTGATTGTTATTATCAATGCCTCGTCGACGTTTGGTCGCACTATACATGGAATAATGGCAGACAAGTTTGGTCGTCTGAATGTATCTACAATTGGTGGAATCTCGATAGGGATCGTGATCTTATGTCTGAACAAGGCCAAGTCCACACCTGTTTTGGTGGTGTACTCGCTCGCTGTGGGGTTTCCTTCGGGGACCACTTTCTCGGGCGGATCTGCTGTATTTACAATCCGTATCAAGGCCTCTCAAAATCCTAGTACGTATATGGTAATGGGAATGGGGATTGCTTCGTTGGTAGCTCTGATTAGGCCTCCTGTTAATGGTGCATTTGTGAGTCCTTATGCGGGTTTCTCGCAAATTCTTATATTTAGTGGGCCAGTGTGCGTGTTTGGTGGCTTCGTTGTGCTTAGAGCCAAGGCTGTTACTCCGCAAGGGAATTTGGACGGAAATGAGCAATGTGATCAGTTTTCATTTTACATCGTTGACGAAGATGGTAGAAGAATATGTGAAGATGACCACTAGGTGGAGAGTGTCTCTGTCAAGGTCAATTTAATTACATTGGATATGTTCGCAACTTGGACAGCATCACAACTTAGACAAGCCATCAATTTTCTGGCTCATATCACCAGGTACTTGTTGTGGTCGCGTTGGAGTCGGTATGTGGCCCTGGAGTCGAGGTGAGACACCTCGCATGCCACTGGGCGCAGGGAACAAGGGAGACCAACGTTATGTGGACCAAAATTCACCAGTCTGCCGTGTGGAAAAGCTGCAAAAAGCTTCCCCACACGATTCAGATCAACCGAGAACTTTGTAGACGGAAGATGGCAAGATTCCAAGATTGCACTGGTTTTCGCCGGAGGACGGAGGGGGTGTAATTCCCGAGTTATGTACTGAGTAAGGGACCGAGGCCATGCATATGACAAGTAGTGACATCACTCTTTCGCAGCAAGGTGAATACATAGTTTCGCAAATGAAGGGTATAAGTATGTTCGAGGTGGGGATAGGCCGATTTCATGGATTCGCTTCAAAGCACAGGTAGACCGAAAACTCCGGCATTGAGAAATGGCACGCTTTATGGTCGGGAAAAGGCATCGTGTCGTAACAGGCTAGATCTAACCAAAGTAGAGTCAGTTGCAGTTCCCAAATTGCATGAACAAGACTTACCCAGCTAGCGTGAGATAGAGTAAGACCGAATCGGCACTCCGTTCCCAGCAGCAAAGCACTTCCTAGGTGGAATGGCATCAAAAACTTCGCCAGTGCAGTATTCCCCTGTATAAGCTGTGAGACGTGCAGTATCCTCAAACTCCCCTGCGATCGCCACGCCGAACCCCTCCTCCACTGGGTAACAATGTGACTCTTTCGGATAGTTTCCAACCGTGAAGCGCTCTTCGCCCGCACACCAGTTGTTTTCGTAAGCACTGTAGCTCCACATTGTCCAGTCAGAGGCCAAAGCCGGGACGATGAGAGCAAGAAGGAACGAGATATTGAATCGCATGATGAAAGATGAAGGTGGTGAAGCCAAGCCGCTGTGACGTTGCAGTTAACGGAGGGTCGGGGATGAGAAGAAACCTGCACCTCCCCTTTTAAACGAGCTGCCTGGGGTTAATGGATTCAGGGTCTGCACCGGGGGCCGTTGGCTTGAACATCGACGTGCTTATTCGTCAGGTATCGCGTAAGAGGCTGTGCACTCCCCACGCGGTTTGAGTTCTCAACAAATAGGATTCGGCAAGCGAGCATGGGCCCACTGATAGGAGATGATGGAAAAGCTTGGTATTCGGATGGGAGATCGAGGTTGTCATGCCTCTATTATGATAGCTCATAACGCCTAAAAGCTAGTCCCAACTAGCGAGTTGTCTTTGACTTCAATAAAACATGGGTTTAAGCCATGCTATTCATTGCTGGTGGTAAGGGGTTGCACTCTGGCCACTTGTCTCGGAACGGCTCGGCCCAGATAGCCTGGACTGGAGCGGGGCAGGCCTTCGTTAATTAATCACTCAAAATCACGATTATGCTAAACCTGGGCTAAACAGATAACAGTTTATAGCATTAACCATTAAGCCACCAGTAAGGGTTTCCCTTAGAAAGTCGTGGCTTCAACTATGTGGATTTCGAATGTGCGCCTTCGCTTGCCAGCCAGAACCGCAAAAACCTCCATGCTCACCTCCTGATACTGGTAATTCATCACTGACAGCATTGGTGGTAGAACTCTGCGACCTACTCAGATAGTAATTGTTCAGAGAGAAATCAGCGATAAGAGGAACTAATGACAAATCAAGAGTAGACGCCAGGATTGCGTGGTAATCGGCTTTGAGATGGTGACATCTATCTTAATGTTGGAGGGTACCTCTGACTTCTGGCCCGAATAGTGGAGCTCAGCTAGAGATAAAATTGTTGTTTGCTGACATGGCTCAACATTTTCTGTGTCCAATACTTTACAGGATACGACGTGCGTGATTTCTATCGCTTAGTTTTTATATGTATATCCACGTAGAGCCTAGGACGTAAATTGCTGCACAGCTTCGGAGGAAAATGACCCAGCCAAAGTACTTCCAACCTAATAGTCTCTACCATTGCAAGAATTGGGCCTTGGTGTGCTCGTACTTTTGTGTTCTCGGGCGTCCAGTGCGGCTGCTTAGAAAAAGTTTCGCTTTGGTTTATATGCAAAGGAAACGCCTCAATGATCTGGCCGATGATGGGGAAGGAACTCCATTCTTGGCCAACGGTGAGACATTCTTGTCATAGTTGGCAAACATCCTATACAGTGTTGTCCTTGATTAATCGCTCAGTATGTGCGACCGGACGAAATTTGGCGGGTGCACTGGCGCAAGCGAAATAAGCCAAGAAATGATGGCCGAACGATGCGTCGGGCTAGAAGCCGGATTACTCAACCCAAGGGGTTTCTCCGGCAGGGTTCGAATTATGAATATAAATAGAACGCCGTTGTTAAATTAAATACATTAGTATAACCGATTGAGCTTATTTTGTTGAAGATAATATGGCTCATAGAATTTGAGGAGAGTTTGGTCTAGTCAAACGAAGGTGTATCGCCGCGCAGCTGCGCACCCGCGTAGTGGTATTGAAGCCAAATTCCGTAACTCTCACCCTGGCCATTTCCCATGCAAGCCCAGGCTATTCACGTCGAGAAGATCTCTGTATCCCCTCGGCTTTAATTGCCCTGAGTTGTGGTGGACAAGATAATGTATCTGGAGAAGTCGTGTTTACTTACCCCTAGTTCCCGATCGGGCAAGACCAAAACTAAACATTAACCAAACCAATGTCTTCTTGTTTTCATCAGCCTGAAGCCCGCAAAAGCGACGAAAAGACCACGAGTAATATCAAATGAACTCACTTCGAAGCAAAGAGTTTGTTTATCTCGATTTAGCCAGCACGTTCACAGATCCTGGAGTTGGCAAGGGATGTCGATCCCCGGTGGCCAGGCCAAATAGCTACACGCCCGTGACAGCATTCCAGATATGCTATGGCTGGCACGCGTCCATACCAGTTGTCTGGGCCGTTGCGATGCGCGCGCTCCGTGCCGGGCATGCGAAGGTTTGATTCTTTTTACAGCTTTCTTCTCTCATCTCCTCTGCACATCCTGGTTGGCGTTGAGACTTGAGGATCAGGATGAGGAGCTCATTATCTTTTACTGTGCTGGCAGCTGTTTCAGCTACGGTGTCCGGGGCTATTATTCCTCTCAATGGGATTCGTCTCCCGGGCTATGAGCCGAGCCCAGGCACTAGAGGCAGCCATGTTCCGGCCTGGTTTGCTTCATTAGTTGCTGGATTGCCGTTCCCAGGCTCGATTAAGGTAACTCCAAGCTCCTCGAGCTCGAGCTCGTCCACTACAACGTCGATTACTAGCTCTGTCATCCCAACTTCGCCGACATTGGGCAGTTCGCCAGTGGCAGCTACGCCAACAACCATCACTCCAGTTATGCCGACTGTAGCCTCACCTGCCAGCTCAGCAATGACTTCAATCGAGTCCGAGCATGCGCCCGAGCCGGTGACATCGGTCCTAACTCTCACGCCGGTTCATGACTCAACACCGTGAGTGTGGTTTCGCTCACGAGATTTTCATCGCTGATATCTACATAGGTCGAGCTCTAAATATGCTGCTCCTGCCACGAAGACTTGTGCTGGTCCATCCCAAAAATCATCCAATGCTTACTGGTTGGATGACATGGACCAAAATCAACAGGGCGCAGGTTTTGCCCCTTACGTGAACGGCACGAATAAATATGCAGTGTACCGGAATGTTATGGATTACTCAGTTGTGAACGACGGATCGGGCGACCAGACAGCGAAATTGCAACTTGCAATTGACGATGATAACAACGGCGGTACCCGTAAGGGCAAGGGCGTGACGCGCTATCCTGCCGAGGTGTATTTGCCTGGCGGCATATACACACTAAAGAGCACTCTCAAGCTGACTGTTGGCACAATCATTGTTGGAAACCCATCCAACCCACCCATAATTAGAGCGGCTCCAGATTTCGTGGGACAATACCTCGTCTTGGGTTACGACGAAAAGGCCGGCCAACCGGAGACCAGCTTCATGACCTTGGTAAAAAACGTCATCCTTGACACAACTGCGGTTGCGCCTGAAAATTCCATCACTGCGCTTCAATGGGGTGTGGCTCAAGGATCTGGACTCACGAACGTGCAAATCCGTATGCCAGTTGGATCTACGGGACACACTGGTATCGATATTTTGGCCGGCTCAACCATTGCCGTGACGGATGTGGTAAGTCAAGCAGCGGGTGTTCCAATTGACCACAAGACTAACATGGAATAGACTATTTCAGGCGGTGCGACCGGTATCATCAACTCTAACCAGCAAGTCAACTTCAAAAACATATATTTCGAGTCTTGCGATACTGCATTTAATGCCAAGGGCGGATGGACTGTTCTTTTACAGAGCGCAACTTTCGTCAGCTGCAAGCTCGCTATTGACATGGGTGGAAACGGCCTGGGAAGCATGGTGCTCCTCGACTCAAAATCGTCAGCTGCTCGTGGGCCTGTTGTCCGATTATATGACTCGTCCCATGATAGCGGGTACCAGAATAGCCAACTTCTCATTCAGAACTTGGTCCATGACTCTTCAACAGCCATTGTAGTTGGTGTCAATGGATCGACACATCTGCCCTCCTCGTCTCATGTTGACACTTGGGCCTGGGGTACTACTGTTCCCGGTGGATACGAGACTGGTAAAAGTTGGACCACTCAGCAGCCTGCAAACCTGCTTGTTGATGGAAAATACTTCATCAAGGCTCAACCATCTTATGCGGATTACGCCAGCATTGATATTGTCAATGTGAAGACTGTCTCTGAGCATCCGGTTATGGGCGATGGCCGCACTGATGATACCCAATCACTGAACCATATCTTGGCTGAAAATGCAGCGAACTGTAAGATCACCTACTTCCCATTCGGAGTCTACCGAGTTTCGGATACCATCATCATTCCTGTGGGCACACGTATTGTCGGTGAGGCATGGGCCGTCATCTCGGGATACGGTGATGCTTTCAAGGATTCATCCGCTCCCAAAGCTATCGTCCGAGTTGGAAACCCGGGCGATGTTGGAAATATTGAAATCCAAGACATGCGATTCTCAGTCGGCGAAGTGCTTCCTGGAGCCATTGTTGTAGAGATAAATGCGGCTGGCGCACAGCCCGGTGATGTTGGCATGTGGAATACCCTGGTGACAGTGGGCGGTACAGCCGAGACAGCCATTTCGAACACCTGTACTTCACAAGACACCAAGGACTGCATGGCCGCGTACATGGTGATGCATCTCACAGAGAGCTCATCTGCATATATCGAGAACTTCTGGGGCTGGACAGCAGACCACAACCTCGACAGCACTTCCATTTTTACCGTCATTTCCACGGGTCGCGGCATCCTCGTCGAGTCAACAAAAGCAACCTGGCTTACGGGAACAGGCTCCGAACACCACTGGCTGTATCAGTACAATTTCCACCACGCCGCCAATGTCTACGCAGGCCTCCTCCAAAGCGAGACACCTTATATGCAAGGCTCAGGCGAATACGAGAAGGCACCCGCCCCATGGACCGTAAACGCCCAGCTCGGCGACCCAGACTTCTCATGGTGCAGCGCCGATGACGAAAAATGTCGCTCAGCCCTCGCGACCAACATCGACGGCGGCTCCAACATCGCGCTCTACAACTCGGCAGCTTGGGCCTTCTTCGACGGCTACTGGAACGGACTATACAACGAGCCCTGCGACGGCAATTGCCAGAGTAACATGATGCGCGTAACAGGTGCACCGGTGAATTTGATTTGGTATTCCATCAGTACTCGGAAGACGGATGTCATGGTGCTTGATGGAGTGACAAACCCGCGTGAGGCGAATCATGCCGGTGGATGGGAGGCTGTTATCCAGGCATATCGACAGTTTGAGACTTGATGGTCGGTCACATGGCTTATTTCTTGGACATATGCATTCACTATGAAAAACATAATTTTAATGATGCTTGTTTCAAATTTCAGTTATAAGATAAGACGTACGAATGTGCAGGTGTAAATCCTGAATCATGCCCCTTGATTGGGCTTGAGTGGGATTTTTTCCGTTACCGAATCAACCGCACAAACTGCCTCTGTGGTTCCTAGGTAATTGAAGGCGTGAGTGATGCAGGACTAGAGGGATAGAGAAGATGACCAACGAAGGCTCCAAATAGAACTTTGACCTGCTCTAACACGGCCACGTGAACCTTCTAATTTAGAAGTGCTAGGATGTAGATACACCGGCCTTCACTTGATTGAAAGTTCTTGTTATCACAAGTCTACCACATAGATAACGACGTGAGAGAGCGTACGCAGTGGTAGATCCTTACCGAAGCCATATATATAACACTACCTAGGGCTACAAACCCACTACATTAAATATACATATCCACTCTCTAAGTATGTACCTGAATCAAGGGGCGGTTGACCTCCGACAGATTCTAATTTTGGAAGGCGGATTACTCGAAGACCATTGTATATAAGCTTTACATATAAAGAAGGTAAGGAGCCTGAATACACCGCGTGGGATGTCAACAACATTTAAAGGCTCTAGTAAGACTCTGAGAATAGTGCCAAAAGTAACCATTTCCAGCTCTCAATTTACAGACATTTCGCGAGAGTCTGTGAATCATGGAACAGTGAGAGTCTGCCTAGACGGCACACTGGTGTATTGCGTTGATTGTATCTTATACCATTGCCGTTGATCATCGACCAAGTCAGTGTAAGAGGAGATGATCTAGATCTTCCATGTTTTCCATATAGCCAACATGAGACAACATTAGTTTGGAGAAAGCCAAGCTGAGACTTCATGCGTCCGAGGCAGTGTTCTTTTTTAGAAACACACGTGACTTGCCGTGGCTATGGTGTCTGCCCAAGGCCTCCAAGACCCCAATAATTGGACTTCGCCCCAGTGGCGTCGGAGATGGAGTCTAGTCTCCAGCGTCACAATACGACGTCATCCCAGATCTTGGCCGCTACGAAACAAGGCCCTGGCGGCGCAAATAAACCAGGACATGGCTGCGCTAGCCAAGAGTCCAAAACAGAAACAGTTACGTGCCTTTACGGAGGCTACACCAAGTGGCCCCCACATTGTAGGGGACGAGACGCCGCGGTACACACGCGCAGCCTATGGTTGCTGATCGGTGGAGATCTTCCCCGCTGGCCCTGACCTTAGGGGTAGGATGTGGCGGCGGCATTGCCGTGGAATTCCGGTTAGGTCAAGATTCGAAGGCAGCAGAATATCCAGATGAAGTTTCTATCTTCGGGGTGCATAGCCATAGCCTTGGCCATGTGAATGCAGGGCCTTGCTCATGTGCAGCACATGACAACCTTCCAGAAACACGGGAGACAGGGAATACAGTTGGTCAGGAGAGACCGTCAGTGTGGGTCGCGAAATGACGATTGGCTTAATCATACGAAACACTCCATCGGGCGCAGTTGATCATAGGGAATCACTCCGTGTGGATTTCACATTGCCACGGGCAACTAAACTTAGCACTTGATTAGGGGCCGCAATTTCCTTGCGGCACATATAAGGACTCCCATACTCCCCAGATCTTGTATAGGATCATCCCACTCTACCAAACAAACAAGCTACCCTTGCACCATTACTTCTCCACACTTCAACCAAACCAAATCATCACCCACTTGAATCACCAAAATGAAGTTCACTCTCCTCACAACCGCCCTCTTCCTTTCCACCGCCGCCTATGCCGCCGATGTGGACTCCATAGTCTCCGCCGCTGAAGGCATTGCGGCCACAGCCTCCGCTGGCGGCGAATCAATCGGCTCCGATGCCGCTGCGGCAGCGACTTCCATCGCCCACGCCGCTGAAACCGGCGGCTCAGCCGCCCTCTCAACCCTGACCAGCGACGCCGCCTCCATCGGATCCGCAGCCGCCAGTGCAGCCAGTTCCATTGGCTCGGATGCTGCTTCAGCCGGCTCGGATGCTGCTAGCAAGGCTTCGACTTGGGCTACACAGTTTACTACGACTGGCTCTATTACTACGACTGATTCTAATGGTCGCCAGACCACTGAGGCGACTACTATTACGAGCAAGGGTACTGCTACTGAGACCGGGATGAACACTGCTTCGTCGACTGCTTCTGGTGCTTCGAGTACCGGCACTAATGTTGCGGGTTCTGGGCCTGCGGCTATGGGTGCTGCTGTTGCGGGTCTGGGTATGCTTGGTGTTATGGCTGCCCTGTAGAGGGTGCCTTGATACAATTGTCTCGATACGGAGACTGAGCATGGCAAAATTATGCTTTTCTTCACGACTTTCTTTGACTCGCTGGTGAAATCCCCAAACGGGGCGGATTTAATATTGGATTACTGTACATATAGTAAATAAATAACACTCAAGATCCAATCCTTCATATATCCAATACGGTTTCCTGTAAATGGAGTATATCCTAGCCTTGATAATAATAATCTTCCACATATCCACATCAAGCCCAAGTACTCTATATGCACGGGATAAATCACCTACTTTCCCAGAACTGAGCATCGATAGCAACCAGCCTATTAAACAACTGATTCCTGGACCTCATCCCCGTCAAATGGAAACTCTGCCCCTCCCCGCCCCCAACCACCAAACCGTCAGCAGCCTCTTTACTACCAGCCGTCAACTCAACAATCAACTTCCCCTTCCACCCAAGCCCCTCCGTCTTCTTCAACTCCCTAATCTCAGTCACAGGAATCTGAAAGAGCACAGATTTCTCTTTCCTGCTTTCAATCCTGAGATCATCCAGCCCCGCAGATTGATAAGTCGTAAAATACAGAATAGGCGGCTCCTTCGAAGAATCAATGACAGCCGCGCCACGCTTCCGCTCGAATTTTGCGTCAAATTTGAGTGGTCCGAATGGCTTGGATACAAAACCTCGTTTCTGGAGCATGGTGAGGAGGTTCTTGGTATGTGCGGAGCCGGCGATGGCCATTGCGCGGTCCATGGCTATGTGGCCGCGGATGGCGGTTGCAATGGTGCGGCGGACGAATTTGAGGAGTTTGAAAACCCAGCGGCGTTTAGGTTTCTGGGGCGGTAGGGGCTCGTTGTTGAGAGTGCCGAGGGTTGTCGTGGAGGGGGAGTTTAGGGATGCGAGGTCGCTGGACTGAGGGGTTGGGGTTGGTTTTGATTTCTTGTGGATTGGCCAGGCACGTTCACTGTCTCCGACACTTGGCGGGGGTGGGAGGGGGAGGAGCTGATTTCGCCGATGCGGAGGAGGGTTAGGGTAAGTTGGGCGTTCGTTGGGACGCCTTTCAGCAGTGTCCTAGGATTGTTAGTTGAAGTTCTCGAGAATGGAATGGGAGACTCACTTCTGCATATCGAGATGGTCTTGCCAGTTTGGAATCTTCTGGTTCAACATATCCAATGTGTAGGCAAATATCGGATCACCGAAAAATCCGAGACCAATGGCGAAACCGACGCCCTTGATAATCCAATAACTAGATGTAAATGGTGCCACGAAAGCGATGATCGTTAAAATGCTAGAAAGGCGTAGCCGAGAAGAGACTAAATAGAATGGCGGAGTTGGAGAAAAGAGACTGTTTCGGGGTTAGATATTGTCACAGAGGCAGAGCAGTGCACTCACTTGGCGAATTGTTCGTAAATGTCCGTGATATCGCTGATGACACGCATTGCCTTATCGGTCCCCTTGGCAGCCTTGGACCTCATCGGCTTTTTCGTCTTGTCCTCGGGACCATCGTCGGGCTGGCCATCCGGTGCGCCTTCGATGGCCAACAGAGGCTGTGGTGTAACCGGCACATCGGGTTCATCTTCAGCGACGGTCTGACCGTATTTGGCAGCGGCACCCTCCATCGCCATAGTTGCAACACTGTCGACGAGGTTCTTCGCCTCCTGCTCTGCGGCTTCACCTTTGTGATTCTCCGGAGCTCCGGTCAAACTATCATGAGACTCTGGTAGGTCACTCGACGAGCTATGCACGCTCGAAGCATCCGAATCTGTCTTCGCCGGAGCCATTGGGAACAGGACTGTTCTGATAGGTGGGAACATGATTAGAGCAACAAAAAGACTCAATATAGCCGGGATAAGAAGATCCAAGAACCACGATGAGAAATAGACCTAAACAGGATCAGCCGATTGTCAAATCTGCAAAAGGGAAAAAAGCATACTGCACAGGATACCGAAGTCCGAACCGGCTCCTTCCAGGACCTCAACCTCCCAACATGCCGAAAGAACTCCGTCAATCCCACAACAACAGACGTATAGAACCTCTCAACGGTCATCCGCAATTTCTCAGGTGGAAACTGCTCATCATCGGCCCGATTCAGATCAATATCCCTAGCCTGTGCATCCGGCACCGCTTTCACATGGTAGATTTGCTGGGTCACATGTTAGCCCCGGGAATCCTGAGCCCAAAGAACCACCGATTCTCGTACCTTATTAAACCGTCGAATCAGCATCCATAGATCTTCGTTCGAAAGCCCTTCTGCTAGAGTTTCCTCCACCGTGCGCGACGAGGGTTTCCATTGAGTTTGCGGTCTATCGGTCACTGGTTCTCCGCTTGCGCTTCCGCTTTCGGGGACCTGGGGGAGCTCGAAGCTGTCCGTGTCGTCCAACTCGCGGGGGACTTCATGGTCCAGACTCATCTTCTGTTGGGAGATGAGGTAGTCCTGCGTGTAAGTGACCAAGATAGTGGTAGTGGTCGTGGTGTTAAGTGGATGTTGTTAAATTCGAGGGGAAGCTCCATGCTTGGCGTTGATTGATGGGAAATTGTGGGGAAATCGACGTCATATTTTGGGGATATTCTTAGCCCCTGCAGATGGAAATGGAAGCATTGCTGGGGTTGAACTCATCGTTCAAGCCATTTAGTTACATATGAGTGGTTCACCTTTCGAATGAAGGCATTTTCAGAAATACTTGCGGTCAATCTCTAAGGTTGTACGCGGAACTCATCGGCTAATTTATCCCTTCCCCTCACAGAACCCCCCTGGGCCCTCGAGTGAATGGCAGAAACGAACCATCCTGCTGAACAGCTTTCGCAGCACATAACCAGCCAACTCGGTCCTTGGTATATCGTTCAACTCTTGGCTTAAGCTTCGTCTCATGCAAGTTGAAATCGTCCACCGTGCCAATGCGCAGGATGCTATATCCCGGAAACGCTTCCCCGACGCGATACATCAGCGTACCGCAAGTCGAGCAGAAATGATTCGTCATCGCTTTGCCTGATTCAATGGTCTTGGACTGGCTGAATGTTTTCAGATTGGCGCGCCCCCGCAGGTGTTGCAGGTGTGTGTCTGCAACGATGAAGTTGGAAGCGAACATCGATGCTGTGATCTTCCGGCAGTCTGTGCAATTGCAGATGAATGTATCGATCAGGCCTGGACCTTGAGTAGGCTTTGTGTACGAAGATTAGCTGAGGGTGCTTGGTAAGTGTCAGGGAACAGCGAAGCCCCGTTGATAAGTTTCTAAGTCTCGATAGACGTGTATGCACTGGGACGGGAAATTCTTACAAATGCCAGTTGAACAGCACCACAATAGCAGGTCGCTGTTGCTTGATCTTCTGTAGACCAGCCGTCATCCGCACCTCCGGCAAGAGGTATATAGGGCTTAGATTTATCCGCAGCGGCCGCCATGATTCCGGAGTCAACTTTCAGTTATTCAAGATGCGACTGATTAGTGAGAGAAATGGACAATATCGCTCTCGCTAAGTAAGAAAAAACTTTTTAGAAGAATACCTGAAGACCTGCAGAATTGATAGATTTTTTGGGTTTAGAGAGCTTAATGCATTAAATTCGACTTGCTTTATAACGGACTTCCCAAATTGATTTATAATCATCCGGCGGATTATTATCCTTCTCGTATATATGCATGAATGACTCAATATCTCGGCGACAACTATCTCTGTCGGCGGAAAATCTATCCGAAAACAGTTTGAAACACATTCTAATCTGAACATCCAGTATTCTATAGCCAAAGGAACGCACAAGCGGCTGTAATCCATCATTTTTCCACGCCAGGGTATATCATGTGCGAGGTATCCTCGCAGGAGCACCGCTACTCCCCCTTTTCACTGAAAGCGGTCTTCTCTCGTGAGTTCTCAATAGCCAAAGTCCCGTTATTCGAACTGGCGGACCTAGGCTCATCGACCGTTATACGCGGACCGGTGTACCAGTGCCGAGCAAACAGGAAGTAGTAACCCATACATCCAATCCAGACAAACCCATTGATCACGATAGTATAGTTCATGTCCGACGCTAGCAAAATCGTCAGCGGATCGCCCGGGGAAATATAATATCAAACTTACGCGAAGGATTCGGCCCAGTGGTCGGGAACATCGACAGAATCATTCCAAACAGTAAATAAACCACAGCAATAACACCGATAGCCTTACTAAACCGACCGGTATAGAACTCCCCCGGAACAAATCTCTCCTGTCCCCAAACCAGGCGACAGAAAATCGGCATTCCCCAAGATAAATAGTTGCTGGCGACAAACAGTGAGAACAGGGCGTTTGCAGCAGCGCTGTTGATCAAACAGAGCAGGCCGAGTATGACGGCTATCACAACCAGGCCGCATATCATGCGCACAGGCTGGAATTGGATTCTTGTGCTGACGTGTCGGAAGTATGTGGAGAACGGGAGAGCTCCGTCGCGGGAGAAAGCCCATGATTGTCGAGAGGCGGCGACGATCTAGTCGGTTAGATTATCATTCAAGAGGACATTGTGGGCCATGGACGTACTAAACTGAGACCAATGAGGAACTGGATTATGCAGAGGACTATCATGAAGCCAAGGGCGCCGTTTTTGCCAAGTGCGTCGTAATAGATCTGGAGAGGTTAGGCAAAGTCACTCACAAAGGCTGATGGTCTCACCTGAGCCATTGGTTGTCCGAATTTACTGTTTAGAGTCTCCGACACATTTGGATTCATCGTCGCAGCAATAACAGTCAATACCAAGAAACCAAGGACACACGCTGAGCCAGCAGAAAACATAATCCCCAGAGGTACGGCCTTTGCAGCGTGCATGGCCTCCTCGCTCATATGCACACATGAATCGAATGAGCCAATTGACCAGATCGGAGCAAGCCATGCAAGCATGAATGCCCATCCTGTTGGCCACTTGGTTTCATTATCCACATGGCGGAAGACATAGCTCCCGGAGTTCAAGGATTCTCCTCGCGTCACTTTTCCGACCGGTAACGCGACGACAGTGGCAACCACCAGTGCCATGTTGATATAGATGCAAGCAGTCTGAATCCTCGGCATAAGTCGACCTGTTAACGCGCCCGAAAGCCCGTGGAGGAGGATCAGTCCAACATAAACTCCGTAAATGACTCCCCGCGAGGCAGACCAGTCCGAGTCTCGCGAGATGGAAACACACGATAAGATCATCAGGGATAGTGTATCTGCAAGAGTGAATACATGAACCCATGAAGATCTCGACCGACTTACAATCCACAGAACAAATGCCGCCAATCAGCCCAAGCGTGTTACTATACCCAATCAAGAAACTAAAAGGTCTCTTATACCTCTCGCCAGCAAAATAATGCGTCCACCAATACAACCCACCAGCCGTAGGCATCGCTGAAGCAAGATCGGACTGAAATTTTAGCATTTCCAGAGACAAAAGGATCTCGAGATCATACCATCGCCAACCCAACAACGAAAATAAAGATACTAGCCGTGAACCATCCCTACGAACATCAGCACCTCACCCGTACATCGATAGCCTCATGGTAAACAGAAACAAAAAAATACAACTCACCCAAACCATCCCAACAGGACCCGCAGGCAACGAAAACGACAAAGTCGACGCAATACTCGGTACAAGCCCCATAATACTAAATGCGATCGCAAACACCTGAACCGTGGAATACTGCCTTTTGAGTTCCTGCTTATATCCCATTTTGGCTATCCAGCGCAGTTAGCGACCGAGTCAAATGTGACTCGGGAGATCTTCAAGATCAGACGTACCCAGCAGCTGCGAATCATCTGGATTCGCAAGCCTGGCCGCAGGCGCAGGCGCGGGCGCGGATGCGGATGCGGACACCTCGTTATGCATTTTGAACATTGTGCGATCACGGCATAGCGGGGGTGAGCACTCAGGGGGATTATGTTTGGATTTGCTCTGGTTTTGGGTGTTGGCGTAGCTTTGCCGGGGTTGAGCCAAGCTGGGTGGGGAAGCGCGCTGACAAGGGCGATCGTGTTCGTGACCCGACGCGATGTGAGATCTGTGAAGGTTGATCGCGTGTTGTGCTGGGATTCATTTGTTTTCCGTGAGGGGGCTGAAGGCGGGACGAGCTGGTTCACCCCTGACTGAATTCTCAGTTGTTTGGCATCCAGAATCAAGAGCGGGGAGGATCTCAATCCCTGTCCTCTTAAAGGTCTTGGCATGCATGGTGGATGAGCTACGAATAGCTAGGAGGCGCGGTCTGTCCTTTTACTGAATGCTCCATTTTTAAATCGGCTGGGCTCTTCATGTGGGAAATATTTGCTCAGGAGTTCCCCCGCTTGAATTCAGATGTCAACATCATGGTGGAGTGATGGATCTAAATGCCCAAGGTCTGTCGCGTCGCCTGCGCTCGGGGATGCCAAGTCCACATGCTGCAGATCGCTTGCAGCTTGGCTCCAGTCGGCGTATTACGGCGGGAAATCTTTTTTCTAACCAGTCAATGGGGCACTATTTGTCACTTTAAATGATATTTCCACGTACACTCCAGGAGATTAGTCATGCTTGAGTAGGACGCCAGGTAGAAATAGGCCAACACGTCCAATAAGTTAATGAAAATTAACGAAAATATCAATATTGCACTAAAGGTATCAATGGGAAACAAAGAAGATCATCGAACCTGCGACAAGGTCGCGGAATATGTTTCCATACTAAATTGCACATGTTGTACTAGGTGTAATGTGCACCAATGATCCACCACACCGCTCTCCGTTCATATACTCATCCATCCACTCAATTAATCTCATCGTACCAAGGAGATCGTGTTTGACAAACACTCAAACCTGATCCTCAGAAGAAACCTCAATCCTGGGAGCCGTCTGACGGTTCTGGTTCACAGCAGCGCCATCCGGAGCATCGGTGTAGGTCTGAGCCCCGCCATTAGGCCGATAAGTGTCATGAGTCTGATTACCGCTGATCGGAGAGTGACCAGGACCGCCGTGGCCATGGTCAGTTATGGTATTCTCAGAAAGCACGGAGGTCGGGCGACCCTTGTTCTCCCACTCGTCGTAGTCCTGGCCCGGGTTGATGGTCTCCCAGCGGACCCAGCAAAGGATGTGATAGAAGCCAGAAGCCAACAGGGATCCGAGAAGAGGGCCAACCCAATAGATCCAGTGATAACCGGGGAACTGGCGGTTGATCACGTCCGGGCCGAGGGAGCGGGCAGGGTTGAGGGAGCCGCCGGTGTAGTAATCACCTAGAAGAAATGTTAGATTGGCAGGGAAAGTGAGTGAAGAAGGGGGTACGTACCGACAAGCTCGCATAGGAAGAATGCAAGACCAATTCCCACAGGGGCCAGGTAGGTCGATTTGTGCTTCACGACTGCAAGCATGATAATCACAAGTACCAGTTGCGCGGTGAGGAACATCTCAATGAAGAGACCCTGGGAGATGGAGGCGCCACCACCCAGACGAGTCTTGAAGTTTGGTTCACCTGGAAACATGGCGCTCACTACACCAGCCGCGGCAATTCCCGCAATCAACTGGGCAGGGAAAACCATCAGACCGCGTAACGCAGGCATGCCGCCAGTAAGGCAGAGTGCGAGAGTCACGGCTGGGTTGAAAAGACCACCAGTAACACGGAAGAAAGCCCAGACATTGACAGTCAACGAGAAGCCGAAACACAGAGAAGTGTATAGCAAATTGGACGTGTTCGGGGGCGATCCATCAGGAGCCATAGGCGTGTTAGAAACCTGGGTCCCAGCGAAAGAGAACAACAAGAACATGAATGTGCCGACGAACTCGCCGAACACACAAAGCAGATTACCCCGGGTCTTGTCAGGTAACTGCAGCATGGGTAGCTGTGCACGACCAGCGATACCATTACCAGGCGTACCTCCCATCGTAGAGGGATCTGATACCCCAGAGGCAGCGCGGGTATGTTTACCAAAAACCATTGTATCAATTGGCCTTGTGTCGATCAATTGGAGAGAAAAGAGATTCGAAATTCGATCAAAAATACCCAGCAAAATTTAGCTACATGGGGAGATACTTATTGCATAGGCTCTCAGCCCTCGCAGACGTCACCATGTAATACAATTTCCCTCAGAACCTAATCCAAGTATCATCGACCAACTCTTGGCGCAGAGGGATAGCAAGCAGCTCCCACAAAGACACTAGAATAGACTTTGCTCGAAGCCCACTGTTTACCACTTCAGGAAAGCAGCGCAGCTTGCCACTCGACGCAATTCAGTATAAGCACCCGAAAAAGCAGTGATGAGGTCAGGATACAAATTGTCCCATGTTCGTAGACAAGCCGGTGGAGCATTAATGGCAGCTCGTTGTTGGACGGGAACTCCCGGCCTTCCGCAAACGGATATTCCGGGTTGTCTAGAACTGTCACGGCCACCTGTCGCTGGTTGTCCGGGAAGCGATTATTTCTATTTCTGTGGGTACGAATAAGTCAGTGGGGTTTGGGGATTTTGCGCGCGTGATTTCCTGATTGAGAAGGGAAATGAAGCGCTCATAGAGTTTGTTTGGTTGGTGGCGGAGCTTGGATCAGGGTCTTGATTTTGTTGAACTGCTAAGATGGCTTTTCTTTAACTTACATAATTCGTTCTGGCTTTGAGGGTTCAATGAGATGAGCTAGGACCCTGGTTTCCTGGAACCGAGGGGACGGTGTGCCGTTGTTGTCAATACAGGGGCGAAATCCCTAGCTTTCGTCGAGAATGGCAATTGCTTTTCATCAATGGATGGCATAGTACTATCGAGACGATAATTTAAATTGAGATTCACTCCGCGCATGTCACTAGAGTCAATGATAGATAGATTAACGTCGGGTCTGCCAAGACACTCGCTATGAACGCGGCCGTCCTGAACAGCCTATCGCCATCAAGTTGGGATACTAACTCCATGCGAAATTACCTACCAATCCTAGATGGAATGAAAGTAGGTTCTGCGCATCACGGGTTTGCTGTTCGGCACTGGGCCGATTTCCCTAAATCTTCTCGTTGGTGGGCTGACCGGTCGGGAATCGACGGGAAGCAATCGGGGAGCTTTTTGGCCGGGTGCCCGTTTGAAATCGATACTATTTTGCACGAAATATGAAGTTTTTCGTATTTGGAACTAGGTGCCTTTAACTATTATTTTGTGATCAGCAATCGTCTATCGGTTTTAATTTCTGGGTGCTCCCGAACCGATCGGCGCTTCAACGGCTATAGGCCAACCTTACCGTGACCACTCACTGCACTGCGTACCTAGTCTACTTTGTAGAATTAAAGCAGACAGTTATTTAGCGGAACTCAAGAAAGTTAAGGTTTACTCCTATGCGGAACAAATTTCAAACCCCTAAAATCAGAGCCCCGAGAAAATCCCGGAAAACCGAGCATCGAACACTTTTTGCCCATTTTCCGTTGTATCTCCGCGGAGATGTTTCGGGTCGAATGTTCGTCGCAATATCCGCAATATCCGCAGTATTCAGTTTCCACTTCTGTCATGTCTAGATTTGGCTAGGTCGCCGCGGTCTCGCTTGTACATCGGCCGGATTTTCTAGTGGGTTTAAATAACCAACAGATGGTTCTCGATTACAAGTTATTCTGCATCGACATCACTGCATATAAAGCACCTCCGACGCTTTTCATATAGAATCATTCAGCATCAACTTTATTCACGCACATCATTATGGGCTCCAATGCTGGGCTAACAGCTGATCAAATCAAGCTCATCAAGGCCACCGTGCCCGTTCTGGCCGAGCATGGCAACACCATCACATCTGTGTTCTACAAGAACCTACTCGACGAGAACCCCGCGCTCAACAGCATATTCAATATCCCAAACCAGGTCAACGGTCACCAACCGCGAGCTTTGGCCGGTGCTCTCTACGCATATGCTGCCCACATTGACGATCTGGCTGCATTGACCTCGGCCGTAGAATTGATCTGCAACAAGCATGCATCGCTCTACGTCCAGCCCGAGCACTACTCAGTTGTCGGAAAGTACCTCCTCGAAGCGATGGGCCAGGTCCTTGGCAAGGCGCTCAGTCCAGAAATCAAAGACGCCTGGGCCACAGCCTACTGGCAACTGGCGGATCTCATGATCGCCCGCGAAAGCCAGATATATCAACAAAGCGCAGGCTGGACCGACTGGCGTGAATTTAAGATCGCGGATAAAGTCAAAGAGTCTGACGAAATCACATCTTTCTATCTCGCCCCAGTGGACGGCAAACCTCTACCTTCCTTCCTTCCTGGTCAGTACATTTCCGTTCAAGTGTACGTCCCCGAACTCAAGTACACCCAGCCGCGCCAGTACTCTCTCAGCGACAAGCCTTCGTCAGATTACTATCGTATCAGCGTGAAGAAAGAGATGGGCATCGATACTGCAGACCGCAGTGCAGCTGCTCACCCGGGCTATGTATCGAATCTGCTACACGATACGTTCAGCAAGGGTGACACGCTTAAAGTGTCACACCCGGCCGGCGACTTCTTTCTCCCAGCGACCAAAGAAAATATTTCGAATCCGATTGTTCTCATCTCTGCTGGTGTTGGGTTGACTCCGTTGACCTCGATTCTGAACACACTTATCTCTACTGAGGAGTCAACAGCCCGCAAACTGCATTTCATCCACGGTGCTCGAACATCAGCCGTGCGCGCGTTCAAGGAGCACGTCTCTATACTCTCCAGGAAATATCCCAACTTGCAAAAGACATTCTTCACAAGTCATCCCTCCTCGACCGAGAAGGAAGGTGAAGACTACACGTTCGCGGGACGCGTGGATCTGAAGAAGCTGGACTCAAAAGATTTATTCCTCGAGATGGAATCCGCCGAGTACTACATCTGCGGACCAGAGAAGTTCATGGCGGATATGGAATCAAACCTCAAGGCACGAGGAGTCCCCGCTGACCGGATAAAGATGGAGCTTTTCGGGACTGGTGATGTCCCTCATTAGACTAAGATATTTTTATCATGTACAACATTAGAATGATACCACTCATCTCATTAATCACGATTAACGATTGTAAACCATAGGCATCGTGTAAAAATATCCATTCATTCAAGTCCTCAGCTAGTTTCAGGCTTTGAAACAGGGTCAATGATCGGATATAAGGTGGAGCGACCGAAGCAATTTATAAGCAGATGCTGATCAATCCACGATCCGTGTGCAAAATCCACCCGCCGCGGGGTACTTCATTATTCAATACTTCGAACCCGAGACTTTCTGACTTCCATAAAATCTATATTTCCGATCGTGTGATACGTAAAATACACTACCACAATGTCCAAGATCGGAGTCTTCCCCGCCGCCGGAGGCCTAGGCGGAAGCATCGCCAACCACCTCTCAAAGCTAGTCCCAGCGTCGCAGCTGATTCTGATTGCGCGCAAACCTGAAAACCTCACCGAATATGAAAAGCTCGGCGCAACGATCCGAAAAGCGGATTATGACTCACCCGAGACTCTCAAAGATGCATTCAAAGGAGTGGACACCCTCATGCTGATTTCATATGCATCCTTCGAAATCGAGCATAGGATCAAGGTAAACATCCTCCATTAGATTTAGAATGCATTAATCTAACTAAAACAGGTCCACCGCCTCGCCATCGACGCCGCGATCGTTAGCGGTGTGAACCATATCTTTTACTCGTCGCTAGCATTTGCCGGGTTGACAGATACCAGCGTCGCGCACGTCATGGGCGCACATCTTCAAACCGAGGCCTATTTATCCTCACTTACTGACAAGATAAGCTTCACGGTTGTTCGCGAGGGTATATACTCCGAATCATACCCAATCTATACATCGTGGTTTGACCCCTCCTCGCCGAACAACGAAATTACAATCCCGCACAATGGATCCGGTCCAGGTGTCGCGTGGGTAAAACGCGACGAGCTTGGCGAAGCCACCGCGCGACTGATCACTTCCTACGTCAAAAACCCGGCACAATTTAAGTATAGGAATGAGAAGCTTCTTTTGACAGGACAGAAGGAGTATTCACTTGCCGAAACCGTGGCGATTCTGGGGAGGGTTCTAGGACGGGATTTGAGTATCAGAGAGATTTCGATTGATGATTATGTGAAATTAGAGCATGGAGGGTTGCATACTTATCATGGGGTTGATCTTTCGAGGGAGTGGGCTACTGCGTGGGAGGCGATTAGGAGAGGTGAAACTGCTGCTATTACGGAGGATATTAAGGAGATTCTTGAGAGGGAGCCGGAGGAATATGAGGTTACGATTAGGAAGTTGATTGGATGATTTGGTTCGATGTTGGTAATGACTAGTTGGACAATTGATGTTGAAGTGTTCTACAGATCTCAGAGATGTGTATGTCAAAGGTGAGGTACATACAATGGTTCAATTAGATTTAGATACAAAGGAGTGATGAGCCACAGCAGAGTTCCAGATATATACCATTCTCCAGCTGATGCCGTTGAGTAAAGCAGTCAAAGATGATAGAATTAGCAGCCCTTGCATTCCTTAACATAGAGGTTGGCAGCCTCGTACTCGGAGCTATGCTCGCCGTACCAGTACAGCTCCTTGACCTTGCTCTCGCCGTAGCCGTCCTTGGCGAAGTAGGCGTTACCGTTGTGGGTGAAGTAACCCTCATCGTTGACGCCGAAGTTGTTGGAGCTGGCGCCCTTGGGGGTTGCGCCAGAGTGGGGGACAGTCAGAGCGATGGGCTCCACGGTGTTGGGGATGATGTAGAGGTTCTGGAAGCCGGTGGGGGTAGAGTTCTTGGAAGTGAAGGAGATCATGCCATTGGATCCGGAGCGAACTGTTCTGTGTTAGTTGTGTTAAAAGGGACTATGAATTAATTGGTTGACTTACGGATCAGGATCTCGTGGTTCTTGTCAGTGTCGCCACCGACATAGGCGTTGGCTGTTCCAAAAAGTCAATCACCCGTTCATTCGATAGAGAAGGTTCGGAAGTCTCACTGCCGTCGGTCAGAACAGTCTCGCCGCCATCACCAACGAGGGTGAAAGCTGCAGGAAGGCTAGCAGCAGAGATGGCAATGGCAAAGCCAGCAATAGTAGCGATGGAAAACTTCATATTGGTTGATGTGTTGGTGAGATTGAGATGATTGTATTTTGCAGCTTGAGATCTCAGGGTATTTATACACGTTTGCCAGGTATTTGGAAGTCATGGGTCGGAAGCAAGCCGGCTCGAGCTAAGACATGCTTAACCTAGACTGAGGTCATATGTCGGAGGAAGTTCCATTTTCATACAAGTGGGTAACGCGCCCGTTGGACCCTAATTGTTGGGGTTAGGTGATTGCTGATCATCTGGAGAAATTGAAACTTGTCTTGGAACCTATCAATAGCCGTATTTTAATAAGTACACTGTCTTTTTAGTGGGGATACGAATACGGTACATTGAACATTCTCGAGGGCCTTGAGACTGATGATTGGATTGCTGACGAACAGATCTTCTCTTGCAATCACTATAACCGAGATAAGCTTAAAAAACCTTCAATCCATTTCCATAGCTCGGAAGATCCTTATACCCTAGAAATAGAATTGGCTAGGTTTCAGGAGACGCATTTACCCGACTTGCGAGTAGTGGGTCCTCAATGCCATTCGTCACTCGCAAATGGAGAAAGTTCGGGGCAATCCCCCTAAAGTCTTGCAGTTTTTAGTCTCTGCGCCCACAAACCAGTTCTAACTCTGGGGCAACGATTTGCCCGACATTCCTGCGATGTTGTATTGAGGCTATCTAATCACCATGTAAGGCTTCGAGTCGAAGGGCGCTGGGCTGTGCTCGGCTCTGAGACTTCATCATGGAAAGATGCTTATAATGTTACAGCTGAAGCCGAGGTCATGATGCTCCATCAAAGGACTCGTCGTGATTTCTTTCGGTACTCGTGGTTCTACTCATGTGCCGGGTGGCTGTCGATCATTGTATGCATTCACCACGCTGTGTGGAGTTATCTTGTCCTAGGTAACCGGATAGTCCTTCATCTCTTCTCCACTCAATGTCCGGGAATACGACATGATTGTCAGTCTTCGAAATATTCATAATACAGTTGAATGCGTAGGCACGCCGGAAAAAGCTAGAAACGATATAGGGAAAGGCGCCAGAAACGGCGACAGGCTCGATACGATGCCGATACTATAACCTACGAGACTGACGCTAGAACCAGCCGTTGATTAACGGTCACTAAGTATACTGGATATATAACAAGACGGTGAATGGGAGGCCAGAAGCGGCCTCCTTTGATGCCATTTTAAGACTCTCACTCACTAGTGACAGTCTTTGGCATCACGTGTAGCTAAGGCCACGGCTAGTGCCGCGACCACCTCCGTTGAGTGTTGGCGTTCCTGGTCCCACCAACAATGCAGACACTACGACCCTCGTTCCAGTCATCCTCCTAGCTAAGGGGGGCTGTATTTGGCTTTTTTTTCTTTTTCATTGAGCACGTTTCTTCCTGTGCTTCTATAAGCCACACTTACCATAGCCCCAAACCAATTCCTCTCCGTCGCTCACCAATCTTCCAACCATCGTATCTACCTCTAGCAAACGCTGGAACGAAGACCACTCTTGATCATTTATATACTCTAGCGCTGACTTTAAGCTCTTGCTGTCGCCTCTTCCCGCCTGAACGCAGGTCCCTCATCATTAACATCCCTCATTCCATCTTCATCGACTTCCGTTCGCACTTTCAGCCCCATCTTAATTTATCATGGTTATTTCATTGACCCAGCGGTACGAGACACGAATCAATCAAACATGTCCACTGCAATCACTGAGTCAAAGGAAGACTTCCGTTCGATTCTCAACTTATAAATCAACGAATTAGTTCCACTACGCTGGCTTAAAGGAGATTCGACTAAACCATCCCCACCTACTTGGAGGCTTCTAGCTTAAAGATATCCGTAGCATAGGGTGTCACTTATGTAGACCTAATTTCACTTCAATTGTCTTGTTCTATCCCTTTGTAAAACAAATCTTTGGATACTAGAAAGCGTATTTACTCCCTGTATAAGTAGAAATAATAAGTCCCCGCATCAGAAGTCTTAGCATCCATCGCACCAGCAAGCAAGTCATCATTCACGTAGCGGAAGTAATCGATAATCGGAAAATCATCATAAACCATCGCAGTAGAAAGCACACCGCGCCACTCAATCTGGCGAAGCTGTGCCAACCCTCGTTAGCCATCTCCATCAACAATACGATCAAAATTTGAACTCACGCGGGCATGACCCCAAGACTCATTCCAAACCCGCTTCCCACTCTCATCAGTCACCATGATCGGATCAACATCCTCCGTGGATCTGAAATCTTTTCCAGCCCAGCCCATGCCAGTAAGCTTTTCCTCAGTCGGGTGATTTGTATTCACATTCGCCCCTTTCCAGCTACCAACGAACTGCTCAGGTTTGACCGGCTTCAACTTATCAAAAGCAGCGAGGACGTCATCAGTAGAGAGGTTCTGGCCCTTAACTAGGCTTGCGTATTGTTGTTCGGGTGTACTATTGAATATGCGATTAAAAAGGCTCCAAAGGGAATTCAGTGACAGTTCATTGGCATACGACATTGTGGAAATTTCTGATGTCGTGACTTCGAGAGAATATTGAACGAAACCGAGTTATCTTATTTGGAAGACATCGGGGATTTTATAAGACCAGAGCGAGGACCACCGCATAGTCGTGCATCGCCTTGTGCGTCATTATGCTTCTCCGATCCATATTTGTCCAGCCTACAAGCAACGATATCGACCCCTCCATTACGATGTCACGAACCAATTCGCGCTCCGGGAGAACGGTGGGGTTGATAATGTGGGCCAGGACGATCACCACCTTCAAAAAGCAGATTTTCAGGCGACTAGTCACCAACTGAGAGACATATCCATGCAAGATGATAGAAACATCTGGACTTTCCGATCACAGAGCCATTCACGATGCGAATAGCTTTCGCGATCGTCATGCCTTGTCAAGGATCAACTTGCGCACGGTTGATGTATCGAGATCGTCTGAAGCCGATCAAAACTCAAATGCGGTCGCCGGTATCGGGATCTCGGAGAAGACCGAGTGGTGCTGGGCTGAAAGGTCCAAAGGCGATGAGGAGCTGGACATATGGAGAGGCAGCTTTCCAGATGCGATAAGCTCATTGCATGGGCCCTTTTGCGTCAGCGTGTGTGGTGATTGTGTAACGTTGGCGATCAACATCCCACCGCTTTTTGGTCTCGGGAACTGGATTTCGTGGGATCATGACCTCTGTGTATGTTGTCGTTCTATACTGTATAGTTGAGCGTATAATTGGGATTAACGCAACATGGGGAGTAAATACGAAGAGAAGGGAGAGAAGTGGGAGAGTGAAAATGTAGGGATCTCAGCACACTAAACCAAGAAGCATTAAGGGATGGAGGAAATTTATTCGGCAAATATTATTCCTTTTAAAGAATGTGGCCTAGTAGAAAGGTGCAGGCTCAATAGTCTGAAGAACCCTCTCGAGGAGTTGAGCAGACTTAAATCTGGGACCACCTGTAGAAGGTTTTTTTTTTGGTGCCGGATTAAACTCAGACTTGACTTTGTCTTCTTTTTTGGGTTCTCGTCCCTCCTTTTCTGAAGCTCGTGTCCGACGATCACAGCGTTTACAAAGCTCACATACCCCGTGGGAATCCTCGAAGCAACCCCTACTTTCGATTAGCGCCGACCTGCCTCAGCTCTAGTCAAGATGAGAAAAATCTACGCATGTGGGTATGTGATTTGGAATTCACTAAAATATATAAAGCGGTGACAAATCGCGGTCTTCAAATATTCACATGCAAGTCGAAAATTAATATTGAAAATTTGCCAATTATGTACTGCCCAGGTGCGGTCCTAGGATTCCACTTGAAACTTCACCCAGCGTCGACATGCCAGAGCATTCACATGTAATTATTAAATTCTGGCAGCGCGAGAAAAGGCCCCATGCCTAGATGGGGCGCTAATGCAGAGGCAATCCGTGGCATTCGGATGCGGCATAAACTCGATTGAGTAGTAATTTAGTTTAGTGTATCGCTGTATCGCCAAGAGTCTTTCGTCTTTCTTTTCACTGACGATTTCAAGTCACAAGAATCTCGACACTCGAAGCTATGCGGCATTTCTTATTGATTACATGTACGATTGCGATGGAGACTCTAAAAAAGGGCGATTTTCCATGAGAGGATTCAAATATCAGCTCCTTTCTTCCTAAGCATGCTTCGATGGGGATATTTGGTTCCTTGACATCCGACAAAGATGTCAAGGATGTCAAGGATCATCCGATGATGGGCAGATGTGGATCCCGGTTGACGCCTTAATTCCCAGGCTGCTAACTAAGTTAGTTATGGGCTGACGAAATTCAAAAGAAACCTCTTTCTGCTCATCTATCGTGTAGATCATTTTTCTTGGCCTCATTCTACATATACGGTCCGGCGCCTTTTGGATACCGGTTTGCATCGACAGGGACATTTCTGGTCATTGGGGACCTAAAATAACGGAAGGCATACTTTGACTACAAGAAGGTAGAAAATCGAACATTTGCCGGAATTTTGTGAGACTCAAAGGTCCGGGGATACGATACGCTCACGACACAAATAAAATTCCAAACATTTCAACGCCTGTACAGATAGCCCCAAGGCACTGCTCTAGAACACTGACAGCTGCTTGCGCGAGCGGCCGTCTCCAGCACGCCATGTCAAAAAGGCCGAAGATTAGAAATCGGATTATAAATTCCATCGCAATCGTCTTGAACACTATGAATGACGGGGTATATTATAAGGGCACTTCTCACCTCTCAAACAACATTCACAAGTTTCATAGATACAATCCACTCCAACCACCCTCCAATCCAGTTCCGCGATACCAATATCAGAATGCCCGACCAACCACGACAACTCCACCTAACAGCCTTCATGCGCCCAGTCTCTCTCCATACCGGAGCGTGGCGCTACCCAAACTCCTACCCAGACGCCAACTTTAACTTCACCCACATAACCCACTTCGCGCAGAAACTTGAAGCAGCGAAATTCGACGCCTTCTTCATGGCCGACCACCTAGCCGTACTAAACATGCCCATCGAAGCCCTGAAACGCAGCCACACGGTCACCTCATTCGAACCATTCACTCTTCTCTCTGCCCTCTCCACCGTGACGTCGAAAATCGGCCTCGCCGCAACAGCCAGTACAACATACGACCTCCCATACCACGTCGCACGCCGGTTCGCAAGCCTAGACCATCTAAGCAACGGTCGCGCAGCTTGGAATATAGTGACAACGGGGAACCCGGAGTCGAGTCATAATTTTGGATTCGACGAGCATATGGCTCATGGCGATCGATATAAACGCGCGCGGGAATTCTACGATATTGTCACTGGGTTATGGGATAGTTTTGCCGACGACGCATTTACACGAGACGTCGAGAGTGGTGAATTCTTTGAACCGAATAAAATGCACCGCTTGGATCATGAGGGTGATGAGTTCAAGGTTCGGGGGCCGTTGAATATCGCCCGGCCGCCACAGGGGTGGCCTGTTATCGTGCAGGCTGGACAGAGTGAGGCGGGACGACAACTTGCTGCTGAAACTGCTGAGGTTGTTTTCTGCAGTCCGAAGGATATTGAGAGTGCTAAGGTGCTTTATGCTGATATAAAAGGGAGGGTTGTGAAGGCGGGACGAAGGAGGGAGGATTTGAAGATTTTGCCTGCAGCTATGATCATTGTTGGGGAGAGTAAGGAGGATGCGCAGGAAAAGAGGCTACTTTTGGATTCATTGGTGCATTATGATAGTTCTATTGCGTCTTTATCTGTTGCGCTGGGGGTTGATGTTGGCGGACTTGATCCGGACGGGCCGTTGCCTGAGGACCTGCCTGAAACGAATGCGAGCAAGACAAGTAGGGAGGCTGTTGAGAGGTTGGCTGCTAAGGAGGGACTCACCATTCGACAGCTCGCGCAACGGTATGGAGGTTACTCTGGGTTGGCGTTTCTGGGCTCACCCAGTGGTATTGCGGATGAAATGGAGGCTTGGCTGCGGGAACAGGCTTCCGATGGTTTTACATGCGTGTTTCCATTCTTGCCTCAGGGATTGGAGGAAGTCACAGACAAGTTAATTCCGGAGCTGCAGAGACGAGGTTTATTCCGTCAAGACTACACCGGTTCGACACTACGAGAGCATTTTGGTCTGGAAAGACCGGAGAATCGCTTTTTTAGCAAGGGGCAATGACGCATGACTAGATAGTGTGACGGACTACCGTACTTCCGAATCAATTCAATTCCGAGGATCCTTGCAAGTTTGTTCATGTAGACATCTTTTACGCGAAGAACTGCCGCATCTATGAATAAATCCATTTCCGCTTCTCTCCCCTAATCCATGTCGATCAACGCCAAACCGATAAATTACAACTGGGATGACCTGACGACGAACCGGCTCATATTTTATCCCCCCATGCTCACTGATGGTCCAATTAGCCAAGAGATTCAACTGCCAACGTAGATCCCGCCCCGGCACCAGGAATCCGGGGAAGACGGAACTCGGCAGTCAGATCCAGACGCGATCCGATTTGATACGCAGATGTCATAAATTAATCTCAATGGACAGGCCGGATCGAATGTTAGCCGTGTGGAATGACGCTGAGGGGCGATCTGGGCTATGAGTCAGAGGGGCAACGGCGAGCTTGCAGGGCTGAACAGGTGCCTTGATCCACCCGGACCGGTATGCGGTTCGGCTGTCAGTCTGATAGATTGCTCCCTCTTTGTTCTGCAAGAAATTAAGTGAACGTTGGAAAGTTGCATCATTGCAGAATTGGCGCTCAGCCAGAAAGCCACATGTGCCATAAGCCTGACAAGTTGTAGATAGATGATAGCAACGTAGGATTGCACAGATAGCTCAAGGCGTCGATTGTGGATTGAATGAGATCACAGAACCGGATCTCGATAACAATCGATCTCGCCTTCTAAGAATATCATGATCACGATATTCAGCTACGGAATAGCTCACCGAAGTCAATTCCCCCCATCACTTCCCGTTTACATTTCGTGTCCCAACACCCCAGTCACGAGGACAAAAAAGTCACATAAATCGGTAGCTACCGGGACGAAGAAAAAGATCAGGGCAGGAAACAAAGTACCCGGATCACCCCACGGCTCAAAATGGCAAGTGGGCTGCAGGTTCAATGGAGTCATGTCAGTAGGAAATAAGTGGCTCGCGAGTGGACGGGACAAGACGCACAACGGTCGCACTAGCCAACGCCTAATCTTGCTTTATTCCTGGGCTCCACGATTCGGTGCAAACTCGGGAATGCCCCACAGAGCCTGGGCACCTGGGTACTCAATGGCGGGTGTGTTGGGCACATGGGTGTCCGTCGGAGGATTTGCATGCATCCTGTGAATTTGCCACTATGCCTGTACAATGTGAACGTAATGTGCATTGTGCTTAAATTGGAGTAGTATCGTCTAGCTTGCCCAAATTCATTCCTGCTTTGGAGTATGGTGGCTTGCAGGAAGAACCCATGAAACATACCTCGGTCGGGAGTATGTTTGTTTTTGGGCGGGTTCGAGATAGTCACGTCGACCACGTAATAGCGGACAACCTTAGAAGATGAAACATAATTTGGCATTCGTTATTTCCGTAAGTATCCATGCGTAGCTATTGTGTATTCAGATCTGACACTGTGATTGGGAATTCCTATGTGCAATCTCCTGCCTTGGAGGTTCAGCGGCAGCGGATCGCCGTCATGCAGGGATAACAAGTAGCCAAGAGAGGTAGCTCAAGCGAGACACAAAAAAAGGCTGTATGTATCTAAACTGCGATGAATATACAGGGTATCAATTTTTCCGTTCGGGGATGTGAATAAAGAGACTGTGTTTAGCAACTAAAGTACATAACGTCGGCTCCGAGACTCGGCCGGCGGAAGCTTGGCAAGTTCAGCCCACTGGTTCACCTTTGAAGGTCCACAGCTGACATTTGCCCCGTTATTGCTGGTCCTTTTTTCAACGGTTTCACGCTCATGAGCAATTCGGAAGATCTGAACGATCCGGAGCCGGCCGTATAGCTAAGGTGATCTCGGCTCGATTTGACCGAGCGCAGAGGGGAGCAGCATGACGGGTGACTACGCCCTTTTGGGGGCGACCGGCAGGGTCTTTTCGACTATGGAGCTGGGCCTTGACATCACAGGTCCATCTCGGCTTCCAAGTTCGGTCGATGAACCGCAACAACAGTCGTAATCCGTCCCGGGTGCCGACCCCTGTTGACTTTTTCGCGCTTGACGAAAACCCATAGGGATATATAAGCTGGCACGGCCAAGATAGATTCACATTTGTTCCAAGGTACCGCGCCTTTCGATCGACCTTTACTTTTATAAACATCGATCCCTCCCTCCACTTTCGTCCCTGCGCACAGATATTACATTGAGCCTTCGCCCCCAATCTGGTCAGCATAACATTTTTTCACGATGCCATTCAATCGATCAAGCACCCTTCCGACTCTCTCATTGGAGGACGAAAGATATCTCAACCAGGATCTTAGTCCCCAGTCTCGTCCAATGGATATTTTCAAGGGATGCGACCCTGTGCCAGGCAACTGGTCCTATGACAGTGCAATCGATCTGTTCTCTCTGAACCCCGCCGATATGGATCCAGTGTCGTTCGACTTTTCCGACAACTTGACAAATGAAGACACCAAGGATTTATTCATAGATCCATTCAGAACACCAACTGCAATCAATGGTTTCACGATGCCCACCGCAGACGACACAGTTTCTCTCTCATCGGTATGTCAGCCTTCTCCACAATGCAACAGTGACGTACTAACGATATAAAAGGACCTAGACAGTGACGATCAGTCCTGGCCCGCCGGGATGTGCCAATCCATCGACATGACTATCGCCGAAGAACCCACCAAACCATCCAGACCAGTCACCCGCAACTCCGCCCAAAACACCGCCTCAACGCGATGGTCCTCCAGCCCCGAAATGAAACCCCAAGAATACATTACCCCCAAGCAAACAAAAACATCCGGTCGGAAAACTCGCAGTCTCTCGCAAGACTCCAACCGCTCCTCAAGCCAAGACCCACAGATGCGTAACGCCGCTAAAAGAGCCGCCCACAACATCATCGAGAAACGCTATCGCACAAATATGAACGCCAAGTTCCTCGCTCTGGAAAAGGTGATCTCCCCCGCCGGAGTCCACAAACAATCCAGAGGAGGCGCAGGAAGTCTCAAGAAATCTGAAATCCTCAGCAACGCCCTCGCATACATCGAAAGCGTGCAACAGGAAAACGCAGCCGTGCACAAGGAACTCGCGCTTTTGAAACAAAATCTTCTCCCCGGTGGGATGTGGCGACACAAGCAGCCGCGCGCCTAAGTCTTGGGTCTTAACTTTGAGTCACTGAATTTGACTCGCACATAGACTGCACTTCATGATGACACGATGTACATTTAGAGCCATTTGGCTGGAGTTGGACTGGAGTTTGAATTGCTGGGTAACTGGGATGGCGTCTTTCTTTCAATCATCTCCCATCACCATTTTTCCGGGTCTCGGTGACAACAAAAGTGTTTTATGATTCCCCTGACTGTATCTGATAGTGAAGCATTAATGTAATTGCCAAGACTCGGTGATCTTGAATCTTCTTTGAATCGTGTGAATTGTACGAATTTGAACTTGTTCTCGAGGCATTGACCCGATTCGGAATGGGTCGCGGTTGATTGTGGTCGGAATAGTCGCGGCTCGAATTTCCGAAAATGGAAGGTAAATGGAAGTGGCATGATGCTGCTTCTGTAAATCTTCATAAATAAGTATCAGTTGCTCTTTTGATGATGTTGATTCCAGGCAAGGGTTCAAGGATCGAGGGTGAGTCTGTTGAGCTTTTCACTTGGTTTGGTTACTCTCCGACTGACGCGCACCGTCCAGCGCTGTCTTCCTTCAGCAGGCTATGTCGATTCATCTCTTGGATTCTGAGATGCATGAAAGAAGAAAAACTTCTCGGGACATCGATGTAAGTTCTCTGGTCACTGCTGACAAGAAAGACCGAGTCAAACCCCTTTTGTGGGAAACCTCCTAGCAGATCAACAACCCGGGGACGCCCTTCGTGTCGGACATGCGCCCAAGGAGTGTATTACCCCAGAATTGGGAAACTTCGATGCGGGGAAGCAATTATTGAATGCTCTAGTGTCCTGTCGACCCGCATAATGGGCAATCGATTGATAATATGTTTCAACCTGGGGAATTTTGAAGCGACAAGACGATCACCGGGCATCACCGCCACGCCCCCGGACCCGGACAAGCAGTACTAACAAGCCGTGTCAAATGCGGGTTTCGGACGGAAAATGCCTCACTTATTCATACCATTAGGAAATGGAAATGAAACGAAATCCTCGGCGAAACAAAAACAGAGAAAGACGCCGGCATCGCGGATGTCGCTTGGCTGAGCCTAGCCCCGATGATCTGGCTCCGAATTCCCAAAAGGGTTTGGCTTTCTGCGCGGTTCCTGACTATCAAACATAATAGCACGCCTCATGAATCATGAAGAGGCGAGCAGCAGGTCTATCTTAGAGATAGGAAATGGGCATACCGGGACCGCAATCTAGAACTCATGTCATAGATTCACCCCGCATTTTCAATATCTCGATCCGACTCTATCTCAACTCTATCAACCAGCGACCCGTCGCATCCACCGTCTCCACCGGAAAAGGAAAGAACAGGAGATATCAGGACCGAGCGCGAGCGGCGACTCAGACCAATCGACATACAGGGCTGTGAGCTCTCGGCCAAGTCAACCGGATCTGCCTCTTGGCAACTCTACGTAAAACCACTGGGAGCAATAACCTAGTCAAAAGCCAAGCTCACTGAATATCCGCCACGTTCCACCCCATCAACAGCCGAGGGTGGACCCTTGCATCCCATTGCACTATCTAAACAGCAGCTTGCATGTCTCCATCGTCTTCTGTTTCCTAATCGGTCCTCGAGTTTTCTCAATTTATCGGAAAACATCTTCGGAAGCTCACAAGACTAGCTCATGATAGTCAGTTGTTGACTCGCTGTGACTTGTTGATCTCGGATCCCGCCGCCCAAATAATTCCAACCCGCTCGTGTGGCGACAATCCGGCATCGGGAGTCGCATCTCCACCGTGGAGCCTATCAGATATGCCACAGATATGAGATCATGCTTCAGACATCAGACGTCGAAGCAGGTTGACAATATCACAGACACATACATGCAGCGGCCTTGAGTCCGCTGATAAAGAACCCTTATCGGACCGCATGGACTTACTACTTCGGGCGCGGCTTGCCACAGATGACCGGTCGAGCTTCTACGGCTTCCATGGCTTGCATGGAATGGCTTACTGGCTGCATGAGGCTTTGACAGTGCTACACCTTAACATTGGACGAACCTTGGAGGCTCAAATATTAACACTGCAATTGAAGAAGTGAGAAAGGCGGTAGACAGACACTCGCCACCCGATTACCACCTTCCACACATGGTCGCCACCTATTATCGCGTACATCAGGGCTAAATTCAGAACAGATCAGAACAAGATAATCATGATGATAATTACACCATTCATCCTCATCTAAGATCCAGTGAATCGAAACAACACACTACCCCAGGCGTTATCACCAAGGACCCACTAATCCGAACCCAAAAAATAATAGAAAATATCGACCCGAATCCCACAGTAGCAAGTCCACCCGAGAGTGGCCACAATCCCCGCAAAAAACCAACATACAAAAATCACAAGCGATGAATATTCCCATTACACACAGCCTCTCTCTCAGTGACCAATCCACCCAGTTTCCACCCGTCAGTTATCCCCGGTCAACGCCTGTAATTGGTTCTCCGGCTGTCACCCCAGCTCTATCTCTTGCCCCGTATTTACACGATCAGAGATAGGGTGCGCCGTGAGGGGGTGCAACCGCCATCATATTTAGAAAGAGAGCTTTGTCCCCTGCGATTCTTACATTGTGTTCAGCTTCGGCGGAAAATGGGAACAACTTTTCTTGAGGATCTGGAATTTATTGCCTCGGGCTGAACGACTGCATATTCGATTGAACATTTGAACGACATACGAGATATCCTATTATGGACGTCGAATCGATTACCATTAAGCCGCCTCTCGAGAACGATCAGGATGTTCAGGATGCCACTGATCTCGCAGCGATGGGTCATGCCCAGGCGCTGACTCGCAAATTTAATATTTGGAGCATGCTTGCTCTTGCTTTCTGTGTTCTCGGTAAGTCGCCACCCGACCTCCCCATTGAGGGAGTGACATCGCTTCGAGCAGGTGTACTGGTGTCTGCGGATACTGACTATAGTAGGAACATATTCGACCTTCGCGCAGGATCTAAGCAGCGGTCTCACGAATGGCGCCTCAATTACCATCCTCTGGGGCCTGGTGCTGGTCACGGGCTGTAACCTGTGCGTCGCTGTCTCGCTGGGCGAGTTGACGAGCAGTATGCCCACTGCCCTCGGTCAAGCATACTGGGTGTACAGATTGTGGCCGACACCGCTGGGCCGCTTCGCCTCGTACATGTGTGCGTGGATTAATACGTTCGGGTGGTGGACTTTGACTGCGTCGCAGGTGGCGTTTATGACTGAGTTCCTGCTTGGCATGAAGACAATGTTTGATCCAGAATGGAGCGGCGCTGGGAAGGGATGGGTGAATTTCTTGGTTTATATTGGGGTTGTGTTTGCGTTGACTGTGGTTAATGTGATTAGTTGCCGCAAGGAGCAAGTTCTGCCTTGGATCAACAACTTTGTCGGGATTTGGTTTGCGGGGTTGTTTGTTGTGTTGTCGATGGTAATGTTGATTTGCGTTGGTATTAAGAGTGATTTGAATTTCCAGTCCGGAGGGTTTGTCTTTGGAAATTGGATGAATCAGACTGGATGGCCCGATGGTGTGGTTTGGTTCACTGGCTTGGTCCAGGCTGCTTATGGTTTGACTGCTTTCGACTCGGTCATTCACATGGTGGAGGAGATTCCTGATCCGAGAAGAAATGCGCCCCGCGCTATCTGGATGGCTGTCCTGTTTGGTGCCATCACCGGTTTCATCTTCATGGTGGTTTGCCTGTTCTGCATTCAGGATGTCGATGCCGTCACCAACGCCGACCAGCCTTTCATCGAGCTGATCCTCGAGACTGTCGGCCTCAAGGGTGGAGCCACACTCATTGCTCTGTTCATTTTCAACGGTCTCGGCCAGGGCATCTCTGTCCTGACCACGGCCTCTCGTCTGAGCTGGGGCTTCGCCCGTGACGGCGGGGTCCCCTGGAGCAAGTACTTCAGCCACGTCGACCCCGTCTGGCAGGTCCCTGCCCGCGCACTCTGGGGCCAAGGATGCATCATCGGCCTCGTTGGCATCCTCTACCTCTTCGCCAACACCGTTCTCGAGGCCATTCTCAGCGTCAGCACGGTCGCCCTCACAATCTCCTACGCGATGCCTATCCTTGCCCTCCTCATCGTTGGCCGCGACAAACTTGTCCCTGGTCCCTTCCAACTCGGTCGCTGGGGTACCTGGATGAACTGGATCAGTATTGTGTACTGTGTCATTACCACCATTTTCTTCTTGTTCCCTGGCGCCCCGAACCCAGCTCCGGCTGACATGAATTACGCCATCGTTGTGTTCGGTGTCATGCTTGTCATTGCCGTTACCTTCTGGTTTATCCAAGGTGGTCGGACATACCTCCAAACTGAGGATGCGATCGCGCAGATGTTCTATGCGCAGCATCTTGAGAATGGGCAGAACTCCGACGTGGCTGTTGTGCCGCAGCCGGACCTCAAGTGAGAGCCGAAATTTGTACATAGATAAACATGCCCTTTTTTGCAACCCTGCACATGTATTGAATACAATTAATTGATATCGGACATTCTATTGCTCACCAGTAGTGTTAGTTGATTGCTGTCTTGTAGCCATGGCACGTGATGCAACCCCTTTGAATTGTCAATACGTAAGTCAACAGACCTTTTAAGGTTGTGAAGTCCATGAAATGCATGAATGTACTACATCGTGTTACACCGGAACACCCGGGACCGTTGCGAGTGTGACAGGCATGTCGTCACTGAATAGCAGCTAAGCTGAGTTCAGTTTAATGCGGAGGGTACGATATTAATCCCTCTCTCAGTCTTGGCAGCGCAATATTAAGACTTGTCAGTGAAACCTGGGCTTGCAACGGATTCCGATGCAAGCCCAGGACTTGAAATTAGGGAAATTCAAACCTACTGTAGATCTTAAGATTGGCGTTCATCTTATCCGGTGGACAATGCGGAGGCGTCCAAGGAGTTGATCAGCGGAGGCAAATTACAGGTCCAACCCGCAGGTCTTGGCAGGAACACAACCCACAACAAACAATAACAATCAATAACAATCAAT